ACACCCACACCCAACACCCTAACAACCCTAACACCCTACCACCCCCTAACACCCTAACACCCACAACACCCTAACACCCTAACACCCTAACACCCTAACACCCTAACACCCTAACACCTAACACCCTAACACCCTAACACCCTAACACCCTAACACCCTAACACCCTAACCCAACCCCTAACACCCTAACACCCTACACACCCTAACACCCTAACACCCTAACACCCTAACACCCTAACACCCTAACACCCTAACACCCTAACACCCTAACACCCTAACACCCTAACACCCTAACACCCTAACACCCTAACACCCTAACACCCTAACACCCTACACCCTAACACCCTAACTCCCCTAACACCCTAACACCCTAACACCCTAACACCCTAACACCCTAACACCCTAACACCCTAACACCCTAACACCCTAACACCCCTAACACCCTACACACCCTAACACCCTAACACCCCTAACACCCTAACACCCCTAACACCCTAACACCCTAACACCCTAACACCCTAACACCCTAACACACCCTAACACCCTAACACCCTAACACCCTAACACCCTAACACCCTAACACCCAACACCCTAACACCCTAACACCCTAACACCCTAACACCCTAACACCCTAACACCCTAACACCCTAACACCCTAACACCCTAACACCCTAACACCCTAACACCCTAACACCCTAACACCCTAACACCCTAACACCCTAACACCCTAACACCCTAACACCCTAACACCCTAACACCCTAACACCCTAACACCCTAACACCCTAACACCCTAACACCCTAACACCCTAACACCCTAACACCCTAACACCCTAACACCCTAACACCCTAACACCCTAACACCCTAACACCCTAACACCCTAACACCCTAACACCCTAACACCCTAACACCCTACACCCTAACACCCTAACACCCTAACACCCTAACACCCTAACACCCTAACACCCTAACACCCTAACACCCTAACACCCTAACACCCTAACACCCTAACACCCTAACACCCCTAACACCCTAACACCCTAACACCCTAACACCCTAACACCCTAACACCCAACCCCCTAACACCCTAACACCCTAACACCCTAACACCCTAACACCCTAACACCCTAACACCCTAACACCCTAACACCCTAACACCCTAACACCCTAACACCCTAACACCCTAACACCCTAACACCCTAACACCCTAACACCCTAACACCCTAACACCCCTAACACCCTAACACCCTAACACCCTAACACCCTAACACCCTAACACCCTAACACCCTAACACCCTAACACCCTAACACCCTAACACCCTAACACCCTAACACCCTAACACCCTAACACCCTAACACCCTAACACCCTAACACCCTAACACCCTAACACCCTAACACCCTAACACCCTAACACCCTAACACCCTAACACCCTAACACCCTAACACCCTAACACCCTAACACCCTAACACCCTAACACCCTAACACCCTAACACCCTAACACCCTAACACCCTAACACCCTAACACCCTAACACCCTAACACCCTAACACCCTAACACCCTAACACCCTAACACCCTAACACCCTAACACCCTAACACCCTAACACCCTAACACCCTAACACCCTAACACCCTAACACCCTAACACCCTAACACCCTAACACCCTAACACCCTAACACCCTAACACCCTAACACCCTAACACCCTAACACCCTAACACCCTAACACCCTAACACCCTAACACCCTAACACCCCTAACACCCTAACACCCTAACACCCTAACACCCTAACACCCTAACACCCTAACACCCTAACACCCTAACACCCTAACACCCTAACACCCTAACACCCTAACACCCTAACACCCTAACACCACCTAACACCCTAACACCCTAACACCCTAACACCCTAACACCCTAACACCCTAACACCCTAACACCCTAACACCCTAACACCCTAACACCTAACACCCTAACACCCCTAACACCCTAACACCCTAACACCCTAACACCCCTAACACCCTAACACCCTAACACCCTAACACCCTAACACCCTAACACCCCTAACACCCCTAACACCCTAACACCCTAACACCCTAACACCCTAACACCCTAACACCCTAACACCCTAACACCCTAACACCCTAACACCCCTAACACCCTAACACCCTAACACCCTAACACCCTAACACCCCTAACACCCTAACACCCTAACACCCTAACACCCTAACACCCTAACACCCTAACACCCTAACACCCTAACACCCTAACACCCTAACACCCTAACACCCTAACACCCTAACACCCTAACACCCTAACACCCTAACACCCTAACACCCTAACACCCTAACACCCTAACACCCTAACACCCTAACACCCTAACACCCTAACACCCTAACACCCTAACACCCTAACACCCTAACACCCTAACACCTAACACCCTAACACCCTAACACCCCTAACACCCTAACACCCTAACACCCTAACACCCTAACACTCCACAAAATGCAGATTTAAATAATAATTTGTTTTTAATAAGCAGTCATTATAATAATTATATATACATGCCTGTACACCTCTTCTTTAACTTTATCCTGTGAACTGCACTTCGGGAAGCATTTAAAGCTTCCTTTTAAGGCTCATGCCATTGATAGAATTTTTATGGAGCTGTTTAAAGGGAATTCTTAGATTTTTCACAAAAGAGTAGTCAAAAAATAGCAAGTAGAAGGGAGTAGTCCTAGCACCCTCTAGCCATGCTAGTTGAATCAAGGGAGTGCATAGAAGAGCTTTTGGAATCAGGTTCAAATGACCAAAATTCTTAATTAAAAAATTATCAAAGTTACCAATTGTAGGACTACTAAGCATCTTTCATTTAATATTTTTATAGTCAAATCGATTGCTTGATCTTTGGAATCCGCCATTTTGCCAACCTCTTTGTGACTAACTTATTGTCCCCTACTATAAATTTTAAATTATGAGCGCCATCAAATGCTATCAGCCTATGTGCGACAGTGAGGTTGAGCTTTCATGCAACTGCACTTCACCTGCGACTTATTCTTGCGAAAAACACATAGTGAAGCATTGCCAACCTAGCAGCAATCCTCATAATTTCAGCTCGATTTTTGTAGAGCCTGTTGAAGGCACAAAAGAAGCAATCCTTAGTTTTCTTTCTGAAGAAAAGTCAAAAATTAAAGAAATGAAGGCTAATATAATTGCTTCCTTTACTCAAATTCTTTGTCGCTATAAAATAATTTTTGAGGAAGTTTTAAATGAAATTGACTCTGATTCTACAAAAATTAGCAGCTATGCCGGAAAAATCTGGCAAGCACAAAAACTATCGAGAATAGAGAAAGATCCAGCCTTAAATTTGTTAGCCTTGCAGCCTCTTGAAGCTGTTGAAAACCTAAAGAAACTTTTGCAAAAATATCAAATAATAATATTAGGTTATTCAGTAAAATAGGAAGACAAATTGATGCAGTTTTAAAAAGCTTTCGCCAAGAAAAGTCTAGAGTTATTCCGCAAGAAATGGAATTAAAATTGAAAAAGCATAATATGAACTTTGAAAATGAATGGGAGATATTACAGCCAGCATTATACAAGTATGAAGAAGCTGGAATTGCTGATACAAATCATGCATACGCTAGCGATTGTATAGGATGCATTTTCTATAATGAAAAAAGGTATGAAGAAGCACTAAAACATTACAACGATGCAATTAGGATCGATCAAAACTGCGCAGCTTATATTTCAAATAAAGAAAATGCTCTTGGAGAGTTAGGCAGAAGAGAAGAAGCGATAGAATACTATAAAGAAGCTATCAAAGTCAATCCAAATTATGCACCTGCATACAATGGCATTGGAAACATTTTCTATAATGAAAAAAGGTATGAAGAAGCACTAAAACATTTCAACGATGCAATTAGGATCGATCCAAATCATACAGTTTATTATTCTAATAAAGGATATGCTCTTGAAGAGTCAGGTAGAAGAGAAGAAGCTATGGAATACTTTAAACAAGCTATCAAAATTGGTCCAAATGATGCATATTTATACAATGGCATTGGAGATATCTTTTATAATCAAGAAAAATTTAAAGAAGCTGTAGAAAATTACAACGCTGCAATTAGGATCAATCCAAACGTTGCAGTTTATATTAAAAATAAAGGATATGCTCTTGTAGAGTTAGGTAAAAGAGAAGAAGCTATGGAATGCTTTAAACAAGCTATCAGAATTGATCCAAATGATGCATATGCATACAATTGCATAGGAGATATCTTTTATAACGATAAAAGGTATGAAGAAGCAGTAAAACACTACAATGATGCAATTAGAATCAATCCAAACGATGCACTTTATTTTAGAAATAAAGGATATGCTCTTGGAGAGTTAGGTAAAAGAGAAGAAGCTGTTGAATGCTATAAAGAAGCTATCAAAATTGATCCAAATTGTGCACTTGCATACAATCGCATAGGAATTATTTTATTTAATGAAAAGAGATATGAAGATGCAATTAAGCTTTACAATGATGCAATAAGGATCAATCCAAACTGTGCACTTTATTTTCGAATAAAAGGAGATGCTCTTGGAGAGTTAGGTAGAAGAGAAGAAGCTATGGAATGCTATAAAGAAGCTATCAAAATTGATCCAAATGATGCATATGCATACAATAGCATTGGAGAAATCTTTTGTAATGAAAAGAGATATGAAGAAGCAGTAAAATATTTTAAGAATGCAATTAAAATTGATTCAAATTGTGCACATTATTTTAGAAATCAAGGATATGCTCAATATGCGTTAGGCCGAAGAGAAGAAGCTATTGGATGCTATAAAAAAGCTATCAGAATTGACCCAAATGATAATTATGCATACAATTGCATAGGACTTATCTTAAAAAATGAAAAGAGATATGAAGATGCAATTAAGCATTACAACGATGCAATTAGAATCAATCCAAACTGTGCACTTTATTATTATAATAAAGGAGCTGCTCTTAGAGAGTTAGACAGAAGTGAAGAAGCTATGGATTGCTATAAAGAAGCTATCAGAATTGATCCAAGCTGTGCACCTGCATATAATGGCATAGGAATTATTTGTTTTAATGAAAAAAGATATGAAGAAGCTGCAAAGTATTACAGCGATGCTATTAGAATTGATCCAAACTGTGCGCTTTATTATTATAATAAATGAAATGCTCTTATAAAATTAGGCAGAAGAGAAGAAGCTATGGAATCTATTACTCCTATCTCCTTATGTGAACAAAAAATGTTATTTAAAAAAAAAAATATAGTACAAGTTATTATTCCCAATTCGCAAAAATTGAAAAAATATATTTATTTAATTTGTAAAATTTCTATTTAGAATGCAAGCTGTTTTTATTAAACAGAGTTAGCTAGAGATCTCATTATACTGATTATCACTTACAAAATTTTTATTTTCGCTCACTCTGGTAGATTTTTGAGCAAATAATAAGATTTTTCCAATGTTTTGGCGCATATGGAGAGAAGCGGGGAGTTAATAAAGCAAAGAGTTTATAATCCTTAATCTTATCAATAATAAAAAATATTTTCATTGAACTCGTTATTATTATATATAATATATAGATTTATTAATGTAACAGCTAAAGCACAATTTGTACTTTTACGCTACAAATTTATACTAATTTTAAAATAAACGCACCAAGGAAGATGAATCTATTACTAAAATAAAACAGAAATGAAACTAAAACATTATGATGGCCATTACGCCTATTCAAATAGCTTTGAATCTATAACTTAGATCATTAATAGTGCTGCTCAAGCTGCTATTGAACATATAGGATTTGCATTAAAGTCGCAGACTCATTAAAAAAGCAAAACGGACACTATAATTTATGGGATATAGGGAAATAATTTAAAACAAAATGCACATTTAAAAAACTGAATAAAACTTTTTGAAAATGAATTAAAAAATCAAGATATATAGAAGGCGTTAAAAATAAGTATTATGTGTAGGATAAAAGATATAACTCCTCTTAAAATGAATTTCTAGTATACTGAACTATAAAAGATATATAGGATATGATGCTATTATCTTATAGAGCTAATATTACTATAGAGACGTGATTAACGGAAAATTATATGATTCATACTAATTAACCTACCCTTCTTTTGTATGTAGATGGTGACTTTATTAAAACTTAAACTTGTCTAACTTGGAGTTAAAATCACTATATTTTTATTAATTTGCAGACTCTTTTGATATTTTATTTAATAGATAATAAAGAGTAAAATTGAGAGAAGTATGATTTCATTTTTAAGCTCCATAAATACACATCATATTAATGTCTGTTCTAAGATTTTCTCAAAGTTTTACCTTCATCTAGAATCTTGAAATAAAATTCCTAAACTATTTAATCTGGCCATAGATAGGGGAATAAAGTCATCTATAAATTATGATTGAGTAGTGGAGAAATGCATATACTAAGCATATATATAATAACAATGGAGAAATTTTCACTTGGTCATACTTTTTACTGACAACTGCTTTCACTCAAATTATTGCTATGACTCCTTTTTATCAAATTAAGCTACTCTATTGAAATTATTTTGGCCCGAGATAATTCTTCTAAGAATGCCCTTAAAGAAGAGATTATGATAGAAATTTATCAATCTTTCAAATCAATAGAATGGCATGAATGCAATATATCTTCTCTAAGAACTTGCATTTTAGAATATGCAAGCAGCTCACTGGTATTAGATCTCTCTGAGGAGATTGGAGTTCAGATTTCTATTTCTGAAATTTGTAAAGAGCATTCAATGCTTCATTTAGTCTATCAAGATAAGCTTTTTTATCAAGCAAAATGAACCTATTCTATTATTCCTTCTGAATCAGAGCTGCTAAATGCCTTTTTAGCAATTTTAAAGCATTTTAATTGGTCACAAGGAATTTTCCTTAGTAATATATTAAAATCAAACTGAAAAGAAACAATTTTGCAGTATTATGAGAATATAGAATTTATGATAATTGAATCAGAGACGAACATTGAAGAATTTGTAAATAAAGTGATTTTTCCATCAGGTTCAACTTTCTACTTCCTTTTTACTGAATCTTTTCAATCAGCTGAAATTCAAAATTCGCTGAAAAATAAAAAGCTATTAGGAAGTGGAAATGGAATCTTGCTTGATCAAGAGAGTGGCTATAACTGCAGCTATAATGGCTCTTTAATAATAACAGAAATTGGCAAGGAATATACCCTTTCAGCCGAAGACAGTTTTAAACACTCTATAATACAAATTATTGAACTTCTAGCAAGAAATGAATCTGGAGACCTGAAAAAGTTATTGGATTCAATAATTGAAAATCGTTGCCACTTTTCACTAGTGAATATTCAAAATGGCAAAAGGGTAATAGTTGGAGAAATCATGAATGATAGCGTCACAGTATTTAGAGACTTGGAATTCCCAGGGTTACAGAGTTTAATACCAATACCCACTAAAAAGGTTCTTCACTTGAGCATAAATGCTGGCACAACAAATCCTGGCAGTCTTCCATATCAGAATGCAGTGATAGCAGCCAGAGGTGCTTTTGCCATTCAGGACAAAATCAATGAAGGAAATGACATTTTACAACACTTTCAAATTAAGTTTTTTAATTTTGATTGTGGAGTCACAGTGTTCAATCGAACTTTTGCAAAAGATTGTTTCAATAAAGATATATCTCCATTTATATAGAATAAAAACTTGAAAACTTGGCTCGATAAAGACCGATCTTTAATATATTTGCAAGCACTCCCACTAATCAGCATGAAAAGCATAGACCAGATTGGGCTTTCTCATATCTCTGGCTTTACCTCTGAGGTGGCGATCGGCTCTCTTCAGATATTCAAAGAACTTAATATATCAATCCCGAATGTTGGAGCTACAAATACAGATGACCTGCTAAGTTCCACATCAAATTTTCCTATGTATTCAAGAGTGCAGATGTCAAATTCTTATATTTGTTCAAAGTACCCAATTTTAATTGCAGGTATGGGCTGAAAATCAGCTGGAGTTCTATATCAAAATGATGCATGAGGCAATGCTGCTTTGTCTAGTATTATGCAATATTCAGAATACAAAGGACTAAAGCTGGTGAATCCAGATAACAGCAGCTTTATTCCTCCAAATTTAGATAGAGCTGGCTTAAGAAATTACACACATTTGTTACAGAAAATTATTGATTCTCAAGCCAGACTTTTAATTTTAATTGTTCAGACTCCATTGGGAAACTATGTTCTTGAGCTATTATATGATTTAGGTGTAAGAAAAGGGGATTTAGTTATTTGTGCAGGGTATTCTGATCTTCTATCGCAAATTTCGACTAATGACACCTACTTATACAAGCGATTGGAAGTTGGGATTCCAATGTTTTCAATTATAAGTAATGCTTGAGCAGGTAAATTCGGCCAGGATATGTTCAATAGAATGATCTCTATTTATCATTCAGAACCCAGTCCTATACCCTGCTATTATGTAGACGCAGCTTATTTGATTTCAAATGCATTAGATTATATGATCAATAGAGGGGATGATTACACTGACCCGAGCAAATTAATGAAAGCAATAAGAAGCACGAGATTTGATGGCTGCTCTGGAAAAGTAAGTATAGAGAAAGATAGTAATGATAGAATTGTTGACTGATTGATTATTCAAGGTGCCAAGACTTCTGAAGACGGAAACGCTCAGGTATACACAATTGGCAATTTCCGACCTTTCAGCTCACAAGTTATTTCTATTATAAATCCAATTATTTATGGCAATGGGTCTACAAAGAAGCCAACTGACTTTAGAAATGAGGATTCTGGGTGCCCATTTCCCGCGAAAGAAATTAGAACTTTTGAGAAAGGAAGGGTTCTTTTATTTGGAATTTGCTTTTTTGTTGCTTTAGTAATGATTCTCATCACACTTTATATTTGAAAGAAATGGTGAAATACTTCGGTTAGTCCTCTCATCACAAGAGAAGAAATATCTATTGAAGACGCAATTGTGGGGTGTAGTATTGCAATTGAATTTTTTCAATATGCATCAATGGGTCCTGACTTTAAAGTTATCAGTCCCTTTTTATCAAAATTAAGTGATGTATTTTCTATGAAATTAGAAGATGCTTTAAAACTGAAAAATGGAGTCTTTTGATTAGTTGTAGATGGCGTTTACTCAGGAATTGGACTCTGAGTTCTTCTTTGTTTGATTGTGCTTTTGCAGCTTGACGAGAAATTTCCCTCAATATGACTGCTAAATTTTTTAAGATGGCTTTCTGACTATACGATGCCTATTTTAGGAAATCTGTGCTTTATTCCATTTATTTCTATCTGTCTTGATATTTTTCAATGCGACCAATCAATTGGAGACAATTTCACTGATAGTTTTCTGGCTAAAGATTGCTTTTATTTTTGTTGAAAAGAAGAGCATTTAATATATTCAGCCTTATCAGTTTTGGCATTGCTATTATATGAGCCATTAGCTATATATTGCCGCCCACTTTGGCAAGAACTGCAACTTAATTTGCATGTAAAAACTGTTCCTCTATTTTTTATGGCCAAAACAGTGATCCAAACCTTTGTGATTGTTCTAGACCAAAGTGTCAAAAGATCATCTAAAATTGTTCATGGGATAATATTTATTATAGTTATGTCTGCATATGCAGTATTTATTTTCAAATTCAAGCCCTACAATTATCCAAGATTTAGTTGATGACAAGGACTGAGCATAATTGGGGTTATATGGCTTGCTTTATTATCTTTGACTGGCCTAATAGCTAATATCAAGAACAGGGAAATTATACTTTTAATGACTCTAATTTTTGGTTGAGGTGTTATTATAGCGATTGGGTTGCTTGTTCAAAAGAAAAAGTATCCTAGCATGCTTTTTAGGCTAAAGGGGACTGACACTGGGAATTTATTCAAGTTTGCATTTAGTTTTGGCAAAGCTTCCCAGATTTCATTATCAAAAATTTCTCCAACTCATAAGCGCTTAGAAGCTATTAGATTCCCATAGGGCTATCATTGTTTTTATATTCGATAAATAATTAAATCTTTCCAACAATTTAAGCAATTGGTCTTAGTTTTATATCATTGAAGGATAATGCTATAAATTGCCTAATTTATCCATGATGGCTCTTATTGGAGAATTTTAAATTAATCTAATCTTTCACAATTATTTTAGAATTTTAGAACGTTTAATAGATAATTATTTTTTGATGGCTTGATAATCCTTATATACCGTTTTTCTGACTTGCTTCAGCAAATACACAGATTTGAAAGGGTTTCTTTGTGTCTCCCTTACCAACTGCTATGCAAAGTAAAGGCTCTTCAATGATGTTGGTAAAAATCTATATTGCGACCTTTAAGAAAAATTGAGTTTAAATTCTAGGTCATAATTTTGAATATTTTTGAAGAGGATAATAATATTTCTTTTTAAATGATTTTTAGATTTTGATGGCTCAATTTCTACTGATTGAAATGAGATAGCTTATTTTTATTAGGTGCCATTTATTTTTAATTAATTTTAAATTGGTAATGCTAATATATATCATATCAAGTGCAAATGAAAGATATTACAAATTGATTTAATTGCAAAAATACTGTTTAGATTTTAATAGAGATGAGCATTAAATATCTTAACTCCCCTCCATGTGTGAATAAAAATATTCATATATAAGTGATTATTAGTATAATAAATCTCTAGCTAATTCTGTTTAATTTTAAAACAGATTGCATTTAAAACATAAATTTTACAAATTAAATTAAACTTTTATTACAAATTGGAATATTTTTAAATTTTGAAAAACAAATTTACTATAACATTTATCTGTAAACTAAAAAAAAAATTAATCCACTCCATGAGCGAGCAAAATATTTTTATCGCTAGGGGGAAGTACGTATTATAAAACTAATCAAGAAATTTTTACCTCAAAAACATTTTGAAGCTTAAATTTAATAAACCTTTTAAAATTTTAATAATGATTTATTAATAAATCTTTTCATTGTCTTTTAAGCATCGTCTTTTAAATGCGAATTAGTTTTCTTTTGCTCAATTGAAATTTATAATGTTCTATCTTTGAGTGTGCTCTCAAGCTTATAATTATATGACCTACAATAACTTTTAGCGTAGCCTTACTATTCACCATACCGCGCGTCAACATAGGCTGCCCAACTCCAAAAATTCAAAGAGGGTAATTTTTTGATTGAATTTAGACAAAAATGGAAACTCGAAGCCCAGGTCTCAATCCCTGTATCGTTCTAGAGAAAGCATTTCCATTGGCCAAGAGACTAACTTTTGACACTACTTGGACATTCATTTCTAATCTCGACTCCGCTTTCGATGAGGAAAGCTTGCCACTGGATTTCCCTTTGGCTGATTAGCTCAGTAATGTTTATCCATCTTTTTCAAATGTCAATGCACATATCAGATTCCATCCTTCCTTCCCAAAGTCTCTAGTGTCCTTGTGTATCAGCTGCAGCAGTTAAGTTGGCGTATTGATTCACAACGCAATTTAATGTATTTCTTATAATTTTTGCAATAAATAATCTTTTATGATATAGTGCTTTGCAAATATTTGAATACTAGTAAAATATCTTACTGTTCTAAAGCAGGCAACTGGTTGTGACTAGTAGACAAGCTCACTGGCGTTCAAATATTCACAATGTTAATATCTTAAAATTATAATTCCATTTTGCCCAAGTGGCAATGATTATATATTCTAGCAATTATCTTCATGTTAAATTGAAAATATAAAATCTCCTTTTTTTGGAGAATAATATCTGTAGCTTGTAAAAAAATTGTTATTATAATAAATTTTTTTCTTAATTCTAATACTTAATTAAATGGTGTACAATAGGTTTATAATGTCCTGTTGGTTTACTCAGGCCTATGGCAAGAGGGACCAATCAACTAGGTATCTGGAGTAAGTTTTTGGTGTGTTGGAGCAGAGGACAATTTTCATCGCAACCTTGCCATATTACAAGATGATAATGCTTATGCTACACTCCTACATGAGAAGAGCTGTGTTAGGACTTTAATTAGGATCACGGGGAAAGAAGGAGAATCAACCCATCACTTGTAGCCACACCCTAGCTACAGAGGAACCTGGATGCAACGGGCTAAGCCCAAAATTCGACTGAATGAATCCTTAAGACTGCCCTACATAACCATTTTTTGGTGGACATGGTTGGAAAATGGCGCTAGGTGGAGTTAGCGATTAACTCCCACAAATTTTAAGCTGGCTCTCAACGGGGGTAGACTGAAATAACTGCCACGACGCCTTACTCTAACTTAATCTAATCTTAATTCTATTAAGCTTTGAGGTTTATTCTAAAATCATCTATAATTGGATCAAATATTTATCATTGAGATTTTTGGAATTGAAATTACATTAATAATAAAGATTTCATAAAAATTATTTCGCTTAAGAATAAACAAAAAAATTGTTCATTTGCAAAGACAGCAAGAAGAAATGTATACATCTCTTTATTCATTTATTACTAATTGATGAATTCTATAATTTTAAATAAAATTTAAGATAGAAGATATCCCCAATCATCATTTTTGTATGGAAATTTTATTTATTATAAGTATATAATTGAATGAAAAGAATCCTAGTAAACTTATTTATTAGATGAAGTTTATTTATAAATGCAATTAAATCTTGCATATGAATTTATTTATTCTGCTAAAATTTTCAACTTCTCGCTATAGGAGCCAATAGGCATATTTGTTATTCCTTTATTAAATGAATAATAATCTCGGAAAGGCCAAAAACTTATTATCGAGTTTCCTATTGCTTCCCAAACATACTCGTTTCCAATTTCACTTTCATATACTGAACCATTCGGGCTCTCAATTAAATATAGCCTATCTTCTGCATTAATAAGGATATTTAGTTTATCAAGTTGAAAGTTATAAGGAGTTGTGGAGAAGGAGTCAGTATCAATTGAATATATCAATATATTTCTTTTTCCTCAGCCTGAAATCAAAACGTTCCCATTAAATATTACACTACGGCAAGAAAGGTCAACTCTTGGCATAGGAGTTAATTTAATTCACCTATTTCCAACTAAGTCAAATTTACTAGATAGAGTTGAAAAGCTATTATAGCTTCTTCCTCCAAAACAATAAACGTTTTTGTTGAAATAAATATAGGATTTTAGCTAAATACTCTATAAGCAAGCTTAAAATATAATAAATACTTGACCGTCCAATTCATTTAAATAGATGTTAGCCGATGGGCATCCATAAGCGGGTCCAGATGGCTTAATCCACCTCTGTGAGCAAACAAAACAATTTATCCGCTAAAGGAATGGCATTAATTTTTTTTTGAGATTTATATATAAATCTCATAGTATTTTTTTTTTTTCGGATTTAAAAACATCCCCATAGCAAAATTGTAAGGTGAAAATTAATTAATTTATAAATTTATGCTCTTAAATGCAATCTCTTTAAATTAAATAGAATTAGCTAGAGATTTCAAATACTAATTATCACTTCCCAGGGTGGATTTTGGCCAAAAGATAGGTATTTTCAATGGTTTTAATTCACTCACCGAGTGGAAGTTAGTAGATTTGTTTTAAATGCCTTGGCTATGCTTAATCTTTGAATACAATTAGAAACCTATTTTCAAGGCCTAACTTATTAAAACAAGTAATAAATAAAATTTTTGTTTTATTTACAGCTCCAGATGGCAATCTACGGAATTTTAGGTTTCTATCTAATATGAATGCAATTCCAGAAGGTTGCCATTTGCCAAAACAGAATAGCTCGCCATTTGGAAGTTGAGCAATGCATGTACCATGGTCTAACATTTCTGGAGTTTCCAGCTCGCAGGTCTCTTCTCTGTCATTTTCAGTGCCATAAATAGTCAAAATAGTTCTCTCATTATTTTTGTCGATGAGATAAAGAGAAGTGATTTTGCGATAGGCATCAACATATTCTTGATAAGCTTGGAAAAGTGACTGATCAGAAGAAGAACTCTGAGTCTCATATAGCGAGCAAATTCTTCTGAAATCTTGCTCTGTTTCTGGATCATTCTTGGCTTTACTTAAAATTTCAGATGTTTTAGCTTTTAGGTCTTGAATAGTTAATAGTTTATTTGAATAGTTTTGACTTATTTGATTTTGGGTTCGTTTTACAACATCATTAAGACCTTCTATGGCCGAGTTGAGTTGAATACTAAGTAAATTGGCTTGGCTTTTGTTTTCCATTTATAATAATGCTTAAAATCGTGATAAAATCATTTTTTATATTGAATAATCTTCTATTTATATGTACCTCTATAGTTTCTTATTTATATATTTATCTTTGCTTATATTGCGGCGTTTTGAATATTAAGAGTGGCAGGCAGCGAGTGGCTATTTCCATATGTGATAAATCGGTCCGCCCTCTTAGCTAGTGTTGTTTACATCCCACGGATGATGCGGGTGCCTTGCGGGAGGATGCGTTCAAGAATGTGCATTCAGCAAGATTTTTCTTAAATCAAATAGAGCAGTAATGCTGAGCTGATCAGCCTTCAGCTCAGTATATGCTCTTTATATATAATTATAGCTGATTACTCGAAATTTCTATCAACCATTTTCTTACAGATGGAAAACCCATCCTATCATAAACTCCATTTTCTGTTTGGTATAGATTTAAGCTATGGCAAGTTTATAGGCTCTAAGCATTCCTAGAAGGAGACCCTGCGTTTATTCCTCTATTAAGTAGCCAAATAATTAAAATCGCTAAACCTGAAAATTTCTTATTAATTAATTTTCATTCTAATCTTAATTAGCGTTGCTTTAAAAGATTAGATGAGCTATATTAAATGTTCAGGCATAAAGCAAGATGATTGCGCTCTATAAAAGTCAGCTCATTATAAAAAAACCCTACCAATTGCTTTATTCTCTTAACTAATTATAGTCTATAAAATTATTATTTTCCAGTTATTTTAAAATAGTTTAGTCAATAATTCTTCACTTAAACTAAACTTGTAATATTTGATGATATTGATCTTGCATCATCCAATATAGTCAGAAATTCTTTGTAGCATAAGCTTAAACTATCTTGAAGTGGATAATGAGAATTTTTAATATCTAGATTGCTGTTCTAAAATACAGTAAGTTTTTATGAAGTAAGCATAATGATCAAAGAGCTTATGTACAAATATATGGCGGAGAAGGCCGCTTGACTTACCCACCTGAATGTTCCCTGTAGGCCTTGAGAAAATTACGCTAAGTGGCGGCTAAAGAAAAAGATTAGTATCCTTGGTTTATATAGGGTGTGGGCTTTCCTTGAGCCTCAGAGAGTTCATCCCTGGGACATGAGTTTTAACCTCCGACGATTCTTGAAAGGGCATTGTCAGCAAAATATAAAGATGAATAGAGCGGCAAGACCTAGCATGATGGGAGCTGTGTCATGGGAACCAGTCGGAGCCAGAAAGTCCAATTAGGTTGTGCAAGACTCTCCCATGGCGCGGAAGGCTGTAATGGTGAGCGATCCAAATTTAATTTATGATCAGGGAGCTATGTAGAAGTTTGATTATCTAGTCTTCAAAATTTTTTATAAAAATTAAAATTCTCATCTTCAATTATTTTTATTTTAAAAAATATAAATATTGAGACAATAATTTAATTTCATGAAAAATTAAATAAAAATAATTGATTTATGTGAAAATGTTTAAATAAGATTTTACAATCTATTTATTGCGAATATGCTCTATTTATAAAACTTATAAAAATCTTTCATAAATTATTTTGCTACTTATTTTCTTTGCTTGATTTGGTAGTCGAAAACTCGAAAAGCGAGTTTTCTGGCCAATTTATTGACCCAGATGAAACTTGTAGTCCAAGATGCAGCTACCTGTGTCGCGCTGGGAAAATAGCCATTTAAAAACAAGAAAAAGAAAATAAAAAGTTTATCATTATAAATTTAGCAAGCCAAATTAATTTTTCATGTTTCATCTAATGAGGGGGAGTTAAGTTCGATCTATAACCGTGCTCGCGTGATATTTAACTAAATAGCCAAGAGCCACTAGATAATATGAAATGCGTTGTCAAAATCCTAAATGGTCAGCTTTTCCGTTTTGACGAAATGAACCATTAAATATCTACTTCAGCAGGGTGGTTTAGGAGTGCTTGAGTCCACCCTTTAACTCCTGACTAGTGGTATTGTGCTTAGGCAATCTAAAATTTAGACCATACAACACCCCGTTTTTGATTTAAACGAGGCTACCTAAAAATTAAAAAAAAAACTAGCACTTATTCTTGATCCAGCGATTTTCATATAGTAATCATGATCAACTTGCCTATCTTTAATAGTAATTAATATTAGAGATATCTTATATCTTATAATTGTTTATTCATAACTCTGATGCGGTTAATAATATTTACTTATGCAATCTCTTATGTCTTAGTGCACAATATTTTATATTTAATGATAAAATTTTCAAATGAATTAATAGGTTTTTCTGATAAATAAAAATCCCGATATTCATTTTTGTAATATTGGATTTATCTCATTAAAAGAGTGCTGAAAATGAAAAAGCAATTCTTATTCTTTAAAAGACAATTTGTGAGAGGAAACAAATTAATTTTTTGCCATACAGAGCCTGATGAATTTATAAGAAAACTATGCAATGAAACAGATCAGCAGCTTCAAATAAAATTGCAGTTACCAATAGGAGAATAATTTTCTTTAAAAATGGAGCAACTTGGAGACATAGCTGCTTTGTATAATTCGGAAAAAGAAAAAAATCTATTACTCGAAAGAAAGCTAACCGCATGCAAAAAAATAATGCAGAAGCATGTGAGCCAAATAGAGTCCCTCAAAATAAGTTTAGAGCATTTAGCACAAATAATTAAAACAAAAGATAAGGAAATTAAATGGCTCTATGAAGAGCTGGGAAGATTGGGCATCTCTGAGACAATCTCTAGTTGTTTAAAAATTGATAAACCAAGCGGAATTATTGAAAAGGAATTTTCTAAGCCAGATGAGGATAAGATTAAGTTGGTGCCAAAAGTTAAAGATTCCAGTTCTGATATTAGAATCAAAGAAATAGAGCAAAATTTTATAAGAAATTTTCAATTCATTGAGAGCAAGATTTCTGCTTCTGATCCATCACTAAAGCAAGATTGCTTTCAAAATACTTCTCTTTATCTTATTGGTGAGGTTAATAAGAAAACGAGCTTAATTGTGTATAACACTGAAGAGGAAAAAGAAAACGTAAAGCTGCTAGATACTTCATTACAATTGAGCGATTATACATGTATAGCGCAACTTCCAGATAATGAATTATTCTGTTTTGGAAATTTTCCAGCTTCTGGAATTACTTCGATAATTGATAGAAAATTGAGAGTCCGAATTTTGCCATCTGAGAATTTATTATTAAATTATCTTGCTTTTAAGATGGATAAATAAATTTAAAAAAATTATTAAACCATCTGGAACTGCTTGCTCTTGGTCGTCAGCTATCTCTTATTATTTGTATTAAATAATAATTTGATAGATTCTAAATAATAAATTATTCAGCCTTAAGTAAATATATATTTTAACAGAAATGTCTACTGCTTTGGAGGATCAGATAATACAAGTAGAAATTTAAGCCTATCAGAAAGGTTTAATTTAGATGAAAATCGATGAATTAAATTATGCCCAATGCCATGAGCTGATGCATGTTGTCATAGTTTAATATTTAATGAAAATGTTTTGATTGCTGGAAAATTTTCATGGAGTATTTGGCTATATTCAATTGCTACTGACTCTTTCTCGAAAATTCCTTACGATTTTGAATATTTTGCAGCTAAGATCTTGATAAATGCAGGGAGCTTGTATTTGATCGAGAGTGGCAAGCGCAAAGTCTATGAGAGTGAATTTGGAAATGAGTATGTGTGGAAGCCAGTAGGAATTTCAATAATACCTTATCATCCAACTCAAATGTGTTGCTTATATAATAAAGGAGAAATTTATATAGGCTGCGGTTCAAAACCCAATTATTTCAAATTTAACTTGAGTAAAAAAGTGATGATTAAGCTCTAACTCCAATCCCCAATTAGCTTTGAATTAAAAATCTAGGAATAAAAAATATATAGAAAAATATAGGTCTTAATAAAACAAGATTTTGACTCAAAATTAATAATGACCACCAAACGTTTCCCATTTTAAAGACTCCCGAAATTTCTATTCCTACTTCCCTTTTCTCGAATCATACTGCTAGAAAACTCAACTGCTTGTGCATTGTTGGCAGAAAAACAAAAACAACTTGAGCAGGTTCATCCCTCCTCCATATCGGACACTCACCTGGCAAAGCGCTTCTGGAAATAAAAGAATACACAATTGCCCTAGTAGCCAAGCCACAATTTAGCGGACTTGTGAGTTAGACCTCTCACTTTGAGATTCCTGAATATTGCTGAGCCGATATCTATCTCTTGTTATTATTTACAATTTTTATTTTTCATTTCAAGCTAATTTCATTCAATAATATAAGAAAACATAAACTCACTATAAAAATTTATATATTTGAATATTAATGTAATTAAAAATATTATGATAAAGATAATAAATTGTACTTCCATTGAAAGTCTATTTGATATTCTTGCGTTATTTAATTGCAATATTGAAGCTTATATGAGCTTAATATTATTTTATGATCATAAATAGCACCTAAGTCTTAAAATCTAAATACCAAATGAGAGCTCTCCTTCTCTTTTATGCTAATGGGCACAATAAAAAATAAAGTATTTAAAGTTTAGAAAGCCATGAGAAAAGGTTACTAATAATAAAAATTTATATTTCTAAAAGAGAAATATCTAACTCCCCGCGTGAGTAAACAAAACAATTGGAGAAATACCTATATTTTTTTAGGTAAAAACCCATCCTCTGTGAGTGAAGAAAAAAATTGTTCAATATATGGATGTTTTATCAAATAATGTTTTGATATATAATGAAATCTCAAGTAATTCTGTTTAATTTTAAGCAGCTCGCATTTAAAATATAAATTTTACAAATTAAATTAATATTTTCTTTAAAATTAAAATAAATTAATATTTTCTTTAAAATTAAAATAAATTTATAATAAAATTTATATAAAATTTTTAACAAAATTTCCTTTCACTCACGGAGGGAGTAATTATATTAGCCAAAGCAAGCAACACTACAATATATTTTATTGGCATTTCAAATTTATAAATGGACGTCAAAACTCTTTATCAAGCTAAATTACTTAATTTTCAACTCGATTCTTTCTCAAAAGATTTCGGCAATGCAGCAAGTCAAACTCACAATGAGCCCAATCTAGATTATCCAAACCAATTATTAATTTTCACGACATAAAAGCCAAAACATCTTCAATTCTAAGCAAAGTCAGCAATGACCCAGAAACAGAGAGAGATTTCAGGAGAACTTGCTCAATGTATGAAAACCAGAGTTCAGTTTCTGATCTATCACTAAGCCAAGCTTATTATGAATATGTCAATATTTATCATCACATTACATCTCTTTATCTTATTGACCAAGATCCAGGGTGCACTATTTTGACTATTTATGATACTGAAAATGAAAGAGAGGATACGAAAGCATTGAAATTTTCAGAAAAATTAGATGATGGAACATGTATTGCTCAGCTTCCAAATGCAAAGCTGTTTTGTTTTGGTGGTGGCCATCCAATTACTGCTTTATTTTTGGTCATGATGCTCCTCCTTGACTCAGCTCCTGCGCGTGCTCTGCCTAAGGGTCACCTTCCTGGGGTTTGCTGAGAGTTAAACTTCGAGCCTCTTGATTTACTTGGAGCAGTGCCTCGACTTATCTGTCAGAGCTAAACTGCTGTTGCAATACAGAAGTTATCAGAAAAAAAAATCCCATGAGGGAGAGAAAATTAGCAGAGCTAATTTCTCTTGAGTGCCATTTTATTTATCAATAGGCTATCCAATCACTGGAAATTCCTACATAATTGATAGAAATTATAAAGTTCATTCACTAGCATCTGGATTTAGAAGTAATTATAAATTTTAAATTTTACTTTCTAAATTAATCTTCATGCTTGGAAATCATTTTCTATGAGATGCATTTCTAGAGCAAAAGGATTAATCATTCAAACTTTTCAAAAATAATAAAAGGCATCTGGGCCGCCTTGTGCATATTCCTCAGCTAAACTCTCTTGGATTAAACGCAATAATTAAAAATTTCAAGCAAAATTGTTCCCTATTCAGCTAAAGTCTCATATATACTTCAATAGGAGCGTCTATTGTTTTGGAGGAAGAAACTTATTTTATTATTTATCTATATCTAGTAGATTTGATTTGGATAGAAATCAATGATTTAATTTAACCCCAATGCCACTTGATGAGCTTTGCTGCCATAGTGTAATATTTAATGGAAACATATTGATATCAGGATCACTAAATTCATATATTTGGTTGTATTCTATTGATACTGACTCTTTCTCAGTAATTCCTTATGAGTTTGACTATTATAAAATAAAGATATTAATTAATGCAGGAAGGCTATATTTGATTGAAGACTCTTTAGGAAAGATCTATGAAAGTGAAGACGAGTATGCTTGAAATCAAATAGCAAACTCAGTAATTGGCAAGGATTCGGACTGAATTTATTGCACATATAATAAAGGGTGAATATATATTCTTTTACCCTATTATATAATGTCTGCACATTTTTAGCGCGCTTTGTAGTAAGCTACTTCTCTGAATTGGAGCTCTGGCAAGCTACTTAATGATGACAGTACAAAATCTACTGAAAGTTGGCATATAATGGTTGAGTTGTATTGCCATCTTTGGTGGTTTGTCAGAAATTCAAATTAGGAAAGGGAAGTTTGCATTAAAGCGATTTAAAAGCGTTCAGAGGCTATAGCGGACGGTGAAAATATATTTAAATCAGCTGAGCCATGTAAGCACATTGTCAATTTCTATTTTACAGGAACTTAAACTAAATATTGTTCAAATTTATATGGTTAATTTCCCAAAAAATGAAATTTTACCGATATGTGCTCTTATTTTAAATTAAGAAATTAAGATCTCTTATATGGCTATTTGCTAATAATTTAACGTGCTTTCATTGCCCATTTCAAGATAAATTCATTCTATGCTATTAAAAGATATTAATTATAGTGCTTGCTATATAAAAAATAATATCAGCTATTCCAAATTTAATTTGAATGAAAAATTCATGATTAACTTACTTTAAAATAAGTTTTTTAATATCTTACATTATTTACTTGTAACATGGAAAACTGTAGCGGTTAAAGCAATTAATATGCCAGGCTAGTGCTAAGCAGCCGCTTTTGCAGCAGAATCAGCATTCCTGATCATCCTGCTATTATATAAAGGATATAGCGCTTTCCCTTGAATAGCCTGATAAACGGGCCGGCTTCATCCCGTTATCGGGCTATTCAAGGGAAAGAGCTATACCTTGGAAGAATCTATTTTCGAATTTCTACTAATGATTATATCCTTTCTTATTTACTGTTAACAGTAATATGACAGCAGAACTGTTATTATTTATTATAAAATTGATATATTTACATAATTCTTTAATCCTATTTTGTTATTTTGAGAATCATAAAAATACTTATATTCATAGAGCATCTCAATTTTAATATTTATACCCACCTCCTTCAAATATATTAGCTTTTTTTGTTGATTATAAAATTTAATTTTTACTATAAAATTTAGATGCGGAAATAAATTAGCATAGATACGTCTAAATAATGAGTCAAATTTATTTTAGGCTATAAAATAAATAATTGATGTAATGTTTATCCTGAAATCAAAAATCCTGTTTTAATTTAAAAGTGGGGTTAAATTTTCTCCATATAAACTTTTTCTCATATAGTGAGGAGTATTGGCTCGCCATATATTATAATCCAAGCATATTTATGGATTGATATTTGATATTGGTGATTTTCCAAGAATTTACCAGTCTCTCTTGCTGCATTAACTGTCGACTTGCATTCTTTCATTAATACGACTTTATGACTCCTTTCAAGGCTTATTTCCTATCATGTATCGAAATTACCATTTTGATATATCAAAAATTTTCATTCTAGTGGCTCCTCTTGAAACTAGGCTTTTTCTTCATATAGGAATAATGATATTTAGAAATTGCATATCAAGTCCTTATTTCAAGCTACAAAAACAATTTATACTCTATTTTGACAGCAATTGAAGTGATACATGTTTAGGCCTTTGTGATAGAAGATTTAACTTGACTGAAAGAAAGCTCAAATTTGAACAGCTTCAATTGTGATTGAAATCTTGACCGTTGTGGCTTTGTTCCTGAGACTATCATTATGAATTCTCAGAAGAATGATTAGTCAGCTTAAGATTCTTTTTGAAGTATCATACTGAGTTTTATTTTAAAAATTTATTTTATTCAAAGTTTTGGGACTTTGAAAAATATATATTATCTTTTGGAAATTCCTAAAACACATTTAATTAATATTCTAAATATTTTCATTAACAATTACGTTTCTCGATTATATTTTCTTCTTGGGCAATTTTGTTGGGTATGCCCATAATCTCCACAAAAATAGCAAAGTTGGCATCTCTCCGTTCTATGCCCACTATCTCCACATCTTCTACAGCAGTTTGGGAACTGTTTTTGCAATTCTTCTTTTTCTCTCTTAGAAATAAATCTAGCCATAGACATATAAATCAACTTTAATTCATTGTTATCTGGAAGTCCAGCTAAATAGATTTGAACTTTTTCTCTTTCCATTAAGGTCGAGTTGTGTATGAAGTAATTCAGTTCATATTTCGCCTCCAAAATTCGCTCAAAAGTATCAGTGTCAATTCCATAATTTTCGAGCAAATAGTTTCTCTTGCAAGTATTAACTTCATTCATATCTATTCCCTTATAATTTGCTGTTTTATCAACTTCTGATAATCCGTAGCATCTTTCGTCAATAAACCCACTTAACTCTTTAATTAAGTCATCTCTCAAATCAGTGATAATCTCCCTCATTCACGATTTAAATTCAATCTCTTCTAGTTTGGACATTTTTTCCTGATTTTGTTCATCTTGAAGTCTAAAATTTTTGATCATTGTTCTTTGTGACTTGCTTTCTTCTAATAAATCTGTCTTGCTTTCATTTAGTCTTTTTACTTCCTTTTTAAGCTTTGCAATTACTTCACTAAGTTTTTTAATTTCCTTATCTGATTTTTCGCGATTAGCTCGATTTTCTTCTTGAAGGATTTTTATTTCCTTATCTGATTTTGCACTAGCAGCCTGAAGAGCTTCACATTCAGCTCTAAGATCTCTGCATTCAGCTCTAAGATCTCTGCATTCAGCTCTAAGATCTCTGCATTCACCTTCAAGTTCTTCAATTCGCTCTTCAAACTTTTCTTTTGACTTCCTTTCTTCATTGATGCTATTAAGCTCTGCAATCTGTTTTTCATAAATTTTTATCTGCTGATTCTGTTCTTCATTAGCCTTTACAATCATTTGTTTTTCCTTTATAAGATCTAAAATTCTTGTTTTGATATCAGCCATTTTCGAATTATTGTTATGTATTTCAACTTCCAAACGCTGAATTTTCTTTTCATGATGAAGAGTTCGATCCTTTTCTGAAGTTAATGCTTCAGTTAGTTTTTTATGGTTGAACTTATACTCTTCTAAGAGAGTCTGATTATCTAGCTTTCCATCTAAAACTTCATTTTCGAGCAATTTGATTTTTTGCTCCAACTGCTGATTTTCTGATTCAAGTCTTTCTTTTTCCCCTTTGCATCTGTTGAAGGTATGAATTTAAGTTTTTCTGATCTTTAAAAGCTTTCTTTATTTCATTTTCAAACTCTTTAATCAGCTCTTGCTGCAATTCTGAAAGGCGAATTTGTGGAGCATTTACCAAATCTTCCTGTGATGTATTTTGCTTGATGAGCTTTTCTTTTTCAATTAAGATTAATCCTTTAAGATAATCTATTTTTTGTCTACCGATCAGAGTTTCTTCTTTGGATTCTTGATAATCCCTAATGTTTTGATCTTGGAGCATATTGTTTATAAAGTTAATTATTATTTAAGAGGCCTTAAAAATTTGGATTTTATATCCCCCTTTATGTCAATTAAATAATGAAGAAAGTTATTGAATTAACAATAATTAAAAAAGTGAACAGCTCCCCTGCGAGGTGTGTAAAATCGCAGCCATATTTTTGCTAAACAGATAAATTTGTAATATTCATTCAGATCTCTGCACCCAATATACCCTTGTCTTTCTTTTTTAGCAAGTGATGCCATCTTTGAAATAAACATTTATGCCTCGCTAGTGAACAAAACTATTGGAAAAATCCTTATTTTTGACCAAAAAATCACCCACCGCGATCGAACAAAAAAATTTTTTAACTATTCTAAATTATTAAATAACTGAGTCTAGCAATAAAAATTTAATTAAAAGTCTCGCAATATTAGATAAATGATTTTATAAATTGTCTCCTTATTATATAAGCAATATACTTGCCATGGGCAAATTTCACTGATTACTGATGCAGCTACTATTTTTCACGCCGTATCATCTTCAATTTCGCTTTTATAAATAAATCCCCCGCATTCAATCAAATACAGCCTGACTGCATTTACCATTATTTTCCTTTTCCTTTCAGCAAATTCAAAAGGAATTGTTGTAAAATCATTTCCTAAAATAGAATACCTCAAAAGTTTCCGATTTTCACTCCCAGATATTAAAATATTTTTCTTACTCCCCATTGTATTTTTATGAACATTGGAGCAGCTTCAATTTTAATCGATATCTTGACCGTGATGACTTTGTTCTATCATTATGAATTCTCAAAAGAATAAATAGTGGGCTAACCTTCTTTTTGAAATATTGCTTAAAGCAGGCCATATTGAGCTTTATTTTAAAAAATATATTTTAAAGTTTTGGGCATTTGAAAAATATATAAAATAAGAAGTTTATATTTGCCTAAGCCGTTACAATTATCTTTAGGAAATTTCCTAAAGCATATTTAAATAATATTCTAAATCTTGTCATTAATAGTTAGCTTTCTCGATTTATAAGGTCTTCTTCTTGGGCAATTATTTTTGGTATGCCCATAATCATCACAAAAATAGCAAATTGGGCATCTCTCCGTTATATGCTTACTATCTCCACATTTTCTACAGCAATTTGGGGATTCCTTTTGCCTTTTTTCTTTTTCTCTTATAGCAATAAATCCAGTCATAGACATATAAATCAACTTATATTTGTTATCTTCGGGAAGTTCATCTAAATACCTCCTAAGCCTATCTCCTTCCATTAAGGTCGAGTTATGCTTGTATTTAAACAGAGAATATCTTTTGTCCATAATTCGCTGAAAAGCATCAATGTCAATTCCATATCTCTCAAAAAAATAGTTTCTCTTGCAAGCATTAACTTCTTCCTTGTCTATTCCCTTAGAGCGTGCTGTTTTATTAATATCTAAGAATCCGTAACATCTTTCGCCAATAAACCCACTTAGCTCCTTAATTAGGTCATTTTTTAAATCACCGATAATCTCCCTAAGAGTGATTTAAATTCAATCTCTTCTTGTCTACATTTATTGATCTTTATTCTTTCTGGGTCGTTTTGGTCTAATAAATCCGTCTCGATTTCTTTTATTTCCTTTTGGAGCTTTGCAATTTCCAAATCAATTTTGCAGTTCAAAGTTTTAGTTGAAGATTTTTAATTTCCTCATCTGATTTTTCACTAGCAGCTCGAAGATTTTTACATTCAGCTCGAAGATCTTCACATTCAGCTCGAAGATCTTTACATTCAGCTCGAAGATCTTTACGTTCAGCTTGAAGTTCTTCAATTTGCTCTTCTAATTTTTCTATTGGCTTCCTTTCTTCATTGATGCTATTAAGTTCTGCAGTCTGTTTTTCATAAATTTCTTTCTGTTGCTTCTGCTCTTCATTAACCTTTACAATCATTTCTTTTTCCTTTATAAGATTTAAAATCATTTTTTGATTTCAATCATTTTCGAATTCTTTTCTTTCACTTCATTTTCCAGATGCTGAATCTTTTTTACATGATGAACAACTCTATTTTTTTCTGACATTAATGCATCTGTCAGTTTTTTGTGATTTGACTTATATTCTTCTAAGAGAGTCTGATTGTCTAACTCTGAAAGGCTAGGGAATTTGATTTCCACGGTTGTGATGAATTTTAAGCCATTAGTAGCCTGCAAAATTGATCCTTTGTCCCGAAATTATTGTAATATCCTATATTTGTTCAAAATATATATAAAAATCACATCTTATCTTGCACTTATTGGAATTTAGATATGGGAAAAATTATGGGTGCTTAGGACTTTCCTAGATTTTTAAAATAGAATGAAGTATTATTTTAGAAGCCTTAAAAAATTTGAAGGTATATCTTCCTTTATGCTAATTAAATAATGAAGAAAGTTATTGAATTAACAATAATTAAAAAGTCAAACAGCTTTCTTGAGAGGTGTGTAAAATCGCAGCCATATTTTTGCTAAGCAAACTAAATTTGTAATATTCATTCAGATCTCTACACCCAATATAAATTGTCTCCTTATTATATAAGCAATATACTTGCCATGGGCAAATTTCACTGATTACTGAGGGAGCTATTATTTTCCACACCGTATCATCTTCAATTTCGCTTTCATAAATAAATCCCCCGCATTCAATCAAATACAGCCTGACTGCATTTACCATTATTTTCCTTTTCCTTTCAGCAAATTCAAAAGGAATTGTTGTAAAATCATTTCCTAAAATAGAATACCTCAAAAGTTTCCGATTTTCACTCCCAGATATTAAAATATTTTTCTTAAAAATCAAGGAATGCAAACAGCAATCCGGATTTGGCAATGGGCTTAATTTAATTCATTTATTTTCGTTCATATCAAATCTTTCTGATAAGGCTAAAGGTGATTTCTCGTCATTTCACCCACCAAAGCAATAAATATTTCTATTAAAATAAACAGCTGATGAATAACAGCAGGGTGTTCCTGACGGCATCATGCAAATCTTAAGTTTTTTGTCAATTGTCAACGAAATCCCAGAAGCTGGACAACGTTTTCCAAAACAGAAAAATTTGCCATCAGGAAGCTGCGCTATACACGTACCAGAGTCTAATTGATCAGAAATATTCAAGGTTTTTATGTCTTCCATTTCATTTTCTGTGTCAAAAACAATCAAATTTGTATTTTTATTTATACCTTTATCAATAAGATAAAGCGATTTTTTTTTAATTTCTGTATCAAAATTGTCTTGATAATAAAACCTTAAGTCAGGAACTGAGAGGATTTCACTCTCATATAGTGAGCAAACACTAATGGAATCTTGGTCTATTTCTGAGTTGAAAGCCTCATTCAAAGTTGCAGATTTAATTTCATTTATTTTTACATCTGGGCTTCAGTTTTTGAAATTTAATTGTTTTTTGTTTAAATTTGAAACTTTGAGGATATCCGTGATACTGTTGGAGAGCTGAGAATTTCTTGAGGCTACTTCTCATTTTCTTTTTGTCTCAACTTCTTGTTTCCATTCTTCAAAATCTTTTTTGCTCTTTTCATTCTCAGCTATTAGGGTAGAAATAGTGTCCTTAAGATTTTCAACAAAATCATTAGCCGAATTGATAATTTGATCATGCTTTTCAAGCGTTTTTTCTAAGCCAGATAGCTTATTTTCTAAATATTTTTCGAATTTGTTTTTGATAAAGCTTTCGATTATTTTTTCGATTTCTCCAGTCAAGCTACAAATTAAATTTATATTTGTATATGAGTCTGGTTTGCATGATAGCATTGGCTTAATTTTCTCAATAGCTTCATTAGGCTGTAAAGCCAATAACTTTAACAGGGGATCCTGCTCGAATTTTGATAGCTTTTTAGCTTCAGAAATCTTCTCAAAGCAGATTTTGATTTCTGCTGATTCAGAGTCCAGTCTTTTTAAGAAATTCTCAAAGCTATCTTCAGAGCTGTTGAGGTGTTGGCTAAAGGAAACTGTAATATTTTTCCTTGATTCTTGATTTTCAGACAGCTTGCTTTTAAGAAATTCTAGAATTGCTTCTTGTGTCCCTTCGCATGGCTTTAGAAAAACAGATTCGAAGGTATGATCCCTATTGGGCAATTCGCAATGTTTCATTCAGTGGAGTTTGCATAGATAAGTTTCAGGACTGGTGCATTGGCATCCATACTCGGCTTCAAGCTCACAGCCTGGCTCAGAGCATTGTTTTTGATTCATATTCAAAGAATTTTGCATATGATTTTAGTATAAATCTGACATATTAAGAATTAGCCGATAATGCAGATCAGCTATAGTAGAGAGTTTTCATAAAATCTCAATTTAGCTTAAATTTAAAAACAGTAAAATTTGAGTTTATTATAAGATTATGGTTTATATCCCACCCTGGGCAAATCAACTTCGTCAATCTCACGAAACTTAAAGCCAAATTCACCTTTATCAATTTTGACTCCTAATAACCTATAAATAAGTAAAGGAACTACATTGCCTAATGAAAATCCTCCAAAATACCCTGTTAGTCCTACAGCAAAAGCTAAAAATATTCCATCCAAAAATAATGAAAACAAAAAAACACAGCCTAAGATTATCCCAGCACAAGTCCCTGCGATTCCTAGAGAAATCGCAAGGTTTTTATAATTTGCTACTCCCCCTCTCCCTATTTTTTGGATAAAAAGCCCACTGCCCGAAGCGAACAAAAATATTTTTAATATAGAAATTTTTTATGAAAAAAAATTAAATATATAAGTGATAACTATTATATTGAAGTTTCAGCTTATTCCACTTTAAAACATAAATTTTACAAATCAAATTAATCTTTGCTTTCGATTTTTTGCAATTGCGATTTTTTTAAATTTTCGAATAAAAAATTATTATAAAATTTGTAGATAATATTTTTAAAAAAATAAAATACCTTGAGCAAACAGAATATGTTTGCTCGCTCAGGTAAAAATGGGGGGAGTTAATAAAATTGCGCAAACATATTAGAAAAAGCCCTATCCATTTCACATAAAAAATAGTAAAATAATCTTCTTATTCATCCATATATTCACAATCAAAAAGAATAATATTAAATTTTGGCAACCCCTTAATCTCCAACTTAAAATACCCCAAACTCAATCCAGCCACTATACAGATATAGCTAGTCTGCGTAAAATCACTTATCATAGGCTTCCCATCGTGCAGCTTCCCTCCGCATTTTTCACTATAATTTCTCCCCCACTCTTCATCTCAATACGGCTTTCTAAAACAATACAGCAAACTTGCTGTCAAAAACATAACCCCTGCTAACCCATGAGTAAAATAAACCACCTCTTTACTAATTTTCCTTAATTTTTCATATATATAAGGATAAGCCATAATAGAAATAAATAGCAAAGAATAAGAATACCCAAGCACGACTTGGGAATAAAAATGCGCCCCTAAATAATTTCTATTAAATCCTGTAATAAAAACAGCAAAAATAATTACACATACTTTTCATAGTTTTCTTTTAGAGGAATTAATCCAAATTGGCCCTATATAGAATAGAACACAACCAGCACTCAAGGCATGGCCTGATGGGGTTCCTCAGTCTGTAGCACAGTCTAAGCCAGCAATATGAGAATATTTTCAATAAGGTCTTGGCTGGGCATACATAAGTTTTAGTAAAGTCGATGAAGCAGCTCCTATTAAGCCAAAACTTAGAGTCAGAAAGCCTAGGTGACGATCAAAGCTAAGGAATAAAATAACTCCAGTGCCTACATAGACTAGCTGAGTAATAAATCCAAATGATTTGAATATAAATTCGCTGAATGAGGTGCGGTCGGTTTGAAGCCATTCTATGTAATCTGCGCTTGAGTCTTCAAGCTGCTCTTGGATGGCTATTTGTAAGCATGTGCAGATTAGCGCGAAAATGCTTGCTATTATAATATTGAGAGTGTTTGGATTAAGTTCCATAGGCTTAATCTTATTATCATTTATCTATCAAGATTATCTGAAAACAGCTCCACTCAAAATTGTCCTTAGATGCACTCAATAACATATTTTCCTCTATCTCCTAATATGACTAACTCACTTGGGATGAATAAACTGGCTTTTTAGATTAACTTTCCTCTGAGTTTGGGCTACCAAGTTGAGACTTTCAGGTGCCATGAGGTTCACAATCTCCACCACCTGTGGTAGATTGCACTTCTTAAGATTAATCTAGGGCTCAGAACTCCTACACAACATAGCAAGCCTTTACTACTCTGGACAGTTGGGATAAATTCACCAGATAAAGTCGATTCTCAAATAAAAATATGAAACCGTGAATTTTCGTCAAAGATAACAGAAAACTCGAGTGGCATCATTTTTGAATATTCTATAGGCTTGATCAATAATAATCATAAATAATAAAAACTATTATATATTGACAATAGGAAATTGTTTACCTTCTAATTCTAATCATTCATGAATTTCAGAATAAATAAAATAACACAAAACAGTTTATGATAAGGTGTATTATTGACTTAAATGCTGTTAAAAACCATTTCTTATAATCTTTTGGCATTAAATTATCATCTAATTCTAACTTTAAACCTTTGGATAAATTTAAATAAAGCCTTAAATAGATTATTTAGGTAAGTTTTCTTATTCAAACACTTATTTAGGGCTAAAAATTAAACCAGATCAAAGAAAAATTGATCTAGGTGTAAACTGATAAAAAATATGCCAAGCTGCTAATTATAATATTTGACGTGGTTTTTGGACTATATGGAGAGTAATCAAAATTTTATATGCTATCCTGCTGATAATATCTTTATCAACAATTTCCTAATAACTTTGTAGAAAGATGAAAATGTGAATAGTGAATGTTGAGACCATAGAGATTTGCAACCAATTGCATACTCAATAATCTTAACCATCTTAAAGAATTGGTACCTTTTGTATTTTAATTAAAATTCTATCACTTATAGTTGCATTTGAGGCGGCTTTGCATAGCGAGGACAATAATTGTTTATAAGCAATTATAAATCATAAACATTACTTATAATTATGAATCGACTCATATGGATTTAAACTCAATATATTAGTTTATCAAACTAATTCTCAATATTAGTGCTAACCATTTGCACTCTTTTTTGGTAAATTCATTTTTAGCTAATAATTGTAGAATGCCAAGTCTAAGCATTACATCAATTTATGGGGAATACGTCATTAACGTTCCAGAAACATTTGGTTCAGTCTACTCTATAGCAAATCAAGTTGAAGAGATATCTGGCATTCCAAATGAGCTTCAAGAATATTATCACTTAGGGGAAGAAGTGTACAATTATGATACAAGAACTATGGATTTGCAAAACCCTCTTCAGCTTGTTAGAACTTATGATTTAGATCCGCGTAATATTAGGTTTCGATGCTCCGAAGAAATCTGCCGTATTGTGATTAATGTATATGATAAGACAAAGGCTATATCTGTCCATAATGGCGAGCCCATTAGACTATTATGCCTTTACGTTAGGGATAATTTTAGAATTCCAATTAGAAAACAGAATTGGTTCTATGAGGATAGGTATATACGACCTGCAAAATCCGGTGAATATATTGATATCAAGCGGATTAATCTAATTAAAGTTGTTGAGGATGTACGTGGGGGAGGTCCGCCAACGTTAGAAATTGACTTTAATGACTTGGAAAAAATAATAGAAATTGGGTTTAGTGAAACTGCCCCTCCATGGAGGTATGTCAGTAAAGGCCTCTCTTTTATCGGCATATGCAAAAATGAGAATTGTGCAGCTTTTAATAAGAAGGTTATCTCATGCCATGGATTTGGAATATTTTCTTTGGCCTCAGTACCCTCGCGTTGCCCTGTGGAAGGTTGCAAAATGTATATTGAGCCTGATAATTGTGGCTTTTGGTTTGCAAAATGAAAATTTAGAGGCTTGACAGACAAGAGAGAAGTAAAAACAGGTGAAGGAACCGCCGGTTATGATAAATTTACAACTTTTGAAGAAGGAAATAGCACTAAATGGAGAGAATTAAAATTTGAAGTGATATCTCTATGATAATAACGATTTAAAATCCTTTCTTTAAGGAATTTTATTATTTAAAAATTTTAGCATGATGCTCGCCAGGCAGTATTAAGAGAACTTTATCCAAAAATAAATCACCAATAACCCAAAGTTTTTAAATTTATATAAACGAAATGAAGTAAGAGCTAATGCAGCAAGCATTTCCCCTTATTGTTTATAATGACTAAAAGGAAAAGAAAAGAGGAAAAAGTATTAGGGACAGCAAGAATATTAATAAAGGCACTACCCAGCTTCTAGCTGATAAGTTATTCTGTTTTGATGATAAAATAATGTAGGCTACTTAGAGCAACTTCAAATGGTTGCAATTTTTTTCACGTATTATATTTTGAGTATTGGGATTCATTAGATGTAGCTGCTGCTCTTAAGAATAATCTAAAGCTCATAATTTCTACACAGTTTAGCAAACTTTTGCTACTCTGCCACAGCTGGGATTAGTTCACCAGATAAAGATAATTTTGAAAAAAAATATGATACCGTGAATTTTGGTCCAAGATAACAGAAAACTCGAGTGCCATCATTTTAAATATTCCATTTGCTTGATCAATGATAATCATAAATATTTAAAACTATCATATTGGCAATAGGAAAATGGTTTATCTTCTGATTCTAATCATGCATGAATTTTAGAATAAATAAACTAACACAAAAAGTTTATAATAAGGTGCATTATTGACTTAAATGCCATTTCTTATGAGCTTTTGGCATTAAATTATCATCTAATTCTAATTTTAAGCCTTTGGATAAATTTGCTTATTATGAATAAAGCCTTAAATAGATTATTTAGGTAAGTTTTCTTATTCAAGCATTCATTTAGGGCTAAAAATTAAACCAAAGCAAAGAAAAATTGATCTAGGTGAAAACTAATAAAAAATATACCAAGCTGCTAATTATAATATTTAACGTGGTTTTTGACTCTATGGAGAGTCATAAAAATATTATATGCTAACCTGCTGATAATAGCTTTATCTACAATTTCCTAATAACTTTGCAGAAACAAGAAAATGTCGATAGTGAATATTGGGATTAAAGTTATGGAATCAAAAATGAGACCATAAAGATTTGCTACCAATTGCATACATTACAAGAATTGGTACATTTTATATTTTAATTAAAATTTTATCGTTTATAGTGATATTTGAGGCGGCTTTGCATAACGAAGACAACAATTATTTATAAGCAATCACAAATCATAAGGATTAATTATAATAATGAATAGACTGACATGGATTTCAAATCATAATCATAATTTCTAAACTAATTTTTAATATTAGTGCGAATCGTTTGACCTCTTTTTTGGAAATGCATTTTTCGCTAATAATTGTAGAATTTCAAGTATAATCATTAGATCCCTTTATGCGGAATACGTCATTAACGTTCCAGAAGATTCTGGTTCAGTCTGCTCTATAAAAAAGCAAGTTGAAGAAATATCTGGCATTCCATCTCGGCTTCAAATGTATTATCACAAAGGGGATGAAGTGAACGATTATGATACGAAAACTATGAATTTGCAAAACCCTCTTGAGCTTGTTATGATTGAAGATTTGCAGACTAATATTAAGTTTCGATGCCCTGCAGAATTATTTTAAAGCCTTTAGAAAAATGTGAAGTTATAGAAGTTCATAATGGCAAGTCCATTAGATGATTAAAACTTTATATTAGGAATAAATTTGGAATTCCAATTAGAAAGCAATATACATTAAAATGGCAACACATGTCAAAATGCCCTCTTGGAACAGAAGTCGAGATCTTATTGCTACGGCGAATGGGATGTACTCCGAGGAGAATCTATTGCAGGCTCAAGAGATGTATCCGGGTAGGTTTCGGCTGCTTTCCTGTGGTTGGAAATGGAGGCGCTTATAAAGTCCTTTGGATCCGACGACCCATAGCATTTCTGAAACTTGGGGTATCGGCCCAGGCCGCAGCGGGGAGCAATCTTTTTACTGTAAGCTGCCGAAGGAAGGCGCTTCGATATCCGATAGACTCCAAGAAGTTGATCCCTGGAATAAAGCTACTCCAATCGCCCGTACCAGGGCCGCAGAAATCCGTAAGCTGCCCGCTCAAAACTGAAGCTGCAAGGGGGAGGCAGAATGTGTCAGAAGTGCATAGATCCTCTGGGCTAGATTCAAAAAGCGATGGAACCTTCCGTACGGGAAGTATTTTGTGACTGCATCACTTATATGTCTAATGCCTGAGTCTTAATAATCCTACCCAATTAGAAATCAGACTTGGCATTTAGAAAATAAAATTGTATGAAGTCCAGCAAATTATAATTGGCCTGACATTAATATCAAGGATAATGACACGATTACTGTTACACCCTATAAGGTTGGGGGAGGTTTTGCGCTAGCGAAATTATATGACTTTAATAACTTTGAAAATAGAATAGAAATTGACTTTAGTGAAACTGCCCCTCCATGGAGGCATGTCAGACCAGGCATCTGTTTTATCGGTCAATGTAAAAATGAAAATTGTGAAGAATGTTATCTCATGCCATGGATATGGAGTGTTTTCTTTGACCTCAGTATGCTCTTGCTGCCCTATGGAAAAATGAAAAAAGCGTTTTGAGCCTGATAATTGTGGCTTTTGGGATGCGAAATGAAAATTTCATAGCTTGACAAAAGATTGAAAAAATAAATCAGGTGAAGGAGTCGCGGGTACTGAGAGATTTACAACTTTTGATGATGGAAATGGGACTAATAACACCATATGGAGAGAATTAAAATTTGAAGTGACATATAGACACTAATAACAACGATTTAGAATCTTTTCTCTCAGTAAATTTTATTATATAGAAATGTTAGCATAGTGTTCGTCAGGATGCATTAAGAGAGCTCTATCCAAAAATAATTCACCAATAATCCTTTTCTTTAAATTAATATAAAGAAAATTAAGGAAGAACTAATGCACATCAAGCATTTTTCTATTATTGTTTACTAGCAAGTGAAAGGAAAAGAGGGGAAACAGTATTGGGACTCCAGTAATACTAATAAAGGCATTACCCAAATTCTAGATGATAAGTGGTTCTCTTTTGATGATAAAATAATGCAGATTACTGAGAACGATTTTAAACGGACTGCAACCCTTTTCGTGAAATTATGTTTTAAGCGTTGGAATTTATTAGCTATAGCTGCTGAATTTTTTTGTTGCTTCAGTCGTCTTTCTAACTTATAAGAAGAGCTTGTAGAAAATACTGATATTGTCAGTATAGATTTTGCTATAGATTGAGGATCCTGTAGTGCATGTATTTAACTATTAAAAAATTCAATTATTTTTGCATTTTTATATAAATAAATCTGAAGATGAATGGCCTGTCCCTCTATGACATAGGTCCTTATATACGCCGAGCATGATTTTTAGTGGTTTTTAACCATGTTATTAGCAGTCTTGAGAAGAGAGACGCAAGAACGAAAGCTGTTGGTTTTGGTTCTGGCTTTTTGGGCAGATAAATTCAACTTTTTTGCCAGAGCACCAAACTCGATGGATGCTAGACATGAGACAGGGTGACTTACTTGCCTAAGTTGCTACTGTAACTAGCACTGAATGGAAAAGCTGTTGAATTCTTCCTCAAGATGATCTGAAAAAGGGGATGTAAGTTTGATGGCAAAATGGGAGTCTATTCAGTTGATAATAGCCAGTTTATGTAGGCGTTCTCGCATTGGAAGGGAGTTTGGTGAAACTTAGGTTGCGCGTGGATTGGAAATTTAGGAGATCTTAGACAGCATATCTAGAAAAAGCAGGGTATTTCGGCCAGGCTTGAGAATGATAATCTCTGAAACTCTGCAGGGCATCAATGAGGTAGGCGCAGCCAATGAAAACGAACTCTCTTTAAATATAAGAATTTCCTGTAAGAGCAGGAGACTGACTGGTTGGCAAATGAACCTTCTCTAGTTGGTTTTATGACTTGAAATCGACAAACAATAGAGAGTTTCCCTCCCTAAATCTCCTATCCTTGCAGAGTTACTTACTCCCCCCCCCCCTCCGTGAGCGAACAAAAAAATTTTGTTCGCTCACGGAGGGGGGTTAATTTTTTTTTTTAAAACAAATTTATATATAAATTTTATAAAAAATATTTTTTTCGAAATTTAAAAAAAATCCTAATTTGCAAAAATTGGGAAGCAAATATTAATTTAATTTGCAAAATTTATGTTTTAAAACGCAATTTGTTTAAAAATTAAACAGAATTAGCTCTAGATTTCATTATACTAATTATCACTTATATATCAAAATTTTTTTTCCATTAAAATTTTTTCTATTAAAAAAATTTTTGTTCACTCACGGAGGGTGGGTTTTTGGTCAAAAAATGGCGATTTTTCTAATGGTTTTGTTCGCTCACGGAGGGGGGGGGGGAGTTAGAAATTTCTTATGATAAATTATTTTTGTATTTTCAAATTTGTGGTTGAATTTTCGGATGACAATTTTTGGAAAAGTTTTGCTAAAAGAGCAAATAAATAGCAAATTTTTTCAAAAGAAGAAATATTTGTAAATTTTTGCCACTTTGCCAACTTTTTCCTATACCATTTTACCACTTTTTGTCACTTTGCTATTTTTTGTTTTTTAAACATTTTGCCTATTTTTTGTTACTTTTGCAATATTTGCTATTTTTTTGCATTTTTTTGCTATTTGTTGCCAAATATTTGCTCGTTTTTATCACAAATTGTCATCCAAAAAATCATCCAAATTTTTCTTGGTTTTTTAATTATTTATATAAAAAATCTAGGATATTTAGCAGAGAGGCGCATAATGATTTTATATTAATCTGTTTTTTGGCTCCTCACTATATCTATTTTAATAATTAATCTAACCTTTTAATCCTTATAATAAGAAATATTATCTAATTGCCTTCATTCTTTGAAATTTAATCATTTTCACTCCTAAAATCTAACCCGCCCCTCTGTGAGTGAGCAAACTCATTGGAAAAGTCCCTATTTTTTTGGTAAAGCCCGCCTTCCGTGAGATGAACAAAAACCTTTTTAATATAAACATTTTTGATATATAAGTGATAATGGTATAATGAAATCTCTAGCTAATTCTTTAAATTGCATTTTAAAACTTTTAGAACATAAATTTTAAAATTAAATAAATATTTGCTTCACAATTTTTTACAAATTGGGATGTTTTAAATTTTGAAAAAAAATTATACTATAAAATTTATATATAAATTTTTTAAAAATAATAAATTTAACCCCCCGTGAGGGAGCAAAATTTTTGTTCGCTTACGGAGGAGGGGAGTAACAAATTTCTGCAATTTATAGCAAAATCGCTTTAACTTTATTTCAAAATTGATAAAAAATAATAGCAATTATAATCTATGAAAATTAAAACTTTAGAATTCTTATTTGACTTTGAGTAAATGGTGAATAAAATTAATAAAATATAAAGTGTTGAAAATGGATTGAAAACCTTCAATTATGTATGCAAATTGGACAGAATTTTCTTTTATAATTGCATTTATCTTCTATAATATGTTGGCAAAATTTCACTTTGCTTATCTATTGCAAATTAATTTTAAAATGTCAAAAAATATTTTGGCATATCATTACATATAAAATTGAGTCTATGGCATTGTCAAGATGTTTTTGACATTTTAAAATTAATTTACCATAGATAAGTAAAATGAAATTTATGCAAGAGATCATATTTCTTTCAAGCATTTTTTTTCGATTTAGTTGAAACCAAAAAAACTGTGCCAAAGAATTTTTCTAAAATAATATCTATTTTTTCTCCTCTCTATTTTCTTATTCCTCACAAACTTTTTAGTTTTATTCAATATATCATTCCCATTCCAATTATCAGCTTTTTTCTTCAAATTAAAATTGTTAGATTTTTATCGTCATTTTTGTAACCATGTCATCAAGCCTAAAATTTCACCATAATAAAATGCAATTCCTCTATTTTATTCTCCCAGCAGTTTTTGCATCGATTTCTATTGACCTTGACACTCACTTTAAATCAAACGAAGAACATTGGGAGCATTTCCAAAAAGTCAGGGCAAAGAATTTATTAGAAGCTGGCACCTCATCAATGTTGAAAAATGGAGACGATGTATTTTCTACTTACTCCACACTCCGTGAGCGAACAAAACTATTGGAAAAATTTCTATTTTTTTTAAAAACCACCCTGTGAGCGAACAAAAATTTTGTACAGAAAAAAAAATTTTGATATATAAATGATATTAGTATGATGAAAACTCTAGCTAATTCTCTTTAATTTTAAACAAATTTCATTTTAAAACATAAATTTCACGAATTAAATTAATTTTTACTTCTCAATTTTTAAGATTGGGAATATTTTAAATTTTGAAAAAAAAATTTTATTAGAAAATTTAAAGATAAATTTTTAAAAAAAAATTAACCCTCCGCGAGCGAACAAAATTTTTTTATTCGCTCACGGAGGGGGAGTTAGACAATTTATTATGGAGTTATTTCTATTGGCACTCCAGCCAAAAAATTCACCTGTCAATACGACACTGGAAGCACCACATTGTGGGTAGTTAAAAAAGGCTGCGAAGATTGCCACAAATGTGATCAAACTTATGACCCTACAAAGTCCTCAACTTTCAAAGATTTAGATGCGACCATGGCCCAATTATTTTTTTTTTAAAATAATTAAGCAAGAAATATATTTTTTAAAAAAATTATTCCAAAACCATGGATATTGAATATGGGATTGGCTCAACTTCAGGAGAAATGGTTTCGGATGTCGTTGGAATTGGTGACTCCACAGTTCTAAATGCTACTCAATACGCCTTTTTAATGGCTACCAAGGAAACAAACGATACAGGGTTCGCTCCAGATGGCCTCATTGGTTTTGCATTTGACGATTTGGGACAGGGATATCCTTCACTGATGACGGTATTACAAACCCAAAAGAAAATCACATCAAGGACTTTCGCATTTTTCTTAAACTATGAAGGAAGCTCACCACAGTCAAACCTTATGGTTGAAGGGTATGATCTAGCAAAATACTCTAATCAGACTGCTTTTAGGTAATGCCAATATTTTCTACACAAAAACCTATATTTTAAAATAATTTTTACCTATAAATAATTTTTTTAAAAAATTCTCTTAAATGAAGCAACTTCTTTTATTTATGTCGACTTAGTAGCCAAAAATCCTCCTGATTTTTGGGAAATTTCTTTCACCCAAACTCTTTTTGGAACAACCATTCTTGATATTGCTATTACTGGGATTATTGATACAGGAACAAGTTTCATATATGCACCTCTTAAAGATGTAACTGCGATTTCTGCATTTCTTACAAGCTCTAAAACTTTTGGATGCAAGCAAGATGGTGAAGGACTTATCTTTTGCGATAAAATCTCTTCAGAACTCCCAAGCATCTATTTCCAAGCAGCAGGAATTACTTTGGAATTAGCACCACACGACTATATGTATAAAGTCAAGGGAAAATATTTATTAATTATCTTTCCACAAGAAGATGATTATTGGCTTTTAGGAGACTCGTTCATTAGAAGATACTATATCAATTTTGACATGGATAACCAAAGATTAGGCTTTGCATTATCTAATGCAAAGATGGATGATGATAGTGGAGTTTATCTGTCGTTGATAGGACTTGGATTAGCATTTCTCAGCTTTTAATTAACGAAAAGTTTAAAAATAAGGGTAAAATTAACTAGAAAACTAGTAAATCTTAAGGATTCTTATTATACTGTTATTCCAAAAATTTAATTATTACTAAAGAATAACTTAATATCAAATAATTAATTAATTTATTAAGCTTAAAAATTTTTATTTACAATTTCTGACTAGAATTTATTAATTTAAAGCTATGGATTTGAAATAAAGTAAAATTATATTAATTATCTTCTAGGTTTTTCCATTTATTCTGTTTCATCTTCGATATCTTCTTCTACCTCCTCAGCTGCTTCTTCTGCTGCCTCAGCATCTGCTTCTGCTTCTCCACTATCAACGTATTCATAAGTGTCTTTTGCTGCTTCTTTAGCTGCTTCATCCTCTGCATCATCGATTTTTTCAGCATCTTCAGCTGCTTGTCCAGATTCTACGTACTCCTCAGCAGCTGCCTCAGCCTCTGCTGCGTCTGATTCTGCTTGTCCTGATGAGACATAGGCTTCAGCATCAGCTTCAGCTGCTTCATAGTCAGCTTCGGCTTCTCCAGATTCAACATAGCTTTGAATTGCAACTGAAGCTTCCTGACTCTCCCCATCTCTGAAACATAATTTTTTTACTTTCTCATATATAGGGTTATAAATAAGTTTATAATTAAAAAAATTGAAGTAAAATGCAATTAATTTATTAAAATAATATTTTAGAATGCAAACTACTAAATTGAATAGAATTAGCTAGGTTTTTAATTATATTAAATTATCAATATATATATTAATGATTTTAAAAAATTTTTTTTGATTGCTTACAGGTGCTAGTAACCAAAAAATAAGGGATTTTCCAATGAAGTGTTTTTGCTCACTCATGGAGGGGGGAGTGAGCATCAGTTTCAGCTTGTCCTGATCCTATGTAATCTTGAACTGCGGCTTTAATCTCAGAGTAACTGTAAATTTCTTCTTCTGTTTGTAAGAAGAGAGTTGTGGTTGCTTCATCTTCAGCTTCAGCATCAGCTTCTGCAGCTTCTGCGGCAGCTTCAGCTTCTTGAGCGTCTGCTTCAGCTTCTCCTGATTCAACGTATTCTGCAGCTTCGTCGCCAGCGGCTTCAACTGCTTCATCGTAGGCTTCATCAACTTTTTCGGCATCTTCTGCTGCTTGTCCGCTTTCAACGTATTCTTCAGCGGCTTCTTCAGCTTGTGCTGCATCGGCTGAGGCTTGTCCTGATTCGACATATTGGTCGGCATCAGCTTCGGCGGCTTCAGCATCAGCTTCTGCTTCTCCAGATTCAACATATGCTTCAGCTTCGACTGAGGCAGTTTGAGCATCGCTTTCAGCTTGTCCAGATTCTACGTATTCTTGAGCGGCAGCTTTAAGTTCAGAGTAGCTGTAAATTTCTTCAAGTTGTACGAAAGAGGTTGCAGCTTCATCTTCAGCTTCAGCATCAGCTTCTGCAGCTTCTGCGGCAGCTTCAGCTTCTTGAGCGTCTGCTTCAGCTTCTCCTGATTCAACGTATTCTGCAGCTTCGTCGCCAGCGGCTTCAACTGCTTCATCGTGGGCTTCATCAGCTTTTTCGGCATCTTCTGCTGCTTGTCCGCTTTCAACGTATTCTTCAGCGGCTTCTTCAGCTTGTGCTGCATCGGCAGATGCTTGTCCTGATTCGACATATTGGTCGGCATCAGCTTCAGCGGCTTCAGCATCGGCTTCTGCTTCTCCAGATTCAACATATGCTTCAGCTTCGACTGAGGCTGTTTGAGCATCGCTTTCAGCTTGTCCTGATTCTACGTATTCTTGAGCGGCAGCTTTAAGTTCAGAGTAACTGTAAATTTCTTCAAGTTGTACGAAAGATGTTGCAGTTTCATCTTCAGCTTCAGCATCAGCTTCGGCATCAGCTTCTGCAGCTTCTGCGGCAGCTTCAGCTTCTTGAGCGTCTGCTTCAGCTTCTCCTGATTCAACATATTCTGCAGCTTCTTCACCAGCATCTTCAGCAGCTTCATCTTTAGCTTGGTCTGCTTTTTCGGCATCTTGTGCTGCTTCTCCACTCTCAACATACTCTTCAGCGGCTTCTTCAACTTTTGCTGCATCGGCTGATGCTTCTCCTGATTCAACATATTGGTCAGCATCTGCTTCTGTTGCTTCAGCATCGGATTCAGCTTCTCCAGATTCAAAGTAATAATCAACAGTTGCTTCAGCTGCATAAGCGTCGCTTTCGGCTTCTCCACTTTCAACATATTCTTGAGCAGCAGCTTTGGCTTCAGAGTAGCTTAAAATTTCTTCTTGAATGAAAAAGGTAGTTTCAGTTGTTTCAGTTGTTTCAGTTGTTTCAGTTGTTTCAGTTGTTTCAGTTGATTCAGTTGATTCAGTTGATTCACTAGATTCTTCTTCAGCTGTTTCAGCTTCTTCTTCAACTTCTTCAGCTGCTTCTTCAGTTGTTTCAGCTGCTTCTTCAGCAGTAGATTCAGCTTCTTCAGCATCAGCTTCTGCTTCTCCACTCTCAACGTATGTTTCTGCTTCTTCACTTGCTTCTTCAGTTGTTGAACTAACTTCAGATGCTGCCTCTTCTACATATGCAGATGCTTCCGCTGATGACACAGAACTAGTCGTGGAAGTTGTAGCACTGTCTTGCTGTAAGAACATTGACTTGTACACATCATTTCTTATCCCAAACGCAGTTAAGCTGAGTATAAGTAAGATAGCGATTTTCATTTGTATTTATTATAATCGCTAGATTTCTCTTACTTCTCATCCTCTGTGAATGATAAAACTTGGCTCGCTTATGGGCTAAGGATTTTTCCTCAAAAAAATAGTTAGGATATGAATTGCCCTCTAATTAGACATTTTGGCTCAACCAAGTAAAATTGATCGAACCAAAAAGCTTCCTAACAAGCAATATATTGCTTTAATGATTTTTTAAAAAAAAATCGAAATTTAAATGTCTATAATTGCAAAACTTAATTAATTATGAAATTAAAACTTTTATGACGTAAGCTGCTATTATTTAATAGAATTATTAGAAGATTTTATTATAATTTATCATCACATATTTATTATAAAAATTTATTTTTGGGTAGAGTTAGCCGTTTTATCCATAAAAATATGGCAGACTTTCAAGAAGATACATGCAAAACAGCACACTTTTTCCTAAAATTTTTCATAGGTGATCAAAAGCAAATTGAAATATTTGACCGTGAGAATTTGGACAAGTCTCAGCAGCTTTATAAGGCCTAATTAAATGATTTTAAAAAATAATTAATTTTAGTTAAGAATTTACTTGCAAAATATAGTTTTAAGCAAAATAATAATTATACGAAGCTGATATTTGCCTTATTATTGAAATTGTTGAGACTTGAAGAATTATTTGAAATTGCGATGATGGGTTTGAAAGGCTTAATTTTATAAAAACGGCTAATTTTAAAAGTTCGAGTTATGAAGAGCTTAATAAAATAATGAAACTGAAAGGACAATTGCAAGAGCTCTGAATAAAAGCTTATATGAGGCTTCTATGCTAAGATAGCTAAAGATTTGAGATGAAAAGGAGCAATTTAAAAGAAAAAGAAAATTTTATGCTTATGAAGAGAGACAAGAATATGAAGCCAAAAGGAAGAAGCCAATAAGCAAAAGCAGATAGAAGAAGAACTAGGCCTGATGTATCAGCAAGCTCATTATTTACTTAATCCGAAGAAAGAAACGTAACATAAGCTGAAGCAAATAATTCACCTTTTTATGAGAAGATCAAGATTAAAATGAGAAGAAAAACGTTTAAAGTCTTTAATAAAGTAATATCTGGCTAATATTTTAATGAATTAGCTTGATGATAGAAAGTCTTCGTCTATGAAAATTTGAATAGGTTATTCTAAGGAAGATCACTATTTTAGGAATGTTAATTTGATATGAAAATGCTAAAACTAAATAAAATACTTGAGAGCTTTTATTGGTAATATGTTATAGTGAATGGCATGAAGGCATTTATTGTATGCAACTAGTATATTTTACATTATATTTAATTAATTGCGTTATTAATGAAGAACCCTTAAGCCTTATTCCTCAACTCCAAACCTCACAAATTACCATCTTTAGTAAGAATATTCGAAATTTTTCATTTAAAGATAAAAGTTCAGTATTTGATAAATTTAGGGTGATATGAAATATTAAAAAGGAATTTCCTAATAAGACTAATACGTTTAAATATATTTTATTTGAAAAAAATTGATAATTTATTTTAATAGAAGAGACTATGAATCTCTGTGTTATGTTTTCCGAGACCCTGCTGATTTCTTAAGTCTAATTATGAATCCTATTTTAAACTTGAAATTTTGCAATCAAGGTGCGTAATTTTCTGAAAGAAAATTTTCAAACCCAAATTAGCTTCAGGTTTATCTGTCATTAATTGCTCAGAGTAATAATCAAGCAAAAAATTGTGCAAAATAATGCAGCTTAATTAATCCAATTGTTAATAAAACCGAAAAAATAATTTAAATTAAAATTCTTACTCCCTCCTAACGAATAAACTAAACTATTGGAAAGATCAGTATTTTTTGCCCAAAAAAAAAACCTTTGAGTGAACAAAAATATTAATATAAAAAGTTTTTATGAAAAATTTGATATATAATTGATAATTAGTATAATAAAATCTCTAGCTAATACTGTTTAATTTTTAACAAATTGAATTTTAAAAACACAAATTTTACGAATTAAATAAATTTGCTTACCTTTTTACAAAGCGGGATTTTTTGAAATTTTGAAATATAACTTCTCCATGCGAACTAGAGGACAGAAGAGTTACAAAATTTCATCAGGATTTTTACTTGTATAAAACCTATAAATTTTGCTTGAATTTTTTTTCTCCTTTCTCTCCCCAATCTGTGCCAAAATTAATTTCTTTTCTGCTTCTGATTTTTCTTCATTTTCATAAGCTTCCATCAGCGAGCTTAAAGTTGGGTACATATCAATAATGGATTTTGCCTTACTTTCAGAAATTCCAGGAATATTTATCAGTTGACTTGCTCACAAAGCTGAAGATTTGGGTATATTATGATTTACTGAGAGCTTTCGAGACTGTAAATGAAAAACAGTAGGAAGAGGTCTATATGGCCCATTATTTAAGGTGTTAATAACCCTTTCTAAATAATCTGCAGTATCTCGGAAATTCTCAGTTTCTATACAATCAACCCCTTTTATCATCATTTGGGCTACCCATTCTGCATAAGTTTCATGGGTGAACCCTTTTCTCTGTGTAAATTGGACTGTTTCTAAGGCCTCTTTTAGCCCTTGCAGAACCAAAATTACTCGGATTTTATTTTTATAGTAAATTGATAAATAATCTTCCAGGAGTTCTTTTTCGTCACTAAAATCGCCTTCTAATAATATCGCAAGGACTTTTTTATTATTTACTAAAAATTCTTCTGAGTTTACCTTGGAAGAAATAGTATGCCGATAGAATAAAATAGAATTAGGGTGGTGTTTTTCTGAAGAAAATACGATATATGGGATATTTTTTCTGTTTAGATGAGCTATTAAGGTTGTGTTCTGAAAATAAGTAGGAATGTAAAGGCTGATTTCGCATGAAAGCTGACTAGGGGCTTGGTATCCCATTTTAATTTTGTATATGAAAAGTATGCTTTTTGGCATAATTATTTAATTTTTTTTTAAAAAAAAAGCTTGATTTTACTAATAAACTTTCCAGTATATACAAATATCTACCCTATTTGATTAAATATGCTCAAAGCTGTATTAAAGAACTTTGGGTCCTTAGTCAATACAAAGAAAACAGTCAAATCCCCTGCAAAAAAACTTGTAAACCCTTGGGAGCCAAAACCGTTACGTGAAAAGCCTTCTCAGTAACTTCAAAATAGAGTCAATGTTTACAGCCCATCTAAAATTCTTGAATTTGATGAAAGTGGAAGCCTCCTTGTGTACTCCTATCAGCCTACATTTATGAAAACAATGGGGAGGTTCTTAGGACGTCTCACTACAACAATAGGAAGTTTTTTTCTTTTAGCAAAGAATCCATGGCCATGTAATTGTCAAATAGAGTTAATCAAGAGCCATTGTGTTTGCCTGTGTTCTTATTTTATGGGGTGTATAGTCTGTGGAGAAATTGGGCGATTTTGGCTCATCAATCAATTACTATCCATGAAGTAAAGCTTAATAGAGATGGAATTCATATAGATATTGGGTTTAAGAGAGATTATTTTATTGCATTAGGTCCTAATTGCAGGATCATGCCTCTGGGTTTAAGAGAGAGATTAGTAATTAGTCTACAGGCATTATTTCAGGCCCTAGTCCTAGTTTAAACTATTTTTCTTTTTTTGGGCTTAAGAAGAAATTATTTTAAAAACATCAAAAAATTTAATGCTGCATTCAACATTTCTCTTGTTTCTGGTGCAAGCCATTTGTGGAGTGTAATAATTGATTGGCTTTTTTATCGAAACTTTCCTCGTTAGGTATAGTGCAAAAAAAACAATAAAATTCGATCAGATGAAAAAGTTATGACCAAAATTTCTGGAATATATTCCATTAAGTGTCATTTAGCCTCTTATTTCATAAGTGCAATAGAGGTGATGGGTGGCTTACTTAAATGGAGCTGGTTATCCAATCCCACTGACTCACCATTATGGTCGAAATAAGTGCCATGGAATTTTAAAATTAATAATTGCAGATCGAGCCAAATTTTGGCTTGAGCTTGTCTATAATGCCTATTAGCATTGAGAAAGCTGATGAGCAACTCCATAAATGGCTATTCCAGTTGTTCAGAGGTAGACTTAGGCTAGATTCTATCGTTTTAATAAAAACTAGCCCATAAGGGCGAGTCAGTGTGGTCGGATTTCCGACCCCGACTAATATAATCCCTCCTTCCTTACCTGGTTATTTCACCTACTGCTAGAGATTTCCCCTTTAGGGGGTTAGCTTATCGAAAAAAAGTTTTTTTTCGACCATCTACATCTATTAATAAAGTGGCTACTGTCAAAAAGCCTTATGGTTTTCTTTTCCCTTCTTCCTTCAGCTTTCGGCCAAGCCAAAAGATGTCTCGTGCAAAAGCATAAAAATATCCCAATATTGGGTATTTAAGTTGGCTTGGAAGAAGAAGCAAAAAATACTTTTATACAATGCCTATTAACTTTTTAACTCCGCCTATAAAATACGAAGACTCTATAAGGCTGAAAGACGATTTATTTCCTACTGAAGTATCCTATTTCGAAATCCCTGACGATGCCAAAAATAAACCATGGGTAAAATATTACCAAGAAGAAAGGCATAGGCTCTACATTCCAAAAGACTATGAATTTATGGACAAAGAACTGATGGTGCAAATCATGAAAGGGAAATTTATTAATACCACAAATAAGTAACCTATTTCATAAATTTCTAATAAATTAAAGTAAAATAGGCCCTGTCCTTGATATTTTGCTTTCAATTATCCCAAAGACTGGAATAGTTGCACTGCTTTGTAAAAATAGGAAAGGATCATTCGGCAGCTGCCCATGCAATTTTAAGTCGTTGTGGGATCTTAATTTTAGGCTTATCAATAAATGACTGACTAAGTCATTAATATCCTGCTTCCTAGTCAATATAAAAGGATTTGGGCCAGCGTCAAAGGTATAAGCAGCACGGATTCCTTGTGAATTAAAGCCATGGATAAGTTTTTTAATTTCTTCACTTTTAGCATTCAGGTATTTCACATTAGCCGCCTCAATCACATAATGCAAATCATCACTTTCTTCCATAGTAATTTTAGCTAAATTTTCAAAATCTTTGGCTTCTAAAGCTTTTTTTAAGTTTTCTATACGAATTGGGACTCTTTCATTGGCCCTTTCAAGTAGCATTTTTCTGTTTAATTTCATTGCATTTGTGCTGGAAATTTTTTTCTTTTCTAAATCAGTTAATATTACTAGTAGTCTTAACTCGTCCCAATGGGAATTTTCATAAAGCTGCCTTGCGATGCTTTTTTCATGAGAGTCACCTGCACTTCATTCGACAATTCCGCCAAAAAAGCTGCGTGAGGCGCTCCCAGAGCCAAGTCTTGCGATTCCTGACAATTCTTCCATACTAATATTTACCTTATATGCTTTTGCCAGTCCAAAGGTCAGAGCTGCCAGTCCAGAAGCTGAGCTTGCCATTCCCGCGGCAGTCGGAAAATTATTGCAAGACTCGATTTTTATTTTTTTTTCTAAATTTTCTGGTTTTGTCAGAGACTTCAGCATGTTAATCACACGAGAAATTCTTCCTGTGATCTCAGCTGGCTCATTGTTGAGGATAAGCTGGTTTTTTTCATCATTTAATTCAATGGTAGTTTGTGTAAAAAATTGTTCAATGTCGACAGTCAAACTTATTGAGGAGTTGAGAGGGAGGTTTATGTCTTCGTTGGACTTGCCCCAGTACTTGATAAGCGCGATATTTGTAGGCGCTTTGACTGTGTATTTTCCAAATGCTCTGCAGATGAAGTGTTTCATATTTTTGATTTTTTTATCTAATTACGTAAGCATGATGGCATTATTCTGATATGGCAAGTATTGGGATAGGTGATAAGGGAAAGCATAATTCGGAAGAAATATGTGGATTTTGTTAAAGGAAATCTTAAATAGATATTTGAAATATTTTAAGTTTTGGAAAAATTTGACATAAAAATGATATAGTATATTTTTTCTCAGCCTTAATATTGATAATTAAATTAATTGGGCTTGCTCAAATTTACCAAACTATTGGCGCAGGTATTTTAAAAGATCAATGAGGTAAGTCTATTTCTAACTACATTACCCTGGTATTATTAAAAAAACTATCATGCTCAATACTTATTCAAATTTTTTTTTGGAACTTTTATGTTTAATTTAATAGTAATTTTTTTTAAAAAAATTTGGGTACCTTCTAAAGTGACCGGGTCAGCCATTAGCGAATCAGTCAGGAGGTATTTTTGAGAATATGCTTCCAGATTCCGATGAAAAACTCCGATATATAAATATTTATCTGAACTATGAAGGTCGGACAGGTGTTTTTAATAAACGGTTTCAATATCATTAGATGAATTAATACCACAATCAATATATAAATTGACATGAATAAAGCTTTTCCTAACTTTTTTAAACTTTCATGTCTTACCATAAGGTTTGTTAGAAAAAAAAATAAAATCCAAAAATAGCCTCTGGCTATTAATTGCTTTGGACTAAAGGAACATATGGATAAATATACGAAATTAAGATAAATTAAACACAAATTACGCGCGGCTTTGACGGGTCTTGTAGTATTATATTTAGCTTATGATACTTTCAAAATCCATGTTCAGACTATAGGTAGTGGATTTTAATAAACCCCATGCAGAGGCATTTTATAAATTTATCGACTTTGGCCTTTAAAAATTTTTGACCATTTGTGACTTAAAAAGATTAATTTTGGAAATTAAATCATTATAGACATATTATTCCTATTACTGATTTCTGCATAAAGAATATTTGTAAACATATAATTTTAATTTAAAACTAGAAATTCTATTATATATCCATCTTATTTTCTGAGGGCATAATGACATTTAAGGCGAAAATAAGAAAATTTATTAGATGAAGTTTTTTGACCAAAATCTCATAAATCATATAGAATTGGAAAGGTTGATATCTATTGTGCTGAATTATGGCTTTGAAGTTATGAAAATTATGAGAAGTTGTATGAAGAAAATGAGAAACATCAGAATTTTATTTTTATATCAGGCTGAGTTCTTATCAGAAAAATTAATTTATGATCAGATTCAAATCAATTTAAATCAGAAATATTGAGATTTTATCAGAAATTATTGGGAGAGCCTCTTAAAAGGCATAGTAATCTTAGTATTAAATCTTAAATCAAATCATATTATATTATATATAATGCTGGTAACTTTTTTAAAATAAAAAGTATATTATAGATATTTAATTAAAATTATATGTTTACAAATATTCTTTATGCAGAAATCAGTAATAGGAATAATATGTCTATAATGATTTAATTTCCAAAATTAATCTTTTTAAGTCACAAATGGTCAAAAATTTTTAAAGGCCAAAGTCGATAATTTATAAAATGCCTCTGCATGGGGTTTATTAAAATCCACTACCTATAGTCTGAACATGGATTTTGAAAGTATCATAAGCTAAATATAATACTACAAGACCCGTCAAAGCCGCGCGTAATTTGTGTTTAATTTATCTTAATTTCGTATATTTATCCATATGTTCCTTTAGTCCAAAGCAATTAATAGCCAGAGGCTATTTTTGGATTTTATTTTTTTTTTTTCTAACAAACCTTATGGTAAGACATGAAAGTTTAAAAAAGTTAGGAAAAGCTTTATTCATGTCAATTTATATATTGATTGTGGTATTAATTCATCTAATGATATTGAAACCGTTTATTAAAAACACCTGTCCGACCTTCATAGTTCAGATAAATATTTATATATCGGAGTTTTTCATCGGAATCTGGAAGCATATTCTCAAAAATACCTCCTGACTGATTCGCTAATGGCTGACCCGGTCACTTTAGAAGGTACCCAAATTTTTTTAAAAAAAATTACTATTAAATTAAACATAAAAGTTCCAAAAAAAATTTGAATAAGTATTGAGCATGATAGTTTTAATAATACCAGGGTAATGTAGTTAGAAATAGACTTACCTCATTGATCTTTTAAAATACCTGCGCCAATAGTTTGGTAAATTTGAGCAAGCCAATTAATTGTTTTGAAATCTCCAAGTTTTTCAGGAGGATTTATGATTTTAAATTTTACCATTTGGTTTTTATAAATCCTGAATAATTTTTGCAGTTTTATCTAAATCATATAAAACGCGTTAACTAATTATGCATTGTTAATTAAACGAGATTTTTCATCATTATTTCTCCTTATATAAGTTTCGATGCTATCCAGCGTAATCGGACTAAGCTTATGTGCATCATAAGGTGATGTCTGTGAATAAAGCACCCTCAGTAGCGTCCTCTTACACAAATCAACGCTCCCCACATCTAAAATACCCTGATTAAATAACAGCTGCACCCACTGATTTCTAAAATTAATCTGATTAAACTGCTCAAGGGTACATATTGAGCTTGCAATAGCAATTTCTAGCACACGGTACTGCGAAAGCTCATAATTCCCATAGCAGACACACGTAAAAGCGTCAATTCTTTCATAAATTCTTGAAAAATCATTTTCAAGCCCTGTAAGTATAAAAAGCCTCCTCACCAGCTCCGAGGCTGTCGTTATATTAAGTCTCCATTCAAGTTTGTGTAAAATAAAGACTTCTGTCAACTGTACTTCATTAATTTTATATTGCTTTCCAGTATGGAATAACGCGTCTTGCAATGTGAATAGCCTATTTTCATTAAATTTTGTGGAAATCATTAAACAGACCACCCCAAGCAGCTGGATTACACTTTTTGCAGTTTTTACCTTAGAAAGAAATAAATCCATCAAAGATATAGCAAATTGGGTCGTTTCGAGCTGAAGAGATAGGTCTTGGGACAGCTTGAACATCCATTGGACAAGCTTGTCACGCATGGAGGCTTGTATGTCGTTGCCTGAGAGAAAGTCACCGAGGGGTGGCTTTTCACGCTCTCTGGATAGAAGAAAGTTTAAGGAATCAATATTGTTTTCATATGCTTGATTATACTTTCTAGACATCTTCTATTATTTATTGAAGTTAAAAACGCATAGGAGTCAATTGATTTTAAGAAATATTGAGAGTGACGTAAGATGGCATAGAGAAGCAGGTGAGAAAAAGGAAAGAGGAGAGATAATGGAGACAAAAAGAAATAGAAGATAAGAGATCTGGGAGGGAGAAGAATAGAGAGATATAGTGAAATTCTGATAAAAGGAGTTTTTTCTGGCCTATAGCCATTTTTTACCATTATTTGGCGTTGTTTGTGTTCTGATGTTGGCTTCATGTTAGTTTCAGATTATCTGATTATTTAAACTATATAACCTACAACTTATTTTTGAAATAATTGTATTCTCAATAAAAAATCCCCTTAAAGTGACTAAAATTACAAAATTACATCTTGGTTTATGTAGATGACTTATATATCATGGCATCTGAAAATTGTAGTAATTATGCTGCAAGCTATAATTTTTTCTGGTCTCATAAATTAAGTTATTAATAATCTTTTCCTTTGAAGCTTAATTCCATTTTCCATTTAAATTTTATTTGAGCTTATATTTAATTGCAATGGATTTGAAAATTTTGGTGTCTACGAATCTCTATCGCAGCATACATTAAATTAAAAAGATTTGACCTCGTTTAACGTCCACTACCATATCTTCACATGGAAAAATCATGCGATATATGATTGCCCTCAAGAACATAGGCCTGAAAGCAAATGGAGGTATGATGAAGTGGGAACTAAAAATAATGGAGCATATTGGCATAGAGATGCAATAGAGGAAATATTGCAGATGGAAAAGTAAGAGTGGCAGGATTCAGGCATTAGAAATCTATGAACAGGAAAAGAGATATGCATAATCTGGAGGAATAGATAGAATTGAATTTACAAAGAAGAATAAAGATTGAAGAAAGAGAAGTAGAAAGTAGGATATAGTCGTAGATTCAAAGATTATTGGAGCGAAGGTTTGTGGAAAAAATATGAACTTAAGATGGGATTTAAAAATCGAAGAATTTCAGGAGAATAATTGAATTTTTGAAGAAAGCTGTCAAGAAAAGTGCTTGGCATAAAAGAGTTTGGTTCAAAGAATTAGGCATTAGCCATAAAATAATAGTCAGAGATATTTTTAGATTTGCTTCATAAGTATAGCCCACCTATAGACTCAAGAGTGAAAAATAAAACTAATCATCATATGTCCAGTTTATAATCCTTTATGGAAAATGCCAATAGTAATGCCTTATTTACTACTTACAGAAGTTATTGTTTCAAAAATCGCAATTTCTTTATCAATAGTTAAAAGAATTTTGCCCAACACTGTTACATGTATAAATACAAAATAAAAATGGGTTCGACAAATTTAGCTTAAAAATCGGGAAAAAAAATAGTTTGTGAGAATTATATGAATTTTAAACTGAATTCTGTGTGATTTCGAATAAATTTTCGTACCATAAATTTGTCTCTTTTATCTTTTACTAGCCTTCCTAATAAAGAAGCTTATCTTTTTTAGATTCCAAAAGGTCTAATTTAATTTGTAGAATTTATGTTTTGAAATGCAAGCTAAGATATAACAGAATTATTTAGAGATTTCATTGCATTAATATTGGCATTAGTAAAGAGAAATTCCTTTTGATATCTCAAAGGGTATTTTTTCGTGCGCCACTTCTATCTCTAGGCTCGTGTCAGGGTAGGGTGAAAATCGTCACCACGCGTTAACAATTTGCTATTTTCCAGAAAATTTAAAAACACGAATTTTCCGGTTGGGTTATCGACCGAAATAGCTTATCGCAGCCCAGGATGCAGTGCTGTATCGCTCTAAGAAGTTGCCCGATTAGTCATTCAAGCATAAATCCTATAGTCTATTGCTTACCATGGCTTTTCTGTAGGGCCCAGCTTTTCCACTTCCAAGTCTCCATCTTCTTTGAGTTAAAGCTTGACCTGAATATAAGCTGGTGTCCCCGACATTGCACTTCGCCAAGCTAAGTAAACAGCCAGAAGCACATTCCCTAGCACTATTCTCCCTCCGTAAAGTCACTGGGTTACCCCAGCCTTTTTAAAATGGTGGGCTGTTAAGCCACACCATATTTCTGTATATAAAGATTTTTTTTGTAATAGTCATTATTTGCACATAAAAATAATTTATGGGATAGCAAAATATTAAAATTTTGCAAAAAGGAGTATTTTTCAAACTTTTGCTCACTAAAGAAAGAGGATTATGCCATTTATTTATCAAAAATATCTAATTATCATAATTACCCTCGCAATAGCCTATCAAAATTCCTATAAATTGCGTTTTCTGGCGTCACTGTAAAAAATTAATTCTTTACCCCACCTTGGACTTTTCCCTCAATCTTTACAATATCTCGTTTTCTGCTCTTGTGAGCCACATTTAGCCACAGCATAAGGATCTATAGAAACTATTGACATATCCCCAGCCAATTTCGCAGACCAGGCCGAACAATTAATTTTCAGAACGCTCTGTTTTTTAAAAATTAATTAGCTTAAAATCCTGATTGAGGGAGCTGTTGACCCACACCTTGCTGCCCCACAACTTGCTGTCCAGCTTGGAATTCTTCATTAAACACCAGATGGAGCCTGACTTGTCCCACGTTTCTTCCTTTATGAAGCAAATCCACCCAATCTTCAAAATGCTTGGCAGCAATAACAGTCTGCAATGGGACCGTTGTTTCTCCAATTTCTTTATCTTTTGCTAGAGTTCTTTTATCCCACACAGAAATATTGATTTGGTCTTCGCCAGAAACAATGAAATTTAGCTGCTCATCCCAGTTAGGGGTCTTGCCGCCGTTCCGACAATAGTTTGTTTTCTGTTCGTGAGCCCCGACTTTAATCACTACGTATGGGTCCATAGTCCCTGTAGCGGTGTCTTTGATGAGCTTTGCGCTGATTGGTCTTACGATTAAGCTTCCGCGACGTAATTGCTGAGCCATTTTATGTTTATGCTGCTTGGCATGATTATAAATAGAAGTTTTGTAGGTATTGTGAAACGTTGGGTTTGACTGAATTGTATATAAATTATTGGCCATTATTCATGAAAAATGGACATTTTGTTATCTGACACAGAAATTGAAAAGATGTTATGAGAATTATTTTGATTTTTAAATTGAAGAATGTTTATAAAATATAAGTATTTATGAATTGTTAATGATTCTCATAAAGAGTATATTAATATTGCTTAATCGCCGTCCCTCTGAAAGTAGCAAAAGAATTTTATTCATTAGCTCGGTGGTGTTAATTTTTTTAATAAATTTTATAGAGAATTTTTTTTTCGAAATTAAAAAAACCAGAATTTGCAAAAATAGAAAGCAAAAATTAATCTAATTTGTAAAATTTATGTTTTAAATTCAAGCTGTTTTAAATTTCAACAGAATATCTCGATAATAATTATCAATAATATACCAAAATATTTTTTCATAAAAAAATTTTTTTACCACCAAAATAGGTATTTTTCAAATGATTTTGTTCTCTTATGGATAGAGGGGGAGTTAAAATAATTTAAGAATTATATGTAAATATAAATCATAAATTCTCACTAAGTTTATGCTTCATGATTATTTAAATTCAGAAATCCATATTTTTAAATAAAATATACTCTCAATTTTTGAAGAATTTTATAAAAATTATAACTAAAATTGTTCTATTAATTAAAAATTCTTCAGAATTATAAATACACTTTTTATCAATTAAATGCTATAATTGCATCTCATTCTCTATAAAATGACGGCTTATAATGGCAAATATGATCGTCATCTTTCTTTTGCTTGCGATCTTTCCTTCAATTGAAGCCTTAACTTGTCCTAAATACCAATGCAAGGCAAAAGATTATCCTTTCCCTGATCCTAGCACCTGCATGAGCTATGACGAAACAAATGGCATTTATTATGTCAACCCTTGCAATTATGGGTATTATTGCCCAGCTATGTTGGCTGAAAAATCAGCGAACTGTACAAGGCCACTTCCTTCTCCACCTCATGCCAAATTAGCAGGCGATTACGTAATGTACAAAATACTATAATTTTATTAAAAAATTTTTAATATAACAATAAAATCACAATAATTAACCTCTTAAAGAATTTTATATATAATCCAGGCGAATCTTGCTTTTACGATGAAGACTGCTATTTAAATAACACCTGTGTAAATGGGTATTGCAAAGGACATCTAGAAAACCATTCCTGCTTGAACCATACAGACTGTGACGTCGGCTTAAGATGTCATCAAGATACCTGTATAGCTCAAATCCCTGCAGGAGAAAAAGGCTGCATTGAAGACTCTGATTGTGTCAACAATGCAGGCTGTGATATAGTGAGCTCTATAGACCCTACAGTTAATACCTGCAAAACTTATTTTTCAATCAGCAACGAAGACCCTGTCAACCTTAACTGTACCACAGCAGGTGACGTTAACTATTTATGCAAATCCGGGTTCTGCATTGAGTTAAACAAAGGAGATACCCCACAATGCTACACAGCCCCTAAATCAAGCAAAAAAATCCCAACCTCTTGCACCGCAGATACTGACTGTGTCTCAAAAACAATTGGAAAACTTAATAAAAGCTTTAATACAGATTGCTTATGCAGCTACACCAAAGCCGGTGGCGGCGTATGTGACATTTTCCCTGGGGATTCCCCATATGTCAAATATTCTGACATAATAAAATCCTGGACTAAAAGCAAAGGGATTTTGAAATGCAATACATATGCAAGGTTCAGCGAAAACTGTATGGACACTTGGTGGGAAAAAAAGAAAATTGACGAGCTGATGTATTATGATAATTATGTGTTCATTTATTCAGTAATTCATGAAGCTGAAGACTGCGTGGTTCAGACTTATTTTCCAGCTTATTGGGAGGCGAAAAAAGAATATGATAAAGGAAGTGATGCAAATGGACTGATAGTAGGGATTTTCTTGGTTTTAGGCTTAGGGTATTAAGATAATAAGAAGGAAAAATAAAATCTGATTTTTCATTTAATTATAAAAATTCAAAAAAAATCGTATGAAAGGAGAAAGCAAAAAGAACTTCAAAGGACTGTTTTCACCAATAGAAATTATATCAACTAACCATTTATTGAGAACAGAGCATAACGAATGCAAAGTTAGGATGACAAGGATTTATTATTCACAGTGATTTAAATATATTTATGTCATCCTTGCGGTTCTTGCCGCGTTTTGCATTGTATATACGTCAATTAACTGAGCTGAACAAGAAATAGATGGCTGGTTTATAGGTATTCAAGCGTCTTTATTAGTTTTAGTAGTCCTTGAAATTTTGTATAGAGTGCTTATGCTGGGATCGACTTTATTTTTCCAAGAAAAAGTCAATATAATAGACTCATTTCTATCTTTTACAAGCTGGATAATTGCTCTTGTGAGCTCATCTCTTCATGATAAAGTAGGCTACAGTTTACAAATTATTTCAATGACTATGCTTTTCAGCATTTTCTTGCCCTTCGGGCAAGTCTTTTTTTATATAATTAATTATTAATTAAATAGGTATATATTAAGCTTGAGGTATTTAGTAACTTATATTAGGGTCATCAAATATGTAAAAAGTACCAAAAACACTGAAATAAGCATAATAGATTTAAACGACGTAAGCGAAGTCGAAGAAAACCAGCCAAACACAGAAATGAGGGTCAAACGCGCGATGCTGCCTAATACAAACCAGCAAGAAGCTTCACAAACCTTTGGAAATGGGATAAAATTCATGCCAGTGAGCTCCAATAAGTCAGAGATGTCGATTGAAGAACAATAAATAATTTGAATAAGAATTATGCTGAATTATTATGAATTTATTTTCAATTTATATAGAATTTTAATAAAAAATAAGTTAGAATTAGGAATAATAAATATGAAATCAGATGATATGTGGCAGCATCCATTTGTTGATGTCTTTAAGTTTATCAACATTAATGAATGAAGAGTTGCTAAAAAAGAAGGAGAAGTTTTAGAAGTTGTGGACAAAGCAATAGGAAAGAAAACGTTTAGAATTTCAGGGGCCATTTCGGCCGCCAACTATATTCAAATTCCTAGACCAAAGTCACAACTGAAGTCATTGAGCCTGACTGGGAGGTTTTGTTATGTAGAGGTCCAGATTCCAAAGGATAAATTGTACTCAATGCATTTTGAATTTGTTTTGGAAAATAAAAACACAGGTACAAAAGAAATTCTGAGGATTTCACTAAATTTCTTTATTTAATTTTTTTTTTTAAAAATAATTATTTTTAATTATTAGTGAAATAAAATACATTATTGACAGCGAAAATAAGTAATTTATTCAAAGAAAGCAAAATAATAAGCTCCGGCCTTCAGCTTGCCTGTCATTTATCAGATAAATGAACCATCATTCTACTTGATATCAAGGCTTTACTATGGCAGCATTTTGGCAATTTATATAGAAAATTCACATTAAAATCTTTCAACTTATGCTCATCAATGATAATCCGAGGAGTCTTTACATCAGATATTTTATATACCCAAAATAATTTGCCTAGAGATATGTCCTTTAAGACAGATAGAAATAAAGCATGAAATGAGCTTTATGACTGGGTAGAATTTCCTAATTCCCCCTCATCCCTTTAAATTTGAAAAAAGAATTCTGTTCCAATTTAAAGGGGGTTATTGTTTTAAAAAAATCATATTAAATTTTCTCTATAAAAAAATTAATCGATTCAGCACTATTGCAGTTGAAATAATATTCTACTTGACTTTTTCTGTTTAATTAGGTTAAAACTAATTTATAAAAATTATTATTTTTACCTATTATTTAGTTAGTAAGATAACTCTAAAATGTTTCTTCTGTTTTCTGAAGGCTTTACGTGAGAAACGATTTCCACTCTACGGATCGGCAGTTACTAGACCGTTGCAATTTCATTCGCTCAGCTTCAAAGAACACTCTTCTCCTACTAATCACTTTCCATTGCCATTAATTAGTGTCTCAGGGCAAATAAGGGAACAAGGCCACCTCCATTTTTGTTGTGTTTTTTATCTGTAAATTTTCCTATTTAAAATAACAATTTGTTCAAATTTAAAGGGGGTTAAAGCCCCAAAAAAATGAAAGCTTTATTTATGTTTTGTAACAATTTAAAGGGGAAGAGTAATGAAAACGAGAGGGAAAATATAGAGTTCGAAATTACTGAGCAAGAAACAGAATTTATGGAAATTGAGTATATTGAGACCGAAAAGTCAGAGAAAAGCGAAGAAATTAAACAAAAACAGGCGGAAATTATTGAGAAAAAAGTTGTAGATGAAGGCAAAAAAAAACAGGAAGAAATCCCTCATAAATATGAAGAAGTAACCTTAAAATTTGATCAAAAAGTAGTTAAAACTGACGAAAAGCCTAAAAAATTCAACGTCCAATTCCACGAATACTCTGAATTCAAGCCTAAAGAAGAAATCAAAGCCCCAGACAGCTCCCTCCGCCAAAAATATGAAAAATCGCTTGACTCTTTTAACATCAGCAAAGACATGATCCCAACAAGCGAATACCAGCGTCGAAGCCCTTCAAAAGAGCGAGAATCCCTAGAAGTCAGCAAAGAAGACTTATCATTCAATTTAACCAAAACCCCAAATAAATACGAAACCCCAGCAAGGCGTGAAGAGCCAAAACCTAAAGGTGTAATGCATCCAGACCCTATTATGTCTCTATCTTATATTATAGGCTTTTCAGGAAACAAGCCGAACACTGTAAAATGGTCGCGGCCAAAAAGTAATTTTTCATGCTACCCTCCAGAATTTATTCAAAATTCCCATAATAAATTTTTAATTTATCCATCAGGCTGTACTTTGATATTTATGAACCCTATAACGAGAAAACAACAATTTTTCTTTGGCCATACAGCGCCTATTTCGTGCTTAGCTGTAAGCACTGATGGGACATTGGTGGCTACTGGCCAAGAAGGTGCAAATCCACTGGTTTTAGTGTGGGAAATTAAAACACGTAGGGCACCTACACAAATTGCCTTGCAAAAAACCCTTTCAGTGACTGCAGTTGATATAAGTTTTGATAGCAACAATTTAGTAATTGCGAGCGTGGATAATTTAAAGAGAGATATTGTTACAGTTTATGATATTTCGAATATAAACCAAGAAATAAAAGGAAAACAGGCTATAAATCAAGAAGTCAAAATGAAAGCAAAGCATGTGTCAAATTTTCATATAAATCTAAGCTTAATAATGGGTCGCGCGGTTAGCTGACAACAGGCAGCTATCCCTAGAAAAAAAAGGATAGATGCAAATTTGCAAAAATTAAGCGGGTTAGTTGTTAAAATAAATATAAAAATTTTTACAATCAGCTTTAATTTTTGATATAAAAATTTTCGATAGCTCAATATATTTTATATATAAGTTGCTGATATGGGTTAGCCAACTTTAATTTTTTATGTGAAAAATTAAAGCGGCAGCAGCCAAACCTTTTATTTTTACTGGCAATTGTAAAATTTTACATTATTTTGGCAGCTAGCCCGCTTAATTTTTGCAAATTTGCAGCTATTCCTTTTTTTTTCTAGGGTTAGTTTTGTTGGCAGCTAACCCTCGCCTCCCCTTTAATAATATAGACTATAACTAGTCTCTTCTTTTTTGCCTTGCATATTTGTATATAAAAGGTATAAATACCATTAAATTTTCTCCTATAGACTCTACACTTTTAATGTCCTGTGGAAAAGAAAATATTCGTCAGTGGAAAATCAATAAAGACCATTTAACAGGGACTATAGTGGTGCTAAAACAGCATGCCCGAGGTGCTGAATTTTTAGATTTATCATTTGAAATTTTCAGCCCAGCTGACGCCGAGCATTCTAAGCGTGTTTTTGTAGGCTCAAGCCAAGGTCTTTTATTCCAAGTTAACTATTTTACTTTAATCCTCCTCATTTAAATTAGAACAAAATATTTGTAGAATTTCCTTTTTTTTGGCGGTAAATTTTATAGGTAAAAAAAGTACTAATTTTTCTAAAATTATTTTTTTAGAATTTAATACCCTTTCCCCTAATATAAATAGGGAAGGTTAGAACTTGAAGGGATCTTACAACTTCATGCCTCAGGAATCCAAAGTATTACAGTTGGCGAACAATTTTGCTGTATAGGCAGCCAAGACTGCTATTTACGTGTCTGGCCTTTAGACTTTTCTGAATATTCTTTTGAAGTAAACAATGAGTCAACTATTATGGGTGTCGATATAAGCGCTGATAATTTACAAATTGCTTGTGGAACTGCTAATAGCACCCTAAGAGTTCTTGATATGTCCAATAATATGATAAAAACGCTAATTTGGGGCCACACTTCGCAGATAGTCAATTTTGATATCCATCCTAGTAATGGGACTTTGGTGACAGCTAGCATTGACTGTACAATTAGAGTGTGGAGCTTGGAAACCTTTGAGGAGCAGTATGAGTTCACATCTTCTGGAGACGTCCCGATGAGTGTTTCTTATCATCCAGAAGAAAATTTTTTTGCATGTGGATTTGAAAGTGGGTTATTTTTTAATAAATATTCTTTGAGAAAATATAAGAAATTTTTTTTAAAAAATTTTTTAGCATACAAAGTGGATGGTTAGGATTTTTGAGGTAGAATCAACAAGAGAAAGGGATGAATTTCTTCAGCACGACTGCAAATGTATAAAAGTTGTTCATTCTGGGGATGGAAATTTACTTCTCTCGGCAAGCGAAGACGCTATGGTGTGCTTATATGACGTCCGCCGTAAATATCAGCCTGTAAAATCAATTTTCCCTGAAATCCCAGGAGACCATGTTGATGTGTGTTTTTCGCACGATTCAAAGCACTTCGCTGTCTTAGGGACGCAAGGCTCGACCATTTTTATTTGGGAATGCTCAACTTTTTCTCAAAAATTCAGAATAAATACCCTTGGCGCCATTATCCATAAAATCGTATTTTCACCTAATGGCCAAGATATAATTGCTATAAACTCAGCCCAGGAATTCAGGGTCAGATATTATGGACTTAACGGTTTTGAGGCAATTCCTATAAAAGAGCTCCAAGGACTGCACCCTAACTCAGAGATTTTATCGTTTTCTATCTCAAATAACAGCAAGTATTTAGTAACCGGCGGAACTGACAGAATTTTGAAAATTTGGGATTATTCATCTAACTTCCATGTCTTTATAGAGAACAATTCTTTAAAAAATTTCTAAAAATTGGGTATTTGACTCCATCCTTGAATGAACGATTTTCATATGATCAAAATGAATCAGCCCCCTACCCGTTTCCAGTCTATCTACCTATATTTCATAGTAATGAACTTATAGATTTTATAATCACTTTTAAATAATTCTAATGAATTTATAGTATATTTGCTTATATATTGCATACTCCATTATGGCTAGTGCATAAATATTTTAATGAGGAAATGTTTTAATCCAATATTTTCAAGCTAATAAAATTTATCATCTTTTTGAATGATGGCAATCGGTTGATCAAAGATGAGGAGAGTAAGCCAAATTCTATATCAGGTCAAGCTTTTATAGGGCATTCTTTTAATATATCAAATATTGGCTGGAGTATTGATAGAAACTACTTGATTTCTAGCTCACAAGGACCAGATGGGATTTTTATATGGAAATTTTTCGGAGATAAAACACCATTAGAGCTACCTCCACCTCCACAAACGAAGCCAGAAGCTGTCAAAATAATTGATGAAGAATCATATGACGATATAAGAGCTACTGTACAGCTTATTCCAAAAATTGAAAATACAGACAATCTAGGACTGTCTTATGAAAGAAGTGTAGGGATTTTGCCCAAAATTGCAGAAGAAGGGGTACTTGAAGCAAAAAGACCTATAAGCACATCTCTTTTCCAAAAGAAAAACTCGCCGAGCAGCCTTAAAAAATAATTCCTTTAATTTAAAAATCAGTCTTATTATTTTTTATACACAAATATATAAAAATCTATTTCCTATAAAATAAAAGCCTAAATTTATATATATTTATAACCATATACCAAATCAGTTTTTCTTTAAATTGAGCTTAAAATTATTTTCTAATAATCAATGCACACACAATCCTCACTACCAAACTTTCAAGTTACCTCAAAAAACGCCTTCAATATTGAAGGCCAACTAACTGATCGTACCCGCGAACTCCGCAGAGAAATCAAAGAAGTCCTTGATATTGAATATGACCATCATGTAAAAGAAGCAAAAAGACACCGTTCATTATATTCAAATAAAGAGCAAGCCAAGCTTAAAAGGGAGCTTGACAAGCTGCTATCAATAAATAAAGAAAAGAGAAGAAATTTGAAAAAACTTGTGATGGAGGCTAGGCTATATGATCCCTTCATCAGTGATGTTTCTACGTTTAAAGCTATTAGTGGCAGTGGATATTTTACAGAAAGAGGCTCAGTGGCGTCAAGTGCCTTTGCGCCGTCACGAGAAGATATTTTATATTTTTTATACAAAATAGCCGAATAATTAAAGGAAAAAATAAATATTTTTTTCAAAATATAAGAAAATTTTCGAGATTTTTTTGAAATAAAATATGAAATTGGTATAGAAAAAATTGACAGATATATGATAAAAATTGAAGAAAATGAACAAGAAAAATTAAAAATCGAAAGCGTCCTTTCCAAAGAAAAAGCAGGGAATTTAATATGAAAAGAGCGGATTCAGCAGCTCAGTGAAATGCATAGACGAGTAACCAAAAGTCATGAAGCCTCAATGATTTCTAAACAAAACGCTATCAACAACCTCATTTTAGGCCAAAATGAAGCGCTTTTATTTAAGCAAGAAATGACTCGGCGTCAAGAAGAATACATCCAAGTCTACACAGAGCAGCGTAAGCGTTATGACCACATCCAAGAAGACATCGACACGATCGTAGGAAGTATCAGTACTAATGCTATAAAACAAGCCGAAAGAAGACGCGAAATCACGACAATGATTGACAAGCTTGAAAAACAATTAAAAAGGCATGAAAAAGAATCAAAGGAAAAAGAGAGAATAGAAAACGCTTATCAGTGTTTTCAAGAACAAATGGGTATAATAAACGAAGTATTAGAAAGATATGATAGAGACTGTTATGACACACTTGATGAAGAGGCACTGAATGGGATTATTGATATGTATAAATTTTTAATATACCAAGAGACATCGCTAAGCTTGAGATTTCAGCAGCTGACGCTGGATTTTTTAGCATTGCAGAAAAGATATGAGGAGCTGGATAAGGAGTTACAAATTTTGAAAATATATAGATTTATGGTCAATATTTAATTAGAAAATTAATTTATTTTAATATGATATTTATTATAAAATTGCATAAATAATGACGATTTTGGGATGACTGAGAAAAATTTGCCTTATACTTTTAACCATGTAAAAATTTCATTAGAAGACAATTTGACGTCAAAGCTAGACCATACAGAAGAGTCTGAGCAGCTGATACTAAAAATATATTTGACTATTATGAATCTTGCTATTATCTCAATAAACTCATTGAAAATTCTAATAGAAAAATGCCCAAGATCAGGGCTTGATAGAGAAAGCGAATACACAGACGCTTTATCTATAATAGAAGAGCTCCAAAAAGGCTTTTTAAAGAAGCGAGAATCCACACATACAAAAACCCCAGTTTTACCTAAAATATACAGAACTGATTTTTTCGACCAAATCCAAGAAAGCTTTTCTATAGAAAATTTCAAAAAAAATGTCCTCCCTTATCTTTCTCTGAAAAAAACCGAAATAATTTCTTCATATATAAAAGTCTTTAAAAACAGTGAAGATGGCATATTATTTGCAAATTTATTAAAAGACCAGCCAATGATTTTGTATTTTACGAACTCAAAAATCCTTGAAAATTATTTAAATGATAAACAAAATCAGCCTGAGAAAGGGCCATTACATGCATTTTTAGAAGTCGATGAGCTAGTTTCTACTAGCCATATGCTTTATCAGCATCAATTAATGAGGCTATGCTCTGTTATTTCTCCTTTAATTTTGCTTTTAAATGCAAGACGTGTAAACGAGCTAGAAGAACTTGAACAATTATTATCAAAAATCCAAGAAAATAACATCGAGCCAATAAAATCAGACGAAAACTATCAAATCCGCAGAGTTTCCAGAATTCCGACCATAGTAAAAGAAAAAAACACAAGGCTGTTTCCTATAGAAGACGCAGAAATTGAATCCCCAGGCATCTATAAAATAATAGAAATCCAAAAATCCCAAGAAAAACTAAATGCAAGGCTTACTGAACAAGAAGTTGCCATGAAAAGAATGAGAAATATTTTGCCAGCCCCAATTTTAGAAAAAATCAATAAATCCAACAACTCAGACGAAAATGAAAAAAAATTCAGCTCAAAAATAATAAAAAAAAATTTTTCGACATTTTCGCCTCGGAATATACTACATGAAGTTCAAGATATAGAAAAAAAAATTAAGCGTGTAAAATCAGCTGAAAAAAAGGCAGGGAACAGAAAAAATAATTTAATAGACATGCCACTACAATTTAAATTTTATAGCAAACCTTGAGGTTTATTCCAAAAAGCTTTAAACAGCAGAGAAATTAGCAAAGACAACACGAGGCCTTCTACAAATCATAAAATATCAAAAACACCTAATTAGTTGTTAATATTTTACCTTAAATTAAGAAAAAAGGATGTTCTAAACACTGTGTAGCTGTAAATCGCTTTGTAGGGTCCCAGCATACCATTTTTTGAGCTAAATCAAAAGCTTCTTCAGCTTTTGGGCTTCTTTTAAATAAATGGACTCATTGGATTTTTCTCCCTATTTTGATTATTCTTTGTATCATTTTTGTGTTGAGCTGGACACTTTTTGTAAGATTTTTCATGTCAGTCGCTGTAGGAGGGCCAATAATATTTGCAATTTTTATAAATTGGTCAGCTTCAGTATCCCCTCGAAAAATCGGGCAGCCTGTGAATAATTCAATAAAAACGCAGCCAGCAGCCCAAATATCAATCTCAGTGCCATAATCTGTATTCAAAAGAATTAGCTCAGGGGCTCTATAATATCTGCTGACTACATAAGGCATGTTTTTCCCAGTCACAAATTTTGCGCTTCCAAAGTCACATAATTTTACCTTGTAAAATTCGTCATTATCGTCAATAAGAATATTTTGAGGTTTTATGTCCCTGTGCATTATATTTTTACTGTGAAGATATTCTAAGCCTTTTAAAAGCTGCCTCATTATTGAAGTGATTTCAAAGTCGTTTAAAGGGTCAAGGCTCCATCTTTCTGCTAAAAATTGTGCAAGGTTTTTAGGCATACACTCGAAAACGAGGTGTTGGATAAATTTATTATCGTCTGTGACCGAATAAAAAATATCGAGGAGTTTTATGATTTTTTTATTTAGTTATAGCAAATGGATTTTTCTAATGATTTTTTTTTAAATTTAAAGCAATAAAGGATACACAATTTGGACAGTTTACAGTCTCTTTTAATATTGAAAACTCTCTAGAAACCATACAGCCTGATTTTAAGGACCGTTTGATTGCAACACTTAGATTGTTTGTAGGGTCATATGCTTTGTAAACGCAGCCAAAGCTGCCTTCTCCTATAAGCGATTCAAATATATAGCTAGGGTTAGCGTTGCTTATGTGGTCAGATATAGGAAAATATCCTCTTATCATTTGAAATTTCTAAACTAAAATATGATAGATTTTAGAATTTTTAATTAAAAATGTGTTTTTATTAATTACCCTTTTTTCTCAATCCTTTCCATTATTTCCCCGAATTTTTTCTCCATATTTTCCATCAGTCTTTTTTCCAACATTTCAAAATTCTTTTGCAGATCATTTTCACTATTAATTTTGCTCCTTTCTACATATTCAATAATTTCTCCTTTTGAGTTTTTTATTTCTTCACTAGTCTCTTTTACTGCGTCTATTATTTCTTTTCTATATTTTTTTAATTTATCTGATTCTCCATCAATATCTCCAAAATTTGACTTGCAGACTTGTAGATATTTTGGCTTACTTTTTCGCTTCCAAAATTGTATGGATTCACCTTCTAGGATAATTTTAGCGAGCTCTCGTTGGCTAACTGCGTCTTTTTCTTCTTGGACTTTCCCAAAGGTGTTGAAAATAATTGAGATTAAGAAATTATAATTTATTACCTGATTTTTGGCATCATTAAAAAATTTTTGGACTATTTTATATATATAAATTTATATTAGGCTGCTTATTTATAGTGTAAATTTAATATAAAAATTATAAGCAAAATCATAGAGTTGAGAATTGAAACTAGAATAACAATGATCCATTCTGTATCAGAGTAATCCCCATCTCCAAAATCACCTAGCGTAAACATATAAGAAGCCAATAAATAATCAAAAAATTCATCAGAAGTGTCTGAGTCTTCTATCGCATGCTCAAAAAACGCAAAAGCAAGCGTCGAGTATGCCAAAACCACGAAAAACGCTAGCATTTCTATAATAACGGTCTTAATCATATTAACCAAAAATCTTGTTTGTTCGAATAACGCAAATAATCCTATCCCTCTTATCCAGGAAAATAAAACTAAAAAGATCAGCCAGCTTCGTTTATATTCTTCATGAATATCTTTAAACACAAATGAGCAGTACAAAGTGCACATTATAAACCTCCACACATCAACATTATTCATAACTGAAAGCCAATAGCTAATCCCTGTAGTAAGAATTTTATATATTCCACAGCCTATAAAATGACATCATAAAATGTTTTACTATAAATAATTAATTTATTTATAGTAAAATTATATAAATTTCAGGCAAAATCAAAATGAAGTTTGCTGTTAGAATTAGTGAGGCGAAAAATACATCATTTTGAAAACCAACCGCATAAGTGCTTAAAAGTGCTAAATAGTGGATATAAATCAAAGCATGAAGATATAGGCTCCATCTGACAACTCTTCATTTTTCGTGTAAAATATACTTCACTACTTCTGAGGTAAAAACTCGGTTATTTGGACTTTTGATTAAACTTGATATAAAATTCATGCTTTCTACTGACCCGTTTTCTAGTGAAAATCTTGTAGTGGACTGTTGGAAAATAATTGAAATGTCTTTATTTTTGTAACTTATTGGGAATTTATTTGGGGAAACTTCTATATATAGCTTATTAAATTAATTATTTTAAAAATATTTACTGATGAAGCATTATTTATAGGGAATATATAATTTTCATAAAAATACATTAATTAAAAACCTTTTCTACCCAATATATTTAGAATGAATGACAGCAGGAAGCTTACTATAAGCATTACAAAACTTCGGCAGATTTTTATAGCTGCTTGCAGTAAGCATTGAGTCATAAAGTTTATTAATATTGTTGAACCCTCTCAAATTTATTTCCAATAGCGCATTTTCCAATAGGTATCCTGTATGAATATTCTCCCTCAAAGCTTTTTTTATATGATTAAGTATAATAATCGTGCAATCATCATGCATAAGGTCTAATGAAATCGTCAATGGTGAATACCCATATTTTGACATAAATAATGGAGACCCATAATTTAAAGCTTCTAAAAGATGGTCTTTCATATTATAATATGCATAAAAATGAAGCGCATTTATAAAATACGGAGCAATTAAATAGGAGTCCATTTCCGATTTGTGGGTTTTCGAGGTTTGCTCAGTAATGCTGACGAGGTATTTCATAAATTCTGGCTTGTGTTTTTCATCACCTATTGTTGATATAGAGTTAGAGGACCAAGGGTTATTATGCATCAATAAATGGTTGTTTTGGGTTGTGATCATGTATAGCAGTTGCTCGATTATGGCGTCAATGCGCCATCATCGGGCAACACCAGATCCTGGGTCCATTCTGGAAATGGATTCCACGTGTGGAGCCCTTTTTAGCATGTGGATAATCCTCATTTTCCACTCGCCAAAAAGGGCTCCACACGTGGAACCCATTTCACGTGTGGATCTTTGTCTGGTGTTGCCCGATGATGACGCATTGAGCGCCATTATCGGGCAACTGCTATATTTTTCTTTTGGCAATAAAATTAGGCCTTTTGTATTACTGTTTAATGGCATGCTGGAAATCAATGTATAGTCTCTTTGGCTCCAAATTTTTACCATAGAATCGCTACTGAATGTCATAAAATAGTCTAGATATTTGAAGTAAATATTCTTTACTTCAGCTCCCATTTCAATAAGCATCAACTTTTCTTTGGTTTTTGTACTCCAAATGTTTAAGTTATTGCCTGAGCCTGCATATAGCCTTTTGCGGCATGGAGAAAGTGATAAGCAAGTGATTTGAGATTTTCCTGGAAAAACGTAAACATCATTTTCATCTTCTAAATTTTCCATTAAAACTTTCCCATCTAAGCTCCCAGCATAGAAAAATTTATTGTCACTATCAATACTCGTAATTCCTAAACTCATCTTTTTTATGATTCTAATTTCAGATAAATCATTGAAATTAATAAGTTTCAGCTGCCCTAAAACATTTCCTATTATCAAGATTTCGCTATTTGGAGTGATTTTCATAGCTGAAATTTCATATTTTTCTCTAATAGTCATATTATCAATCTCATATGAATCAAGATTAATATACTATAATAATTTTTATATATTTAAAAAAATAATTTATCATTAATATATACAAAATATATTTGATTCCAGAATAATAAAAACTCGGCAATCATCAGTCGCACAAACCAAGCAAGTCTCATCTGGGCACATAATTATTAAGGTAAAATTACAATTGTAATCCACTTCTTTTACCATTGTTTTTTTAACTGAGTTCCAAAAAATGACAATCCCATTACTCTGCGCTGAAATAATTAAATCATTTTCTTTGCTATAGAAAACATAATTTATCGTTCCTTTATGCCCATGGAGAACTTCTTCTTGGAGATCAGGGATTTTTGAGGTCAAAAATACCCTATCTTCAGCTGAAGAAATTATATATTTTTCACTTTTCGAGACATAAAAAGAAGTTATTGCCCCTTTATGATTTTCTAATGAAAATAATTTTTGATCAAATAGCCTCCAACATTTTACGAAACCGTCTGAGCATCCAGCTATAATAAACTCGTCATTCCGAATAAATTTCAAACTTGACCCTATACATTCTATATCTATATAGAATTTCAGATCCCAAAACCCAGTATTCCAGATTTCAATTTTTCCTGCATTTCCAGCACTTGCTAAATATTTAAAGTTTTCAGCAAATTTCACTGCATAAATTTCTTGATTAATGTCACTTTGTAAAGAAAAAGTTTCATTTTTTTCAAATTCATATAGAATTATTGATTTTGAGCTGTTTCCACATGCCAAAAATTTTCCATCAGAACTGATATCTAAAGAATTCCCTTTGCAGTCCATTTGGAAAAGAGTTTTAAGGGAGGACCAATTTGTGGTGTCCCAAGCCCTTAATGTAAAATCTTCACCTGTGGAATATAATTTTTTTTGATGGATAATTATGTCTGTAACCTGACCTGAGTGGCCTTCAAGGGACAGCTCACTTTCTAATGTATTTTTGTCTAAAATGAAAATAGAATTTAACCCTGCCACAATGCAACAAAGATGGCCGTTTTCCACTAATAGTTTTAGTACTTTACTGGAAAATGCAAGTTTTTCGTATAGAATTTCTTTGGATTTTCTGTTAATTATGCTGATGTTCCCATAGGAGTTCCCAGAAATGAGGGTTTCTTCGTTATCTGAAATGGCAAAAACACACCCTTTGGAAGAGGCTTTTAATTGGTCAGGCAAAGCTTGGAAAAAGATGTTATAGACTGCGGTAAAGTGATCGGAGTATGCTTTTTTCCTTTGTTTTTTGTCAACTGCTTCATCTAGTGTTTTATAAGACCTTCGGAGTGGATTTTGTAAGTCTAAATCTGGAGAGTCGGACATTATTTTATATATAATAAATATATATTAATGTGGTCAAATTTACTATTATTTTTATTTAAATTTTATATATTAGGATTATATTTTAGCAATATATTCATATGTGTATTTTATAAATTTAATAAATAGATACTCAATTTTTCAGTTTTCTTTATAAAAAGATATGAAATCCAATATCTTGCGTAAAAAAAACTCTTGTAATTATCCTGATGAAACACATATACGCAAGCTATCAATAGGAAATTACAATCATATTTTCTTTTAATAAGACTTACCCTCAATTTGAATCTCAATAAATTTTATCACAAATTATGTTCTGCTACTCAAAGAAAGCATAATAAATCTTCATTTTATTAATAGCATTTTAATATTTTCTTTTGCATCAGCATTTTTTAAATGCTATAGTTAATACCAAAAATTATTTCCCAATATATTTTATTTAGTTTAATTTTAATATGAAATAAAATCTATTTTTTTTATATCTCTAAACTTCTTCTCTGAATCTTACATCATGTTTTATCCTTTTTAGTGTTTTCTGTGTTAAATCAAATTCATATAGCTGATATCGATGATGAAAATAAACAGCATTTTTTCATCTGACTTTATAAGACAGTAAAGAGTTCCAAGAAAGCATTATATCTCCTATTTCTTCCCATTTATATGGATTATTGATTTCACTTTCATATATTTTCTATTAAGTTAATATCCCGGCTTCTACAAATGGCAAAAATTCTATTTTCTATAAAATTTATGAAGAGAATTTGAAGATTCTTTTTTAAAAATCAGAAATCAGATTATTTTTCCATCAATTACATAAGCTCTTTCACCTGCAGCAATAACCATTTTCGGCACAAATGAGTTCAGAGAGAGCTGGAGATCTGAATAGCAGTCAATAAAAGGATCATAAAGATAAACAGTGCTAAAATTATCCCCAGACAGCAAAATCACATATCTGAAAACTGCACAAGCCAAAGATTCAGGAGGACTCGGCAACGGCGCTGCCAATCTTCATCTATTTTCTGCCAAGCTAAATATCTGAACAATTCTTAAAGGCATCATATTATACCCTCCAAAAGAATACACACTCCCTTGGAAATAAATAGTCCCTGCACCATTGCAAGGAAACCCTGACGGAATCCTCCTAATTTTTTTATTTTCAGAAATGATAAAAGCTGTCCCTGTGCATGCTTTATTATAATAATTTCCGTAGCAAAAATGAGAATTCCCAGGAATTAAGCACATTGCGCTCCAAATTCCCATTGCTTCAGGGATTTCTAATTTGTGCTCTTTTGAGGAAAAAGTTTGTAAGTTTGTGATTATGATTTTGGTGGTTCTTTCTTGAAATCTTAATATCACTGGACAAGTGTCCAGGTTTTCTAGATTTTCATCTAAATAATTCATAATTTATATGTATTTTTAATAATTTTTGAAAAATTATTGGACAGCTATAAGAATAAATAAAAATGAGCTTACTCCCCCCCTCCGTGAGTGAAAAAAACCATTAGAAAAATCGCTATTTTTTGACCAAAAACCCACCCTCCGTGAGTGAACAAAAATTTTTTTAATAGAAAAATTTTTATGGAAAAAATTTTTGATATATAAATGATAATTAGTATAATGAAATCTAGAGCTAATTCTATTTAATTTTGAACGAATTGCTTTTTGAAACATAAATTTTATAAATTAAATTAATATTTGCTTTCCAATTTTTACGAATTAGGATTTTTTTAAATTTCGAAAAAAATTATTTTTTATAAAATTTATATATAAATTTTTTTTAAAAAAAAAAAATTAACCCCCCTCCGTGAGTGAACAAAATTTTTTTGTTCACTAACGGAGGGGGGGCGAGTTAGGAAATCTAAGTGCTGTTGTTAAGATTGATGAAATGGAGCCGGAAATGAAAGATTTTGCTATAGAAACAGCAATTAATGCAATTTCAGGTAAAAGCACGGAAAAAGAAATTGCTTCGCATATTAAGAAAATATTTGAAGATAGGTATCAGCCACACTGGCATTGCATTGTGGGAAGACACTTCGGAGCTCATGTGACATTTGAGGCGCGAAATTATATTTATTTTTATATAGGCCCAATTGGAATTCTCCTTTTTAAAAGTGCCTAACTACTAATTCTCCCACTTCTTCTAGCGATTAAAACAATTAGAAAAATCCTTATCTTGTTATAAATTACCCCATTGATTATCTATAAATAATAAAATATATTTTTTTTTTACGACATTTATTAATAAAATTATGAATTCTCTAACAATTAATATTAAATTTATAAAAAAATCAGATTTTCAAATTTAAAATATATTCAAATTTTTTAAATCCATAAAACAATTTTTTATATAATTAATTTTAAACCCCATTTATATGCGAAAATTTATTTGCTCACTAACAAATGGGGAGGCAAATAAATTTTATAGCCTTTTGGCAATTTGAGTTGTGAAATTAAACCTTAATTTTTTTGTGAATTAAGAAAATTGTTAAAGTTGCCATTTTTAAGGATTTTTAACAAAATATATTGTAAATGGAGGCAGCAGAATTGATCACTAACATGCATCTAATTAACTATGATACCTCACCTTTTTATAGGAGAGCAGTCCACGTGTGGAATCGAATTCCACATGTTGAGCATGCATATTTGAATGATTCCAAATGTGGAATTTCATTCCTCACGTATGCTGCCATCTTATAAAAAGAACAAGACAGTATATATATATTTTTAAAAACATTGTATGTGACATAAAGCGCCATTTCACCTTTATTTTGCATTTAATGGGGGTATTCTGTTATGTTACATAAAAAATACTATTAATTATTAGCATGTCATTTTCCTTAATTTGCTTCTCCGATCTGCGTGGAAGTTGAATTAATCGTTGAGTTATCACAAGCTATATATAAAGCTTGTGCATTTCTTTCCATTTGCAGTAGCCTTCTCTTATATAGTCTATTACTATCAAGAGTAAGTTTCGGAGCATTTAATGCTTTGGATTTTCATATATTTTGCTCTGCCTTATATGAAAATTTGCATGACTGCTTTATTTCGACGGCTTCTGCGTTTCGCAGAGTCGTTGATTTAGGAAAACACAAACCCATTTATTTATGTTAGCTGCCAGAATTTTTTTGAATTTATCCATATAAATCATCCATTTTCGATATATCAGTATCCTATTTTTAATGCTTGTAATGCGATTATAACTGGATATTTTTTAATTAAGAATTTGTGCTCTCAAAAAAAGCACTAGAATTGGTTATTTTTTATTATTCTACCAATATTAAATTTATTTACAAAGTTTTTCATAATTATCTTCATTTGATTTTATTTAAGATTTATAATATTTATAATAGAAATTGCTTTTTTCTATACTTAGATTAGATTAGATTAACGCTAGGTATTTAAGGTCCCCACTACGTCCGAGGAAGCATTCTACGGTTTCCCGTATGGTGGCAGAGCGTTCACCAAGCCCGGCCGAAACCCCCGGTTTCTCGGTAGAGGCATTGTCAAGGGCCGTCTCATACCGGCTTTGCTGACCGCCTCCATTTCCACTTGGATCGTCGCCTAAGTTTACGCCAACACTGCCGCGTCGTCCGCCAGATCTGCCCACTGGGCTGAGCGCTGCTGGCAAAAAGAAGTCACGAGTAACTGCCCATGGGTTTGGTCACAAAAACAGCGGCTTTTGCGCTTAGGCCTCTCGCCTCGAGGTCCCAGACGTTGTTGGGCTAACTCCTGGCTCCAAAAACCATGCCCGGATATACATGGGTAACCACCACTGAGAGGGTGGGTCGGTCGCCGTCCCCCATTTTATGTATATGCTTTTTTCTATACTTAAGATCTCTTATTCTTATTATTTTCATAGTTATAAAGGATTATTCATCATAGCACACTATCTAAAATTATTCATTAAAGATGAATCAAACTTTAATTGGATTTTTTATTGAGAAAAATATTAAACTCTAAATATATTTTAACTGAAATATAAAAAGATATATCTTTCCTCATAAACATCCCTCAAAATTAAATTTCTAGATTCCATTTAAAATCCTCTATTAAATTTCTTAAAGATCTTCTACTTGAGCTGAGTCTTTTGGCTCTTCCTGCATTTCTGACGTCCAAAGTGTCAAATTATCTCTGATCAGCTGCATAATGGTGGTGCTGTCCTTGTATTGGTCTTCGTCTAAGTTATCAAGCTCTGCAATAGCTTGATCAAAGGCGTTTCTTGCCATATTGCAAGCTTCACTAGGCTGCTCTTTTACTTCATAAAAAAATACTGAGTAATTCAAAGCTAGGCCTAATCTAATTGGGTGGGTAGGTGGGAGCTCAGTGCTTGCCAGGTCTGTAGCTTCCTGATATACCCTTGCTGCATTTTCGGCGGCAACATTTCCATATCTTGCTTTATTTACTTCTGAGGTCTGATATTCTGCCATGTACCTGTAATAGTCTCCTTGCATCTTCAAAAAGAACACTCTAGATTCATTAGAATTTACCTTTTTACTGACTCCCCCCCTCCATCCTTGATCGAACGACTCACCATCGTTCGATCAAGGATGGGGGTTAAAAAAAAATTTTTTCGGGAAAAAAAAATTTATATATAAAATAAAATTATATATATATATATATATATTTTTTTATTTACTTTTAAATAAAAGGGTTAAGAGTATTTAATAATTATTTATAAAGCAAAAAAATTGAATTAATTTCATAAAATATCAATTTTTAATATTTTGATTTATTAGTTACTCTTTTAAACTATACAAATTTTAATTTGTTCCTTACTGAATTATATTTTTTTTTTAAATTTTAAAGAATCTCTATTTTTTAGATTATTAAGTTTTTAAGCCTAGGTTGATGGCTAAATCACTTCGGATGGTTGATTCCGCAGCTTTCTGTCGTCTCAAAGCTCTGAAAACAACTTCATTAGGTACATCTTCCCAAGCTTTTGATAAATAATATATTTCTATATATATAAAAATTTGCATGATATGAAAATCGTTCGATCAAGGATGGGGGTTAATTTCCAATTTTTAGGAATTTTTACAGTCAATCGTTCGATCAAGGATGGGGGGAGTGAGAATTTCAGTGATTAGGTCAAGAATTTCCTGGCAAACTCTGTTGAGTTCTTCTTCGATTTTCAGACGATAAGCGCGGGCTAGTTCTACTCTTTTTGCGTTTGAGCGCGATTCTTCTTTGGCCTCCAGTGCAGAGATGGTTCGCCATGCAGTTCTTCGAACACCTACAATATTTTTATAGCCGACGCTGAGGAGGTTTCTTTGGTCAACATTGAGTTCAGTGGCCTGGCGGATAACGTTTTTCATGATGTTAATCATGTCGTCGTATCTCTCAGCCTGTTCTGCGAGCTTGGCTTTATAAGTTAAGTCCTCCATCCCTTTTTATTATATGATAATGAAATGAAAATTAGGTTTTCAGAATGGATTTTGAAATATGAAGAAATAGAAATTTAGGATTTTTTATTGGAATTGCTGCTAGGCATATTGAGGCGAAATAGTGAGAGAGGTTCTAGTAATTTTTAATGCGATTTAATAGACTTTATTAAAATTTGCGGTTTTCTAGAATAAAGTATTATAGCTTTAGTAATTTAATTAGAATTTTGGTTTTATTCTAGGAATCTTCTCAGCATAAATAAAATAAATTACTACAGTAATTCAATAAAATATAAGATTTTGAGTGGTAATAATATCAGCCAGTTAAATTAAATAACTTCTATTGACTAAAAATTATTTCTTTGCCATTTATTTGAATCTCTTCTAGTCTTTATCAGTAGCTACTTGACTCAATCTTCAACTCAGGTTAATTTTATTTCTTACAAATACTTATTTCAAAATATGAGAAAGCATTTAAATATCCTTTTTTACCTAAATACTTCTAATTTTTTAAAAATAAAATATGTCTTTTGTTAGGAATTGATGCAATTATTCAATATAAATTTGGGGAAATCACAGTCGCGCTAGCCATCAAGCTAAATTTGAAAATCCTGACAGAAGCTGCTGCATGAAATTGAGATAAAGAAGAAATTTGCTGATAAGATAGTCAAACCTTGGGCTTTAAGAGTTATTGAATATTTGGTAATAAATGGGGTGCATTTGACACAGCAGGATAAAAGGAATTCAAATATGCTAAAAATTGTAAAAAATGCTAGGAATAAGAAGGTATGCAATTTTATTTATAAGCAGTTTGGAGTTAAACTAGATAGAGGAGAGAAAATTATCAGAGATTTTATATAAATTGCAAGACATCACCTTTGTATTAATTTAAATTAGGCAATTTAGAATAAGCATTCAATTAATACAACTTAATTAACTATAATATGAATTACCAATGATTATCACCGTGAAGCTTTTAATTAATTCAATAATCTTTATAGTCTTTTATGAAATTAATGATAAATTCAGTGTGTGAAATTCAAAAATATGTTAAAATATTAACTTAAAGATAAATTAGGGAAGTATCTATAAATAAATAATGAGTTTTTTGGCTTTACTTTAGCATAAATAAGCATAAATGCTTAATTATTTTATTTTTAAAATAAAGCTCACTTTAAGATAAAGCATTATGCATTATGCGATTTAAAGAAGGATTTATTAAAATAATTAAATTTTAATAAATAATTATAAAAATAAATTTTTTTGGAATATTGAAATAATCTTAAATGCTGGTCGCGACCATCTTTACAGAATCTGATCTCTCAGAATAAAAATGTATGCAATTTCCTTGTAATTGAGTAATTTCTCTTATAAAAATTTCTTTACATCTCCCTTAATTATATTCAAAAAATATTAATTAGGAATAATTTAATTAAAACCCTAATTTATATCAAAAAACTATTAATTAAACAAAATTTAATTAAAAAATACCCAAAATCCGATTATAAACAATACCTTATTTCTAGCAGAAAATTAGAATTCTAATATCTCTCCATCCCCTCAAAATCCTCAAACTTCCCTGTTTTCCCTGCCAATTTTCCTGTCACAGAAATCCCTCTTAATTTCCCTTAAAACCCCAAAATCCCATCCTTCCATCAGCCTTCCCCAAAATATCTTTCTCCTTTCCTCCTCCAATAATATCTATCATCCTTTTTGCAATATCTTTTCATATTAACCCACATTAGTGTTAATTTTAATCGTCAAATATTAAAAATGACAGTTAGAGATAGGTCCGAAATCTTGTTAAATAGGTCCGGGTCCTGTCATCCGAGCTTAGTGAGACGAGTCAAGGTTTTTGAAAGTTTCAGCTTGAAGAGAGGAGGTCGGTGCTGAGGCTGGCAGTGACTAGAGAAGTCTTAACGGGCTTTATAACTTTAACAGTTTGATGGTTAGGCCGGCCCACCTACAGTTATTCAGAGCTGCTAATGTAGCTGGACCCTTAAGTAAAAGAAGACTAAAGGCAATTTACCAGAGTAATTTGTTAAACTTAAATTTTAATCGTGGCTAATAATAAATAATGGCTGCAAGAGTAAGAGTTGGTATCAATGGCTTCGGACGTATCGGAAGACTCGTGACCAGAGCTGCAATTGAGAATCCTCACGTTGAAGTAATTGCAATCAACGATCCTTTCATGGATCTTGAATACATGGTCTACCAATTCAAGTACGACTCAGTCCACGGCAGATTCCCAGGAACAGTCGAAGGCAGAGACGGAAAACTCGTCATCAACGGCCACCAAGTCGCTGTGATCGCTGAAAAAGAGCCAACTCGTCTACCTTGGGGTACTCTTGGAGTTGACTACGTTTTGGAATGCACTGGAATTTTCACTCAAATGGACAAGTGCATGCTCCATGTCCAAGCTGGCGCTAAGAAAGTCATCCTTTCAGCCCCTCCTAAGGACGATATCCCTATGTTTGTGATGGGAGTCAACCACACCCAATACCACTCAGAACTCCACGTCGTTTCCAATGCTTCATGCACCACCAACTGTTTGGCTCCTTTGGCCAAGGTAGTCAACGACAACTTCGGAATTGTGGAAGGACTCATGACTACAGTCCACGCTATGACTGCTACACAACTGACTGTTGATGGACCTTCAAAAGGAGGAAAAGACTGGAGAGCTGGCAGAGCTGCAGGAGTTAACATTATTCCTTCAACCACTGGAGCTGCTAAAGCTGTATACTATATCAATTAGATTAAATTTATTAGCATTTTTAAGTCCGTTTTAAGTGGCATATGAGTTTTTTTGCAGTGAAGCCCTGCGAGGTGGCAGAGCGAAGCCGTCTTAAGCCAGGGGCAAAACCTTCAGCTTATAGGTAGATGTGAAGGCCTTGCCATTTTCAACTGGGCAGACCCCCATTTATTAATCTTGCTTACATTCCCTCTATTCCGATCCGAGAAAGAACTCAATAGCTTTCGCCATTCAGGGCAAGACACAGCAGCAGCTTAGGCAGGTATATCGCCCTGCCTCATATTACCCATTGGCTAGACGTTGCAGGTAAAAAAAATTGCATTTAACTGTCCATGGATTCAGGACCAAAGCACGGCTTCTGGTCTTACGTCCCTCACTTTGGGGCTACTGACTTAGCTAGGCCATAAAACGCTAAAAACTATGCCCATAAACATAAAGTCACCTGTCACTGAGGGACAGATCTCTCGTCTCCAGTCATTTTATTTATTGCAAACTATATCAATTGATTTATTTTTAATTTTTTTAAAAAAAATATTTTTTTTTATTTTTGTAAAAAAGAATAGGAAAAGTTATCCCTGAATTGAACAATAAACTTACTGGTATGGCTTTCAGAGTCTCAAACCCTGACGTCTCAGTCGTCGATCTTACTTGCAAACTTGCACGTGAAGCCACTTACGCTGAAGTCGTTGCCGCTTTAAGAGCTGCTGCTGAAGGACCTTTAGCTGGAATTCTTGGAGTTACTGATGAAGAAGTTGTGTCCTCTGACTTTATTCATGATAGCCACTCATGTATTTTCGATGTCAAAGCTGGAATTGCCTTGAACAAGACTTTCATGAAATTAATTGCTTGGTACGATAACGAATGGGGATACTCCAACAGAATGGTTGACCTCGCTGTCCATATGGCAAAGACAGACGGCCTATCCGCCTAATCTAACTAACTTAGCTTTCATTTAAGATTATGCTGTGATATTAAGGGATTTCTGTATAAATATAGAGTTCAATTTACGCTCAAAATCGTAAATAAAGTGTATTTTTTGTATAGAATTAACGAAATGCATGAAATAAATTGTAAACCCATGGAAGTAAAGGCAAAATATTAATATAAAAAATGATATCAAGAGAAGCTGAAATCGTGCATCAAGGCAGGTGAATCAAAATGCATGAAGTAAAGATTCGAAAAAGAAACAGCAAAGAGACTATTTGATATTATGTGTCCAGAAATATATCCAACCCAAATCTAAATTTCGACTGTGTCGATGTTTTGGCTACCATAATGGAAAATGACATAAACAAATTAATTTTGATTGCTTGCTACCGAGTCCCTGTAGACAGATACGTGCTTGAATTCCCATCAGGCCTTGTAGACTCGAGTGATTCTTCAGCTGCAATCACTGCCCTAAGAGAGCTTAAAGAAGAGACTGGATATACGGCGCACGAAGAAGACATAATTCATATAGGGCCAGTTATCAATCTTGACCCTTGAAAAAGCACAGAAAGTACAAGATTTGTTTATATACGAGTTAATCCAGATTCAGAAGAAAACAGAAATCCACATCAAGACCTAGAAAACGAAGAGCTTATAACAGTTGAGTTAGTTCCTACTGAAAATTTGCTTGAAAATCTACTGATACTTTCCGAACAAAAAAATAATTATTCATTTTTTGGTTAATAATGGAAAAAAAATATTTTTTTTTGAAAAAAGTTCATTTTTATGTAATAAAATATACATTATATCAGCAAATCTTTATAATTTTGCATTAGGACATCAAAGAAAAAGATAAAATAATTATTCAGCTTAAAATTATTTACCAGTAACTTGTTGTAGTAATGCAAGTTTCGCTTTAATAGACCCAATAATCATATCGTTAACCTGCTCAGTTGCTTCAATGCCTTGATGGTTTTGGATATTCATTTTCCCAATATTAAATTCCTGTATCCTTGCTTTCTTTTCCATTAATTCTGCTTTATGTCTAATTCTATTAGCTTTTTCTTCAGGTGTTAAATTTTCGTCTTCAAGCTCATGTTCCCAGTTTAAATTTACAGCTCTTGAAGGCAATGGGTCTTTGCCATCTTTTTCCTTCCTCATTTCTGCCAAATAGTCAATTTTAATAAACTCTTTTTTAGGCGGTTTCCCAGGTGGTAAATCTAGTGGCTTTCTTTTCCATTTTTTCGGCTTAGAAATGGCCCCTTCTGAGCCAGTTTCTTCATTTTCATTTCCTGATTCCCTCCCAGACCAGCTTTTTACGCTGGTTTTATTTACCATTTTTCTCGGTTTTGTCTTGATTTTTTCAATCCTTTCTTCAAGCTCAGTTTGTTTACTTTTATCAACGCTAGGCTGAAACATCTCTTTGACTAAATCAGCATACTGCATCATTTTTAGTTTTCTATTTATAACGTCTTCTTTTACCTTTTCAGCTTCTTCTCGTTTTCTTCTTTCTTCTTCCATAATGGCTTCTGTAAAATGTGACTGTAAATTTGGGGATAAAAAGTTTACCTGTTCTTCTAAAGAACGCTGGACTAGTTCTTTTTGACGTCTTTGCTCTTGTTCTTTCCTTATTTCATTGATTTTCTTAGAATGCTCATATATTTCTTGTGGGTTAATAGGCTGAAACAGCATTCTTTTTTTAGCGAGCTCAGCTTTTTTCTTTTCAAGCTCCGGCATTAGGACTTGTTGGTTAAATTTGTCTTCCATTTGTTTAAATAGAGGCTTATTGCTGACGACTTTTTGATATTCTTTTTGTCCGATTTCTTTTCGGGTCTCTATGTCTTTTTTGCGCTCTTCTGCTCTTTGTTTAAGCTCTTCAATTCTTTTTTGTTTTTCAAGCTCTTGCTGTAAATAGTAGTCCTCACGTTCTTTATTCTTTTCTTCGATTTCGTCGAGGAGTTTTTTGGTTTGTTTTTCTTCTCTTTCTTTGATACGGCGTTCGCGCTCCAGGCGTTCTTCTTTGAGTTTTTTTGTGAATTCTTTATTTACATCAATTTTAAGCTGATGTTCTAACTCCCTGACAATTTTTTTGAAAAAAATATTTTTTGGAGTAATTTGGTGATTAAATAAATTTTTAAAATAAATTTTTTGAGAAATTTATGAAGTAAGAGCTGCAAATCTCGGGTTGCTTTGTCTATAACGGGAGGCTTATGAGGAGGCTCTTCAACTGGAGGCTTAGGCTGCTTTGCTTTGAATCTTTGCCGTATATCGCTTAATAATTTGGGATTGGCATTTATTTGATCTGTAAAGCTTCCCATAAACCCTTCCATGGAATCTTTTATTGTATCAATAATTTCTGATGAAAAGTTAGCATTTGAAATCAGGCCTTGTATATATTCCGTAGCCATAACTGTCAATTATTACATTTTCTCATATCAAAATTCTAACATGAAACCATTTTCTCTAAAAATAACTGAAACAGATTAATAGCTTTACTTATAATTACATATTCGGCTTATTAAACTTTAAAAACAGGCCTACCAGTTATGGCATTTCTTCCTTTAATCTTCACATCTTTGCTATAAGCCTGCTTTTGGAATTTATTCGGAAGTAGCGGTGAAAGACTAACAGGTATCGACACATTTGTGTCAGCAAACACATTTGGAGTAAATTCAAGCATAATGTGCCTACTGTCTGAGTTTTCATATGAAATAGTATGCTTATTATTTTCTAGCCCATAATTTTGTAAAGATGTTATCGATCTTTTTGGTGGATAATTTTTGGTTGAGTTTCCTTTACTAAAATTATCGTAACTTTCGTTGGAAGCTATAGAAATTTCCCATAGATGGCGCTGTTTGCCCTTGATTTGCCCATGAGTAAATTTTTTTTGGTTTGACCAAACCATATGGTACTGGCGGAACCAAAAATTTTCCCCAGTGGGCAAATCAAGGGCAAACAGCGCCATCTATGAGAAATTTCTATATCCCATATAATTTGTTGCTGCTCGAAGGAGATTTACATGTTGAAAAAGACGAGGAATTGCTTGAGGCACAACTTATTTTTTCTTTTTTTCTCTTCGGGTTTGCCTTATTTGTCACAATGTTTATTAATACGTGAGGAAGCATTCTCAGCTTTTTAGAGTGAAGCTCTGCAAGCTGCTGATAAGATTTTTTTAATAGAGGAGAGGCTTCTTTTATATATGATTTCTTTAAGTCTTCAACATCTTGCTGCAGTCTTTCCATTTTAGCTTAATTAAATCATAATGATATAAGCTAAAGTCTAGTAAAAGCCTCAGAAATTATCATTTTATTAAGCATATGAATTAAGATTATGCACTAATTACATTTTTCAATTTGAGCTGATCTGATTATAGAATTTCAGTTAATTTTTATACATATGGTCAAGCACAGATCTCAACCCCCCACCCCCCCTACCCCCACCCCCCCAGTTTGGATGTATACATCACACCCCCCCACCCCTGTATGGATCACACCCCCACCCCCTGTATGAATCACACCCCCACCCCCTCAGATAGTATGTATGGATCACACCCCCACCTCCCTTGCATCTATGGATCCCACCCACACCCCCATTCCATTAATAGATGCCACCCCCACCCCCTATATAATGTAAACTGTATTAAAGGCAAATAAAACGTATTAATTGCTCACAGCATAAAAAATTCAAAGTCATAGGGATGAAAAAAAAAAAATCGGATACAGTTTGCTAACGAGGAAGCATATTTTCAATGAACCTTCAAGCACATACCTCGTGTTTTAAATCATATAAAGGTCAAAAATTTCCAAAGAATGCAGGCTAGCTCCCCCCGCCATTTAATAACGAACAAAACAGTCATTTTTTTTTCCATAAAAAATTTTTCTATTAAAAAAATTTTTGTTTGCTCACGAAGAGTGAGGGACTTTTCTAATGGTTTTGTTCGCTCACGGAGGGGAGGAGTTAGCAATAGTTATTTTTTCTCATATTTAGGCGCTTTCTCTTTATGTTGCCATCATTTGACTTTTTTATTATTAACCTTTATTGAAATTTTATATATAAAAAATCATAGATATTTATAAATTTTATATATTTTTTTTCCCAAGAATTTTATAAGTTAGACCCATTTAATAACGAACTAAAAAAGTGTTCGTTATTAAATGGGGAGTAAAAGACTTTATAGAGATATCAATATATTTTTTGAGTCATTTATTGATTCCTTTCTATGTAATAAGTTTTTTGCAATTATTTTATTTTAAATATATTACTAATATATTGGCTATATCAGTCTATGCTAAATATACTTATGGTCATTAATATTTATTTATGAATCTATTTATGAATCCATTTATGAATTAACTAAAATTTTATTGTATGTCTTATTTGTAAGATTTTATACTTATATGTTTACCTATATGATAGAGGGGGTGGGGGGTGGGATCTATAAACATAGGGGGTGGGGGTGGGATCCATGCATGGGGGGTGGGGGGGTTGACATCTGTGCTTGACCATACATAAATTACGAATATTAAAATCCAAATAAACTTTTTCTGTGATGGAGAATATTTATGGATTGGTTTAAAGGCTAAAAATTTAAGATTCTCTACAAATGGTTACCATATTGAATCTATGGATTTAAAATTAAATTTTAGGACAAGAATTAAATAAGGACAATCATTTTTGGGTTTCAAAATTTTACAATTCCTGAGATTTGAATTTAAAATTCAAAAAAACGTTCAAGTAGATTATAATCTGTTTATGCTCATTATTAAGCTTAAAATTCAATTATTAATTAAATTTACGCCCTTTTACTTAAGCTCAAGTACAAATTTCAGCCATATTTTAGGCATCATATACCACAATTCCAATCTTTTAGTCTTCCAACAATTTTTTCTCTCGACCTAAATTCATTGAATCTCTATTATAAACATAAAATATGAAAATATCTAATAATCTAAAGCTGTCTATAATTAAATAATTCACTAATTATGGACTCCGATCCTACAAGCTCCTCAAGCAACCAAAATGAAAACCAATCGAATTTTCTTGATTTCAATGAGAATACGCAGGCTCAGCTCTATTACTCCTGCCTAAATATGATCTGCATGAGCAACTTGTTGTCGTCCCCTCAGATTTCTGAAATCCCTAATATCTCTGAAGAAGACTCAGATGAAAAGGCTTATACTTGCTGCTCTATGAGTTTTCAAGGAAAACGGGGGCTAAATCAACATATAGGGAGATTGCACAATAATTTTGAAAAGACTTCAGAGTGCACCCAGTGTGGTCGATCATTTAGGCATAAGAATGCATTGAGCTTCCATATTAAGCAGGTGCACGAAAAGTCAACAAGAGTAAGATGTTCTAAATGTGGAATGATGGTTTACAATAAATATATGATGAAGAATCATAATAAGAAATATCATCCTCCTGAAACCAACATCGGCTAAAAAGTGAAGATTTAATGCTAATAATAATAACTATTATAAATATAACTAGGCTGAATCTGAAGGGATTTTATAAATTGAAAAATTTGTTGAAAGAATAAAAATTTCTGTGGCATTTTTCTATTGAATTTTGTTCAAAAATTTAATCAGTTCCAAATTATAACATACAATTTGATTCAAGAAACAGACATCTTCTTCTCGGTGGCTTCAGAAAATCTATTTCAACTAAAATCACTACTCTAAGGAATGCGATAACTGGAAAATTTTTATAAAAATCAAGTACAAAAACTGATATAAATGATGAAGAAAGTTATGAAGTGAAGCTTTTAAGCTTATTATATATAATTTATGCATCATAATAGATCGCTATACCCCAGCAGAATACCGACCAGAAAAATAAGGTCCAGGATATAATCTAAGTCTAATTAGGCATCTTAAAACTATAAATGGAGATTTTTCATTTTCATTTTTACGTTTCAAAAAAGTTGACCAGTACAAGTTAATTTTGAAAATTAAATGGATATTCAATAATGATCTAAAATATTTCAGAGGCTATATGAAAATTCGGCTATTAATAAAATGCAGAGTCGCATCAATAAAGAACTCCAAGAACTCAGCACAAACCCTCCAAATAATTGTGCATTGTCACATGTCGGGAACGACATCACTCATTGGAGAGTAATCTTGTAGCACCTGAAGGCTCAGTTTATGAACGTGGAAACTTTGAGCTAGCTTTGACAATTCCAGCCGATTATCCTTTCAGAGCCCCAGATGTGAGGTTTGTTAATAGAATTTACCATCCTAATGTAAAATCTGATGATGGAGCAATCTCTGATGAACTATACCAAACTGACTGGAGCCCTACCAAATCTATCAGACATCTCCTTGAGCTGTTGCTGAGCACTTTAATAAACCCAAGGCCAGAATACGCAGTTGAGCCTGAGATAGCCCAGCAAATGATGATAAACCATGAAGAATATGTATGAACTGCAAGGCAATGGGTCAATCAATATGCTCGCTAAAATAAGAATAATATTAGAATTGCTATATGAAAATTTGAAAATCAAAGGACTCTTTAAAAACTTTTCTTAATTAATTTTCATTCCACCTATGTGCACACCTCACACATTTATAAAACACTGTCATAGGTTCATCTGCTGACCTAATTTGTATTTGTTTATAATACGCTTTTAGCTCCCCACATTTCGGGCATACCGCATCTATCTGAGCAACATCCACCCATTCATTAGGCCCACCTAATACATCATCAACTTGTTTCCTTTCCAGCATGACTCTTTTGCTTCTTTTTTGGTTCACGCTAAACACATATGGGCAGGTTTTACAAAAAAATTGTGTCCCTTGCTCTCTTTGGTCTACTAATAAACAATTAGCGCAGCTAGGGCAAAATAGCATATTTCACTATTTAATTTATGCAAATTATTTATAAGATTTAGCTTAATCCGAAATATTTGTCAATAATCGTCTTTGTAGTTATACAGTTGGTGTTAAAGCCCATGCTTTCTGCAGTCTCCACGACTCTTATAGCATCTTGTTGTCCTTCTACTATCATTCCTCCTAGCATATCAATAATGGCTCTTAAGCTTGCAATTTTGCTTTCTCTTTCAGGCCCAGTCACTTGTTCCAGTGAAAATTTCTGCCCGTCAAACCTTGTCTTCCTTAATGCCATATTAATTTCTGCAGTCGGCTTGGTGTACATTGACACAAACCTTTCTTGGTGTATCCTGGCCACGTAACTTTGTATATAATTGAGCTGCTGGCCTTTATTTTCAATAAACGGGACACTGTCGTCTTTAAATCCAAACACACCTTTGCAGTAATTATAAGTCTTCATCCTGTCCGCATAAGCTTTGCTGTTAATATATTCTGCATCTTCGCTAAAACAAGGCGCAAACCTCATAGAAGGGATTATACAGCCTTGGTCTTGACGTCTCCACACGTCAACCTGGTCATCAATAATAACAACATTTTCACTATTTGGGAAATTTAATAAATCTAATGATTTTTCTATATGAGCCTCATCTTTTTTAAGCCCAGTCGCAATAATCCGGTTCCCGAAAAACCGTGTAGACCCATCAATTATCTGTAAAACCGCTTGGGCATAGTCTCTATCAGCTGAGGTGTATACATAAAGTGTTCCAAGTCTCTGCAAGGAATTTAAGAAGTTTTTGAGATTCGGCCTGATCGCCAAAATCATGTACCCACGGATACCTTGAAGATAAAAAGGGATAAAGTTTATGGCTGGGTGGAGGCTTTTAAGCCTACTTACTTCAGCGTCTATAAGAGGTTTTGACTGCATTGAAGGGTGTATAGCATATATCATGGTCCAGTCTAAGTCAAGTATGATATCAAGGGGTTTCATAGAGAGTAATGGAGAATTGTATATAAAAGACCCAAAAGGTTTAGCTTGGTATAGTGTGCGTCTGTAAATTCTGTCCAAAAGTCGAGGATCTCTTGGGCTTGGATTTGAGTCTTGGGATGTCGAAAGAGGAATTTCACAAAAAGTATCAGGAAGCCGTGGGAGAGATTTGGAAAGCCTGAAAAACTCTTTGAGTTCGTCTTGGGTGTATTCAGCTTCAGGAAGCTCCCAGCCGTGGGATTGCAAGATTTCTTGTCTAACTTCTTGGTATTCCATAATTATTATAAGGGGGGTTTTTGAGAAATAATAGTTAAAATAGGTAAACTAACTAAATAGAATGAGAATAGCTGAAATTGTTAAAAATTCAGCTGACTCCCCACTTTAAATTATAAGAGCAAAATAGATGAATTTATTAAAAGTTTTCATAAAAATTTATGAAATTTATTGGTTTAAAGCGCTAAATTTTTTAAATAGTGTTTTATTTGTATCTATCCTTTTAAATTAAAAATAAATTATAGTTAAATTTTCAATTTTAGCAACATTAAATTAGCTAGCAAAAGTATTTCATATAAATTTTTTAATTTGCCTATAACAAAAAATTTTTGATCCAATTTAAATGGGGTCGAAAAACAGAAATTTCTCGATCTTTGGTTCAAATTTTTAAGGACCTGGAGTGAGTCCCATGTATCTATATCGTCGCTTGGGTTAAAAATTCCCATTTTTTTAGCACAGTCGTCAATTTGTCCTGAAGTGTAAAGTGACCAACTATTAATGATTTTTTGCATGCTGTAAAAATATTCGTATCCATCAGAATCGATGGAGTTGCAAGCATAAAGTTGGCTTAAATCGTCACTTAAATCAGTTATATGGGCATAATCCCCTGCACAGTCACTATCAGAGTATTGGAATTTTTCGTAAAAATCGTCAGAGAAACCAGTTATAGCTGGGTAGTTTCTTATAGGGCAATACCCAGTCGTCGAGCCTGTCCCATCACATTCGCAGTCAGCTTGGTCATGAGTTGATCCAGAAACAGTCCATTTATAGGTGCAAGTGTCCCCAATAGTGCATTTCCAAGGCTTTTCTTGTTTAACATTACCTATATAAATATCCAAACTGTCACATACATAATTTTTCATATACCCTGACTTGCAAAATTTGGCATTTTCTGTCTTACTTCCATTATCTTTAGACCAATACTCGAGACAATACCCATAAACACACCCAAGGCCTACGTCACACTGGTAATCAGATGTGCAGACGTCACCTTCTGAAAATGCCGAAATACAGGTCCCACTACTGCCATTACTACAAAACAGCCCAGATTTGCATTCTTCGCTTGAGGTGCAAGTCTGGCCTTTAGCGATTCCAATACATTTGTGGGAATCGGTGTCACAGCTTCCACTAGAACAGTCATCATTTTGACAGCAGTAGTCAATGTATGTGTCGAGCTGTCCTGTGTGTGAACTTGGGCAGGTATCGGAAGAAGTAGTCGCTCCAGAAGGAGTGCAAGCTGAAGAGGTAAAGTCCTCGTCTGACTGGAACTGCTCTACATTAATACAGTAAGAATCTGAGGGACAAGGATTAAGAGTAACCGTGGTGCTTGTAACTGTTACACAATTGCCAGTGGTACTCTTGCCTGTAGAACCGCAGGAAAGGGTTTTGCAGCTTGAAGAATCCATAGCGAAAGTAGAAACGGTGAGAATGAAAAGCACTAGGCCGAATTGTTTCATATTTTATAATCCCTATAAATTCCTCGAGAAATCAAAAAAAAATGACTAGCTTCTTTAAACAAAAAAATTTAAAGTAAAATTTTTTAGAAATACCAAAATTTTTTGTAGAATTTATGTTTAGAATGCAATTTACAAAATTTACTAGAAATTTCATTATAATGATTGTCAATTATATAGTAAACATTTTTATATTAATATTTTGTTCTCTCCAAGGGCTTTTATTATGGTTTGTTGCCGAGGGATGTAAGGAAAAGCTGAATGAAAGAAATTTTTAACAAATGCTTAAAATTTGGTTTAAAATGTAACGAAAAATATAAAAAATTTGAAGTTTTGAAACAGCTGGCCATATTATCTTATAAATAATTTTTATAAAAGTCTACCATATTCTTATTATAAAATCCATGATTTTACTCTTTAATTATTTAGCTAGATATTTACTCCCCCTATGTGAGTGATAAAAACCATTGATTTTTTGAGTAAAAAAAGCCCACCCTTTGTGAGAGAACAAAATTTTTTAATGAAAAATATTTTGATATATAAATGATAATTCGAGCTAATTCTGTTGAATTTAAATTAGCTTTTTAAAAAATAAAACTCGGAAAAATACTATAAAATTATAAATTTTTTACCAAAAAAATTAGTCCTCCGCAGTGAGCGACTTATTTTTTGTTCGCTAATGGAGATGGGGTTAGAATTTTAAGGAAATTTACAGCAGAAAAAAGAATTATGAATATTTTTAAATAAATGTTAAATAAATAATTTAAAAACAATTGAGGAATTTTCCCATTATTTTGATTTTTAAACTTATATGGATTCTAAACTTGCAAAAGGACAAGTCAAACTTGACTTTTTACACGCGTTTGGCTCCCTCAGCTCAGCAGGGATCCGAGACTCAGTTTGCTTTGGAGATGATGAAAGCAGCATAGTGCTGCTCCCTGATATTAATAATAAAATGGCTACCTATGGAAATTTTAAAACCCTTTCCCTTTAATATATTAATTATTATAAGATTTCAGGTGTCTTTATCCACAATGTCAAAGCATGGCTTACCACATAGGGTTGGACAAATTAGTGCAAGAATTCTTGAAGGTATAGGAGCTTTACTGTTTGACACATCCAAGGAAGGTGACCCTTAGGCTGAGCACACGCAGGAGTGTAGCATAGATCAGATAATGGTTCCGTGTATGTTTCTGGCTCACCAAAGTGTGTCGAAAATTTCAGAACTTTCTTGCCATTTTGGTGACTCTGGTATCATTTTGGCTGCTGGGATCGCCCACGATTTCTCTGTTTGATACTTAAAAGGATGGACCCAAGCATGCCTAAATCATCCTGCTGAAGAGGTAGTACGTTAAAATACTAAATAGTTAAGTAAGTGCTGTTCCCTGTAGGTCGGCATATAGCAGTCCGATCTCTCGATACCAACGAAGTTACATTCATCTCGGTGATTTATAATTAGGAACCATCCTCAGTCTCAGCAATTACAGCTATGTCAATAAGTAAAGAAAGATCAAGGCGTTTCTTAGCTGTAGGTGAATATTTGGATAAAGAAAAAATTTCACAAGTTACAATTATCGATATCAAAAATCCAGGAGGATATAAACCTTTTGCTAATAGGTCATATTTATTAATTAAATTTTATTTAAAATATGTATCAAAAGTGTGCCTTGAGCTTATTTATATATTTTTAGCATAAAAGACTACGTGAGCTAAGAATTCCCGACCAAAACGCGAAATTTTCCACCCTTGCTTTTTCATATGACTCAAAGCTCATTACATGTGTAAGCGGCGGGATGGGGATTGTCTGGGACTGATACAAAGAAAAAATCATCGGAAAAGAAGCCATCGGAGCCGAGATCACAAGAATTTCTGTCAATCCAAAAGACAGCCACTTAGTCAGCACATCAGGCCCAAATCATTGAAAAACCTGAAGAGTTGAAGAAAAAATTTTCAAAGAGCAGCCTATGTTTTCCAAGCTGGCCCAAACGCAAAATTTCACAGACCATGATTGGCTTGACGACGACACTGTAATTGCAGTTACTGACATGGCCGAAGCTTTTATACTATTATTTATAGATTTTTTAATGGTTTAGATACTATTGGACAATTTATATGAAAATACCATATATCCAGAGGCAACCAGATTGTCCAGTATATAGAATTTGGATTAGGGAAAATTTCTGACACAATGACCACTGCATCAGTTACGTGCATGCTGGGATTTTCGAGAGGATTTATTATGGCAAGTGATGAAGGCTTTCTTTCATTGTGGGAAAGAGCTGAAACTAATGAACTCGAAGACCAGACCCAAGAGCTGTTTTCTTTTATAAAGTCTTGGAATTGTGGCAAAAAACAAGCAATTGTGTCACTTGCCTTGTCTAATTCAGAAGAAACATTGACAATTGCCCTGAAATCAAATGATATAGGGACGTGTTCACTTTCACAAGTAATCATGTATGACTCTGTAAAATTTATACATTTTTATAGATATCCGGGTTTTTTTTCATCTTTTATAGCCCTTAGCCATATATAGATTTCTTTATGAAGCAAAATGTAATAGATAGTTGAACGGCCAAGACAGATTCAATCAAAGGGACGAATCTCTATAACAGGAAGGCAATGACGCAATTATTAAAATATCTTTATTATAAAATTAATTTTTAATTTTAAATACCCTTTTAGACAGAAACTGATAAATATCTTACCTATTTTCCCCTATTTTTCTATAAATATAGACTCAAGCAACCAAATAAGAGAATATTCTAAGTATATAATCATTTTAAGGGTATTCTTTTTTTAGGCGGTGCTGATAATATTTTCATATTGATATCATATAAAAGCATTACTTCATGAGTGACATGGGAGATTAAGATTTGAAGTGAGTGAAATTGCTGAAAGTACTGTCGGAATTCCAGCAGAGAAAACATTGATAGAGCATTGAGTTCTCTAATTAACAAAGTGCTTGACCTCTTATAGTTTGTGATAGTGAATTTCACAGTCCATTTAAAACTTTGAGCATTAGATAGGATTATGGAAATTTGTTTTTCATAGTCATTGCTGAAGTGATCAAGCACTTTTTTAATTAGAGAACTCAATGCTCTATCAATGATTCCATGCTAGAATTCTGACAGTACTTTTAGCAATATCACTCACTTCAAATCTTTATTTTCGAAGTCATTTTTGAACTTTTATCTAAATCATCATGGGAAATGACTGAGAAATTTCCATAATGCAGAAGCCCATGAGCTATCAATGCTTTTGCTCTAAAAGTATGGGAACAGTTCCAGCAATTTCTGTAAAACCCAAGATCAGTTCCAGCAATTTCACTCGCTTCAAATCTTTACATTCAAAATTGCTTATAAATTAGATTATTCCAGAAATACGAAAATGAAAATCTCTTAAAATGATTGAACGCTTTGCATAATGCAGAGGATAATAAATTATGAATGTTTCTACTTTTGAAAGTCTGTGAACAGTTTTAAAAAATTTCACTCACTTCATTCTTTCACCTTACAAGTCGCTTATTTTGTATTATTTATTGTAGAAATCCGATATTTCAGACCTTTCATAGAATGGCTGAGAGCTTCGCATAAATAGAAGTTTATGAGTTGTTAATAATTCTGCTGCAAATAGCCCAGCAGCACTTCCTGCAATTTCCCTCGGCTCATTTCTTCGTTTTAAATTTACTACTCATACTAAATTACTTTCTTGAACCTAAATTCTAAAGAAAGAGTAAGATACTTATGAATGCCAGCTAAAAGCTATTGTAATTGCCCGAGGATGGCGCAAGATAGCGCCATCCTCGGGCAATTACTATATCTTTAATTTAAAATTAATTTAATAATAATAAAGCATTTAAAAATATTTGCATATGCTTGTTAACTTTTTTCACACTTTTCAATCATTTTTTTGACATGCCACTTTTATACCTTCTTGGCATAGAGATCCAGCTTATCCCTTTATAAGAGTCTGGCTTGGTCGTTCAACTGTCTATTACATTTTGCTCAGTAAAGAAATCTATATAGGGGTATTGACTATAACATAAATTTCTAGATAATTATTTATTTTAAGCTGGAATAATATTTTTTGTGGAGGCTTCCATTCAGGAAAAATCAATGAAATGGATGTCGCTATACAGCGGCCTTTATTGGTTACTTGCTCAGAATCAGACGCTACTCTTAGAATATGAAATTACCATTCAATGAACTGTGAATTAGCGAAAAAGCTCTATGTAGTAGAAAGAGATACAATGGACCCAGCAGGAGAAGCAGTCAGCCGGCCTCTTCTCAGCGTAGCTTTTCATCCATCAGGGTATTATATAGCAGTCTCTTTTGTAGACCGTGTAAGGCTTTTTCATCTTTTATATGACGAGTTAAGGTTTTTCCGAGAAATCAATGCCCCACGTGCCAATGTGCTAAAATTTAGTAATGGTGGGCATATGCTAGCTGCAGCATCTGGACAAACAATATTGATATACGAATCTTATACTTTAGAATGTTTACAAATAATGAACGCCCATTCAAGCTTGGTCCAGGAAATGTGCTGAAGCTATTTAGACAAAAAACTGTTTACAGTAGGTGCTGATGGCGCTATGTTTGAATTTGCAACAAATACCTGGACAAAAGAAAAAGAGCATATCCCTTATATGCTTATAATAAAAAATGGTTAAATATTAAAATCCTATTTTTAATAGGAAAAAAACATAGTCAGAAATATTTTTTAGATAATTCATATTAATTATAATATAAATACAAATATTGAATATTGCTCATTGACTATTACAGATGAAGATACTGTTATTGCGTCAGGCTGGGAAGGACAGCAAGCAATGCTGCTTGAAAAAGCAGACTATGAATGAAAACTGCAAAAAATTGACAAATCGTTGACCCAAGTCTGTTTTTTCCAGTCCTCCCATAGAAATCCTGTATTGCTTGGCTCCACCAATGAAGGGACAATTTTGAATTTTGGCTCAGGAAAAGAAAAAGTGTGGCTTGATGAAATCGATGTCCATCAAGGCTCAATAACCAAGCTGCGAGCGTCTCCTGATGGACGATTTGTGTTTTCAGCTGGCGAAGATGGTGCTATTTTTGTATATTTTTCTTACTCCCCCCCCCCCCCTCCGTGAGCGAACAAAAAAATTTTTTCGTTCGCTCACGGAGGGGGGTTAATTTTTTTTTTTAAAAAAAATTTATATATATAAATTTTATAAAAAATATTTTTTTTTCGAAATTTAAAAAAAATCCCTAATTTGCAAAAATTGGGAAGCAAATATTAATTTAATTTGCAAAATTTATGTTTTAAAAAACGCAATTTGTTTAAAATTAAACAGAATTAGCTCTAGATTTCATTATACTAATTATCACTTATATATCAAAATTTTTTTTCCATTAAAATTTTTTCTATTAAAAAAATTTTTGTTCACTCACGGAGGGTGGGTTTTTGGTCAAAAAATGGCGATTTTTCTAATGGTTTTGTTCGCTCACGGAGGGGGGGGGGGAGTTAATAAAAAAAGCAAATTCTCTAATTAAAATTTATTTATAATAGTCATCTTATACATAATATTTAAAGTAGACGAAAGTCTAGACTATTCCCATTTAGAGCATATAACAGTAGAAGGCAAAGAAAAAGAGCTTTCAGCCCGAGTTGTAGACGATACTCTTGCAGAAATCGTGCTAATCGAAAGAGGACAGCTTGATAAATTTAAAGACGCATTAGACCAAGAAAGACAGGAGCTTGAAAAAATGAACCATACAATCACAAGCAGCTCAAAGCTTCGAGAAAGCCAATATCAAGGGAAACTACAAGAGATCAGGGACAGTATTATGGAAAATATCAGAGCTCAACAGGTCAGGATTGAAGAATTGTCTGCACAGAAAACAAGGCAAGAAAGGGACTATGAGAAAAAACTGGCACAGCTGGAAGCAGATCATAATAAAGAAGTAGACTCATTAGAAACTATGTATGAAAGGAAGCTTGGGATTGAAGATGAACGCTTTAGACAGCTAGAACATGATAAGGTTGAAATGAAGCAGCATTATGAAGACCAAATAAAAAATATAAAAGTCCATAATGAACAAGCTGTAGAAAGCTTAGAAAAAGCATTTAGGGATGCATTATGTAAAGCAACTGAAGAATATGAGTCTACTAAAAGAACAGCTGAAGAGCTAAAAGAAATTTATGAAAAAAGATTAAGCCAACAAGAAGATGAGCACGAAATCGAGGTTTTGGACTTAAAAGACAAGTTTGAAACTCAGCTAAAAGATCTGAAAAAACAATATGAAGAACTTGTAAAAATTAAAAAAGAATATAAACAAGCACAATCTGTCGCAAACCAAGACAAGCAGGAAGGAATACAGAAAATTGAACGAAAAAGAGGGAAAATTGAGAAAAAAAGAGAAGAAATCATGAATTTGAGGCAGCAAATAAAAAATTTGGAGCAGGCAATTAAGGAGAAAGAAGAGACTTTGATGAAAAAAGATAACCAAATTTATGAGTATAAGCGACAAATAAAGGATTTAGAAGAAACAAAAAAGCTTTTATACTGTAATTAAGTGTATGAATATTAGAAAATAATAGAAATGGCTTATTTATTTATAAAATAATCAGGTTTACATTCAAGAAAGCTTGAAATCCTTGATGAAATGCAGCCAAAAGAAGAAGAAATCGAAATGCTTGGGACAAGGATAAAGAACGTAAGAACAGATCTACAAAAAGAGAGAAAAGACAATGAAGAGCTAGAAAGAAGCTTAAACAAGCTAGAAGATTTATTAAGAAGGCTAAAAATTGACAATAAAGCCCAACAAGCTGCAACACATGAAGTCGAAACTGTAATAAGATCCATTATAAACGACATTCACCATGCTGTGTCTACATTAGATATAGTCGATTGGCCAGATGAGCTTAAAAAACTATCCCTTTTACCTTAACTTATCTTATTATCTAATCTCTATAAAAATCTTTTTTTTCTCAATAAAATAGAATATATCAAAATTACGTCCGTGAAGATGGCTCAAAAATCAGAAAAGACGCTGATTCCATAGAAGAGCTTGAACACCAGCTCAGATATATGGAAAAATCTATTACTGGAATAAGAGAAAACTCAAAAAAATCAATGAAAAGATTTAAGGTTGACATGAGAAAAAGGACTCAAGAAAATTCAACGCTAATACAAGAATTGAATAAATTAAGGTTTGAAAATAAAAGAGACGAATTTAGGATAAAACAGCTGGAACAGATGATAGAAAAAGCGCAGGAGTCAGCAAAAGCAAGAGATATCAGTCCAAAACAGCAAGGGAAACCAATTCATATGAATAAAGAACAGGCAGCGACACCTTATTTGGGGTATGTTAATAAGCCAAGTCCAATGGAGCATAAGTTTGCGTCACTGCAAGATAGACAAAGGATTATTGATTTGCAAAATGAACTGGAAGAGAAGAAGGAACAGAATTTCTATTTGAGGATGGAAATCAATCAGCTGCGTGAAATGCTGGGGAAGACCCCAATTAGACTTAGCTAGATTATAGATAATCCTTATTCCCTTCCATAATACTCGACTCGTCCAACGACTTTTAAGGTCTTGCTCCTGCCAGCACATGCTCCTGGTAGTCGGAAAGTTTGGGTCACCTTGCCGTTCGTCAACTGGGTTTGGTTTCTAGAAAATTTGAAAAATAAATTATCTGGTCACCTATCGACTGATGTGAAAATTCGTAATCTAGGACGCAACGCCTGGTATTGCGCTGAGAGAACGTTCATGATCGACTAGAAGGAGTCAAACTGATATCGCTGGGTCACCACTTTATAACTCCGAACTCCATCTTCCTGAGAGGCAAAACTTGACCTAGATGCTAACTTTGTGCTCGCAACTCGGACATTGCACTCCACTAAACCAAGTAGCCTGAATGGATGCTCCCAGCTATAGCTTTAGGAGATTAGGCTCGTTCGCCATTCCATTTTTATTTATGCTAGGAAGGCTCCACAACAATAAATATTTTTATATAATATTTTTTGATATATGAGAGAAAATTCGATGTTGGTAGCCTTAGTCTTAGTCTTAGTTAAATTTATAGAGTAGCTCCCGGCCAGGACCGAAGGCCCTTTTCTTCCGCCTTTTGGACGCCTCGCTTGCTTTCCTTGCCCTGCTCCCAGTGTGCACATAAGTGCCACAGGCTACCACTCAGCTCCTTCCGGTCATGGGGCTTGGTCATTCTATCCCGGAAGTAGGCGGACTGAGTCACGTGCTTCACGTCGCCAGACTAGGGTTAGAGCTAAGGATTAACTCCTTAGCTCTTTTCGGCTCCTGCCATGCCCTCCAAATTGGCACTAGCGTAGAGGAAAAACCCTTTTTGCCCCGTGTCCTATCGGGACGACCCTAGGATCGTCGTTGCTGGACAGGGAGGGAAACCTAGCCAGACACAAACTACCAGTACCCATTCCAGACCTTTCCCTGGGCGGATTGGCTTCAGGCCGCAGCAAGGTCCCAATCTCGCCACAGTTCCGGGAGAGTACGGGTCGGTGTCGTCGCCATTTTATTTGTGTGTCGATGTTGGTAGCCAGCTAACATTATATCTTTATTAAGATAGGCCACTTATTAATTTTATAATTATACCTTGTTAGCATTTATAGAAAGATGGATTAATTTATTTTCAATTTATCTTTATAATTTAACATTTCATTAATTACTGCAAAAAATACTTATTTATTACAAACAAGATTATCTAAAAAAAGGGAAATAGAGTATAGAATACTAACTCCCTGGCTAGCAAGCAAGTTAAAAAAAAATATCTTATAAGAGTAAGCTATCTAAAATTAATGTAACTAGTTTTAAAATCAAATACTCTAATAATCGCAACGCATAAAAAATATTTATACAAAAATCATTTAAAAAAATTTTGCTCATAGGTATCCAAAATTGAATTTCCCAGAAAGGAATAATTTTGCTGGATATCCAAGGGTAGTAAGAGTTTGTAATTTATTTGTATCTAATTATCTTCTAATTTTGATCAAAATATTTTGCTATTGAAAATAAAAATAAAATTTTTAATTTTGTTTACACTAAAATATTTGCCAAAAATAACCATGAAAAAACGGCAGCATGTCTTTTATCAGAACATTTTCTCTTACTCCCCCTCGTGAGCGAACAGAACTATTGGAAAAATCACTATTTTTAGGGTGAAAATCAACCTTCGTTAGCAAACAAAAAATTTTTTTATTAACTCCCCCCCTTCCGTGAGTGAACAAAACCATTAGAAAAATCGCTATTTTTTTGCCCCAAAAGCCCACCCTCCGTGAGTGAACAAAAATGTTTTTAATAGAAAAATTGTTTATGGAAAAAAAATTTGATATATAAATGATAATTATTATAATGAAATCTAGAGCTAACTCTGTTTAATTTTAAACAAATTGCTTTTTAAAACATAAATTTTATAAATTTAAATAATATTTGCTTTCCAATTTTCGCGAATTAGGATTTTTTTAAATTTCGAAAAACAATATTTTTTATAATATTTATATATAAATGTTTTTAAAAAAAAATTAACCCCCCTCCGTGAATTAACAAATTTTTTTTGTTCACTCACGGACGGGGGGGGGAGTAAGTGATAATTATTATAATGAAATCTTTAGCTAATTCTGCTTAATTTTAACATAAATTCTACAAATTAAATCAATATTAAATTTGGAAAAAATTACTATAAAATTTATATATAAATCTTTTATTTGCTCACATAGGGGGAGTTACAGCCATTCCCTCTGCCAATTTGGTCCCAAATTTTTTGTCAGGCTTATTAGAAAAATAACACGCTTTGCTGAACAAAATTTATCGTGGGAAAAAAACTCGACTAAATGGTGCGAAGCAAATGTCTGCTGGAAAATTTCCACTAAAAGATATGCTAGGATGAAAAAAATCAGGCATAATATCTGCAAATTTCCAATAAAAATGTAACAATGCATGATTTAAAAAGATCTAAATAAATTTGATATTACTCTAATTATTAGAGCCTAAATTCTCACCAGTCTCAACAGGGTTAAAATACCTCACAGGGACCGGCTTGAAAATTTGAGTTGGCACTTGGATATGTCTTGGCCTCATCATTTCGTAAGAAAAAGGATCCGGAGGGCTAAAAATAAACGGGTTATACATCATAGCAGTATATCCTATATTGTAAAAATTTGAAAATGGATTGATAGGGCTGCTATATGCGCTTTTATACTCAGCTGTCGATTTAAAACTATCAGAAAACGAATTTGAAGCTTTGGTTGAGCATGATTCCAGTTCAACATTATTTCTTTTCGTATAAATAATATATAATTCTGCTTCTTTATATCCTATTTTTTAAAAAAATTTGCTATAAATATTTATTTTTATTTATAAAAAAAGGCATAAGAACGTCCCATTCATCATCCGGCCCAGAACTTAGATCCTTTAGATCTTGCCGGTAGGGAGGCGACGATTGTAAAATTTCATCAACGTAATAGTTGTATTCGATAATTCTGAACTCGTTGCAAGCTAAAACGGACTCGCTTAAGTACCTGTACTTTAAGTTCAGCTCTTTTCCACTCACTTCAAGCCAGCCTTTGTTTTTAAAATCCCATTTCCTATAAACTTCTTCAAAACCTGGGATTTTTGATTTAATGGGCTGATGATTTTAAAAGGAATTTGAGGATTTTTAGGCGGGGCTCAAGGAAAATGGCTTGAAAAAGCCGAAAAATAAAAATATAATAAATAATTAAATAAAAGATTTAATGTACTCATAGAAGTGCCGGGCATCACTAAGGTATGATTTCGCTGCATAGGCAGAAATTATTAGTAGCAGACGAAGTGGGAACTCTTGGTCAGCCCAAACAAACCGATCTAAATAGATTGACCAAACAGTTACTTCAATTTCATTTAGGGATAGCTTTTCATATACATCTAAAAGAAGTCTGAATAAGGGTTGCCCACGCATTTCGCTTGGAATTTCTTTGGAATGTACAATTCTTCTGATAAGAAGCTGTGCCTTTTGATGGCTTTTGGAAAACAATTTTTAATAAATATCTTTTTAAAAAAATAAAATATTTAGAAAAATGACCTAAATCTTTGAAAATTTATAAAAAAATCCTGAAATAAAGTGCCGTTTAAATAATTAACTCTTTTAATAAAAGCTATTTTACTTACCCCTTTTGAGAAATACCTGAACTCGTGAAGTCCAGGTATTCTTTTTCAACAGTGTAAGTTATTTAATCAGAGCATTTTCCTCGAGCTACATCATTTTCTTGGAGATTTTTGGTTAAAAATTTTTCCTCATGAGAATTTGCTCGTAAAAAGTCAAAATTTGCTTAAATAGATCGATCAGGGAAAAATCCTGAGGAAACGTCACACACGAGGAAAATGTTCCAATCAAATGGCATGCAACCTTTTTCATACCGATTAATAAGTTTTCTTTTTGAACCAGTATTTTTATCAGACAATGAACTGATAATAAGATCACGCTCACCCTCTTCTTCATAAGAAGAGAGTTTGAATCTTTTGTTTGGCTCTTCAACATGATGATTAGTTCTTGACTTCAACGCCCTCTTTCTGTTGTATGGTTCACACATTCTGACACTGAAAGTAATTAAAAGATTCAAATTATTATAATAAAAAATACTCCATCTGGATCTGAATTTATTTTATTATTAAATATCTTAAAGAGTTTCTCTAACCCTTTCTAATAATAAGCAAATTTTTTAAAATATTAATTTTTTTTGAAAATAATTTCCAATTTATATATTACCTCTTTAAATTTTCCCAAATAATAAAAGTTATTATTAATAGAGAGTGAGTTTCTAATTGAAAAATTATTCAAGATTACTAAATATGACTGGTGAAAAATTGATCACATTTTTCAATAGTTAAGAAAAAATCAAAGTTTAGATTTTATATGAGCCTTAATATCAAAGGAAATAAAAAGAAAGATTTATAATAAAACTGCTTGTTTCTGGCGCTTGCTGACAATTTTTAAATCTTTATTTTGAATTTTGGCTTTGAGACTCGCTTCAGGAGCTTATAAAATGCAAAAAATGATAATATTAAAAATATACTGTAAAATAAGAACACTTAAAAGAGAAATTACGAATTTTCTCATAAATAAGAAATAAAGATATATATTAGGTATTTATAGTCCACATTTCCAATAGCACTGCTCTAAACATAGTCTAGCTTAGGCTCCTCCTATTTGGTGAGGATCCTGGAAACCCCTAAAGATCGCCCTTTTCTCCGGGGCTCTTTTAAACTGGAGAGATTTTCACTTTTAAGAAGCCTATCTTTCCTTTTTTCTCTCTGGATTAGCTCCAAAAGAAAACCTCAACAGCATAGGACATTAAAAGCTTGAGCAGTTAAGACTTCCTGCTCATATAGGCCAATAATCAGCGAAATGTCTTTTCGAGGCTAGCACGATGCTTGGGCCGCTTCCTGTATTAAAAAACACGTCCAGATACCTATAAGAGCGTCTACCACAGGAGGATAAACCGCTATCGCCAGCTTTTTATGATATCAGAATAGAGGTATAAAATTAATTCTTCATATTTATCCTTCATTTATTATGGTTAATGCACAAATTCTTTTTAATAAAGCTATTTATACCTGATAGCCGGATAAAAATTCTGTACAAATAATTATCTCTACCAAGTATTTTTATTTAAATTAATTATTATCACCTCACATACTCTAACTCTCCCTCCGTGAGGAAACCTAAAAATTTTGTTCGCTTGCGAGGAGGTTAAATTTTATTTTCATTCAAAATTTTCATATAGATTTTTTTTTTAAAATTTAAAAAAATCCCAATTCAAAATCATTTTAAAGCAAATATTAATTAACTTATCAATTTATGCTTTATAATGCAAGATATTTAAAATTAAAAAGAATTAGCTAGAGATTTCATTATAATAACTGCCACTTATATATCAAAATATTTTCTAATAAGACATTTTTATATTAAGCGTGGGTTTTTATTCAAAAATAGGGATTTTCCCAATGGCTTTGTTCGCTCAAGGAGGTAAATAATATTAAAACTCTCATAAAAATCTCCTTTCTTTTTATAACTCCTATCTAATTTCCTCGCAATCTTTTTGGATATATTTTTCTCGACATAACTGCAAAATTTATTAAAATTTTTCATTAAAAAATTTTCCCTTCAGTAATTCTGAATTTCTCCTTGTGCCTCTTCTCAAATTCTTTCATATTTTTGAATAAATTATTTAATTTAAAAATATTTCTCGATTTTCTAAGCTTACTTTAAGAAGAATCACCATACTTAATAATCAAAAAATGAGCAGAGCAGTTCTTCAACCGTTCGAGGAGTACCAAAAAGCGCGTGTAACTTTCGTACAAACAGTAGCAGAACTTGCAACCCGCCCACAAAATATCGACGCTTTACAAAGTGCAGGGGTTATGGCTTTGCTAAAACCATTACTACTTGATAACGTCCCAAGCATCCAACAGTCAGCCGCCTTAGCCCTTGGCCGTCTAGCTAACTATTCTGACGATTTAGCAGAACAAGTGGTTGCCCATGACATTTTGCCTCAGCTAGTCCAGTCTTTAGCTGAGCAAAACAGGTTTTACAAGAAAGCTGCTGCATTTGTCCTGACTCTTCTAGTAGAATTATTTTAAAAATAAAATTATATATAAATTAAATAAAAAAATAATTTTTTTTATTATGGAGGAGTGAGGGCTGTTGCAAAACACTCAGCAGAGCTCGCACAGGCAATTGTAAGCAGTGGAGCTCTTGAATCCCTTGTAACTTGTCTTGAAGAATTTGACCCTGGCGTCAAAGAAAGCGCAGCTTGGGCTCTTGGGTATATTGCAAGACATAATAGTCAGCTAGCAAATAGTGTAGTTGAAGCTGGAGCTGTAGGGCTTTTAGTCCTATGTGTGCAAGAACCTGAGCTTTCACTCAGAAGAATTGCTGCAAGCGCTCTTAGTGACATAGCCCGTCATTCTGCTGAATTAGCTCAAAAAGTAGTCGATGCTATGGCAGTTCAACATCTTTCTCAATACATCAACCATCCAGACTCACAATTAAAACGAGTCAGCACGAATTTTACCATATGAAATAAATCATTTTTCTATATAAGTGATAGTAATTTTTTTTTAAATTATCATAAAAAAATTTTCTAAAAAAAAATTATATGAGAAAAATTGATTTTTTACTCAATTAAAACGCCAAGTCTGTTCTTGTTTGGCACAAATAGCCAAACATACCACAGAACTCGCAGAATCTGTCGTTGAGGCTGAAATTTTCCCAAGAATTCTTAACTGCTTAAAAGACGTCGACATGCACGTGAGAAAAAATGCAGCTACTTGTATTAGGGAAATCGCCAAACATAACCCTGCATTAGCAAAATTGATTGTAAACGCAGGTGGAGCAGCAGCCATTGTAGACTACATAAGTGAAGTTAAAGGAAACCATAGACTTCCTGGGATTATGACCTTAGGGTACATCGGTGCTTTTGATGAAAGTTTAGCTATGGGTGTTATAGTCTCAAAAGGTATCCCACCGCTAAAAGACGCCCTTAAAAATGAAGGAGAAGACCATATTAAAGCAGCATCAGCTTGGTCGTTAGGACAAGTTGGCCGCCATAGTGCAGATCATGCTAGAGCCTTAGCTGAATTAGACATTCCTAACTGTTTATAGAAATAAAATGGTGACGTTGACGGAAATTATGCTTAAGGTGCATCCTATGGAGCAGGTAGGGCCCATCCTGATAAAGCTGAAAACAGGGCCTCTGCTCCTTTTTGAAGTAGGCTTCAGGCTTGGAGATGCCTTGCTGAATAGGAAAGTTTTTTTTCCCCAAAAGTCCCTACCAGATGGGCTCGACAGGTTTTGCCTATCAGATGGTCTCTCATTGGGACCATCGGGTCATCTCATAGGCAATAAGGAGTTGATCCTCTGGACAGGCTGTTCTGGTCGGAAATCCAAAATGGCGACCTTTGGAGCCAAGGTGGGCAATGGCTAATGGCTAGATCCACTTATAGCCAGCATAATCGTTTTAACTTTAACTAACTGTTTATTAGCTGCTTATATAGATGAGCAAAGCAGTGAAGACTTAAAAGCGAAGTCTAAAAGGGCCTTAAAAAGCATTGTGCAAATGTGTACTTACTTACCTGCACTTGAGCCATTATTACAGCTGGCTCCTCCATATACATTAAAATGGAGTCCAATCAATAGACCTTGAACAAGGGAGGATTGCGTTCGTGAATGTGTATCCTGCCATGCTTTTCTTGTTTTGTGAACTAAAATGTCTGGTAGCCGACCACATGCTTTGCTCCAATGCTAAGATTTTTTCCTCAGAGGGGAATGGAGCTGAGAGTTGGAAAGTGATCTCCCAGCAGTACCAACGGTTTGTATCCCAGTCAATCGGGACTTTTTCCAGCATAAAATCAGTAGTTAGGCCCTCGGCTTCGTATTATTTTGACAAGAAAATTCAGCATTTTGAATTTTTCATGATGAGGAACCTTTGTTGACTAACGCAATTCATTCAGCTACAGTGAAGCAACTTCAGGGCCTTTTTCAGCAGGAGTATCCTTTCTGAGCCGCATACGAACTGAATTGGGCTTTATTGGTGGAGGTAGTCCTTCAGAAATTACAGTGAAATTCTTATAATTTCAATAAATATAAGCACTGCAGCTTGCTCCTCCTAATATTTTGAAATATGTGATTAATCAGTTTGCTAAGACCCTGCCACATGATCTAGCGGCCAGGAAAACATTTGTGCAGAGTGGAGGACTGCAAAAGGTGCAAGAAATTGATGCACCGCCAGGGACTAAGCTGAGAGAATATAAGGAAGCAATTAATCATTTGTATCATCCTGATATTGTTACTTATTATTCTCCTAACTATGCAGAAACTTTGATGAAGAAAATTGAAGAGTTCGGTCAATCTTAGACTTTTTAATAATTTAGATATTAATTTATATCAAAAAGTTCCTTAAATGTATTTTTCAAATGTGCTCCCATTTGGCAGCACTTGAGATATTATTGCAGCTGGCTCAACCTAATACATTAAAATATGTTATAAATCAGCTTAATAAAATACTGCACAACGATGCCGAAGCTAGAAAAGAATTTGCCCAAAATGGGGATTACAAAAAATTCAAGCTAATTCTGAACCTGATTTGAAAAAATGCAATTATATAGTTATTACTTTATATCAGCATAATATTCCGGATTAAAAAGCATAAATCTCATTTAAATATTTAATTTATATGAATTTGAACTAATTTAATAAGGAAATAATCATATCTATTCTTATTAGATCAGAGATTTTATAATAATAACCGGATTATTAAGTAATTTTATGCACTTCCGAAAATGTATATATAAGATAAAACAGCAAAAAAGTTAAAACTGTAAGAATAAGCACAGGGAAATTTTGCGTTTTATTATATATATCATCAGATGATTCATATACTAGTCTTTTAGGCTCCGCAATTTCTGCTTTGGGATTTTTTTTATTAGAAGAAAATATATTTTTCCTAATCGAGTTTAGATTTGAGTCCTTATATGAAGAAGTGTAAAATGTTGATTTTTTTGATGTAAAGCTAGCAGGTTCTTTGATTAATAATGGGGTATTGAAAGATTTGTTATTTTGCTCAGATTTTATATATAAAGCATACTGATAGTCATGAGATTCAATTAGTTTTTTTACTAAAAACTGCTTTTTATTGGTATCTTTGAAATATTTTATATTGTCTTGTGTGATTTTAATTTTGGCTTCATTCGACATTGAATATTTTTCAGTTGTGAGCGATTTTTCTAGATTAGATTAAGTTAATTCTAGCAGATCTCTGGGGATTATTTTAATCTCTCTCTGTCCCAAGCCTGCTTTAGGCTTAGGTGGCCCTGAGTGTCGGCGTCACATCAGACCCTTTTTCTGTCAAATTAACCAAAAAATGGTATGCCATCAGTCTCTTGGGAGACTCTCCTGAGCATTCTTGGGTCTAGCTACAATGGGCTCCTTAACCTCTGGTAGTGCTCAGAGTAAGGAAAAGCATCCAATACCTACTTCTGGACTACCTTGCCTTTGACAAGCCTATATTGCTTCCCAGAATTGTAAGCCGGCTTTACTCCTTCAGTTTATCGTCTCGAGCTAGGAGAAAAAATCCAGTCGTGAAGTCCCAACCAGGCAAAAAAATTATCCAGGAATTCCTAAAGAATTGGATTTCTTATCTGGGGCTGATATCACTCCACAGTCATCCTAGACCTGCTCACCTTTTAAAAAGTGATTTTTCTAAAAGGTTATTAAAAATTGATTTATTCGAAGTATAATAATTTCTGTATATTTTATTAAATAATATTACAATTTATTAAAAAGTAATGTTTTATTTTACAATAAAATATTATAATTTGCATTCAATCTCGGGTGTTATGAATTTCCTCGAATTTCTTTAAAGCTTGGCTCCCTTGCCTTTTTACTGATTCTAATTCTTCAAGCATATAATTCATCTTTGTAGACTCCTGCTTATGTCTTATCTTATTTTTCAGCAAAAATAATCGATTTATAACTTCAATTTTTTTCTTTTCTGCTTCATAACTTATCATCTTTCCTTGTCTTATCTCTTTTTGCGTTTCTTTTATCTCATTCTCTTCAGGTAATCTATCTCTTACATATTTCCTTCTATTAATCATATTTTCCCTTCATGTTTTAAACGATTCCGTATACACTTCTCCTACACATTCGCACATTTTAATAAAAATTCTTCTGCACAAATTATTTTTTTCCTCATCTTCTAGCAATTTAAAATTTGCTTCAATTTCTTCTAACTGCAAGGATTCTAGGCTCGTTTTTTCTTTGAACTCTTTGCTTGTTATCAATGTTTCTAAAACTTGAGCTTTACCTTGGGTTTTATATAAAATTACCTTGTCTTTTCACATCAAAAATCATTTTTGGAAAATTTCTTTATTGCATCATTTCCGATGTGCTAACGCAATCAGTTTTGCCCCAACTTTTTTAAGATTTTCCAAAGCTGCTGGATCGGCAGGTTCAGCTGGCAAATCTTCACTGAATGAAAATTCACAATTTCCTCCATCATTTAACACCCTCGTTTTGCTAATAATTTGTGCTTTTTCTTCTTCATTTGTACTCATTTTTGTATCAAAACTGTTTTTCTGCCTAGGAGATCCAAAAATTTCATCAGAAGTCTCATAAAAATAAGTCGTTGGCCTATTCTCAACGTCGTCATCCAAAATGCTTATTCTTTTTTCACAGTTTGTTCTTAAACTGTTTAATCTTTTTTCTTCTATTGCAAAAAAATTCGTTTCTTCTTCAGCTTCAGCACTTTCGGTGTGAATAAGCACGTTTTCAGTGTAGTATTCAGAGCTCATACAGGAAATTTCTGTTATTGAAAAATCGCCACTAAGAGAAGAGGATATAGAGTGCTGCTTAAAATCAGTCATTTTATTAAGAATAAGGTATAAAGGCTATTATATAACTCCCCCCCCCTCCGTGAGTGAACAAAACCATTAGAAAAATCGCCATTTTTTTGCCCAAAAACCCACTCTCCGTGAGTGAACAAAAATTTTTTTAATAGAAAAATTTTTTATGGAAAAAAAAAATTTTTGATATATAAATGATAATTAATATAATGAAATCTAGAGCTAATTCTGTGTAATTTTAAACGAATTGCATTTTAAAACATAAATTTTATAAATTAAATTTTATAAATTAAATTAATATTTGCTTTCAAATTTTTGCAAATTAGGATTTTTTAAATTTCAAAAAAAAAATTTTTTAGAAAATTTATATATAAATTTTTTTAAAAAAAAAAAATTAACCCCCCTCCGTGAGTGAACAAAAATTTTTTTTGTTCACTAACGGAGGGGGGGGAGTAAGGTATTTTTTAGCAATTATTTGTGTTAATTGGCTTATTTTTGGTGGGATTTAAATTATTTAGTTTTTATTAAAATGCATGAAAATTTTTTCTAGCCGAATTTTTTGCTGCTTTTATTATTTCAAATTAATATACATAAAATGGGCTGAGGCAAGTGACCCCCTCTCAGTAGTGTTGTCCTTATGCATATCCAGCAGTGAGTTTTAGATCCAGTTATTGCCCAACAATGCTCAATAGCCTCAAAGCGAGAGACGTGAGACTCTTCTCAGTAGAATCATGTCCTAAACCTCAGGGCAGTGAATTGCATCTCTTTTTCCATATTCCTGGGCTAACGCCAAAATAGGTGCGTTCTGTGATTGAAAAGGTAGTGTCTAATAATGTCCTTTGGAACCAATGCTGAGAAGCTGAGTGTATGGCCCCACTTTGCCACCAGCACACTACTTCGGAACATATCCATAAATAAATTAATTCCTTAAAACCCTCCGGATTAATCTAATCTAATAATTTCAACTTAAACTAACATTTAATCTTTAACAGCCTATTATTTTTCACATTAAAGTTATTCTTAACATGTTAACTATTTGCGTACCATGAAGGAATCAGTCTCTGTATCACATCTGGCGTTGTAGATGCTATTTCCTCTTGAGTAAAATTAAATAAATCAGGCATTCTTTCTCCATTAGGAAGTGTCGTATTTTGGTCTCTTAATTCATCAAAGAAAGGGTGTAATAAAGCTTGCATTGGGGTAGGACGAAGCTGAGGAGAATAAACTAGCAAGCTTGAAATAAAATCAATGGCATCTTGAGGCGTTCTTGCCTTAAAAACTCTATTCCAAGGATGCTGCCTGATTTGGGGGAATCTAAACTCAGTGTAATTTGGGTTCATGTCTAGTATTTGCTCTCTTGTTGGAGTTCCTAAAATTTTAATGATTTCTACAAGTTGATCGACGCCACTTTCACCAGGGAATATTGGCTGCCCTAACAGCATCTCTGCAATTACGCAGCCAGTGCTCCACACATCAATAACCCCTGTATAATCAGTTGATCCAAAAATAAGCTCAGGTGCTCTATAATACCTTGAACATATATAGCTTACATTTGGCTCTCCTTTGATAAGTTTTTTTGCTGACCCAAAATCACAGATTTTTAAAATGTGTGTATTTGTGTCGATAAGGATATTTTGAGGCTTAATGTCTCTATGACAAATTCCTAATTGATGAATATAAGCTAAAGCTCTCATCATTTGATATTCCTTGAGGCTTAGTAGATAACTCTTTATTTTTATATAAAAAAATAGATAATATTTAGCTATTTAGGAATAGCTATAAAGCTTCAACAAAAGGATAGGGACTGATTGCTTCATCCTTCTATAATGTTTAATCACACTATATGCAGTTTCAGGGATATAGTCCATAACCACATTTAAGTAAAGGTCGTCAGGCTTATCTCCTGTTACATAAAAGGCATGGCGCATACCAATCACGTTTGGATGATGCAGCTCTTTCATAATTTGAAGCTCTCTGTTCTTATATCTGCGGTCTTGAAAAACTTTCTTTATAGCAACTGTTTCACCTGTTTCTGCGACCATTGCTTGATAAACGACACCAAAGCTTCCATTGCCAATTGGTCTTTCACTGATGTAAGTGAAGTTGCCTGTTCTTTCTTTGCGCTCTTCGATGCTCATTCTTTGAAGTGAAGTGCTGAGATCCCCCACTCTTCTGCGAACAGTTGCAGAAGAAACATTGTGGATTGCACTCTTGTTAGAACTCCTGTTAGCTCTTTCTGCCATAATTTATATGTCTACTAACTGCTATGTTAAGAAAGAATTTTTATAAAAATTCAAATAATAGAGATTTTGAGAATTATAAGAAAATTTCTAGGGTTTATGAATGATTTAATAATTTTTTAATATACATTAATATGGCGGAGGCGACCACCCGATCTCTTGACGCAATTTCCTAAACACCTGCAGGGAATGATCAGGTGGAGGAACCAAGTCGAGACACAGGTCCAGCATCCTTAATGTATGCGGCAGAGTTTTTCCTCGTGCCACAGGGTATGATACCTGGGACATGGAGTTTCTCCTCCTGACATGGAGTTGGAAAGGGCACAGTCGGCCAACGTCCCCGAGATTAGGTATGATCCCTACTTGAATTAAGGACTGAAGACAGCAGGTACCTAGCGTGAAACTGGGAGTTACGCCCTAGGATCCAGCCGAAAGCGAACGGATGCCCCGGAGCAAATCAGGTAGACAAGCCTAATCAAGGCAGACAGTGTCAGTTGGGGCCCTTTATTGTGGTGACGAACTTGTAGAGATGAAAATCCTCGGCTGTCTTTAAACAAGGTCATTAATCTAATTTTTTTAAAAAAATTAGAAAATTAAGAAAATATTTTAAAAGTTAAAACAATTGATAATCTTAATGGATTACTATAATAATATCGATTTTTATATAATCAAATGCCAAACATGTGTTGAATTTTTAAAATGAAAATTTTGATATGGTTTTCTTTAGCTAAAATTGAGAGAATTAAATAAATTATTAATTATTTTTAGATTTATGAACTCTTGATTTTAAATGTGCGTACATAGACTTTTGCTGAACTACTTTAAAGCAATGGAGACATTCCAAAAAATCTGAATTATCAACTGACAGCACTCTAAACTTCGTGCCATCGCTGGCTTCAATTATTTCTTCAGGCTCGTTCTCCTCTTCTGATGCATCTTCTTCAGAACTATTTATATAATCTGAATAATTTAATTTTTTATCTGGTCTTATTCGAGATGATCTCCGCAAGCCAGTTTGCTTGGTTTCCTCATTATCTGGCGAAGTTGCGTCAGTGGAATTTGTTGTAGGAGCAGTAGGGCTTGGAAGCTTTATTTTTTTTTTGGATTTAGCTGAGATTTTTTCTTCAAAAGATTTTTCAAAAAATTTCATATATACCTTTAATTAGTTTTGTGAGGCAGTTTTAATAACTGATTTAGCTTGTTTTTATAGAAAACGAGAGATCAGTGGATTGTAATATAAATATTGATATTGGAAATGGAATAAAAATATATAGTAATGTGGTTTTAATAGATAATGGAAGGCAAATATAAAATTTCATAGGAAAATGTATATCAATTTTGGGCAGCTCAAACTTTGGAGGGGATTCTTCAGTTTTTTCGAATAGTGTAAAAGTTTTGATTTCAGAAAGGGACGGCAATTTTATGTTCATTTCTGATATCTTTGGCGCAAAAGATTGGTCAGATATGTCTTGCATTTTTATCCTGTAATTGTTTCTAATATATAATTATTAGATGCTAATATTATCTAGCTTTATAATTAAGCTGATTTTTGCTAAAGAAAAAATGATCCTTTTTTGAAAGTTTCATAGTTATTATTAATTTATAAAAGAATCATTTTGAAATTTATTAATGAGTTAGAAATCTATAAATGATTTGCTATATTTATTGGCAGAGGCCATATACTTTATATTTTTAGCTAGCATATTAGATTTCATATAATATAGATGGAATTTCCTAACCCAAAAGTACTTGCTATTCCAGATATATTAATAAAATAAAATCTTTATGGCTAAATTTAAGAAAATTATGAATGATTAATATATGACTTTTTGGAGAATTTCTATTAAAAATCCTAATTAAAGCAATATTTTTATTTAAATATATTTTTCAAAGCTGAGATTAGCCTATAAAAGAAGCCTTTAACTTGCCTTCACTTTTAAAGTAATATAATTGAAGCATACTAAGCCAATAAAAATGAATATTTTCCTGAATAAAAATTGCAATTGCTTATTTTAGCAGTATTTTATCTAGCCAATCTCTACAATTTCTTTTTCTATTATAAGGCTAGTCTCGTTTTGCATTGATTTAGCTTATCATAAAAATCAGTATATTAATAAAGCGAGTATAGCCCAGAGCGATTTTTGACCATCCTGGGTTAGGAGAAGGCTAAGAAAGTCCCCGATTTGGTTTCCAGCTCAAGTTGGCAAATGCCCATATAAGACGTTTTTGTAAACTCCCGAGTTGGTTTGTCAACTTGAGTTGAAAAGCCAACTCGGGGAGTTTCTGAGCCTCTCCTAACCCAGAGCAATCAAAAATCGCTTCTGGGCTATAATGGAGCCAGACTCAATCGTGGTCGAAATTAGAAGTCAACTTATGCGAGAGTTATGCAACCTCGCCTCAACAGTAAATCTTACTCAGCCAGCTGATTGTGATCAAGAGGTAAATGAAATCCTGAGCATAATAAAATCACATCTTGCACATTACTCGAATCTTATTGTAATCAATATTTAGAATTCAAATGCTTTAGGACTCAATAATATGCAGCTTTCCAAAATTGTGCTGAAAATACATCAGATTATTATGGAAGTCTCAGCTGAATATCACCTAGTTGTCTCTAACAACTCATATGAAGCTCATGCCCTTTTTAACATCTTGGACAAATCCAAAAATCCTACATCGCCTCAGCAAAGCCAAAAATCTCCTTTAAAAGTCTATATAATATACATAAAATGGCCGGAGACGAGCGACCCGTCCTTCCGTGGCGGGTGTCCTTATGTATACTGGACGTGGATTTTGGATGTGGAGAGCTGCTCGAGGGGAGAGTTAGCCTCGAGGCGAGAGGCCCAGCCCAATTTCCGCTGATATTGGACTTGACCCGAGCGGCAGTTTTTCGCATTCTTTTTACCAGTAGCGCTGAGGCCCAGACTCAGTGTCCGAAAGAGGCAGGTTGAACTAACTGCCTAAGCTACTTGGTGGCTTCGCCCGAATCCCCAAAAGGGGTTGGGTTCTTTCTAGGAGATAATCCCGAAAAGAGGGGAAGGTGAAGCTCGACTCAGACTTCAAGGGCGACAAATCTCTCCAATTAAAAGGGTCCCTGTAAAGGGGCGATCTGGCCGGACCAAAGCAGGGTTGGGCGATGCTGGTTCTTAGGTTGGAAATGGTGGCTTCCGGCAAAATCCGTATGAATCGGATCAGGAGGGAAAATGCCACTACCGAGAAATCGGGGGTTCGGCCCGGGCCTAAGCTACCTTGGGGGAGCCCACCCCGCAGCGATATCGCTGCGACGCGGGTGCTTCGGAAGTGGGGACTATAAATACCCAGCACATAATCTAATCTAATCTAAAGTCTATATAACAGAAGGCCAAACGAGGACAAAAAACAACGAAATATTAATCAATAAAGATCTGATTCTTTTAGCAGTAACCTCAAGAGGATCGTTTAATCCTTATATAAATGCGATTTTTTCTGGATATTTGTCAGAAGTAAACCATCCCATTAAAACAATCATTGATATTGACCAATTAAGGAGGACTGGATTTAGGCTTTTTGATGAATCTAAAAGCCAGATTTTAGATGAGAAAATTTATAAAGAATATTTATAGATTTTATAGTAAATTTGTAATTTTTTTGCAAAAATATTAGGAAATATTTTTTTAAAAAATATTAATATTTATATATTTTGGAATAGAAACCTTAGTTTGGGGTGATACTGAGCAGATTGCTGACTGCTTAAACGAACTTACAGCAAAACTGTGGTTTTCGGTATTAAGAAATGACAAAATCAGCTTAGCGTATATAGAAAAGCTATTAGTAGGCTTACTAGGACACGCAGACCCAAAAGCTCGTGATTTAGCTGTCGCCCATCTAAACTCTTTTTATGACGACACAGACTGGCAGCTTTTGCAGCCATTTAAACCAAAAATCACCACAGTCGGCAAAGAATTTGTGATCCGAGAGCTCACTGAAGCCCAAGATACAAGTAATATCATAATGGAACTTCACGCCCCAGGCTTCCATAAAACTTCAAGCAACTATATACTATCCTACCATATCCCTGAAGTCAGAGCGGCATCTAATGGCTACTTATTAAAAGTAGATCTTGGGATTTTCACAAGATGTGGATTTTATGACTGGAGATTTTCTCAGATAAAAGATGGGGTCATATCGCCACTCATGACAAGCTTAGCAAAGACTGGGCAGACTGGATTTGAGACTTTTCCGATACAGGGAAGATTTATCGTTCATCCTAATGATGTGAAGGACTTGCAGATCCATGAGATTTTTATTGATTTTCAAGATGCTCAATTTGGTTTATATTTTTTTTTATTTTTTTATTTTTTTTATTTTTTTAATTATATTAATTTTTATTTAAATAATATTCAATTTGATGTAAATGATGGATCTATAGTAGAAAGAGGAAACTTTAGGACTGTTAAAAAGAGCATAAAATTAAGATATCAGACTGGAATTAATTGTTTGTACTTATTAGGAGCTCTAGAAAGAGATACAGGGACTGATTTAGAAAATCCAAATGCTTCACCTTTAGCGTTAATCTGTAGATCTACAGCATGCACATTGCTTGGTGGAGGAAACGAATTCGAAAGTCTAATGAAAGAAGCCAAAACTGTAGGAATGAAAATTTTAATAGACTGTGTAGCCAGAATTTCTTCAAAAAATTACCATAGAAGATATAAGCGTAAACCCTCTTTAATTGAATTAGTAAATAATTTTTAAAAATAGCCCACAATTTTTCTATATAAAATAAAAAATTATTAAAAATATTTTTGGCATACTCTTTTTTATAAAAAATAAATTTTTATATACAAGAAATGCTGAAGGTCTCCCTGTGGTCTGCTATGGATCATATACATTAAAATGGCGACAGCGATCCAGCCCTTTTTCTCAACACCTGTAGCCGGCGTTCGCGGGGGACCTTGTGGAAGGGAGAAAGGTGCTCTGAATGTATATCCGGCTAGGTTTTTCCTTGGCAAAGTGGAGCGCAACGTCGGATTAGGCCGACCGCAGCTCATTCTGACACCAGGGTTTTTGCCTCAGGGGAAATGGTTTCCAAGGTTGGAAAGGGGAAGCTCAGCAGCATCAGGAAGGTACCCCCTGATCAATTGAGCAACTCCCTAGCGTGAAACTGGGCATCACGTCCCGGGCTTTGGGACTTCCATTTTAAACCGACAGTCCTACCAGAAAATTTGTTTTTCAAATTTTCGGAATGGGCAACCTCTGTTGACGTACTGCTGTGTGGCTTAACTCATCCAACTACGGGTAGCGAGTGCAGATCCTCGTCCAGTAGGAGCAACACTTTGAAGGTCGTGATCGATTGGTGGTGAGCAACCGGGTGAAGCGTGAAGGGTGAAGGTAAGGCAGGGGAAACCCAAGTCAATACGACGGGCCTCTCTATAATATTAGTTAATGTTAATGGTCTGCTATGGATCTGAAGGTAGATCAGCCAAATTTGAAGACTCAGCAAGTCTAAATTACAGAATGGCGGAAGTCTGGAACCTTTTAGTAGAAGATATCGTCAATTTCGCCAAAAAATACAATGTAGATGGCATCCATATGGACAACAGCCAAGCCTGGCCTCAAATTATGGAGCTAGATGAGCTTGAAATGTACCGAAAAGACCCAGACGGCGCCTCTCACTACACGACCCAAGAAATTTTCGACGGTCTTGTAGTAAAGCGCAACGCAAATTACGCATACTGGGCGAGTGCACTCAAAAAGACCTACCCTAACCCTATTTTCATTAAAGTCTGTAAAGAGCTCTGAAGAGAATTCCCTGAATTTTATATAATTGCTGATATATGGCAATCTGAAGGAATGGAAGACCGTGACGTATGCATCACAGAATCTGGCCCAATCCCAAGACTTTATGACCTTCCTTTAAAACTTGCGAATTTATTTGGTAAAAATTTGCATCAGAACGGAACTTTTGACGCAATTGAGAGAAAAGACGTGAGCATCATGAAAGCTTGGAATGACGAAATGAAAGAAAAAATGCCTGAAGGGGCAATTGTTATTCAGAGCGCGACTGGGCATTCTTTGCCATATCCAGCCTTATTATATGGTTCCTTCACACGAGGTCTACTCCATAAAGACTATTTTTTTTGGGCCTATTTTTTTTGCCTAATTTTTTTTGGCCTATTTTTTTTGGCCTAATTTTTTTTGGCCTATTTTTTTTTGGGCCTAATTTTTTTTGGCCTATTTTTTTTTGGCCTAATTTTTTTTGGCCTATTTTTTTTGGCCTAATTTTTTTTGGCCTATTTTTTTTTGGCCTATTTTTTTTTGACCTATTTTTTTTTGGCCTATTTTTTTTTTTGGCCTATTTTTTTTTGGCCTTTTTTTTTTTTGGCCTATTTTTTTTTTGACCTATTTTTTTTGACTTTTTTTTGCCATTTTTTAGCTATTTTTTACTAATATTTGGGCCTAATTTCATACTAATGATTTTAATATAATTTTTAGTGTATTTTAAACGATTTTATCAACATAAAATACACCTTTAACAGATCTCTTACTCCATGAATGCTAATTCATTGCTTTTTAAATTTCGAGAATTTTAAGGATCCCCCCCCTCGTTTGTCCAATTTTCTAGTCTTTTATCATTTGTCCATTTTTCTAGTTTTTTTTATAGGAAAAAAAACATTTTTTTTTTAGGACCTCATTTGTCCAACTTTTAGTCAAAATTTTGACAGGAAAAAACATTTTTCATAACCTCAATTGTCTCATTTTCTAGTTTTTTTAAAGTAAAAAATAGGACATTCGAAAAAATCCAAAAAAGACTAGAAAATGGGACAAATCATATTTGACTAGATTTTGGGACAAGTGAGGTCCTGAAAATTTTTTTTATCCTATAAAAAAAAGACTAGAAAATTGGACAAATGAGGGGGGGATCCTTATATTTAATTAGATTTTTCCACTTAATTTACTCAATATTAATCGTGTAATGAAATACATCCGTTACCCAATAATTATTTAATTCTCTCAGCAGCTTCATGAATTATCCTCAACAGAAAAATAGACCAAAAAAAATAGGCCAAAAAAAATAGGCCAAAAAAAATAGGCCAAAAAAAATAGGCCAAAAAAAACTAGGCCAAAAAAAAAATAGGCCAAAAAACAATAGGCTAAAAAAAAATAGGCCAAAAAAAATTAGGCCAAAAAAAAATAGGCCAAAAAAAAATAGTCGTTTATGGAGTAGACCTCGTGTGAAGACACGTTATTATATGGCAGAGGGGCATGGGCTGCTGTAGATGTGCTATTCTTTTTGAATTATATTCCAATGACCTTTATAGGAGAGCAAGACGGGAATGCTTTTAGATCAAAAATCAGCGCTTTATATGATTTCGATGAAGATAGATCTGCACCAATCCCAAGCAGACTTTCTAGTGTTAATTTAGCTGAAGTTGAAATCCCAACTATAAAAAAGCAAGGAATTCCAAGAGTTGCATCAGCCGCTTCTTTAAGTATTTCTCCAGACATTAAAGAGCTAAGAGAAAAAGAAGAAAAATACCAAAAAGAGCTTGGCCCAGAGTACGGCTTTGATTTGCAAAAAATAAAAAATCATTATATCCACAGAAGAAGCATGAGGCACGAAAAAGATGTCCTTAAATACGGCGAATTAATCCCATTAGTAATGAAGCACGAGCATGGCTGGCACAAACAAGTCCTAACCTTCGCCAGATACATGCCTGACGAAATCGCTATTGTTGCTATTAATTTAAATGAGCACCCTGTAAAAGGGTATCTTGACCTATCTGCTTTGGAACCATTTATAGAAAAAGAGCAAGCTTTAATTTATAGCATTGGGGAGTGGTTTAACCCTGATAGTGACGACTATTATTTTAAAGAAGAACTTCTAAAAGGCCAGCACATTATTTCTATATTACCTTATAGATCAGAAATCAAAGGAATTTACCAAAGCGACGTCTCCTCTGATGAAGCCTTAGAAAGATCAATTGAAAGACTCAAAGAAAAAATTGTCTCAGGGCTAAACATAGACGGGACTTATCTAGTCATGAAGCTTCTAAAACTTCTTGAAGAAACCAATGCAGAATCTGTCTATAAAGACATAGCAAACTTGCTAGGAAATATCAATGAAAATTTCTTATCTAGATATGTAGTGTCTAATCTTGCATTTTTATCAAAAATATCGTCATTAGACGATATTAAAGCTGGGAGACTTTTTGGATACTGCGACTTTTTAGCATTGGCACAAGGCAGACTTAATGGGCCAAAAACCTTTGCTAGCTCGTTATTGTCAGAAAATCAGCTTGGGCCTATTGTGTTTACTGCTCCTGAATTAGGTAGATTTTCTACTGCTGGAGGCTTAGGGGTTATGGTTGACGAGCTTTCTCAAGGTTTAGCATCTTTAGGAGAAGAAGTGTGGGTTATTAGCCCTTATTATGAAAGAAATAAAAAAGGCCAGACTGGATATTTGACAGGAGACCCTGCAAATGTGACGTGGATTACTAATATAGATATAGCCTTCGGAGGAGAAAAATATACAATCGGGGTGCATCAAGGCTGTGAAAATGGGGTAAATTTAAACTGAAATTAATTATATATGATTTAAATATAAGTAAAGCAGGATTTATAATAATACAATAAATATAGAATAATTTTTCCTGCATAATGCATATTTATTCCCATCAGTCTACGAAGACGGAAAGCAAGCCTGGATCATGCGGCAGCTTGTAGCTTGGGGTAAAGGCTGCTTACTCCCCCCCCCCCCTCCGTGAGCGAACAAAACCATTAGAAAAATCGCCATTTTTTGACCAAAAACCCACCCTCCGTGAGTGAACAAAAATTTTTTTAATAGAAAAAATTTTAATGGAAAAAAATTTTGATATATAAGTGATAATTAGTATAATGAAATCTAGAGCTAATTCTGTTTAATTTTTAAACAAATTTGCGTTTTAAAACATAAATTTTGCAAATTAAATTAATATTTGCTTCCCCCAATTTTTGCAAATTAGGATTTTTTTAAATTTCGAAAAAAATATTTTTATAAAAATTTATATATAAATTTTTTTTTTAAAAAAAAAAAAATAAACCCCCCTCCGTGAGCGAACAAAATTTTTTTGTTCGCTCACGGAGGGGGGGGGGAGTTAGAAGCTTTATGCTTCTTTAAAAAATTCCCATCACTATTAATCACAAATGACTGGTTCACAGGCCTTGTCGCCGCATATGCTAAAATTGGCTCATTTGGGAATGTTTTCGAAGGAACTACTTTTCTCCATATAGTCCATAACCTTGACCCTACCTATGAAGGGCGTCTATTTCCTACTCAAAGCGAAAACGGCTGGCAAAACATCCATGGTCTTCCTAGACATTTTCTTATTGATCCTCACTGGGCAAAAGAAATCGTCAACCCTTCTAGATGTGCCCTTATGCTTTCAGATCAATGGGCTACTGTCTCTCCTTCCTACCGTAATGAACTTCTGGCAAGCTCTCCTCTCAAAGAGCTGCTCAAACAAAAATTCCAGCCATTTGCCTATCCAAATGGAATCCCTGTAAAAGCTAGACTCAAAAAACTTGAAGGAAAAGGCACCCATGCAGACGCTAAAAGAATTTTACAGCAAAAATATTTTAATTATGGCGATCTTGATAATACAGTCTGTTTATTTGGCTTTGTCGGAAGAATTACCAGCCAAAAAGGCGTCCACTTAATCCTTGACGCAGCTGCTCAGTTGATTCCTCAATGCAATTATAAAGTCCAATTCCTAGTAGGAGGCCCAGCTAATAAAAATGAGCCTTATTCAGCCCAATGCTCGCAGAAAATGAAAGAACTAAGGGCCAAATACCCTCACAATTTCTTTGCAGACCCTGATAATTTCTTTTTTGAAGGGCCACTTGTAAATCTTGGTAGCGATTTTGGGCTTATGCCCAGCATGTTTGAGCCAGGCGGGATTGTGCAGCACGAGTTCTTTGTAGCAGGAACCCCTGTTATTGCTTTTAAAACAGGCGGACTTAAAGATACAGTTTTTGAGTTTAACGTTGTTTCTAAGACTGGATCTGGCTTTATTTTTGAAAGCTATAACTTAGGAGACTTTATTTACGCCATACAAAGAGCGTTAAATAGCTATTATAATAATGAGTTATATAGCGCCCTGAGGATAAAGGCTTTTGAAGCTGTTGTAGATGGAGAAAAAGTAAGCAGGGCTTGGAATAAAGAATTTTATAGGCTGAAGCAAAAAATATATTTTGAAATAAATGTGAGGAGAGAGGTGCCAAATCAGCTGAAAAATGTTAATTGGAGCAATAATGATTATAATCCTGCTATACCAGAAAATCAAGTAAAAAAAAGGTCACTTAAAAGATCGCCGTCAGGAATTCTGCTAGAGCAGGCAGCTTCTATGAAAAGACCACAGCCAGAAAGTGAAGACGCCAAAAGACATATTTTATTCAGATACCAAACACCTCTGAGGGTCAAGACAGTACAGCTGACAGGATCATTTGATAGGTGGCAAATTAGACATCCAATGCTTTATGATCACGCCAAAGGGTTCTGGCATATTACTCTGCAAATTCCAAAAGGAAGCTACTTCTATAAGTTTGTGGTTGATGGGAATATTTGGGTGCATTCATTTGATCATCCGGCAATTAAAGATGAGCAAGGAAATATTAACAATCTTTTAGAAGTTTCTTAATTTTCTTATGAGAATTAAATAATTTTTAAATTATTATTAAATTTCTTATTAAATTTCTATAAAAAATTAGCTTTTGAGTTAGGAACTAATTTAAATAAGAGCATTCTTATAATGATTTAGATTAATAATCTACTTGATAAGACCACGGGTGATGTATTTCTCCATATTGTATTGACAAAATATGATCTAAAAGTCGCTTTGTGAGTAATCCACTGTTTCCAAGTTTCATTGGAATATCATAGTCTTTTCCTTTAAAATGAATTTTCTTGACTGGGCACACTATACAGGCTGTCCCAGCTCCAAAAGCTTCAATAACCCTTCCTTGATCAACTGCTTCTACAAGCTCGTGAATTGAAAAAGTCCTTTCTGACACCTTAAACTCGCCCCATTCCTTTGTAAGTGTCAAAATCGAGTCTCTCGTGACGCCCTCTAATATAGTTGAGTCCAAAGGAGCCGTTATAAGCTCAGTTTCGCCTTCTTTAGTTTTCCACAGCACAAAGAAATTCATAGTCCCGACCTCAGTGACGTTTCCATTTACAAGCCAAAGCAGCTGCTGGTAGCCAAGTTTGGTGATTTCGTCAGTATAAGCGATCCCTGGTCCATAATTTCCTCCAACTTTTTTGTCACCGACTCCACCTGGCCAAGCTCTGACACGGGCTTCATCACAATATAAAGCGACTGGCTTAAAGCCTGTAGGGAAATAAGGGCCTACCAAGGCGTTTACTATGAAAAGTTTGGCTTTTGCTGGCTTTGTGACACCAAGCTGCTGGTGAGTTCCAATCATGGTCGGACGAATGTACATTGAGTATCCCTTTTTGTTTGGGACCCATTTTCTTTCGATATCTACAAACTTGCGCAAGCATTGGAGGAATTCTTCACCGTCGAAATCAGGGAGAGCTAAGGCAGCTGCGCTTTTTTTGAGGCGCCTTACGTTCATTTCAGGTCTGAATAGGAGGACTTTGTCGTGGGCTGTTTTATAAGCTTTCATGCCTTCGAAACATTCGGTGCCGTAGTGGAAACAGGAGCTGGTAGGGTCTAAAACTAATGGCTGATAAGGAGCAATTTGAGGTGTGTGCCAGCCTTTTTTAGCATCCCAATCAACCCAAAATAAATGGTCTGTTGTTTTTTTTCCAAAGATAAGTGTCTCGTCCAGAACTGGCATTGTTTTTGGATTATTTGTGTGGTCGATGACTATTTCTGAAGCTCTAAATGTTGAGTTAAGCCTTCTTCCACAGGTGTTACTTAATTTAGAATATACCCTGGACCACATATTTATATTAATAAAACTAATGAATTAAATTAGTTAGTAAATATTTTGAATTTAAAATCAAAGAAATTTTTTGTACCTTTTTACTTGTTTTTTAAATTTAAAATAATGTAAATAAGGTATTTTTACTTCTATTTTCGTGAAATTAAATTTAGCGTATATTTTATTGAGATTCTTTCTTGGAACAATTTCATCGTTTGCATTTGCTTTGCAACAATCTTTATTTTTGAAAGTATTTAATGAGGAAATGCAATAGAAAATTCCTTACTCCCCCCCCCCCCTCCGTGAGCGAACAAAACCATTAGAAAAATCGCCATTTTTTGACCAAAAACCCACCCTCCGTGAGTGAACAAAAATTTTTTTAATAGAAAAAATTTTAATGGAAAAAAATTTTGATATATAAGTGATAATTAGTATAATGAAATCTAGAGCTAATTCTGTTTAATTTTAAAAAAATTGCGTTTTAAAACATAAATTTTGCAAAAATTAAATTAATATTTGCTTCCCAATTTTTGCAAATTAGGATTTTTTTAAATTTCGAAAAAAATATTTTTTTTATAAAATTTATATATAAATTTTTTTTAAAAAAAAAAATTAACCCCCCTCCGTGAGCGAACAAAATTTTTTTGTTCGCTCACGGAGGGGGGGGGGGAGTTAGCGCGTAAAAAAATATAATCAAATTTAATTTTAAATTTCTGATTATTTTTATTGAACTTTTTTGAATAAAATTTAAAGACCTTTTAATAATAAAGTGGGCCACTTCAGAAAACTGTTAGAAATTTATAAAATTATTAAAATTAGAGTATTTATTGATGGACTATTTTCAGCTTTCTTCAACGAGTCTGTTCATTTCGCTTCTTTCTTTTCTTTCTTCTTTTAGCCTTACTATTTAAAAGATGGAGAGTGATGAATCGCCAGGGTGACTGGTCAGTTGATTCCAGCTCTCCGGTAAGTGGATTCCATTCTTTTAGGGTTTTTGCCTGATCAAAGCTCCACGAGGCTTTTTTCCTAACCCAAGACGATATACTGAGATCGTAATGTCCAGCTCATACTCCTGTAAAAAATGTATGTCTGTATCAGGTTTATAGCCTGAAAGCGACACTAAGACACTTTACCCATGCTTTGAGCACTAAAAAGGGTTGATGAATCATGCCGCAAGGACCAGACCAAGTCATAAGCATCATGTGAGAGTCTCCGAGAGATTTGTAAGGAAAAGGGAGCGATGTGACGCCAGGTGGAGGGGGCCATTTGAGTCTGCGTTGGGGACAGCAAGAGTCTGAAAAAAAAAAGACTAGCTAGAATTAATCTAATCTTTTAGCCTTTTTCCCTTTAATAGCAGTCTTTTTTCTAACCTTTCCACAATTTTTGCCTCTTTTCTGGCTTCGCTGTGCAATTGGTTAAACCTTTCGTATTCCTCTTCATGAAGCTCCATAAATCGACTGTCAGGAACATTGACGTCCTTTATAGCTTTTCTTTTAGCTATTTCAGTTCTCTCAATATTATTCTTGACTGGTAAACTCTGCATACAATTATTATAGCCATTTTCCATTTTTCATATAAATTTAAAATAATAATTCCTATTACCCTAAAGCATTTATCCTAACATATAATATCCAATTTGTGCTTTATTGATAAAGGTACCTCCATAAGTCCAGATTTCCACAAAGTTTTTTCAGCGCCATCAGAAAATCTTGAGTTATCAGACCTATATTTTTCTGGAATCTCATATAAGGCTTCTTCAGAAAACTCGTCATTTCCTGCCTTTCTCCATTCATTTTGCTCACTTGGCTTTAATTTGCCATTAATATACTTTTCCATATGCTTTTCCCTCAAAGCTTCAAGTTCATTGTTTGGCTTCACAAAAATTTTCCTCATAAAATTCTCATGCTCGCTAGCTTTTTCATTATTTTCTTCAATTTCTGTAAATGATATTCCCCTATGTCTTTTAACAGGAATTTTTGTTACGATTTTTACCTCATCTTTCTCCTCTTGCCCCACAATGATTTTCCCAGCTTTCTTTTCTGATTTTTTAAACATAATTTATATTTAAAAAATATTAAATTATTTTATGATTTTCATATTTAACTTCTAGATTAGCTTAATAGAAGTATGAAACTCTTCTAGGATTTTCCTTTTCGTCTTCTGCTTCTACCTCTTCAAGGGGCTTAACATAATGTGCAGATCCTCTTGAAGCTCTTTCTTCTTTCATAACTTCATCAAAGGTATCAGCAAGATCTTGTTGCTCTAAAGTCTCATATGGTTTAAGTCCAAGTCTTTCCTTTTTGGCCTTCGTCAAGGTTTCTAATTTTTTGAGAATTTCTTCAGCCCTTTGTTTTTCTTCTTCACTTTTTTCTCCTTGAGTCTCATGGATATACTTATTGACCATTTCATAGAGGTCTTGTTGTAAAGGATGCTGGTTATAAGTCATATACCATTTTTTATTTTTTTTGAAAATTGTTATACAGATTTTACTGTTTATTTTTTTTTAAATAGGAAACAAAAAGGTATAAGCTCCCAATGGCGCTCGCCTTTATGAACTAGCATATCCCAGCCTCCATATCTTTGGGTAAACATTTCTTCTGGGACTCTTTGGTACATTGCACGGATTGATAAGGTGAAAACGTTCTGGATGAGCTCGTTTCCTTGGAAGAACTGGTTGGATGCACGCTTTAAGGTTCTATAGACATGCAAATATCTGAATGGGAAGTATGAGTCATTCTTGCGTGTAATAAATAAAGTCTGCTCCTTTGGTGGCTCAATTTTCTTGATGAAGTTGTGGAAGTTTCGGTCATAGTAGCCATTTCCTACTGCATAATCCCAGAAGCCTTTGTGGCGTATTGTATAAACCATTTTATTGATGGAGAACTAGGGAATTTAATTTGGTTCTTGGAAAAGATTTTTGGGAATTTTATTTGTGACTTGGAAATTATAGCTAATTATTAGGAAAAACAAGCTGAGTTTTCACCTCAATGATTAGAAGGTAGAGAGAAAAATAAGGCTTAATGCGATTAGTAAATACATTATACTATTATTCAAAGATTTATTTAGTTATTTGAGAAAATTGCTAATCGAAATATTATATTTTTGAATTTATTAACTCCTTGCCTCCTTTGGAGAACAAATTCATTAACTTAATTTTGGGTGAACCCATCCGCAAACGAATAAAAATTTTTTATGAAAAAAACTATTTTGATATATATAATTATAATCATTATGATGAAATATCTAACTATTTCTGTTTAATTTTAAACAGCTTGCATTTTAAAAATAAAACTTTACAAACCAAATTAATATTTGCTTTAAAATTATTTCGGTTTAGGATTTTGTTAAATTTCGAAAAAAAATTAACCCCTCATGATGAGTGAATCAAATATTTTTGCTCTCATTCGCGAGAGTAAAAATTTATATTTTCTCAGTAACAGTTTTTAACTAATAGAAATTTTGCTGAAAATTTGTCTTAAGCTCCACAGTTAAACCATATAGCTTAATTTGTCAATTAAAAATCTTAAAAGCTCCTCAATAAAAATCTTTTTATTTTTGCTAACCGATAAAACAGAATTCTATTAAATTATACTGAATTTATGGAAAAAAGTGACAAAGAACATTTGATTAGGGAAGAATCCAAAAGCCCAGATTTATGCATTAATCCTTTGGAAAAGCCTCCAAAGTGCCTATCTGTTTCTGTACATTTTATTTAGATAATCCGTACTTCTATAGAACAATCAGCTCCCCAAGTCTTCAAAGTTTACTCAACAGGAGTCCTCAATTCTCAAAGACTGCCACAAGACCGTACAATAAGAATAGGCCGCCAACAAGTGACTGAGGACGGCAAACGACCTAACGACATAACCCTTCCTGCAACTGACCGTGCTATAAGCCGAACCCACTGTATGATAGATTGCAATGATTTTTTTAATAAAGAAATCCCCGACACCTGAATCGCTTTCCTTATGGGCTACCACCCTCGTTTAGGAAAAAAATCAATACTGCAGTTCCTTCCTCAAGATCTTTTTAGGTGCATTTTGATGTTTATAAAAGAGGTTAGCTTAATTTAATTAGGATTTAGAAGGGCCCTTTGCAGATCCAAAAGCCATATTTTGCCTTCATAAGTTTGCCAGTTCGAGTACGACGTCTTAATGCGTTGCTACTTATAGATGAGGGCTTGCACTTACTACCCGTGTGCCAGAGAAGTTGGGTCACCGTACTTCATGCTGGCGGGGTTCAGTTCCAGAATTTGAACAATCGAATTTTCTGGTCACCTGTCGACCAAAATGGAACTTTTGGCCTAGGATGCAACGCCTGGTATAGCTCTGGAAACGTTCCAGATCAACATGAAGAAACCTCACTGGTGCTGTCAGAATATCCCTTTCCAACTTTAGTGAATCATTTCCCATGGGATAAAACCTTGACCTGGATGTAAGAATGCGATCAGCTAAACTTGACACTGCGCTCCACCAACACAAGTAAAATATGGCCGGATATACATTATCGAACACCATCCTCCCTTCCACAAACCCCTGGCTAAAAGGCTTCAGATGTTAAAAGGGCGAATTGGCACAGCACTCATTTTTAATAAATCTCTTTATAAAAGAGCAAAAATCTCCTTATTTGATTGACTTAGGGAGCATGTGTGGGACATATATAAGAGTTTCTAATGAAGAGCCTATTAATTTAGAGCCTGGACAGAATTTTTTGATCGGGAGCGATATTATAATAGAAATTGATAGAGTTGTAAGCGAGCCTGTGCCGCTTTCGGTTAATTCTGAACAAACTTTGGAGGAATATCAAAATATTCCTTATAAGCTGAATTATTTCGAAAAAAAATTAAAATTGTGTTTATTATAAAATTGATAGTAAAATGCATACTTTTAATGACACTGATATTGTGCTTGATGATATAGGACCTTATATTGCTATTAAAGTCAGCAGAAACCCAAATGACAACGAAGAAACAATGAGCCCGTCGACCTGAAAATTTGCAGCTGAAGAGAAATATAAAGTTTTTACTATTGGGAGGTCACAAATCTGTGATATTCAGCTGCCAGAAAACACGATTTCAAGAACACAATGTAGAATTGTATATGATGAAGGGAAATGACAGTTATTTGATGGGCTAGAAAGCAAGCCAACGGTAAATGGGACCTGATTTTCAGTCTTCAGGAAGATAAGAAATGGAAGAGACCACTCAGCGCCATGTAAATTGAGTAATGGAAGCCAAATAAAAGTGTCTGACACTGTTCTTCAGGTTGATTGGGAAGCTTATACTAATAAATAAATATTTATAAAAAATTTTTATGAGATATAAATAAAAAAATTAGTCATAAAAAGCAAAATTTTTAATTAAATTAAAACCAATATTTTGAGAAAAATTCACCTGACTATTTTTTATCATTTTATTTTATGAGTCGTAGGACAAATTCCAAAGACAACGAATTAGAATCTCTAAGGATTGAAAAGGAAAATCTACTTCGTAAGAACCAATTCTATATATCCCAAGTCAGCCAAATGGAAGTAAAGCTCAGTGAAATGATGGCTCTTTATCAAGCCAAAGATAGCGAGACTGAATATTACAAAGAACAGTTCAAGATCGTGGAATCTGAGCTCAAAAAATGTTCTCACCCAAACTTTAAGTCACTAGAAGAGCTTGAAGCTCAAGTTTCATTCCTTAAAGAAGAAAATTCAAGGCTTAAACAACAGCCAACAAATTTTGAAGATTTCACAGATCTTAAGATCCAATTCGACCATGCATTAAGAGGACTCTTTTAATTTAAAAAAAAAATTAAATTAAATAAAAAAATAAATTATTGGTAAAAAATGCATTAAGAATGAAACAAATTTTTGAAGAAAAATACAGAGAAGCCAGATCTCAGCTTATAAGAGCTGAAATGAAAAAAAGTGAAGAAGGCAGCATCTTTGATTCTTTTCTTGACGAAAGCTCAGATAAAACTAAATTGCAGGATTTAGAAAAGAAAGAAAAATTGCAAAAATTAGAAGCAGAAAATAAGTTTCTCTATGAGGATAATCAAAATTTAAGGTGAAAAATAAAAGAAGGTGAAGAAAAAATTGGAAAATTAAATAAAGAGCTGGAAAATGCTTTAAATGAGCTGAGAGAGTTAAAAACTTTGAAAAATGAGGATAGTGATGAAATTATTTTTAAAAAAAAACCAAAGTGCATTGTAGAAAACGGATATGAGTCTGATGAATTATGGGCGGGGGCTGATTTTTCTAACTCTAAAAATCAAAAAATTGAAAAAGTCCATGAAGAAGAAGATTCTACCACTCCTTATAGGCCGTTTGCATCAATAGCTGACAGAATTATGAAATCATCTAAAGACTCTGATTTAATAGAAGCAGAAAAAATAAAAGAGAAAACTTATGGAAAACCGCCAAAAAAGAATTTAGAGCCTATCAAAACAGAAACTTATTATCATGATATAAAGCCTTTTATTCCCTCTTCAGATAGGGTTGCTAAAACTGGCTCAATATTGAAATCATCAAGTATGCAAAATTTTGATACCGAGAAATCTTATATTCCCTGTAATTTAAATCATAAAAATTCACACTAAATATTAATAGCCTACAAAAAAATTTTTAAATTTCCCCAAAATTTATCTTTGCACAGTATATAAAAAATTCATCCAGACAAATTGATTCTGAAAACGTAAGTTTTGAGAAAAAATCGCCAGATTTTGTATTTGGGAATGAAAATATTTCACAAATTTTGAAAAGCCAAAGTATATTAGATAATAAAGCAGGATTTAATTTAAGCTTTAATGAAGCCAGTTCAAGAGGAGAAAGCTTTGCTGATGAGTTTCCAGATGAAGATGAGTTATTGTAACTTAAGCAATTAATAGCAAATAAATAAATAATAAAAATCATAAAATATAAAGAGAATTCTTGGATAAGATGCAGATTGACAACATGGCCGAGTGGTTAAGGCGTCAGACTCGAAATCTGTTGGGTTCTCCCGCGCAGGTTCGAATCCTGCTGTTGTCGTTTTTTGCCTATTATTAGATTGTTGAAATTTTATATAATTTACAAATAATTATTATATTCAAGCTCAAAAGGCAAAAAATAATTTTTATTTATTATCAAAAATTTCAAAACTAATAAATTTATTGAATAATCTAAAAATCAAATATTTTTAAATTCAAAATGAAATTTGTATATCATTAAGTCTTAAAATGGATTTAAAGTCTATTTCTATTAAATTCTGCATTTATAGCATCTCACGCTTTTAACCTCCTATTGTCCCGATGTCTTCCTAGACAATCTAGGGGTAGGCTTCACTATTTATGCTAATGAAACCAACCCTCAAAGTGGCTAATCATCAAGATAGTGTAGATTTGTCACTTTGAGAGTTGGTTTCGCCAGCATAAGCTGTTGAAATCAATCCCCAGATCGTCCCGTGAGAGGTCGGGACAAGAGGAGGCTAAAAGCGTGATGGCGCTACATTAGATTTATAACCGATAAATGGCCGAATTCAAAATATAAGCTCATTATTACAAAAAACATAATCAAGCTTCAAATTAATCAAGCTTATTAAAGCATCCAGGTATTTTACATTCAAATTAAGCATAATAAGCAAATAGCTAAATCGAGTAAGAATCAATGAAAACTTATAATTTTTGGAGTATTTCCCTACAATATTACACTGTTTTTTACTTATTTCTTATATGAATAGATATAGCCTTATTTTACAACAAAAATAGTCACTTAATTATTATAAATTTTCAAATTGAAAAATTAAATGAATTTCATATACATAAAGCTACTTCATTATCCGATACTTATCTCATCACTCAATCCTTATTAATAATTATTGCTAAGGATCTGAATTGTGTTTATAAGAAATTTGAGCCTAAATCAAAAATTTTAAGATCACAAAATAATTTATATGCTGCAATTCCTGAAGAAAATCTATATGATAGATATTGAAGAATTCGAAAAATTAAGAAATTTCTAAGCCGTAAAAGCAGATTCAAAAAGAAAATTTTAATTAATAATTATTAGTTAATTGAGCATGAATTTATTCCAATTACAATTAAACAGAGGTATTATGGATTAGTTACTAAATATGTTCAGAGTAATCAAAAGAGCATTTTTTAAATTTGCACAACAAGATATTACTAGCCAAGAGCGAAAACTCAGCAACATTACTATTTTTGGGATTTTTAGTGCAGCTGTGCTATCATATCCTATTTATACTTATTTAAAAGACTCTCCAGCAGTAAAAATCGAAAGAAATAAAGTACTTCAAGAAATTTTAACACAGCGTAAACAATTTTCTGGGGTAAAACGTACCAGAGATGTGGAAGAAATTTTTATTAAACTTAAAGAAAATATTGTTGTGATCTGTGGACCTCCCTTAAGTGGAAAAACTTCAATTATAAGCGATATCCAAAGCCGTGATTTCTGAAAAAATACCTTAAGGATAGATGTCAAGGATAACCTGGAAGAAACATTAAACCAATACCCATGAAACCAAAAACTCAGTAAATTTTATATAGGTGAAAACAATTATAAATTCTTTTTTGACAGCATTTATGCCACATTATATTCAGTTGACCCAGAAAAAACTCTTTTAATAATAGACGGGTTTGACAAATTCCAGCCTGTAATGAGAATAGCGGTCTTAAAATTTTTACAAAGAATACTAAATAAAGCACACATATTAATTTCGATCGAAAACATTGACACTTCTAACATACTAAAACAACGTAATTTCAATTTAGTGAAAAATATCGAATTTCATGAGCTTTCGCCTATGGACAAAGAAGATTTTTTAGCAAGCCTAGCAAGTCATCCGAATTTTGATAGAAATCAATTAAGCAGACTATATGAAGAAATAGGCTCAAGCTTTGACTTTGCATATGATATGATGAATAAAAATGAAAAAGCTGAGGATTACCTTAAAAACGCAAAAAAAATCATTGAAGATAATATAAATCATATTTTAGCAAAAAAGGCAGAGCTCGCTACAGGAATTTTTGCAGCTTTAATGACTGTTAAACCTGCAAACCCTTTAGGCGATATTTATTCTAATACAGAAATCGCTAAGGAGCTTATCAGCTGTGGCATAATGCAGCCTCATTTTCATGGCTGTGCAAGATTCAGAAACAAATTTGTGATTAAAACAATAGAAGAGTTACTTACTAAATAAACATTAATTAAGCCCTCTATATAAGCTATTTCCTGAATCTTCTGAATTCTCTGTTAACAACCCTTTTGCAGCTCTTTTTGCTGTAATTCTTAGCCTTAATAAATAAAGCCCAAATGCTACTATAAAAATGCTTCCAAGGGAATATCCAAGAATTTGGATTATTTTCATCACTAAAAAGCCAGTTTTTAAAGCCCCAAATTGTTTATCAACAGTGCTTTGGTCGAATTCTTCAGTTCTTACTAGGAAAAATAGAGGGAGATAGGTGCGGTATCCAGTGTTGTCCATGCTCATTTTTCCAAGATTTGGGTACAAAGCGTCAGGTTTGAGCTCTGAGCTGAACATAAGCTGCTCAGTGACATAAAAAACGCTGCCTGTATAAGGTTCTAGATTTATATTGTATAAGATTAAGTTTGACATAGGAAAAATGATAGCAGGAGCAAATTTACTTAAAATTGAAATATATATGATAAATTTTAAAAAAAATTATTTTAATGAATTTTGGTATAAATATGATTCATATTCTTTTGGATAATTTAATTCCGGCCTTGTATACTGAACAAGATTATTAAGTACTGGGTCAGCTCCAAGGAAATAAGGCTTGCTTCCAAATATTGGCCCTCCCATCACACTTGATATATTAAAAAGTCCTTCAGGCCCGAATTGATATAGAACATTAGCTTAATTATTTTCACACTTCAGAATTTTCCAGGTAAAAAAATAATTTTTTTTTCTTTCATGCCAAAATTAATAAATAATTTCATTTTAACCATAAAATCTTGCCTGTGATGGCATCTGTGTAGCATTTTTCAAATTATTCGGGCTAATTCTGTACTTCAAACAATCAAAGCCTCTATAATCACTTTTCCCTACATATTCTCCTTCCAATACTAGCGAGGCCTGATACAAATAAAATTTTATTTCAGAATCCTCAGTGAGCCAAGGCTGGAAATTCCATGAATCACTGCCGCTTATCGGCACTAACTCAGCCCAAGGATTAATATTAGCCCAGTCTATTACAGATCCCCATGGACTTTCTCCAAAATAATAAGGTTGAAGAAGGCTTATATAATTCACACCGTTATATAAGCGGTAAAATCTTACCTCGTCTAGATCTTTGGCACCTGTATTTAGGGCATGTCTGAATTGTTTAGGAATATATTCATACATTTCTCGGGTTTGATTTTGGCCGAGCTGAATTTGGGTTGGGTTAATTGCAGGCATTCCTCCTAGCAAAGGGTTCGTTTGTTGGATTTTGGCAAGAAAAGGATCATAATCAGTCCATAGTAGCTGCTCAACTGTTTTTTCTCTGAACATGCCGCCAAATACAAATTTGTCTATTGCAAATCTGACATAATTTATTAAATCTAATGGATTTTCCATCATATAGTCTTCAGACATTTGACTGTAATTTCCTTGGAAATCTATTCTATATATAAATAATAAAAAATTATTTAATTTTAGTTATAATTGATTTTTTTAAAAAATAAAAAATTATTAATAAATTATTCGTCCTTAATTCAATAAAATTTTATAAAATAAAAAAATTCTGAAGAGGAGAGCTTCCAAGAAGCCTGTCAAAGGTTAAAGCATTATTAATTTGTTCATCTGTAAGCCCTTCTTGACTTATATTAAAATTTTTTAAATAGGCATAATACTCAGGAGGAGCTGGCATTAGCGTTTGGAATTTTTTCGATAAATAATAAATTGACGTCGTATTCTCAATTCCAAAAATTTTGAAAATTTCTGGTAAATTTTCAGTGACATAAGCTCTTCCCCATTGTTTGGCAGCTAAATCCCAGTCAAAACACCTCTGGCCAGCGTTCATGCAGCCATAATGAGCTTTCAGCTCATTATCAAATAAAGAAAAATAGTTAGTCAATGGGGAGTTTACAAATAAAGTTTCCATATCTTCGTCAGATAGTCTTGTGAGGTTTTGGAATTCTAAACCATAATCTGAATAAATTCCATTTCAATAGGTTAAAATCCAAGGAATCATTGTTTCTGTGTCATTTCCCCATTTTAGGTCTGGGATATTGCAGATATAGCCTGAGTTTGGAAGACTTTCTTCAACTATTCCTTCACATGTCTGATTAAGCTGGAATTCTAACCGTAAATAGTTATAAATTGAAGATATTGTGATCGGTAAAGCATCTGCGAGGCTCATTCAGATTTGATATACCTAAATATCATTCTTAAATTTATATTTTTTTTTTAAAAAAAAATGTATTTTATTATATAGCGCTTTCCCGAGGATGGCGCGGAATGGCGCCATCCTCGGGAAAGTCAACTAAGCATCCACACGGGAACTGGGAGTTCCACGTGTGGATGCCATTTTGACATGTGGAAGTTTTGGATCCCACATGTCAAAAATGGCATCCACACGTGGAACTCCCAGTTCCCGTGTGGATGCCTTCCTGGCTTTCCCGAGGATGGCGCCATTCGCGCCATCCTCGGGAAAGCGCTATAGTAAATTACTATAGATACCTTGACTTCCTATATTTCCTAAGCTGATTTCGCTTGCAATCCCTCTGTTGTCTTTATTATAAATATTCTGGTCAATGCATCCTTGCAGCCCAGTATAAGAAAAAAGAGCATTGATATAATCCCATAGCACCCTAGCATGGTCAGCTGACGCCAAATTAAAATCATGAGCAATTTGATTAAAATTCCCAGCTTGGCCTAGCTCCCAAAAGTGGTTCATATGCCCTACGTCTAGTAAGGTATAATTGCTCCATTTAGGCCATCCTGTGACTCTATCATAATAAAAAAGACTAAAATAGTCCTCAACTGTGAACGAAACATTAGGATATTTGCTCCCAATGCTAGTTGCGCTTATAAAATAGTTGATTTCTGGATATCCATATAAAGAGCTATTAGAGCTTACTATAGAAAGACCTTGAGAAGGTTTTCCTGCTGGCGGTTCATTGGTAACTAAAGACTGTGACCATTGAAGAGCTCCTAAATAGGCAGGGTCACATTCAGAATTCCCTTCGCAACCATAGCTATTTAGTAGAATCAATAAATTCGTATCATAAATTATCTTGAAATTTCCATTGAAAATGGAATTTATTTGTTCATCAGTCAGCCCAAAATATTGTTGAAGTACATAGAGAGACCCTGCTAGCGGGATAGGTTTCACAAACTCCCCATTTTCTGTGTTTTCTTGTAGCGCAGAGACCCAAACTTGTAGCGTTTGCCATTTTCCCATCCCAAACCTGGCATCATTGAATAAAGATTGTCCTAATTCTTCGTCAATTTTTGCTTCATCATAAATAAGGATTTTTGCTAAATTATAATTTGGGATAAATGTAGCGACTCCTTGTGAGTAGGCTGCTAATGCTAAAGCACCATTGAAGCCTAAAATTACGTTGTAAAGAACAGGAAGTACAAGAACTTGAGCAGAGCTGTGCTTCATTGTATCCCAAGCACCAAAAGAGCCAGCACTAATCTGCATGATTTTATCTGAAGGGTGGGTGTTGTTTCTTCATACACAGTGATCAGTAAGGTCTAGTCTGCAATAGTTGAAGAAATGCACCCACGATTTATCGGTCCCATCATTATCTGAATATTCTATATCAAGCCATGTGTCTAATTCTTGATAAATATACCCGTTTTTCCTCACTCCCCCGTTTAAATTGGAGCAAAATATAGGTACAATTTCCATTTTGGGTAAATTAATCCCCCTTTAAATTGAAACAAAATTCAATTTTATAATAAAAAATTTTATAGATAAAAATAATTTTTATGTAAAAAGTTTTTTGATATAAGTTAAATGTTTCTTCTTAACTAAAATTAAAAATTTAGTTATATCTTGCTCTTGTTTAAAGAAAAGAGTATAAAGAGCATCTTATTTAAATAAATTTATTATCTTTAATTGCTAAATTTTTAAAAACAAATTAATATTTTTTATTTAAATAAATTTGATATAAATCCAACGCGAATTCTTTACAAAAATTGAAAATTACTTATTTTTTGCTTTATTTTAAAGAATAGAGTATAAATAACATCTTATTTAAACAAAATTAGGACTTCGATCAATAAATTTTCTAAAAAAAATTATTTTTATCAATAAAAACAATAATTTTTTGTGTAAATAGTTTTGATGCAATTAATAGTGGCTTATTAACTAATAATAAAAATTTAGTCAAATCTTGCTTTGTTTTAAAGGATAAAGAATATTTTTTGAATTTTTTTTTTTTAAATTTTACATAAATTTTTTTTCTTATCAAAAATTTTATCTTGATATTTTTTTATAAAAAATTTTATCTTGATATTTTTTTATAAAAAAATATAGCAATTGCCCGAGGATGGCGCAAGATAGCGCCATCCTCGGGCAATTCCTATATTCTTAACCCCCCTTTAAATTGGAACAAAATTTTTTGTTCCAATTTAAAATGAGGGAGTCAGTAATTATAGGCACTGCTCCTGAATAAAGCACTTCATCAGGATTTTCAACGTTAAAAAAGTGATACTCGTGAAGCATTATGACATCTAAAGTTCCTGGAAGTTCTCCTCATAGTTTCCATTTGCTTCTGTCAGTTAATTTGACTCCTTCGTTTACTTGATCCTCTATGAGAGAATACAATATGATAGGCAAAATAGCACCACAAAGAATAAAAAATATCCCTAGGCACAGAAGAAGGCTCGCAATTATTCGCTGCTTTTTGGCCATTTTAAAGTTAACAACAAGGTGGAGAAATATTAAAAATTTTACATAAATATCTATGCTAATATACAGAAAGTTGGCGACTTTTTAAGCAAAAGTTGAAAATGGTCCTAAATTCAGATTTTTGTGGATAATTAAAATTTTGGTAAAATAATAAAAAATAGTAAACTGTTGATAGGCTTGAAGGTGATTGTAGGAATATCAGACATTTCTTTTTGTTTTGGGAAAATTGAGGGATGCATGATCTTTGGAATTAGAGAAATATAGGCCGTGGATTGGTTTTTTATTAATACTTAATAGACATATTAATTTTGGCTTTGAGGATTTCCTAAATTGTTCATCAAAAATGAAATAAATGCTTTGGCAACAATTTTACGTTTGTTTTGAAGCTAGAATTTTCTGCAAGTCTTGGGATTAATTATCTAAGCCTTCATATACCTAATCAATTATTAAATTTTTAAAATTTAAAATTATTAGCACTTAATCGACATATTATAACTTTGGCAGAAAAAGTTTCCATAACTATGCATCAAAAATGAAAAATTTTGTCTTAAGATCTCGCATTTTCTGCAAATATCATGATTAATTATCTATTTCTTAATATTCCTTATCAATTATTATATTTTTAAAATTTTAAAACAATCATATATCAAGATTTTTGAGTTTGAAATTTAATTATCATTAAAAAGTTAAATTTCTTAATTATAAAAGTAAAAATATTAAAATATTCTATCATTCTAATTTTGACGCTAAAAGGGATTGAAATCTTAATTTCATATCAAAATATGGAATTTTAATATTTCTACACACCCAAATAATTTGATGGCGTGGTTTTGTTTCACCAGTAAATTGAGCCAGATATAACAGATTTAAGTATTGCAGCATTGGCCTCCTGCTCTTAAGGACTCCGAATTTTCTTTAAAGTGTGCACTAACCTCCAGCAATGAAAGATGGAACATTAAGAGAGATTGGATTAAAGGCATAAAACTGAGCTGGGAGAGCAGAATAGGGGGAGACGTGTACATTGAAGAGGCTTACCAGATAAATGTGCAAATCCAAAGAAATGGGATTGGCTCATTAAAGCCCTGAAGGTGAATGAAAAAGAGACAATAAACTAAACTAATGCAATGAAATCTCCAATTTTATTTTTGTATTGATAAAACTCTATTTTATCATAAATAAAGCAGAGCAGAAATAAACAGTTTTCTAGTCTTAAATTGATTAATTTATATCATAATCAAATCTTCAAAATTTTTCTAAAATAAAAGCATGATTTATTACTCTATTAATTTCTAATATTGCTGAAATTATTAAATCTATATATGAGTAGTTAAAAGTTTGATACTTATATAAAAAAATTTTATAAGTAAATAAGAAAGTGTTTATATAATTTAAAATGAAACCTTACAATTTTAAAAGAATCTCTAAAATTAATAATTTTAATATAATGATATTATAGTAATAGCATAGCAAATATTAAAAATATATGGTATTTTATATTTATAATCATAGCAAATATTAAAATATATAATATTTTATATTTATAATTATCCACTCTTCTAATTTACTTTTCTTCTTTTTCTACCTTTACTTCCGATATCCTCTGTTCTTTCCGATTTTTCGATATTTAAGCCTGTCAAAATTTCTGCGGCTTGCACTTCATCATGGTTCCCTTCTGGCTTCCCTCCTTGTTTCGACTGATTTTGCTCTACAGGCGGCAAATTATTTCTGGCATTGTGGATAAAATTCATGAATCCTTGGTAAAAACTCATCATATGCATCGCAAAAAGTTCCGGAGGAGGTCCAAACGCAAAATCTTTGTTTCTCGATATATTTGGCGAAGGCTTAGAGGCAGAAAATTCTGTCGGGTCGAATTGCGGGTGGATCATCATGCTGAGCTTGCACGCGCCAGAACCAATTTCATTGATTCTTTCCTGGGCTATAAGCTCATATGATTTTATTGCTAACTCCCTCCGTAAGCTGACAAAATAATTTTATTCGCTCGCGGGTTAATTTTTATCTATAAAATTTATATATAAATTTTATAATAAATTTTTTTTTTAAAAATTTATAAAAATTATTTAATTAGTTAGATTTTCATTATACCAATACCGCTATGCATCAAAATTTTTTTTTATTAATTAAAAAATTTTCTTCGCTCACAGAGGGTGGATTTTGGGCCAAAATAGAGATTTTTCCAATATTTTTATTCGCTCACGGAGGGAGTAAGGCTCTTTGATAAGCTTGAATTGCATCATCATTCTGTTTAGATTGCTCATACAAAATTCCGACGTTTATCCAAAACTCACCTTTAACGGACGCTTGATCAGCTTTTAAAAGTATCTGCAGAGCTTCGGCATTTTTGCCTTCTTTTGCCAGTAAAATTCCATAGCTGCAGCAAGCATGGAAATCATTCTGATTATTTTTTAAAATTTTCTCAAAAAATTCTGATGAATTTTGAATGCTATTTTTTTGAAGGTGCGACATAGCTAACATATAATAAAGTTTATCTAGCACACCCCCTTGATTAAAAGCAAAATCATTAAAAAATCCTAATAATTAATAAATAAATTTTATAAAAATATAAGTGGGGAAGTAAATATTTCTGGTTTTGGTCTTCAGCATCAAGTGCTAACTCCAAGCATTGGTGAGCTTCTTCGTAATGTCCCAAAATATATAATTCCCATCCTAAGCATGCTAATGTGTACCGATTAGGCTCGATAGACACAGCATGCCTATAAGATGACAAGGACTCTCCAAAGCGCTTAAGCTGATGGTAGCAAAATCCCATACAGCAATAAGCTTGTGTTACTATACTTATAGCCTCGCTATCACATTGAATACAGTTTTTAAATAGACCAATAGCGTCTTCATATTTAAGCGCTTGCTTAGAGATAACTCCCAATTTGAGCAAAATTGTTTGTTTTTGCTCGAAATTCGGGTCACATTTTAAAGCTTCATGAAACGCCATCTCAGCATAATTATGGGAGGAGAATCTTAGGTAAAGAAGACCTAATCCATACCATAACTGAGGATTTGAGTTGCCTCTTGGGATGGTTAAGGCTCTTTGGTAGGCGAAATAGCATTTTCTGTAGTCTTGTGCTATATAGTAGCAATGCCCTAACGAAGTTCACCCCTTTTCGTAGGATGGCTTTATCTGGACAATTCGTTCATAGACTTGGCACGCCTTTGAAAAATTGCCCATGTCAGCACATTTTTCGGCTGCCTGCTCTAAAACCTCGATTTTTTGTTCCTCAGCCTGATTTGTTGTGGAAATTGCTGGTACAGTGATTTTAGTGTTCGACATAATGGTGAATTATTGGTCGCAAAAAATACAATAATTCCCATTATGGAAAACCAAAAGGTAATAGCAATGATTAGGTTAGAGGCTTAGAGTAAAAATTAAGATGCTCTATTCAACTTAGTGATATTAAATAATTATATTCTCCAATTAGATTGTTTAAAACCATGGTAAAACGCTTGCTAATGAAATCCGAAAAAGATTTCAAAATTTCCAGAAAAGGGTTTAATTTTGATTTAAAACCCATAGAAATTTGAAAAAACGAAAATGCTCGAAGAAAATCGAAAACCCATGTGAAACTTTAAATTAACTTATAGGCAATTGCCTAGAATTTCCCAATAAGGGAGTAAGGACAGAGTTTCTCTCTCCAGTTTGTCTAGCCGACTGTAGGATTATCAATTAAACCACAATAGGCTTATTGTCAAACTCTCCATTTAGTCTGACCAATTGGGTAATATTAGGGAATTCCCTATAAAAAATTTTAAATTTTTTTTTAGAATTTCTGATGAAAAATAGCGCAAATAAGAATTCTATAACAATTTTTTGGTATAGCAAACCTGGATTGTGAAAGATAGCTTTTGGCCCATTTTATTAGATAATATTCCATCCACTCCATATTAATTGTCTGATTAAGTTTAAGTTTTTTATTTTGCATGATTTATACTAGTGATTTGAATGATTATTTTACTAGAAATTTAAGGCCTCTTTAAAAGTTCTTCCCGCTCTATTTTGACATCTAAATCCGGCGAATCAGGGGTAATTTTTTCAAAGTGCCTAAAAACTGCTTCTTGAGGGACTTCAAATACATTTTTATACTCCCATACAGGACTTTTATCTTTATCTATAATAGTTGACCTCACCCCCTCGAAAAATTCCTTCCCTGCCATAAACTGTTGCGAAAGTCTATATTCCATTGCAAAACAGTCTTCTAAAGATATGCTTTTCCCCCTAAATTTTTCCTATAAAAATGGCTTAAATTCTCAATCAGAAAAATTTCAAAATTTCCCATAAATTTTTCCCTCTTTTTACTTGCTCAAAAATCACCTTTTGTGATAAAGGACTAAGCAGCTCCAAGCGTTTTAACTTTTTCTGGGCCCAATCAGTGCTATCTTCTTCTAGTTTTTTATAAATGTGCTCAACTGAATTGGCGCCGTTAAAGCATCTTTCAATGTCTTCAAGTTCTGTGAAGGGCTCTTGTGGCTTGTCACTGAAGCTTTCGACAATTTGCTGGATGTCTTCAAGTTTTGTGTTAGAATTGATGTCTCTGATTAAGGCATCTCGCAAAGCACTGATTTTGTCTTTTGAAACAAAATGAGTGGCTATTCCTGTCTGGACAAGTTGGTGGCCTGCTAATCTACTCCCAGTAACTCCTAAATAAACCCCTAAGCTTCCTTCCAGCCTTGGCAAAAAGTAGCTTCCACCGACATCAGGGAAAAATCCAATCCCACTTTCCGGCATTGCAAATACTGAGTTCTCAGTCGCTATTCTAATAGGAGCATGGATCGAAATTCCTACCCCTCCTCCCATAACAATTCCGTCATAAATGCATATTTGGATTTGGTTAAGTTTTGCTAGAGCGTAATCAACTATATACTCTCGCTTGAAGAATTCTGAAAGAATATAAGCATTTTCTTCTGATTGTTTAGCCATATACAAAGCCCTTATATCTCCACCAGCACAAAATGCTTTACCAGAGCCTAAAAATAGACATGCTTTATTTTCTGGATCTTTGTGAAAGTTGATAATGGCTTGCTCTAATAGGGATATCATCTCTAAATCAAGAGAATTTAATGCCTTTGGTTTGTAAAGTTTTACTTGAGATACAAAGCTGTGATCTGAAATAAGTAAAGGTGCTTCTTCTGCGGTCGTAAATAATCGAGTAAGGACTCTGCGCAACATTTTTATTTAGTTTATTTAGAAGCCATAAGACATAATGATAAAATGGGCAGATAAAGAAAGCAAGCTATAATAAGAAGTCGATTTATATAGTAAAAATTACGTTACAGATTATAAATAGAAATGATTTTATGATTTTTAACTGTAGAAAACCTATTGTTTTTTCTTGAAATAAATTTTTTATATTGATGGGTAATGAAAAATTAAGATTTATGAGTTTTGATAATATAAAAACTTTTTATTTATATTAATTTCTCGTAGATTCGCTTTCTGACCCAGCATTTTGCTGGCTGATATCATAGAAATATCCAGCAAAAAGTGCTTGTGATGAAGAATTTCTTAACAAGTCTGCACTTTGCTGATAAGCTTCACTTTCAGCGTCTTTCCAAGGATCATCTGTAAGATGAAGCCTTAAATCAAAATTATCGTCATTTTGACTGGGAACAAATGGTGACTCCATCCTTCTGTCAGTTAACTTTTTTCAGTCAAAATCTCTGAACCATGGATGATTTTTTACTTCTTCTGGCCCATTCAACCCTAACCTATTAACAGGCTTTCTTTGTATAAGCTAAATAGTTCTTACCCTATTTACAAAATCGGCAGCTTCTATAGACCAATCTTCGGGGATTTCATCTTGCTTTATTTGGATTTGTTTAGCTAAAATCTGCTCTCTGACTTGTTTTCGGGCTTTGCCTTGATATGGTCTTGTACCGTTCATGAGCTCATAAGCAATGATTCCTAAAGCAAAATAGTCAGCAGCCACCCCATGATTTTGACGGCACATAACCTCTGGAGCCATATAGCCTGGGGTTCCACTTGTATCTTTGGCGTTTTCTGGGTTCCAAACTCTTGCGATTCCAAAATCAGTTAATCTTACATACCCTTTTTCGTCTAAAACCAAATTTTCTGGCTTCACGTCTCTATGCAATATTCCATTGTTATGTATATCTTACAAAATTAGTTATTATTATTACTGATTTTGCGAGTACCCCATTTTATAAAAATTACAAAAAAATAAAAATTTATATAAAAAAAAATAAATATTCCAAGGCAGTTAAAATACAAGCTATAAAAAATTTGCTTTGTTCTTCAGTAAACTTTTTTTGCCGTCCTAAATGATATCTAAGATCTCCTCCAGGCATAAGGTCCATAACAAGATAAATATTTTCTTTGTCTTGAAATGCATATTGCATATTCACTATAAACATATGTTTAAGTGTCGCTAATAGCTGCCGTTCATTTAAAACTGAATTAACACTTTTTTTGGCAAGAATTCTGGCTTTTGACATTTCTTTCATAGCAAAAATTTCTCGTGTCTTTTTGAGCTCGACTTTTCAAACTTTGCCAAAGCCTCCTTTTCCGATTATTCTGGAATAAATTAATTTATTTAATGTTGAGAAATTAAAAAATGATGGAAAATAGGGAATTGTGTGGAAAGGATTTCATTAGAATTGGAAGAAAAGAGGATACATAGTGAAATTGGAAGTGAGTTTTTGAAATTGAAACTGTTGGATCTGCGTCCTCTGATTTAAAATTGCAGCTTCCCATATATTTTGAAAGAAGTTATTCGATTTTATAATTAACTGAATATGGAATTTGTGTTTAATATTAATTTTGAAGATTTATAGCATATTGGATTGGAAAAGTTTATTTAATATATTTTCTAAAGATACTTATTCTCCTCCGCTCGAGTGAACAAAAAACCTATTGTTCGCTTTACGGAGGAATTAATTTTTTTTTAAAATTATATCGTAAATTTTTTTTTTTGAAATTTAAAAAAATGCCAAATGGAAAGTAAATATTAATTTAATTTGTAAATTTTATTTTTGAAAATGATATTTGTTCTAAATTAGTTAGAAATGCCATTATATTAATTATCACTAATATATAAAAATTTTGCATAAAAATTCTTGTTCACTCACGGAGGGTGGATTTTTGAGCAAAAAATAGGGATTTTTCCAACGATTTTGTTCTCAGGGAGGGTGGGAATTAGGGTATATTATAATACTTACGTATTTTTGTAAACAATAGTATTATTTTTAATGAAGCCAAATTATAAGTAAAATAATTGAGAGTATCTCATATAAACATTCATTCTTATTTAAAAGAGTTTAAATATGAATTAATAATAATAAAGGTGAAAGGAATCTTCGTGATATGATTACAAATTTGAAAATAATGTGATAATAGAATTTTTTTCCATAAAAATCAGCGTTTATAAATTTATAATTGTGATAATATCTAAATTTAATATTGCACTTATGTTAGTTTAAGCATAAAAAGATAATAAAATATAAAAAGACCTTATTAATGTCATGACTTTCTTTAAAATCGATTGATTAAAATTCCCCAGTTGCTAATCATTTATCTACAAGACATTAAAGAGCTAAGTTTCTAAATAATTTTGTTACTTAATCTTTTTAATCCTTCAAATTTAAATATTTAATTGATTACTGATTAATTTATTCACTGAAACGTTTTGGGAGATTATGAGGCCATCTTTGAATTTTTCTAAATAAAACTTCAGGCATTTTATAACTTAGATAAAAGTAACGTTTAATAACTTATCTGATTATTTATTTTTAGCCAATATAAATTTCATGATTAAATAAGCTAAAAATTTATTAATTTGATTTTTGATCTCTTTTGGATGAGAAATTATCCTTATCTCCATTGGCTTCAGGAACTTTTTTTCTTTTGTGCTGTTGACTTGCGGCGTAAGCTAGATCTATATTACTTCGACTTTATTTGTTAAAAAACTTAAAACTTCAAGAAGCTTTGTATTTTTATCGCAAGGCAAAAATAGTCGTAAACCTTATTAAGGATTCCAGTTATTACTGGCATTATAAACACTAATATGGCAACCACTTGCTCCCTTCAAGTTTCAGAAATTTCTTTAATTTCTCAGCAGCCGAAGTCCGTAAATTGCCCGATAAAGACTCCAAGGAAGCATCCCCTCTACCCAATCCCCCGCAAAGAATCTCCATACTCCTGGGCAAAAAAGGCTGAGTACATTGAGAAAAACCTCGAAAAGGCTGAATTCTACTATAAGGCTGCGATTTCCAACGGCGAACGTGTGGAAAGCTCAGTCAAAGACCTTGCCGGCGTTTTGCACCAGCAAGGTAAGACACAAGAGGCCTGCGAGCTGTTGCTCAAATATCAGCATCTTTTCTCCAATGATGCAACAAAGTTCGAAAACCTTCTGGAAAGCTTAAAAAAGCAAGTTGTCCCGACCGGAAACTCCTTAAACAAAAATATAAAAATTTCAGGATCCAAGGTTCCGTTGGGCACAGATTTCGTTAAATCACTATTTTTGAATTTCTTGAGAATCATAATTAAATATGGCATCTCAGCGCTTCGAAGTCGGATGCCGACTTCCTTGGAGCTCATATTTAATTATATCCGGCAAGGTTTTACCATGCCAGAGATTGACAGCAATCAAGGTAAGAAATTCTGGTTGTGTTCAGAGCTTAGACCAAGTCTAATTTCAGGGATGGATTTTTCCTCATGGGGAAGGACGGTATGGAAGTTGGAAAGAGGATGTTCAGCAGTGCCCTTAGGATCATTCGGGCAACTCCCTAGCGTGAAACTGGGCGTTACGTCCCGGGCTACATTTTTTCCTTTTTGCCGAGAGTCGGCCAGATCCATTTTTGGGTTTTTTGTGCTGACAACCCCATGTTCAAGTGCAAGTAGCTCACTCATGAGCCGTCAAAGTCGGTGACGTCATCTGGAGGTGTGTGGTGTGCGGAGCAGTCGTACGGGAGGCTGCGCTTCATTCCCTACGTGTTGAGAGGTTGTGGTAGGCCCCGGAATGCCTACCACATGCCCATGGAGATGTTAAACGTGATATTAATTAAGTAAGTAAGAATTTCTCGAGAATCAAAAATATTGAAGTTAAGGAAAATTGTGCCATCCTTCATTTTTCAAGTCATTCTGCGGCAAGAAAGACTATAGAAACTTATAGATCAGAAGAAATTTTGGTCTTGGAATGGATCAATTCCAATGAAGAAGTCATTGGACCAGTGATTCTAAAGAAGCGGGCTACTGATTTCTCACTTTTCGCTGGTGAGAAAGCAGGAGCAAAGCTACTTGGGGTTGGAAAAGATTATACATATTTTCCTGAGCAGCCAGTGGAAGAAGGTGAGGATCTTATTGACGATTTGTTAAAAAAGTCAATATTGTCGTATTTCACACTAAATCAAGGTGAAACGAATGAGATTCGAGATATTTTACCAGCTGTTTGTCCTTAAATAAGCACGATTAAATTATAAATATGGAAATTTTATATAAGGATATTCTAGATAAAAATGTCAGTGTAAAGAGGAAACTAAAATAATTTTTAATATACTCTGAATAAATTCTCTATGAAAAATAATTGATTCTAAACATACATAAGCTTTTATAAGTCATATGAAAATAACTTTATATTTTTATTTATAAAAGATCTTATTCAATCAAAATCTAAGAGATACCTTGTATATTTCCTCATATTTAACTCAAAAGTTAATTACAAAATTAATCTATAGTGACATCTTTTTGACAATTTTTCACTATCATACATCCAGCTTCCTCAGTCACATCTGCAAATGATCTCAACTGACAGGCAAACCCTTCATTCGGCTTTATGATTTCTCTATGTCTTTTTACAAAACTAAAAGCCTCTTCATAGCTTACCCCCATTGATTTCATGATATACATAATTACAAAAGTGGCTGACCTGCTTACACCTTGTGCACAGTGTACGAGTACTCGAAATTTGTCACTAGACATCACATGGTCAATAAATTCGAACGCCATCTGAAAGTGTCGGCTTATGTTTTCTGTTTCTAAGTCTTCTACCCCTAATCTTAAATAAACAACTCCTCTGGACTCAAACTTATAATCAAACCCATTCGTCGCATTCAAAATGTGTGTGATTTTTAAATTCTGAAGAACAAGCGGTTCTTCTGCGTGGTGAAAATCTCCTAACTCCCCCATCCTTGATCGAACGATTCACTGTAAAAATTTTTAAAAATTGGAAAAATTAACCCCATCCTTGATCGAACGATTTTCATATCATGCAAATTTATATACTTATATATATTAGTTATCAAAAGCTTGGGAAGTGTGCCAATGAAGTTGTTTTCAGATGCTTTAAGACGACAGGAAGCTACGCAATCAACCATCTGAAGTGCTTTAGCCATCAACCTGGGCTTAAAAACTCAATAATCTAAAAAATAGAGATTCTTTAAAATTTATACAGTTTAAAGGGGTAATCAAAAAATCAAAATATTAAAAATTGGTATTTTTATAAAATTAATTCAATTTTTTGCTGTAAAAATAATTTATTAAATACTCTTAACCCTCTTATTTAAAATTATATAAAACAAATATTTTTTTTCATTTTATATATAAAATTGTTTTCTTAAAACATTTTTTTAATCCCCATCCTTAATCGAACGATAGCGAGCCGTTCGATCAAGGATGGAGGGGGAGTAAATAAAGTTTATTGGAAATAATTTCACTTGGGTACCCATGCCTTGGCATGACTGATGGGATATTCACAGCTTCACACATGAATGGGAATTTCTCAGCAAAGCTTGAAAAAGGCTCATTGAGAATGTAAACTTCTCGGCATTTGTCTTTTTTTAGTATATATCCTGTATTAATTTAAATTTAAAATCATTATTTATATAGAAAATATCTATAAATTCATTAAAATTAAGAATAATCGACTTCTCTCGAAAATACGATAGAAGGTGGGCTATATACAATAAATATCATAAATCGTCTTCTACGGTCAAAAAGGCTTGCATCTCCTATCACGTTGGCTTTCAGCTCATTTATGTTTGGTGAGTCTGAAAACCTGGACCTATATGGAATATTGATAGACCTAGCCAGATGCATGCTATTGAAGTCGCTTTGGTCCCTAACGTCTATGATTAAGTATCTATCTGAGTAGCACTGAATCATATTAAAGACGTATTGAGAGTCTATGTGCTCTTTAGCCAATAATCTTGACATTTATACTATCGGTTATGCTAATTTGAATGTAAAATGCATAGAAGTCGCTGCTGGTAAAAAATATGGGATTGGCAATTTACGGATGTTCAGATAAAAAAAATTATTTAAATAATTTTCTAGGGACAAGAGATTAAATAAATATAAAAACTGTTTTAAAAACTCAAATGTTTTGCTTTATAGAAATAAAACGCTTCCATAATGAATAAAAAATTTGTAAATAAAATGATAAATTTAGCTTATAATTCTAAAATGGACTGATTATTTGGAAAAATTTTACTTATTTGCCATTTTGCCTTTTACTATAAAAAAAATTATTTTGTAGTAAAATTAGAGGAAACCAAAATGGAACACGCTAAAATCCTTGTAGTAGGAGCTGGAGGGATTGGCTGTGAACTTTTAAAGACACTTGTCATGGTCGGAATAGACAATATTACAGTGATTGACATCGACACAATCGATAAATCAAACTTAAACAGACAATTCTTATTCAGACCTGAACATGTAGGTCGCCCTAAAGCCGAAGTTGCAGTTTCCACGCTCAAAGAACTTCGACCAAGCTTAAATGTGACAGGAATCCAAGCTAACATTACCAATTATGGCAATGATTTTTTCCAAAATTTCGCAATAGTCCTCAATGCTTTAGATAACTTAGAAGCCCGTCGCTATGTAAATCGCCTATGCGTTTCTACCAAAATTCCTATGATTGATGCAGGAACCCAAGGAAAACTAGGCCAAGTGACTGTGCATGTTCCTCATATTACAGCGTGTTACGAATGTGAGCCCAAACCTACCCCAAAAACCTACCCAGTCTGCACCATAAGGTCAACCCCTTCTAAGCCAATCCACTGTATAGTCTGGGCTAAATATCTATATGAAGCTTTATTTGGGCTCAGAGACCCTGACAACATCCTTTCTGATTTACAAAAAAAAGCGGAAGGGTTCAGCGACCTCGGAAAAGAGCTTTTTAATTTACTTTTTAAAGAAGAACTGCCTGAAGAAGCTAAAAAAATTGAAATTTCTATAGAAAATATTGTAGGAAGCCAGATTAATGAAGACAAAATAGGGAGTTTACAAGAATATGCTGCAGGCTTTATATATGCTGTAGAAAACTTAAAATCAAGAGAGCCTAAGCCATTTGATAAAGATGACCAGCTTGCTATACAGTTTGTAGGGGCTGCCAGCAATTTGAGGGCTGCGAATTTTAAAATTGAGCAGCTTAATTTGTTTAAAACAAAAGAAATTGCAGGGAATATTATCCCAGCTGTGGCTACCACAAATGCTATGGCTGCTGGACTGCAAGTAATTGAGGCGTTGAAGATATTGAGAAATAAAAATGAGCCAAAAAATGTCTGGATTTCTGAGCATGCGAGTGACTCAAAAATTATAGTTTCAGGAAATATGCCACCGCCGATGCCAAAATGCTATACGTGCTCTGTTGGGTCTGTAAAGGTGAAACTTATATGATTTTCCTATGTTTTGACCGATATGAAGAGGGAACTCTCCAGTTGGCCTAATCCACTAGGAAGTTCCTTGCCTTTATTGAGCAAAACATAGTAAAACCCTATAATTTTAATACGTTCACTCTTGGAGATTTGGTGTCAAAAATACTTATAATCATTTTTATAATATTTTTGAGGAAAGATATAAGGATTTTCTAAAATTTATATAATTTAATATAATAGTTAATAGCAAATAATGATAACTTAACGCAAATTAGATAAAAATGAATTAAGCATGCAAAACCCTACCTTAAATCTGGAAAACGGAAGTATTTTATATGAAAGTGGTGAAGGTTTAGATGAAGAAGACGAAGAAAGATACGCGAAAAACTACAAAATGACGCTAAATGAACTAAAATTGGCTGATGGGGTTAGAGTTTCTTGTGACAATTTCAGCACTGATTTTACTATAAAATTGATAATAAGTCATGATGAAAATCAAGAATTGTATGAAATTGTAGGAGAAATCGTAGAGAATGAAGAGAATCATAAGGAAAACGGAGAAAATCAGAATGAGCTGAAGAGAAAAAGTGACAACTCTGATGAAAGGGAATGCAAAAAGCTGAAAATAGTAGAAGATATAGAAAATTAGATAGTTTACTTATGTTTGTCATATTTAACGCGTCTAAATGAGCTATTAATTTCTTTTTCTGGAGCGTAAGGATTGATTTTATATTTTTTGTCTGAAGGCTCTTCTGTGATTTCAGCTGTAAATACTGCTGGAGATAAATCTTCAATTGATGCTTCTTTTTTAATGATTTCTTTAGGGTCAACTCTTAGCATTTTTTCTTTTTGAGCTTGTGAAAAACCTTTAAAAATCCCTTGGATTTCAGTAAAGCTTTCTTTTTTCACTATATTTAACACAAATAAAATTGTCCCACCCGCCCTTCTCCCCATGCCCTCAGGTTTTTTTTTCTATGCAAAAGGGACTGGAAACTTTGTGTCCAGGGTCGTTTTTTTCTCCCTGGTCGGGACACCACTAGAGATGGCGATGCAACATTTTTTCGGTGACGTCAACAGAAAAAGGTGGTCGCAAACTGATGATGGTAGACATAGAGTCTGATCTCAGCAAGGCGGAGAGGGCTGAAATAACCCCAAAAGACCCATTCTAGCTTTAATCTAATCACTATATTTAATGGCAAATTTAATTCTTTGGCCTTACTTACAGCCAATTTAACCTCTTTTGCTAAACTTATCATAACTTCTTTGACATTATCACTGCCTTCATCCTTATAATTTTTATTAAATTTCCCTAGCATTTTTCTCCCCCATAACAACGTATTCGTCCTGGTTTCCGTCAAACGAAAAAATTTTTCTTTTTCTTTTCCAAGATTTTCGCTACATTTTGCGATTTGATTTTTCAAATTTTCTTTATTCACCTTTTTATTAGCCTGATCTGCAAGTTTAAACTCATGAATAATTTTTACTAATTCTGTATTTTTCTTTTTATAGTTATCACATATAGCTTTGCTTTCTGTGACCATGCTGGATAGCTGTGCATATGATTGTTCTCTTGTTAAAAATCTTTGCACAACTTCTTGAATATCATAAAGCCCAGTCACAGCTCTGATTTTTTGAAAAGCTTCTTCTATTGATTTAGACCTTTCTGTTTGGACTTTTAAAGTATTCCCTAAGTGTTTGTATCAGGTTTTATTCAGCAATAAAGCTTCCCTCATTTTATTGTACCTCATATCTCTATCTTCATTTGCGGCTGCTTCTGAAATTTCTTCTTGTCTATGTTTTCTATCCTCTCTTCTATCATTAGCTCCAATAGTAAATTTATAGTCCTTTTCTACTATTTCTAGCTGCATATTATGAGCTTTTTGCTCATCAGAAACATTTTGCCGCAGATTTTTATAGGCTACAATTCCTTTATACATTCCATCTCTGCTGACTAACTGTTTTCTCTTCTCATCTTTTAAATAATAATTTTTCAATTTCAACTGTTCGAGTAAGGACTGCTTTTGGAAGTCTAAATGAATTTTTGTCTGCCTCATTCTTTCTAAAATATGTAGATTTACTTGTCTATTGAAATCCTCATTAATTTGCAAGTTTTTGGTTTCCTCAGTTTTTTCTGTTAAACTCTTAATTTTTCCTTCTTGTCGAGAAATTCTGGCTAAGCAGCTTTCTTCAATTGCGTTATATTGAGAAAATTGTAAGTTTAAAGCTTCTATTCTCATTAAAATAATATTTTTATTTTATTTTTTTAGTTTATTTTAATTTTATTTTATTTCAAACAGAATAATTTTTTATCAGTTTTTTCAAAATCCTCTTTATAAGAATTCAATCTTTTTTTAAGCGCTCCAAGATGCTCACCAATTTCTCTTTTTTCACCTTCTTTTGGAGGGAATTGAGAATTTCTAACACCTGCTAAAGGGGCTATATAACTGTCTAGTTGTGAAGCATTACGAGCATGCTTTCTTGATGTGGAAAAAAATGAAAAATTTGGGGTAAAACTCCGAGTTTTTATATGCTGAAAAGTCTGGGAGACTGGATTTGCTGTAGCTGGTCTCATGGGTCGATTAATGAAAATAATTAAAAGAATAATGACAAATTTAAATCAACTCCATTTTTGAAGTAAAGAAAATGAAATAGCTATATTATTTTTATCAAAAAAATAAGAAAATTAAAATTGAAGAGAGATCTATTGAGGATTTTACTATAAATTAATTATTAATTAGAAAAATTTTTTATAATAAAGTGAAATTAGATTTAAATAAATTTTACAGAACCTAAAATTTACTGTATGGCTCTTTCTTTGAAGAAAGCAAGATATTTCCATATTCAGCCATTCCTCGTTTAAGCGCAGGTGTAGGACTATAATATCTGGTTTCAAGAGCTTTGCCGGTATACCCAGTAATAGGATCATTAATTTCAATTTTGGGAGATTGTCTTGTATATCGAGGTTGTTGGAATAAAGGATGATTTAAGTATTTTAATATAAACGGATTAGTATTTCTATCCGTAGGAATAAATTTAGATTTTGGGATCTCTTTAATTGATTTTTCAGAAACGATCTTTGCTGGTCTTGCAATCATTTTAAGCTCAAAAAGATTCGGAGTCTGGCTTAAACTATTATCAAAGCTTGAATTCTGGCTAGATTTTCCTTCAGGATTAGAAAAAAAATCGCCACGATCAAATATAGGGCTTTTAGATCTGTATTCTTTTCTAACACTTGGCAATTTTGATGCGCCAAGTACAAAATCAGGGGAATTTGTGTTTTTATTAATAAAATACCTTTTTCTCCCTACACTAAGTTCTCCTGGAAGTGCTTCTAATTGAGGATATTTTACCTTAAAAGTAAGCTCCTTAGCGTCCATTATCCCAGTTATATAATAATTTGTAGCAAAATCGGCAAATATAATTTGAATTACATTATTATTTTTTAATCTTTTTAACTGAATTTTCACTATCAGTTGACAAAACTCCTCCTAATTGGTCTCTTTTCCTTTTTCCATGACTAAACCGAGATTTTTTTTCTGCTAATCTTGCACTTCTTCTTAATTGGGAATTTTGTGATGTTCTTTCCGATCTCAAATGTTCTGGGGTGAAATTTTCTTTGTCTACGTCCATATGGTGTATACTTTTTGTATTAAAAACACTGCTAGAGTTAGAAATGTTTATTTCTTCTAACTCCCCCCCTCCGTGAGTGAACAAAAAAATTTTGTTCACTCACGGAGGGGGGTTAATTTTTTTTTCGAAAATTTAAAAAAAATCCTAATTCGCAAAAATTGGAAAGCAAATATTAATTCAATTTGCAAAAAATTTATGTTTTAAAGCGCAATTTGTTTAAAATTAAACAGAATTAGCTCTATATTTCATTATACTAATTATCATTTATATATAAAACTTTTTTCCATAAAAAATTTTTTCTATTAAAAAAATTTTTGTTCACTCACGGAGGGTGGGTTTTTTGGGCAAAAAATATCGATTTTTCTAATGGTTTTGTTCACTCACGGAGGGGGGGGGAGTAAGGACGATTGGCTTTCATTGTCTTCAGGAACCATATCAGTATCTTCGTTATTTGAAATTGGCTTTTGGAATAGCTTATGAGCTGAGCTTAGTCTTAGCTTGACTTCAGTTCATGTTGTGTCTTGGACTTCTTCTCCGCTTTCAAGGACTTTTACTCTTCGAGCTGATCGCTTGATTTGTTCGTTGATACTCATCCCTGAATAATCAGCATTTCTAAATATAGGGTCTTCACTCTGCAGTGGGGTGATATTTGCATCATTTTCTTCACTTTCTTGGCTGCTTTTGCTGGATTCTATTGCTTCTGTAGGACTTCCAGTAGGATTATAAATGATAGAGCCGGGCTCATGGCTAGGAGGGGTTGGAGGGAGATATTCTTTAAAATCTTCCAAATTTTCTTGGTTTATTGAATCTAATTTAGAACCCTCATTCACATTTATAACATCTTTTTCTGAATTTTCATATCCTGAACTTTGGCGGGCTACCAATGATAACGAATTTTTTGCTAACTCCCCCCCCATCCTTGATCGAACGACTCGCCATCGTTCGATCAAGGATGGGGGTTAAAAAAAAATGTTTTGGGTAAAAAAATTTTATATATATATATAAAATAAAAAAAATATGTTTTTTTTTATACTTTTAATTAAGAGGGTTAAGAGTATTTAATAATTATTTTTACAGCAAAAAATTGAATTAATTTCATAAGAATACCAATTTTAATATTTTGATTTTTTGGTTACCCCTTTAAACTTTATAAATTTTGATTTGTTCTTTATTGAATTTTTGATTTTTTTAAAATTTTAAAGAATCTCTATTTTATTAGATTATTGAGTTTTTAAGCCTAGGCTGATGACTAAATCACTTCGAATGGTTGATTTCGTAGCTTTCTGTCGTCTCAAAGCCTCTGAAAACAACTTCATTAGGCACATTTCCCAAGCTTTTGATAACTAATATATATAAATATATAAATTTGCATGATATGAAAATCGTTCGATCAAGGATGGGGGTTAATTTTCCCAATTTTTAGGAATTTTTACAGTCAATCGTTCGATCAAGGATGGGGGGGGGGAGTAAAGAATTTCTTGATATTTGGCTTGAGCTGTCATAAGAATTAGTGTCTTCCAGAATATCAGCTAAATTATGTTTTATGCTTGATTTTTCTTTAGGTTTTGTTTCAGACTCTTGCTCAGAATGCTGAGAATTATTCTGATTTTTATCGCTTTCGAACCGAGATTCTCCAGAATGTGAGTTGGGAGAGCTAAGCTGAGATTTTGATTTAAATTTAGGTATTGGCGTGCTTATATGACTGGATTTTTTTGATTTGGAAGCTTCTTCTTTGTTTTTTTTAATGTAGTCGATTTTGTGCTCTGAAGAGCTTCTTGATCTCTTTTTTGTGCTCATATTTTTGAAATTTAATTTAAGAAATCATGATTTTTAATTTACACCCAGCTGCTTCAGATGCCATTGCTAATTGTTATTTATTAGCAGCTGCTATCATTTTCCTTATATTTAAAATCTGTTTAATCTTTAATCATATCATTTGTCCTAAGTGAGATTTTTTAAATAGTTTCTGTCTAAGCGTCTGCGTTAAGAATTACTCTTTTAATCACTCGCAATAACGCTTACCATAAAGGCTTCAGAACTTTTGACAGCTGTGGCAGGTTACTTTGTAAGTTCATTTTATCTCCATATTTAAAATTAGTTATAGTTTAGTTTACTGTGCAAGTTGCACTTATATAATTATACAGCAATTGTAGCATTGCCGCTCACTATCACCAGCTATTGGTATTTCTACAATATGCATATCGCTAATTATCTCATTGCATTCATGTATTAATGTCTCCTGTATTTCTTTCACTAAATCTTTCTCTTCACGTTCATTTTTAGGTTTAGCGCATATTCGTCCATTAAGGATATCACGGTATATTTCTTTATTAGTTTGTAAAAGCTTGAGATCGTCTGACTTCATCATTGCATTTAGATATATAAATTCTCACGCTACACTCGTTTCATCTTCCACGTCCAGTTCGTTTGCTACTAACTCCTCGAATTTGTTACACTTGGTTATTGGTATAGCACTTAATAGATAGCATAGATCCTCGGCACCTGCTTTTATTAATGCCTCATGGATCTGCTTCAGTCGTTTTGCCATTATCACACTCACGTAGTCGGTTATGACAGCTTGGATAGTGTCGTTTAGTTTCACATTTCGTTGTTCGCGCACAGGTTATCAAAATATTTATCTAGAGCTTAATATAAAAATAGCTAATTAAGTTGTTGTGAAAGTTGCTTTTTTGACTAGAATTTAATTTAACAACGCTAAGAGTCTTGTGCTGCAACGCTAAAATAATTTTATTATTGTTTAAGCTTTTAATAATTATAACAAGCAACTTTATTTAAAAAAGTTATTGCAGTTTATTGAAATTTATTAAATTTCTAATATTTTATTTAATAGGTATTTTTTCTTTAAATAATTTTTCTAGATGCTTCTTTTTGTTTTCTCACAAAATCAATCTTAAAAGCAATCTATCTATAAAAAAAGACGCTAAAGGACCGCATATTAATTATCTTAAATAAAATATATTAGATGTTAAATATGAATAGAGGTTTAACTCCTCCAGTTATTGTAATTCATCCAGATCCAAGAGATCTTCAGAGAAATAGAAGAAGCCCCATTCTTGCACAAGAAAAGAAGCATAAGAATAACACTTTATTTTTAGAGCCATCAACCCCTGTTGAAAAAGACAGCACCTTTGATACTGAAGATAAAAAGAAAAATCAAAAGTCTGCAGCAAGCAATCGCCCATTTGTATTATTTGCATGTGGACTTTGCCGCTGTTTTAGGAATAAAAAGAATGAAAAAATAATTGAGGAAGAAACAGGACCGGGGACTAAATACCAATTTTAGTCGTGTATTATCGAATTAGAATTGATTTAAAGCTAGCAAAATTAAATAGAAAATGATAAAAACTTTATAATCAATCCAAGTTATTTATGCAGAAATTTTGAGAATTTTATATTTAATTTTTTTTACTTTTTTTTGCTTATAAATCGAAACTCTGTCTTCACCATAACAAAAATTTGCCTATGAATTATTAAGAATATGTAAAAAGATACTTCAAGTCATTTTTTATGCACAGAAATACATTGTGAAATAAAAAACCAATAATAAATTAACTTATAATTTAATGTTTTATCAAAATTAGCCAATCTTCCAATAAACGTCAGAAAATGAAATACTTCCTTCAGGTGACACTGAGCCTTTAGCCTTTGGCTTTTGTTTCCTATGAGTCGACTGAATCCTTAAAATTGGTTTTTCAGCTGGAGCTTTTAATACATCAGTCACATGAGTATTAATAGTAGAATAAAATCGAAGTTTTGACCTTTTTGATAAATTTATAAATTGAGGTCTATATAATCGAAAAACTTCTTTAAAGCTGGTTTCTCCAGCTCCATTGTTAAATTTCGTTGAAGTCTTTGGCCGTTCATGAATTTGCCTGAATTCTTGATATCGAATTGTTGGTATAGACGTATTTACCGTTTTTTCATTTTCTTTAAAATAATCGTTTGGAGTCTCAATTGAAATTATTTTCTTCCTTAAGCTTGATTTATTGGAAAATTTTTTTCTTATGGAAAACGCAGTTGATTTTTGTTTAAAATTATCAATATTTTGTTGATTTATAATTTATTTAATTAAATATTACTGATATAAAATTTATATGCATTTCTGCTTAATCAGTCTATTTTATTATAGTTCATAAAAAGATTCACTTCTCTGCCGATTTTCAATTCCAAATTTTTGACTATCATTATTTTCTTTCATTGTATTAGTGAATTTCGATAAAGATTCAGGAGTGACTGTTTTAAAAATCGAGCTTGAATTTAAGAGATCTCCTAAGCCAAATTCACTATACTCCAAAATGTGCTTTTTTCGTTGAATTCTTTTCTTCATCAATTTAAAATATTTATTATTATCTCCTATTCTATTATTTATAAATAACTATTATATTATAATTAAATAATATTTTATTAATTTTCATAACCAAAAAGAATAAAAATCTATTTAGTTTTAATGCAAAATATTTGCAGGCAAAAGACACTTACACACCCCTGGTATTTTTAAGCAGTCAAAACAAAACACATTTGAACAGTTTCTGCATTTAGAAAAATTATTGTCTCCATTCTTATCACTCCACGTTTCACAGTATGGGCATTGCCTCTTAAAAGTAGCCACAGGTACATATCCATGCTGTGAATGCAAATTTAAACACATGCAAGCCTGCTTCAATTTTTTACATTTTCCACAAATTTCATTTCGACACCCAGGACACATCACAACTGCATCATCAGACAATGCGAATCTTTCAGTACAATTCTGATTAGGGCATTTTATAATATCTCCAACTAATCCACTACTAAGCAAATTATTTAATGAATTTTCTTGATATATTTTGTATAGTTCTGGGGTTAAGCTTGCTTCTAAATCTTTTATATGAATTTCAGCTTTACAGTTTTTAGCTGGACATTTTATATCAGAAGCTTGGGCGTAAATTTGTGCAGAAATATATTCAAATAAGCAATTGGGGTGAAACATATGAGCGCAATTTTCCATAACTGAACAGTTTTCATAGCGAAGCTCATTATTGCATAAATTGCAGACTAATGAGGATTGCTCTTTGAGTTTGGGCTGGACTGGCTTGAGGGATTGATTAAATACTGGTTCTTTTTTCATGATTTCGATTAATTGTAGAGCTTCTTCTTCTAGTTGTCTTAAATGTGCTGCTTTATTGTATTTCGGCTGCGGGGGTATTGGTTCTGGCTCTATTTGCGGCTTTTGGTCTTGTAGAGAGCTTAATAGCTCTTTGGCTTCACCAATTTGTCCATCAAATATGCACGCTTGAATTTTATACTTATTTCTATAAATTTACTATACTTACTAAAGAAAAAACCCTTAATTTTATAGAAAAAAATTATTATAATTCTCCCTATCTAGCCTTATTTTTTTAATTTGCTATAAAAAAAATCATTTCATTCGGGATGAGACCATTCTTGATTTTTTGATAGAAACCTTGAAGAAACTTTAAAATCACTTTAGGAGATAGAGAAGTCTTATATCTTGCAGACCCTGCAATATATAATGCTAAAGGAGGCAGTTCAGCCGAATTTTGAAGCACAGCTTCGAACTCTTTAAATAATTCTGAATCCATACTGATAAAAAATCATAAGAATCAGATCAAATTGGTCTATCGAAAAAATGGTCTTGTGGTAACTTTTAATATGATGAATTCTAATTAATTTGGTTGAAAATTAATTAAATCGAATTAAATATACTGTTCTGAGTTAGGATGTAAAACAGATTTAATATAAAAATAATTAATTTTTGGCTTTATACAATAGGCTTATTTTTATTCAAGGCAGAAAGTCCAGCTTTTCCAAGCGTACTGGATATATTATAATGCCCGGGTCCTGGCGAAAAATTATTTAGATTTGGCTCCTTTGGAGCTTTTGGAATGCTGAATCCACCTTTACTTGAGTTCAAGCTTATGTCATACTCAAAAGGTGACGGCAAGCTTTCATCTTTATCCCATCTCAGCTTTTTATCAGTCCCAAAAACGGCAGCTGTTGTTTTTTCTAGAAATACATGATTAGGAGAATACTTTCCTGGTCCTGGCGATTCTGATCTAAAATCATATGTTCATTTTTTCCCAATAGATATTTTCTTTTTATCTATATTTTTTTCAGGGCTGTAATGGCCAGGTCCAGGTGTTATATTAGACTGTAGCCCATTTCTTGAACTTTTTCCTAAACTATACTTTGGAAGTGAATCAAAATTTTTTTATACTTTTCTATAAGAATTGCCTATATTTTTTTTTAGAAATTAAATGGCTTATTTTTTATAAAAAAAATATATTTCATATTGTCCAGGAGATGGGGTAAAACTTCTATAATATTCAGGCTCTTTTGTTGATTTTCCTAAAGACCACCCAGGACTATCAGAAAAATCTTTAGGAGAATACGCTCCAGGTCCAGGGGAATCTGAAGGTTTATAATAATAATTTTTAGCCCTTAATACCGCTTTAGGCCCTTCATTCCAGCTTGCATTTAGAGCATAAGCTCCAGGGCCTGGGGTATACGTTGAAGAGTACTCTTTTTCTCGTCTAGATGTCCCAAACCCATATTTCGGGGTTTTTCCAAATTCAGAATAACATGCATAACGGCCTGGCCCAGGTGAGTCTTTTCCTACAATATGTTCGGGTTCTTTTTTTGAGCTTCCAAATCTGTATAAAAATTACTTTGTTTTTGGTGGAGAAGGCTTAATTTCTTTAATTTCTGTATCATAATGCCCAGGCCCAGGGGAATCACTTGATTTTCTCTCTGGCTTAATCCCAAACGAAAACGCAGGCAATTTTTCTTGGATACTTGGGGAGTATTCTCCAGGCCCAGGGGACTGACTGTTTTTCTCAGTGCTGGTCCTAGCACTCAAAACAGCGACTGGGCCTTTTCCGATTGTGGTAGGGATTTCATAAGATCCAGGCCCAGGGACTTCTTTATGCTTAAGCTGGAGCTTTGGGGCTTGTGGGAAGCTATGCTTACTTGAATATTTATAAAATTCCGTCTCTATTCGGTAGTCCCCAGGCCCTGGCACTGGGTTAGGGTTATAATTATCTCTTCTCCCAGTTAAACTATATGCTGGTGCAATAGTCCCATTCATATTTACGTTTAATAAAGGCCAATTCTATATAAATTTTCATTAATTAATATTAGGTGTGTAAGTCCTGCTCCAAAATCTTGTAAAACAATCTTTACTCCCAGTCGCTAACAAATGTCCTAATGGATGCCAAGCTGTGTCCCTTATAACCCCTGCATGTGCATTTTCTATAAAACAGGCAGGTTCATCATATCCTACGATCCAAAAGCCTAAACTCCCATCAAAACCGCCTGTCACAAATAAGTCAGGCTGAAAAGGATGCCAAGCTAGACTGCTGACTTCTTTACTGTGTCTTTTAAAGACCTGCATTTCTCTCATAGTTCTTACGTCGTAAAGCTTCACCATTGTGTCCCTTGAGCCTGTTAATAAATAATTCCCATTAATGCTTCATCTGACTCTAGTTACTGCGTTGTTTCCAGCATGAACTGAGAATAGTTCGGCTGATGTTTTGGGGTCTCAGAGTTTGACTAAGCTATCTTTACTGCCAGTTGCTATTAGAGATTTATAAGGATGCCAGTCTGTGCACTTCACATCCCAGCCGTGCCCTGCGAGTTCTCTTTCTATTCTCATAGTGGCGAAGTCTCAGACTTTGCCAAGGCGGTCATCAGAGCATGATACAAATTTTGTGCCGTCTCCAGGAGAAAAGGAGAGGTCTCTAACAGCTTCTTCGTGGCCTTGTTCTTCTTTAAGAGTTTTCATGTTGTTTTTAGAGACGATGATATAGCCATTATTGTCGCCTGAGATCATGAAATGGTAATTTTTAGTTCATTTCATTGCTCGAACTCCATATCTGTGGACTTGGATCAAGCTTTCATACTTAAAATTGATCCCGCTTCACAATAAAAACTCCCCTGAGTCACAGCCTATAATGGCACGCTTTCCATGATTTGTCCATTGAACTGAAAAGACTGGGGATGGCTTTTTATTCTTAAATGAGCATACTAAATTTCGGCAAATTGAAAGCTGAGGAGAGTCTTCTGCAAATGTAGGCAGCTGGCGGTGGAAATGGTTTATGTAAGGTCGGCAGTGTAAATAGTAAACAAGACTAGGCTGAGGCTCAATTATGCGCCTTTCTGCTTTTTTGTCATCGTCTCCCATTTCTTATTATAAACAAATTATATTATTTTTTTGGGTTTTTTCTTGGGACTTGTCGGCTTTATTAGTTTTATTAGACCGTGCTTTTCTTTTTTGGGTTTTTTTCCGTAGTCTTCGGCTTTGGATTTGGATTTTTTTGGGGAATTTTCAGGTTTTATGCGAAGCGGAGGGATGTCTTCTTTCGATTTTCGTAAAGTATCTTCGAATTTTCGTGGAGAGTTATCTGGATTGGATTAAACAATGTGATTTATAGTCCCCAATTTCCTGAATACCTGTATTCACAACGTAAGCCGTTAGAGAGCCCCTCAAGGTAAATTGAGCCTGGGCTGAAACCCCCATTTCTAAGAAGAGGCATTTTTCTCCATGGTCCGAGTCATACGGACTATGCGGGAACCTCCATTTCCAACTTATACACCAAGATAGCCCAATCCTTTTTAGCTCAGGCCAGATTGACTCTTTATTTTTTGCGATCCTTTGCTTGAGAGGCTTGTACCTGAGAATCTTCATCGAACCCAGCTCCAAAGAAAAGATGCTTATACCATTAGGGCAAAGCCGCCAATTAGCCTAGGCATGCAAGTCACCTGTCTCTATCAGTCACCCATCCTGGGCCTGGGCGCTACTGGTAAAAAAGATCCAAAAAATTGCAGCTCGAGTCAGGTTACTGGCTAGTGGCACCTGACCTCTCTCGACTAGGGACTAACCCAACTTCTTGGGCATTCTTTACACCAAAAAACTACATCCTAATATATATAAGGATACCTGCCACAGGTGGACAGTTGCTCGTCTCAGGCCATTTTATGCATATGCGGAGAATTATCTAAATTTAATTTTTTGGGTGAATTTTCGATATTTATTTTTCTCGGTGAGCTCTCAAATGGCTTATTATCATCAAAGTTAATTTTTCTTGGCGAAGAGTCCTGGTTATGTCTTCTTGGAGAATTATCATTGCTAGTTTTCCCATCAAATTCAGTGTTTTCTCTTTTTAAAGTCCTTAAAGGAATAACATTTCGTTTTTTTCTTTTTCTTTCTAATCTTTTCGCTATACTTTGCCTAAGCTTATAAGACCTTCAATTTCTTTGTATAATTATCGTATTTTTTTCTAAAATTTTATTTTTGAAATCTTCCATATATTTAAAAGCTAAAGCAAGATTTTTCTGATGTTTATATAGTAGATAGCTTTGTCTTTGGAAGTACCCTCTTATATATTTCTGAATTATTGTAGCTGCTTTAATTCTCTTTTCCAGCAATTTTCTTGGCAAAACAGCTTTACGATAATAATCCAGCCAGCAATTTTGTATTTTTCTTGCTGCTGAATTTATTTTTATTTTTTCTATTTGAATTTTATTTTTGATGAAATGCTGATGCCACATCCGTTGGAATTTTACAATCCCAAGGAAAGATTTTTTTTCTTTATAAAAATCTGATGCTTTTTGTATCATTTCTTCATCTTCTAGCCTATAAATGTCCTTATCAAAGGAATACCCATAGACTTTTTGCAATTGTAAAGACAAACGTTCTTTTCTTTCTTTTTTTTTGATTTTTTCTTCAAGCTCTTGCTTTTTATTTGATTGGAATGTGTATTGTTTTATTAAGGCGTCTTTTGCTTCTAGATGGTGCCTTAGTTTTATGTCGATTTCGTCAGATATTTCACTGTAATGCTGGGAATGGTTGCTGTTTCGGCTTCTGATTGTGATTTGGTTTGAGGAATTTCTTTGGCTTAGAGCCCGGATTCTGGGTAGTTTAGGAATTGGGGTCTTGGAAAATGATTTTTCAAAAGAGCTCGATATTCCTTCATTATAAGAATTTCTGATAATTATCGGAGGAAAATTCATATATAAATGATCTGTTAATAAATAGTTAAATAGAAGAATTATCAAAAAATTTATAAAAATCGTAAATAATGAAGTTATAATTAAGCAATGGCATTTTTTTTCTTTTCTTCTATCATTTTGAGTGTTGCTTCTGATAATCCTTTTCGGTTTTGCTCATTGAGTCTTTTTTCAGTTGCTTCTAGTGCTTTTTGTCTCTTTTCGTGCCTTTCTTGTTCAGACGAACGACTTAGGTTGATATTAGGCTCTTTGGCGTTCCTAGCCTTAATAGATGCACATCCCATAAATTTTTATAAATTATGACATTTAAGTTTCAAAATTGGTGATGGAGATTTTTAAATATGAAATAAAAGAGCATTTGAAGCGAAAACATTTTGTGGGTTTCACTATTTAATTTATTCACTCCCGCGCTTTTATATTGGAAAAAGCATCGGTAAAATTTGCATTTTTTAGGTGCCTAACCCTTTAAATTGGAACAAGAATGCTTTTTATAAATTCAAAGTATTTTGCTCAATTTATATTTTTTAAAGAGATAAAAAATAATAATTTTATAAAATTAATTTTGATCTAATTTAATGGAAAAAGTGCAAGCAGAATGCAATTTAAACAGTTTTCGCTGAATCAATTTATTTTTTTAATGAAATAAATTAAAATTTAGATATTTTTTAAGATTTTAAAATTTTTTTAAAAAAAATCATCCATTTAAATTGGAACAGGATTTTCTTACAATTTAAAGGGGGAGAATTAGTAAAATTAAATTTTTTGAGTTAATTAACGCCTGGCTGGATATTAAAATTGCTTTGCTACCTATCGAGTAAAAATAGTCGAAAACAATAATTTTAAAAGATTTTATTTGATAAGTTTTAAATTGGAATAATTAGCGCGAAAAGTAAAGATAATATGCTGCATTTTAATCTTGCTTTGATTAAATTTAATGCCATTATCTCTCACCATTTTTCAATAAATCCAAGAAGCATTTTATTCGACAAGTCAAATGAACTTCATATTGATTTTATAGTCAAAAGATTCAAGATAAATTAATTTTTGATTGGTTGAGCTTAAATTATTACACTTTTCCTTCATAAGCACTTTTGTGCTCATTATAAAGCAAAAATTATCTAATTAAAATTTCAGCTGATTTATATAATTTTAATGAGCCTTTTAAAATTTAAGGTAAATTATGATCAGCCCTTCTTATTATTCTTGGTAAAAATTCCTTCCTGAAAATATACTTCCGAAATCTTATAACGAGGGACCTTAAACAATACACCCAGCTATCACAATTGCCTTTAAGTCATAAAACTTTTATATCAGTTTTTTCTGTTATTAATATACCTTACCAATTTCTCTGAAGCCAACTTATCTATCAAAAGCTTAAAAAATTCATGCTTTAGCATCAAAGATGAGCCTAAATAGTTTAGCCCACTAGTATTTAGTGTCCTAGTCTCTATACATTGATTTCTTTTGGTCTAAAATAAAAGGCGAATAATTAATAAATGACTGAGCAGACATCAAGAGGTCTCATAGACTCCTCGAATTTCGTCGCCAAAGAAGATTTGATCAATCTAGTAGACACTTATATGGACCGAAAATTCGACGAGGAGATTGCAAGGATTGAAGAGAGGGGAGGAATCCAAATTTTCCAAGAGCTGTTAGGTGTTGATTTTCGAGCAGGTCTAGCATCTGACGATGACTTTGAAGAAAGAATAGCAGCATACGGCACTAACAAAAGAGAAGAAAAAGAGCTCGACACTTTCTGTGAGCTGTGCTGGGATGCCCTTGGAGACAAAATTCTTAGGATTCTTCTCGTCATGGGGACACTTAGTCTTATTATTGGAGCAACACTAGAAGATCATCCAGAGTACGCCTGGATTGAAGGTTTCGCAATCCTTATGGCTGTTTTTATTGTTGTTATGGTCACTTCTACCAACAACTACTTAAAGCAAAAAAAGTTTGCTGAGCTTAAAAGCATCCATAAGAATAGAGCACTTATGACAGTCATGAGGGATGGGGAGTTCAAATCTTTACACCCAAGCGACATTTTAGTAGGAGACATAGTAAAACTGGTGCAAGGAGATATAATTCCAGCAGACGGAATTCTCATTAAAGCTGAACGTCTTCAAACAAATGAGTCTTCTCTTACAGGAGAAAACGACAATGTCGAAAAAGAAGGCCATGAAGAGTGCTTAAAAAGACTTAAAGAATTTCTCAAAAAAGGAACCCGAGCTGAAGGAGACCATGCCAAAAGAGAAATTCCTTCACCTGTTGTAATCTCAGGGACTAGTGTTGTAGAAGGAAGCGGAATAATGGCAGCCATTGCTGTTGGGATTTACTCAAAAGAAGGCAGGATCACTGATCTTGCTGAACAAGATGACGAAATGACTCCTTTAGAAATCAAGCTTGAAAATCTTGCTGATAGGATTTCAGGGCTAGGCTTAGGTGCAGGAGCTTTTGTAGTTTTGGTATTATGGCTGAGATTCTTTATAGAGCTGGGAACTGGAAATAATGAATGGAGTACTGGTGACAGCATTACAGACTTAATTTATGCTGTCATTGTAGGCATCACTGTTATTGCTGTAGCCATACCTGAAGGTCTACCATTAGCAGTTACCATATCGCTAGCATACTCTGTAAGAAAGATGCAAACAGATCAAAACTTAGTAAAAAGACTTCATGCCTGCGAAACCATGGGAGGAGCTGACTGCATTTGTTCAGACAAAACTGGCACTTTGACGCAAAATTTGATGGAAGTCCAAAGATATTCAGTTGATGGGAATCTAATTGATAGCAGCAAGCTGAAAGGTGTCCTTGACAAGCACCCAGACTACTTTAGTTTCTTACTACCCTCTCAACTCAGTCGTGGCTAAAAATTTCCCTATCAAATATTTTAATTCACAGTAATATTTTCATGGAATCTCCACTGATTCTATTTGATACTCCAAAATTAATTAAATTCTATTACTTTTTGATATTAATCCTCCTCATAAAAATAGCTCGAAGAGTTAAAAGATGCGATTTGCCTGACAACAGCTGCAAGAATAGAAGATGAAAAAGAAATTGGCTCAAAAACTGAACTTGCAATGATCAAACTGCTTCTAACTGTTGGGCATGGAGACTATATGAAGGTGAGACAAGATTTTGTTAAAGACACTTTGGTGACAAATCCTTTTGCATCTAAAAGAAAAAGAGGCAGCACAGTCGTCAGATACTCCGAAGACTTGGCAAGAATATATGTTGTAGGAGCTTCAGAATATTTGGTAAAATCCAGCAAAAAAAATCTCACTTTGGATGCTTCTTTAGCTGATATTGACGAAGATAGAAGACATCAAATGAAAAGGGACATTGAAACTATGGCAGGACAAGGCTTAAGAACACTAGGCATTGCTTTTAAAGACTTAACTGAGGATGACATGGAAAACTTAAAAGCAGTCGATAAAAGTGGAGTTCCAGTCTTAGAAAAGAAAGGACTAAACTTGATTGGGATTTTTGGAATTTATGACCCTCCCAGACCTGAAGTACCTGCTGCAATCCAAGCTTGTAAAACAGCTCAAATAAAAGTCCGAATGGTGACTGGCGATAATCCTATAACTGCTTTAGCTATTGCAAGAAGCATTGGAATTGCAGATGATAATAGCATAGCTATGATCGGAGAAGATTTCAGAAAAGAAGTAGGAGGCGTCGTATGTGAAGAATGCAAGACTGAGCTTTGTGACTGTCCTAGAAATTCCAAAAACGCTGGAGATAAAAAAGTGAGAAATGATGTGGTCGGGAATTTTGAAAATTTTACAAAAATCATTGGACATCTTGATGTTTTAGCAAGATCTCAGCCTGAAGATAAATATACACTTGTGACTGGACTAAAACAAATGGGAAGCGTTGTTGCAGTTACAGGTGATGGAACTAATGATGCACCTGCTCTTAAAAAGGCAAATGTTGGGTTTGCAATGGGAATTGCAGGGACTGAGCTTGCTAAAGAAGTAGCTGATATTATTTTACTTGATGATAATTTCGGCTCAATTGTAAAAGCAGTCAAATGGGGAAGGAGCATTTATGATAATATCCAAAGATTTATTCAATTCCAGCTTACTGTAAATGTAGTATACCAAACCTTAATGACTTTTTAAATTTTTATTATTAATTGAAAATTTATAAAAAATTGCAATAAGGCATAGCTGTTACCTGCGCTATTGTAGGAGCTGTTACGATTAAGCAGTCTCCTTTAACAGCAGTTCAGCTTCTTTGGGTTAACCTCATTATGGACACTTTTGCGTCCCTTGCTCTGGCAACTGAAGCTCCAACTGATGCCTTGCTGACTAGAAAGCCTCACAATATATCAGATTTTATAATTACCCCTAGGATGTTCAAACAAATATTCGGCCAAGCTATAATGCAATGCGCTATATTATTTGCTATGACGTATGCTGGGGAATATTTTATTCCAGAATATGGATCAGGGAAAAGAATTTTATACAACCCAAGAAGTAGCGACTATGTAAGGTCAGGAAGAGACTACTATTTCAATGGTGATAAAGACTATTATGACTTATATAATGACCCAGATGTAGGTCCAAGCAGAATGATGACTTTTATTTTTAATGTTTTTGTCTTATTCCAGCTTTTCAACGAAATAAATTCAAGAAAGCTGCTTGATGAACTGTGGATTTTATCAAATATTGTTAACAGTTGGCTGTTCATTGTGATATGGTTCTTTACTTTTGGAATTCAAGTTATTATGGTCGAAGTTGGCAGCTATGCTATGAACTGCCATGTCGAAGGACTCACTGTTGAGCAGTGGTTTATTTGCGTTGCATGGGGATTTATACCGATCGTATGGAGGTGGGTAATAATTTTAATTCCGTTCAAGCATGAAATACATGTAGATGACAAGCCTTCCTCAAGTCACCTTGCAAGCAACATTCATAAGGGCTCTCAAAGCCTTAAACGTCATATGACAAGCAATTATAATCCTTAATAATCTCCTGGATTATTAACTTATTATAATTCAATTTTATAAAAACTGTGTTATATTTAATAATAAATATCTGGCACTGCTTTTAGCAGCAATTAGCAATAGGAATGGTAGCTATAAATGCTGAAATAATGGTCAAATTAGGGAAATAAGTTAGAATGTAAAATTAGATTAAATTAATAAATATTGTTTAATCAATTCCATTTCATTTTTTCAATTTTACCTACTCGCTGCAATTGTTTTTGCTTTCATACACGCTGATAATTTTTTTTTAAAATCCTATAAATGATATACAATTCTGATAGGTTTGAATTCAAATTATTGAAAGTAAGATTTATTCTGGAAAAAAATTTATCAAAATTATTTATGGGGTTACGACTGAAGCGCCATTTTTATCAATAAGTAAGTTATTGTGTAAAATAGAATTACATGTCAGATTATAATTATATTTTTGAAGCAGCTATAAGTCATTGGAATGCTAAAAGCTTCTTTATCAGTGATGAATTTACGGTTGGATTTTAAAAACAATGCCTCAACAAAAAAATTAATGTTTAATAAATTATTTTAAACTTGTTTTCTTTCGGCTGTGCTTCCAAAAGTGATTCATAGAGAAATAAAATTAAGCAAGACTGTTTTTTATGGTATATCGCACATAAAGTAAGTATAAGAATTAAATTTTCTTTAGTTCTCCCTGTTTTTAGCTTTACTGGTTTTTTGTAGCCATTTTTTAGCCCTAAAAATTATTTTAATCAACAACCGAATGCTTATAGGTTGAATCGTTCGAATTAGATTGAGAAGAACCTGCAAACTTAATAGAGCTAATAGCCCAGCAGCCAAAAACATGTTTTCAATGTGCAAGGGGAATACATGAGGAATAATAATGCCTAGATAAAAAACATTCTGGTTTAGGAAAGGAAAGTTTTATCCCTTGAAGTTTTATGTTATCAATAAATTCAATCATAAAAACAACCAAAATTTTAATTGATTTCTCTCTTGGTGCTCCTTTTAATATTTAGTGCTATTATATAGTTATAAGCCATATAATTTTAATTTATCTGCTGAAAATTCGAATGATACGCGAACCTGATGCTCTCTGGTAATGATTATTTCAATTATATAACAGTTTTGCTTTATCTTGAGACAGATGATCAGGAAGTAATCATTAATATTGGTAACTTAAAAAATATTATAAACCTGCTTCTCAGTCAATTTCACAATCAAAAATACCATAAGACCAATTCTAAGCCATAGGAGCATGCCTAATTATTTTCATAAGTAATTTGCCTTGCAAAGTCCTTTAAGCATTGATTTATTTTTGGGCGAATTAAAGGCTAATAATTAATAAATGACTGAGCAGACATCAAGAAGTCTGATAGAATCATCAAATTTGGTCCCTAAAGAAGAATTAATAAATCTTGTTGACACTTATATGGACAGAAAGTTCGATGAAGAAATTACCACAATTGAAAATCGTGGCGGAATTGAAAATTTCCAAGAATTGTTGGACGTTGATTTCCGCCAAGGTCTCAATTCTAATGGCAGATTTGAAGGGAGAATAGCTGCCTATGGTACAAATAAAAGAGAAGAAAAAAGACTTGATACTTTTTGTGAACTTTGCTGGGATGCACTTAAAGATAAAATACTTAGGATTCTTTTATTTATGGGGGTACTTAGTCTAGTCATTGGGGCTACATTAGAAGATCATCCAGAATATGGCTGGATTGAAGGGTTCGCAATTCTGATGGCTGTTTTTATTGTGGTTATGGTTACTTCTGTTAATAATTATTTAAAGCAAAAAAAATTTGCTGAGCTAAGAAGTTTTCATAAAAATAGGGCACTGATCACAGTACTAAGGGATGGAGAATTCAAATCTCTACACCCAAGCGAAATATTAGTAGGAGACATAGTAAAACTAGTGCAAGGTGAAATCATTCCAGCTGATGGGATTCTTATTAAAGCTGAACGTCTCCAAACAAATGAGTCTTCGCTTACAGGAGAGAATGACAATGTCGATAAAGAAGGTCATGAAGAGTGCTTAAAAAGACTTAACGAGTTCCTCAGAAAAGGAACCCGAGCTGAAGGAGATCATGCCAAAAGAGAAATCCCTTCACCTGTTGTAATCTCAGGGACTAATGTAGTCGAAGGAAGCGGAATAATGGTAGCCATCGCTGTTGGAATTTACTCAAAAGAAGGCAGAATCACTGGCCTTGCTGAACAAGATGACGAAATGACTCCTTTAGAAATCAAGCTTGAAAATCTTGCAGATAAAATTTCAGGATTAGGATTGATGGCAGGAGGCTTTGTAGTTTTGATTTTATGGCTGAGGTTCTTTATCGAGCTGGGAACTGGAAATAATGAATGGAGTACTGGAGATAGCATTAATGACTTAATTGATGCAGTTATTGTAGGAATCACTGTTATTGCTGTAGCTATTCCAGAAGGTCTACCGTTGGCTGTTACTATATCTCTGGCTTATTCAGTTAGAAAGATGCAAAAAGACCAAAACTTAGTAAAAAGACTTCATGCTTGCGAAACCATGGGAGGAGCAGACTGCATTTGTTCAGATAAAACTGGAACTTTAACAAAAAATTTAATGGAGGTCCAAAGATATTCTGTTGATGGAAAACTAATTGACAGTACCAAGCTGAAAGAGATCTTTGAAAAGCATTCGGATTACTTCGATTTCTTAAAAGACGCAATATGTTTAACTACCTCCGCAAGGCTAGAAGATGATAAAGAAATTGGTTCAAAAACTGAGCTCGCCATGATCAAGTTGCTTGTAATGCTTGGATATAATGATTATATGAAAGTTAGGCAAAATTTTATTAATGATACTTTAGCAACCAACCCGTTTGCTTCGAAAAGAAAAAGAGGTAGCGCAATTGTAAAATATGATGAAAACTTGACAAGAATATATGTGGTTGGAGCTTCTGAATATCTAGTAGAATCTAGCAAAAGAATTCTCTCTTTGGATGCGACTTTAACAGATGTTGAAGAAGATAGAAGGTATCAGTTAAAGAGAGATATTGAAACTATGGCTGGGCAGGGCTTAAGAACACTAGGAATTGCTTTTAAAGACTTAACTGAGGATGATATGGAAAAATTAAAGAAAGTCGACAAAAACGGAATCCCAGTCTTAGAAAAGAAAGGACTAAACTTGATTGGGATTTTCGGAATTTATGACCCTCCAAGAAATGAAGTGCCTGATGCAATCCAAGCTTGCAAAAAAGCTCAAATAAAAGTCCGAATGGTGACTGGCGATAATCCTATAACTGCTTTAGCTATTGCAAGAAGCATCGGAATTGCAGATGATAATAGCATAGCTATGATCGGAGAAGATTTCAGAAAAGAAGTAGGAGGCGTCGTATGTGAAGAATGCAAGACTGAGCTTTGTGACTGTCCTAGAAATTCCAAAAACGCTGGAGATAAAAAAGTGAGAAATGACGTGGTCGGGAATTTCGAGAATTTCAAAAAAATCATAGGACATCTTGACGTTCTGGCAAGATCTCAGCCAGAAGATAAATATAACTATTGTGCGCAATTAGTTCATATAAGAGCCATTTAAGCTTGAACTTAATATGGCTTCTAAAAACTTTTAGCTATAGCATTATGAAGGTAAATCAGTTTGCTATTGATAAACTTACTAATCCTAATGAATATTGTATATTTTCAAAATGCAAATCAGACATATAAACCCAAAATTATAAGGCAGCTTATATGAATGCTCGAACTATATACACTTGTGACTGGACTTAAACAAATGGGAAGCGTTGTTGCAGTTACAGGAGATGGAACTAATGATGCACCTGCTCTTAAAAAGGCAAGCGTTGGGTTTGCAATGGGAATTGCAGGTACTGAGCTGGCTCAAGAAGTCGCTGATATTATTTTACTTGATGATAATTTTAGCTCAATTGTAAAAGCTGTCAAATGGGGAAGAAGCATTTATGATAACATCCAAAGGTTTATTCAATTCCAGCTTACTGTAAATGTAGTAGCTGTAACTTGTGCAATTGTTGGAGCTGTTACAATTAAGCAGTCTCCTTTAACAGCAATTCAGCTTCTTTGGGTTAATCTCATTATGGACACTTTGGCATCTCTTGCTCTTGCGACTGAGCCCCCAACAGATGCTTTGTTAACTCTACCTTACTACTAATAAGCAATACATGCACGTTGTTGATTTTCAATTTTAAAATAAAATAAAACAAAATTCAATAAAATTTTATTTAATTTTGAAGAGCAGATTTAATAGAAATTTTATTAAATAGTTAAATATATTCATTACGCTTGATTAAATAGCACTTATATATTTGCTTCAAGCTTATATTATTTGCATTTTTTAAATAATTCCAAATATTATTTTGTGTAGTTATGCCCAATAAGGATTTTATAAGGTGATATAATTGGTTCCATAAAATCTTAACAATCTTGGTAATAATAATGGCTAAGGTTAACTAGAAAGCCTCACAATATGTCAGATTTTATTATCACCGCAAGAATGTTCAAGCACATATTCGGCCAAGCTATCATTCAAGTTGCTATATTATTTGCTATGATGTATGCTGGGGAATATTTCATTCCTGAATATGGATCAGGGAAAAGAATTTTATACAACCCAAGAAGTGGCGACTATGTAAGATCGGGGAGAGACTACTATTTCAATGGTGACAAAGATTATTATGACTTGTACAACGACCCAGATATAGGTCCAAGCAGGATGATGACTTTTATTTTTAATGTTTTCGTCTTATTCCAGCTTTTTAATGAAATAAACTCTAGAAAATTGTTAGACGAGACTTGGATTTTATCAAATATTACGAAAAGCTGACTCTTTGTATTCATCTGGTTTGTTACTTTTGGAGTACAAGTTATTATGGTGCAAGTTGGAAGTTGGGCAATGAACTGCCATTTGGATGGACTTACTGTTGAGCAATGGTTCATTAGTATTGCATGGGGATTCGTACCTATCGTGTGAAGATGGGTAATCGTTTTAATTCCATTTAACCATGAAATACATGCTGATGATACAAAGCCTGCTACTCATCTTGCAAGCAGCATTCATAAAGGAAGTCAAAGCCTTATTCCCCCCGCCCGTTATACAGGGTACAAAAAAATTCTGTTCCTATTTAAAATGCTGATTTTTTTAGATAATATATTTTTTTTACATCATATAATATTTTGTACAATTTATCAATTCAAATAAAAATTTCTAATAAATAGTTGGACTTTTAGAAAATAAGATATCGAGGCTATCGATTTTGCAAAAAAATAAATATCAACTATTTACCTATAATTAATAAGAAATTCCTAGTATTTTTCAATTTAAAGTATCGAATTTCAAAAAAAATAATTTTATTATATGTATAAAGGGGAATTAGCATTATTAAAAGTCAGCGTTAGCCATATTGAGTTCACCTGCTTTTCGACTCTAGTCCAGAGTTTCTATCCCTTTTATAAGTGTCCTGTCGGTATCTTCTGTCTCCTCCTTGTTTTGAGGCTTCAATCTTAAGTTGGTGGCTTATGGATTTCTGTGACCCTACTACGGGCGATTGGAGTAGCTTGCTTCCAAGGATCCTTGGAGTCTATCGGATGTCGAAGTGGTTTTCTTTGCAGCCACAGGAATAAGACTGTTTCCCTGTGGCCTAGGCCGAAACCCCCTGCTTCTCGGTAGAGGAGTGCCATGGGTCCTCGAATCTAAAGGAAAGGTGCTGAGTGCCTCCATTTCCAACCACAGGCAAGAAGCCAAAACCTACCTGAATACACACCAACATGATTCTCAGCTCGGAATACGCCGTAGCCATAAGGTCCGGACGACTGCGTCAAGAGGGCAGCCTGACACGTGTCGCCATTTTAAATGCATATATGTCTAAAGGGGGAGCTAAGCATCATATATCAAGCAATTATAATCCTTAATTATTTATTTTAATGATAGCTATGCAGTAATTAAATTATAAAAATTTACACTATAATCCAATAATAAACGCTTATTTTAATTGCTTAAAACATTTTTTCTCTTAACTCTTATCAATAGGAAGGCAAATGACAAATTGTCATTTTAAAAAATTTGTTTGAGAGTTTCAAGGGATTTTTTAAGAAAAATGATAGATGCATAAATAAATAATATCTAAAAAATATTCTCCTTTAGTGATTTCATTATTATGGTTTCAGCTTTCATAGTCACCTGAATTCAAATATAAAAGCAACACATTAGCACATAGTGGACTGAATCTGGGTTTAAAAGAGGTATATATTTTACCTCTTAACGCTCCAAAGAGGGAGACCCTTGAGTAGAAACGTGCGGAAGTCAAGTTTAGAGCGAGGCAACATGTCCCGCGAGGTCTTCTAAAGAGCCAGTGCTTATCTATTTAGTGTTGCTTACCTTATCATTTTTGAAAAAAGGCAGGGGAAGATAAGCCAATGACAATAGGAGTTGGAGTTAAAGGATAAAAGATCAATTGCTGAGTGGAAAAAACATTAAATATTAAGTTAAAACGCAAGTAAGCGCTAAAAACTTAAGTTGAGGTCATAGTTTTCTTCATTTTCTCTTGATAAAATTTTTTCATATTTATCGGTTGCCTCCCATCTTTTCAGGATCCATAGTTCATCCTCTTCATCATGAATTATTCTGAAAATTTGCCTGCTTCATCATTAAATTGTGCCTTTCTTCGTCTGATCATTTTAATTATATCCAGCAATCAATTATAGTTTGGATATCTGATTAGAGGTAGAGGAATCTTCGTTAATCTGCCTTGGGCGGGCTCAATTATATTTTATTTTCTATTTCAGTAGTTATTCTCCTTGTATGATTTTCAATTGAAAAAGGATAGTAATTGGCTCATGTCTTATAGGCTTTCGGCCTGTTTTGTTTTTGGGTAGTAGTGCAGCATAAGTACTTTTAGCTCATTTTACAAACTTATCCAGAAATTCTGCTAGATTTAGGATAATCCAGCGAAAAATTCAATTATAGCAGATGCTGATAAAAAATATGAAGCATCAACTGAAAATAGATTGAAGCTTTAGCTGGGCAGAATTTAATTACATTAGGAATTGCTTCTAAAGACTTTACTAAGCGTGATTAGGGAAAGCAGACGGAAGTTGAAAAAAAAAGGTCCCAATTTTGGAAAAAAAGGAAAAACTTAATTGGGTTTTTTTGAACTTATGGACTCCAAGATAAGGCGTACCGCATTGTTTGAACTTATAAAAAGCTCAAAAAAAGAGTTTGAATGGCAATTGGGATAATCTTTTAGGTGTAGATAAAAATAAAAATTCGTTTGGCAGTGGAAACAATTAAAGATCCCAATGATCTGCGTTCCTTAAATTCTTAAGTGTTTTTAATATTTAATTGCACACAAATTCAGTTAAGAAAAATACTTGCCTCTGGACACTTATGATTTGGCAGTTATAAAATGTGAAATAAAACTCCTCTATTTTTTGTTTGAAATTGTAGATTGATTAGATGCCTAAGAACCTAAACTATTCTTAGCAAGACTTCTTAATATTGATTTATAAAAAAAACTTTAGGTCCAATCATCAATCACAGATGAGTGCTTTAATTTTTTCATTGCTATTGCCTTCTCAGTCCCATATGCATTGATTTATTTTTGAGAAATTCAGATGCTAATAATTAATAAATGATTGAGCAGACGTCAAGAAGCTATAGAGAACTGTCAAAATTTGTCTCTAAAGAAGAATTAATTACTTTGGTAGAGACCTATATAAACAGAAAGTTCGACGAAGAAATTATCTTAATTGAAAACCGTGGCGGAATTGACAAATTCCAAGAGCTATTAGATGTTGATTTTCGCAATGGCATTAATTCTAATAGCAGATTTGAAAAAAGAATAGCTGCATATGGAAAAAATAAAAGAGAAGAAAAAAGACTTTTTACTTTTTTGGAATTTTGCTGTTATGCTCTTAGAAATAAAGTTCTTATCATGCTTCTATTTATGGGGGTACTTAATCTTATTCTTGGAGATATAATAAGAGATCATCATCAAGGTTCTACTTGGTTTGAAGGTTTCGCTATTCTTATTGCGGGTTTTATTGCGGTTGTAATTGCTTCTGTTAATAATTATTTAAATCAAAAGCAATTCGCAGAGCTGAGAAGTCAGAAAAATAGGGCACCAATCACTGTCTTAAGGGGGGGAGTTCAAATCTTTACACCCAAGCGAAATTTTAGTAGGAGATGCAGTTAAACTGGTACAAGGAAATATAATTCCTGCAGACGGAATTCTCATTAAAGCTGAAAGTCTTCAAACAAATGAGTTTTCTCTTACAGGAGAAAACGATAATGTCGAAAAAGAAGACTATGAAGAGTGCTTAAAAAGACTTAAAGAATTTCTCAAAAATGGAGCCAGGGCTGAAGGAAACCACGCCAAAAGAGAAATCCCTTCACCTTTGTAATCTCAGGGAGTGGTGTTGTAGAAGGAAGCGGAATAATGGTAGCCATTGCTGTTGGAATTTACTCAAAAGAAGGCAGGATCACTAATCTTGCTGAACAGGATGACGAAATGACTCCTTTAGAGATAAAACTAAAAATCCTTGCTGATAAAATTTTATGGATAGGATTGATGGCAGGGTGCTTTGTGATTGTGATATTATGACTGAGGTTCTTTATCGAGCTGGGAACTGGAAATAATGAATGAAATGCTGATGATTATAGAGCTAGCGACTTAATTTATGCTATAATTGTTGGAATCAGCGTTATTGCTGTAGCTATTCCAGAAGGCTTACCGTTGGCTGTTGCTATATCGCTGGCTTATTCTGTAAGAAAAATGCAAAAAGAACAAATCTTAGTAAAAAGACTTTATGCCTGCGAAACTATGGGAGGAGCAGACTGCATTTGCTTAGATAAAACTGGAATTTTAACGAAAATTTAATGGAAGTCCAAAGTTGCTCTATTGATGGAAAAATAATTGACAGTACTAACCTGAAAGATGTCCCTGAAAAACATTCGGACTACTTCGATTTCTTAAAAGACGCAATATGTTTAACTACCTCCGCAAGGCTAGAAGATGATAAAGAAATTGGCTCAAAAACTGAGCTCGCCATTATCAAGTTGCTTGTAATGCTTGGACATAATGATTATATGAAAGTTAGGCAAAATTTTATTAATGATATTTTAATAGCCAACCCATTTGCTTCGAAAAGAAAAAGAGGTAGCACTATTGTAAAATATGCAGAAGACTTGACTAGAATATATGTTGTAGGAGCTTCAGAATATTTGGTAAATCCAGCAAAAGAATTCTCACTTTGGATGCTTCTCTAGCTGATATTGACGAAGACAGAAGATATCAAATAAAAAGGGACATTGAAACTATGGCAGGACAAGGCTTAAGAACACTAGGAATTGCTTTTAAAGACTTAACTGAGGATGATATGGAAAAACTAAAGGAAGTTGATAAAAATGGAATTCCAGTTTTAGAAAAGAAAGGACTAAACTTGATTGGGATTTTTGGAATTTATGACCCTCCAAGAAATGAAGTGCCTGATGCAATCCAAGCTTGCAAAAAAACTCAAATAAAAGTCCGAATGGTGACTGGCGATAATCATATAACTGCTTTCGCAATTGCAAGAAGCATTGGTATTGCAAATGATAATAGCATAGCTATGATCGGAGAAGAATTCAGGAAAGAAGTAGGAGGAATTGTATGTGATGAATGCAAGACTGAGCTTTGTGACTGTCCTAGAAATTCCAAAAATGCTGGAGATAGAAAAGTGAGAAATGACGTGGTCGGGAATTTCGAAAATTTCAAAAAAGTCATTGGACATCTTGATGTTTTAGCAAGATCTCAGCCTGAAGATAAATATAACTATCGTGCTCAATTAACTCATATAAGAGTTATTTTTTAGCTTGGATTTAGTACAACTTCAAACAGATTTGCCAAAACAATTTATTTTTCGTATATTTACTATCCAATGTCAATTACATATTTTTAAAAATAGTTACATTTTATTTGAATGGAATTTTTTTTGTTAGATTTTTCTCTTGGCTTTAATAGATATTAAACAGTTTTTAGTAATATCTAACAAGGAAAAGCTTCAACCAAAATTCTTACTCCCTAAAAAAAATTTACTCAAAAAAGGTAAAAAATATTTTTTATAAATTTTTTTTTTCAAAATTTAAAAATATTGCTTACTCCCCATCCTTGATCGAACGATTGACTGTAAAAATTCCTAAAATGGGAAAAATTAACCCCATCCTTGATCGAACGATTTTCATATCATCCAAAATTTTATATATATAAAAATATATATTAGTTATCAAAAGCTTGGGAAGATGCACATAATGAAGTTGTTTTCAGAGACTTTGAGACGACAAAAAGATACAAAATCAACCATTCGAAATGCTTTAGTCATCAACCTAGGCTTAAAAATTCAATAATCTAATGAGATTCTTTAAAATTTTAAAAAAAAAAATTAATTCAATTAGAACAAATTAAAATTTATAAAGTTTAAAAGGGTAACTAATAAATCAAAATATTAAAAATTGGTACTTTTATGAAATTAATTCAAATTTTTGCTGTAAAAATAATTAATAAATACTCTTAACCCTCTTATTTAAAAGTAAATAAAAAAATTATATATATGTGTTTTTTATTTTATATATAAATTTTTTTTTAACCCCCCATCCTTGATCGAACAATGGCGAGCCGTTCGATCAAGGATGGGGGGAAGGGAGTTATAAAAACTGAGAAAGTAAAAATGAATTTATTTCTAAAAATTATGCACTGCTCAAAATGCAAATTGGTCATGTAAGCCTTAATTTGATGTAAGGCAGCTTATATGAGTGCTCAACTATATACACTTGTGACTGAACTTAAACAAATGGGAAGCGTTGTTGCAATTGCAGGAGATGGAGCTAAAGATGCACTTGCTCTTAAAAAAGCAAATATTGGGTTTGCAATGGGAATTGCGGGCACTGAGTTGATTCAAGAGGTTGCTGATATTATTTTACTTGATAGCAATTTTAGCTCAATTGTAAAAGCTGTCAAATGGGGAAGGAGCGTTTATGATAATATCCAACGCTTTATTAAATTTCAGCTTACTGTAAATGTAGTAGTTATAACTTGCGCAATTGTTGGAGCTCTTACAATTAAGCAATCTCCTTTAACAGCAAGCCAGCTTCTTTGGGTTAATCTCATTATGGACACTTTGGCATCCCTTGCTCTAGCAACTGAGACACCAACAGATGATTTCCTAAATCCACCTTATTTAACATAAGCAAGACATGAAGGGCTTCATTTTTGAAATTTTTATATATTTTGTTTTAAAATAAAAATAAATTTCATTTAATTGCAACTTCGTAGACCAACAATTATTAATTGCAATATACTAATTCATTTCCTATATTATGTTTCATTTATTATATTTAATTAAATAGCGCTTCTAGCTTAAATTATTTGTTCTCTTTATAATTTCGATATAGATAACTGCCAATAAGTAATTTTCCAAAGATAATATAATCATTTGATTAAGTAGAAAGCTTCACAATATGTCAGATTTTATTATCACTCCAACAATGTTTAAACACATATTCGGCCAAGCTACAATTCAATGTGCTATAATATTCGCAATGATGTTTGCTGGGGAAAATTTTATTCCTGAATATGGGAATGGAAAAAGCATTTATTACAACCCAAGCAGTGAAGATTATGTAAAATCAGGAAGAGACTACAATTTCAAAGGTGACAAAGATTGCTATTGATTATACAATAATACAGATATAGGCCCAAGCAGGATGGTGACTTTTATTTTCAATGTTTTCGTCTTATTTCAGCTTTTTAATGAAATAAACTGTAGGAAATTGCAAGACGAGACTTGTATTTTATCAAATATAACCAAAAACTGGCTTTTTGTATTTATCTGGTTTGTTATATTTTGGGTTCAAGTCATTATGGTAGAAGCTGGCGGTTGGGCAATGGGCTGCCATTTGGACGGATTTACTGTTGAGCAATGGTTTATTTGTATTGCATGGGGATTAGTGCCGATTGTGTCAAGATGGCTGATTATTTTAATTCCATTTAAAGATAAAATACTTGTTTTACTACTTACTCTCCTCCTCCGTGAGTGAATAAAAAAATTTTGTTCACTCACGGAGGGAGGTTAATTTTTTTTTTTAAAAACATTTACATATAAATTTTATTAAAAATTGTTTTTTCGAAATTTAAAAAAATCCTAATTTGCAAAAATTCGGAATCAAATATTAATTTAATTTATAAAAGTTATGTTTTAAGTGAAAAGCTGTTTAAAATTAAGCAGAATTAGCTCGAGATTTCATTATACTAATTATCACTTATATATTAAATTTTCTATTACAAAAATATTTTTGTTCACTCAAAGAGGGTGGGTTTTTGGCAAAACACATAGGGATTTTTCCAATGGTTTTTTTTCACTCACGGAGGGGGGAATTAGGTCTTAGTTTTAGTCTTAGTTAAATTTATAGAGTAGCTCTCGGCCAGGACCGAAGGTCCTTTTCTTCCGCCTTTTGGACACCTCTCTTGCCCTGCTCCCAGTGTGCACCTAAGTGTCACAGGCTACCACTCAGCTCCTTCCGGCCATGGGGCTTGGTCATGCTATCCCGGAAGTAGGCGGACTGGGTCACCGTGCTTCACGTCGCCAGACTAAGGTTAGAGCTAAGGATTAACTCCTTAGCTCTTGTCGGCTCCTGCCATGAAGTAGCAACCATTCAATCAGCTTTTGCCACAAGGTCTTAGTTTATTTTTTTTTGCCTCTCTCCTATATTTATAAAATTCTGTATAAATAATTTGAATTTTAAAATTTATATACTTAGATGTAAAAAAAATGAATTGATCTTATGCTAAGAAGCAAGAATAAAAATTGTCTTATTTAGCTCGTATTCAGCTTAAGTTCTCCTTCAGAAACTCTGAATAATAATAAATATAAGTATGAAGGTTTTGGCCATTCTTTGAAAGAAAAGAGAAAAATTAAAGAATAATTTACGCACATAAAAAATATCATATATTTAAGATATTAATTAACAGAAATCCTCTCAAATAATTAGATTAATTAATCACCCAAATAGGTTCAGAAGTTGTCAGAATTAACCACTATATCATATTATATGCTATCTTTTTGATGTACGCTAGATAATTTATATTCCAGATGCTATATAGGAAAAGGATTTCATGTAATTCTATAATTGAAGAGCTTGAGATCAGGAGAAATCATAATTACACAATGATGAAAAATATCATAAAGACTTTTCTTTTCGTTTTAATTTAATAACTCAAGAATGTTTGGTGGCTACTTTTTGGTATTTAGATACTTATATTAGGCTATAAAATGTCTAATATTAGGGCTTACTGCCAAGTAATTGCTTATTTGTATCACATTGGGATATATTCCTATCATATGAATACAGCTTTCCTTTAATTCAAAGATTAGACCTCTTGAGTGATTACAGTCAGTTTTAATTTAATTATAGGTGGCATCGAGGCAGCTTTATAAATTTTAAAATAATTGCGTTATGCTTTCAGAATAGGTATGGCTCGACCTGAAACTCCCCCTCCCCTCCCCACCCCACCTCCTGACGGTTTCAATTTGAACGGCATTGTTAATTCAAAATGACAAATCCCTCACTAAGGATTTGACAAGTCAATTTAATTTGTAGATTTCAATAAAGTTGAGACTGCCAGGGGGTGGGGGGGGGGGAGGGGAGGTTCTCAGGTCGATCAATAACCGTGCTTACAGTATACTTTAAGGGCTAAAATAATCATTTTTCATAGACAAGAATGATGATTACTTTTATGTTCAGAATTAAAATAGCTTTGACTCTAAGCCTTTATCAACTTATTATTAAAGTTATTTTGAGAATAATAAAATATTCTTTATATTAATTTCTCAACACAATATTTAAAATGGGCACTTAGGGATGGGTCCCTAATCCTAAAACACAAGGTTTGACCCAAAAATGCCGAGCTCAGTGAAAGAAGTTAAGCTTCTTGAGAGTATCGGATTGAAGAGAAGTAGTCAGTGCTGAGGCTAGCACTGACCAGAGAAGTCTGAAAGGGCTCGATAACTTTAACGGTTCGACGGTTAGGCCGGATCACCTACCGCTGCTTAGAGCTGTTATCGTAGCTGAATCTCAAGTAAAGAAGACTTAGAAGGCGCGAAAAGAATTTCATTAAACTGAAACTTAAATTTCTCAAATTCTAGTATTATACCTGGTTCAAGTAAAAATAAAAATTATAATTCAAATTTATAGCGAAGAACTCTCCCTTATTAAGTAATTAATAAATATTTATAATTTAGAATATTAGCCAAATGCACTGGACAAAACAAAATTACTCAGCTATACCTAGAATAATTTATTTCCATGAAGATTTTTAAATCATTTTTATTTATATAATTGAAAATGATAGCACTGGCAGGAATTTCTTCAAAATCTCTAACAGTAAAAAATTATAATTTTAGCCTTAATTTTAACTGGATTTTGTAATAAAATTTCTGTTTACATTTAATTAACAATGCAAAATCATATCCATGAAGCGTAAGGATAACTTACTCCGCTTCACGAAGTAAAAAATATTTTTGTTCACGAAGGGAAATTAAAAATCCTTTAATAAGTAAATTTTTTTTGAGATAAAACAATTCTAATTCATAAAATTAGAAATAAAGTCAATTTATTTTTTTAAAATTTATGTTTTAATAAGCAAAATTTTGTAAAAATATCAACAGAATTAGCTAGAGATTTCGTTATACTAATTATCACTTATATACCAAATTTTTTTCTATAAAAAATTCTGCTCAGTCAAGGAGATCCAAAAGAGGGTTTTTTTCAATTATTTGCTCGCTCATGGAGGAGTTAGACTGAGCCTACTGAGAAGTCATCTATGCTGCTATCAGTCAAATATTAATGATGAAGAGATGGAGTTCAGCTCAACTGAGCCAAAAATGCACATGAGGACGACTCAAAGGACAAGATCTTATAAATCAGTGTATTATAGTCCAGAAGACCTTAAATCAACAAGAGGCTCACATAGGAATTCAGAAGATGAAGCAGGATTTTCAAAGACCGGTCAAATCATACTCGAGAGAATTGAATAATATAATTTTCTAGTTCTAGGGACATAAGTAAAGTAATGATTTTCTCCATGATTTAACAAGAATATGAGTTTCAAGTCCAAGATAATAAAATTATTTAAATTATTTTTGCAATACTATTTTATAAGCCGTTTTATACATTTCCTTCTAAAAAATTATAAAAATATTTTTTTGATTTTTAAGCAAATTAAATAGCAAAATTAAGCTTTTTCTTTTAAATTGCATGCTGAATTTTATGAATTTTAATTTGCTTATAAAATATAGTTTTTAATTAATTTTCCAGGAAAAAATAATTAATCATTATCTTGTAATCCATCTAAAGATCATAATTTCTTACAAATTGTCCAGTTATAAAATAAATATATAAAATGGATGATACTATTTTTGTTAGAAAGAAACTTACAAGTCCAATTCATTTTTTGGAAACTCAAAGAATTCCAGAAACTATTCAGTGCCAATCTCCAATTCTGAACAAGAAGTGTGGAGCCTCAAATAATTCCAATAAATTAAACCATTTCTCACCTCGTGGCCGTAAAGAACTGAAAAGCATTGATGACTTATCTTTCACTTTTGAGCACAATGAATTTAGCACTCCAAGGGTTATTAAAGCGAATCACAGCCTTGGGCATATCCCAGTAATTAAAAATCGATTTAAAACAAGTACAATGAGAAGTCAAGTGAAAATGCTGAACAATAGAAGGATCTCAGTAAATCTATTGCTTGATCCGTTTCCTAATTTTTAAATAAAAAGTTTCTATATATTCTCTAGAAGATTTTTGAGTGAAAAATATTACTCATATCTTATCCTACGAATTTTTATTAATTTTAAGCTGTAAAATTAGGATAATTTACTTTTCGAAAATTTAATAAATTTCTTTACTTGTATAAATATACAATTATTTAAGGAGTCTATAAAGACATGACATCTATGCTAGTTTTACAGCTAGTAAAAATAAACTGAATATTGATTTATATTTACCATACGAATTAAAAATGCGTAGACCTCTTAAATGAAATAATTTCGCTTCACATATCATATTTATTAAAGTAATTAGTGTAGATCGAAATATATCTACTTCTTTTCATTATTCTAAAATGGAATAAAAATTATCTATGTCTTCACCACATCGAGCTTCATCATGAACCCAAATGAAAGACCCAGACCCCAGACGTAAAGATTTTATCAAGCAAATCTATTTCGCTTTAGTTATTCAATGCTCTATTACTGTTACTATTGCATCAGTCTCTCTCGCTTCAAATACCCTCAGGAAATGATTTTTAGCGAATTATTGATTCTGGATCCTAAACGTCGGAATTGTTCTTTTATCCTCCCTTATCGCTTTATTTGTAAAAAATCTTAAACAAGACTTCCCTCAAAATATCATCATTTTCAGCATTTTTTCAGTCTCCAAAAGCTTCATGGTGGTTTGTGTGACTGCTTATTTTGATCCTTTATGTGTATTTATAGGAGTTTTAATGGAAATGGCAGTGAGCTTGGGAATGTATGGATATGTTTATTATACGCATTACAATTTCAGAGGAATTTATGCGATTTTGTTTGGGACTTTGATTTCTTCAATTTTATTTAACTTTTATTTTAATGGAAGATTCGGAAAGTAATGTTTCCTATTCTTCTTCTTCTTTTTGTGAAGAAAACGAAGCTTTACAGGATGAATTTTTCGAACTTTTACTATTAAATGAACTTATTGATACAGGATTACTTGATAATTCTGAATCAGAGTATGAATGAAATGATAGTGATGCAGAAAATGTTGATACAGATGACAAAATATTGGAGTTTTTAAGTCGTTTAGATGGAAAAATACTAGATGAAATAGATCCTATTCAGGAAAAACTTCAAATATAGGAAGACTGAGGTGATCATTGATGATAAGAAGACAATCGATAAGAAAATCCTGAACACCAGAAAAATAAAAATTAGATCAGATTCAAATTTTATCAGAAAAATAAAATTGATATCAGAATCAAACATTATCAGGAAAATAAAATTTAGATCAGATTCAAATTTCATCAGATATAGAAAATTCATATCAGACTCAGAAATCGAAAAAATCGCGGATTACGTGGATTCAGAAAATTTTACTAAAATTTTATCCAAAGATTTTAGGAAAAGAAGAAAGTTAAAAAATTTTTAATCGGGACATGGCCCTGAAATAAAGGCCTTTAAGTAATAAAGATTTCTCTCTCTCTCAATTTTATTTGCTTTATTTATGGGATTTTTTGGAGACTCAAGGCCTATAAAAATTTTAATCTGTTTTTTATTGTCAGTTATTTTTGCAATATATGTGGGCATTGATACAGAATTAATAGAAAGTGGGAGATATTCTTTGTCATCTCAGCAATATCTGTATGGGCTTTTATGCGTGTATATTGATATGATATTTTTGCCTGCTGGGTATCTTTTAAGCCTATGTAATTTCAAAACATAATTAATATTTTAAAAAAATTAAATTTTGCACACAATATTAAAAATGGCAGTTAGGGATAGGTCCTAGCTCCTGCTCAAGCAGGATGAACCTATATACCGAGCACAGTGAGAAATGTCATTCTTCTTGAGAGCTTCAGCTTCGGAGAGAAGGGTCACTGCTGTGTCGGGTACTGACTAGAGAAGTCTTAACGGGCTTATTAGCTTTAACGGTTCCGGTTAACCTACCGTTGTTCAGAGGTGTTAATTTAGCTGAACCTCAAGCAAGGGGACTTTATAGGCATTCAAAATGCTAGAGTAATTCTTTAAACTTAAATTTTGCATTATAAATTTCTTAACTATGGCTTTGGCTTCTATTATTTATTGAGCTGTTTACAACAGTTAATAGCTGGGTTACTTGTTGTGAATGCAAACAAAATTCCAGTAGTGCTGAAAAATTGATTTTTACATTAGAATGAAAATAATTCGCAACTGTCTGGCTTGGTTCTTGAATATTGATGTCTCTTGAATATCCAAGAATTTTGCATACAGACGTCAAAGTTACGTAGGCTAATAGCTGAAGATCTGTCCTTGAAATTGCATCTTCTCTATTGAAATCAAACAGATTGAATAAAACTGTGTTAATTTTACATTGAACTTTATCATCTGGACAAGCATCAGCAAATAAAACAAGCCCAGCTAAGACTTCAAGCCCTTCTATAACCCCATTTGAATCGGTATCTCATACATTAAAATCAGATTCATTGAAAATTTCTTTAAATTCTTCATAGGTCATTGCAAAGCTCATTGAAAGATTTATCATTTTTGTGTGTAGCTCCCTTAGTTTAGGGATACTTACTAATTATATAATACATCGCTGCAGTGCAGGACTTATCAAAGGTTTTTGATAAGTCATGTTATTGTATTTTAAACCAATTTACCTATAGTTTATTTGATTGATACCTTTTTTCAATATAAGAAATAAAATGGTGATGCTGACGAAAATTAGCACTGCTATGGAGCAGGTAGGACCCATCCTGATGAAGCTGAAAAAAGGATTTTGAAGTAGTGGGATGCCTTGCCGAAGAGGGGAATTTTGTTATACCCTGAAAGTTTTCGTGTCCCAGCCAGATGGACTAGACAGGTTTTGCCTACTTCCCTTGTCTGGACCATCGGTGCAATTTACAGCTCTGCCTTAGTAAGCTAATCCCTTTGACAGGTTGCTCAGGTCGGCAATCCAAAATGGTGACCTTCCATTTCCCTCTTTCTTATGGGTGACAGAGAACAATAATAATTATTTCAATATAAAATAATTTATTACTATTATAAATACCAAGTCATACATTTAATAAAAAATATTTAAAACTCCACCCATATTAATTTTAGAAACTCGTAAAAGTTAGCTTAAACTGGGAATTCTCTGCTGAGAGGAAACTCAAATACAAGTTCTTTGTTTGTTAATTTGCTGTAGACAGCACTAATAGTATCGAGTTTTTCTTCGAGTTTTTCTCTGTCGTGAGGGTCAAGGAGGACTTTGAAGACTCTTTTTCCATCGGTCTTTATTCTCATTCTTTTACCCATAATTGCGGCTGGGTAAACTAAGTCATCAAGAATGGCTTCATGGACAGCTGTAAGAGTTCTTGAATAAGGACGTTTCTGTTGTCCTTTTGATTTTAGGTATTTTGGTAAGATTGTTCTTGTGAAGATAATAGCCACTGGTCTTCTGAATCTTTTTTCCAGCTCTCCTAGTAAGCGTGCATGAATTGATTTCACAGCTTTTAGGGATCTAAAGATTATAATAAAATTATTTTTACTATTTTTTAATATTAAAATATTTGTATTACCTTATGAAGCAGGAGGGATCTGTAATGGAACATAATGATAACTGCTTGGCGGACTGCTCCTCTGAATTTTCCTTCGAATTCAGTTGCTCCTGTAATCATTACATCGCGAAGCTCACCTTTGAGATCGGCTGATGAAGCTTCTATCTCTCCAAGAGTTTGGGCGACATGGTACTCAAATTCTGTAGGCTCACTACCTTTCTTTATAATCTTTTTCTTACTCCCTCGCTATAGTGAGCGAACAAAACCATTGGAAAAATCCCTGTTTTTGCCCAAAAACCCACCCTCCGAAGGCGAACAAAAATATTTTAATTGATATATAAGTGATAGTTATTATAATGAAATGTCTAGCTTATTCTGTTTAATTTTAAACAGCTTGCATTTTAAAACGCAAATTTATAAATTATATTAATATTTGCAAAAAAGTGTGTTTCGAATTGGATTTTTTTAAAACTAAACCAACAAAAAAAATTAACCTCCTCGTGAGCAAACAAAATTTTTTTGTTCACTCACAGAGGGGGAGTTAGGATCTGACATGTGGCCTTTGTTTGATTAATTGGAAAGTATGGAAAGAGGAAAATGAGGAAATGCAGTTAGATGATTAGTGAGATAATTTTTATTATTTTGCTTATCCTATGATTAATGGATATTAATTTAATCTAAAATATATAGATTCGAATCTTGAGATTTGCAATATTTGGAACCACAGGTAGAAATATATTAAATATATATAAAATAGACATAATGAATATATTTTTAAGAGAAAATCAATATTTTGAGTTAAAATAAAATCATTTAAATGTAAATTAAGCATAAGTGGCGATTCAGGATAAAACATTTAATTAATTTTTGCTAAAGAAATATGGAGCCTACATTTTACTGTTTTATTTAACTTAGCTAAGTAATAAATTAAATTATAATTTCTATTAAAAGCCCAAACACTATAGCCCATACCCCTATATAGATTTATTTATCGAGAAAATGCAATGAACTGTTGAGCGACCAAGACAGACTCTCTCAAAGGGACGAGCTGGATCTTATGAAGGTGAGTTTTAAAAAGTGGCATGCCAAAAATGATTGACAGCTTTGAAAAAAGCTGACAAGAAAACGCTCCAATTTTTAAAACGGCTTTATTATTAAATTAATTTAAAATTTAAGATATCCTTTTAGACTGGAACTAATAAATATAAAATATTATTATTTATTTTAAAATTTATCCTTCCTCAAAAAAGCAACTAGATTGCTAGGTTTTTAATTTTTTAAATCCGTTTAAATTTGATAATGAGTGTCATATGGGCCATTAAGAACTTCATAAAGAATAATCAGCACTCAATACAAACTTTGCCTTTATTGAGCATTTGATCATAAACAAATTGAGATTGTTTATTTAAAAATCTAAGTAAGATATTAGTCAATACCACTCTTAATGGATATCTTAAAACTTAAAATTAATTTAATAATAAAGCTATTTAAAAAATTGAGGCACTTACTTGTAAATTTTTTCACATCTGTCAACAATTTTTTTACATCAGCTCATCCCTCTAAGAGAGCCTGTCTTGGTCGTTCAACCATCCATTACATTTTGTTTGATAAAGAAATCTATATAGGGTATGGGCTATAACAATTATCCCGATCAAGCTTACTAATTTTAAAATCCTTATTTTCAATTAAATTCTTTTGAAGTCTCATAATTATCAATCTAAAATGGCTTATAAATTAATCATATCTCAAAGTAATATTAACTATAGTACCTTTAAAGGCTATCAGAACATTTTACCTCAAAATTAATTAAATGTTAATCAAAAATAATGAATAATAATTCCTGGTAATACCGATTTCTAAAATAATATTAAAAATATTAAAATTCTGTCATAGAGCAAACTTTACCTTTTCTCATTTCTATTACTTTAATTTACATACAACTTAATTTTATTTCACATTCTAGAATAGAACGCTCCAACAAAATATAAACTTATTAATTATGATTCTCTCTACAAACTCTTTCGAAGATCCACAATCTCAAAGAGGCTTTTGGCAAAAAACCTACGGAAACTTCATTTCTAAGCCTCCAGCCCCTTTGGAGGACTTAATTTACCAAGGATGGCTTTCCCTGCCCCTTTCAGACGGCTCGTGAAAGAAAAGGTATTTTGTGCTGACTTCAAAAAAATTATTGTATTGCAAAAGTCAAAAAGACATCCGTATAAGAAAAGAAGCATGCATTGATTGAAAAATCCTTAAACCGTTCTATGAAATAAAAAAAAACTCAAAAGCTTTTGGATTTAAATTACAGGGTAGCAATAATTCCCAAGACTTTTATGTTGATAGCAAAGACATCTTACTCCATGAAATATAAAAAATAGAAAAAATCTTAATTTTTGGAAAAAAAATTTACCTATGCTATGCATGTTTCTAAAATAAGCCCTATAAATTAAGCTACTAATTTATTTATAAATATTACTTGAATATAAAAAAAATGTTTTAGTTCTCAAAGGAGTTAGAAGATTGATTAAGCCGTTTATCACCTTTGACAATTCTGACTGACTTTGATGAAGATTATTCCTTACAAAAAGAAATCGGCCGAGGAAATTACTCAAAAGTGTTTATGGCAATAGAATACTTAAACAGGCAGCCTTATGCTGTAAAAACAATCCCAAAAGAGTCACAAAATCAAAGTTTTATTGACACCTTGAAGTCAGAAATAGAAGTAATGAGAAAAATTAAGCATCCTAGGATTATTACTTTACATTATGTTTATGAAACTGAAGAGGCCTTCCATTTGGTTATGGATTACGTCAGAGGTGGAGAACTACAAAGGAGACTAAAAATGGGGAAATACCCAGAGCACATTGCAGCTGCGTTTATGCGAAATTTATTAGATGTAATAGATTTTCTGCATAATAATGGAATTGTACACAGAGATATCAAGCCAGAAAATATTTTGGTTTTGTCTGGAGATATACATAAATAAAATAAAAAATAATTTTCTAATAAATAATGGTATAGTTTAAATTAAAATATAATAAAACATAAAAATTTTATTTATTTAATAACGAATAATTATACAGAATTTAAGCTCTGTGACTTCGGACTCTCTGCCCTCCTAAAGCAGACAGAAGACCTTTCTCTTAGATGCGGCTCTCCAGGATTCGTAGCCCCCGAAATCCTTCGCCGGCAGCGATACAGCACCAAAGTTGATCTTTTCAGCGCAGGCGTCATTTGTTATATTATGCTTACTGGGAAATACCCTTTCACTGGCTCTTCCCCAAACGAAATTCTCCTCAAAAACAGAGAATGCCGAATTGATTTTGACCTTGAGGAGTGAAACAACATTTCCAAACTTGGACGAGACTTCGTAATGTCTTTAACCCAAGAAAACCCAGAACAACGGCCAAGCGCCCATGAAGCACTTTGTCATCCCTGGATTTCTGGGACGCACACAACACAGCAAGGCTTAGCCATTCCAGAAGAAATGAAAAATAAAGGAATTTCATTAAATCTTATGCAGAGACAAAAGAAATTAAACGTAGAAAGCAGCTCATATTTACAACAATTCCGAAGACCTGCAGTACCTATAAAAGGATTTATACCTATAAAAGACAATGGAATCACTATGGCGAAATCCAGATTATTGATGAAAATTTTGAGGGAAGAAGATAGGGAAGGAATAAATGAAGTAAAACAAATTTTTGATATAAAATCAAATAGCACAAGATCGAAAGAATCCCAAGAAAGCACTGATGCCACGCCATCAAGGAGCCGATATTTGCCAGTAAATTAAATTAGTCCTGGAATATATAAAATAATAGCATTAAGAATTTATAGAAATAAGGCTTATGTCGTATGAACAATCGTAGCAGTTAAAGGAGCCAATGTTTTTGTTAGGTTTTTTAGTAATTGCACAGAGGAATTTGTTTTCTTTGTATCTTTGGGTTACCTGAGGATTGTAAGTCAATTTATGGCCTTTTGGGCATATTTTTTGGCATTGTTTAGTATAATCTTTTTAATTAATCACTAAAGTCAGATTATTCTCCACCTATAGAATTTTTTTTTTCCTAGTATTGAGATTCTTTTCACAATTAACGCAAGGGACTATAATATTTTTATATAAATTAGAGCAGCATGTTAGGCATAAACAAAATCCGCAATCTTGGCAAAAATAAAATTTAAATCCGCACTGTGAGCTACAACTATTACAAACTGATTCAGTATCCGAATGAAATGACCTTAAATAATGCCCTTCTGTACATACAAAACAAGGATGTGGACCTAATGGTTTATTAATGTATCCACTGCATTTTTTGCATATATCAAAATCACACTCATTACAATGATAACAGTCCTCATGAATTTCCGCTTCACATTTTTCACATATCGGCCCTTTCCCATATTTTTCTTGATATTTCGCCTGTATATCTGACTGAATAGTAAGGCTGTGACCATTTGCGCACAAATTTGGCCATAATGTAGCTTTATACCCAAATTTCTCCCCACAGTCTTTGCAAACTGAATAATTGCATTCTTCGCAATTTCACTCGAAATCTTTATCTTCATTTTTACAAATCTTGCAGGTAAAAGTGGCATTATTGCTTATTCCTCAAACAAGCTCGTGGTCTTTTGTACATGAAAGTTTAGGAGCTTTTTGATTGAGATCTAGTCCACATTTTTCGCAGATATCTCATAAGCATTCTCTACAGTGCCAGCATGATGAAGAGAACAAGGTATTACATTTTTTGCATTTTATTTCTCAACTGCCAACTGTATTCATATAGTAAAAAGGGCAATCATTTGTCCATTTAAGGACATGTGAATTTTTGCAGACTAATGTAGTCCTGGGCTGATTAGGGCTAACTTTGGGATAATTATAATAAAAAATATCAGGTTTTTGGGAGATGGGGACTAGCAATAAAGCTTCAGGGTAGTATTTGAACAGCAATGATCTAATCCCATAAGTTGATATTCCTATAAAAATAATAATAAATATATATTAATCTTTTTCGCATTATAAAATAAGCTGATACTGATTATGCATTATCATTGATATAAGTATAAAATATTTTTTAAAGTATTTGAATTTGATATTCTCGCTATAAATTGATTTTTCGGAATTTTAGACAGCCCATCCAAAATCAAGGTTTGGAGTTTATCTGTAAAATAAGGCTGGGACTGTTTAAGTTTTTTTGAATAAATTTCTGCACGGCCAGCTGAAAGTCCTTTTGGTGAAAAATTAATAGCGCTTTGCACTAATTGAATAGCTGATGTAGAAATTATATCAAGTAAAGTATTTAATTTGTTTGAGTTTATTTCAGTTCCTGATTCGATAGCTTCAAATAAAAGTTTAGCTTTAATTTCACATGAATCTTTGGCTAAAAGAATTATTGTGCATTTCGTTTTGGCTAAGTTAATTTCAGATTCAGTCATTATAGCATCACCAAATCCCTTTAAAGATATATAAAGCTTTGAATGAGGTTTTTTATTAAGCTTCAAAAAATATAAGATTTTTTGTATTTGCTCTTTTGAAGCTGTTTCTGTCTTGATTTTCGACAGAAATTTTTGGATTAAAGTACTTGCTTTGTGTTTGTGTATTTCAAGATATTTTTCTGCTTCTTCAATAAATTTTTCTTCATCTGAAATAATGCTATAAGGAGTTTTAGAGCACTCACAGCCCATATTTGTAAAGAAATCTAACGATGACCCCCCCTTCAATCTTCATGTCTATTGCAACAAAAATTTTTCGAAAAAATCTTCATGCCTACTGCAACACAACATTTTTATAAAAAAAAATTAATGCATTTTTATAAAAAAAAATTAATGCATTTTTCTCTAGGTGAGTTTCTCAAAAAAATCATAAAACAGCGCTGCTGTAGGCATGTCAATAACCTTCTCATCGAGATTTGGACGGCTATTGTTATCGTTCGCCATTTTATTAAACTTATCTAGCTAAAAAGTACTGGAAATGCATCGAAAATTTGTTGCAAAAGGATTAGGATTATTACAGACAGGCGCTAGCCATATTGGTGACGCATTCACCAAAGACCTCCCGTAAGGAAGGTTCTACCGCTTTTCGACTCCAGCCCAGAGAGTCTATCCCACTTTCGAGTGCCCTTCCGGTACCTTCTGTCTCCTCCTTGCCTAGTCTTGAGTGGGCGGCTTATGGGTTTCTGCGGCCCTGCTGCGGGCGATTGGAGTAGCTTGATTCCAAGGATCAGCTCCTTGGATTCTATCGGGTGCCAAAGTGCCTTCCTTCGACAGCTACAGGAAAAAGACTGTTCCCCTGTAGCCTGGGCCGAAACCCCCAGTTTCTCGGTAGAGGAATGCCCATCCAAAGGACGTTTTGAACACCTCCATTTCCAACCACAGGAAAGCAGCCAAAACCTACCCGGATACACACTTCTTGAGCCTGCGTCTGATCCTCGGCTCGGAGTCCGTCTCAGTTCGCCGTAGCCATAAGGTCTGGACTGCGGCGCCAAGAGGGCAGGTTGACACGTGTCGCCATTTTAATGTATATAATTTGTTGCAAGAGACATGAAAATTATTATTTTTTTTATATAAAATTTTATATTAAAAATTGCATTTTTGTTGCAATAGACATGAAGATTGAAGGGTGGGGTCATCGCTATATATGCATAAAAAGAATTCAAAAATGTAATAAATATAATAAATTATTATGATTGATATAAAATCATGTAATATTTATTTTAATATTAAAAATTATGATTGTTATTTCAGATGATTATCTTATGTATTTAAAAAAAACTAATCATTCACATATATAAAAAAATTATATTTTTTAAAATTATTAACAGCAATTAAATATTTAATATGAAAAAAGGACATAGAAGATATAAATCTGAGTGTCTTAACCAAAACTTTATCTCAGGTCTAAACGAAACATTAAAAACCCCAAAAATCTCAAGGCCGATTACAAACATAAATACAGCTCGATCTACATTAGACTGCACTAATTACGATATATCGGTTAAAACCAGCAAGCATATCAAAATTGAGCAAAATTCAGGTGATGAAGTGCCTCCAGAAATTGCTGCAAAAGTGGTAAAAAATTATTTGCTTCCTATGTTTGAGTATGAAAATCGCAAACAAAATAGACTTTTAATTAATAAAACCTTTGGAATTGATAAGAGTTTTAACACGACCCAAAGCAAATTTAAAGCTGATAAAAACACCACATATGGAGAACTAAAATTAAGTGAAGAACTTTTAAATGAAATTAAAAGCCTTAAGTCTCAGCTTAAAACTGCAAAAAAAAATGAATCAGATGCTCTGCAGGAGAAAATTAAATATGAGAGAGAATATGAAAGATTGAAAAGTCTCAATTTAGACAATCAAGTTATTATAAAATCGCTAAATTTTGAGGTAGAAGTCCTGACAAAGCAAATTCAAGCACATCAAGCTGAGTTTGGCCTTTCTATTATTCAGATTGAAAAATATAAAGACCTTGTAGACAGCTTGGAATCACAAGTTTACAAGTTAACAAAAGAGCTGCATGATGAAAAAGCAAATAATGACAAATATAAAAATCTTGCCATACAGCTTGAAAATAATGGACTTGTAGCAGAAATGGAATGTGCAATTATAGGAGAGCAGCTTAAAGGTCTATATTTTGCTATCAATAGTCTTGGAAATATGAAATCTAATGAGTTCGGCTTGTTTGCAGAATTTGAATTATTTACAAGAAACAGCAGAAAACTTGCTGATTTTATACTACAAATAGAAAGGGACATTCAATGAGAGCTAAAAGATAAAGATCAGTTAATAAAAGATTTAATTGAAATTAAAGAAGCAAAAGAATCTCTAGTCACCAATAGGGATAAAATTTATGTCAATTTATATTGAATTTATTAAAAAATTAATAATAATGAAAATAACTATAAAGGTATAAAAAATATATATAAAGCCTTTAAAGAAAAAGTCATCACACTTGAAAATGATCTAAATTCTAATGTAAAACTCAGAGAAGAACTAAAACAAGAAGTGGAAGAACTCAAAAAGAAATTAAGCGCACTCACAGAAGAATACAACAACCTTAAACAGAGGCTTAAACAATACAGAAGCTCCAGATCTAACATCTCCGATGAGCGGTTCTGCAAAAATTGTCAAAAACTATACCTAGAAAGCAAAAATTTTAATTGGTCATGCCGCATGCATTCCAGTATATATAGTGGAGAAGTATATTGATGCTGTGGGAATACAAATAAAGACTCTTTAGGCTGTATCTCAACAAAACATGTATCTAAAGATGATGTAAATGAAGAAGAACATAAGCTAAATTTTATTAGATGCTCTGTAATTTTTATATAGAGTTGTAAAGACTATGGACATTCTGTGCATGAATGTCCGAGAGACCCAAATGCGAGGACTGTTGAAGTGCCTGAAGAAGAGCTTACAAGAATTATAGAAATTTCTCAAAATAAAAGAAAAATGAACCCTGGGCTGATGATTGATTGTAAAACAAAAAAACTGCTAAAAGATAAACAGTTTGAGGAAAGTCCGGCTTGGTCAGTTGGTGATGATAATAAAAAAGAGATAGCATTTCATGATGTACAAGAAGTGAGGGAGCAAGTGTCGTTTACGTCTGAGACTAATAGGGTGCAGTTTGAGGAAGTAGAACTTAAAGAAAAATCGCCTACAAGGCTTTCTATACTTGCGTCGGCTATTGCAAAGTCAAAACAAAGTTCAGTTTTAATTGTGCCGATGAGAGTGAAAACAGAAAAGAAAAGTTTTACTAACTTTTTTATATAATTAATTTTTTTTTTATCAACTAATAACATTTTTAAAAGAATTTATGTTTATTTTTAAAAATAAAGGTTAGCCTAATTCAAGATGCTGCAAAAATTAGAAGGCATTCAACTGTTCCCGAAATGCCAATAAGCCCAACATCTTCTTAAAATAAATTTTCAAGCATTTTTGGAAGATACCACAAATTTATTTAATATACAATTTTTTATTAATAAAAGACTTTATACTTATTTACCAAGAATAGCCCACTTAGGAGCATTTTGGTTGGTTGGCCAGACAATAACTGGCTTGCCAAATTCGTTGGCATGCCATATTTTCTGGCTAACCAAATTTAAGAATGGCGAACCAAAAAATGCTCCTTAGTGGGCTATTCTTGGCAACAGGTATAACAAATATTAGCACACTTTAAATTAATTTTATTTGCTTTATGCTATCTTGTTTAAAAATAAAAATAATAAACATTTGAATCCTTTTAAGATACAAGTACAGTTTACAATTCCCAAATCATTGCATAAATTCAAATAATAATTTTAGCTAAGCACTTAGATATATATGGAAAAAGTAATAGCTTTCAGCAACAGGACTGAAGGAAGAGATAAATTTTTAAAGTTCTGGCAATATTTCAGCAAGCTAATGCAAGCAGTCATAATCAGTCGATACTCTACTCAGTTTGGGAATCTTTTTTCAGCTGTTCGAGATTGTCGAAAATTCTTTCGACTAGGAAAATCTCTTCTAGAAATCCATTATATAACCCAAATACTTCAAGATGCAAGACTAGACTCTATTCAGCGTGCTTTAGCTATACTTGGGAATGCATCTATGGCTATAAGGTGGATTTTTGATAATCTAAGTTTCTTAAGTGCTGCAAAAGTTATGCTTTATGATCACAAAGAAGTTAACAGGCTCGCAACAACATTTTGGCTTCTTGGACTTTGCTTTAACTTACACCCAATTTTTGATTTTTTCTAAAAAAAATATTTTTTAAATTAAATTTATCAATTTTTTAAGGGAAAAATTAGCAAACTCACTTCGGGAAATGATGAAAAGCTACGCTCGTGAAGCAACTCTCAAAGAAGCCTCAATTGGCAAAACGACCCGTTGGGTCGTAGAAAATCTTGACGAGCTTTCTTTAACTAGGAAGAAAATGATATTAGAAATCACAAAAATCATTGGGGACATGATTGTCGCCTCAAACGGCGCTCAAATCCCTTACAAAGTCCTGGGAAAACAGTTTTCCGAAAAATGGGTCGGAATAGGGGGAATTGTGGCCTCTATGATTTCAATCTATCAAATTTGGTGCACAAGTTAAGAAATTTAATAAATAAGTTATAATAATAAAATGCCAAGAAGGAGTGGAGGAGGAATGAAATCATCAGGCTTCAGCAGATCATCTGGACCTTCCAGAACAGCCAGACCTGCACCATCACCTCAGCAGAGCGCCCCACAAGCTCAACAAAGGCCAGGAATCATGTCAGGCCTAGCTGGAACAGTCATGCAAAGTTAACTTAAGTTAAGTGCTATAAGGCCATAAGCGGATAGACTACTAGTCTACCTATCTGGCATTAACCAACCTAACTTAAGGATTAGCTTCCTAGACAGAAAAGACCTTCGGGGGAACAGCAAGACTTTCCCCTTCTGCATCATCCCTAAACCCGAAGGCCTACTTCAAAAAACGGCAGAGGCTCTACTTTCAGCTTCATCGGGATGAGTCCTACCTGCTCCATAGGGAGTTTGCCTCAGAGCCCGTATTCCATCGATGACACCATTTTTATTTCTAAAGCCATGCAAGGGATGGCATTCGGAGCTGGGAGCGAAATTGCCCATACTGCAGTTAGAGGGCTAATGGGAGGCAACAGCCACGAAGCTCACGAACAGCAAGCACCAGCCCAGCAAGTCCAAGACGTCTGCAGTCAACAGAACCAAGACTTTTTAAATTGTCTGCAGTTCAACAATAACAACATTGGGGCTTGCCAAAGCTATCTCGATCTCTATAAGCAGTGCAAAGGCCAATTCTAAATAACTAAGAACGCTTATAATTGGCATACGAATTTTCTTACTTCCCAACCTTCTTCGTGAGCGAGTAAAAAAATTTTGCTCAATAACGGAAGTTTTATAGTAAATTTTTTTTTTAGAATTTAAAAATCAATTAGAAAGAGAAAGTCAGTTAATTTATGCTAAAAAATGTAAGCTGCTTAAATTCAACAGAATTAGCTAGAGAATTGACCACTTATATTTTAAAATTGTTTTATTAAAAATTGTTGTTCTTTCACGGAGGGCTTTTTTTCCCACAAATAGGGTTTTTTTTTATGGCTTTGCTCATTCTCCATGCCGAGTTAAAAATAATGGCTGCTAAATCTAGAGAACATGTAAGAAATTTAAGTATACATAACCAAAAAATAATGTAAAATCCCTAAGATTGATATATTTGCGAATTGAAAATTTCTTCTAGAGCTGAACACATGCAGGAGGTAAATGCGCTGAAATCTTCAAAAGTGGAGATTCCGCTTAAGGATTGAAGCTCTTTTTCATATTCCAATTTTTGGGTTACTATTTGGTCTTCTAAGTCTTTTATGATGATTTCGTAGTTGTTTTTTTGTGGTTCATTTCTTGATTCTTCAGGGCTTTCGTCAGGCAGAATGTCAAGAACGTTAATATCATCAATTTCTTCTTCTGATATATGAGAAATGGAACTTTCTTTTTCGAATTTTCCTTTATTTAAGCTTGAATCAATATTTTTTAGCCTCAGCTCTTTAAGTTTATCTTTCAGTTCTTGAATACACAACACATAATCTTCGTTAATCTTTTGGAATTGTAACAAGTTTTCTTGTAGCCTCTGCTTTTCTGTGGCCAAAATGCGGATCTCATAGCTTTTGCTTTCAAGCTCTGCTTCAATTTGTTTTACTTTTATATTATACCCTTGGCTTAGTTTTTCTACTTTATGTTTGTCATTTTTCACAGATTTTAGCATCAAATTTTCTGATTCTTTTTCTCTACCTAAAAATTACCTTAAATCTCTACTAACAGCTTCTATTTCAGTTTCCAGAGAAATTAAAGCGTTTTTTAAGTCCTGGTTTTCTTTTTTATTAGTTTTCAGTTCTTTTTGCATGGCGCTAGAAATATTTAATAATTCTTCAATTTTCTTTTTTTTTGTATTGCAGTCTTGGCTTAAATTTTCGTTTTTATACTGGAGATCTTTTAGAAATTCCTGGATAAATGATACTTTTATTTTTTTATTTTCGCTTTCAAGTTCGCCTATATATTCATTTAATTCAGCATTTTTACGATTAAAATCATTTCACGCTGTTTTTGTGTTTGCTTCGATTTTACTTGTTGAGAAATCTTCTATGCTTTTTTCAAATTCAAAAGTAGGTAAATTTGGGTCCTTTGTTAAGGACTCGTCGACTGTAAAAGTCTTCAGTTTTTCTAGCTCTTCGTTAACAGCAATTTTGATGTATTTTAAAGAATTTTCATCTTTTTGGATTGATATTCATAGGAGTAGTTTTTTTATTGTGTTTTAAAATAAATTTTTTAAAAATTATAAATAAATTTTGCTTGAGCTATTAATAATGCTTTTATTTAATTCAGCACAGTATATTTCTTCTAGTTTTATTTTAACAGAGCTCTCATTATTATAATCCTCCGATTTCCCTGAGTATTCAGAAACTCTTTTTAAATAACTATCCTGGCTAACTTGCCATTGCTTTAAATGATGTCTATAATACCCAGATGGATCTTGAGGAAAAGACTATATATTTCTTACATTTTCTAATTGTTTCAGCAAAAACCTCTTTTCTTTATCTCATACCAAAGCCCTTTCTTTCCACATTTTCTGTTGTTTTTCTAAATGTTCAATTTTCTTATTGAGATCTTGCTCTGACATCTGAGGAGGACTTGGCTTCCTGTGACATCGAGACCTCGACCTTACAGCAGGAGAAGTTTTTTCTGATGAATGTTTAACTATAAAGCTCGGTGAAAAGCTCCTTGTGGATTTCGGGGTAACTCTACTAAAAACCTTCGACTGATTCGGGGTAAATCTTCTCGTATCTTTTACATCAGCTGAGTTTGGCTCCATAAAAGTATCAAAAGCTTCATAGTTAATCGATAAATTCATGTGTGATTCTTGGTCTGATTCACTGAGAATTAACGTGTTTCCTCTAATTATTTGAGACATTAATTTACTATTAATTTTTATTTTAATAGATATTCATCTAAGAATTAACTCTGAATGGCATTCATCAAAAGCGTCAACTGAAAAAGATTAGGCCCAGCTTGGCTTGAATTCTGGAGCGTCAACACCGAAGTGAGGATTGAACTCTTGGGCAGATGGATTAAATAGAGTTGGGACCTGGCTAAAACTTACAAAGTCGCTTGCATTTGCATTGAATCCAGCCGGATGAAATTCTTGAGCGCCGATATCATATTTTGGTGCAGCCTTTTTCCGATAGTGAGGGTGAGGTTTATCATTTTGCTTTGGCTTAGGCTTATCTTCTCTTCTCCAATTGTTATTGCCACGACCTTTGCCTCTTCTTGGTTTTTGATACTGGAAATTTGATGGCTTTTTCTTTGCGTCTAATTTTTCAGGCTTTTTTTCTTCGTCACTTTTATAGGTTTCTTGGTCTTAATACGAAATACCATCAGAGAGCCTCATGAAGTCTTCGTCACTGCTTGAGCTTAGTCGCCTCCTTCTGTCCTTGAACCCTTCATTGTTCATTTTTAATTATTTTATTGGCAAGCACTTACCCTCCCCCGAATTGGTTGACAAACTCCCTATCGTTAGCAACAACTTTTTTTGTAAGATAAAATTGATAAATAATTAATGTGATTCTAATGATATCTCATTCTATTTCTATTAGCTTATATCTTTAAACATAAATTTTATATAGGTAATAACCTAACATTGCTCAACAAAGGCGTAAGGATGAAGAGCTCTAATCTGGCCAATTTAGGTTGGCCAAACGAACTGAAGAGTTGGCAAATGAGCCTCTTATGGTTCAATTGCCAACTCTCCAGTCAGGCAAGCCAGCCTGAATTGGCCAGACCAACTGGAGATTACAGCTCTTCATCCTTACTCCTTTTACCGGCAATTTTAGGTAATAGCCTATAATTAAAATAGATTTTCACTTCTAATATTAGAACTATATATTTTTTAAATCCAATTTTTTATATATAATATTAAATTTTAAAAAACCCATTAGATAAGTTGCGAGATTTTTTGCTGGCTTTATCAAAAAGAGATTTAGAGATAGTGTAATATGATGAATAAGAAAACATTGTGAATCATTAGCAGTTTATAATTATAAAATGGAGTCGAAAGTTATCATGGGTAAGAAGACTAAAAATACGCAATGAATTAAAGTTTTGAATGTAAAAAATTTAAGACAGTTCATAATATTCTATTCAGGTTTTTAAATAATGTTTGCAAAATAATAAAAGAAGATAACACTAAAATTTTATTAAATATTGATATATTATTTTCTTTTAAATACCCCATAAATTTAATCTCTTTTATTTAATTATTAACTCCACAAATGAATGTATATAATTATAAATACTTAAGATTCCAACAAAAACTCCAAGCTTTCATCTGAATTTACTTCAAATATGTCAGGCACATGATTTTCCATCATATTTTTTGGAGTCTCTGTATTCTTCACTTGGTCTTTCGGTATTTCCAGCAATTCTTCAACGCTCAGCTGCTCTAGTTTTCTCTTTTTTACAGGTGCCGGGATATCATTCTCAATGCTCTTTAGCCTACCTGGCATCTCATTTTTAATATACCTTGCTATTTCACCTCCATCAGACCTTATAAATCCAGCTAAAATTACAATTGCCTGCTCAATCTGTTTCATCCTTTCTTGGGTTTCCCAAAACTGCATGGTCAGAGCTTGCTTTTGGCTTGTAAGCTCCTCAACTTTTTCTTCTAATTTCTCTCTCACAATTTAAAATGGCAGTTAGAGGTAGGCCACTGTCCTATAGCCAAAATCAGTGGAGAAGTTTACACCTACTTGAGGATTTTTGGGGTCAAAAGAAGTGATCTACACTTAAGCTGGTATAGGTAGAGAGATCCTAAGGGCTTGGGAACATGGACAGTTTGACGTTTACCGGTGTTACCTACCTTTATTAAGAGCTGTCAATCCAAGCTAAGACCACTGGACTTGAACAAGCGTGATATTATTAAGATTAGCATTCTAATTTCTTTATCATATGTTCCGACTCTTGGTTTGATATATGCAAATCCATCATTCTCTTCAAAATCGGTGCTAGCTCAGGCTTGCTTAACGTATTTGAGGGTACTACAGGCCAATTTACAGGTGAGGTCTTTCTTTTGATTTCTTTTAAAAATTCTGGATTGTGCCTGACGAATAAAGGGTGCTTAAAAATATCTTCAGAACCAGAGCGGCGAACCTTATGGAAATCATACATGTTAAGTTGGCGGACAAAGCTCGCTAAATTGCTATGTTTAAAGTATTTGGGGAGAATTGACAAGCAAAACTCTTTTTTGTCTTTAATAACAAATGCTGTTCCATCTTGTGTCCAGGAAACAATATCAAAATTTTCCTCATTGCTAAGCATGTCGTAGGTTTTTTGTAGGAAAGAAGGGGCTTCAGAGGAGTTTGCCTTGGTGCGCATAATTTTTTAATTATTAGGGCAAAGCAAAAACTTAATGGGTAAGCTGAAAAAAAGCTGGGAATTAAATTTTAAAAAGAAAAGGATATGTTTTAATTAGGACTGAAGGCTTTAGTTTCTATTGGAAATACATTTAGGGATAAAAATATTTAAAATGCTCTACACGTGTAAATAAAATGGAAATTAAGGCAACTATAATTCAATTTATCGTGGATTTTTACCTTGTGGGTGGCAGAGGACAATGATCTATCTATTTTAAATATGATAAATAAATAGATAAACTCTTTAATTACCATACAAATTGATCTAGATCTTTCTATGCAAAAGTAATATATACTGTTAATTTCTTTCACTAATTTGGAAAATATTTTTTTGTAATTTAATAAAGGGTTACTAAATTCATTTATTTTGCGGAATTATTTAAGATTAATTTAAAAGTTTTTTCAGCATGCTGCATAAAATTAATTATCTATATTAATTTATATGATATAATTTTGGATAAATTTTAATCTAAATGAGCTTTTTATTATAGGATTAGTATGTGAAAAGTCTGTTTTGAATGCTTTATTAGAATCTTCTATTGCATATAAAGCGACTTCGCATATATATAGATTAGAAGTAAAAAATTTAAGTGATTACACCAATAATTATATTTTTCAAATAAATCAGCTATTTGGGGATTTATAAATAATATCAAATTATTGCAATAAATAATTTAAAATTAAAAAATTATAGCTTAAACACAAGTTTTAAAGCAGCCTTTAATTATTTATTTAAATAAATTATAAGCTAGAATCAATTCAATAATTTACTTACTTATACATTAATAAGTGTCTGACGTATTGTTAGCGCAGTCACCAAGTACCCAATATTAGGGTTCACCTGCTTTGCGGTATAGTCTCAACTGGCCATAGAGACCAGCCAAGGAGACATACACCTCCTCCTTCCTCCGGAAACCCGGGCTTAAGTGTTGAGTGGGCGGGCTATGGATTTCTGCGGCTGCTGCTTGAGTTGACGAGAGTTGGCTTTCCGAAATTTCCAAAAAATGGAATTTCTGGTCACCTTTCGGCAAAAAGGGAAGTTCCAAGTCCTGGGACGTAACGCCCAGTTTCACGCTAGGTAGTTGCCCGAATGATCTAGGCATTGCCTGTAGACTCTGCTGGGCTTACCCTTTCCAAACCTGGACTCCCTTTCCTCTCGAGGAGAAAATCCATTCTGGTGGTTTGAGCATGGGCCAGACTCTGCTCTGCAGAATTGCTTACCTAGGCATTGTTGCTCATTTCCTAAATGGCAAAACCTTGCCGGATATAATTGAAATATGAGTCGAGTATGTATAGCCGAGAGGCATACCCAGACGAAGACGCCATACTCAGACGAAGACGCCATATTTTAATTATAATTCAATAACTTATTACTTCTTTAAATTACCTTTTTCTAAGCTTAACTTAGTTAAAGCTGATGACGCTGTGGCCATTAAAAATGAAACAGCATTGGCAAAACGAAAAGAAGTTTGCTTATCTGCATTGTTTGGAATCTCTTTCTTTATGAGTTTCATTTATCTAGCTTACCAAACCATCTTACATTAAAACTTAAGGATGCATCCTTCTCGTTCTATGAATCATAGCCTAATAATCCTTAAAGTTACTATAAATCTTCTAATTTTTAAGATGCATTTTGTTCAGAAAGGGTTTCGGAAATCTTAAGCTATGAAAAAATCTGCAAAGACCCTACCCTCTAAAACAATTTTATTTAGTTTATAATTTTATTAGACACAAGCAGCAAATTACAAGCTAATCCTTAAATTTTTCAATATTTTGAGTAAAATATCCATAAAATTCGAAAAATCTAGAAAGCCCATTTTGTTGAAGTTATTACCTGTCCATTTTAGCTCTATCGATGACTATTCTTTATAATTAATAAATGGCAGATCAAGCTCGTGTACTCCAAATAACCAAGGATATTTTTTCCTTCGCAGACACTGACGGCTCAGGTGCTCTCGATAAAGAAGAATTCAAGGCTGCAATTGCAAAAATGATTGCAGATCATGGAATGGGAGCCCTCACCGAAGACCAAATGGACCAAGAGTTTTCAGGCCTCGACGTTGACGGCAGTGGAACTGTGGATGAAGACGAGCTTCAAGCATTTGTTGCTAAGCTCTTATCAGCTGCAGCTTAATAATTTTGCTTAATTGGTGTTAAGCAACCCGGTCTTTGTTTAATTTTCTAAATGGTTTGGCTTTTATGACAATTACCGTCATTTAAGTCTGCTTTCCTTATAAAAAATACACAAAAATGGTTTTCAGCAGAAGAAAAAGCAGCTCAGGTGGTCAGCAAATTTTTGAAGCTCTAAATCAGCAGCTGGAGCAGCTTAAAGTAGAAAACTCTGATTTAAAGCTGCAGCTGGAAGATAACAAAGAATCAGCTCAAAGAAACAAAGCGTTATTAGAGGACTTTATAAAGCAAACTTCTCAATCTGACCAAATAATTCAAGATCTCAGGACGAAACTAGAAGAATTAAATAGAAAAGCAAATGAAAATGAGCTGAGAATTAAAGACATGAGGACAGAAAAGTTCCAGTTGACTACTGAAAAGGAAAGTTTTAGAGATACACAGCCTTCTGGGATGAATAATATGCAAGATATACTAAATTCGGTCGAGAAGAATGAAGAGCTGCTGCTATTTAAAGACTCAAAAAATTGTGTTTGACAAATAATTAGAAGGCCAGAGATGAAGCTAGATGAAGCTGAAATGGATATTGAAGAAGACACAAGCAAAAATATCAAGCCGGAGTAGAATGAATATAGAAGATTAAGCGGATATGAGTTTGTAAGGGTTGTTAAGCTAATTAGAATATTAGAAAATTTAATATCTTAGCTGGCATATAAGATCAAATTTTGCTTTATGTGAATTTTACAGAAATTTACAGAATTTATAAAATACATTTTTATTATTATGATTTTGCCTAAAAAAGCCAATTTATTCTATTTTTATAATTAGTTTCAAAAATATAATCTGCATATCTAAGTCTCTATAAATGGCTCGAGCAATTGCCATAGACCAATTTGCTTTTAGACAATTCGAGCAAGGCTCAACCTCAAGTTACATCCCATACGAAAAATCTCTTTTTGAAGAAGAACTAAATAAGCTTTACGATCCTTCAAATTTAAAGCCAGGCTACGCTCCATTCTGTAAGCATCTCTTCATCAGGAATTTCACCGAAGCCAAAATCTCCACAATTCGCATAACTGAAGAAAACGAGCATTTATTAAGATCTGGCTACGAAGCCCGACGTCCTGAAGAACTCCCTATTCTCACCAGATGAATGCCTCTATCCAGTATTGGAATTCTCCCAATCGCCAAATACCTCGACATCATATTATACTCCTACGAGCAAATCCAAAAAGAAAACTCTGCCATGGAAAAAACTGACCTAAATTCCAATTACGAATGGGGCGTGGTTTCAATTAAACCTCAAGACATTGACCATGAGCTGCCAATGACCCCCATTACTATGATGAGAAATTCCCTCCCATTAGAATTTGGAGGCTCCGGGGTAAAACTAGACACTGAAGCATATATGGAATCAGTTGAATTCTGGCAACACAACGCTTTAATTAAATAGATTATTTAATTGGCTTGTAATACATAGTTGTTATAAATTTCTGTCGGTACCTTTGAGTTGTAGTAAGCCCGATTACTCTTTCGTTAGCCCTTACTCCTGCGTGGTTTAAAATTACATGAGCTGGGATTGGTAGCTCATTTTTATTTAGACTGTTTTCCCCTCCGAGTTCATTATTTGTTTGGCGGATTGAGGAGTTGTGAGGAATGGTCTCTTTTTGTTTATAATCAAATGAGTTAGAATGATTAGCAAGGACATAGTGGAGATGCTCAGGCAATATATCAGGGTCCATAGTTGTGAAATCAGAACAATACTCTTGGGTGTACTCATTAGAATTTTTGGTATTTTCTTCTAAATTAATTTCCTGTAGAGTTCCTGTATCAATCCAATTATTTAAAACATAAATTGGCGATGATAGTAAGATACTGATCTGCAGATCGGCACCACTTACTCCATGCCTTTTAATTATGAGGCTTGGATTTACTTGAGAATTTTATCCCGGCAACGACAGGCAAGAAACTTGAAAGGAAGGCACATACTATTTAGCATGTCCCAAGGGAATCTGAAAGGTCTGAGGCTTTTCACTTCAGTCCTGCGGCAGCAAAGGAACCTTTAGTTGCCACGCTGTCAAGAATACAGAATTTGCTCACTCTTGAGCCGATGAAACTGTCAACAGAGTTTAAAAACATGCTCTGAAGAAGTTTTTTGCCAGCAGAGACAGTTATCCAAGCAGTCAGTCGTCCCAAGCATCTATAAAAATGTGGAAGCTCTGATTTGGCAACCCCGCAGTAGGTAGGCGAAACTGGCAGCTTTTAAATTTTCTTATATAATGTAATATCAATCCAATTGTTAAAATTTCCGTTTTGGTCTTTTTTGATAGGCTGGTCATGAGCGCATTTTCAAGTCCCGTCTACAATAAACTTATACTCATATACAACTCCCCGATCAAGCTGCTTATATATCACAAAATCGTTCCCGAGCTGCTCCATTTCAAGTTTTTCAGATCAATTATTGAAAGAGCCTGATAAATAAACGTCAGTTCCCCCTTCACTTCATTTAAAAGTGATTGTAACTTGGTTTGGATTTTGAACAAAAACTTCTTCTACAAGTGAAGACGCAAGAGAACTGCTGCGGGAATCATCCAAATTTAAACTGTCTATATGGCTGCAGAAGTGGATAAAGGTTAGTAGTTAATTAAGATAGAAATATTTAAAGCCCTCTGCTTAAAAGTTGGAACTCTTTACGGCTGTCTGGTGGTACAAATGAATTAAGTGGCTTCCACATCAGGCACTTCTTAGCCTCGGCTGAAACCACTGATTTTTAAGTAGTGGCTATAATGTATTGCTAATATTTTATTTTTGCTTATTTATGGTAAATTGATTTTAAAATTTCAAAAAATTTTGACATGTCATTATATATAAAACTGAGTCTATGGTATGTTGAAATTTTTTTGACATTTTAAAATCAATTTACCATATGGTCAAGCACAGATGCCAACCCCCCAACCCCCACCCCCCCAGTTTGGATGTATGCATCACACCCCCACCCCTGTATGGATCACCCCCCCCATCCCCCTTGCATCTATGGATCCCACCCACCCCCATTCCATTAATAGATGCCACCCCCCTATATAATGTAAACTGTATTAAAGGCAATTAAAGCATATTAATTGCTCACAGCATAAAAAAATTCAAAGTCATAGGGATGAAAGAGGAAGATCGGATACAGTGTGCTAACAAGGAAGCATATTTTCAATGAACCTTCAAGCACATACCTCGTGTTTAAATCATATAAAGGTCAAAAATTTTCAAAGAATGCAGGCTAGCTCCCCCCCGCCATTAATAACGAACAAAACCGTCATTTTTTTTTTCTAAAAATTTTTCCTTACTCCCCCCCCCCCCGTGAGTGAACAAAAAAATTTTGTTCACTCACGGAGGGGGTTAATTTTTTTTTTTTAAAAAAATTTATATATAAATTTTATAAAAATTATTTTTTTTTTCGAAATTTAAAAAAATCCTAATTCGCAAAAATTGGAAAGCAAATATTAATTTAATTTATAAAATTTATGTTTTAAAAGGCAATTCGTTTAAAATTAAACAGAATTAGCTTTAGATTTCTTTGTACTAATTATCATTTATATATCAAATTTTTTTACATAAAAAATTTTTTGTTCACTCACGGAGGTGGGTTTTGGGCAAAAAATGGCGATTTTTCTAATGGTTTTGTTCACTTACGGAGGGGGGGGAGTTAGGCCATTTAATAACGAACAAAATTTACTATAAAATTTATATAAGCTAATTTAGTCTTTACAGTTTATTAATTTTAAGTAGTTAGAGTAAGATAAAGACAAGCATAATCGATCAAAGAATAATAAATAAGAGCTAATAGTGGCTTAATCTTAAGATGGTGCTTTACTTCCCCCTCCGTAAGTGAACAAAAAATATCGTTTGCTCATGAAGGAGATTATTTTTTTTTAAATTTATAGAATTCAGGCGCTTTATCTTTATGTTGTCATCATTTGACTTTTTTATTATTAACCCTTTATTGAAATTTTTATATGAAAAATCATAGATATTTAATATAATTTTTATATATTTTTTTTCCAAAAATTTTATAAGTTAGACCCATTTAATAACGAACTAAAAAAGTGTTCGTTATTAAATGGAGGGAGTAAAGACTTTATAAGAGATATCAAAAATATTTTTTGAGTCATTTATTGATTCCTTTCTATGTAACAAGTTTTTTTGCAATTATTTTATTTTAAATGTATTACTAATATATTGGCTATATCAGTCTATGCTAAATATACTTATGGTCATTAATATTTATTTATGAATCCATTTATGAATTAACTAAAATTTTATTGTATGTCTTATTTGTAAGATTTGATACTTATATGTTTACCTATATGATAGAGGGGGTGGGGGGTGGAGGGGGTGGGATCTATTAACATAGGGGGTGGGGGTGTGATCCATATATACTAGGGGGTGGGGGTGGGATCCATGCATGGGGGGGTGGGGGTGGGATCCATGCATGGGGGGGTGGGGGTGGGATCCATGCATGTGGGGGTGGGGGTGGGGGTGGGGGTGGGGGTGGGGGTGGGGGTGGGGGGTGGGGGTGGGGGGGTGGGGGGTGGGGGTGGGGGTGGGGGGGGGTGGGGGTGGGGGTGGGGGTGTTGGCATCTGTTGGCATCTGTGCTTGACCAACCATAAATAAGCAAAATGAAATTTTATGCAAGGGATTATATCATATTGGGTCAGAATTCCTTAACCGGGTATCAAAATTTCCAACTCTGTCCCTTTGCCATCTAATTACTCCACCAGCCAGCCCTTGGCGTGTTTTGATTCATTAAAGGAACCCTTTCAGTAGAGGGGCAGCCTTTGAGTCGTCTAATCAGTCCCCTTTTTCAGGTAATCCTGGAAAAAAACTCAATCACTCCTGCTATTCGGGGCAGACTACAGTAGCTGCTTGAGCAGATAAGTCACCCTGCTCCATCTCGGTCACCCACTGGCTTGAGTGCTGCTGGCAAAAACGAGTTGCCTATTGGATTAGTCCACAATATCGTGGATTTACCTAAATTCCTTGCTTCAGGACACCAGATAATGTTAGGCCAATCAACGACTTCAAAAATCATGGCGGAATGCAAGATAACCGGAACTGAAAGGAGAGGTCAGACGTCACACACCATTTATCTATATGCAGACGTTGATAAAGGAATTTGTTTGGTTACTCTCAGATCTAGATGTTACTGGCCCCATTTATAACAAATTTTAACCATTTTAAAAGATATATAGATCTATTATAAATTTCTGTTTTAATAAAAGGGTATTTATTATTTTTATTCAAAAATACAGTCAATGTTAATTATTAGGCAAAGCTGGGGCAGCGCTTAGACAAGCTACGTCAAACATCAAAGGAAGTTGAGATTCTAACATAAATGAAGAGGTCTGAGGTACTGGAGGTAAAGTTACTACTTCTGGCTGATAAGTCCTAGGTTTTCTCTGTTTTTCTTCTTTTCCATCAATGTAATGATTTTTCTCATGCGCTGCTAAGTTACTAGACTGGTTAAATCGCTTTGTGCACCCTGGAAATGTGCACTGGTATGGCTTCTCCCCTGTGTGAATTCTTAAATGTGTTTTTAGGTTGAAATCCAATGAAAATCTTTTCCCGCAAAATTCGCATTTATGCTTCTTTTCTCCTGTATGAACTATACTCGATAATTTGAATAATTATTTTTATTTTTTTACAAAAAGATAGATTTTTTTTAAAGAAATGGAAATAATTATTTTATATTAAGATAGCATATGCCGAGTTAGCTTGGAATTATCCATAAATCGTCTGCCGCATGTCTCTACTGGGCATACATATTGCTTATCACTGTCACCACGATGTTGTTTTCTGATTGGACTGTCAATGTACTCAGAAGGTGGTTTTTTGGGTCTTGGTTCATTTTTTGGTTTTGGAGGCTTTAATGGCTCTTCAGTTATGACGACGCCTTCTGGAGTTTTCTCAAGCATTACAAACACAGGTTGGAACTTCTGCGAGTAAAGCTTTACATTGTGGATCATTGCTTTGAGTTTTGTTGTGTCCACATTACTAACTTATCTGTTTGTTTTTATTATTTTTTTATATTTTTATTATTTTTTAAAAAATTTATTTTTTAATGGGAAGGTAAGAAGATCGACTGAAAGTCTAATTTTTAATTCAGTGTCAGAGCCGGATGCTGGTCTCATATTAGCCATATTTGATTAGGATGGGGTATGAGAAAAGATTAAGTTTGACAAAAACTACTTAGTTTATTCCTCACAGTCAATGCATAAAAGTAAGCCATGTTGAAAGCCTTAAAAAGGCTTGAAAATTCAGACTCAAAATATGTCATAAGAAATTTTGTTAAATGGAAATCGTCATATTTGTCGTGGCATCAGAATAAAAATATGAAATTAATTAAGAAAAATAATTTAAGAAAATGGGTATAAAATCACTATATTTTTAATTAATATCGATTTATTATTTATATTTAGCTTTCTAGAAAAATATCTCATTAAAGTTTATTAATCTCAATTTCATCATCCGCCCACAGCTTATCCCACACTTTTTTCTGTTCTTCTTCAATTTTCATTCCTCCAAAAATCGGCGTTAAATATTTCTCATCAATTTTCTGCCAATTCCTATGAAACCAAGACAGCCCTGAGCTTTCTATTGTTTGGGTATAAATTTTATCATCTGTGTTAGCTGTTTTTGACATCAATTCAAAATAAATTTCTTGAGATGAGCTTGATTCTAGTCCTATAAATCTTGTATAAGGCGATAGTAAGTTCGTTAAGCATATTGTAGTTAATAAAGCAATGCCAAGGGTGGTAGACACTAAAACCTTTTGGTGCTCACTTTCTATTTGTAAAACCAAGGCAAAAGCAATTGCTCCACGGATCAGACCAGTGAACCAGGCTACACAAATGCTTTTAGAGTCCAAGCCAAAGTGTCCCCATTGGAGTAAATAGACAATAGCAGATGACATAAAAATAGAAGCGGCTCTGCCGACAACCATGGCTACAAACATACATAGTAAAAATAAAATATTTCAGTCTTCCCATCCTGTTGTTGTCACTGTCATTCCTAAATATGTAAAAGTTAGTGCTTCAGCGCCTTGAGAAAAGGCTGAAAATACAAGATTTGTCCCTTGTTGTGAATCTCTAGACAAGTTATGCCAAGCATAATGAGCCATAGTGACCCCACATACAAAAATTGCCATAATCCCTGATAAGTCTAAAAGCTCAGATACAATGTAAGACATGTATCCCATGAGTATAATAAAAGCAGTTTCCCTATCTGGGTGATCTCCCATTGATCCAAATTTCTTTAAAATATATGCAGCTAATAGCCCAAGCCCTAAACCAATTAATATGCTTGTTCCTGTCATATATAAAAAGCTTAATAACAGGTTTAAACCATCAAGGGCGTCAAATTCATCACCAATATAAGCGACAGTTCTGAATAGGACAATGGCTACAGCATCATTCATCACTCCTTCGCCGAATAAAATTGAATGGAGTCTTGGGAATTTAGATTCTTTTACCACAGTGATGGCGGCCACAGTATCTGTTGCTGAAAGAACACTTGCTAATAGTAAACAGTCTTTTGTAGAAATTTTGTCAGTATCTGAGACTGCTCCGTTCTCATTGAAGAATATTGCCATAATCGCTAATGTGAGAAAGGAAAAAAATGTACCTAGGAATCCATATAAAGCAATGAACCCAAAATTCAGAAAGAAATTTCTAGATTTCAGCGTGTAGCCAGCTGCAAATACTATTGGAGGTAAAACAAAGTAGAAAAAGATCCCTGTTGAAAACTCAATTTTTTGATCCCCTGCAAGGAAATAGAATCCTAGCCCTCCTATCATCCCAAGCCCAATTGCTATCGTCGTTTCATGCAAATAGTCACACTTGGATTTTTCAATTAATTCAGCTGTCAAAATATACAAAATTAGGATAATTACAGCAAGAAAGACCTCAACACCAAGCAAGCTTTCCATTTATTATCAAATTAAATTACCCAAACCTTCCCTAGCAGTCTTCTTTATATTTAATCCACTTAGTCTTTTCAGATAGAATCCCCAAATTAGTCGTCATCTGCAAAATTGGCTTCTTTAATAAATTTTGAGCTGTTGTTAAAAAATGTCTTTTATATTTAGAGTTTCTGTCTCCAATAATAATTTGTGAAGTATTTTTATAAGGAATCACAAAGTCCTCGCTCCGAAGTCTAGATCTTTGGGCGTCTGGGGAATATGGCTCAAGAGGTTTTGAGGTCATTCCAGCATGCAAATGGTGCCTGATTTTATGAACGTCGTGAGACAAGCTTCGCTTTTCTGTTAGCTTTGGATGATTTGAGTATAAGCTTTTATTTGTGGGGGAATTGGTGTTGTAAGGAACGGCGACAGCTTGTCCGTTTTTCATAGCGACATAGGAGCAGGAGTCAACCTTGGAGGATTTGAAAAGCCTTAATTTTAACCTTGCATTTAGAAGGATTGTGACGAAAAAAAAACCGAGGGTTATTTCGTGCTGCCTTTTTACAGCCCAAAACGAGGAAGGTTATTTCCAGATTTTTTCAGGATGAAAACCCAATGGTTTCACAAAAGTATAAAGGAAAAAATCTACCTGTGTTTTTTTCCTCATTTTTCTGGATAAAAACTTTTTGACAAGTATTTTATCGGGATCTGCTTATTATAGCTGAGATATGGCCTTAAAGATCTAGTTTTTGAGACTTGCTACAATCTTAACTCTAAACTCTAAAAATGCAAACCAAATAAGAAAGAAATCGCATTGTATCTAAACTTTACACTTAACTTAGCTAGATTATAGGAAAGCTCACTGTCTGGATCCGAGGATCCTGATTCTCTTCCATAAGGTTCCAATCGTCTTCTCGTCGACAATCGTCTCACAACCTTCAAATTCTTGCTCATAACAGACATGCTACCTGGTAGTCGGAAATTTTAGGTCACCATGCAGTACACCAACGGGGTTTGGTTCTAGAAAATTCGAAAACAATTTTTCTGGTCACCTGTAGGCTAAGATAAAAATTCGTAGTTCCAGGACGCAACTGATCAATCAGGAGGAACCTCACTGATATTGCTGACACCCCTTTCAATTCCGAATTCCATCTTGCACAAGGTTGGTTTTTTTCATTATACTTTTGTGAAAAATTCATTAGGGTTTTTCCTGAAAACCCCGGAAAAAACCCTCCGTCATTTTTGACTATAAAAGGCTGCAGTAAAAAAACTTAGGTTTATCCTGCAAGCCCATTTAGAGAGGCTGTCGACCATTTTATGGCAAAATCAAAACCAAAGCTCATCACGCTATGACTAAATATAGTTATTACCTGCATCTAGCGATGGCAAGGTGGTTTATCTACATACCTCACGTCAGTTGTCTTGACCAAAACACTTGTATTTAATGTGATTGCAACCAATTAAATTGTATCTTCTTCATTGGAATCCGGTGAACTGTGGAGTGCTTCCATCTTGCCTTAGATAATCTACCTGCTGGCCTTGAATAAAGTAAAGACCGGGCGCCTAACTACTAACTCCCCTTTTAAATTAAAAATCCTGAAAATTATTAATTGAGCACGATACTTTAAATTTTAATTTATTTTTTATGAAGAAATAATATAAAAATTAATCGGTTCAGTGTGACACTGTTTAAATAGCATTCTTATTGCCCTATTTCTATTAAACTAAGTCAAAATTAATTTTACAAATTTTTTATATTGTTAAAGAATATAATTGAGCAAAATACTTTGAATTTTAATTTATTTTTATAAAGATTTAAATAAAAAAATTAATCAATTTAGTTTTTTAAAACTGTTTAAATAACATCTACTTGCATTTTGTCTATCAAATTTGGTCTATTTGAACCATTTAAATTTTCCTATTTAAAAATAATTTTGTTCCCAATTTAAAGGGGGTTGAAGTACCCACAAAATACGTTCCAATTTAAATGGTGGAGTCAGCCTTAGTCCTACGTGCCTTGATGCCGACCAATTTCTTCAGCCATCCTATCCCTGAAGTCCAAGTTCAGTTGATCCGATGGTAGGACTTGGCATGAGGAAAATTCTTGGCTGAGAAGAGCAGGTTTGCTAGGGCCTATTCCATCTTTGGCTCATATTTTCTGGAGGTTTTGAAGAAAGAAATGCTTTTATCTGCTTTAGGAGATATAGAGTTTTCAGTCATTTTCTTATCTAATTAATTTTACTACATATTATGAATTTGCTGATCAAATAGAATCTTGTTACAGTTAGGACATCTATGAGAATATTGAGAAAAAAGCCACTCGTCTAAGCACTCTGCATGAAAAGTATGCAAACAATTGGTTTTTCTTACATTTTGTCCTTCTGAAAAGTCAACTAAACAAATGGTGCAGGTAGGCTCCCCTTTAATTGAAGTCCCATCTTTATATTTTTCTATAGGATACAGTTTATCAATCATATCTTTTGTAACTCTCAGTCTATTTTCTCTATGTAACTGGAGACTTTGAGCATTCGGTCTTCGATTTTCAAAGGCTTTGCTTATGATTTTTAAAGCTATGCAGCAGATGCACATTCTAAATAGGATTTACAGTACAGATGAGATCCCAACTACGAGTGCGATCGACAAAAATAATTCGCTAGACTCATTGGAATCGTCTGATTTTCCAGGATTATTTATTTTACAAGGATTTTGAGGATTATTGTCTATTGTGCTATTGAATTCAGAATTACAGTCATCAGATATATCTTGAGCACTTGAAACAATTAATGATTTTCCATAGGAGGAAATTAATAAAGCCCGCAAAGTGTGTAGCATTGTGATTTTCTGATTTGTGAAAAAAATGATTGGATTATTTATAATTGAACAGAATTAAATTTTGGTACAGATTAGAGAAAAAGAATTTGGCTGTTTTTTGATTGACAGTTTATAGAGGATGAAAGATTATTGATAAGTATATATATATTTGTAATCTGGGAAATGCATTTTTATTTTTTAATAATTATTCTCTCATATTTTTTAATGAGTTTAAGATTTTGTATCCAATAAATATTTTGGTTCTATACAGAAAATTAATAACTCCCCCCCCCTCCGTGAGTGAACAAAAAAATTTTGTTCACTCACGGAGGGGGTTAATTTTTTTTTTTTTAAAAAAAATTTATATATAAATTTTATAAAAATATTTTTTTTCGAAATTTAAAAAAAATCCTAATTCGCAAAAATTGGAAAGCAAATGTTAATTTAATTTATAAAATTTATGTTTTAAAAAGCAATTCGTTTAAAATTAAACAGAATTAGTTTAGAGATTTCATTATACTAATTATCATTTTATATATCAAATTTTTTTTCCATAAAAAATTTTTCTATTAAAAAAATTTTGTTCACTCACGGAGGGTGGGTTTTTGGGCAAAAAACAGCGATTTTTCTAATGGTTTTGTTCACTCACGGAGGGGGGAGGGAGTAAGGTTCTTTTTCAATATTAATTGAAGAATAGTCTCATAATTTTTTAAATTAAATTTTAATGTTGCAAATTAAAGAAGCACATATAATAGAAAGCATTAAGAAATATCATAAAAGCCAATTTTATGAAGTTTAATTATAAAATATGGGGTTGTTCGCATATGCAAAACATTTCTCAAGGGCTTTAACTAAAATGAGAGCACCTGCGCCAAACATGCAATTCTCAAACCTCAGCTATAGACTGCAAAGCACAGTCAATCCATCCACATTTCTAATAAAAAGCCCAGAATTTCAAACTATGGTTGCTACATTAGGAAAACTTGATGCTATTTCTATAAGTGACGATGACGAAGAAGTCGGCAAGAGGCGAGTGAATGAGATAGAAGAGAGAATAATCTCATAATTTACATCCTTTAAGTCATAAGCAATTACATCTTTAAAAAATGCAAGAAATTTGCTATAGTCTTTTCCATACCCAGAATTTTATTAAAAAATTCTTTTCTAATAGAAATCAATTGAAATATAAAAAATATCTCAATAAGCCTGAACCTACTTTTGCATATTTAAAATTGCACATTTCTTATACCCATAAAATCTTAAATGAAACCTGCCCTTAAAGACAGCAGCATAGCTAAAAAGGCCAGATTATCGACACCTAATAATAAACTCCCTTCCTTAAAACGTGCAAATACTCCGCTGATTAGATCAAGAAACTCGCTAACTAGCTTGAAGCCAAAAAAGATCAAACCTCAAGGATCTGTGATGATAAACAGCAAAGCAAGGACACAACCGCTACCGACCCCAAACACTTCTTTAATTGATGAGCCTGTGTCAAAAGCGCCAATTAGAAAAAAATTCATTATAAGCGAGGTAATCAAGACTAGTGAAAAACCATATAGAAACCTATCATAAATAATTAGAATAAGCCATAATTTCCAGGTAATATTTATTTTTTATACTAACTCCCCCCCCCCTCCGTGAGTGAACAAAAAAATTTTGTTCACTCACGGAGGGGGGTTAATTTTTTTTTTTTTATATAAATTTTATAAAAAATATTTTTTTTCGAAATTTAAAAAAATCCTAATTCACAAAAATTGGAAAGCAAATATTAATTTAATTTAAAATTTATGTTTTAAAACGCAATTCGCTTAAAATTAAACAGAATTAGCTCTAGATTTCATTATACTAATTATCATTTATATATCAAAATTTTTTCCATAAAAAAATTTTTGTATTAAAAAAATTTTTGTTCACTCACGGAGGGTGGTTTTTTGGGCAAAAAATAGGGATTTTTCTAATGGTTTTGTTCACTCACGGAGGGAGGGGGGGAGTAAGAATTAGGCATTTTTTATATAAACAATTTTTTATTTTTATTAAACTAGTATAAATTATGACAGTGTGTTACAGTTGGAAACTAGTCTATGGCGAATTCTAGAGTCCTTACAAAGAGGTGTAACAGACATCTCAAAGATCTGTGACAATTACTGGGATACTTTTAAAAGATCAAACATATGAGAAGTTGAAACTCTTTTCAAAGACAAAAAAATAAGAAAATCCATTAGAAAAGCCTTAATTCTTGAGCTCTGTGGAGTCGCCTTAGCAAGCCACTACTCCCAATACACCTGAAAAACCTTAGCCAACATCCGAAATTTATTTTTATTTGTCCACCAGAACCTTTTGAGTATTTTTGAAATTTTGCTCAAAAAATCCCACGATTTTCCTGCCGAGGTTATTAAAGCTTTCAATAATGCAATTTTAGCAAGAAAAGTCACAAAAGCAGGAGTTTTGCTGCTGCAAAACTCAGAATCAATCCAATCACTTCTAAAAGTGATTTTAAAGCATTTTAAGCAGCATTCGATGCACACAGCAATTTCTGTCAGCATATCTGGAATATTGCAATCTATAGATAAAATGAATTTTATTACAATTTATGATGCTTTATCTCAAGCACGAAGACTAGAGGTCCCTGAAGACGTTCCTGAAGCTTTGCCGCCTGTTTTCCCTCCTTTTCTTCCTCCTCCACCTCCTGGAAAACTGATGTATACTTTAGTGCTGGATTTAGATGAAACTTTAGTCCATTATTATGAAACTAATAATGAAGGAAGAGTCCTAGTGAGGCCAGGCTGTGAAGAATTTTTAAAAGGAGTCAGCGAATGATATGAAGTCGTGATTTTTACTGCTGGACTTCAAGATTACGCAGATTGGGTAATTGACCAAATTGACCCACATAAATATGTGAACCATAGATTATACAGACAGCATGCAATGGCGCATGGGCAAAGTTTTGTAAAAGATTTAGACAAGCTGGGAAGGGACATTTCAAGGGTAATAATTGTCGATAATGTTGCTGAAAATTTCCAATTGCACCCGAAAAATGGAATTTTTATAAAATCGTGGTTTGATGATATAGTGTTTTATATAATTAAAATAAAAAATATTTTAGGACTTATCTATAAGGCAATTTAAATAAAAATAAATATCTCTGATACGGCGCTGTACGAACTTTTACCTGTGTTGACCCAAGTTTCAAAAAAATGCGTAAAAGACGTGAGGGAAGCGCTCAGAGAATTAAAAGAACAAATGATCCGGGAAATCATGAAAGGAAACCCTAACCCTCATTTAAATCTTAATTTGTAAGATTATACATATATATATAAATTCCTTTAAATAATTTTTTAACGATTTGGCGATTTTGCTTCTTCTACTCCTGCTTCTTCCATAAGCTGTCCAATTGATTTTTCTAGTTCATCGATTCTGCTTCCCATATCGTCAATTCTGTTTAAAATTGCGTCTGACATTTGTTGGAACCTTCCTTGCATTTGCTGTAGTAAGTTTTGAACAAAGACTGTGAGGTCTTCGGCGGGCTGGGATGGGTTTTCTTGGTCTGCCATCTTATTTATTATAAAGTCTGTTTGAAAATTATTATCAATTTTATGTGCAGCTAGATTGTTTGAACATGTAGGAATTATGATTATTCAAAGGTTTTAAAGGGAGAAATAAATACTTTTATTTCAATGATGCATAATTCTTATATTATTGATCCTTAGCGAATTAGAATTTTGTAGAGGTGAGGGAATTTATATTTAATAGCATTTACCTAATATATTAAATTAAATTGTATGAAAAATCCTTAGGCAATCTAAATAAGTTTTTATTGCTTTTCGATTCCCTTTGTAATCATTCTCATTCTCTATTCCCGGCACTAATCTTGCAGAGCATTCAAATAGTTCACCTTGCATCATTCTTGATATAATTTCAGTCAAAATTTGAAAATATTTTATTTGTGAAAAAATGCAGCGTTTAATCTCAATTCGATAAATAATCTTCATAAAAATTACTGAAAACTCAAGTCTTTCATGTGTGCGCTGTGATAAAAGCGCATAGTCTTCATCAATAGATGTTGGGAAATCAGCTAATTGCTTATTTAAAATCAATAGTGCATGGTGCATAATCCTGAGCTCTAAATTTAAGTCAGAAGGCGATAAAAATGCTGTATAGCTTAAGCTTTCATCTCATGCGAATGCTCTCAATACGCGCAGCAGCTTTAAGCAAAGCGATTTTCGTTTTATTTTAAAATCTATGCAAGGTATTTCAAAATTATCAATAATTTGATTTTCTATAATCAATTCAGTAGTAGGAATTTTTACATAAGCATAATTATATTTATTATCTAAAACTGCAAACCCATATTGCTGCAGCAGCATCCTATTAGAATATGCTCCATATGAAATAAAAAGTTGGCTTCCATTTCCATGATTTTCATTTTTTCCTGTTTTAATTACAAAATAATCCCCAAAATCATTCAAAACGTCCTCTTCTTGACTACCTAATTTATAAAACTTTTCATCAATTAGCTTAGATTCCTCAAAAACCGTTTTTATTTTTTTTGAAAAATTCTCTTGTTTTCCAAATTTCATATTGCATAAAGTAGTAAAATTCATATAAATAGCATTTTCATCAATTCCTGCATCATTATCAAAATCACAGTCATCTGAATTATCATCATTTTGAATATCTTCAGAGTTTTCTTTCGAGTAAGAAAGATGTGAAACCCCATGATTAAAAAAATCAGCAAATGGGATTAATGAAATTCCGCAGTGGGCAAAGGCCCTTGTGTTTACTATTTTTTGAGATCATTTAATTATATCAAGAGTTATTCCAGGAAATTGAGATGGGTAGTTTAGTAGTAAATCATGCAATAATTTCGTGGCTTTTTCTTCTTCAAGCTTGGAATTTATGGTTTCTTCAATAAGAATTTTATCATGCAAATCAGAGAGTTCTTCATATGATCAATCAGATAAGATTTCAGGATTTTTAGGCAAAATATTGAAAAAATGATACCATTTTGAGCTTGCCCCTTTACAATATTCATATATAAGAAAAATAACTTCTTTGTAATCTGCATAAAGATGTGAAATCCCAGAAAATAAATCATAATGATCTTCAAAAATATTTCAAATTTCATTTATCTCTAAGGATTTCACCGATAAAATTGTCTCATTTGGCACTCTCACCAAGCATTCATTATTCCCGATATTTCCTATACTAACGACGCCCAAATACTTACCGCCAAATTTTGCAGGGTATCATATATTCTCACTTACCCAAATATCATTTTCCCTCGCTCAATCCACAAATAACCTCATTTTTTCATCCTGCTCCAAAATCTCTATTACTAAAATATCAATTCTGCCATCAGAGGCAGATTTACTATATGAATACTGAAAAAAGCGAAATAAGCTATATGCTATTCATAATTTTTCACAAATAAATTTCATTTAATATTAATAAAATGAACAAAGCATTGATCATATTCGCCTTATTATTTATAACCCAAGCCACAGACGAGCGTGAGTTTCTTGAAGGCTTTCTATCAGGATTCCAAGAAACAGACGTAGAAATTGGAGAAGACTGCTTAAACCCAGCTTATGTCCAAAAAGTGAGCTTAAATGTAAAGGCAATAGTGGAAGCTTTATATCATAAAAGCTACTTGAAAGCAGGAATTATAGTAAAAACTTTTCTGGCAGAGGCTGAGCATGAATTGGACAGCTGCCATTATCATGAAGTTGTAGGAATTTTTTCAACAATCAGCGAAGTAGGCCCGAGGACTCTTTTGTTTAGGCTGTACACGAATTTTGAGTTTATTGAAGCAAATATTATGCAGATGGCGAATGCTAAGAATGTCCATGAAGCTGGAGAACATTTTGGGAAGGCCTTGAGATATTTTATTGAAGATATCCTGGGGTATTTTAAATAAATGAGATGCTATTTATAAGATTATATTGAAAAAGACTTTAGAAATAAAAATAATTCCTTACGAATTTTATACAAATTTAACTAAAATTATATAATCCTCATCCAGCCTTGATTGACATCAATAAACTTTATGATATTTCAGTCGGATTTTTCGCCAGGATTGGAGAAACTTGTAAAAATCCATCCTGTGTCAGTAGCCTCAACGAAATTCCTAGTTCTCTCACACTTGCAGGAAGCTCGCTCAATAGTGTCATCAAAGGAGATCAAAATTTAAACAGCCTGACCATAAAAATCGCTTTATTAGTACTTGATCTTAAAAAAGTTAACGGTAATTGTGACCTGGCAGACTTTAAAGCAAAAATTGCAAAATTATTCACATCAGATGGGCTCACCCAAGCTACAATTAGATATGGAATGAATATTAAAAAAATAAACGCTAAGAAGGCAGAGCTTGCAAAGGCTTATTCTATCTTAGATTACAAGCAAGCAGGAAGCATTTATGCAGATTTGTTAAAAATCTTGTTGAACTGGCAGCTTAATTAATATTCTTTTAAAAGTTTTCATACTTAAATTAAAGATTTATAAATATAATTGATCTTGTTTCGTATATTTTTTATAAAAATAAATAAAATCATGAAAATCATCTTTATTTCGATTTAAATAGAGATGAGTAAAATCTTGACGTGTGTAAATAAGCGAAATATATATACTTTCTTAGGATTTTAAAATATAAACTTATTGTATTTACCATTAAATGATTTTGGCTGATTTATAAAAAGCTATACTTGAGAAATGGATAAAGCCATAATAGAAAAATAGCCCTTTTATTAAAAAAAAATTTAACAATTGATTTCTCTTTATATCAGCAAGAAACAAGCCCAATTCTATAGCTCATATAAATCATCGTTTCTCTTCGAGTTCAGTTATTAGAAATTTAATGCGTGGCTGGCATTGCTATAAATCTTATGATATAAATGACTTATGCATTGACGGATCTTTGCACTGAGGAGTTATAAGGAAGTCAACTTATTTTTTTTAGAATCTGCAAACATTTATTTTACGAAAACTTGAGGCTCAGTTTTAAGCTATATCTCAATGTATTTAGATCTAGGATTTAAAGTAAGATTTTACTACTAGGATTGGCTAGTAGCTGCTAGAAAAAGATCAAATAGGCAATTATCAGTCTTTTTCAATGCATATCATATCATTTTTTAAGATATTTATTGCTTGAATTCGCCAAAAACATAAAACGAAATTTTTCGAAATTTTAAGCAGCATCTTGAATGATCTGAGCTCCTGCATTATTTTTAAGCTATTGATAATCAAAAATCCCTTGAAGATCAAGATAAAAGGAGAAAATTATGAAAAAAAATAAAATATTTTAAATTTATCTGACTACCTGAAAACATTACTAAACGATATTAGTTTCCTTTAAGCAACGTAATTAAAAGACTAAGCACTAAAAGAGCAAGATATATACAAAACAGTGACCTTTACTTTTCCCCATTTTCTGTATAGAATATCATTTCTATTGCCATATTCGATTCTAGAACATAATGGAAAATTCAACTTTACTATCCGCTTAATAAAAAATAATGACTAGAAACAAGAGAGATAGAATCAGACCGACCTCATTTCTTTCAAAAACCTTTGATATGGTAAGCCATGAAGATTACCAAGACGTTGTATCCTGAACTGATGATGGGAATTCTTTCGTAATTAAAGATGTAAACGAATTTTCATCGCGAATATTGCCCCTATATTTTAGGCATAAAAACCTAGCCAGCTTCATAAGACAACTAAACATGTATGATTTCCATAAATCTAAAGACTCTGGAGAACAACAAATCTTTAGTCATCCGAATTTTGTGAAGGGGCAAAAAGATTTACTAGACCATATACATAGAAAAACTTCAGAACTCTCACAAACAATGGCCAATACAATTAAAAGCGCAAACGAGGCCATATTAAATCGATGTATTCAGCTACAATCTCAGCAGGAGCAAATGCAGAGTACTATCAATGTTTTAGAAAAAAAGTACAAAGACGCTATGGAGATAAATCAAAAACTTATGATGGACCTAATAAATTCAAGAGAAAGGGAACAACAAATAATGCAAATGTTCCTGAATTTTTCACAAAGTGGGTATATGAATAATAATATTAACTAATCTGTTTAAATTTATTATTTTTGAAGGCTGGATACTCTGAGCAAATAATCCGAAAATAACCAAAAGTGAGAGAGTTTATAAAGGAGTTGAAATAACTATTTTTGTATTTAGAAAAGATCAAAATGCTGCAAATGGCTTAAATAGCACCTCTAGCATGATCGAAGTCGTTTTGAGAAAGAAGTCCATATATAAAGATTTCAGACAAGAGCAAAAATAAATTAAAATATATAAAGGCATTTCGTTTTATTTGATATGGCCATCCAAAAGATATTTTAAATCTAATGGACCGTAAATAGAAATTATTAGCTTATAACTTGCCCATACTAAAGTCCAATAAGGAGAGTTTTCAGCATTCAACTATTAAGTCTTTTGCTAGCTAAACAGTTGATATTGAATCATTGCTAAGAGCTATGCATATCAATTATATTGATCTTAGTCTGCCATTCCTAAAACCAAACTTTGAGACAAAATGTCTTCTATCAAAAAATCAAAGAATTTTATAACTTATGATTGTCTAAATCTGGCTTTCCATTTCTGTTTTCTAGATTAAACTGCCTCATAGTGTATTTAAGCCAGGCCAGTATTCTGCGTTCTTATTTTCTTCTGGCTTAAGATGAATTTGGATATCTTCAGAGATGGAAAAATCTAGAAAATCATTAAAGTTATAATATTCTTTGAAACTCAGCAAAATTTGGGGTGCTTGATTTTTGAACTAAAGACTTTTGTAGGTGACTAATGTTTTAAGATATATGTCTTGCAGCTATCCCTTTTCCTAAGGATATTATATTAGCTTTCAACTGAAATCATCCCTGAGGGTTTGTTTCTTCAAAAACACAGAATTTCTGTCCCTTGAAAGTTTCATTTATGCAAATTCTTTATAATGCCTCGATTCTGTGAACTTTTCGCATAGGCTTGCTGCTTATAGATCTTTAAGAAGTCATTTTTTCCATATATTATTTAATTAATTTACCATTCTTTGAGAGGAAAATTGATATTTAAGAAAAGGAAACTATATGATTTTAATCAAATAAACTTGACTAAGTAATATAAAGATAACAAGTAAGCTTCTATTATAATTATTTCAAGATAATATTAGATAAATCCAGGCATATAGGATTTTTAAATAAAAAATATTCAATAAATAAATCCATAATTGACTTGCATTAGCTCGCCTTTGTTTTATTTTAAACGATTTTTTATTCCTATTTACAATTATCCACAATATTGAGTAGATAATGCCGATATAAACCTCAACGCTACTTTTTGGTTCTCAAATATGGAAGTAAGACAGTCTTCGTTTTTATTAAACTCTCTCAAAAATTAAATAAAAAAATAAATAAAAATTTATAAAAAACAAGGCTGATGTAGATTTTTATGAAGTTATCCTTAAGAAATAAAATTTTCGAAAAAATAGAATTTCTAGAATTTCTCCCTCTTTTTCACTTATATCTTTGCTTTCAAAAGAAAAATTCTAAATTTTGTTAAAAAATTACATTTTAAGCTCTTTTTACAGAATAAACAAATTTATTTAGCTCTTCAGAATATTTTATTTAGTTTATACTTAATTAAATTTATTCTTGATCAATCATTCTAACTAACTCTAACGGGCCTTTAACGTTTCCTGAAGATACAAGCCACTCTCTAAAATATCCTTGAATTGCTAAATGAAGCCTTCTTTCTTGTTCTTCATTTAATCCAGCCTTGGCTATTGCTCCCTGAATACTTGCGAAGTACTCTTCTCTTATCCTAATCGCATTAACAAATTCTTCAGGTGTTAGCTGAGGCACAGGATTTTGAGCCCCAAACTGCCCAGGCAGCACCAGCTTAAAAAAATCTTTAGGCTGAAGCAGTGTAAAACAATGCCCAGACTGCTCTGAATTCATCTCAATCGGTGCAGACCAGTTATGAACACACTTAGGGTTTATATTACTATTCGGAATTTCTGCATTTTCCATCATTCTCATCACCTCTGGATAATACACATTAAACGGCCCCAGCGTAATCCCTCTATTATCTCCATACAAAACAGGCGGAAACTGCGAATACACATAAACCGTACAATCCACCGAATTTCCCACCCTCAGCATATTCGCAGTCAGTGCTATTGTACACAACTCACATTTATCCATAGTCGCTACCTTAGAAACCGCAGTTACAAACAGTGTCACCTCTCTACAATTTATCAGCGAAATTTGTTTTACCGCTGTGTTTATATAGACATAGCTTTCCTCACAGTTAAAAAGCCTTATATCTTTGCCTTGGCATTCATTTTGGCCTTTAATTACTACACTTCTGTTTAAAGCAGACAATAATAACACCCCAGGTCTTTCTGAAATCATTTCATTGGTAGGACAAATTAGTTTTCTATTTATTCATTCAGAAAGGTCATCTGAATGGACTCTTGTCATTTGTGGCTTGGTTTGATAATAAGGGACCATTCTGCTTATAGGGACTTCAGGGGTGCCAGCTATAGGGATAAATAAAAACCCTAACGAGTTAAATTCAGAGGAAGTCAACGCGACTTCTATTGCTTGTAAATCTGAGCTTATAGCTTTCATAAGCAATTTAAGGTTGCTTTTTACGAATTGATGGGTCATTTGAAAATCTGAAGCTGGCTGGCTAAATAAGAAACCTCTGACTGCTTTAGATCGTGGGGATGCTGGATTTGGAAAAGTCCCAGAGCCTGATAAGCCGAGACCGTCACTGTTGAATTTTGACGTCAAACTTGACGCATTTTCTAAGCTGATTCGGGTTGTTGCGGTACTATATAGCTGTAAGATCAAAAATATCGCAAAAGGTTTTATGTCTATAATTGGCTGCTGAGGTTTCCGCTCATAAGCTAAGCTTCGAAACAGCTCAAAATACACTTCTGCTTCTTGGAGAGATAGAGAAAGCTGCTTAATTGCTGCTTCAGCCCATTGGGAGATTGTAATTTTTCCATCGTGAGACGCAGAGAGATAAAGGGTTTTTACTAAATTTATGATTGAGCTTTGGTTTAGACGCTGAGGGCATGGGAAAATCCCATGGTCAAACAATTCAGTTCGAACTTGAAGTCCAATTTTATCTCTTGACATGATTTTCAAGAATTTTTTATATGAATTTAATGAAATTTAGTAAAATGAGGTAGCATAAATAGATATTAGCCCTACAAAGAAGGCGCCTGTTATGTATTTTCTATTCCCAACTGTAAAAATGTTGAAAAAGCGTTTAAAGATGTTGAAAAGTTCTAGAATTCTGTCCATCAAGCTTAGCACTGAGTCTATTTCTTCTTTGGACCTTCCCAGCTCTTCCCTTAACAGCCTGCTATTTTTAGGATTATTTATGGAATTTTTCTGAATTGGTTCAGCTTTTTCTTTTTTCTCACCTTTGTCTCGTGATTTTTGTTCTTCAATTGACTTAGTCATAAGTTTTATATTGTCTGGAGTAAGTGCTTCACTCATTTTCATAATATCGTCTGCGCTCATCATTACTCCTTGGCTTTTAAATATATCCTCAACAATTCTTGGGTCCATCGTTTTTAAAGCAGTTGCCATTCTTTGTATATCAGAAGAGTTCATTTGTTTCAAGTTCTTCACTCCTTTTTGCAGCTGTTCATCTGAAATCTCTGGCAAATTTAAGGATAACATATTTTTGTATAAATAAAAATAAATTATATAATTATTCTAATCTATCGCTTGGATTCAGGGGCCTATCATGCTGTTCAGTTCCTTCACCTTCTGAATAATGTACTATACTTGGGAATTCTTGAATTGGCTGCAAATTTTTGAGACCTGGGGCCTCAAAATCAGCACCCAGCTGAGAACTGTTATCTTGCACTGATTCATTCGCGGGAGGGCCTGCAGGAATTTGAATAGGTCTTGCAGTTTCTGACCTTGCTAACCCTCTATTTGATCGATTTGGCCCATTCTGTAAGGCTAACAGCTCCAGCCTTTCTTTTGGCTCCAGAGTTCCCAAAATTTTAAAAAATTTGATAGAAAAATATAAAGAAATTCCTTCTAATATAAAATATAAGATCATTAAGCCCGCAAAACCTAACTCATTTTCATCTGCTGCTATTAATAATTTCAAAATCATAACAAACATAAGAGTTATTATATATGACATTGATAAGCTTCTATGGAGTTTATATGAAGAAAAAAATCCTAAAAGCCCAAAAATAACAAGAAATACTAGGATGAATTCGCCGATTATTATATAAGAGAGACAGTAAACCATATCAAGAATAGAGATATAGCGCACTTTTTTGGAAGATTTGAGTACATTTTTGTATTTTATATCTTTCGGGTCTAATGGGGATACTAGTGGTGGGACAGAATTAAGCTGAGATAAAGGTATTGGCTGAAAGCCACCAGGTCTTGATCCTGCTGGAATTAATATAAAGGGAGATCTAGGGTTTTCTGATTGATCTTGAATTTGAACCTCTCGAAAATCAGAATCATTAAATTTTATAGGTATTTGGATATCACTGCTCATTTTATTTAATATAATTTTTATTATATCATTGCTTAATAGAGAATTATTATCTTATTTTTGTTTTCACTCACTAAATCTGAGAAATTTTATCATATTCTAATATTTTTTTAAATTGAAAAAATATATATGAATTTTTGCGTAAAATAAATGAAACTAGAAATTCATAGCAATCCTATAGCCTCCTATATATTTAAATCCAGGAATAATAGCTTATTTGAATCAAATCGCTTTAAATATTATGGAGTTTAACTGTGTATGGTTTCTTAACCAGCTATGAAAAGAAAGTTCACTATTCAATGCCAAAATTCCTTTAGCTGATACCTTATTATTCGATTCTGAGTCCCCCACCAACTATAAATGACTATTCACAGACCGTAAAGGCTACATTAAGAAAAAGCATTCAGAAAATGTCAAGCTCGACAAAATTTTTTTAGCCTTCCTCAATCACACAATGACCAGCTCAGGGTCTGATAACGAAATTATGAACCCTGAAGACCCTGGAGTAATTTACATCCGTGACAACACATTTAAGCTTCTCGACAAGAAAATGAGTTTTGCCCAACTAATGGCTCAAAGTCTACTTAATAATGAAGCCATGCAAGCTTTTACAGCAGGCCCTGAGCATATATACTCTCGGTATATAGTAAATTTCAAAAAATCTGAAGGAAAATACATCTACAACTGCAGCAAAGAGTACATAAAGCGGGAAATCCAGGAAAAAACGAAAGTTTATGCTCAAAATTATATTGATAAATTAACTGAAATCACAGAAACCGCTTTAAGGGTTATAGAAAAAAATAGCAGAAGATGCATAGAAGAGCTGCAGTTAATCTTCTTTGAAGATTTAAATAATAATTTGTGGCTTATGGGAAGCAGAATTTGTAAAACTGCAAATTTTCTAGTCCCAAAATCAATTTTTCCAATAAAACGTGCACAGTCTCAAGGGCGGCTTCAAGAAAACTCAGTAACAAGGTCTTCATTTATGGACACCACTCAGTCATGAAATAAAAGAAGTGGCACAGCATCAATTGGCCAAAAACCTAACACCCACAAAAAATGCCCAGGAGATTTTTGTAATTTTATTGTAACCTCCCAAACTCTTTCAAGCAAACAAGAAATCGACTACGACGACTTAGTAAGTTATATTTAGCTTCAAAAAGTAAGGAATACTTACTTTAGTGGAAAAGAAAAAGACATTGAAAAAGTGAAATATACCTTAAGGGTAGACAATTTAATGGAGCAGAAATCAAGAAATAAAGACAAAATTATTAGAAAACTGATACCATATAAACTTATACTTTTAGGGAAGAAAATTATAATTGATAAGAAAAAAGATCTCGTGGAAGTGGATATAGGCCAATTTATTAATTGTGTTAATAATTCCTTAGATAATGAGCAAGAAAATCTGCATGAGTGTGCAATGAAAACTCCTTTTCACTACTATGATAGTGTCAGGGTGTGCGATAGGTGCTATGAGGTATACACGCTATTTGACTGCAATAAGAAAAAAACACCGGATTTTGAACCAAAAATTCCGTTAGTAAATATAACTAATCCATTTCCGTTGAGTTTTCTAAGCAAAAAAAACAGCATCACGTCAAGTAAGCTAAATTCTCCTCGTAGAAGTGTACTTTATCTTTCAAGCTCGCAGAAAGATAATATAAATGATTTATTGAATGATATGGATAATACACTGTTTGAAATAAAGTATGGGGAAAAAACAGCAAAATTGAAAAGGGCTGATGATATATCAAGGACAATTTCCCGCCAAAGAGCTCAATCTCAAAGCCAAGAATTGAGAAAAAAAGCTCCTTTAGAGACAGTAAAAGCTGAGATGTTTGACCATGATATTCTTACAAGTCAGCTTTTTCCTGACGCAAAATATTTTTTAAAAGTAAAAGTTCGGAGCAATAAGCATAGTCAATATTTACAGAAGTTGAAAGAGATGAATTTTTCCCGAGGAAAATTGCATCATTTTAGGGATAAAGTAACTAAAAAGTAACATTTATGTTAACATTTTATCAATATTTTGTTCATAAATATTTAAATAATCGAAAATCTTGATTTTATTTTATTTATTATACATATAATAAAAAGGGAATTTAAATTTATTAAAAAGAAAACTATTTTGTCAATATACCTTGACTTTAGGGTATTTGAAACGCTTTTTTTCTTAAGGGCAATCAAACTTGATTTTGAATTTTTTATAATGCATATCAAAATTCATTAGAATTACTCCAAATTAAATTCTAATAAAAATGTCACCATCACCAGAACTAAGCTAATTTTATTTTTATGAAGGTAAAATTTAAAATTTCTTGAAAAATAAAGAATCAGAGCTTCTGAGAATTTGATACATAGCATAGCTTTGCTCAAACGCATAAATACGCTACATTTATAGCTATAATTGAAAATTTTGATATTATGCAAGATTTAGGGCACTATGCAATTTTTATTTTCAGGTTACACAGAGTTGACATAATTTCCAAACGACTTTCTTGCTCCTTCAGATTTAAAAACAGACTTTTTAATATTATTATAAAAATTATTTTAAATAAAAATATTTTATATTTTTTATATTCATATAATTATCTTATATAGAATTGCTGGAATATATTCTAAATTTATTAATCATATTAAATTAGTTTTTTACAAAAATCTAAAGATTTCATCAGCATTTATTAGAGGGCAAATTAGAAAATGGTTGAATTATAATGAATATGAGTTCTTTTTTGTTCCGCCGGCTTCTTCCGGTCCGTTGTCTTTAAAGTCAGAAATGACTTCTCAGCCTTCAGACCCTGCCACATCCAGGCGTTTTACCCCGAATCTTTCAAACTGTCGATCGAGGAAAAACAGCCAGGACTTTAGACCTCGAGCTGACTCGAATTCATCAAGTGAAGAGCTGTCGACCTTTTGCTTAAAAAACCAAGATTATTACTTCGCCAAGCCTCCAGAACTCCGCAAGCACAGCCGCAGCCAAGATCAGCCAACTTCCCCCTTTGTCCTTTCAAAAAATTCCGAATATTACTTCAGACCAGGAACCGTATGCGAAGAGATGGCTATGGAAGAAGACGACTACTGAGAGCAAGCCAAAGAAATCGCCTGACAGCATGGAGGTGTTTGCCTCTCTTCTACTTGTGAAAACCCCCATTTCAGCCTTGTCTATCGATGCCGGATGGGACATGTTTGAGAATCCGCAGAGGTTTTATTGAGTGGACAATGATGCTGAGAATGTACTAAAAGTCTAGAAAAAGCCAAACTTTTTGCTGAGTCCAATGGAGGAGAGTGCTTAAATGAAGAAATGGACTTGATGCTGGAATTTAGATGTGCCCAAGGACACCAATGGAGAGCTGATTACTCTAACTCCCCCCCCCCCCCCTCCGTGAGCGAACAAAACCATTAGAAAAATCGCCATTTTTTGACCAAAAACCCACCCTCCGTGAGTGAACAAAAAAATTTTTTTTAATAGAAAAAATTTTAATGGAAAAAAATTTTGATATATAAGTGATAATTAGTATAATGAAATCTAGAGCTAATTCTGTTTAATTTTAAACAAATTGCGTTTTAAAAACATAAATTTTGCAAATTAAATTAATATTTGCTTCCCAATTTTTGCAAATTTAGGATTTTTTTAAATTTCGAAAAAAATATTTTTTATAAAATTTATATATAAATTTTTTTTAAAAAAAAAATTTAACCCCCCTCCGTGAGCGAACAAAATTTTTTTTGTTCGCTCACGGAGGGGGGGGGGGGGAGTAAGTATTTAAGCCAGAAGTGATGCCAGCAATGCAACTGCACAAGCAGGACCAGCAAAAAGCAGCAGAGACTGCTAGAACAGCAGAAAATCGAAGAAGAGCAAGCCAAATTGCAAGAAGAACTGTTTAAAGAAGCAAGACAACAAATGGAAAGAAATTTGGACATGGAGCATGCTAAGTCGTTAGTAATGGAAGAACAAATAGAAAATGACGCAAGGATCATGACTGAAATGTTTATGAGTTCCCACTCAGGAGATTGCAGTTATGAGCAAGCACTCGCTATATACAAAATTTTGTGTGCTCCAGAAAATTATGTATATGCAAAGTACTTTTCGAAGAATTTGGGCGAAGGGAATGTAAACAGCGCATATAGACAGCTTGCTAAATTATTGCATCCTGATAAGAACAAGCATCCTTTAGCAGGAGAAGCTTTTCTTAAAGTATGCAATGTATTTAGTACTGTCAATTTTAGTCAAACAAGCTAACTAATTGGTGATGCTTGAATAAGGTGATTTAGAAGTAAATTTTTTAATAATTAATAACACCCTCCTATTTGCTCAGAAACTGCAATGATTTCATCTCCGTTTTCTAATCCTAGTAGTTCAGCTGTGTGTCTGCCCATTATTCGCTCTCCTTGAAAAAGAAATCTAGTGGTAGTTATGATTATTCCAGCTTTTGCACAGTAAACCTCTATAAGTTTTCTCAAATGAGCCAATCTTTTTATTTTAAAAAACATTTCATTCCCATTTTGAGATCTTACTTTAAGCGTCACATACTCAGCTTGCTCTCGATGTCTTTCTTCTAACATTTATTCAATTTATTCCCTAATTTCTTATCAATCTCAATAATTTAATTTTGCAGACTTCTATTAAAATTTATTACGAAAATTATGATTCTTGAGAATTTACAGAATGAATCAAGTCATCTTCTTGTACATATGTAACAAATAGTGGGATTGGGTTTATTTCTTCTGAGTCGAGATTTGTTAAGACTAACCCCACAATATTAAAAATGTCACTTAGTGATGGGTCCTAGCACCTGCCTCGCAGGATGGACCCATGATCATGAGCTCAGTGAGAGAACTCGGCTTGAAGTGAAGAGGTTATTGCTGTGTCTGGCGTTGACTAGAGGAGCCCTAATGGGCTATTTAACTTTAACGGTTTGACGGTTAGGCCGGTTCACCTACCGTTTTTCAGAGCTGTTAAATTAGCTGAACCTCAAGAACAAGGGGACTTAACGCAAAATTTGCGAGAAAAATTCATTAAACTTAAACTTAAAGACTAACCCAAAAACAAAATCAGAAAATAAAATAAATTCCTCTTTGATTTCTGATTTCAATATGCCGTCTGAGAACTCAGCTGAGCTTATTTCAACTGAGATCTGCTCGTGACATCTTTTTACGTATTTCTCTTCACTCATGCCTTGATGAGTGATTTTATAGCCTTCAACCCATGGGATCTCCCATTTGCAGTATTTTTTGAAACTTGGAAGCCAAAGCTCAGCTAATTCACTTGGCAGTGCATTAATTTCTTTAAAAATATCTTCTACTTTAGTGAATAAGTCAAGGTCATCAGGCCAATATCCTTGCTTTACTTGAGCTGCTAGATTTTCAGATTTAATAATAAAAGTAAATATATCAGGAAGTGAGGTCGGAATTATAAAAATTTTGGCGGATTCTGTAGAAATTATCTTAAGGTTGTTTTTAAATTGAAAATAATCAAAATATTCGCTCCCTACCTTGTGAGAAAAATGATTATATGATGTCCAATTAAAAGAAAGATTTAATAAGGATAAAGAGTTCAGCCCATTTTCAGGTAAAACGCTATCATAGCCTTGGTCTTTTATATAGTCTAAAACATCTTCTGGTTTTTTGGATACTATGTTCCTTAGGTATTTAAATTCATATTCAACAGTATTCATATAACCAAGAAGATTTGATAGCTCATTTTGTAAAGGAATTTGGATTAATGAGAGCTTCTTAGGATTCTGGGTTCTGAAGAAAAGAGATAAAAGAGCATGGATTAAACAAATTCGATTACCAAATATCAAAACTTCTCTGCATTTTCGAGAATTGTAAGGAATAGGATCATCTTCAAAAGATAAGCTGCATACTGAGTTTATTATTGCATTTTCCTGGGGCCTTTCATCAGAATTCTTTGGTCTATCACTTTGCCGCAAAATTCCTAAATAGGACTCAGTCCCAATTTCTTCATCAATCTCTGTTTTTCACCTAAATTTAAAATCAAAAAATAAAGACTTCAACTCTTTGGGCATATCTTTAATTTGCCTTGGCCTTTCATTTACAAAATAAAGCCGAATTTCGTCACAGTCTTCACGATTTCATATTAAATTCAAAGCATGCTCCAGTATTAAATTAAAAGAAGAAAAATGAATGCAGGAAATATGCAGAATTATCACTTTTTTCGAAAATAATGAATTAGGTTCAATTGAAAATACCAATAAGCCTATAATTTTTTTCCTCTTTTTTATTCAATATCAGCTTGTATTTATCCCTGCTTTTGATTTTTCAACCAAAGCAGCTGCAGATGGGATATTTTCTTTAATAATTGAAGGCAAGTATTTATAATATTCATTCATAGCAGTTTGTATAAGATTTTCAGGTGTTTCTACTGGCTTAAATTCAACGTTTGCTAAGTACTCAAAAGCTTCTTCATTTGCAAAACTGAGATAACTCTGCGAAACTGTTTCATCTGTAGAAGGTGTATTATATGTAGGTGATTTTGGTGCTTCAAGTTGAGCGAAATTTTCAATTTCGCTGTCTGCAAATTCTTGAAGCCATTCATCTGAAATAATTTCTAAAATAAATGACTCAAAAATCATTTTTGATGTCATGTAATAAAATTTTTCGACTGATAAAATCTCGACACAAATAAGAGATAGTTTATGAGGGTTTGCTAGGTAAGGTTAGGATGAGTTAAGATAAGGAATTAGGCAGATGCGATGCAGTCACCAAACACCTTCTGTGCAGAAGTTTGGTCCGAAGCCACGAGAGCCTAGTTTGTTTATAAGTCTCCTCCTTGTCTTAAGATTCCAGTTTCGGATGGAGACTTTTGGATTTCTGCGGCTTGTGGGGCCTATTGGTAGTAACTTGATTCAAAGGATTCGCTCAGTGGAGTCCACCGGCTCCGAAGTGCCTTTCTTCGACAGCAAAAAATTGGCCTGGGCCTAAACACCTGCTTCTCGCTAGAGGAATGTGCAGGGATCCCAATGAAATTGGAGGATTCCTGCATTTCCAACCACAGTAATACACCTAAAATTTTCCCAGATACACATCTACTGAGTTTGCATTGATTCTCAGCTTGAAGTCTTTCTTAGATCGTTATGCTAATGGGATATATGGCGTACATGCCACAATTATAATGTATATGATGAGGTTTGCTAAATTTGAAATAATTTCTTCGTAAATAAACTCTGTAATCATTTTATTTTCATTAAATATTCTAGCTTCCTCATTAAGGGAATTTTTAGCTATAGAAAGGATCATTTCACTTGTGATATTTTCAAGAAACTCGTTTGTGTGAATTTTAATCAATAAAACCTTAAAAATATTCATTAAGTGGTTTCGGCAATAATTAGAAAGATATTCCATTATAAGTCTTTCTGAGATATCGTTGGAAATGATATCTATAATTTGGTTCTCAGTAGATATCATTTCATTTTTAATTTCCTTTGCAAATTTGTCGATCCTTTGGTCTTCAATAAACTGGCTTATTAGCTCTTTTGTTATTATTTCTGCAATCTCTTTGTTTATTTTATCATTTTTTTCTTCTGCTTTTTTAAGCTCACCTAGTAAAATATTTTCAGCGAGCTTAGCTAAATTAAATGATTTTTTGACGCAATCCCAAAATATTTGATTTGCGATTTTAACAGCTAAATCATTATCAAGTGTTTTCATTTTTTTAATTCTTTTTGCTTCATTTCTTTTTTTATCTTTAATTTCTTCTTTTATTAAATTTTTTGATATTTTAGCTAGTTTATAATCAAATTTCATTAGCAGATCATTGAAAATTTGTTCTGAAATAACTGGATAAATTTGTTTCTCATAAGATTTTTTTGCTATTTTTAAGCTAAATTCATTGCATATTGACTCCAAAAGATTAATTGAAATTTCATCAAAGCACAGTGCATCTTGTTGCATTTTGCTTTCAGCAGTAATCATTTGAGGCAAAATTTCCCCAATGAAATTTTGAATTAATTCTGCAGTCAATTCTTCGCTTATTTTTGAATTTGTTTCATCTTCCATTTTTATTTTAAAATATTCAGGATTAGCCATAGACCTAGTATTCCATCTCCTAAATACATAATGGGAAATTACTTCATTTTCTTTGATTAATTCTTCATTTATGATAATTTCTGCAAGCTTAACTCTATTCATCAAAATTTCAGGAAGCGGTATCAGCATTTTTGTTGTTTTTTTAGCAAAATAGCTACTTAATTCATTAATTTTTTCTGACATATCCCACTTCACATCTGAAGGGCAAATCAAAAACGGGTCACTTTGATCTGAAAAATAAAAATACTTGGCAAGCTCAGTTTTGCCTAAAAAATCCATATCACTTTTCATCCTTACAATATAATTTTCTCCATTTCAAATAAAAGGAATTCTCCTCACATTTCTAATATTCAAATTGCTGACTATCTGTGCATAAGCTAGCTGATCCCTTCAAATAATTATGCTTTCTATAGCACTTAAGCTCAGCACTCTATAATTTTGTAAAATTTCTGAAAAATTCATTAAAGCTCCCATTCTTTCTTCTTCACTGGACTTGTTAAATTCGTAGATTAAATCTTTGATATGCCAAATATTTTTTTCTCTTTCTTCTACTGATTTTATTGCAAATTGCACAGTTGCCTTGTTGCTTATGAGGTCGTTTAATTCTCTTGACATTAATGTGATGCTTTTGTGAGTCGGCAAACCAAATACACATTCTCTGTATAAAGATCTGAGGGATTCTGGGATATTTTTGAAATTTCACTCTGCTTCTAAATCATTTCTTATGCTGTTAAATAGGTCATTTTCTTCAGTTTCGAGATGCTTTTTGGGGAATTTTAATACGCCTGAGCTTGGGCGAGATTTTGATCTTTTTATGTGGAGAATTTCAGAATTTTGCTGCTTAATAGGAGAAACTTGATAGATTCGTCTAGCACGAGATCCGTCTCTTTGAGATTCATATCCAGGAGTCGTTGGACGAGGAGACTTTTTGGGTGATTTCTGATTAGATTTTACCTTAATTTTTAGTGAGTTGGGAGTTCTGGACCTCGCAATTCGCTTTCGAATTTTTTCAGGCATTTTATAATTAATTCTTGCTTTTACGATTTAAAATGTCAGTTAGGGGTATGACTCAGGTCTGCTTCCGAGCTCAGTGAGAGAAACTCACGACTTCTTGAGAGTTTTGGCTAAAGAGAATGGGTCTATACTGAGTCTGGTGTAGATCAGAGAGGTCCTAAGAAGCTTGGGGACAGAAACAGGTCGACATCTAGGCCCAATCCACCTACAGTTATTCAGAGCTGTGGTCCAAGTTGAGGTAGGAAGTGCGAGACTTGAAGAGTTTTCTTAAACTTAAATTCTTATTTCTACTTAATAATTACTCCTTTTAATAAATGATAAAAGACTATTTGCAATGCGCATAAGTGAATTAAAGATTTCAGTAAAAAAGTTTGAAACTGAGTGCAATTTTCCTTATGAAAGCGAGTTACTTAACTTTAACATGAAGATCGTATAAATATTTTGAAATTTTAGGAAACCTCATAACTATCAAACAAGTGATACTAATAATCATATAAACTGGAATTATATAGAATTTGAAATCTAGCTAAATTACTTGGCAAATTAAGATCATATCCCGCACCTACACTCCTTATACTTTGCTCCACACTTATAACAAAACTCATATCCACATCTGCATGTCATATGGTTGCAGCCTTTTGTCCTTTCAACCCAAAATTGGCATAAAATGCATTGCTTATACATCGCCCCTTTCACAAATTTTAAAAATTCAGCATCTCTAATATCCCCATTTGCAGCTCTAAATTCTTCACAGTTCAATTTTCTATGATATATCGACCTGCATTCTAAACAATACTTCTTTTTGCATACAGGGCATTTAAACCTTTTTGCGCAGTTTGGTATAAATATATAAGGACAATCAGCAGTTGGGCAGCATGAATATTCGCTCCCATGAGTTTCAACATGATTTTTAAACGAATAGTCCTCAAATTGTTGAAATATGTATTGTTCAAGCCTCGTTTTTATATCACTTGCATCAATTTCAGCTTTGCATAATTCTAGAGGGCAGAGAATAGGGAATTGCCTAGAATCTACTTTATTTGTGATATATCTGGATATACAGTGGTCATGAAAAATATGCTGGCATTGCACAAGAGGTTTAGAATTAGGATCTTCAATGTCATCTAGACATATAGGGCAGCTGATATGTTCAACCTCGGGCAGCTTTTTGGAAGATATGGATTTTAAATAGCTCCTTATTTCTTTGTAATATGGCTTGTCATTTTCACTTATCAAACGGCGGACAGCTTTAGAGCTTTTAGGCTGACTTAATTGAGATAATAGTGATTCTGCCTCTGCATAAAGACCTTCGTAAAGCTTGTATAGGATGAATCATTCAGCCCGCTCTCTAAGATGCTCATTCGCTTTAAAGTCATTTAATTTTTTAAAAAAATTTAAGGTTCAAAGAAGATCTTGATGATAAAGAGCTCTGGAAAATCCTAAAACATAAGCTTGGGGTATAGTAATAGCTGATTCTATTGAATTTAAGGAATCTATCTCATAGAAAAAGTCGAAGAGCTCATCCATTTTTTATAGATAAATCGCAATTAAGGGTAATATGGATACCTATAGGCATACTTAATAATTTTAGCTTTTATCTGCGCTAAAAAGGAATTAATTAAATATTCATGGAAAATTTAATTAGTTTTACGTTAAAATTTTTATTATTAAAATTAGAAATTTAACAAGCTCAAAAGACCTCAATTAAGCATTTTCTAAAGAATACAAGTTCTCAATAAATATATTTATTCAAATTAAAGGAAAATTATAAAAATGAAAGTCATTCGAATTAAACCAACTAGAAATCACGGACTTAATGCACCAATAAATATTTATCAAGTTCTAATCCCCTTCCATTTGTGAGCAAAACCATTGAAAACCTTATTTTTTAGAATATTTGGCTCATTCTGCTGCCCTGCATTTAAAATATTACAAATAAATTAATTTTTTTTCCAATCTGTAAGTTTGGGCTCTCACGGAGAGAGGAAGTAAGCTGAATTGTAAACCTCTTCAACATCATTATCAGCAGCCTAATTCTAATCCCCACAATGAATTTACCATCAAAAGTAAAATCCACCTAGATCATATACACAATCCTCTATTCCACTACTCAAATCATTTCAATAATCTACGCCTATCGAGCAACTATTTGTGATCCCACAGATCCTTTATTACTTTCTTACCGAGAAAAAGTAAAACGCGGTGAAAGACCTGAAGCAGTAAGCTACCAAGCCTTTTGCACGATCTGCAATTGCAATGTCAGTTTAAAAGCGAAACACTGTGGCCAATGTAACCGATGTGTCGATAATTTCGACCATCACTGCAAGTGGCTTAACAATTGTATCGGCCAAAAGAATTATCATTTATTCACCCAGCTAATTGCTATCCTTGAAATAAATATGCTTACTATCACAGCATTTGGACTTACACAGCTGTGCGAATATTATGTAAATTATGATGAATATGTAGATAAAGTTAGTGATATTAGTAGCAGCATAAACCCTAAAAGCTTTTTGATACTGACGTTTATTGTGACAATTGAAGCTGCGATAATTGCATTCCTGACAGCGCATTTATTAGCCCTCCATGTGTGATTAAAAATGAAAGGAATGACGACATTTGAGTATATATTGAGCAGGAGGAATAAAAAGCAAAAATTGACACAAGTAGGGGATGCGAAGGATACGACGGTTAATATTGGGGATCATGAGATTTCTTATAATTATACTGAACCCCCGAAAACTCCACTTCATGAAAAGAAATCTTTCCCGGAAATCATTACTGAAGAACAGTATGCTGGGGGTGAAGAAATTGATATATCGAAGCTGCATACTGTTTTGTCACCGACCTTTTCGCATAATACGGAGAGGACGACAGAAAATGTATTTAATTAAATTTTATAAATTCAGTGAAGTCTCTTTACTGGAAGATTATGATATAAAGGATTAGCTTAAAGTTTTGGATAAATAAAGGTAAACATATAAGGAACTAATCTTGTGAATTTCGCTAGAGATGCTTGAAAGTTGGCACTTTCCACATATTTTTTCCGTCATTTAAAGATATTAAATATTATTTAGATGGTTGAAAGATCGGCATCAGCCTCAGCAATTGCAGGATTTGCTGGTTCTTTAGCATCATCTTCATTATATCCTTTGGAAATGATAAAAGTCCGTCTTATTGCATCCGGAGTTAAGAGTATCCACTCTATTAACTACAGAAATTCTTACCATGTATTAAAATCGATGGTTTCCTCACAGGGAATTTTATCTCTTTACAAAGGAGCTCACATAAGTTTCGCCTCAAGCTTCGCATGGACTCTTTATTTTTACATATATGAAAAAGCTAAGAAAATACACCCAAAATGGTTTAAAGAAGAACACTCAGAACTCTACCTTTTTACAGTAGCGGCTGAGGCAGCAATTTTAAGCAGGCTTATCACTAACCCTCTATGGGTCGTTAAAACCAGAGTTATGCTACAAAACAACTCCAAAAGCTGGTATGGGGACACATTTGAAGCAATTAAGAAAATTTATAGGTTAGATGGACTTAAAGGGTTCTATTTTGGGCTTATCCCTGGATTGGTTTTGTGCTCAAACGGTGCTTTTCAGCTATATCTCTATGAGCATCTCAAAGAGATTCTAAACTCCCAAGACAGCTCCACTAAAACAGCAATTTCTGGAGGAATCAGTAAACTACTAACCACACTAGTCCTGTATCCTATGCAGTCCACAATGATCAGACTTCAGCAAGAGCAGTACCCTAGCTATTTGAATACAAAGGCTCAGGATTTACCTAAAGATATCAAAGAAGAGAGATTTTTTAAAGGCTTTAAAAATTGCATCCTAAAAACTTTCAAAAATGAAGGGTATAGAGGATTTTATCGTGGGCTGTCGTTACAGTTAGCAAGGATTTTGCCTTCAAACGCATTATTTTTTGTAGTTTACGAAAAAATATATGGACTTGTGTTAGATAGAGAAAAATAAACTTAACTAACTGCAATTAAAATAAAACCTTTCTGCTGTTTCTATAGCTTAAAGAGATGCTCACAGGCTTCAGCCATTTTTTCTCTTTGGGTTACTATTATCCATCTCAAAATTCTATTTATAAAATGAATATTCAAGGACTGCCCAGTCATTCTTTTCATAATGAAACTGATGAGGAGTCAATATATAAACTCACAAAAAGTACAATAAAGCTGAAAACTGACCTAGAAGCATGCACTATTTTGAATAAAGTAACATCCACCTAGGATCTGATTTCAAAAATCCAAGGAGATTTCAAGCAATCTGAGCTTCTTATTACCAAGCTAAAAAACGAGAAAATCCAGCTAAAGCAAGCTTTATCTGATACTTATAATAAGAAAGAGGAGCTTTATTCAAAAATGCTTGAATATCGTGAAGAGCTGAATGTTGAAAAAAAGAAAAATCAAGATCTGCTAATAAAACTGGACGAAATTGGGGAAATTAAAGCTCATATACATGAGCTTAATTCAATTATGACTGCTAAAGAGCAGCAATGTGAAGGAATTATCAAAGAAAATCACTCTTTAAGAGAAAATCTTGAAAAATTAGAAATTGAAGCTTCAAGCTGAAAAGAACTTTATGAAGCCAACAAGACAAAGGACACAAAATATGCTTCAGCTAAAGATAATGGAGAACTTGATATAGAAATTCATAATGTCTGGAACTCAGCTATAAGAAAACTTCAGAAAGATTCTGAATTTTACAGTATCTTTAAAAAAAATGCGTCAGGGCTAAGCTATTTTTCAGAGCTTTTAGAAGGGGGGAAATGAAAAGAAGCTTTATTTAGAAGCTTATGCATACTAAATGACATATTAACCCCTCAAGAAATCAATGTATCTAAATCTGTCCAAACAACTGAAGAAGAAACCAAACCAAAAGTTGTCCACAAAATGCAAAAAACTCCTACATTTACAGTATCTGAAATAAAGCAAATAAAAATTGACGCCAAAAGTGACTGTTCCTCACAAGTCCATTATCCTCGGTCTGAAACTCCTGAGCATATCATAAAAGACAGAGAAGAGCTGCTTCAGAGCTTGGCAAAGCAAAACCAAAAGCTTTTGCAATTAAATCAACAAATATATGATACAATGTCTCAAGAAAATGGAGGCACAGCCAAGAAAAGGTCAAAATGGAGCGGTGTTAATTCTGAAGCAAGCCTTTCAGCTGAAAAATATGAATTATTTGACGAAAAAGAATGCGTTAAAATTGATAGGGATATGAAAATGTATTATGATGATATTGAAAACGAGTGAAGCTACCCTAGTTCTGAAGACTCAGATGAGAAAAGCAAAAATCAACGTAAAGGAGTTTCCCGGATTAAGCAATTTCCATCAAAACCTAATTAATTATAGGAAAATCTTAAATTTAAATTAAACAATACAGCAGCATTTTTTAGGGTTTTTGTCAGGCAATCTTGCTGGCATTATCCAGCTTGTATATGTTTTAGGAAGCGGTTTGCAGCAATAAATGTATATGTTTGATAAGCATCCTTTGCTGAATGGGCTTCCATAGCTTTTAGGCCACTTTTTTAGATATGATATTCTTTCCCAAGAAATATTTTCCCAAGTAGTTTGATTTGTGATAGCAAGATACGTATGAAAAACAAGCAGACAAGTAACAAAAAATAGAAAAAAGGGGAGAACTTGCTAAATCTTGCTAAAAAAATCAAGTAAATGCCAAATCAATTGGTGAAAATGCTAACAAAATGCAAGTAAAAGCTAAAAATGTCTAAAATGGGCTAATTTTCGTCAAATATTTTAGCTATCAGACTAAAATGCGCTAAAAATAAAAAATAAAAATGCTAAAAAACGGCTAAAAAATTTTTTTTTGTCTAAAATGTGCGAAAATGCTAAATTAATAGGAGGCCGCGCTACACTTCACCATTAAAGGAGTAAGGGAAAAAATTATATAAGTTTTTTAAATAATTAATAGAGTCAATTAGGATTAATAAGAAATGCAATATTAATATATACAAATATTAAACAGATATTATAATAGTAAGTATTTAATTTTCTATATGCATCTAATATAATGCAAAAGCATTAATAGCGTATGATATACTAAAATTGAGAAAAAATTTTTAGCGCAAATTTTATTTTGGGAAAATAAGTATTTGAGTACGGAAAAGTATGCATATTTTGCATAGAAACACTGCTTGTACTTTTTTGCGCGAAATTGAAATAAATTCATATAAAATGCACTATTTATCAATAAATTTCTTTAATGCATGCAATTGAGTTAAAACGATTAAGTATAGCAATGAATAGATTAAATTGGGTATAGCAAAACGCGTTTTCTTTATTTTATTATATTATATAATATCATTTTGCTTAACTTAATAAAAAGTTTTAAATAGATGAAAAAATTAGCAAAGAAACTTACCTGATTTAACAACTAGCAAATGCTTATAGAAAAATATACTATATGATTATATAATATTAAAATGACAAATTGGATTAAATTTATCAAAAGCTAAAGGAAATTTCAAATCATTATAAGAAGCTTCACTCCCCCCCCCCCCCCCGTGAGCGAACAAAACCATTAGAAAAATCGCCATTTTTTGACCAAAAACCCACCCTCGTGAGTGAACAAAAATTTTTTAATAGAAAAAATTTTTTAATGGAAAAAAATTTTTGATATATAAGTGATAATTAGTATAATGAAATCTAGAGCTAATTCTGTTTAATTTTAAACAAATTGCGTTTTAAAACATAAATTTTGCAAATTAAATTAATATTTGCTTCCCAATTTTTGCAAATTAGGATTTTTTTAATTTCGAAAAAAAATATTTTTTATAAAATTTATATATAAATTTTTTTTAAAAAAAAAAAATTAACCCCCCTCCGTGAGCGAACAAAATTTTTTTGTTCGCTCACGGAGGGGGGGGGGGGGGAGTCAGTAAAAATTAAAATTTATCAAAACAATTCCAATTAAAAAATAGATTGTATAAAAAATTAGAAAAAAGGTTATGGTAAAACATTATTCTAGGTTTACTGTACGAAAGAGCATAACTTTAATGCAAAGGTATATTGGCTTATGTATGATAAGCAACCCTGAATTGACTTTAAAAATTAGAATAAATAAAAGTAATTCAATATAGGTTAGAATTAATTAATTAATTATTTTTATTACAATAATGGATAAATATAATATATAAATACTTATAGCAATGAAAGGCATTACACCTCTTTCGTTTGGCATGAAGCTTATACTCAAATTTGCATCAACAATACTTATTATTATAGAAGAAAGAATTCACATGCAAATTTTTCTTATTATTACTGTGTCAATAAAATTGCCGCGCATCTTGTAGGATTCAAAACCCTGTAAAAAACGCAGTAAGGGCAGAAATTCTTAAGGACCATTCTAATCATGAAGAAATTCCACAAGAAAATCCAAAAGTTAATGTTCAGCAAGAGCAAGAGCTCATTTCTATTTTAAAAACATATAGTTTCACAATCTCCTTATTTGAATAATGAAGAGGTAGAATTAATTTTAAAAAGAGAGAGCATTCATCATTAATGGCAGGCATTAATAAAACAAGTCTTAAGCAAAAATTTAAAAGAAATCAAACTAGAATGTGGCTGAAATGATTGGTATACGGCATCATTTCAATTCTCAACAATAAAAGATATAGGAATTCAATTTCTTCGCAATCATGGAAGTCTTAATATTAACAACAAAAATTATAAGTTCATTGTATGAGCAACAGATTGGCAGTTGTCACAGCTGAGGCAAGCCACTCACTGATATATTGATGGAACTTTCAAGATTTTGCCTCAAGGAGAATTTAGCCAACTACTAGTTATAGCAATATATGATCCAGTATCCCAAAAAAAGAATGCCTGGCTGCTTTGCAGCTATGAGTTCAAGAGAAAAATGATTATATTCATATATTTTTACACTTATAAAATTTCATATATCCATATCAGGATTTCCAATGAAGTTGAGTTCTATAACAATTGATTTTGAGCAAGCATTGATATCTAGCATAAAGGAGTCTTTTCCAAATCAAAGAATTATTGGCTGCTTTTATCACCTTAATAAAAGCTTGAAAAGAAAAGCAAAAGCACTTGGGATTTACAAAAAGAAAGAGGCATCAGAACTGAGAAATAAAACTGATCAAATTATTAAAAGAATAGAAAAACTATGCTATAAAATAGATGATTTGGAGGTAGAGGTTGCAAATATTGAAAAAGAATTCATTGAATCTGAATCACTTATGAAATTCATAAATTACTTCAAGAAAACCTGATTAAAATATTTTCGAGATAACACTCTTAATTATAGCTCTATAGAAGAGCGTAGATATAGATCTAATTCCATGCTCGAAGGGATTAATGGAGAAATTAAGAAGTTTTTCAAGGATAAAGGTGTCAATTTCATGTGAAGTGATTTCATATTAGCACTCCAAAATCTATATAAGTACTTTTATGATGATATAATTGCTTGCGGCAATAAACCTGTTGTCTTTAGATCAAAAGCAAAGATACTAGAAGGCGAATCTCAAAAAACAAATTGAAAATGACTCAGAAACTGAGTCAACTAGTCAAAATTCAACGCATTCTAATCTTGAAATGCCAGAAGAAGAAAAAGGAAAGAATGAAAAGAATAAAAAAGAAAATAAAATTGATGAAGAAGATGATGAAGATGAAAATTCAGATATTGATGAAAAAGCAACATTCATGACTCCACTAAAGAAAGAAGATCTTAACAGGTAAGAGAATAGTCAAGAGTCCTTTCAATCCTAAACCCGTTAAAAGAAAAGTTGTGCCAGTAAGCGATTTTCAGTGAATCCGATGGAAAAATAGTTCATGCAGATTCGACAGCTTTTTTACTGTTGTCACTTTATCAATCTTAAACCATGAACAAAATATATTTGATGCATATTTAGAAGATGAAAGGATTAGAGATTTGGTGGAGACTATGGAAGCTTTAAACAATCAATCTAATGATGCAATAGAAAAATTTTTGGAAAAAGCATAAGCCATTACAGAGTGCTAAAAACTTGGAAGGACATATTAGTTCACTGTTTTACATGCTTTCTGTATGCAAAGAATTTAGGATTTCTTATGAGAGCTATTTATCATGTGATTGCTGCGGTTTCCAAGGCCAAAAAATTCGGACTGAACTAAGTTCTTTACTAGAATTTTGCATTGATTCAGATATTAAAGAATTCAAAGAATTCCATCAATTTTTAATTTATAGATTTAGAAATACATTTCAGCAATGTTCACATTGTAAAGGCGTAGCAGACTGCAAAATCACGCTAATTGAGTGGGCCTATGTATTTGATAATCTTCGCAGAAAATGATCACTATGAAGTAGAAATTAATGATCTAAATTATTTACATGGAAATGATGCGAAATATGATTTTAGTTCAGCAATATTATATAAAAACGGGCATTTTACAAGTATCATTAAGGATCCTAAGATTAATAAAGGTGGAGAATTTTATTTCTTAAACGGATTATATTATCATGATGGAATGATGTTTGAAGGGAAAATTATGAAGCTAGATGATTCAATAAAGAGTCAGATTACTGAAGAAAAACCCATATATTTTAATTTATAAAAGATTTCAATAAAATTAGAATTAAATTAGCTATTACTTTATTTCATTTTTCTTTTTGATTCGAACTTGTATTGGACTGATATTTATCCAATCTAATTTTTATCCTATAAGAGGACATTATACTTTATATTAAATTTATTTTCTTTGATACTCTAAATCCAGATTCATACATTATCATAATTTTTCTTTCTAATCACAATCAATATTTTTCAATTCGAACAATTTTTTAATTATTCATTTTTTAAATGGGAAATTTTTGGATAAATTTTAATTTTACTGAAGCTTCTTATAATTATATGAAATTTCCTTTAGCTTTTGATAAATTTAATCCAATTTGTCATTTTAATATTATATAATCATATAGTATATTTTGCTATAAGCATTTGCTAGTTGTTAAATCAGGTAAGTTTCTTTGCTAATTTTTTCATCTATTTAAAACTTTTTATCAAGTTAAGCAAAATGATATTATATAATATAATAAAATAAAGAAAACGCGTTTTGCTATACCCAATTTAATCTATTCATTGCTATACTTAATCATTTTAACTCAATTGCATGCATTAAAGAAATTTATTGATAAATAGTGCATTTTATATGAATTTATTTCAATTTTCGCGCAAAAAAGTACAAGCAGTGTTTCTATGCTAAATATGCATACTTTTCCGTACTCAAATACTTATTTTCTCAAAATAAAACTGCGCTAAAAATTTTTTCTCAATTTTAGTATATCATACGTTATTAATGTTTTTGCATTATATTAGATGCATATAGAAGATTAAATACTTACTATTATAATATCTGTTTAATATTTGTATATATTAATATTGCATTTCTTATTAATCCTAATTGACTCTATTAATTATTTAAAAAACTAATATAATTTTTTTTTCCTTACTCCTTTAATGGTGAAGTGTAGCGCGGCCTCCTATTAATTTAGCATTTTCGCACATTTTAGACAAAAAAAATTTTTTTAGCCGTTTTTTAGCATTTATTTTTTATTTTAGCGCATTTTAGTCTGATAGCTAAAATATTTGACGAAAATTAGCCCATTTTAGACATTTTTAGCTTTTACTTGCATTTTGTTAGCATTTCCACCAATTGATTTGGCATTACTTGATTTTTTTTTAGCAAGATTTAGCAAGTTCTCCGAAAAAAGGCAATAAAAACTGATGCAAAAATTCTTGCCCAATTTACCTTCATTCATTCTACTAGCCCAGTCCTTTCCTCAAAGCTTTGAAACAGCCAAAATCCAGACCATCATATAAGTCCACATTCCACAACTAAATAAGCTCAGAACTGTCTCCTATTTCTTTCTCCAATACAAATCCCAAGCCATGGACAATGATGGTCGTGTAGCGCTACACATTTATCACAATCCCTACAATGTTTTGCCCTCATTGGCTGTTCCAACGTGCAAACTGTACAAAATCTGGTTTCTGTTATAATAACATCTTCAAATTTTTGGAATTTGTTTTCTCCTACCGCGCTTACGTCTGTCGGAGACTGAGGAGAATAGTCTTCTTCTTCAATATCATCGACGATTGGTTTATTTCCTAACATATCAATCTGCAATGGTCCCGAGTTTTCGTCTTCCAGCTCTTTTTCTGCCTGGCTGCCAGCTCTTCCTTGGATGTTTTTTTCAGTGTCATCATGTTCAGTGCTCATATATCTTTGATGGCATTTTGATGGAGAAATATAGAAATTTGGGTCTGATATAGGGGCTTTCCCGATATGGCCCGATAAGGGCTGTGGGTTCTCCGTGGAATCCCTCTGTTGGTCAAACCACTAGAGGGATTCCATGGAGAACCCACGGCCCTTATCCGGCTATATAGGGAAAACACCTATAATTCAACGAATCCTACAGATGCTTGAGATTTATGGTTTGAGGTGATTTCTATCGATGGCTGCTCTGTAGGGTGCACAGGGTTTTGGTCTGAAAGGATCTTAATTGCGTGCACAAACCCAGGGTCTCTGTAGCTCGTATTGATATAACAGCTAAAAACAATAAAGACTAGAACCCTAAATATAGGTTACCAATACAGTATTGTAGCTGACTTATCGAATTCTACCAGTTCTGGAACACTCAAAAGCATAGGGGCAATTACTATTGCGTGCAGCAGCAATATATAGATAGGAGCCTTTGAATCTAGTTATAAATTACGGTGACAGTGCATATTTAATCAATTAATGCTGATTTATTTAAAGTTTTGTAATTTTCATCGCCTTAAAAGGGTTAGCAAACTTGTCAGGGATCACCTGGGTGTGCTCAAGCATGCTTCTAATATATTCCGGATTCGTGATAAATCCATCAGGTTTTTTCATTTTTTCTAAAAAATCGGCTTTGGAGACTGTTGGCTGTTCTTGTAGAAAATATTTACTCTTCCATTTGTATTTATTTAAAGTTTAATAGAACTTCATTATAATCTTATTACTTATGAACATGGACGCTTAAATGGGATAATTAATTAAAAGAGTAGGATTTCCAATATTTTTGCATGACTAAAGAGGGATTTAGCAAGCTTGACCTCTAAGCTGGACATTCTCTCTAGAAGTTTGCTTTTCCAGGTTGTCAATCGATTTGTATTGTAAAACTCAACTTTTATCGCAGAATCTAAAGTAACTATAAACGAACACTGCAGGATTGTCTTTACCATATCTTTGATAGAGGCAAGAGGGAGAACTTCTGAGGCGTCTTTGTCGAAGGCAAACCAAAGGGCTTCCCCTTTTTCACGGTCAGTGCCTTTTCCAAATAGAATTGCTGAGACTAACAATTTTGCTATGCTGGTTGTTGGGGAGGTTGAAAGAAATGACGATAAGGCTTCTTTATATTCACGCTTAAGCTGCAGATCAAGAGAATGCTGAAATTGAGAAATTACGATCTCTGGAAGATTGACTGCATTGGAAATTCTTCTGATAGCAATTTCGTAGCTGGAAATTGAATATTTGTTGAGTCCAAGCTTCTTTTCGTATTGGGAAAGTTTTTGGTTCTCTACAGTGTGCTTGTCATATGGGTCTTTGGAATGATTGCAACCCATTTATGATTATAATTTTTTTATCCTAATTAATGATTTTTAAATTATCAAAAAGTGTATTTGATTACTGGAATTGCAGTTCTAACATATTATTCTAAGCCTTCACAAAAAACTATTATGGCTAAGTGTCTTCTTCCTTCAACGATTTTTCACCACTTATATTTTGATAAAGGCCTTTTCTGAGGCAGCCTTTCGACCTGCTTGTTGGTCAATAGTGACTGTAGAGAAACTTTATCAAATGATATCATGGTAATCTTTAACTAATGTTCCGTTTCAAGCTTGAGGAATTCTTTCAAAGCGCAAGGGCCTTTAGCAGTCATTTTATCCCATTTTGAAAAGCTTTCTGGATAAGCACTACTAGTGCATAAAGAATAGGTTTGCAAGCCATGCTTCTTGCTCTTATTGGTGGGTATGGCTTACTAACTCAGTGTTTAATAAGAAGTAAAGATAGAAAATTTTATAAAGGCGGTTGCTTTTTTAAATCTAACACAAAATTCATTTAACGAGAGCAATAGTAATTAAAAAGATTAAATAATTAATTGAGGATTAAGTAAAAATAAGATTTGCAAAGGCATTTCTGAATTGCTCTGCATTATCATTTTGGTAAGCTTGATATTCATATAGATTAAATGGTGTGATAAATTGAGCCGAACTCTTAACTCGTATAGCTAGTGTCTTATCGAGGTCGGAGACCTTGAAAAAGGGAAAGTAGCTCGTGATGTGTAAATCTGGCCAAATTTTACTGGGGCTATCCTGAGGCGTTTTTTCCTTATTGGTATGTGTGGCAGGATTTTAGAAAGATTTCTCCCTGGAGTGTAAGAGGACATAACTTGTCTAAATGAGTACTTAAAAAGCAGCGCGATTTCAAGCGTTGCATCCTGGGCTTCAAGTTTTTATATTATTTGACAGCTTACCTGACAATTCAATTCTTGGAACTTTTCATTGAAGGCAACTTGCTGACTCGATAAAAGGGACTTTTAGAGAGTGACTGCAAGCTCTTGTCCTGAATGAGTAACAATGCAAAACCTGAGCAGTGGTGGAGCATCATGAAAGAATAAGGTCTTCATGTACCTGACATGTTGCTTCTCTTATCAGTATAATTAACGATTAACAGCTTGATAGCCAGCTGAGTCTTCAATAGAAAAGGTGTAGACAAAGAACTTTTATAGGCCTAGGTGGGGATTATTGAGCTATTCTATCCCTTGGACTTCTTTAAAGACCACAAAATCTCCATCTTCATAGGTATGCCTTTTTTCTTTCTGAACTGCCATTATTCCGGAATTTTCTTGGCTGATGCCACTTATAAGGAATGATCTGGCGTCTTCTCTGTCTTATCAAAGCATATAAAGTCAGGCCCAAAATCAGCAAATCCATAGTCAGAATCACCCCAAGCTTCATAAGAAATAAATCTGATTGCTAGAGAATAGTTCAGCAGAAATGATCAGTTCTCGAAATAGTTTCTGGGTCGGATTCTGATATGAAATTACATTGAATTTTGATAAAGAATATTCCTCTAATGTACCTTCTTTGAATTTCGCTTTTATGTGGGTTAGGCTCTTGGAGCTTATAAATTGTTGCTGGCCTAGAGAACAGGTTCCGATGCTCTCTAAAGAAGATAAAAGCTATTTATCAAGCCATTTATACACTATGACGAGAGAATTTTGACAGTTTCGACCCATCTCTTCGGAGACCTGAGATCAAGGCTTTTATTTGGATAAGCTTTCCCATCATCTCCATATCAAATGTCCTAATTTAGGAGAATATAGTTTGGAATCATGCCTGACATTATTTATTAATTTCTTTAACTAATGGTAATTACTTTCTTATTATGGCAGTTTAAATAAGAAATTTTGCATCTGCCTTAATTTAAGATTTATTTCTCATTTTCTGTATGAGAGAATTGATCAAAGTTTAAATAATAATTAGTGTTTGTATATAAAATTAATAATTTAATTTCAATATAAATATTGACAATTATTTTTGTTTAATTAAATATTCTAAATTTTTTTAGCACATTAGAGCATGTCAAATAAAATTTTTAAATAGAATAATTTTCGATAATCTAAATAGGTTTCTTACAGAATATTATTTGCATAAGATTACAAAATATATAAACAGTAGCTTTAGTTAATTAAGTTATTTGAGATATTAAACTTTTGATGAAGTACTTCTCGTACATCACCCACTCGCTGCAATTCATCAAGAATCTCAACAGTCCTGTACAATTCTCTGTCCATCATATCATTATACCACGAAGAAATAGGAATCCCATTGTCAGGCTGCAGTGAAAAAGCTTGCACTGAGTTATCAACAATGATAACTTCTCTTAAGTCTCGCCCTAGCATTCTTAAGTCTTTAAGGAAGACTCCATTTGACTCTGCACAGTTTTCTCTGTAAAGTCTATATTTCATAAGTTTCATGTCTGGGTCTATAAATTTTAAGACTTGTTCTGCGTAGCATTTATGGGAAGCAGTAAATAAAACGACTTCAAATCTTTGTGATACTGCTTCTAAGAATCGGAATAATCCAGGTCTGAAGCTCACATAAATGGAGCATGGTCTGTCTTGATAAAAAATGTTTACTATTAAATTTGCTGTAGAAAAAGGTTTTATTTCACTATGGACTAAAGTCTCATCTAAATCTAGCACTAAAGTCTGCCTATGTGTTCGTCTAGTTTTCATTGGTAAAAGCGGTTTTATTGACAACGGCTGTTGTTCTTCAGCGACAAAAGACTGAGAAGGAATATCTTCTGGTTCAGTTTCTGTGTCCATTGTTTGTGAGTCATCTTCTATTTCGACCTCAACATTTTCACAATTTATTCCACAAGGAATATTTTTGCATGTTTGGATTTGGTAAACTGTCTGCGAAGCCTCTGAAAATCTAGCTGAAGTAATGAGGTCGCATCCAGCAGATTTTACTAGGTTAAACTGTTCTTGGTTGTCTATTTCCATTTTTTAAATTATATTTGAGGAAATATTGCTGATAAGTTATGGATATTTTTTATCAGTAATGGGAGTTTGATTCTTAAAACACTATAAAAACTTAGTTTTATCGAGAAATGTCTAGATCTATTGATGTTCTGAAGTTTCTATAATTATTCTGAGCAGAATAAAACATAATTTGCTAAATAATGTTTCGATATATTAAAATATTAAATCATAGACATTCAGCTTATATGTTATTTTAAATTAGAATTTATCTGAAATTTGTTTGCTAATCGAAATTATCCTCAAAATTTGCCAGAAATTAATGATAATAATTTCCATTTCTTAACGGTTTTATTCATTTATAAATAATAATTACTAACTCCCTCCCCCCCCTCCGTGAGCGAACAAAACCATTAGAAAAATCGCCATTTTTTGACCAAAAACCCACCCTCCCGTGAGTGAACAAAAATTTTTTTAATAGAAAAAATTTTAATGGAAAAAAATTTTGATATATAAGTGATAATTAGTATAATGAAATCTAGAGCTAATTCTGTTTAATTTTAAACAAATTGCGTTTTAAAACATAAATTTTGCAAATTAAATTAATATTTGCTTCCCAATTTTTGCAAATTAGGATTTTTTTAAATTTCGAAAAAAATATTTTTTATAAAATTTATATATAAATTTTTTTTAAAAAAAAAAATTAACCCCCCTCCGTGAGCGAACAAAATTTTTTTGTTCGCTCACGGAGGGGGGGGGGGAGTAAGTTTTAGAAAATCAAACTTATATATTTATTCAATTAAGATAATTATATATTTTTATATACGTGATTTATCGGGAACCATTTTTATAAAAGATTTTTTTGTTATCAATTCGAAATGTGCTGAAAGTATTGACAAAATGAAAATTGCATAGTTTTTTAATAGTTAATCATATTTTAACATAAATATGCTTCTTTTTAATAAATTTGGAAAATTAATTAATAATAGCGCTGATCAAATGTTTTCAACTTATATTGAATATACTTCAAATATATAAAAAAATTAAAAAAAAAATTTTAAATTTTATTTCTTTAAATTCTATTATGAGAATGAAAAATTTTCCTAATTTCCTCTATATTTTCTTTATTTCAATATATTTTCTTCATAAATATCTTTAATAGCGCCATTTAAATTTCTATTAAAATCAATATGAATTTTAAGACACCTATAGCTATAATATTTCATATTTATAGAGTCAGCATAATTAACAAAAAAATTATTAATTCTCTATTATTAGCTTTAAATTTAAGTTTAAAGGATGAAAATTGATATACTTTGCTTTTGGTTAATTTTTGAATTTTAGGAATTTATGAGTATTTCTTTAATCCAAGAGTTTTTGTTATTGAATATGAAGATGCCCCAAAGCAGCCTTGAGCTCTAACTGAACCTTGAAAAAACTACCTTTCTACCTTATATCCCTATCTGTGGGCGAGCAAACCATTGGAAATCTCTATTTATTAGGAAAAATGGACCCTTCCATGAGCGAACAAAAAATTTTTTATGAAAAATATTTTAATATATAAATGATAATTACTATAATGAAACCTCTATCATCCTGCTTAAACATAATTTACAAATTAAATTAATATTTGCTTACTCCCCCCCCCCCCTCCGTGAGCGAACAAAACCATTAGAAAAATCGCCATTTTTTGACCAAAAACCCACCCTCCGTGAGTGAACAAAAATTTTTTTTAATAGAAAAAATTTTAATGGAAAAAAATTTTGATATATAAGTGATAATTAGTATAATGAAATCTAGAGCTAATTCTTTTTAATTTTAAACAAATTGCGTTTTAAAACATAAATTTTGCAAATTAAATTAATATTTGCTTCCCAATTTTTGCAAATTAGGATTTTTTTTAAATTTCGAAAAAAAATATTTTTTATAAAATTTATATATAAATTTTTTTTAAAAAAAAAAAATTAACCCCCTCCGTGAGCGAACAAAATTTTTTTTTTGTTCGCTCACGGAGGGGGGGGGGGGAGTTAGAAATTACTGTATTTGGATTTTTTAATTTTGAAAAAAAATTTAATAAAACAAAAACAATTGACCCAACTGGTGAGCAACATTTTTTGCTCATTCAAGAAGGGAAGAAGTTAGAACTAAAAATTAAGCATCAAAACATAGTCAACGACAACAATTATTGCGAATATGTTATGAACTACCAGCAAGACCATCTTATCACATTAGACCAAGACGGTCTGCCTATAAAGCAGCAAAGAATAATTTTTTCAGATTTCAATAACAATACATTCCCCAAAAAAATTTTAAATCGAATTTCCACACTCTCCATGACTGAGCATTTTACAAGAATGAACCCAGAAAGGCACCCTTACGAAAAGTTGAAGCCTAATATCAATCTATTTTTCCATCACGAACCCTTATGACACGAATTTCATGAAATTGGAAAACATTTCTTATGCCAAGGACAAAGATATAATCATATTCCTGGCAATGAAAATATAAATTATAAGGACACAACTATAAACACCTTTAGGAATTATACGAAACATTATGTTGGGAGAATGCAGTGCTTTAATCCATGGATGGTAATGCCATATAGCTTGGATTTAAGTGACGAAAATCAATGCAAAGAATTTTTTAATAGGCTAAATGACGATAAAGACCGTGAAGGAGTGAATTGGGTTGTGAAAAAAAGCAGATATAGCCATAATGGACAAGGAATCCAACTTATTGATTCAAAAACTGCACATTTAGCTTTAAAAGAGTATGACTACGGAAATAAATGCAATGAAGCTGCTGGATTTCTTGCTCAAAAATATATAAAGTATCCGTTTCTGATTAATGGGAAAAAGTTTGATTTTAGGGCTTATATGTTTATAGCGAGCATGGACCCACTAATAATTCTTTATCATGATGGATTTGCGAGGATAACTCTTGATGATTATAACTCGACGTCTGGTGATAGATCAAAACATTTGACTAACTTAGATGTAGCACAAGGATTTTTAGAATCAAAAAATGTCACGGGAAAAGAAAAAGAAGAAGCGCTGATTGACCAAGGGTGGAGTTATCAGCATCTTGAAGAATATTTGATAGAAAATAACTTAATCCCTCTTTCAATAACAAATATTTTTAATTTATTATATTCTTAAATAATTATTTAAAAATAGGAAAGATTAGTAAAAAAAGGATGAATGGATTCTTACCTCAGAGCCTCAATAAAGCGCGCAATGTTTCATATAGTCAGAATGAACCTATCAAAGCTTTTAAAGCACCCAGGAGTGTTTGAAATAATGGGCTTTGACTTCATATTAGATCAAAATCTACATCTGTGGTTCTTGGAAGCAAACTTAACTCCTTGTATCACAGAAAAAAACGAAATGAAAAAAGAGCTCAACACAAAATTCATCAAAGATGTAGTAGACTTAGAATATGCCTTACTCTATGGTGCTGATTTTAATAAAATTTTCAGCAGGACTAATTTCCAATGGATTTATGATGGCAGAAAGAAAGGTATGGATCGATATCACGATTTGATTACTAAAGACTGCTTATAAAGATTAATAAAGATAAATAATATGAATAAACTCTTATTAAATTAAATAAATTAATTAAACGATCAAAAGGCCATAAGCGGGTAAGCCCGCAAGCCTTTGACTCGCTCATAGCCGCATCCATATACCTCTGAGCTCGAATGAGGAGAATTGAAGATACCATTTTTGGATTTCCAGCCTGAACCACCTGTCCAAGAGAGCAGCTCCCTTGGGCAGAGCACATCTGTAGGGTGCTTCTTCATGGTAACGACAAGGAAAAAGCAGGTTATAGGCAAAACCTGTCGAGCCCATTTGGCTACGAACAGGAAACCCTTCGGGGATAAACAAGCCTGAAGGTCTACTTCAAAGGGGATAGATACCCTGTTTTCAGTCATCAGGATGGCTCCTACCTGCTCCATAGTAGTGCGCTTTGGATTCCAGTTTCAGCTCGTCACTATTTTATTTCTTAAACTTTTATTAGGAATTTTTCTTTTATTTGCAGTAGCTTTTGAAGAAATACAGCAGCCTTCAGGGGAATGTGAAGATGATCCAGACTGTAAAGCTTATGCTGATGCTTTAACAGATGCCCAAGAGCCAACAAAAGAAAAAATTGTAAAAGATTTAGTAGCAATTAAAACTGATAACTCTGATCTTACTTTTGATAAGGACGGAAATGTACTTATGGTTATATCTGATCGGATAGATTATTATCCTTACTCCTCTCTTGTTTAGCTATAAGGATATTTGCTTGTATATTTAAAAAATATATTTCTGTGCTGTAAAACAATATTTTGTGACTTACACTATGTAGCGCAGGGCTTTTTTGGCTCAAGTTCCAGCCAAAAAAGCCCCGTGCTACATAGTGTAAATCACTATAAATTTGTAGATATTATAATAGGAAAATCTAATTTAATTTTAAAATTATGTTTTAGAATGTAATTTATCCTAATATAATATAATATGCTAAATCTCATTACTACAATTAAATGTAAATTTTTCATGCAAAAAAAGTAAATATTAGACAAATTCGATTTCTACAAAATAGGATTTTTCCCTTTTGAAGCCAAGAGGAGGGAGCTATAACTCTGGAGATAAATTTGAGCTTAAAGAAGACACAATGCTCACTGTGTATCCTTTTTTGCAGGAAGAGTGTAAAACGTATACTTTTTATAAAACAAAAAGGGTCATTCAAGCTTTAGGATTTCCCCCAGACTCTGATATGACAGGAATGATAGAGGTTTATGTAGATTTAAAGAAAATTTTCAGAGGATGCCCAGATCCTGAAATTTCTGATAAGGAGTGCCAATTAGATATACAAATGAAAGGTCAGGTTAATCAGACCGATAATAGTCCTTGGTATTGCGCGGAATCATTTGATCAGGTATCGCAAAAGTGAGTGAAAATTAACACTGAGCACTTTAAGTGGCTTTGTAACAAATTTGAAAAATCTTTTAGAAACGAAGAAATTTATGATAATTCGCCATGGACAGGATTAGGGTATACATATGATTGGGGAAGCAAGATTTAAATTAATTAAAATTATCGAAAAGCTCCATTTAGGTCTTCACATGTTTCATTTATCTCCTTAACCATCTTCTCCTTGCTTTTAAGTTTTTTCGGGTCTAGATTGCGATTCGTCATTGATGAAGGCTTGTTCTCCCACATGACCAGGCGCTCGGTCACCGAATGTGGTAAATAGCGTTCATTTTCCAGAAAATTCGAAAAATAAAATTTCTGGTCACCTGTTGGCAGAAATGGAAACTCAAAACCAGGATAAACATCTGCTATTGATCCCATTGGCCAAGGGAATCTCACTGGTTTTGCAGAAACTTCCTTTCCAATCTTGAGCATCAGTATTCTTCGAGGTAAAACCTTGACCTGGATGTGGCATGTGGTTGGCTGTCCGACATTGCACTTGGCCGGTTCGGGTAGAACCAGGCCAGATGCACATTACCGAAATCAATCCTCTTTTCAGCAAGGTCCCGGGATTGCCCAGCTACAAGGGTGGGGAGGCTCGTCACACCTTTGAATATATGATTGTGGAAACGAAGATCATGTGGGATTTAGTGAATTTTTCGCATTTGAAGGGACTACAGTCATTTTTAATAAAAAGAAGACAATAGATGAGTATTGCTATGCATAAATAAAAACCTAAGTCTTGTAAATTGATTTTAAAAAATATGATTCTATAAAAATTAGAAGATTTACAGAAATAGAAATATATAATTAAAATGGTGGCACGTGTCAACCCACCCTCTTGGCGTAATATCCAGATCTTATGGCTACAGCGAATTGAGATGGACTCCGAGCTTAGAATCAAGTGCAGGCTCAACAGATGTGTATCCGAGTAGGTTTTGGCTGCTTTCCTGTGGTTTGAAATGGAGGTGCTCAGCAACGTCCTTTGGATCCGAGGACACATGGGCATTTCTCTACTGAGAAACTGGGGGTTTCGGCTCAGGCTACAGGAGAATAGTCTTTTCCTGTAGCTGTCGAAGGAAGGCAATTTGGCACCCAACGACTCCTACTCCAATCGCCCGTAGCAAGGCCGCAGAAATCCATAAGTACTCAAGACTGAAGCCGCAAGCAGGAGACAAAAGGCACCGGAAGACATCCACCTTTGGGGAAAAGACTCTCTGGCTGGATTAAAAAATATGATGAACCTCCCGTACTGGAGGTCTTTGGTGACTGCGTCACCATTATGGCTAACGCCTGGCTTTAATAATTTAACCTAAAGGAAATGGTGGATCAGAACTTCCAAGCTATCGTTATTGACAACGGTTCAGGAATGTGTAAGACTGGTTGAGCCGGCGACGATTGTCCAAGAGCTATCTTCCCAAGCATTTGCGGTCGCCCAATAGTGCCTGTAGTCATTAAATCAACTGAATAAAAAGAAGTCTATATTTGTAATGAAGCACAAGCTTATAGAGGTATTCTCGATATTCAATATGCAATTGAGCACGGCATTGCTACTAATTGGGATGATATGGAAAGAATCTGGCATCATGCTTTCTTCAACAAATTAAGAGTTCCAACTGACGAGCACCCAGTCCTCATCACTGAACCTCCTCTGAACCCTAAGAACAACAGAGAAAAGATGACCGAAATCATGTTCGAAAAATTCAATATCCCTGCTTTCTACGTCGCCATCCAAGCTGTGCTGGCATTATATAGCTCTTGCAGAACAACTGGTATAGTCGTGGATTAGGCGACGGAGTCACCAGCGTCGTCCCAATCTTAGAAGGCTACGTTCCGCCTCATGCAATTCAAAGAACCGACTTCGCCGGTCGTGACTTGACCTTGCATTTAGTTAGTCTTATGACTGAGAGAGGCCGCAGCTCAGCTGAAATCGAAATCGTCAAAGATATCAAAGAGAAACTCTGCTATGTTGCTTTGGACTTTAAAGAAGAAACAACAAAGCTAGAACTTTTTCAGAAATCAAGAGGAACTACGAGATGCCTGACGGAAGTGCAGTAACACTTGGAAGTGAAAGATTTAAAGTTCCAGAAGCTTTATTCCAGCCAAGCTTGTTAGAGCTTGATATTGACGTCATGAGCGAGGCTACTTATAAATCAATCATGAAATGTGACGAGGATATCTGAAGTGACTTATACGGAAACGTTGTCATGAATAGAGGGTCTACCATGTTTCCAGGAATTGCTGAAAGACTCAAAAAAGAACTTGTAGAAAAGGCACCACTAAGTATGAAAATTAAAGTTGTTGCACCACCTGAAAGAAAATACTCAGTCTGGATTGAAGGGTCAATTCTCTGCTCACTTTCAAGCTTCCAACAGATGTGGATCACCAAGGCTGATTATGATGAAGAAAGAGCTAGCATTGCTCACCGCAAATGCTTCTAAGTATGCTAATTTATCATTAACCTAAAGAAATAGAAATTAACAATAAAATATTCAGAATGGCTAAAAATATTTAAATCCATTTTTTATGGAATTTATTATATTTTTCGTTTTAATAAATTATATAAAACCATTCATCAGATCTAAATTTAGCTATCTTTGAACACCATAAACACTATTTTAATTAGTTTTCCTATTATATGAATATATTGATTCTTTCGGTCTTTATAAACCTAAATAGCTATAGCAGCTTTAAATTCACTCCCCCAAACCCTCCGCGAGCGAGCAAAACCATTGGAAAAATCACTATTTTTTGCCCGAAAACCCTTCCTCAGTGAGCGAACAAATTTTTTTTAATATAAATATTTTTTATGAAAAAATTTTTGATATATAAATGATAAATATTATACGAAATCTCTAGCTAATTCTGATTAATTTTAAACAGCTTGCGTTTTAAAATATAAATTTTGCAAATTAAATTAATTTTTCTTCTCAATTTTTACAAATTGGAATTTTTTTAAATTTTGAAAAAAATTTTCGAAAAAATTTATATATAAATTTTTTAAAAAAAAAATCAACCCCCTCCCCGAGCAAACAAAATTTTTTGTTCGCTCACGGAGAGAGAGGAGTTAATAAACCGTTTCACATCGAGCACTTGCTTGATATGCTTGCTGATATCTCTATCTCTTTATTCTTTTAAAATCCTTTCTACCAAAGTTTTTTTCTGATAACTCCTCTATTTCTCTTACAAAATGGCTTAATAAAGTTATAAAATATGGCCGAAAACGACTTGCATAATCAGCCAATTCTCAAGGCAATTTGTTCTAATAACGTAGTTCTGGAAGGGTATTATTAACATAGAAGATCCAAAACAATTCCAGCTGCCATCCTAATCAAGGATGAATATATTGTGGAAATAATCGAATTACTCGACACCTCTCAAATTCCAGAAATTATGCCCAGCTACTCTGAATACACATGAATTAGTTATGGAGACCTTTACATCAGCCCCGGCATAATTGATTTAAATGCGTGTTTTAACGAAGAAGTCAGTTCAGAGCTTGAAGGAGATGCTTTAGACAGTGAAAACCCAGTAAATCCTTCAATGATTGAAGATTGAGAAGGCTATGAGTCAGGGACTAAAGCTTCAATATCAGGAGGAGTCACTACAGTTATTGAATCTCCTTCTCTTGCAAGATCTACATTAACAACATTAAATGACTATCTTATGAAGCTTAATAACTTGAGCAATATAAATTTGTATTGTGATATTGGGTTTTTAGCATTTATTGATCCTAATAGCCTCAGTGAAATAAGTAACTTATCTCGCTCAGGTATTGTAGGGTTTAAAGTTTACATGATACCTCCTTTTGGAGACCTCAAGTATTTTACTACTGAAAACTTGCCTTTACTTTTTCAAGAAGTCAGCCAATATCCGAAGCCACTTTTTATACACCCTGAGAAAACTTCAGAAAGATTCCTTTATATGAGTTCACCTTTTAGGCAATACGGGTTAGATAGAAGAAAAATCAGGACAATGCCAGCTGCACTTTTATTTGCAGCGTCATTGCCTGAGGAATCTTCGCCGACTTCTTCTGATTCTTCAAGCTCGTCTTCGTCAAGCTCAAGTGGTGAAGGCGAACTTGAAGAAAAAAAGAAGTTTGAAGGAAAAATCAAAAAAGAAAGCGAAAATTTTGAGTGCTTAATTAAAGCAGAAATTAACACTTATTCACATTCAGGAAACACCATTTACAACTCAGAAGTTAAAAACCCCCAAGAAACCCCAGAAATTCCTAAATTTTCAATAAATCAAACAAATTTTAATAATTTTAGGTCTCCGGATTTTGAACAAAATTTTTTGAAACCTACACAGATTAAGCCAGTTAACCCAGAATTAAGAAGAAACTCGTGGAGGCCTCCACCAATAGACTGTGAAAAAATAGAGCACCCAGACCAAGCAGATTATCGAGTTTTCCTTTCAAATTCTCCTCAGCAATGAGAAACAAATGGAATCCAAAGCGTTTTATCCGAATTAAAAAATTTTCCAAATGTTAAAGTCCACATCTCCTCAGTCAGCTCTGCAAATGCAGTCTACGCGGTTCGAAAAGCCAAACTTGAGTGCCCAGAGCTATCACTCACATGTGAGACTTGCGGAATTTATATACACTTTTCAATGAACCATATAAGAGATGGTGATACAAGATTTAAAGCACATCCTCCTATAAGAGAAGAAAAAAATAGGCAACTTATATTGGATTTACTGAGAATGGGAAGCATAGACACAGTGACATCTTATCATCAGCCAGTCAAGCCTGCATTAAAGAATATCAGTAATGGGGATTTTCAAAAAGCAGTTAGTGGAGTAAGCAGCATTGGACTTACTTTACAATGCTGCTATGGAGCTATTAGAAATGACCCAAGAGAAGATGCTGTGAAATTGGCACAGATTTTAAGCATGAAACCAGCAGAAATTGCAGGCATTGAGAAAGTGAAAGGGAGCATAGCAGTTGGAAAGTTTGCGGATTTTTTTGTGTGGAATCCTTATGAGACTGATGTGCAGAATTGTCAGTATATGAGACATCCTTCTGTGTCTCCTTTTGTGGGCGAAAGATTGGCAGGAAAAGTCTTAGTTACCTATCTTACATCGGTCATTATTTAGAAAGGGAAATTTTTTAGTTTTATTTTAGTTTCGTTTGTGTATTTATTAAATTTTTTTGGTGAAAAATAAATGAAAAAGAATTTAGAGGAAAAATTGCTTAATCCTCTCTGTAAGAGAACAAAACATTGGAAAAATCCATTTTTGAGAAATTAACTCCTCCACAATCGAGAAAAAAAATTTTTTAATAAATACTTTGATATATATATATAGTAATATTATAATGAAATATCTAGATAATTTTATTATAGATAAATATATATTTTGTAGTCAGATTCTCCATATTTGTTGTTAGTTAATCAATTAGTGCTTAAAATCACAAATTTTATAAATTAAATCAGATTTTTCCTTCAAAATTGATTTTAAAAAATTTATATGAAAACAAAAAATTTTTTGCTTGCGGAGGGGGGTTATAGAGAAGGAGAATTCTTCGCAAACGGAAGAGCATTATAAACGTCCTTTTAGTTGTAAATTAAAATTGCATTACTTTTTAAACTTTATCTATTTAAAAATAAATACTCTAATATTTCTAATAAACATAAGATTTCTTATAAGTTATCCAAAAACCTCATTTTTGTCAAAGTATTGTGAATTTTATGGATATTCATGTGGATAGTCAAAAAATTAATCAAAGTATCTTTTCTTTTTTCAAAAAGTTGAATTAGCTAAATTCAATATTTCTCAATCTAAAATCTAGCAATAATTATTATAAATTTAAAATGCTATCATCACATTACGCTCATTACTCTGCTCAATAATTTTACTATTAAAATTTATTTTGTTAATAAATTTCTTCTGGTTTGCGGTGAGCGCTTATAAAATGGTGCTGTTCACATATGCCAAACAACTCGGCCGTGCTGTAGTATTGAAAAAGGCTTCAACCCTCCTCTTCAAACCCTCATTTGTGTTCAGTGCCTGCCGCCAATTCGCAACCCCGCTCTCTGCCTTTTCCTTTAGAAGATTCAATACTTTCTCAGGGGACAATTCTGAGAGCTCCACATCAGAAGCTACACAAACCTCTTTCAGCAACCCAGACACCGATCTTTTCATTGGAGGTGTTGACTGGTCAGCTACCGAAGAAGACATAAAAGGATTTTTCAAAAATACTGGAGGAGTCGTCGGTGTAAGAATTCCAAAAAACCTCGAAGGAAAGTCAAGAGGTTTTGCCTTTGTCAGATTCGAAAACGCTGAAAAAGCTAAAGCAGGCCTTCAGTTAAGTGGAAAAGAATTTCTGGGAAGAATGGTCAGAGTGTCAAAGATTGGGGAGAAAAACGAGTCAGTAAGCTGCAAAATATTTGTCGCAAATATTAGCAACACAATTTCTAACGAAATGCTTACCCAGCATTTCTCGCAGTACGGACAAGTTCTCACCTCAAAAATTGTGACTGATTATGAAGGGAAACCTAAAGGATTTGGCTTTATTGAGTTTGCTGCTCCTGAAGAAGCCAAAAAAGCATTGAGTTCTTCAGGTGTTGAGCTTGATGGGAGAGCTTTAGTGGTAAACGCGTCGCTGCCAAAATCAAAATTACCGAGACGTGACAGTGGAGATAGATATGAAAAAAGAGACTTTGCTGGAAGAGAAAATAGGTATGGGGATAGTGAAAGAGAAAATAGGTATGGGGATTTTGAAAGAGAAGATAGAGGTTATGGAAGAAAAGATAATTATGATAGAAGAGATTATGGTAGAAGAGATGATAGAGAAGGCTATGGGAGAAAAAGAGATTATTAAATAAATCCTTCGGTCTTGAAATTAGAAAAAATATTAGTAAAATTTCTGGGGTAAACAGATAAAAATAATAAATTTTATATAAATAGTTTTGACCTTATTTAATTGAGGGAGTGTATATAGAACGCTATAAACGGTTGGAAGCTGAATCGGTTATATTTTAAATTATTTTCATAAAAATAAATTAAAATTAAAAGTATCTCATCAATTTATATTTTTCATTTTTAAAATATTTATAAATTTATTTTATTATAAAAAAAAATTACTAAAAAAAAAACATTCAACCTTTTTTAAATTGAAACAGGATTTTTTGTTCCAATTAAAGGTGGGAGTAAGTAATTATTGGATAATATTTGGTTTGGCTTTTTAAGTGAAATAGGTTAATAACTTCAGTAGAATAAGCAAGGTTTAGTATCGTAAGTGAGGATTAGGACATTAATATTAATATAGGATAGGCTAGTTATATTAATTCAATGGGCTTTCTTGCTCGAGAGATAGGTCAGAATTCATAAAAAATCATACTAGGTGCATGAAATTTTATGCCGCCTTGGTCTCAAATTCTGAGTCTGAGAACTCCATATGAAGAAATCTTTATTCTCTATAATATACACAGCTATCGGTTTTATTGATGCGGTTAGATATCAAAATTGGATTTATTTATTGTGCTTATGGTTTAATAAATCTTCTTTTAAAATTTATGAGTTATCTTATTATATACATTTTCATTTTAAGAGATAGCCTTATAGAAAAGTTATTTCTATTGGTGAGCCTATTAACTAGGAAGTAATAATAATATTTTTTCTTATAATTTATAAAAATATTTTTCATGATATAACTAAAATAAATCACTAAACCAGCGAAGAACTGTAAATCTATTGTGTCACCATTTTTCATCATGATCACTGCAATTTTTATCCAAATTCTAAGAGAGATATTAATAATATAAAAATGCTAGTTGGTTTTTGGCAACTTCTGATTATTTTCATAAATATAATCCTATCCTTATCTCTTGATCCCACTACTGTTGTCTTAGCTATGAATACAGGAGGCATTACTTATGTCTCAGCATATGGCTTTACATATTCCCCTGATACTTATAATACCCAAGGCAGTTCCTATTTTGATGGATCTCAAACAATTACTCAAACACTAAATGGCTATATTTATCAATCAGAAAGGGTTTCGACTGGAACTTGAGGATATGACATCCCAGTGAGTCCAGATGGGACTTATGTACTGATTCTCGAATTTGCTGAAATTTTTTGAACAGTGACTGGAAACATGTAAGGTCTTTTGGTCAAAGTTTTTACTTGGAGACATAATCTCGTCAATATCTCGTTAATATTTAGTCAAAACTTTTTTCTCACTCCACTTGTTTATATTGGAGCAAAGCATCAGTAAAATTTGCAATTTTTAGGTGCCTTAGAACTTTTGCTTGGCTAAAATAACGCTTTCCAATTAAATGATTTCTAGAAAAATCTACATCAATATTGCTAATAAATCCGATCGATTAATATGCCCAGGAGCAAAAATCATAAGCCTGGAAAAAGAGTATTCTCAATAGCCATTGGAAGCTATACAGCTTATTCGAATTTGGACTTAGTTGTTGTCGCAGGCAAAAATGCAGCTTATGATGTGTTTATTGAATTTACACTTTTAAGCGGAAATGTTTATATTGGAGGAAATTTAATTTCTGGAGCATTTTCTGGCGGAGTTCTTAATGTCAGGTTTATTCCAATCATAGATAATGCTAAGATTGCTGGATTACTTTTAATAAAGGGAAATTGTGCTATAGCAGACAATTGCAACCAGTGCTACACAGATAGATGCGCTGTGTGGAATAACCCAACATTGACATGCAATACTTGTATTGCAAATGCGCAGAAAGTTAGTGGTGTATGCACATGTGGGACAAATGCTTATTGGGTTTATACAACGAGAACCTGTGATAAATGTGACAATTTATGCAATGTTTGTACTGGCTCAATAAACTTTTTATGCACAACCTGCGTATCTCCAAATGTTCTAGTTTCAAGTGTATGTTTAAGAGCATGCCCTTATGGATTCGGCTCGCCTTGCACTTCAGTATCTACAGCTGTCATTGATCAAAATTTTGCTAATTATTTTTTAGGAATTTATGGCCTATTTCAAACAGGAACAAGTTCAAGTAGCTATCAATTTTTTATTACCCCAGAAACAGTAGATCCAATTCCAGCTAAAAGTAGAGGACTTTATTTTTCTGGTGGATCATACCTTCAAGCATCTGCTGTCTACATTTCGCTTAATTTTTCAATTGGCTTTTGGGTTTTAATACTATCAGGCTCAGGAGATATTCTGACAAAGAATAAAATAACAATATCTGCGAATGGTGTTCTGACTATTATATTAGAGAGTAGACTAGAAGCAACTACAACAGTAACAACTCCAGCTTTAAATCCATCAAACTTAGCTTGGGCCTATATTTCTTTTACTAGTTCATTTTCTTCATCAACTATATCTCTCGTCCCTTTTAGCTTGTCTCAGCTATTGTTACTCATCTAAACCAAAATCCATAAACTAGACAATCAGCCCAGACCAATGCAAGCTATAACCAGCCCTTAGCTATATATCAAACCACTATTACCCCATATTTAAACAATTCCCCACAAACTTCTATTACCACTAATCAATACATATATAGAGACGAAATAAACAATAAAATAATTCTCGGTAAAAGCTCGTCAACCAATTTTTTAGGCTACATTTATCAATTCACTCTATGAAATGCAGCAGTCTCCAACTTTAATACTCAATACTCAGATCAAATTTGTGGCACTCTATCATATGCAAACTGCCTTTGGACTTGCCCTTTGTCTCAATGGATGGACGGAGCAACTCCTACAAACTGTAATTCATGCACAAATGGGTGTGTTAGAAGCGGATCGTGCAATGTTTGCTTTGACCCTCTTTGCAGCAAATGTACAGGATTTTTAACAGGTCTTTGCACACAATGTGTTTCTAATGCGTCTGGAACTCCTTGCACTTGCAATGCTGGATATGTGGCTTCTACTGATGGGTTTTCTTGTGTGCAATGCTTTACAGGATGTGCATCATGCACTGGAGGTCTTTATTATCAATACAGCAGCTTTTCATCGAGCTATTATTTATTGAAAACAATGTGTCTTACTTATTGTCCTACTGGTTATACAGCTGATTCGTCAGGCCATGCTTGCACATTATCAGCGTCAAATCCTTTAAGTATTTCACTTCAGAATTTAATTCAATTAGATACAGTTAGTGGATTGTCTGTAGGATCTTCAAATTCAAATAAATATCCTTCTTGGGAGGTAACAGATCCGATTCCTTCAATTTATCGAGGATACTATTTTTCAGGAAATAATTATATGAGTCTTGCATCATTCACTATAAGTCCATATTTCTCATTACTAATCTGAGTAAAGCCTCTTAGTGATGGATATTTATTTATGAAATTCGATGGTACTACAAAATACTCTTATATAAATTTTGCCTCAGGAATATCTGGAATTAATCTTAGGCTTTCAGATTCGACTTCAGTTAGCATAAGTAGCTCTCCAAGTCTGTCTTCAAGTTGGCATTATATAGCATTTACTGGTGGACTTACTTCAGGACAGACTGTTCTTACCCGATCAATAGATGGAGGAACGCCAACATCAACTACTTCTGCCTCCTCAGCATATTATAAAGATCTTGGAACACTTTACATTGGAAAAGACAGTACAGCATCTGGAGGTTTTACTGGATTTTTATGAAGTTTCAAAATTTATAATGACAATACCTACACATCTCAGGAATGAATAACATCAGGCTGTCCTGGATGCACAGCGTGCCCTTCTGAGCTTAAATGTCCTGATAGTTGTCCATTTGGACAGTTTTATTCAAGTTCTTGTGTTTCTTGTGAAGGTTCATGTCCTTATGGTTGCAGATCAACACTCACCTGCAGACTGTGCAAAGACAAAGAATGCCTAGCATGCACAGCTTTTGATGGTTCTTGCACATCCTGCATAACAAATGCCAGTATTTCAGGGACTACGTGCGTTTGCAATAATAATGCTTTTTGGGAACAAAGCTCAGACGGATGCCAAATCTGCGATAATTTATGCACTCAATGTCAAACAAACCAATATTTTTTATGCACAACTTGTGGATCTTATTATCTCGTTTCAAATATTTGTTTAAGAGCCTGCCCATATGGATTTACAAGTCCATGTGTAATAGTCACCTCGCCTGTGATCGATGCGACATTCAATGGGGACTTTCAAGGAACTTATACTGGTTTTATTACCGGGACAAGCACAAGCTTCTATCAGTTCTTCAACTCACCTGAAGCAGTGGATCCTATCCCCGCGAAACAAAGAGGTCTATATTTCAAAGGAAGTCAATATTTAATATCAAGTGATAACATTTATCTTTCTCATAGTTTCTCGATGGGTTTCTGGACTTACGTCATTTCTTCAGGAGATATTTTATCCAATTCAATAATTACTGTAGAGTCATCTGGCTCTATAAAAATTACACTAGAAAGCCCATCAGAGACAGCTTCATCACAAACACTATCAAGCACTCCTTTTACTATGTGAAAATACTTACTCCCCCACTTCGTGAGCGAACACGAATTTCGTTCAGTAATTTTTTTTCGGATTTTACAATTTGCGAAAATTTGAAAGATTAATTTAATTTGTAAAGTTATGTCTTAAAATTGCAAGCTGATTAAAATTAAATATAATTAGCTAGAGACTTCATTATAATAATTATTATGTTTTTTATAGAATTTTTTGTTCCTAAAAATAGCGATGTTTTATTCGCTTACTGAGGGAGGGAGAGTTATCATTTGCATGTTCATTTGACAATCCGACAGTAATAACTACTTTAACTGTTTATAATAACAATGTTTCTGTTGCATCATCTACTTACAATACTCTAATTTATAGAGATCAGGTTAATCAAAAAATCAAAATAGGTGGCAGCTCATCATCGTATTTCACAGGGTTTATCTACAAATATCAACTTTGGAATGTTGCTATTTCTGATTTTTCAGCACAGCTCAATGAAATTTGTGGGTCTGGCTTATTAGCTACTTGCCTATGGGGATGCGATATAAGTAAATACTGATATTCAGCAGCATGCCATAGTTGCGATTCTACTTGTACTTTGGGATGCACGAGAAGTGGATCTTGTAATATTTGTGATGACCCCCTTTGCAGCGTGTGTGCTGGATTTGATGCAAATAAGTGCACTACTTGTGTTTCTCATGCCCATGGCTCGCCTTGCAGTTGTGATTTAGATTATTACTCATCTCCAGATGGGTTTTCTTGCTTGCCTTGCTTTACTGGATGCTCTATTTGCACATCATCACATTATAACCAATGCTCGGCTTGCGACTCAACATATTATTTTTTAAATGTTATATGTGATACACAATGCCCAACCGGTTATAGTCAAAACACAGGCACGAATAAATGTGACTTAGTGAATAGTTTAGTTGTAGATTTAGAATTGGATGATTATATAGTGCTTGACACTTTATCAGGGTTTAATGTTGGAAACCTCAATACAAATGTTTATCCTGTGATTGATTCAAACGATCCCATTCCTTCAATTAGCCGTGGATACTATTTCACTGGACAAAGTCACATGACTAGCTCTTTAATTTTTAGTCCTTATTTCTCTATTATGCTTTGGGTTAAGGTTATTGACCAGGGAGTTTTAATTGAAAAATACTATGGAGCTTCTCAATATTTAGTTGTTAAAACTGACAGCAGCGGCTATCCAAATTTCAATTTATTACTTAAAGATGGATCATCTCTTAACGCAGCTACGCTACAAAATTTATTTTTTGATTGGCATTACTTGTCATTTTCTGGATCAATTAATGCAGATGGGACTTATAGTTCTTATAGTTATATAGACTCATTTCTTCTCAAAACAGTTACTTCAATATCCAAAACTTATCTAAGAGACAGCATTACTGGAACGCTAGTGGTTGGGTTTTGCCTACCTCGTCCGGAAATGAAGACTTAGTGTTTTCCCAATGGACTTTCTGGAAAAAGGCTTTTACCCTTAGATATTACTAGTACCGATGACGAAGGCATAGTCGGTGCCGATACTAGCTAGGAAGTTTATCCAAAGCTGGAAATCTAGTCACTCAGCAGCTGTCAAATCCCAAACATGTATAATCCAAGGTTCCGAGACAGAATTAAAAGTTAGACCAAAGCCGAGGAGAGCTATCTCTGGTGGAAAATGCTGACATACCCAGGGAGATTTGCTAGCTGCTGAGCAAGTCTTCTATGAAGATTCGTTTCGGGTGGGACGTAAAAGGAGGAAGAGCTCTAATCTATAATTCATGTTAATATTGATACTGGAACGCTACTTATTGGCTTTGATAATGCGCCACAGACTGGCTTCAAAGGATTCCTATGGAGTTTAAGGAAATAAAATGGTGACGTATAACGGAGTTGAGCTCCGAGGCGTCTCACCCATTTTGGGCAAGGCAGGGCTCCACAAATCCATTCGACCGAAGTATGACCTGGATGGGGTCTAGTAGGGCATGGAGAAGGAGTCTCTTCCTCCCCGGGTGAAGTTTTATTTCTCCTCCGTAGGTTTACCCAGCCCAGGCTGGGTTTTGTCCTACCACCTAGTTCTTCTCTGTCGGGACTAGCGGAGCGTCCAGACGCGGGCGGAGAACCCAGGTGGGCTAACCCTTGGGTTCGAGTAGTTCAGACCGAAAAAACCAAGTAAGCAATGGGAAGAGGAATTTCCCGCTTGGAGCCGAGACAGGGCAAAGGCTAGTGTGGCAAACGCTTATGGCCAGTTTAACACAATTTAACTAACTAACTATGGAGTTTAAAAATATATAATGATGAAACTCATGCTAATTCCGACTGAACAACTACGACTTGCACTGCAAATCCTTGCACAAGTTGCCCGATTGGAGATTTCTGTCCAAGCTCTTGCTCATTGACGAATTATCCAGATAGCACTGCATGTGATCCATGCAAAACATCATGCTCTAATGGGTGTAGAAGCAATCTAGCATGCACACTTTGCAGAGAAAAAGAATGCTATAAATGCACATCTTTTACACAAAAGTGCTTAAGCTGTATAACAAATGCGGGATTTGTAGGAGATTCATGCCAATGCAACCTAAATGCTTATTGGAATGGAAGCACAGAGACATGTGATCTTTGCCACACAATTTGCTCTATATGCTCTGGACCATCTTTCACTGAATGCATTCAATGTGGGACTTCATTGTTTATGCTATCAAATATTTGCTTGGAATTTTGTCCTTCAGGATACTCTGTAGCTGGTAATCAATGCAACTTATCAAATGATTTAGTATTCGGCTTAAGACTCAGCCAGATAAAAGATATACAGGTTGTCCAATGATGGCGCTCAAGGCGCCATCATCGGGCAACACCAGAAAAGGGCTCCACACGGGAATGGATTCCACGTGTGTAGCCCTTTTCGCGAGGATCCTCCACATGGAACCCATTTCACGTGTGAAGCCCCTTTCTGGTTTTGCCCGATGATGGCACATTGAACGCCATCATCGGGCATTTATTATACAGTTTATGACTCAATAGGAAACGTTGCTTTTCAAACTGGTAATGATAATAACTTTTACCCATTTTATACAGCCGAAGACCCATACGCTGCAGAACTGAGAGGATACTATTTTAGAGGAACCTCCTTCATGAAATCAATTGATAGTCCCCCCTCCTTAACTTTTGGAGCAGAATTCACTATTGCAGCATGAATAAATCCAACTTCAAACACTGGTTACATATTTTCTAAATATGACAGCTCACTTTCAAATTTTATTGTATTTTCACTGATTTCAGGAAAGCTTAATTTCTTGATTAAATTGCAAGATGGGACAACAGTTTCATATGCAAGCACCAGTTTATCAGTTATAGCCCATACCCCTATATAAATTTTATTTATCAAACAAAATGCAATGGCCGTTGAACTAAAAAAGGCAGACTCTATTAAAGGGACAGGCTGGATCTCTAAACCAGGAAGGGGTAAAATGGCATGTCAAAAACTGTTAACAAGTGTGAAAAACGTTGCAAGTAATCATACCCATTTTAAAATGGCTTTACTATTAAATTAATTTTAAATGCAAGATATCCTTTTAGACTTCCCCTGATAAATATCTTATATTTTTAAATAAGCAATGCAATTTGTTTATGAGCAAATCTTCTATAAAGGTCAAAGTTTGTATTGAGCGCTGATTGTTCTTTATAAAAATTCTTAATGGATCATAATATATTATTAGTAAATTTAAATGGATTTATATTAAAAGACTTACCAATCGAGTTGTGTTTTTGTGGAAGTATAGAGTTTTAAATAAGCAATTCCAAATTTTTTATGATCAAATCCTCTATAAAAGTCAAAGTGTGTATTGAACACTAATTTTCATTATGAGGTTCTTAATCATATGGTGCGCATTAGAAAATTTATTAAAACATTAAACACTTATCGTTTTTGCGGAAGTATAGATTTTTTACATAAACTATACGAATTGCTTCATGATCAATTGCTCTATAAAATCAAATATTGTTATGAACGCCATTGTACTTTATAAAGTTCTTAATTGCTTATAATAATGTTTATATTTTTACAAATAAAATTTGAAATTTTCTTTTATATAATTTTTATAATTTTAAAAACTAATTTGTATCTTTTTATAAATCGGCTTCAATTTTAATAATATTAAATTCAAAATTAATTTAATAATAAAGTCATTTAAAAAAATGGGCACGTTTTACTTACCAACTTTGTTCACACTTGTCAATCATTTTTGGCATGCCATTTTAACCCTTCCTAGTATAGCGATCCATCATCCTTTTAAGAGATCTGTCTTAGCTATTTAACCTTCTATTGCATTTTGCTCGATAAAGAAATCTATATAAGGGTATGGACGATACTTTAGGATCTTGAAATTTTATTGCAGTTAAGAGCATAATAAGCTCAACGCCTCAGCAAAAAATTTCATTTTATGTTGATTCTTACTCTGAAATATCCCTAGATCTCGCAGCTTCATGATATCAAGATATTTCTTCATCATTTTCTATTGCCATTGGAGCTGATGCGAATTCAAACACAAACTTTTATACTGGGTTTTTATGAAATATTAATATTTATAATATTGATGAACCACTTAGTAGTATGGTGACTTCAGGAACTTGCTCAGGATGCTCATTTTGCCCTATAGAATTATCAAATGAATGCATTCCGAACTGCGATTTATCACATTATCCAGCTGGCTCCAGTTGTGCCTCATGCCAAGCTCAGTGCACTTGGGGCTGTGTGAGACCTGATAAAAACTGCAATTTATGCCAAGATGTAATTTGCTTACTCCCCCCTTCTGTGAGCGAACAAATAAATTTTAAATCCTGGAGGGATTATTTTTTTTTATTCATAAATAAATTTTATATTAATTATTTTCTTCAAATTAAAAAAATCCGAATTCGAAATAACTGGAAATCAAATATTAATTTAATTTGTAAAATTTATGTTCTATAACGCAGGCTGCTTAAAATGCAAAGATTAATCATAAAATTTAACACTAATATACAACAAAACATTTTTTCATAAAAAATGTTTATATTGGAGGGTACAGTTAATATGTGATGACTATGCGTCGACATGCATAACTTGCAGAGAGCATGCCTATTTATCTTCATCAACTTGCGTATGCTATGATGGATATTACTGAAATTCAGCAAATGAAGAATGCACCTTATGTGATTATACTTGCAAAACTTGCACGTCATCAGCTCCTGGAGACTGTATTATTTGCGCTTCTGGATTCTACATGTATTTAGGCTGATGCATCTCGAAGTGTCCAGATGGATATATAGAAAAAGGATCCTTATGTATGGAAAAGGATCCTTTTATATTCTATCTATCTTTTAATACTCTAGAAGGAGTAGTTTTTGATCAAAAAAGCAAAATACCAGCATTAACTGGTAATAGTACTGCATTTTATCCAGATTATGATCCATTTGATCCATTAGCTGCCTCATATCGAGGATTCTATTTCAATGGAATAAGCTCAATTATGCATTTACCTATTTACCCTAATTACAGTAGTCCAGTTCTCAGCTTTGGATATTCATTTACATTTTCAATATGAATTAACATAGAGAGTGGCTTTGGAACGATTATCTCAAAGCAAGATAGCCTCTATAAGCCAATCTTCTCTCTCCAATTGGCTTCAGGGGTTGTAATGATTTCATTAAACTTCAAAGCTCCAGGACTAAACTATTTCTTTTATTTGCAAAGTCTTGAATCTTACTTATGAAATCATATTGCTTTTTCTGCAGAATATACGAGTTTGAAAAATACGAAAATGGCATTCTATTTAAATGGAGCTGAAGATCATCAAGTTGATTTCGGATCTGATTATTTTAAGGATACGAAAACAGACTTCACTTTTACACTTGGAGCAGAAATAGGTTCTTTGGGCTATTCTAATTATTTTAAAGGATTTATTTACGACATTAAGGGATATAACTCAGTAAAAATTATATCATCCCTCTCATTACCTGCAGCACAATGTACAGAAAATTGTAAAGCATGTCTTACAACTGGTGTTTGCATTCCTAATTGCCAGATTAATCAGTACTTGGTTGGTCCAGAATATAATAAATGCTCCAAATGTAGTAGTGAATGCTCAAGCTGCAAAGATTCTAGTAAATTTTGCAACCTTTGTGACAACCCTAAATGTGCATCTTGCTCTGATTACACTGCAGACTCCTGCCTTGAATGCATATCTGGAACATCAAATACAACAAATTGTCAATGCGATTATGGTCTCGCTTGGAATTCGAGCTCAGGAATATGCGCGATGTGTCATCAATGGCAATACAAAGCAAATGACTCTTGCTATGACTGTCCTCCTCTTTGTGCTCAATGTGATAACGAAACTAAGTGCACATGATGTATAAATAACGCCACATTGCAATCAGGGAGCTGTACTTGTTCTCCTGGATATATTGGAACAACAACTTGCACATATATACCTTTTAGTGTTTCTCTCACTGTTAACAAAAATAACACTTTAATTCTAGCCTTTAGTGATATCTTGAAACAGAAATTGAACAATAATCACATTTATATGCAAGTTCATAATCAGACAATACCATCATGATCTGTTGATTACATTTCAAATAACGAATATTTAATATCATGCAATTTTGGTGGAGGAATATCAAAGGGCACATTAGTTTCTGTATATTTTTTAGATCACACTGCTGTTATTTCAATATCTGGTGGAGTAATTCGCGATAATTATTTAGCAGGCTCTCTTTATCAATCCGCAATGACTTCTGAGCAGCAAGAAATTGCGAAAATTCAAAATCAAGTTTCTTCAGGAGCAAAAATTTTGGTTGGCTCTAGTGTTGCTCTTGTAATGTTTAACCCTAATCCTTCTGGCTTATGGACTATGCTAAACACTATTCAGCTTCTTTCTTACATACCGTATGCTAATTACCCTTTGACAGATAAAATTTCTGCGTTTTTTAAGTCAATGAATGATTTCAATTTTGTTCCAAATTTATTTTTATTATTTATTGCTGAAAATCAAGGGAATACTCCTTATTATCAGGCAAAAAAGTATGGATATGATAGTGACTTGATACTTGTAAATGTTGGAAATGATGTGACAATTTTATTTGGTCTTATATCTCTGATTCCTCTAGTTTATTATATATCTAAATGCTCTCAGAGAGTAATAGGAAAGAAGCTAAAAAAAATATACGATGATTATAAATTTGGCACATTTTTACGATTTTGGATCTTAAATTATCTAGAGGTAGGGTTTGCAGCTATAATTGGCATTTTGAGCGTAGAAAACTCTGAAATATTTGATAGCCCAACCAAACTCACGAATTATCTTCTTTGCTGGTTTTTCATTGTAAGTTTAATTTAGGTTGTGATGATCATAACTCCATTGCTTCATTCATATTTTAGTTTTAAAAACATAAGCAAAATTATAAACAAAAGAAACAGAAAATGGCTAATTCCTTGAAATTCTTTGTATTATGAGTTTAAAAACGATTTAGGGTTTATGAGTACACAATATTATACTTTGTTTTTTATCAGACAGCTAATTTTTATCGCGGTTCAAGTTTTTTTAATTGATTATCCTCAGAGTCAGCTTACAATTAATACAGTAGCATCCTTATGTGTAATTTTTAATTAGATTGCCCTGTTTGTATTTGTGTATAAGCCTTTTGAAGATACGATTATTCAGCTTACGAACTTAATTACAGAATGCGGAATTTCTATCACTTTTATGTTGCTCAGCCCATATTTTTTTGATCTTGGCTCAAGCGGTCTTGATGCTATGGACAGTGTAATTATGGGTCAAACTTCCTTATTTAAAATAGCTTTTATTTTGTATTATTTATTTAGGTGCTATAAACATTTTTATGATATATTTTAGAAAAATTATAGGCAAAAACATTATAAAAAATAATTTCAGAAAATTATCTTTGCCCAAACAGTAATTATGATATTTGTTGTATCTCTTATGATGGTCCAATCTGCAGGGCCATTCATAAACTCCTTAAAAGAGCTTTATTATGCAGTTAAAAGAAATTTTGGAAAAGATTTACGCTCAAATCCAATAAAATTAGCAACAAAAACGAAGAGGATAGATTTAAACAATTTAGGAGACTTTTTTGGCAACGAAACTACAGCAAATGTTGGAGAAAACCAACATTTTACACAGATATCTACTCCAAACTAGATCATTGCTGACTAACATATAAAAATCTATTCATAAGATAAAGATAATTATTAAGCTTAATTGCTAATTTTCTTTACATTAAAAGTATCAATAATATCGCCTTAGCTTACTAAACCTTATAGATTTTAATAATTTTAATGGTGTAGCCAATCATTTATTGGTTCAGCCTCGTATTTATACTAATAGACCTCAATTTGAAGAGAGTATAAGCTTAAAGCCGCATTATAGCTCTAATTTGGTTCTCAAACTAAAAATTCTATTGAAGACTTGAATTATAAAATGAGAAGAACTTAATTCTCATAGTGATTTGAGGGAGATAAATTATTCGAAGCAAGTAAAAAGACAGAGAAATAAATTTTAGTGTAAAAAAGATAAAGAAATGTTGAAATATTGATATAATCAGTTGCTCTAATTTCTGATCGGCTCCCATGAGCCAAAGATGAATTTCACAAGTGAAAATCCAGAATTTCCACGTGGAAACCCATTTTTGGCTCGTGGAAGCCGATCAGAAATAACGCCAAAAGATCATATAAATTACTTCGCTCATTATTACCAAATTATGAAGCATTATGCTATGATAATTTTGATCAAACTTTTGCTTTTGGGAACTGTAAATAAATTGCCTCAAGAATATGATTACTCCCCCCTCCGTGAGCGAGTAAAACCATTAGAAAAATCCCTATTTTTTGCCTAAAGAATGAACAAAAATTTTTTATGGAAAAAAAATTGATATATAAGTGATAATTATTTAATTTTAAACAAATTGTGTTTTAAAAACATAAATTTTACAAATTAAATTAATATTTGCTTTCCAATTTTCAAGAAGTGGGATTTTTTTAATTTCCGAAAAAACAAATTTCTTTAAAATTTTTATATAAATTTTAAAGAAAATCGCTACTCCTCCATCCGTGAGAGAGCAGAAAAATTTATTGGGTTAATTTTGTTTTCGAAAAATTTAAATTTGTAAAATTTAGGAAGTAAAAATTAATTTAATTTGCAATTTTATGTTTTAAATAAATTCAAGCTGTTTAAAAGTAAACAGAATTAGCTACAGATTTCATTACAATAATATTACTTATATATCAATTTTTGTTTTCATGCAAAAATTTTTACATAATTTTTTTTTTCCTTTTGTTCGCTCAAGGAGGGAAGTAAGCAATTCTAATGCAATTTCTAGTGCATAAAAGATTAAATCATGCGGCATGCCTCAAGGCCTAGAAAAAATCCAATTTCTTTAGAAAATATACTAGATATTTTCTTGCTCCAATCTTCTAAATTTCACCCATCTTATCTTCACTTTTGCACTCCCTCAATATAAACTTCCAAAAATAGAAAATATTTACTGTCAAAAAATTTCAGATGAGGTATTTGATTAAAATTTGGCTGTTTTTCGAGTAAATGCCGAAGAGATAAAAATTTCGACCAAATTTCCGAGAAAATGTGTATTTACCAAAAGTCTGATCAAATGGCATGCATCCATAAACTATATACCTTAATTTATTTTTTAAGAAAAATTCTCATTGCTTGTCAATCAAAATTAAAGATTTCTCAATTAGCTGCACATTGCATATCTATTTCATCACCATTTTTATAATTGATCCTTACAATTGTTTATCCAAATTTTAAGAGAGTTAAAATAATATAAAAATGTTAGGTGATTTTAAGCAGCTTCTGGTTATTTTCATAGAAATAATCGTATGCTACTCTCTTGACTCTTCTACCGTTGTCTTAGCAATGAATGCAGGTGGTGGAGCTTATACCTCGACATTTGGCTTTGCATATTCTCCTGATAGCTATTACACTTCAGGCTCTAATGCTTATTTTGATGGATCTCTCGCTATTTCACGCACAGTAAATGACTATATTTATCAATCAGAAAGGGTTGCAACTGGAACTTGAGGATATGATATCCCAGTCAGTCCTGATGGGGCGTATGTGCTTATTCTTCAATTTTCTGAAATTTATTTCACACAAACAGGAAAAAGAAAATTTACAGTAAAAATTGGAAGTTATGTTGTTTATTCAAATTTAGACATAGTGGCAGCTTCAAGCTATAATGCTGCTTTTGACCTGTTTACAGAATTTACACTTACAAGTGGAAGTGTTTATATTGGCGGAAATTTGATTTCTGGAGCATTTTCTGGCGGCATTCTTAATGTCAGATTTACTCCAAGTTTAGAATTAGCAAAAATTGCTGGAATACTTTTAATAAGAGGAAATTGCGCTATAGCAGACAATTGCAATCAATGCTACACAGATAGATGCGCTGTGTGCAATAACCCAACATTGACATGCGCAACTTGCATTGCCAATGCCCAAGCTGTCAGTGGGGCATGCCAATGCAGCTCAAATGCCTATTGAGTTTATGCAACGAGAACCTGTGAGAAATGTGACAATTTATGCAACGTTTGCTCTGGCTCAATGAACTTTTTATGCACAACCTGCGTATCTCCAAATGTTCTAGTTTCAAGTGTATGTTTAAGAGCATGCCCTTATGGATTCGGCTCGCCTTGCACTTCAGTTTCTACAGCTGTCATTGATCAAAGCTTTGCTAATTATTTTTTAGGAACTTATGGCCCTTTTAAAACAGGAACAAGCTCAAGCAGCTATCAATTTTTTAATACCCCAGAAACAGTAGATCCCATTCCAGCTAAAGGTAGAGGACTTTATTTTTCTAGTGGCATGTACCTTCAATCATCAGCTGTTTATATTTCACTTAATTTTTCAATTGGTTTTTGGGTTTGGATACTATCAGGCTCAGGCGATATTTTAGCAAATAGCTCAGGGTATAAAATAACGATATCTGCAAATGGTGTTCTAACGATTATATTAGAGAATAGACTAGAAGCCACTACAACGGTAACAACTGCAGCTTTAAATCCATCGAACTCAGCCTGGGTCTACATTTCTTTTGCGACCTCATTTTCTTCATCTACTTTATCAACAACTATTGTCCCGTATTTGAACAATTCGCCGAAAACTTCTATTACGACTAATCAATATATATACAGAGATGCAACAAATAATGCAATAATCCTTGGCAAGAGTTCTTCAAGCAATTTCTTAGGGTATATTTATCAGTTCACTCTATGAAATGTTGCTGTCTCAAATTTCAATACACAATATAGTTCAGGCATGATTTTAGGTCAGGTTTCCAAGCCTTTTAGAGGGTAAAAATAAGCAAGTTTTTATTGATAACCAAACTCCAGAAATAAGAAAACCAAGTAGAATTTACTTGAGTCATTTACGAATTGTTATTTAACAAAATTTTGCCTGACAGCCTGAATATTTTACCTGCTAGAATTATTGAAAAGCTAAGCTAAGTCTTACTCGATCTATATTCAGATCAAATATGTGGCACAGGAGCAACAGCTAGCTGCCTTTGGACTTGTCCTTTATCTCAATGAATGGATGGAGCCACACCTACAAACTGCAATTCATGCACAAATGGTTGTGTCAGAAATGTCTCTTGCGATGTTTGCTTTGATCCTCTTTGTAGTGTATGCACAGGATTTTTAACAGGTCTTTGCACACAATGTGTTTCCAATGCGTCTGGAACTCCTTGCACTTGCAATGCTGGTTATGTGGCTTCTACTGATGGGTTTTCTTGTGTACCATGCTTTACTGGATGTGCTTCTTGCACTGGGACTCTTTATTACCATTGCAGCTCTTGCTTCTCTAGCTATTATTTATTGAAAACAATGTGTCTTACTTATTGCCCTTCAGGCTATACTGCAGATTCTTCAGGACATTCTTGCACTCTATCTGCATCCAATCCTTTAAGCGTCTAACTTCAAAATTTAATTCAATTAGATACAGTTAGCGGATTGTCTGTAGGATCTTCAAACTCAAATGAATACCCAACATGAGAAACAGCTGATCCAATCCCTTCAATTTATAGAGGATACTATTTTTCAGGGAATAATTATATGAGTCTTGCATCATTCACTATAAGTCCATATTTCTCATTACTAGTCTGGGTAAAGCCTCTTAGTGATGGATATTTATTTATGAAATTTGATGGCACCACAATATACTCTTATATAAATTTTGCCTCAGGAATATCTGGAATTAATCTTAGGCTTTCAGATTCGACTTCAGTTAGCATAAGTAGTTCTTCTAGCCTGTCTTCAAGTTGGCATTATATAGCATTTACTGGTGGACTTACTTCAGGACATACTGTTCTTATCCGATCAATAGATGGAGGAACTCCAACATCAGCTACTTCTGCCTCCTCAGCATATTATAAAGATCTCGGAACACTTTACATTGGAAAAGACAGTACAGCATCTGGAGGTTTTACTGGATTTATATGGAGCTTCAAAATTTATAATGACAATACATACGCATCTCAGGAGTGAATAACTTCAGGCTGCCCTGGCTGCACTGCTTGCCCTTCTGAGCTTAAATGCCCTGATAGTTGTCCATTCGGGCAGTATTATTCAAGTTCCTGTATTTCTTGTGTAGGTTCATGTCCTTATGGTTGCAGATCAACACTCACCTGCAGACTATGCAAAGATAAAGAATGTCTGGCATGCACAACTTTTGATGGACCTTGCACATCCTGTATAACAAATGCAAGCATTTCAGGAACCACATGTGTTTGCAATAATAATGCTTTTTGGGAGCAAAGCTTGGATGGGTGCATGATATGTGACAATTTATGCAGCCAATGCCAAACAAATAATTATTTTTTGTGTACATCTTGTGGATCTTATTATCTTGTTTCAAATATTTGTTTAAGAGCCTGCCCATATGGATTTACGAGTCCATGTGTGACAATAACTTCTCCTGTGATAGATATAGAATTCAATAGCGATTTTCAAGGTACATATACAATCTTTACCACTGGAACAAATCCAAGCTCCTATCAATTTTTTAACTTGCCTGAAACAGTAGACCCTATCCCTGCAAAACAAAGAGGTTTATATTTCAATGGAAGTCAATATTTAATATCAAATACTAATATTTATCTGTCACATAGCTTCTCGATAGGTTTCTGGATTTATGTAATTTCTTCAGGAGATATTTTATCCAATTCAAGAATTACTCTAGAGTCATCTGGCTCTATAAAAATTATATTAGAAAGTCCATCAGAGGCAGCTTTATCAAAAACTCTGTCAAGCACACCTTTTGTAATGTGAAAATACTTATCATTTACATGCTCATTTGACAACCCGACAGTAATAACTACTTTAACTGTTTATAATAATAATGTTTCTGTTGCATCATCTACTTACAATACTCTAATTTATAGAGATACCGTTAATCAAAAAATCAAAATAGGTGGCAGCTCATCATCGTATTTTACAGGGTTTATCTACAAATATCAACTCTGAAATGTTGCTATTTCTGATTTTTCAACACAGCTTGATGAAATTTGTGGATCTGGCTTATTAGCTACTTGTCTATGGGGATGCGATATAAGTAAATACTGATATTCAGCAGCATGCCAGAGTTGTGATTCTACTTGTACTTTGGGATGCACGAGAAGTGGATCTTGTAATGTTTGTGATGACCCCCTTTGTAGTGTGTGTGCTGGATTTGATACAAATAAGTGCACTACTTGTGTTTCACATGCCCATGGCTCACCTTGTAGTTGCGATTTAGACTATTACTTGTCTCCAGATGGGTTTTCTTGCTTGCCTTGCTTTACTGGATGCTCTATTTGTTCATCATCACATTATTACCAATGCTCGGCTTGCGACTCTACATATTATTTTTTAAATGTCATATGTGATACACAATGCCAAAGTGGCTATAGTCAAAATCCAGGCACGAATAAATGTGACTTACCCCCGTCCGTGAGTGAACAAAAAAATTTGTTCCTAACGAAGTTTTTTTTTTAAAGAAATACTAATTTGAAAGTATAATTTATTTTATAAGATTTATTTTTTAAAATGCGAGTTGTTTAAAATTAACCAGAATTAGCAAGAGATTTCATTATAATAATTATCAGTTATATATAAAATTTTTTTTTATAAAATAATTTTCGAATAAAAAAAACTTTGTTCCTCATGGAGGGTGTGTTCTTGGTTAAAAAAATAGGCATTTTTCTAATGGTTTGCTCGCTCACGGAGGGAGGAGTTAGTGAATAGTTTAGTTGTAGATTTAGAATTGGATGATTATATAGTGCTTGACACTTTATCAGGGTTTAATGTTGGAAATCTCAATACAAATGTTTATCCTGTGATTGATTCAAACGATCCCATTCCTTCAATTAGCCGTGGATACTATTTCACTGGACAAAGTCATATGACTAGCTCTTTAATTTTTAGTCCTTATTTCTCCATCATGCTTTGGGTTAAGGTTATTGATCAGGGACTTTTAATTGAAAAATACTATGGAGCTTCTCAATATTTAGTTGTTAAAATTGACAGCAGCGGCGATTCAAATCTCAATTTATTACTTAAAGATGGATCATCTCTTAATGCGGCTACTCCACAAAATTTATTTTTTGATTGGCATTACTTGTCATTTTCTGGATCAATTAATGCAGATGGGACTTATAGTTCTTATAGTTATATAGACTCATCACTTGCTATGACAAAGACTTCAGTATCTCAAACATACTTAAGAGATAATATTTCTGGAATTTTTCAAATTGGCTCTGATAATGCGTCACAGACTGGCTTCAAAGGATTCCTGTGGAGTTTAAAAATATATAATGATGAAACTCATGCCAATTCCGACTGAACAACTACGACTTGCACTGCAAACCCTTGCACAAGTTGCCCGGCTGGAGATTTCTGTCCAAGCTCTTGCTCGCTAGCAAATTATCCTGATAGCACTACATGTGATCCATGCAAAACATCATGCTCTAATGGGTGTAGAAGCAATCTAGCATGCACACTTTGCAGTGAAAAAGAATGCTATTCCTGCACATCTTTTTCAAATAAGTGCTTAAGCTGTATTTATTAGCCACTAGAGCCGAAATGGAGGTGAAGAGAATCTACTTCATATGTGCCATGGCGTCAAATGCTGAAGAAGTGGAACGGTGGCGCTCGAGTTGTACAACTAACCCGATGAATCATCTTACTCGAAGAAGTTCTGCCTCTTAAAGTCTCAAAGAGGGTGAATCCCCTAAGGGATCTTTGGTGACTGCGCTACAATGGCAGAAGCCGACCTATAATTTAAGTTTAAGCTTAAGCTGCATTACAAATGCGGGATTTGTAGGAGATTCATGCCAATGCAACCTAAATGCTTATTGGAATGGAAGCACAGAAACCTGCGATCTCTGCCACTCCATTTGTTCATCATGCACAGGGCCTTCTTTCACTGAATGCATTCAATGTGGGACTTCTTTGTTTATGCTATCAAACATTTGCTTGGAATTTTGTCCTTCTGGATATGTTTCAGGAGCCAATAATTGCAATCTATCTCACGGCCTAGCATTTAATTTAAGATTTAACCAGATAAAAGACACAGTTTATGACTCAGTAGGTAACGTTGCTTTTCAAACTGGTAATGATGATAGTTTTTATCCGTTCTATAATTCTGGAGATCCATTTGCTGCAAAACTAAGAGGTTACTATTTTAGAGGAACCTCCTTTATAAAATCAATTGATGCTTCACCATCCATAACATTTGGAGCAGAATTCACTATTTCAGCATGAATAAACCCAAGATCAGATACTGGATACATAATCTCTAAACAAGACAACTCACCTTCAGCCTTTATTGCATTATCATTGATCTCTAGCAAACTTAATTTTTCAATGAAACTAAAAGGTGGAACAACAGTTTCATACACAAGTACTAGCTTATCAGTTAATTTAGGATCTTGGAATTTTATTGCTGTTAAAAGTATTATAAGCTCCACACCGCAGCAAATTATTTCCTTTTACATAGACTCTTCTAATGAATTATCCTCTGATCTAGTTTATTCATGATATCAAGATATTTCTTCATCGTTTTCTATTGCCATTGGTGCTGACACAATTTCAAATACAAACTTTTATACTGGATTTTTATGAAGTATTAATATTTATAATGCTGATGAACCACTTAGTAGTATGATGACTTCAGGAACTTGCTCAGGATGCTCATTTTGCCCTATAGAATTATCAAATGCATGCATCCCAAACTGCGATTTGCTATATTATCCAGATGGATCAAGTTGCACTTCATGCCAAACTCAATGCACTTGGGGCTGTGTTAGACATGATAAAAATTGTAACCTATGTCAAGATGTAATTTGTTTAGTGTGTGATGATTATGCATCGACATGCATAACTTGTAGAGGTTAGGTTATTTAAAGCCAGGCGTTAAGCCATATTTGTGAAGCAGTCACCAAATACCTCCTATACAGAAGATTCTACTATGGGCTCCAGACCAGAGGGTCTATTCCCCGAAGACATGTGTCACCTCCGGTACCTTCTGCCTCCTCCTTGCCTTCCGGCTTCAGTCTTGAGTTGACGACTTATGGCATAGCTTATAGAGAGCATGCCTATTTATCTTCATCAGCCTGTGTATGCTATGACGGGTATTATTGGAATTTAGCGGATGAAAAATGTGATTCATGCGATTACACTTGCAAAACCTGTACATCTTCAACTTCTGGAGATTGCATAGTTTGCGCATCTGGGTTTTATATGTATTTAGGGTGGTGTATATCAAAGTGTCCTGATGGGTTTATAGAGAGTGGATCAGTGTGCTTAGAAAAAGATCCTTTTATATTCTATCTGTCTTTTGATACTCTGGAAGGGGTTGTTTTTGATAAGAAAAGAAGCATTCCTGCATTAACTGGCAATAGTACAGCGTTTTATCCAGATTATGATCCATTTGATCCATTAGCTGCCTCATATCGAGGATTTTATTTCAATGGAGTAAGCTCAATTATGCATTTACCTATTTACCCTAATTACAGCAGTCCAGTTCTCAGCTTTGGCTATTCATTTACATTTTCGATGTGAATTAACATAGAGAGTAGCTTTGGAATGATTATCTCAAAACAAGATAACCTCTATAAGCCAATCTTCTCTCTCCAATTGGTTTCAGGGGTTGTAATGATTTCATTAAACTTCAAAGCTTCAGGACTGAACTATTTCTTTTATTTGCAAAGTCTTGAATCTTACGTATGAAATCATATTGCTTTTTCTACAGAATATACAAGTTTGAAAAATACGAAAATAGCATTCTATTTAAATGGAGTCGCAGATCATCAAGTTGATTTCGGATCTGACTATTTTAAGGATACGAAAACAGACTTTACTTTTACACTTGGAGCAGAAATAGGTTCTTTGGGCTATTCTAATTATTTTAAAGGGTTTATTTACGATATTAAGGGATATAACTCAGTAAAAATTATATTATCCCTCTCATTACCTGCAGCAAAATGTACAGAAAATTGTAAAGCATGCCTTACAACTAGTGTCTGCATCCCTAATTGTCTCATTAATCAGTACTGAGTTGGTCCAGAATATAATAAATGCTCCAAATGTAGTATTGAATGCTCAAGCTGCAAAGATTCTAGTAAATTTTGCAACCTTTGTGACAATCCTAAATGTATATCTTGCTCTGATTACACTGCAGACTCCTGTCTTGAATGCATATCTGGAACATCAAATAGAGCAAATTGCCAATGCGATTATGGTCTTACTTGGAATTCGAGCTCAGGAATATGCGAGATGTGTCATCAATGGCAATACAAAGCAAATGACTCTTGCTATGACTGTCCTCCTCTTTGTGCTCAATGTGATAACGAAACTAAGTGCACATGATGTATAAATAACGCCACATTGCAATCAGGGAGCTGCTCTTGCTCTCCTGGATATATTGGGACAACAACTTGCACATATATACCTTTTAGTGTTTCTCTCACTGTTAACAAAAATAACACTTTAATTCTAGCCTTTAGTGATATCTTGAAACAGAAATTGAACAATAATCACATTTTTATATACAAGTTCATAATCAGACAATACCATCATGATCTGTTGATTACATTTCAAATAACGAATATTTAATATCATGCAATTTTGGTGGAGGAATATCAAAGGGCACATTAGTTTCTGTATATTTTTTAGATCACACTGCTGTTATTTCAATATCTGGTGGAGTAATTCGCGATAATTATTTAGCAGGCTCTCTTTATCAATCCGCAATGACTTCTGAGCAGCAAGAAATTGCGAAAATTCAAAATCAAGTTTCTTCAGGAGCAAAAATTTTGGTTGGCTCTAGTATTGCTTTGGCAATGTTCAGCCCAAACCCTTCTGGCTTATGAACCATGCTTAACACAATTCAGCTTCTCTCTTACATACCTTATGCAAACTACCCTTTGACAGATAAAATTTCTGCATTTTTTAAGTCAATGAATGATTTTAATATTGTCCCGAACTTATTTCTATTATTTGTTGATGAAAATCAAGGCAATACTCCTTATTATCAGGCAAAAAAATATGGATATGATAGTGACTTAATACTTGTAAATGTGGGAAATAATTTAACAGTTCTATTTTTTATTATAGCTATTATTCCTCCGGTATATTATTTATCTAAATGCTCTCAGAGATATGTAGGGAAAAAACTCAACAAGATATGTAATGAATACAAATTTGGCACATTTTTACGGTTTTGGATCTTAAATTATCTAGAAGTTGGTTTCGCTGCTATAATTGGCATATTAAGTGTAGAAAACTCTGGATATTTTGAAAATTCCATTAAGCTTACGAACTATCTTCTTTGCTGATCTTTCATTGTAAAGTTAATTTAGGTCATTATAATTATCACCCCACTAATTCATTCATATTTTAGCTTCAAAAATTTAAACAAAATTATAAACAAAAGAAACAGAAAATGGCTAATTCCTTGAAACTCTTTATATTATGAATTCAAAAATGATTTAGGATTTATCAGCACACAGTATTATTCTTTGTTTTTTATAAGACGATTAATTTTTATCGCAACCCAAGTGTTTCTAAATGATTTCCCTCAAAGTCAGCTCACAATAAATGCTGTAGCATCATTATGTGTATTTCTTATATAGATCGCACTTTTTCTATTTGTATATAAGCCTTTCGAAGACACAATTATTCAGACTACAAACTTGATAACAGAATGTGGCATTTCTATTGTTTTTATGCTTCTGAGTCCATATTTTTTTGATCTCGGATCAACTGCACTTGATGCTATGGATTGTGTTATTATGCTTTTTGTTTTATCCCTTATGATTGTACAATCTGCTGGGCTGCTTTTAAATTCTTTAAAAGAATTATATAGTCTAATCAAAAGAAATTTTGGTCGAGATCTACGCCCAAACCCAGTTAAACTATCAAAAAGTACAAAAAGAATAGATCTAAACAATTTGAATGATTTTTTTGAGGACAAGACTCCGACAAATATGGGAGAAAATATACAATTTGCACACACAGTTACCCCAAGTCAAGATCTCCGCTAACAGTGTATAATAGTCTTATTAGTTAGTTAATTTTAGTTATTAGCTTAATCGCTCGAAAAATAATGTTTTATAGATTAAAAGTCTAATAATGTTGTATAGATTAAAATTATTTTAGAAAATTATAGGCAAAAAAATTATAAAAAATAATCCCATAAAAATTATCTTTGCCCAATCAGTAATTATGATATTTGTTATATCAATTATGATGGCCCAATCTGCAGGGCCAATTATAAACTCCTTTAAAGAGCTTTACTATATAGTTAAAAGAAATTTTGGAAAAGATGTACGCTCAAATCCAATAAAATTAGCGAAAAAAGCGAATAGGATAGATCTAAACAATTTAGGAGACTTTTTTGGCAATGAAACTATAGCAGATGTTGGAGAAAACCAAAATTTTACACAGATATCTAATCCAAACTAGATCATTGCTGACATTAAGAAATGCTATTCTTAAGATAAAAATAATTATTAAGCTTAATTGCTAAATATTTTAAAATTAAAGTTATCTTATTTTAGTCTTTGAATAATAATACCAAAATGCTAATTTTGAAAATCATCAGAATGTTTGAATTCGACTTTTCAAATGGACTATTGGATAGCTAATTAGACAGATGCTGAATCTAATCCTTGCTGCCTAAGAAGACGTTGGCTTTATATAGTAAGTTCTTTTGAGGAGCGAAGAATCTTTGGTGGAGCATATTCTAAGGCTGAGCTCTCAGCTCCATTACGACTCAAGAGACTAATGGGATCTAAGGTTCTTCAGAAATTAAACATCTGATAGACAAGAACTGCTATGATTTTAAAATGGTGTGGTGAGGTGGGCTGCTAAAAAAATTAACTTAAGAGTTAATAGTCGAAATATGTTGAAGTTTTTAAATAATTAATTACACAACTAACTTATAAAATTATAAAAGCAGCAATGATCTTTCAAACTCAATAGATTAAATTTAAATACATTAATTAAAGAATCCAATTTTTTTAGCATGCCATAATGCAATCTCCGTTATTTCAGCTTATTTTTTTGTGGAGAAAATCAAGATTAGAGCATAATCTATACAATTATTATTTGATATTTTTGGTCTCTAAGATTTAAAAATCTTTTAACCACATAGAACATTTAATTTCATACTATTTTGATTAACCCTATTGATAAAGTTTATTACTCAAGCTAAAAATAGTTAAAGCTGCTAAATTTAGCAAAAAGTGTATATATATACGTCATCATTTTTATTATTATCATCACTGCTATTTATTCGCCAAATTTCGAGGGATAATTAAAATATAAAATGAGAATTAAAATTGGACAATTTCTAATTATTTTGACCAGCATAATCATGTGCTATTCTGGAGGGCCTGTGTCTTGTGGTAGTGGTTATATGACTTCTACTGATGGGACTTCTTGCGTAGCATGCTTTACTGGGTGTGCTTCTTGTACCGGAACTCTTTATTATCAATGCAGCTCTTGCTCTTCAGGTTATTATTTGTTAAAAACAATTTGCCTTACTTATTGCCCTTCAGGATACACTGCTGATTCATCAGGCCATTCATGCACTCTATCTTCATCCAACTCTTTAAGTCTATCGCTACAGAATTTAATTAAATTAGATACAGTAAGCGGAGTTTCTGTAGGATCTTCAAACTCAAATACATACCCTACTTGGGAAACAACAGATCCGGTTCCTTCAATTTATAGGGGATACTATTTTTCAGGTAGCAACTATATGACTCTTACATCATTTACGATGAGCCCTTATTTTTCATTAGTAATTTGAGTAAAGCCTATTAATAATGGATATTTATTTATGAAATTCGATGGCACTACAAAATACTTTTACACAAATTTTGCCTCAGGAATTTCTGCGATTAATATTCGGCTTTCAGATTCAACTACAGTTAATATAAATGGATCTTCAAGCCTATTATCAAGCTGGCATTATATAGCGTTTACTGGCGGAATTGCTTCTGGACAAACTGTTCTTACTCAGTCAATTGATGGAGGAACATCAATTTCAGCTACCTCTACCTCCTCAGCATATTATAAAGATCTTGGAGCACTTTACATTGGAAAAGATAACACGGGATCAGGAGGATTCACTGGATTTTTGTGGAGTTTGAAGATTTATAACGATAATACTTACGCATCGCAAGAATGAATAACATCAGGATGTCCTGGATGCACTGCTTGTCCTTCTGAGCTTAAATGTCCCGATAGTTGCCCATTTGGACAGTTTTATTCTAGTTCTTGCGTTTCTTGTGTAGGCTCGTGCCCTTATGGCTGCAGATCAACACTTACCTGCAGGCTATGCAAGGATAAAGAATGCCTCGCATGCACAGCTTTTGATGGTTCTTGCACATCTTGCATAGCAAACGCCAGCCTTTCAGGGACGACATGTGTCTGCAATAATAATGCTTTTTGGGAGCAAAGCTCTGATGGGTGCCAAATCTGCGACAATTTATGTAGCCAGTGCCAAACAAACAAATATTATTTATGCTCATCTTGTGGCTCATCCTATTATCTTATTTCAAATATTTGTTTAAGAGCCTGCCCATATGGATTTACAAGTCCATGCATAGTAGTCACTTCACCTGTTATAGATGCAGCTTTTAATGGGGACTTCACAGGAACTTATGCAGTTTTTACGACTGGGGCTAGCACAGCTTCTTATCAATTCTTTAATTCACCTGAGTCTGTGGATCCAATTCCAGCAAAGCAAAGAGGTTTATATTTCAATGGAAGTCAATATTTAATGTCAAATACTAATATTTATCTTTCACATAGTTTCTCGATGGGTTTCTGGATTTATGTAATTTCTTCAGGAGATATTTTGTCTAATTCAAGAATTATAGTACACCCTTCGTCGTTGCTCGCCATTAAGTACTTCCTCCCCATGTCACCCACCCCCTGACGGTCCTGAAAATTTTTAAAATGTTATAATATTATTTGGCAAAGCACCCTCAAATATTTTAACTTGTCAAATTAATATTTAACATGTTAAAATATTTGGGACCGTTAGGGGTGGGTGGTATGGGGAGGCGGTGCTCGAGGCCGATCCAAAACGGGGTGTAAGCTATACTGTAGAGTCATCTGGCTCTATAAAAATTATATTAGAAAGTCCATCAGAGGCAGCTTTATCACAAACATTGTCAAGCACTCCTTTTGCAATGTGAAAATACTTATCATTTGCATGTTCATTTGACAACCCGACAGTAATAACTACTTTAACTGTTCATAACGACAATGTTTCTGTTGCATCATCTACTTACAATACTCTAATTTATAGAGATCAGGCTAATCAACAAATCAAAATAGGTGGCAGCTCATCATCGCATTTCACAGGCTTTATCTACAAATATCAACTCTGAAATGTTGCTATTTCTGATTTTTCAACACAGCTCAATGGAATTTGTGGATCTGGTTTATTAGCTACTTGTCTATGGGGATGCGATATAAGTAAATACTGATATTCAGCAGCATGCCAGAGTTGTGATTCTACTTGTACTTTGGGATGCACGAGAAGTGGATCTTGTAATGTTTGTGATGACCCCCTTTGTAGTGTGTGCACTGGATTTGATACAAATAAGTGCACTACTTGTGTTTCACATGCCCATGGCTCACCTTGTAGTTGCGATTTAGACTATTACTTGTCTCCAGATGGGTTTTCTTGCTTGCCTTGCTTTACTGGATGCTCTATTTGCTCATCATCACATTATTACCAATGCTCAGCTTGCGACTCTTCTTATTATTTTTTTAATTTCCTATGTGATACTCAATGCCCAAGTGGTTATAGTCAAAATACAGGCACGAATGAATGTGACTTATCCACTTCTGTGAGTGAACTAAAAAATTGTGTTTGCTGATGGAGGATTAATAAAATTTTTTTTTAAAATTTTAAAAAAAATCCCAATTTGTAAAATTACTAACTCCCCCCCCCCCCCCTCCGTGAGCGAACAAAAAAAATTTTGTTCGCTCACGGAGGGGGGTTAATTTTTTTTTTTAAAAAAATTTTATATATAAATTATAAAAAAATATTTTTTTCGAAATTTAAAAAAAAATCCTAATTTGCAAAAATTGGGAAGCAAATATTAATTTAATTTGCAAAATTTATGTTTTAAAAAGCAATTTGTTTAAAATTAAACAGAATTAGCTCTAGATTTCATTATACTAATTATCACTTATATATCAAAATTTTTTTCCATTAAAATTTTTTTCTATTAAAAAAATTTTTGTTCACTCACGGAGGGTGGGTTTTTGGTCAAAAAATGGCGATTTTTCTAATGGTTTTGTTCGCTCACGGAGGGGGGGGGGGAGTAAATTGTTTTTTTTTTTAAAATGCAAGCCGTTAAAATTAAACAAAAATTAGCTAGTGATTTTATTATAATAATTATCACTTATATACCAAATTTTTTTTCATAAAAAAATTTGTGTTCCTCACAGAGAGTGGTTTCTGGGCAAAAAGTTAGGATTTTTCAATAGTTTTGTTTGCACACGGAGGAGGAGTTAGTGAACAGTTTAGTTGTAGATTTAGAACTGGATGATTATATAGTGCTTGACACTTTATCAGGATTTAGTGTTGGAAGTAGCAATACAAATACTTATCCAGTTATTGATTCAAATGATCCCATTCCTTCAATTAGCCGTGGATACTATTTTACTGGACAAAGTCATATGACTAGCTCTTTAATTTTGAGTCCTTATTTCTCCATCATGCTTTGGGTTAAGGTCATAGACCAGGGAGCTTTAATTGAAAAATACAATGGATCTTCTCAATATTTAGTTGTTAAAACTGATAGCAGCGGGTATCCAAATCTCAATTTATTACTTAAAGACGGATCATCTCTTAACGCAGCTACACCACAAAATTTATTTGCTGATTGGCATTACTTGTCATTTTCCGGATCAACTAATCCAGATGGGACTTATAGTTCTTATAGTTATATAGATTCATCACTTACTATGACAAAAACTTCATTATCTCAAACATACTTAAGAGATAGTGTTTCTGGAATTTTTCAAATTGGCTTTGATAATGCGTCACAGACTGGCTTCAAAGGATTCCTATGGAGTTTAAAAATATATAATGATGAAACTCATGCCAGTTCCGACTGAACAACTACGACTTGCACTGCAAACCCTTGCACAAGTTGCCCGGCTGGAGATTTCTGTCCAAGCTCTTGCTCGCTAGCAAATTATCCTGATAGCACTACATGTGATCCATGCAAAACATCATGCTCTAATGGGTGTAGAAGCAATCTAGCATGCACACTTTGCAGTGAAAAAGAATGCTATTCCTGCACATCTTTTTCAAATAAGTGCTTAAGCTGTATAGCAAATGCGGGATTTGTAGAAGATTTATGCCAATGCAACCAAAATGCTTATTGGAACGGGAATGCAGAGACATGTGATCTTTGCCATACGATTTGTTCTACATGCTCTGGACCATCTTTTACTGAATGAATTCAATGCATAATAATAAAATAGCTACATATCGAATTAGTTCTCTCCGAGAGTTATTCCTCCTTCGCGATATTTATTATTATAGGATTCAGTTTTCCGCGTATCTTTATGCACAATTCCAATGGAAAACTACATATGATTTTTACACCTGAGTCGGCTATCCTTAGGCGAACGTCAGGTCAAATGAGACCAGTGTAGGCTTTCTGGCTCTTTTGGTGGGTCTTCTGGAGCTATTGCTAGACAAGATGGTTAGTGATGTCATCATCTAGGATTTAAAAGGGTGGGTGGCAGTCTAAAGCATCCTGCTGAAGAAGGTGAACGCGCTAAATTTAAATTTATAACTAAGTAAGAATGCATCCAATGTGGGACTTCCTTGATTATGCTATCAAATATTTGCTTGGAATTTTGTCCTTCTGGATACTCTGTAGTTGGCAATCAATGCAATTTATCAAATGATTTAGTATTCAGCTTAAGACTCATCCAGATAAAGGATACAGTTTATGACTCAGTAGGAAACGTTGCCTTTCAAACTGGTAATGATAATAGCTTTTACCCATTCTATACGCCCGAAGATCCATACGCTACAGAACTGAGAGGATACTACTTTAGAGGAACCTCCTTTATGAAATCAATTGATAGTCCCCCCTCTTTAACTTTTGGAACAGAATTCACTATTTCAGCATGAATAAATCCAGCTTTAGACACTGGTTACATATTTTCGAAACAAGACAGCTCACTTTCAAATTTTATTGTCTTTTCACTGATTTCAGGAAAGCTTAATTTCTCTATTAAATTGCAAGATGGGACAACATTTTCATATGCAAGCACCAGCTTATCAGTCACTTTAGGATCTTGGAATTTTATTGCAACTAAGAGCATAATAAGTTCCATGCCTCAGCAACAAATTTCATTTTACGTTGACTCTAACTATGAAATATACTTAGATCTCGTAGATTCATGATATCAAGATATTTCTTCATCGTTTTCTATTGCCATTGGAGCTGATGCGAACTCAAATACAAACTTTTATACTGGATTTTTATGAAGTATTAATATTTATAATGTTGATGAACCAATTACTTCCCCTCTGTGAATAAGTAAAATTATTTGAAAAACCTGCGAACAAAAATTTTTATTAAAACTAATTTTGATATATAGTCGATAATTATCATAAACCCCCTCCCTCCGTGAGTTAACAAAATATTTTTATTCATTTACAGGGGGAGCTAGTAGTATGATGACTTCAGGAACTTGCTTAGGATGCTCATTTTGCCCGATAGAATTATCAAATGAATGCATCCCAAATTGTGATTTGCCATATTATCCAGATGGATCAAGTTGCACTTCATGCCAAGCTCAATGCACTTGGGGATGTGTGAGACATGATAAAAATTGTAACCTATGTCAAGATGTAATTTGCTTAGAATGCGATGACTATACATCAGCTTGCAAAACCTGTAGAGATCATGCCTATTTATCTTCATCAGTTTGTGTATGCATCGATGGATACTATTGGGATTTAACTAATGAAGAATGCAATTTATGTGATTATTCATGCAAAAATTGCACATCTTCAACTTCTGGAGATTGCATAGTTTGTGCATCTGGGTTTTATATGTATTTAGGCTGGTGTATTTCGAAGTGTCCAGATGGGTTTATAGAGAGTGGATCAGTGTGTTTAGAAAAAGATCCTTTTATATTCTACCTATCCTTTGATACTCTGGATGGGGTTGTTTTTGACAAACAAAGTAGCATTCCTGCATTAACTGGGAATAGTACAGCGTTTTATCCAGATTATGATCCATTTGATCCATTAGCTGCCTCAAATAGAGGATTTTATTTCAATGGAGTAAGCTCAATTATGCATTTGCCTATTTACTCTAATTACAGCACTCCAGTTCTCAGCTTTGGCTATTCATTTATACCTTTTCGCCAAGAATAGCCAACTAAGGAGCATTTTTTGGTTAGCCATTCTTAAATTTGGTTAGCCAAAAAATATGGCATCCCAACAAATTTGGCAAGCCAGATATTGTCTGGCTAACCAAAAAATGCTCCTTAGTGGGCTATTCTTGGTAAATAAATACACATTTTCGATATGAATTAACATAGAGAGTGGCTTTGGAACGATTATCTCAAAACAAGATAATCTCTATAAGCCAATCTTTTCTCTCCAATTAGTATCAGGGGTTGTAATGATTTCATTAAACTTTAAAGGTTCAGGACTAAACTATTTCTTTTATTTGCAAAGTCTTGAATCTTACTTATGAAATCATATAGCTTTTTCTGCAGAATATACAAATTTGAAAAATACGAAAATGGCATTCTATTTAAATGGAGCTGAAGATCATCAGGTTGATTTCGGATCGGACATAAATAAAATGGCATTCGGTTCGAGCGAAATTAGCTCTGCTAATTTTCTCTCTCTCAAGCAATTTTATTTATGGGGTTGGGTTTTACCTCCAGAATTTCTACATAGTAATAGCGGTTTAACTCTGGGGATAATCAGAGGAGCTGCTCCTCAGTGCGATCAAGAGGCTCAGGTCCTTACCCCTCAGCACACCCGAAGAAAGTGACCCTTAGGCAGAACACGCGCAGGAGCTGAGTCGAATAAAGTGTGGCAGCAACGCAGCCTGTCAAAACCAGAACGCTGTATTTACCCGTGCCTTAGTGAATCAAAGTGGATCGATCCAGAGGCCCATAGGTCCTACACGTGGACAAATATGGTGGCAGTTCTGGACAAGGCTACCTATATTGGATGTTAAACGTTATAAATAATTTAAGATTAAGATTAAGATTTCGGATCTGACTACTTTAAGGATACGAGAACGGACTTTACTTTTACACTTGGAGCAGAAATAGGCTCTTCAGGCTATTCTAATTATTTTAAAGGGTTTATTTACGATATTAAGGGATATATAGAAAATTCCTGGGGATAGCGCGGAATACGCTATCCCCAGGACCAACCGGGATCGGATCCCACATGGAACGAGGGTTCCATGTGTGGATCCATTTTTGACACGTGAAAGTAAATATCTCACATGTCAAAAATGGATCCACACATTGAACCCCCGTTCCATGTGTGGATCCGATCCCGGTTGGTCCTGGGGATAGCGTATTCCGCGCTATCCCCAGGAATTTAGTATAACTCAGTAAAAATTATATCGTCCCTCTCATTACCTGCAGCACAATGTACAGAAAATTGTAAAGCATGCCTTACAACTGATGTCTGCATTCCTAATTGTCTCATTAATCAGTACTGGGCTGGCCCACAATATAATAAATGCTCCGAATGTAGCAGTGAATGCTCAAGCTGCAGAGATTCTAGTAAATTTTGTAGCCTTTGTGACAATCCTAAATGTGTATCTTGCTCTGATTACACTGCAGACTCCTGCCTTGAATGCATATCTGGGTCGTCAAATACAACAAATTGCCTATGCGATAATGATCTCGCTTGGAATTCGAGCTCAGGAATATGCGAGATGTGTCATCAATGGCAATACAAAGCAAATGACTCTTGCTATGACTGTCCTCCTCTTTGTGCTCAATGTGATAGCGAAACTAAGTGCACATGGTGTATAAATAATGCAATCTTAAAATCAGGGGACTGTGTTTGCTCTCCTGGATATATTGGAACAACAACTTGTGTATTAGTTCCTTTTAATGTTTCTCTCATAGTCAACAAAAATAATACTTTAGTTCTATCCTTCAGTGATATATTGCAGGAAAAATTAAGCTATGATCAGATTTTTATACAAGTTCATAATCAAACGATATCATCTTGGTCTGTAACTTGTATTTCAAATAAAGAATATCTCATATCATGCGATTTTAATGGAGGAATCTCAGAGGGTACAATAATTACAGTATATTTTAATGATCCAACTGAAATTTCATCAATATCAGGTGGAGTAATTCATGAAAGCTATTTATCAGGCTCTCTTTATTCATACATGACCTCTGAGCAGCAAGAAGTCACTCAAATAAAAAATCAAGTATCTTCTGGGTCAACAGTTCTTGTCGGCTCAAGTGTTTCTTTGGCAATGTTTAGCCCGAACCCTTCTGGACTATGAGCTATGCTTAATACTATTCAGCTTCTCTCTTACATATCTTACGCAAACTACCCTTTAACAGATAAAGTTTCTGAGTTTTTTAAATCAATGAACGGTTTCGGCTTCGTTCCAAACGTATTTTTATATTTTATTGATGAAAGCCAGGGTAATACTCCTTATTATTGAGCAAAAAAATATGGATATGATATAGAGCATTCACCACTATTGCTTGCCCTGAAGCAAGTTCTCTTGGAGTTCTTATAAGTCATCTAAAGGTGATAAGTTAAATCCAAGTTGTTATGAAGAAGTCTGCTCCAAGACGAGCAATAGCAGTGAAGACGCTATAGTGACTTGATATTTGTAAATGCGGGAACTGATTTGACTATTTTGTTTGGCCTCATAGCAATGATTCCTTTTGTACATTATTTTTCTAAATGCTCTCACAGGTTTTTAGGAAAGAAATTCAAAAAATTGCTTGATGAATATAAATTTAGTACATTTATACGATTATGAATAGTAAATTATTTGGAGGTTGGTTTTGCAGCTATAATAGGCATTTTTAGATTAGATTAGATTAGATTAGACGCTAATATTTAAAGTCTCTACTTCCAGGAGCGTGTTGACCCAAGCGAATTGGGTGGCTTTCATCTTTGGTAACTCTGAGCCCAGGACGAAACCCCTGTTTACTCAGTAGTGGGCCGCCCTATTAGATCTGCAGACCGCAGCTGGGCACCACCATTTCCAACTCAATCCCTTCGCCGTTATTTACAACTGTACCTACCCTGGTCATATTTGCTCCCTTTTTGGAGCCCTTTTCTGGAGGGATCGCCATGCTGAACTTTTGTCGAGCTCGCCTCCCCCTCTTTTTAAGTCATCCCTAGAAAGAGCTCAGCCACTTTTGTGATTCGGGGGGGGCCATCAAGAGCAGCTTGAGCAGGGAAATCACCCTGCTCCATTTCAGGCACCCACTGGCTAGGGTGCTGCTAGAAAAAGGGTTCACGATTAACTGCCCAAGGATCAGGCCACAAACCAGCAGATCTGTGCTTCAGCCTATCGCTTCTAGACTCCTGATGTTGCTAGGCAATATCATTCCTCCTGGAAGCCATGCCTGGATATGCATGGGTTACCATCACATGAGAGGACGGATTGGGCGTCATCCGCCATTTTATGTATATTATAATAGGTATTTTAAGTGTAGAAAACTATGGAAGCTTTGAAAATCCTATTAAACTTATTAATTATCTTCTCTGCTGATTTTTCATCGTAATATCAACTTAGGTCATCATAATTATCACTCCTCTATTCCTATTTTATTTTAGCTTCAATAATAAGAGCAAAATTATAAACAAAAACAACAAAAAATGGCTCATTCCTTGAAACTCTTTATTCTACGAATTCAAAAATGATTCAGGATTCGTGAGCACGCAGTATTATACTATATTTTTCATAAGGCGGCTTATTTTTATCGCAGTTCAAGTCTTTTTAAATGATTTTCCTCAGAGTCAGCTCACAATCAATGCGGTAGCATCATTAACCGTATTTCTTATGTAGATTGTCCTCTTTTTGCTTTTATATAAGCCTTTTGAAGATAGTGTTATACAACTAACCAATTTATTTACTGAATTTGGAATTTTCATTACTTTTGTTCTGATTAGTCCATATTTTTTTGATCTTGGGCAAGCTGGACTTGATGTGATGGACAGAGTGATTATGCTAGTTGTTATATTTCTTATGTTAATGCAATCTGTTGCACCGCTAATTAACGCTTTGAAAGAACTGTACTATTTAGTTAAAAGAAATGTTGGTCGCAATTTACGCTCAAATCCAGTAAAATTAGCAAAAAAGGCGAAAAGAATAGATTTAAATAATTTGAACACATTATTTGATGACGAAATTCCATCATTTGTAAGGGAAAATCAAAATTTGGCATATACAGATACTCAAAGCCAAGATCTTAGTGTTGAATAATATTGCATTAAGCAAAATATAAATATAGCTTAAACCTCTCAGATTATTTATTTTAAACTGTAAAAATTTAGATATATCGTGCGCACGGTTAGAGATCGACCTCCCTCTCCCCCCTGACAGTTTCAACTTTATTGAAATCTGCAAATTAAATTTGACTTGTCAAATCCTTAGTGAGGGAATTGTCATTTTGAATTAACAATTTCGTTCAAATTGAAACCGTCAGGGGTTGGGGGGAGAGAAGAGGGAGTTTCAGGTCGAGCCATACCTGTTCTGAAGGTATAAAATATTTTTTAATTATCATTTATGCTATAAGCAGAAGTAATCCTAATGCACATCTTTTTTAGAAAATTCAGCAATTTTTATTACTTAACTTTTGAATAATAGTGATAATATCAAATAATTATGCAGCGCATAATATAATTATTTCAAAGAAACAAGCATAATTAATTTATTTCAGTAAGTAAATTATTAAGTATAGGCTATAAAAGAATGCCATATGATCATTGCTTTATCTTGGCTCCAAAACCTAGTCTTGTAAATACTTAAATTATGTGGTTCAGACTTTATTCCTATGCTGATTTCAGGAATAAACAATTATAAATTTACAAGATTGTATATGAAAAAGAGAATAATTATGATTAGAGTATAATTCATTCCCGCATCTTAACTCAAGTGCTTCACCACTCCAATAAAAACATTCTTCGCTTAAATAAAAATTTTTATAATTATTATACTTCTGGCCGAAATTTTTGCCATTCGCAGGTAAAAAACGAACAAAAAAAATATTAAAATGAGAAACTGATTAAGAAAAATCAAACAGCTAGAGATTTTTCAGATGAAGTCAACATAAGCTACGTAAGCTTTCTAATTTTGCTCAGCAACTTAAATATTGAACTACTCAATGGTTTACAATCAATTCTATTCCAATGACAAGCTAAATCAGTTTTGAAAAATAAAGACTAAAAAGTATCATAAACTCAATTTTTAAAGACTATTTAAATGACGATCTCATTTTAATTTAATCTTATTTTTGCTTTATAATCAGATATTTTTACTACCAAATTAAGGAGGAGAATAAATAAAATGTTCTGAGACTTAAGAAAGCTGATGATTTTCCTTACAGGAATACTCTTGAGTTACTCTCTTGATCCTGCCAATGTAGTTCTAGCAATGAATGTAGGTGGAGCTGCTTATACCTCAACTTTTGGCTTTACTTATACTCCAGATTCTAATTATTACTATACTGGGGTCATGGCTACATATTTCGACACTTCTTCTCTTCCAATTGCACGTACAATTAATAGCTATATTTACAAATCAGAAAGAGTAGCGGCTGGAATCTGGGGATATGATATCCCAGTGAGCATTGATGGAACATATGTCCTGATTCTTCAATTTGCTGAAATCTATTATACAACTATAAATTCCAGGGTTTTTACTGTAAAAGTAGGAGATTACATTGTATTAAGCAATTTAGACTTATTCGCTCTTGCTGGATTTAATTCTGCTTATGACCTTTTTGTTGAGTTTACACTTTCAAGTGGAAGTGTCTATATTTCAGGCAATTTAATAAGCAATGCCTACTCTAGCGGGAATTTAATTGTTCGCTTGCATCCTGTTATACAAGCTCCCAAAATTTCTGGTATAATTTTAATGAGGGGAAGCTGTGCTACGAATGATTATTGTAATATGTGCTATCAGCAAATTTGTGTTACTTGTGATAGTATAAATTTAGCATGCATTTCTTGCATTACAAATGCGCAGGCTGTCAGCGGAGCATGCCAATGTAGTCCAAATGCTTATTGGGTATCTTCCACAAAAACTTGTGAGAAATGCGATAATTTATGTAGCGACTGTAGTGGATCTTTAAATTTTATATGCACCACATGTGTATCCCCAAATGTTTTAGTGTCAAATATCTGCTTAAGAGAGTGCCCGTATGGATTTGGCTCTTGTACTCCTATTTCAACACCTGTTATTGATCAAAATTTTGCAAATTATTTTTACGGAGCTTATGGCTTGTTTACAACAGGGACAAGCTCAAGCAGATGTTACTTTTTCACTAGTCCTGAAGCTGTAGATCCACTCCCTGCTAAAAACAGAGGACTATACTTTTACGGCGGCTCATATCTTCAATCTTCATCTGTCTACGTTTCATTCAATTTCTCTTTAGGAATATGAGTTTGAATATTACCAGGCTCAGGAGATATATTGGGAAATAGTCCAAATAATAAAATAGGGTGCAGGTCCAATAATCGTGAATTTTTTATAGCATGCATTCCACCAAAGTAAATTTGGTCGAAAATTGGTTGAAACTTTTTGATGGTGAGACGTTTGGTCGAAAAAAAAGTTAAAATTTCGGCCAAATGTATATCGATGAAATCTACACTATCAAAAATCCACTGTCATTTAGCATGGAGCTAATAAAATAGCAATATCTGCAAACGGTGCTCTAACAATTATATTAGAAAATAGACTCGAAGCCACTACTCCAATAACAACTGCTGCATTAAATCCATCGAACTCAGGCTGAGTTTATATTTCTTTTGTTGCTTCATTTTCATCATCAACCATATCAACAACAATCGTCCCTTATTTAAACAACTCTCCACAAACTTCTATTACAACTACTCAATACATATATAGAGATGCAGCAGGTAATTCAATATATTTGGGACAAAACTCTTTAAGTAAGTTTGTAGGGTACATTTATCAATTCACTTTATGAAATGTAGCTGTCTCAAATTTTAATACTCAATACTCAGATCAAATATGCGGCTCAGGGGCAGTTGCTAGCTGCCTTTGGGCTTGCTCTTTAACTCAATGAATGAACGGAGCTACAATCACAAACTGCGACTCATGCCCTTGTGGATGTGTCAGAAGCGGATCTTGCAATGTATGTTTTGATCCTCTTTGCAGTATATGCACAGGGTTCTTGACAGGACTTTGCACTCAATGTGTTTCTAATGCATCTGGAAGTCCCTGTGCTTGCAATCCTGGCTATATGCTTTCTACTGACGGTTTTTCTTGTGTGCCATGCTTTAATGGGTGCGCTACTTGTGCAGGAGCTCTTTATTATCAATGCAGTTCTTGCTTATCAAGCTATTATTTATTAAAAACAATGTGTCTTACTTATTGCCCCTCAGGATACACAGCTGATTCATCAGGCCATTCTTGCACTCTATCTTCATCTAACCCTTTAAGCATTTCTCTTCAGAATTTAATTCAATTAGACATGGTCAATGGAGTCACTGTAGGCTCTTCAAACACAAATAAGTACCCTAATTGGGAAGCAACAGATCCTATACCTTCGATATATAGAGGCTACTATTTTTCAGGCAGTAATTACATGAGTCTTGCATCATTTACGATTAGTCCGTATTTTACATTGCTATTTTGAATAAGAATGCTAAACAATGGATATTTATTTATGAAATTTGATGGCACCACTAAATATTTTACTATTAATTTTATTTCAGGTATCCCAAAAATAAATATTTTGCTCTCAGACTCAACACCTCTTAGCATCACTACCACGCCGAGTATTACTACGACGTGACATTATATAGCAATTACTGGAGGTCTTTCTTCTGGGCAAACTGTTTTAACTCGGATAATTAATATGATTACAGTAACTCCTGTTACTTCTACATCTTTTGCTTATTTTAAAGATGCTGGTGATCTTTGTATTGGCAAAGATAATACAGCAACAGGAGGTTTTACTGGATTTTTATGGAATTTTAAAATTTATAATGATGATACTTATGCTCTACAAGAATATATATCGTCTGGATGCCCTGGGTGTTCTATTTGCCCTTCTGAGCTAATATGCCCTGATAATTGCCCTTTTGGGCAGTTTTATTCTAGCTCGTGTGTATCTTGTACTGGCACATGTCCTTATGGCTGCAGATCAGCATCAACCTGTAGATTATGCAAAGACAAAGAATGTGTTACCTGCACTACTTTTGATGGCTCTTGCACCTCTTGTATACCAAATGCTCATATCTCAGGAACGACCTGTGTTTGCAATGCTAATACATTTTGGGAACAGAGCTCAGATGGATGCCAAATCTGTGATAATTTGTGTAACGTCTGTCAAACAAATAAATATTTTATGTGCACATCTTGTGTTGCAACATATTCTATTATTTGGAATGTCTGCTTAAAAGGCTGCCCATATGGCTATGCAAGCCCATGCATAGCAATTTTTACACCTGTTATAAATGAATCATTTAATACAGATTTCCAAGGAGTTTACGGAATCTTCACTACTGGAATAAGTGCCACTTCTTTCCAGTTCTTTAATACACCTGAAGCAGTAGATCCCATTCCAGCCAAAAAACGAGGCTTATATTTTAATGGGAGCCAATATTTGATATCAAATGTCAATATCTATCTTTCCCATAGTTTTTCAATGGGCTTCTGGACTTACGTAATTAGTTCAGGGGATATTTTAACAAATTCAAGAATTGCTGTGGATTCCTCTGGCTCTATAAAAATACCACTAGAAAGTCCATCAGAGATAACATCAATGCAAACAATTTTAGGTTCGTCATTTACAACTTGGAAGTATTTATCATTTACATGCTCATTTACTAGCTCCACAGCCGCAATAACAACAGTGACAATTTATCTAAATAATGTCTCTGGAACATCATCTACGTTTAACGCTTTAATATATAGGGATCTTGCCAATCAAAAGATTACACTTGGTGGCAGCTCGACATCATATTTCACAGGATTTATGTACAAATATCAGCTATGGAATGTCGCAATTGTTGATTTTACAACGCAACTCAATGAAATTTGTGGCTCTGGGTTATTAGCAACTTGTCTATGGGCATGCCCTCTTAATAAATATAAGTTTTCAACAACATGCCAGAATTGCGAATCAACTTGCACTCTTGGATGCACAAGAAGTGGTTCTTGTAATATTTGTGATGATCCTCTTTGTAGCATTTGCACTGGATTTGATCCAAATAAATGCACTAATTGTGTTTTGAATGCTTCTGGGAGTCCATGCAAATGTAACATTGGCTGATATGTGTCATCTGATGGGTTTTCATGCGTTCCTTGCTTTACTGGATGTGCTTCATGTACTGGACTTCTTTATTATCAATGCAGCTCTTGTTCTTCTGGCTATTATTTGCTAAAAGCATTATGTCTCACTTATTGCCCTTCAGGCTATACAGCTGATACTTCAACCAATTCCTGTATTTTAACTACGTCAAATCCCTTGGACATTTCTTTACAAAATCTAATTCAGCTAGACACAGTCAATGGAGTTTCCGTAGGATTATCAAATTCTAATAAATATCCTTCTTGGGAAACAACTGACCCAATTCCTTCAATTTATAGAGGATACTATTTTTCAGGTGCCAACTATATGAGTCTTACATCATTTATCATGAGTCCTTATTTTTCATTACTAGTTTGGGTAAAGCCACTTGCTGACGGATATTTATTTATGAAATTTGATGGAACAACAATATTTTCCTATTTCAATTTTTCATCTGGGAATCACAAAATGAATATTCTACTTTCAGATTTAACTACGATATATGCAAGCACCTCTTCAATTCTTTATTCAGGGTGGCATTATATAGCATTTACTGGCGATCTACCATCAGGCAAAACTGCATTATATTTGTCAATAGATGGAGTTTATATATCCGCAAGCTTGTCTAGCTCATTTGCATATATGAAAGACAATGGCTCGCTTTATATCGGAAAAGATAGTACGCTATCGGGAGGATTTACTGGTTTCCTATGAAGTTTCAAAATTTATAATGATAATACCTACGCATTGCAAGAATGAATAACATCAGGATGTCCTGGATGTGCTGCTTGCCCTTCTGAGCTTAAATGTCCTGATAATTGTCCTTTTGGACAGTTTTATTCAAGCTCATGCGTTTCTTGTGTAGGCTCATGTCCATATGGCTGCAGATCAGCACTCACTTGCAGACTGTGCAAAGACAAAGAATGTCTCGCATGCACAACTTTTGATGGTCCTTGCACATCCTGTATAGCAAATGCAAGCATTTCAGGCACCACATGCATTTGCAATAGTAACACATTTTGGGACCAAAGCTTGGATGGATGTGCAATCTGTGATAATTTATGCAGTCAGTGCCAAACAAATAAATATTTTTTGTGTTTATCGTGCGGCCCATCTTATCATCTACTTTATAATGCTTGCTTAAGAGATTGTCCTTATGGATATTCAAGCCCGTGCACAGCAGTTTTTACACCTGTGATTGATGCATCATTTATTGGAAACTTTCAAGGGACTTATGGAATTTTTACAACTGGGACAAGCGCAACTTCTTTTCAATTTTTTAATTCGCCTGAGTCTTCAGATCCTATTCCAGCGAAGCAAAGAGGTTTATATTTCAGCGGAAACCAATATTTAATATCAAATGTAAGCATTTATCTTTCCTATAGTTTCTCAATGGGTTTTTGAATTAATGTAATTGCCTCACTCTCATCTTTTCAACGGCAAGATGTTTATCTGCGGGGCCAAAATTTTATTAATTTAAAAAAAATTTATTTTAGCATGGAGAAATGGAAGTATTTATATAATATCAAAAAAAATAATTTTCTTACTTGTAAATGAATTAATTTTTTGTTAATCTTTAAATCTTCTCTGAAGAGGGAGTCAGGACATGTTTTATCAAATTCGCAAATTATTTTGGATTCCTCTGGTTCTATATTAATTACATTAGAAAGTCCATCAGAAACAACTTCATCAGAAACTCTGTCAAACACTCCTTTCACAATGTGAAAATATTTATCATTTACATGTTCATTCAGCAATTCTTCTGTGTCAACGACTTTGATAATTTATTTAAACAATGTTTCAAAGGCCTCTGCAACTTTTAATAAGCTTATATATAGAGACCAAACCAACCAAAAAATAAAAATCGGTGGCAGTTTATCTTCATATTTTACAGGATTCATTTATAAATACCATTTATGAAATGTTGCAGTTTTTGACTTTTCTGCACAATTAAATGAAATTTGTGGGTCTGGGCTATTAGCAGCATGCCTATGGACATGTGATATTAATAAATACTGATATTCGGCAGCATGCACAAATTGTGATTCAAGTTGCAATCTTGGATGCACTAGAAGTAGGTCTTGCAATATTTGTGATGATCCGCTTTGCAGTGTCTGTACTGGCTTTGATGCAAATAAATGCACTATGTGTGTTTCGAATGCATCTGGAACTCCTTGTGTTTGTAACAGTGGTTATATTGTTTCTTCAGATGGCTTTTCTTGCTTAGCCTGCTTTACGGGATGCTCTTTATGCTCATCTACTGATTATTACCAATGTGCTGCTTGCTATTCTTCATACTTTTTGCTAAATATCCTATGTGACTCTCAATGCCCAAGTGGCTATAGTCAAAACATTGCCACAAATAAATGCGATTTAGTGGACAGTTTAGTCATTGATTTAGAACTTGATGATTATATTGTACTTGACACTTTATATGGATTCAATGTTGGAAACAATAATACAAATATATATCCAGCATTTGACGTAAATGATCCCATTCCTGCAATTAAGTTTAAGTTTAACGAATTACTCTGGCGAATTGCCTTCAATCTTCTTTTACTTGAGGGTCCAGCTACATTAACAGCTCTGAATAACGGTAGGTGGACCGGCCTAACCGTCAAACCGTTAAAGTTAATAAGCCCGTTAAGACTTCTTAGTCAGTGCCAGCCTCAGCGCTGACTTCTTCTCTTCAAGCCGAGACTCTCAAGAAGCTTGACTTCTCTCACTAAGCTCGGATGATAGGACAGGACCTGCGTAGCAGGAGTTAATACCTATCCCTAACCGAAATTTTTAATATTGTATCCTGCAATTAACCGTGGATATTATTTCACTGGGCAAAGCTATATGAGCAGTTCTTTAGTTTTTAGCCCTTATTTTTCTATTATGCTCTGGGTTAAGGTCATTGAACAAGGAATTTTAATTGAAAAATACGATGGAGCTACACAATATTTAGTAATTAAGATTGATGAAAACGGCAATCAGAATCTTCACTTATTGCTCAGAGATGGGTCATCGCTCAATGCAATTGCTACACAAAATTTACTGTCTGATTGACATTATTTGTCATTTTCTGGGAAAATCAATGGAAATGGAGCATATAGCTCTAATATATATGCAGATTCTGCCTTGCTCATGGCAAGTACTTCAGCTTCTAAAACATATTTAAGAGATAGCATTTCTGGAGTGCTCATGATTGGCTTTGATAAATCATCTGGGATTGGTTTCAAAGGTTTTCTGTGAAATCTAAAAATTTATAACGATGAAACTTATGTAAACAATGGATGGACTTCTGCAACTTGTACCACTAATGTATGCCCAAACTGTCCAAGTGGGGTTTTTTGTCCAAGTTCTTGCTCATTGACAAATTATCCAGGTAGCTCTTTGTGCAACTCATGTAAAGCATCATGCTTTAATGGATGCAGAAGTGATCTGACATGCCGTCTGTGCAGAGAAAAAGAGTGCTATTCATGCAAATCTTTTTCCAAAAAATGCATAAGCTGTATTAAAAATGCAGGATTTGTAGGAGATTCATGCCAATGCAATCAGAATGCTTTATGAAATGAGAATACAGAGACCTGCGATCTTTGTCCTACAGGGTGATTAGAAAATAAGGTATGCTTAAGCACCTTTAATGCTACACTTACGGTTAATCCTAATAACACCCTCATATTAAGCTTTAGCGATGGCTTAAAACAGAATTTAACAAACGAGCAAATAATGATACAAATCCAAAATCATACAATTCCATCATGATCAATAACCTATATCTCAAATAAAGAATTTTTAATATCATGCGATTTTGGTCGAAAATCTTTACAAAAAGCAGTAGTTTCATTATACTTTAATGATTCAGAACATATTGAATCAATTTCAGGTAGTGTGCTTCTTGAAAAATATTTATCTGGTACTCTTTATGAGTCTGAATTCGAATCTGATGAAATTGCTGGGATTAAAAATCAAGTTTCTGCAGGGATCAAAATTTTGGTTGGATCAGGCGTGATTTTATCAATATTTAGCCTAAATCCTTCTAGCTTATGGACTATGATTAACACTATTCAACTTCTTGCCTATATACCATATGCAAGCTATCCTATTACAGAAAAAATTTCAGTATTTTTCAAATCTATGAATAATTTTAATATTGTTCCAAACTTGTTTTTATTTTTTATTGATGAAAATGAAAGTAATGCTCCTTATGATCGAGCAAGAAACTATGGGTATGATAGCTACTTGATACTTGCTAATATTGGAAATGATGCGACAGCGCTATGCGGCATTATAGTTGCCATTCCTCTAGTATATTACTTTTCTAAATGCTCTCAGAGATATATAGGAAAGAAATTTCAAAAAATATTTAATGAATATAAGTTCAGCACATTTTTGAGATTTATAATAGTGAGTTATCTTGAATTTGGCTTTGCTGCTACAGTCGGGATTTTGAGCACCGATAATTTTAAAATCTTTGAAAGTACTCTTGAATCTACAAACTATTTTTTATGTTGAATTTGTATTGTAACCATAATTTAGGGTTGAGTTGAAAAAAGTTCATTGAACTTTTTTCCTATATACTTTTTCACCGTCAAAACATCAGTAAATTTCAACAAACTTTTTTTTTGGGGTAAAATTGTACAATCAGAGCAAAAAAAACTCGTAGTAAAAAAGTTAATGGTGCTCTTGCACCATCATTCCTATAGGAAAAAAAGTTCACGGTAAAAAAACAATATATCAATAGCAATGAATAATATAAAGCTGTGAAATCATAAGATAATATATGATGAGAATGTTCATGCTCTAATTTACTTGCCCAAATATATATATATTTTTAAAATGAATTAAAGAGTAGCGTAGTACCTAAGACAATACGAGATTTTTCTGTCAATTTCAAAAAATAGGGTAAAAAAAAGTTCTTATAAAATTTCATTGATATCGAATGTGATTTATTATTCATATTTACTAATAATATTATCTAAATATTTTAAATAAAAAAAAGTCTAATTAATAGCAAAGTATAAAGCTGCAAACTCTTAAATAAAGATAGCAAAATAGTTTTATCAAAATTTTTTCTTAAAAACTGGGTGAAAAAAGTTAATGGATCAAAAATTATAGGAAAAAAGTCCACCGCACATTTTTTACTACAAATATTGCATGGAAAAAAGTTCATATAAAAATACAGTAAATTGCTAGGAAATCCCTTGAAAAAAGTTAAGTGTATATACATAAAGTTTCCATAATGCATCAACATAGAGATACATTTAATAGAATCTTAAAGAGAAAATAATAAATATTATGGGTGAAATCATAGCTGCTATCGCAAGAGCTAAGGGAATCAATATTCGATCTTCTTCTGGAGAAATCATGACTGATCAATTAATCGAATTCGCGCTGCAGAATGCAATCATTATTTAAACAATGTGTTTGAGATTCAATTTAAGCTTACTGCAAGTTTCGGTGCTTCTGCATGAGCACAAACAACACAAAGAAGAACAAAAAAAACCAAATTTCAGAGCATGATCACCATGGGAATGAAGAAAATCCTATAGAAAGGCCGCTAAACAGAGATGAAGAAATTCCTCAACCTTTATAGCTTATGGCTTCATTTGGATTCATAAAAGAAAATCAGCCTTTCGTTCAATTAATTCTTCAATTCTGATATCTCCAAAATAAATAATATAAGTATACTTTAGAGTTGTTAATTTATAGGGAAAAATGTTATCACGAAACACTTTTCTCTTTTATAAAATAAGTATTCAGGAATTTATATGCATACTTGCACTATACCCGCGCAAAATGAGATAAGTTCGAAAGAGTCAGAAGTTAGCAACGATGATTTAATTGAAGACATAATAGAAGAAGTGTTTGAAATTAACCAAAAAATATCAGATTTTCAATAAATACTTCGAATATAGACCAACAAGAAAACGAAGAGCAGCCCCAAAGACTTATAGAAGAGAACTCAAATGACATAGAAAATACAAATGCTAATATAGTCAGCAAGTTCAGAAAGGGTGATAAATATCAGTCTGAAAGCGTAAAAGAGTTTCAAGCTTTTATTAAGCAAAAGGCCTTAGAAACTGATAGAGCAAAAATAAATGTCTTCAGCCATAATTCCCAAAGGAAGATCATTAAATTTATTTGTTACTTTTCTGGTGATCATGCTAATGCTTTATTTCCATCTATTAAGCCAACTGAAAAGTGCAAATTTAAAACAACTTGAAACTACAACTGCAGCAATGCAAATTCGTACAGTTTTGAATGTGTAGATATATTTAGCCAACATAATCATAGAGCCATTCCCGAAAACGATTCGCAGAGTTTATTAGAGTGCGAGATTTTGTCAGAAAATATAAGAAAAGAAGCTATAAAATACTAGTATGAAGGATGCACAGTTAAACAAATTCAAATAATTATAAATACCAATAATGGAAGCAAGTTTTCAAAAAATAAAAATTGCAAATTTGATTCACTATTATTCAAAAAAAAATCAGATAGAATTTACATTTGAATCTTTAGTAGCAAACAAACTTAAGAATGAAAATGCTATAATCAAATATGATAGAGTATTAAGAAGGTTTTTTATTTCAGATAAAAACAGAATAGACATGTGAAACAATTTACAAGATGTTATTCTGGTTGACAGTACTTATAAAGTACATAATGACTTTCAATGTGCAGTTTTTATATTAACACTTGACTCCAATGGATCTAATTATGCATTGGCAATGGCATTATGCCACAAAGAGACTATAGAAGACTATATTTGAATCTTTTCTAAATTTATAAAGTATTTTCAGCATCCAAAAGCTATTTTTGCTGATAGAAACAATGCTCAATATAGAGCTCTTTCAACAGTTTTTACCTCATCAAAAGTGTTTTTTTGCTTATGGCATTTACAAAGAAATGTTATTTGCCACTTAAAAAAATCTAAATATAAGTTGGGATGAGTTTAAGACTAGCTGGTGAAATCTTTATTATTCTAAAGATGCAAGAGCTTTTAATATGGTATGAAGAAATTTGCTAATTGCATATCCTCAATTTTAAAACTTCTAATGCCTTTTTAGAGTTGGAAGCAATTAAATCCAATTGAGTACACTACGAGTGTCTGAAATATCCGACTTTTGGCATCAAAACGACTTCCAGGATAGAAAGCTTTAATTCTGTGGTAAAAAGATCTAATAGGGTTTTAAAAAGAAATAAGGATTCATTGATCCTGACAGTTTTTGATAAGATTGCACATGAAGAGCATGAATCTTTTAAGAAAAAAATTTACGCTCAAAAACAAAACTATCACGTTCATATCAAGAAAACTTCGCTAGAAAATGAAATAATATTTATACTCGCTATAGTTATTTCATTTTTCAAAAAGAATTGAGTAAAGTTGACAGCTGTTCAGTCGAAAAGGTATTTAAATGTAATAATCTTTATTCAGTAGTGGAAAATACAACTCATGGGACATGAAGTTCAAAGTAAATAGGAGGAAAATGGAATGCTCATGCTACAAAAAATTTCGTTGTGGAATACCTTACTGTCATTTACTCTTGATTTACGAGTTCGTAGGAGATGATTTATTATATCTTATCGTTTCAGCTACAGCAAAAAGATGGTTGCTTCCAGAATGTATTGAACTTTCCATTGAAGAAATTAAGGATATTTGGAATGCTCCTGACTTAAAGCGTAACATAATTGAGGCAAATCAAGATGGCATCAAGTTAATAAAAGATAATTAGCTTCAATTTATTATTTTCTCTTTAAGATTCTATTAAATGTATCTCTATGTTGATGCATTATGGGAATTTTATGTATATACACTTAACTTTTTTCAAGGGATTTCCCAGAAATTTACTGTATTTTTTATATGAACTTTTTTCCATGCAATATTTGTAGTAAAAAAGTGTGGTGGACTTTTTTCCTATAATTTTTGATCCATTAACTTTTTTCACCCAGTTTTTAAGAAAAAATTTTGATAAAACTATTTTGCTATCTTTATTTAAGAGTTTACAGCTTTATACTTTGCTATTAATTAGACTTTTTTATTTAAATATTTAGATAATATTATTAGTAAATATGAATAATAAAATCACATTCGATATCAATGAAATTTTATAAGAACTTTTTTTACCCTATTTTTTGAAATTGACAGAAAAATCTCGTATTGACTTAGGTACTACGCTACTCTTTAATTCATTTTAAAAAATATATATATATTTGGGCAAGTAAATTAGAGCATGAACATTCTCATCATATATTATCTTATGATTTCACAGCTTTATATTATTCATTGCTATTGATATATTGTTTTTACCGTGAAACTTTTTTCCTATAGGAATGATGGTGCAAGAGCACCATTAACTTTTTTACTACGAGTTTTTTTTTGCTCTGATTGTACAATTTTACCCCAAAAAAAAGTTTGTTGAAATTTACTGATGTTTTGACGGTGAAAAAGTATATAGGAAAAAAGTTCAATGAACTTTTTTCAACTCAACCCCATAATTTAGACTCTTATAGCTATTATTCCTTTTCTCCTTGCGTATTTTAGCTTTAAAAACTTGAGCAAAATATTAAACAAAAGAAATAGAAAATGATTAGCTCCTTGAAGTTCACTATATTATGAATTCAAAAATAATTCAGGTTTTATCAGCACTCAATACTATTCTCTGTTTTTTGCAAGGAGATTAATTTTTGTTATTACCCAAATATTTTTAAATGATTTTCCGCAAAGTCAACTCACAATTAATGCGGTTTCAGCGTTATGCGTAACTTTTATATAGATCGCATTGTTTGTTTTGATTTATAAGCCTTTTGAAGATAAAGTCATTCAATTTACAAATTTAATTACGGAATTTGGAATTTCAATCATTTTTCTGCTACTAACTCCATACTTTTTTGATTTGGGTTCAGCAGGAATTGAAGTAATGGACAGCTTAATAATATATTTAACTATTTCTCTTATGGTAGCGCAAGCTACTGGGCCATTTATAAATTCGGTTAAAGAATTATATTTCACTATCAAAAAGACTCTAGCTGAAAATTCACACCCCAAGCCAATCAAAGCACAACAAAAAAGCAAGAAAATAGACTTAAACAACTTGAACGATTTTTTTGATGGTGCAGCTGGAACAAATATGGAGGAAACAGAAAACAATAGCAGTGAAAGCATAAAATAAATAATAAAATTCGAAAAGTGTGATAAATAGACCTATATTGCTAGAAATGAATTTTGAAAATTTTAATGATAAATGCGATAATTAAGCAAAAGTTTATATGGATTCAAACTTATATATAATTAATAAATAATTAAAAGTAGGTTTGAAACCAAAAGTTGCCAAGCTAACGTCATGAGTTGAAAAATGGCATATATTAACTCACATTTCAATTCACGGAGCTGGCTTGGCAACTTTAGGTCACAAACCGATTCCACTAGGTGGAGTTGAAGATGGTAGCCCAGGACTGCTTAATTTTAATCCTCACCAGAAGTTATTTAATAGGTTATTTTCTTATTTGATATATGAGAATAAGATAAAGTGTACTAGTAGGTGTCCATTTATTTATGATAATTAATTAGGCATATTTTCAATAAAAGTAAGTGATAAAGTTCTGCTTCATCTTTAGAATTCTTATGAAATTAAAGAGTTAATAATAATTTTAAAAGCAATACTGCATTTAAAGCGCACAGATTGATGCAATAGAAAGAGAATTAGAGAAATATTAAGACAACTTCCCCCTAAGAGGTCCTATTTTTAAAGGTCTTTCTTTTCCTTGTATAGCTATAACATAAACTTGAGTCTAGTCTGAATTCTAAATTTCTGATAAGATTTGCTCCTGATATTAATTTTAATTTTCTGTGGATTTGTTTTTAATTCCAATTTTCCGATAAAAATCGAGCCTAATTGATTTTATTTTCTGTAGAGTTTAAGTCTAATATAAAATTTAAGATATCTATATATTCGAGAATCATATCTTAATTGTTTCAGTCGTTTAATTAGCTTCATTAAAGCTAACGTCTCATTTCTTCATTCTGTTGTTCCATCACTTGAGCAATTAATCACAATTTGTCTAACTCCCCCTCCATGAGCGAACAAAAAATATGTTTACTCTAGGAAGGCGATTAATAAATTTTATAGAATTTTTTTTTTTTAAAAATTCATAATTTGCAAAAATTGGAAAGCAAATATAATTAAATTTGTAAAATATATGCTTTAAAACGCAATTTGTTTAAAATTAAGCAAAATTAGCTTAAGATTTTATTATACTAATTATCACTTATATATCAAAAATTTGTTTCGCTCGCGGAGGGTGGGCTTTTATCAAAAAATTGCAATTTTTCTAATGGTTTTGTTCGCTCACGGAGGGGGGAGTAAAAATTTCCCTTGTAAATTTTGCCGAAAAAGCCGATTCTCCATCATTAAGTACTTTTCATCTTTTGCTGTTATCAGAAGTCTTATTTATTTAAGTAAATCTCCTTTCTTTATGTTTTCTTCAAAAAAGTATTAGCTTCTATCGTCATCACTCCAAACATCATAATCATTGTTTTTTTTAATTTCATCATTTTCTGGAAAATCATCATAGGCATCATTAAGCAATCCTACTTAAACTAATCCATAAAATATCGATTGGGATAAAACCAACTAGAGCACATGCACGCTTTCACATTCCATTTCTAGCAGTGTGTGGCAATTTCCGTATCAAGTCAATATCCATTTTCTCGATAAATTAAAGAGTATCAATAGAGCTTAAAAGAAAAGTATACTTTGAGCTATTTAAATGAAAAAATCCTCACAATTATAGGCATATCTGTAAATAGCTCGATAAGGGCTAGGGATAGAAGCCAAAACTTCCCACTTGGTTCGGCCAAAATGGGATGGCCAAACCAACTGGAAAGTGGCAAATAAGCCTCCTTCCACTTGGTTTAACCAAATCCATTTTGGCCAAATAAAGCGGAAAGTTTTGACTTCTATCCCTAGCCTATCCCTAGCCTATATCGGGCTATTTTCAGGATATTCCTATACTTCAAAAGCCAAAAGGAAAATAAGCTCAGTCTCAACTTCAAGAGTAAGTAAGAAATCAAAAAAAATATTATAGCTTATTTAATTTGATGAGCAACCATCTAGCGAATGCGAGGTTCTATAGTACCGATCCAGTTTTTATTATTTTATTCAACAGCAAATTTAATCAAATTTTGTTTTGCAAAAATTTTTGCCAATAATTTAAAGAAATTTAAATTATTTTGAAAAGAATTGAAATAATGTCTCATCAATTGAAAATTCACATTATTAGATTCTTTAATTCTATTTTTGATATCATGATTATCGTAACTTCGCATAAAATTTAGAAGGAGAATAAATTAAAAAATGTTTGATGACGTAAGACTGCTAGCTATCATCATCATGAGCATTGTCATATGTTACTCCCTGGATGCTGCAAATGTTGCCCTTGCAATGAATTGTGGAGGGCCAGCTTATGCTTCAACATTTGGTTTTGCTTACTCTCCTGATTCTTATTATGATTAGGTTATGTTATTAAAATCAGGTTTAGCAATATTGGTGACGCGGCCACCAAAGACCTTACGGAAGATTCATTCGCTTTTCGACTTAATGTGCTTGCACTATATAAAAGTGCCGAATTTTATAATTCTTATTATTATCCTACCGGTGTCACTATTGCTGCCTCCGACACATCATCTAATCCAATTACTCGCACGTCCGATGGCTATATTTACAAATCAGAAAGGGTAGCATTTGGGGTCTGAGGATATAACATTCCACTAAGCACTGATGGGACATATGTTCTGATTCTCCAATTTGTTGAATTCTGATATACAAGCATAGCCCAGAGAGTATTTACTTTGCAAGTAGGAGATTATGTTGTTTTCGACAATTTAGACTTATTCGCTCTCGTTGGAATATATGCTGCTCGTGATTTTTATGTCGAATTCATGCTAACAGGTGGAAATATTTATATCTCCGGCAATTTAATAAGCAATGCTTATTCTAGCGGGAATTTAATTGTTAGCTTGCATCCTGTTATCCAAGCTCCTAAAATTTCTGGAATAATTTTAATGAGGGGAAGCTGTGCTACGAATGATTATTGTAATATGTGCTATCAGCAATTGTGTGTTACTTGTGATGAAGCAAATTTAATTTGTATTTCGTGTATTGCGAATGCGGAACCCATTGGAGGAGTTTGCCAATGTAGTCCAAATGCTTATTGGGTATCTTCCACAAAAACTTGTGAGAAATGCGATAATTTATGTAGCGACTGTAGTGGATCTTTAAATTTTATATGCACCACATGTGTATCCCCAAATATTTTAGTGTCAAATATCTGCTTAAGAGAGTGCCCGTATGGATTTGGCTCTTGTACTCCTATTTCAACACCTGTTATTGATCAAAATTTTGCAAATTATTTTTACGGAGCTTATGGCTTGTTTACAACAGGGACAAGCTCAAGCAGTTGCTACTTTTTCACTAGTCCTGAAGCTGTAGACCCACTCCCTGCTAAAAACCGAGGACTTTACTTTTATGGCGGCTCATATCTTCAAACATCATCTGTCTACATTTCATTTAATTTCTCTCTCGAAATATGAATTTGAATATTGCCAGGCTCAGGAGATATATTGGGAAATAGTCCAAATAATAAAATAGCAATATCTGCAAACGGTGCTCTAACAATTATATTAGAAAATAGACTAGAAGCCACTACTCCAATAACAACTGCTGCTTTAAATTCATCAGGCACAGGCTGAGCTTATATTGCTTTTGTTGTTTCATTTTCATCATCAACCATATCAACAACAATCGTCCCTTATTTAAACAACTCTCCACAAACTTCTATTACAACTACTGATTATATATATAGAGATGCAGCAGGTAATTCAATATATTTGGGACAAAACTCTTCAAGCAAGTTTATAGGGTACATTTATCAATTCACTTTATGAAATTGGCTGTCTCGAATTTTAATACTCAATACTCAGATCAAATATGTGGCTCAGGGGCAGTTGCTAATTGCCTTTGGACTTGCTCTTTAACTCAATGAATGAACGGAGCTACAATCACAAACTGCGATTCTTGCCCAAACGATTGCGTTAGAAGTGGATCTTGCAACGTTTGTAATGATCCGCTTTGCAGTATATGTACAGGATTCTTAGCAGGCCTTTGCACTCAATGCGTTCCTAATGCATCTGGGAGCCCTTGCACTTGCAATCCAGGCTATAATCTGTTTGAATAATTTATCATCATCATATTTTTGCCAATAAGTGTTTGCATAATATCGAGACATAATTTTCTTATTGTTAAAAAATATTAAAACTATAAATTTAATTTAAATATTTTATTAGAAAATATTATATGCTTTCTGCTGATGGGTTTTCTTGCTTTCCATGTTTTGCTGGATGCTTTTTATGCTCATCAACACATTATTATCAATGCACAGCCTGCTTTTCTTCATATTACTTATTAAATGTCCTCTGCGATACACAATGTCCAAGCGGTTTCAATTCAAATGCTATAACAAATAAATGCGATTTAGTGAATAGTTTAATTGTGGATTTAGAATTGGATGATTATATTGTGCTTGATAATTTATTAGGATTTAATGTTGGTAGTATTAATACAAACACTTATCCAGTGCTTGATGTAAATGACCAGAAGGGCTATTTTTTACTGGGCAAAGTTATATGACTAGCTCTTTAATTTTTAATCTTTATTTCTCTATCATGCTTTGGGTTAAGGCTATAGGCCAGGGAGTTTTAATTAAAAATACAATGGAGCTTCTCAATATTTAGTTGTAAAAATCGACAGCAGTGGCTACCCGAATCTCAATTTATTACTCAAAGATGGATCATCTTTAAATGCAGCTATTTCACAAAATTTATTTGCTGATTGACATTATCTGTCATTTTCTGGATCAATTAATACAGATGGGACTTATAGTTCTTATAGTTATATAGACTCATCGCTTGCTATTACAAAGACTTCAATATCTCAAACATACTTAAGAGATAGTATTTCTGGAGCTCTGCTAATTGGCTTTGATAATGCGTCAGGGACTGGCTTCAAAGGATTCCTGTGGAGTTTAAAAATATATAATGATGAAACTCATGCCAATTCCGACTGAGCAACTACGACTTGCACTTCAAACCCTTGCACAAGTTGCCCGGCTGGAGATTTCTGTCCAAGCTCTTGCTCATTGGCAAATTATCCTGATAGCACTACATGTGATCCATGCAAAACATCATGCTCTAATGGGTGTAGAAGCAATCTAGCATGCACACTTTGCAGAGAAAAAGAATGCTATTCATGCAAATCTTTTACACAAAAGTGCCTAAGCTGTATAGCTAATGCGGGATTTGTAGGAGATTCATGCCAATGCAATCAAAATGCTTATTGGAATGGAAACACAGAGACATGCAATCTCTGTCACTCAATTTGTTCTACATGCTCTGGACCATCTTTCACTGAATGCATTCAATGTGGATCTTCCTTACTTATGCTATCAAATGTATGTCTTAAGTTTTGCCCTTCTGGATATATTTTAAGTGGCAATCAATGCAATTTATCAAATGAACTGGTTTTCAACTTAAGACTCAGCCAGATAAAAGACATAGTTTATGATTCAGTAAGAAATGTTGCTTTCCAAACTGGAAATGATGATAGTTTTTACCCATTCTATAATCTAGAAGATCCATTTGCTGCAAACCTAAGAGGTTATTATTTTAGAGGAACTTCATTCATGAAATCAAAAGACAATTCGCCATCTTTAACTCTAGGAGCAGAATTTACAATATCAGCATGAATCAACCCAATTTTAGATATTGGATATATTATATCTAAACAAGATAGCTTATCTACAAATTTTATTACATTTTCACTGACATTAGGGAAACTTTGCTTTTCAATGACATTAGAAGATGGAACATCAGTTTCTTATACCACTACAACTATATCAATTACTTTAGGATCCTGGAATTTTATAGCTGCTAAAAGTATTATAAGCCCGACACCAAAGCAACAAATTTCGTTTTATATTGACTCTTCAAGCGAAATATCTTCTGATCTGGCATCCTCATGATATCAGGATATTTCTTCAGCCTTCACTATTAACATTGGTGCTGGCTCTGATCTTAGTACGAATCTTTACAAAGGCTTTTTATGAGATGTTAAATTTTTTAGTGTTAATGAGCCTATTATTAGCATTATAACTTCAGGGACATGCTCGGGATGCTCTTTATGTCCGATAGAATTATCAAATGATTGCATTCCAAATTGCGATCTGCCATTTTATCCTAGTGGCTTGAGCTGCAATTCATGTCAAGCCCAATGCGGATGGGGTTGCGTTAGACATGATAAAAATTGCAATTTGTGCCAAGATGTGATTTGCTTAGTGTGTGACGACTATACATCAACTTGCATAACTTGTAGAGAGCACACTTATATGTCTTTAGCAGCAGTTTGTGCATGCTATGATGGATATTACTGGGATTTAGTGAATGAAGAATGCACTTTATGTGATTTCACCTGCAAAACATGTATATCATCAACATCTGGGGGATGTTTAGTATGTGCACCTGGATTCTATATGTATTTAGGATGATGCATCACTGAATGTCCAGATGGTTTTATAGAAAATGGGTCAATATGCGAGGAGCAGGATACTTTCATTTTCTACCTTTCATTTGACACTCTAGAAGGAGTGGTTTATGATAAGAAAAGTAAAATTCCAGCTCTAATTGGCAGCAGCCCTGAATTTTACCCAGATTATGATCCGTTTGATCCATTAGCTGCTCCATATCGAGGATTTTATTTTAATGGAATAAACTCAATAATGCATTTACCTATTTACCCTGGTTATAGCAGCCCAGTTCTTAGTTTTGGCTATTCTTTTACCTTTTCAATATGAATCAACATAGAAAATGGTTTTGGAACAGTTGTCTCAAAGCAAGATAGTCTCTACAACCAAATCTTCTCTCTCCAATTAGCAGTAGGTATTGTAAAGATTTCTTTAAACTTTAGCATTTCAAGCATAAATTATTTATTATTAAGCTGTAACTTTTTACTTCTCTGGGTAGCCGCTCTGAATTTTCATATTCACGCAAAAGGAATTACTGGAAAGATGCCATCGCCAAATTCCTGCTTCAATTGGCTGCCCTGACCTCGCGCTATAATACTCGATCTGACTATGTTCCAGCTGAAGGCCAATCCTCTGGTTGGTCTAGCAGAAAAACACTATGCCTTCCATTTCCCTAGGACTAGAAGTGGGCTCATCGTTAGGCTCGCCTGTTATAGAAGGATATGATCCGCAGCAGAAAAACTATCCTAATAATCAAAATATTTCTAAATGAGAAACAATTAGCGGAGCTAATTAGTTTCTACAGAATGCCATATTTGATTATTAAATTATTTCTTTTATTTGCAAACTCTTGGCTCTTATGAATGAAATCACATTACGATTGCAGCAGAGTATACAAATTTGAAATATACTATAATTGCATTCTATTTGAATGGGCTCATAGATCACCAAGCCAACATAGGATTTGATTATTTTGAAGACACCAAAATAGATGTCACTTTTACATTAGGAGCGGCTAAAAATTCATTAGGGTATTCTAGCTATTTTAAAGGATTTATTTATGATATTAAAGGCTATAACTCATTAAAAAGTATATCATCCCTTGCACTACCATCGTGAAAATGCACAGAAAGCTGCAAAGCGTGCTTAACTAATGGAATGTGTATATCGAATTGCCTGATTAGCCAGTATTGAATTGGACCGCAATACTATAATTGCTCCATATGCAGTAATGAATGCTCAAGCTGTAGAGATTCAAGCAAGTTTTGCAACCTTTGTGATAATCCCAAATGCTATTCATGCACTGACTATGCTGCAACCTCTTGCCTTGAATGCATATCTAATGCATCAAATATCACAAGTTGCAAATGCAACTATGGTCTTGGCTGAAATCCAAGCTTGGGGGCATGTGAAATCTGCCAGGCAAACCAGTTTAAAGCTAATGATTCATGTTTTGACTGCCCTGATCTTTGCACACAATGTGAAAATGAAGATAAATGCATATCCTGCGTTAAAAATGCTGAGCTGAGGTCTGGAAGCTGTTTTTGCCCACCAGAACAGTTAAAAAAGTCAATATGTTTAAGTGTATTCCATGTTACACTTGCTGTCAACCCTATCAACACTCTCACTTTAAGCTTTAGTGAAGACTTAAAAAAAAATTTAACAGACATTCAAATATTGGTACAAATTCATAATAAAACAATTTCTTTATGATCAGTAACATATATTTCAAATAGAACATTCTTAATATCATGTGATTTCGGCATAAAAAAATTTAAAAAAACAGTAGTTACAGTTCTTTTTAAAGATTTAGAGGGCATTCAATCAATTTCAGGCAGTGTGCTTCTTGAAAAATATTTAATTGGAACCCTCTATAATTCTGATGTAATGCCTGAGGAAATTATTGAGATTAAAAATCAGGTTTCTGCAGGGATCAAAATTTTGGTTGGGCTTGGAGCTATTTTTTCAATTTTTAGTTTAAATCCTTCAAGCCTGTGAACTATGCTTAATACTATTCAGCTCCTTGCCTACATACCTTATGCAAGCTATCCTATAACAGAAAAAATTTCTGTATTTTTTAAATCAATGAATAATTTTAACATTGTCCCAAATTTGTTTTTGCTATTTATTGAAGAGAATGAAAGCAATTCTCCCTATTCCCGTGCAAGTAATTATGGATATGATAGTTATTTGATATTTGTAAATATTGGAAGTGATGCAACTGTTCTGTGCTGCATTATAATTGCGACTCCTCTAGTCTATTATTTTTCTAAATGCTCTCAGAGATACATAGGAAAGAAATTTAAAAAAATATTTAAGGAATATAAGTTTGCTACTTTTTTACGCTTTTGGATTGTCAGCTATCTTGAATTTGGTTTCGCTTCTATAATAGGGATTTTGAGTACAGAAAATTATGAAATACTTAAAGATTCAATTTATTCTACACTTCCTTAAGCAAATTATGGATAGTAAAGGTATGTGGGAAAATCCTTCACATGTCAAAAAAAATTTCACATTTGAAGTTTTACATACAAGGAAATTCACATGTGGAATTTTATTTAGTATGTGAAGGATAGATTATATGCTTTGCCCAATCCAAAATTTGTGCAAGGCATGATACAAAACTATTTTCTATGCTGAATTTGTATAGTAATAATAATTTAGATCTTAATAGCCCTCACTCCTTTTGCTCATGCATATTTTAGCTTCAAAAACTTGAATAAAATATTAAACAAAAGAAATAGGAAATGATTAACTCCTTGAAGCTCGCTTTATTATGAATTCAAAAATAATTCAGGATTTATGAGTACACAATATTATTCTCTCTTTTTTGCAAGACGATTAGTTTTTATTTCTATTCAAATATTTTTAAATGACTTTCCTCAAACTCAACTCACAATTAATGCAGTATCAGCAATATGCGTATTTTTATATAGATTGCATTTTTTTAGCGTTCTATAGCCCTTTTGAAGATAGAGTTATTCAAATTACAAATATAATTACTGAATTTGGAATTTCAATCATTTTTCTTCTCCTAACTCCATATTTTTTTGATTTGGGGCAAGCTGGGATTGATATTATGGACAATTTAATTATGTGTTTTACTACATGTCTTGTGGTAGTGCAAGCTACTGGGCCATTTATAAATTCAATAAAAGAATTGTATATTGCTACCAAAAGAAGTTTAAATGAAAATTCACAATCAAACCAAATTAAAATGTCAAAAAGTCCGAAAAAGCATGATTTAAACAATTTGGACAATTTTTTTGATGATACAAATCGAATAAGTACAACAGAAAAAAGAATAATAATTATGTAAATGCTGAATAAAATTGTAAAGTTGTTTAATAAAATATAACTACTTTTAAAAGATATATACATTCTTAAGGTTGCATTTATCTTATAAAAAAAAGCGATAGACTATGTGCATAGCCTCTCAGCCTCAAGCAATGCACATAAAACCATAGTCTTCCAAATCAAGCCAAGCCGTTAAGGCAAGAAGGTAGCGCTGAATCAAATGAAACTTCAGCTGTACTTTTTTACAATTTATTAGGAGTTTATTCCTCTGTAAACCACTGAATTATGTTATAGACTTGACAAAATTATATATACTGGCAGTAATGCAATATAAAATACTACTTAATTAATTATATTTATAACCTCCAATTGCTGCGGGACAAAAAGTTCTATTAGACCCAGCTTGCGAACTCACCGATTTCCAATACCAAACTAGCCTATGATCCAAGCTAAACAAATGTCAGCCAGATTCCTAAACTCGCCGTTGCCATCCTCAGTTCTTCCGCTTACTTCAGCTAAGGTCATCTTCTTCGGGGTGTGCTGAGAGGTAAAACCCTGAGCCTTTTTAATGCACTTTGAGCAGTCTTCTAGCCTATACGACTATATTTCTATCAAGAAGTTCTCAAGGTAAAGCCAAACCCATAAATAAAATCCCATGAGCGAAGAGAAAATAAGAAAAGATAATTTCTTAAACCTATATGATATTTTATTTATGATCTATATAGCAAGGCCTACGAAACTTAATTAATGCTGAGACGTCTAGCGCGCTAGTTTATAACTGCTATCCACCACATAATTTTTTATTCTTTTATCGTAAGAAATAAAAGATTATATAAAGCTAAGTATTTTCGTAATAATCTGAAATTTTCAATGATATAGTTTAATGAATTTACTATATTAAGTTCTAAAAATTATAACTTAATAGATTTTGAAGCTTATATTAAATGCATTCATAAAATAAAGGATTTTATGCTTCAAAATTTTCAAAATTTGGTATAGCTTGAAATACCTAATAATCATCTTTTATTGACTATTACTTTACAATAATAAAAATTGAATTTCTATCACATATTAAGTTTTGACTTGAGCAAAGAATTAATTTTATACTTCAGATTATTAAATAGCTGATTTCTTTTATAGCTTATAGCTGCTATTGAAATTCCCAAAGCTTGTTTCATGTTGTGTATTTTGGCGTACGGTTAAATTGCTATATATGAGCAAAGCCTTTGAATTGTCCGATAAGGACTTAGAATGGAGAGCTCCTCTCTTCAGTTGCTGGGAGAGCTCAGATTCTAATCCAACAGAAGAGTTGGCTAATCAGGCTCTTGTAGTTCACTTGCCAATTCTCCAGTTGGCATAGGCTAGCCTGAGTTAATCAAACCAGCTAAAGAGAGGAACTATCCATACCTAAGCTCTCATAGGGCTATTCAAAGGTATGGCATGATTATTATCATATTAACTATGATTAATTGAACTTCTATTTACAAAATTCGAAGCAGCGGACAATGATTCATCATGAAGTTTTTAATTCTCATATAAAATTGAATCCGGCAAATTTATTTTTAAAAGATATAATCTGCTGGGCTTTTTGTGCATCAGTAAACTAACCTTTCATACAAAGCTAGAAAAGAGCCTTTTATTTTGTAAATTGGGATTTTTTTCAATTTTGAAAACAAATTTTATATATATAATTTTTTAGCTTCTCTCTGTGGCGAACAAAATTTTTTGTTTTGTATAGAAAAAATTTTATCTAAATCTGAAATCAGCGGAGAGCTCAAAATGCTGTTTTTGTGAGTAGGAAGTAAAAATGAACGTGATAGAGTATTGCAGTCGATACTCAGATGGTAGGACAAAAATTACAAATTTTTTCGAAGAAGCATTAAGGGATTTTTAACTGAAGTGAGTCTTACTTGCATTTTTTATACAATGAAAGCTTGATCAAATAATGACGGGAAAAAACACTAGAGTTATAAATCAATAAATCGAAGAGTCTATCGGAAAAATTGTAAAAATAAGAAAAATTTGACTCCCTTGGGTGGTAACCATTACTTCATTATTTTTTTTATTAAATCTAAATGCTTATCTAAATAATGAGGGCTCTAGTCTAAGATATAAAAGACATTAAGCTCATTATAACGTATAAGTTTTTAATGATGACTATCTATAACGGTGCATGAGCTATAGAATTTTTAAACTCATGCTCAAATTTGAGATAAGTTTTTATATAATAAATTATAGCTCTGCAAAATTAATAATAATGTCATATGCTTATCTATTCAAAGGATCTTTGTAGGGGATAATCATGCTGGAAAGTCAAGTATTCTTCAGAGATACGTTGAGAATATATTCACAGAAGAGTACGAAATGACAATAGGCGTTGAACTTGGAATGAAAATTATCAATATTAATGAAGTAGGGATAAAATTTTAATTGTGGGATGCTGCTTGCAAAGAATTATTCAGACCGATTCCTAGATCTTACTATAAAGGTACGACAGCAGTATTCATGGTCTACGACGTCACAAGTAGAGAGAGCTTTGATAATCTGAACAATTGGGTTTCTGAAGCAATGGTGAATACTCCTAGAACGGTCGTAGCAGCCTTGGTTGGAAATAAAATTGATAGAGAAGAGGAAAGAAAAGTTTTATTTGAAGAAGGTTAAAAATTTGCAAATGATCATCAAAATGATTTATTTGGAAACTTCAGCTAAAACTGGATGGAATGTTGACAATATGTTTAAATTTGCTACTGCAGAAATTTTGGCCAGTTTCAGAAATGGAGATAGACACAGAGGATAAAAGTAATGGGATTAAAATCCCAAGGCAAAAATAATAATAACTCTGCAACTTCCTGACTCTTAAAGTCATATTTTTAAATATTTCTAACCCCCTTGCTAATATTAAATGTTGCAGCAGTGTACATCTAAAGATCTTTTCAGTGGCTTCCACAACGAAAGTGACGATGAAATATTAGAAATTCAGCAAGCCAACCTAAATATCACCAATCCCGAGCTCTTACGCCCTGATTCTGACTTAACCCACTCCCAGCTCCATCTCTTTTTCTCCCATATCCTCTCCCCAAATTTCGTGTTTACCAAAATTTGGCTTTCTAAGTTCAATCTTATTTCAAACCGCAACTACGCTGCCCTCTCCACAAATAAAGCTCTTTTTAAAGAATTTAAAGCTATAATTTTCATAATCACTCAGGATCTTTACCCTATTGTAAATAAAGATCCTGATACCGCCTCCATTATTCTTCAGATTTTTTCTGAGCTGTATTATAGAAGATCATGTATTTTTTATCAGGAAATTATTGATGAATTTAGAATTAATGTGCATATGAATAGAGTGGAAGGACTTGTGAAAAATTCAAAGACAATTGCGTTTAGTTTGAGAAGAGAAGAAAGGGAAAAGAAAAAAAACGATAAAAAGAAGAGGAAAGAAGGGCTGAAAAGAGAAAGAAGCGGAGAAATGCACAATTTAGAGGAGCTGTTTATAAGAAAGCAGCAGAAAATTAATGAATTTGAAGAAGATATAAAGAAAAATAGCTGAGGGTTTGATTGTGGGCTTGGGGAAGTTGAGGAGTGATTTGAAGAGTCAGAAGAAATGGAAGAAGAAGGAGAAATTTTAGAAGAAATAAGCAGCTTCCAAGAAATTGCTACCATAGAAGAAGAAAATAAAAATCACCTGTTTGCTGCAGAGTATACGGTCCCTGAATCAGACAAAGAAAATGTGATCCCAACTCTTCCAATCCAAATCCCATCCTCCAGAACTAATACAGAAAATAAGAAAAAAGACCCCAGAATAATTCCATTTTTACACACTAAAGGTATTGATTTTCTGATTAACACAGAAAGTATTCGTGGCCAGCTTGAGAAATTCATAGTCATTTTAGACCTAGACAACACGCTTGTTTCAGCTCATGAAGGCAATGAACTAAAACAGCTCCAAACAAAATGCCAATATATATATGAGCAAGTAATAGTCGATAAACTAGCTCTTGCTATTATTAGAAGGCCAGGACTTGATAATTTTTTAAAAGAAATTTCTAAATTCTGCGAGCTTTATCTATACACAAATGCTATAAGGCCTTATGCAGAAAAAGTGCTACAATTGATTGATCCTGATGGGAAATATTTTGGGAGAAGAATTATTGCGTGTGAGGCAAATTATTCAGTGACTTCGCAGAAATATATACATAAAAATGGCGACTGGAGAGCCAGCCCTTTTCCTCAACACCTGTAGCCGGACACTCCGGGGACCTTGTGGAAGGGGAAAGGCGCTCGGAATGTTTATCCGGCTGGGTTTTACCTTGGCACAGTGGAGCGCAATGTCGAATTTGGTCGACCGCAGCTCATTCTGTCACCAAGGGTTTTTACCTCGAGGAGGAAGGGTCTTCCAAGTTGTAAAGGGGAAGCTCAGCAGCGTCAGGAGTCATCTCCTGATCAATCGGGCAATTCCCTAGCGCGATACTGGGCGTTGCGTCCCGGGCTTGGATGTCCTTTTTGGCCGACAGCCCTACCAGAAAATTTTGTTTTTTCAGATTTTCGGAATGGGCAACCTCGTGCTCGCAGCCTCAAGCAAGGCCGCAGAATTCCTAAATCTGCCCACTCAAGACTGGAGCAAGGTTGTAGCTTGCAAGGAGGAGACAACCAACAGAACAGGCTAGCTGTAAAATCAGAGTCCTGTAGGCGGAAGTCGCAAAGTGGAGGAACCCTCGAGGGGGTCTGGGTGACTGCGTTAACAAGTAACAGCTTAGCAGCTGGTAATCTCTAATTAAGGACTTCGCAGAAATCCATTGAAGAAATTTCAAGAAGGTTAGATGTAAAGGTAAACCCAGAAATGGTAATTATAATAGATGATCAACAACTTATATGGAAAAATTCAGAATTTTGTGTGCCTGTGATACCATTCTTTCCTTTGACAGTGCCATCAAAATTAACATTTGTGTATTCTTCTGAGTTAGCAAATCATAGGATTTCAGATCACATGAAATATATATGTGAACCTGGTGCAGGTCAAATGACTTTGCTTTTTTGATAGTGTCCATTTCACCGAATAATTTTTGGCCGAAAATTGATTGAAAATTTTTGATAGTGAGACATTTGACGTTAATTTTTCGGCCAAATGTCGCACTATCAAAAATTTTCGACCAAATTGATTTCGATGAAATGTACACTGTCAAAAATTCACGGTCATTTGACATAGAGCCATGTGAACCTCCCTGCAATTTCAAACCTGTTTTCTATTGGCCAAGCTCTTAAGGCTGCCTATGCGAATTTCTTGAAAAATGGATCTCAAAGAACAGCGATTTATGAATTTACAGAGCATAGGAAATCCATCCTAAAAGGATTTGAACTCAGCTTCAAGAAATATTCTGAAAAACTTGGAAAAGACGGCTACACCTATAAAAAGCTTCAAGTCTATCAACACTTAGCTGCAGCTTTAGGTGCTGAAGTCAGTGAAAAAGGATTAGAAATTGTGGAAAACAAAGAAGGGTTGCATGAGCTCTCATCTTCATGGCTAATAAACTGCTATATGCATATAGAAGCGATGCCAAACTATTAAGGGTTCATTTAATTAATGATGGAGTATTTTCAATAGCTTAAATTAAGATTAAAACTCCCTAATTCTGGTTTTTCATGAGTAGCTTTTCTATGTTCATCATTCTTGAGTTCATTTGATTTATCTTTTCGTTCATTTTTTCATTAATTTTTATGCTTTGAGTCAACGTTTTTTCGTTATTTTCGAAGTTTTCTTCAATGTTCAATGCCAGCCTATTAATTTTCAACGTGATTTCTCTAACTTTTCCAAGCCAGCCATCATCTTCGTCTTCTTTTTCTCCAGCCAAGCACATTTGCATGAAATATTTTGCAGTTCTCCCTCTTCTCCAAAACATTAATGTTTCCCCTTCTATAATCAGTCTAACTAACTCTTTTCTGTCTGCAATTGTTATTCCTTCTTGTACCCTATCATATGTATCCCCAATAATAGAAATCAATAAATTTGCCATAATAATAGGGTTAATCAGTCCTACAATAAGCATCAAAACATACTCGAATGGGAAAAAATCGCTTGACTGGAAATTATTGTAGTTATAAAAATGAGAAGTCCCTAAGAAAACATAGAAAAGACCTGAGTGCTCATTGGTCAACAAGGTAACAATCATTCCAAAGCAGAAAGTTGTATAAATATAAAGGAAAATAAAAGGACGAATATCAAGGATGACTTCTTGCAAAAGCTCTATCATGTATCTAGTTTCCTGCAAAAGTCTGAAATATGCCACTCCTCTTATACATGAAACTAAAAACAAAAAGGTTGATAATGTATTAATCCCTTCATCAGTTGGCTCTCCCCATTCCACATAAAGGTAAAAAATCGTCAACAAGCATCTTGCCACATCCCAATAATTCCATAAGTCAGACAAATAGCTAGAGCCGCTTACCCCCATTTGATAAATCTCATATAATAGAAGGAAAAAGTTAGTTACAAATAAAGGAGCCAGCATTGTTCCATCTTTTAAATAGAAAAGCAAGTGGACACATAAAAATATCAAGAATAAAGCATAGATAAACCCTTGAAGACATAAAATTGGCCATATTTTCTTCCATTTTTGCTTGATAAATTCATTGATAAAATCAGTTCTTAAAATTTCTGAATTTTTTGACTCAACTAAACTATTTAAAAATTCTAAACTTTCTGCAGATCCAGCAATTGTATTTAAATAAATGGCACTTTCAAGAAATACTATTGATTGCCCATCATTGCTAAATTGTTCCTCTTTCAAAAATGAAGCTGGGACAACTGAAAGGCAGGTAGATAAATGAAGAATTGGCAAACTTGACGACTCAATACAAAACTTAGGTAGATACTCTGCTTTTGATGGATAAAAGATGCATTTATAAAAGTTATGCAGCCCTGAAAATCCTCTCAAGTTTAATTTCACTATATCTTTGCTGATTAATGCAATTTCGTAAGGATTTTCTTGGATTTTTTTCTTGCAACTGTTCAATATTGAGTTAACACAGTCTGTGAAATTCCTTTCCAAACATAGGCTGATAGGTGATTTTCCTTGAGAAGTTTCATAAAAAGATGCAGATCCTTTACAAATGGCTTCTTTAAGGTGTTTTGGCATATTAAAATAAGCATATAAGTGCAGAGCATTAATCTTATAAGGCATGATAACCCATTTGTCTAAAATAGGCACATGCTTAGGTTTGTCACCTCTTAAAATGCTTTTAATGTATCCTAAGAAAGAGTAATAATTTTTCCCTGGGCCATAAAGTCCTATGCCAATTGACAAAGGACTTTTTTTGCAGGTGATTTCTTCACCTTCAGCAATATATAATAACTTTTCGTCAGCTGAAGCTTCAAGCGCTCTTCCTCCTTGTAAGAACTCAAAGGAAGTGATAAGTGAAAAGCTTTCATAACTTCATATAGCAATAGTGCTATCTAAAGACCGAGTATAAAAGACTTGCCCATCTTTGGATAAATAAAGGTCATAAATTCTTTCTAAATGATGATTGATAACTCTTGCACAGAATTTTTTTTCTATGTTCCATATGCGGATTGATTTATGGGGGTTTTAATATATCAATATATGAATAAAAAAAAAATGATTTCTCGTCTAATAAGAAAAATAGTATTTAGCAAGCAGATCGTAAGCTTATTATTTTTTTACAAGATATATCATATGAAATAGATATTAAGTGCTTACTATCTCTTGATACTTTCATCTTTGACACAGTTTCGGAATGGCCATTCAGCTCAGCAATATTAGTTTTTTGATGCAGATCATGCACCCAAATATCTCCTGACTGGCTTCCTGAAAAAAGTAAAGTATTATTACTTGTTATTGCTAAACTTGATATCGAGTGAATATGAGAAGAATATTCCGATTTAAACTTAATCTTCTGAGGAGACTTATATTTTGATACTTTTACTTTGCATTTATCATCTCCAGTGATAAGATATTTACCATTTTCAGAAAACAAAAGTGTTGTCACACAAGATTTGTCATCCAAATTATGGACTATTGTACTACCATCTGCGATATCAATAAAAATTATTGATCTATCCTTTGAAGCTGATACCAAATAATCTTCATCTGGGGCTAAGCACATAAATAATGCCCACTTTTTAATAGAAAATTCATAGATTTTGGTAAAATCGCTGGAATTTCACCCAATGATTTTGTTATCCCTTCCCATAGAAAACAATGCGCTATGTTTTTCACTATAAGCAAGCTTAAGAATTTCTCCATCATGAGCTTTTATTCTTGATAATTCGTTAGTTTTTTGCAATGACCAAATTAATAATTTGTTATCTTTACCGATTGAGTACATTTTATTGCTACTCACACAAATGTCAATAACTTCTTTACGGTGATTTTTCAGGGTAATCTCTGAAGATCCTGTTAAAATATTTCATATTCTTATTGAGCCATCATTACTGCCTGATAGCAAATAATCTTCGCCTTTAAGAAATTGAATAGAAGTGCATGCTTTTTTGTGGCCAATTAAGCTTTGCTTGACATCCCAGGTGCCTCATTCCCAAAGACGGATTTCGCCATCTAAAGATCCTCCTGCAATGATTTTTTTATTTGAGATTTTTACGCACCAAACACTCTTATTCATAGGCTCTAATACAGCTTCTACCTTTCCTGCTAGTAAATCAAATATTTTTATAAACCTATCATTTCCTCCACTGACTAAAAAACCATCGTCAGCGCTAATATCTAACTCTCCCCCCCCTCCGTGAGCGAACAAAACCATTAGAAAAATCCCTATTTTTTGGTCAAAAACCCACCCTCCGTGAGCGAACAAAAAATTTTTTTACATATAATTTTATATATAGTTTATTATATCTATATTTAATACAAATAAAGAGGATAATATTGAAAAATAATTATTAAGTTTGTTTGATATATTATTCAAAGGGTTAAAAAAAAGAATACCATAAGTGAAAAGGTTGAATTTAACAATTTTAAATTTAAGACAAAAAAAATGAATAGAAGAAATCGATTAGATAATTAACTTCTTCATATTAACTTGATGGCTGAAAATCTTTGGATGATTAACGCCATAAGAACCCGTCAACTCAAATGATTTTCTGACAAGTTGAGGGCTTACAGCATCTCACGCCTTTGAAGCAATGTTTATCAGTTGCTGGCGATCAAGAGCTTTGAGGTTTCCAGTTCTTTTCGATCTTCTTTCAATCTGCTCTGTTTGGAATTTGATTCTGAAATCTGTTGTTTTTGATTTGAAATTTGCAATTACCAGTGCGTCAAGTGGTTGCAAATACTTTGTGCACCCTCCAGGGATCACAATTTTGGTTGCATCTAAATCTGAAATTGCATTAGAAATCATGATAGTTTTATGACTTCCAGCCTGATCATAAATCAGCAGTTGGTTTTCTCGTCTCAATATTGTTCTGAGGTAGTCATTAAGAATCTGGTCAGAAATGTAGCCAGATTTATTTGATTTTATGATGACATTTTCTGGAATATTCAGTCTTTCTTACAAGGTTCGGGATCTGGCCATTTTTCTCTTGAAAAATGAGCAAAGCAGGCATTTTTTCTCCATCAGCTCTAATCATAAGCATAACAGTGATAAAATGGTTCATTTTAGCTGATTGAACGCCTAGAATTCGTTGAGTTCCCTTGAAATCATAAGTGAACTTGCTTTTTACATCTCAATCAAATCTCGTTTCATCGAAATTGTAAATGTTAGATGGAACGAATTGAGGAAGCAATGACGCTAAATCATCTAGGTATTGCCTGACAAGTTCTGCCTCTTTTTCGATTGGCTTAATGCTTGAGGCATTGATTTTTCTGAAAGATAAATTATTTCTGGTCCTAAATCCTTGCCACCATTTATCTCCACAGCCGAATCGCGCCAATCCCATTTCTGCCGCCAAACTTTTTGCTTCTCCTCAATCGTTGATCTGAGAACCTGAATACCTTGCTCACGGATTGCAGTAAACCAATGTACTAGTTCTTTCTCTAGCTCTGGAAATTGAGTGAAGCTTTCTAATTTTAATTTTTTATCAGATTTTACTGATTTCTTCAACTCATCAAGCTTATTCACCCATTCGGAAATCGAGCTAAAGGAGTTGACATGAAACTTTGCAGCAACATCTCTCATGCTCATCTCATTTTGGTGTTGAATGTAAAATTCAGCAATTTCAACTTTCTGCCAAATTTCAATGTACTTTCTTTTCCCTTTGTACATTTTTATTATGATTTATAGAGAATTTGCTTATTATATTAAATAAGAAAATATATAAAATATTTTAACTGAATGCATATATTTATTACTAATAGGTTTATTGATTATTAAATTATTGAAAAATTAAGCTGTGTTTTACCTTTAATCAAATGGTATTCTTTTTTTTTTTGGGAAATTCCCTTACTCTCCCCCATAATATTTTTAAAATAATTTTCAACTTATAAAAAAAAAATATTATTTTACAATTAAAAATTTATATATAATTTTTTTTAAAAAATAAAAATTAACCCCCCCTCCGTGAGCGAACAAAAATTTTTTGTTCGCTCACGGAGGGGGGGGGGGGGAGTAAGCAATTAGCCGATCCTTCATGCAAATACAAAATTCCTCCTAATTCTCCTGTTTCTGCATTATTTTTAATAATTTTTCCATCTTCTCCACAAGAAAATATCCACTTATCATCATTAGAAATCTTTAAGGCTTTAATTGTCCCTTTATGAGCCTCCCAATCAGCAACTTCGCTGAAATTATTCCATTGAATAATCTTTTTAATATGCCCGTCTTGAGCTGGAATGTATAAATATGAATCGCTGCTGTCAATAGCCAAACAATTTATAACATCATTTCCAATAATTTGTGTTTTTGTTGTTTTTGATTCTAAGTCAATAATGTCAATCTTTCCATCATTTTGCCCTGAAATTATATATTTTCTATCCTTTGTTAAAATAAACTTGTAACTAAAAAGTTAGCTAAAAGTTTTATACGGGAAACTCCAATAGCCCTACGCTGGATATACACACCGAGTGCAAATGGTGTAAGGCTAAACCAAAATTCTATCCTCTTGAATTTTCTGGCGAAACCCACATAACTAAAGATCAGCTCCTAGGTTAGAGCCACCCTCTGTCGGGCGCCCCGATAGTCCTAATAGACAAAGACTATCTGATAGGCATAACCTGTCTGACAGTGAAAACCTCAGTGGGAAACAATACTTCCCTATTCGGCAAGGCTTCCCCAAACCTGAAGTCTACTTCAAAAAAAAACATAGACTATGTTTCAGCTTCATAAGGATGGGCCCGACCTGCTCAATAGGAATACGCCTTGGCGTCCAATTTCCGTCTGTCAACGCTACCATTTTATTTTCCTTGTACTAAAAGGATTACTGATTTCTTCAGGGTGGAATAGCTTTAGCTTTTGGTTAATCGCTTTAATTTCGTTACCAAAATCACCTTTTTCCAGCTGTCCTAAAATAATTGACTGAGCATTTTTAGTAGATTTTAATGTTTGATTTTGGTTTTGTGAGTCATTTAAAGAATTATTGTTTTCAATTGCCTTTAAGCTATCTGAAATTACTTGTGGGAGAAGTAATTCTTTTAGATTTGACTCAACCATATTATATTTTACCAGCCATTTGATTTGACATAATAAAAAATTTTAATTTACTCATCTTTATATGTCGTTTAATCTTAATTTAAATCAAATAATATTTTCAGTTTTTATCATTCAGAAAATTAAATATTACGATATTAATCCGATTTTAAAGTTTAGCTTTAAATTAAGAGCTTTGTCCAATGCTCTTGAGAATGATTTCTTCCAAGTACTTCATCTTCGTATTAATCTGAAGAGAAAGTCCTGCGATTTTTTCATCCAAACTCTCTTTAAGCACTCCCAGCTCATGGTCGATTTTTTCGAAGCGTTTATCGTGATTTTCAATACTCTCATCCAAAGTTTCTCCCATACTTGCAATCCTAGTAGTAATTTCTCTGACTTTTCCAAGCCACCCTTCTTCTTCTTCCGCTTCATTATAAGTCAGCATCTGCAAATAGACGTTTCCTGTCAAATTTCTTCTCCAGAACAACAATGTTTCTCCTTCCAGAATCAGCTCAATCAGCTCCATTTTATCAGCAATCACAATGCCTTCTTGGACTCTGTCATAAGTATCCCCAATAATGGAAATCAATAAGTTCATCATGACAAGAGGGTTTATAACTGACGCAATAAAGAAAATTGCCCATTCCAGACCTGAGAAAGAGTCAGTGCCAAAGTCGCCTAAATCAAGCAAATATGAATTTGAAAGGAAGCTTCCAAAATCAGAATCTGGCGTCTTAGAGACTTCTATCGAAATGAAAACAAAGGCAAAAGCTAAAGTGGAGTAAAACAGAAGCATCAAGAAAGATTTGATATCCATAAAGACTTCTGTGAGTAGCTGAATCATGTATCTGGTGTCCTCGAAAATGCTGAAAAATGTGATGCCTCTTATCCAAGAAATTAAAGTAAGAATGACAAGGAGGCTTTGAGTGACTTCTCCTGTGTCGTCATCCCAAACTAAGGACCCCCCCTCATTTGTCCAATTTTCTAGTCTTTTATCATTTGTCCATTTTTCTAGTTTTTTTATAGGAAAAAAAATTTTTTTTAGGACCTCATTTGTCCAATTTCATTTTCTAGTTTTTATAAAGTAAAAAACTACAATTTAGGGCATTCGAAAAAATGCAAAAAAGACTAGAAAATTGGACAAATCATTTTTTGACTAGATTTTGGGACAAATGAGGTCCTGAAAAAAAAAAATTCTTATAAAAAAAAAAGACTAGAAAATTCGACAAATGAGGGGGGAATCCTTAGATAAGAGTAAATTATTGTTAATACGCATCGGAAAATATCGAAATAGTTCCAAACTTCTTTAAAGTACCCAAACCCGCATACAACCATTTGATAGATCTCGTACATTAGCAATAAAAGATTGATTGTAAAAACAGGCACCAAAAACTCTTTATCGTAAAGGTAGCCTAAGGTATAGGTTGATAGCAAGACAAGATATGTTATAAAGAATAAAGCTTGGGTAATCAAAATATATCTGATATTCTTCCATTTTTGCTCTAGTAAGACGCTAATGAATTTGGTCCTTAGAACTTCTTTATTTGAACACTGCAATAAGCTTTCTAAGAAATCAATGCTTTCTTTTGAGCCAGCTATGGTGTTTAGTGAAATAGGACTTCTTAAGAAAGCAATGGCTATTCCTTCATTTGCATACTGATCCATAGGGACAAAGCTGTCTGGCAGAACTGAAGGAGTTGGGGATTGTACAATAACTGGCAAAGCTACTGTATTAAGACAAAACTTGGGTAAAAATGAGCTTCTCGCTGGGGTCAGCAAATTTTGATAAAATGAATCCAATGCTTTGAATCCTCCCCTGTTAAGGTCAATTATATGCTTGCTAACAATTGAAACTTCATAAGGATTGAATGCAATTTTATTACAAAATCCAAGCAAGATAGTGTTTACGCATTCAGTGAATTTCCTGACTAAGGCTAAAGAAAGAGGGTTTTCACCACTTGCAGTCTGGAAGAAAGTGCTGTTTCTTGCAAAAGACTCTCTCAGATGTCCTGGCAAGTTATAGAACGCAAACAGATGCATAGGAGCTATCTTATTCGGCATAACTGTCCATTTATCAAGATCTGCGATATATTTAGTCTTTTCTTCTCTCATTAAAGACTTAATATATCCCATAAAGGCAAAGTAGTTTTTCCCTGGGCCAAATAGTCCGAATTTACTCTGCAATGGATTTGCCCTTGTAGATAAGTCTTTTTCTTGAGAAATATACATAATTTTTTCATCAGCAGAAACAGCTACCTCCCGTCCTGATCTAAACAAAACTATTGGAAAAAATTCCAAAAACCCATCTCTGGAAACGAATAAAACTTTTTAATATAAAATTTTTTATAAAAAAATATTTTATTTTAAGTAGCTTGGATTTTAAACTATAAATTTACTAATTAAATTAATATTTGCTTTCAAATCGGGATTTTTTTAAATTTCAAACTATAAAAATTTTTAAAACATTTAACTCCAAAAAATTTTTTTTTTCATTCACGGAGAAGGAGTAAGCATCTTCCCCCTCTACTCACATCAAATGAAGTTATGAGTGACAAGCTGTGAAGATCCCACAAAGTTATAGTTTTATCAAGACAGTTGATGAAAAGGTTGTTTTTGTCCTTTGTGATGTAGAGTCCACAAACTCTGTCAGTGTGGTGTTCAATTATTTTCATACACTGTTTTTTCTCAATGCTCCATAGTCTCACTGCTTTATCGAATGAGCTGGACAGCAATAAGTTTTTATAGCTGATTACCTCTATTGCTGACACACTTTCAGTATGGCCTTGCATAGGAAACTCTTCAAGAGTTATTAAATCATGGGCAATTATATGTCCAGCTTCACTTCCTGAAAACGCCATAGAGTTGTCATCCTTTATAGCAAGTGCTGTGATTTGGTTTTGATGAGTGTGAAACTCACATTTTATTGGGAGCTCAGAAGGAGAGGCATAGTTAATGACTTTGACCTTGAATTTTTCGTCACCAGTAAGGAACAAGCTTCCGTCTGCACTAAACCTCATGCACGATACAGAGCTTCCGTCAGGTATCTGATAAAACTTAGGGGTCCAAGTCAGCATTTCCCAAAAGACCAGCTTTTTGTTCTTAGAGCATGTGATTACGTAGTCTTCGTCAGGAGTTAAACTCATATATAACCCCCATCCTTCAACTGCTAATTCAGCCACTTTGCTATTATTTGTTGCGTCCCATACCATCACCTTCCTATCTCCTGCAAATGAAAAATACAGGCTGTGTTTTTGGCTGAAGGCAAGTTTTACGATTTCGCCATTATGGGCTGGAAAACGAACTTCATCAGTCAATTGAGGAAGTGTCCATATTAAAAGTCTTTTATCTCTGGCTACAGTATAAAATTTATTTCCTCTGACATGAAGATCAATTACTTCTCTTTTGTGATTTCTCAGCACGACATTTGGCTCGCCTGTTGCCATACTCCAAATTCTGACTGTAGTATCATTAGAAGTAGTTATTAAGTACTCTTCATCATAAATGAAGTCTATGCTAGTTGCTGATTTTTCGTTTCCTTGGAAAATCTGCTTGAGGTTCCAGGTTTCCCATTCCCAAAGCCTAACTTCTCCTTTAAATGTTCCTGCAGCTATATTTTTCTTTGGAGAAAATTTAACTGTCCAAATTGGATCAGACATTGGACCTAACACAGTTTCTTCTCTTCTGGTTTCCAAGTTATAGACTTTGACCAAAAGGTTTCTTCCTCCGCATATGAGATGCTTTTCATCTTGGCTGATATCAATAGTGCTTACACCATCTGGATTGTTGAATAAGAGCTCTGGCTCTTCATCTACATCAATTCTGAATCTAAACACATTTCCGTCTTCATCTGATGAATAGACGAAACTTGAGTTTTTTGGGCTTTTGATGCTTCTCACAGCTTTTTGGTGGTGAGTATAGACTTTTTCTGCCTGGACGAAGATGGGCTTCGGAAGTGGGGCTTCTTTTTTCTCTTCTTGTGGCTTAGGCTTAGGCTCCTCTTTTCTTTCTTCATGGTATTTATTTATTAAGCCTTCAGCTGAAACTTTGATAATTTTTCCTTCGTTTGTTGCTGCTAAAATGTAGGTTGCTTTTGTGCCCTCAGTTTCTATAGTTTTTGATGTGAGGGAAAAGAAGATGCGATTTGTCACAGGCTCTCTGCCTTGGACCACTTTAAATGACTTGTACATTTTTGAAGGTATATGAACAAGTTCAAGATTTCCTCCAGGCCCAGTTCCAAAAGCCCAGTTTTCGTCTTCGCTTATGGCGATTTTCCCTTGGAAGTCCAGAATAATAGCTTGTTCTGGATGGTATAATGTTAAATGATCATTAATTTCTTTGATTTCGTCACTGAATTGCTGGCCTGCTTGTGAAAGATTATTGATGACAGCTGAAGTTGCCAAGTGCGTCATAATAGCCAAAGAGCCGCTTGAAATTGAAGGCTGCTTTTCTATAGGCGAATCGTCACTTACATTTGATTTTCCTCTCAGCTCAATACCAAGAAGAGGCTGGTTAAGTTTCGAGTCAACCATTTATTATTAACCACCATAAGTCAGGAGAAATTATTCTTTAATTTAGTTTATTATAAACAAGAGGCACAAATAGATACAATTTAAATAGTGAAGCAAAAAATTCATTTTATTTTTGGATTTAATCGGGGGTAAATATTTATAGAAAATGGCATCAGAAGAGAAAAGGATTTAGAAGTGAGAGTAGCAATGAGTCAAAGTTTAATTAAAATAGGCTAAAAAAGTATTTTAAACTGAAAAATATTATCATTTTTGACTGTTGAAAACCAATTAGAGGCTAATTTCTGAATTTTTTGATATTTTTAAAATTATACCCTCTTTTTCAAGGTTATCTCTTTTTTGGCATCATGATTATTCTTCGTCAACTCAAACGTTAAAAACTGCTGTGATATCCTCATTTCGCACTTATTTGGGAGTGCTAATTTCATTGATTTCGGCTTCAGAGTCCCTAATGGGTTCTGCTCTTGGTAATATTGAAGATTCAGCCAAGTCCCATTAGAGCTTTTATTTGCCCCATCCCCATCAGTGAGCCTTCATTCTTGGTCTTTAAGGCTATATATCAGCACACATTGGATCCTTGATACCATTTTGCTGCTCTGATCTATCGGCATATCAGCTTCTTCGCTTCTCCCAATAGTAAATACTGATTTCTTTTCAGTTGCTATAACTTTAAATCACCTTTCTTTAGTTGTCGAGTCATCTTTAATTCTTATATCTAAATAGGGAAATCCAGGTTTTTCATCAGCTGGGTAATCGCTTCTATCCATATCAACATATTGCACGTAGTCTTGATGAATCAAAACTTTTTCGCCTCGACTGATTCCTCGGAAAAAGCGATCTGTATAATCTATATGAGTATATTGGCATTCAAGTATAGAGAATTCTGCAGATTCGCCAATTCTGAAACCATAATTAGACTTTAAAACAACGCCTTCGTCACCGATTCTAATAAATGTTCCAAATTTGCTTCCTAAATCTTTAGCATAAAAGCCAGTTGGCTCTTTAAAAAATTCAAATATCAATATACATGCTTTTTATAATAAATGGTGCTTTTATTTTTTTTTAAAAAATTTAATTAAATAATACTTAAAATATAATAAATTTCTATAGGCAAATTATATCAGACTGATCTAGACTCATTTTTGGGGAGCCTTGCAAGCAAGAAGTTAAAGAAATTTAAAGGAATAGTTCCTTTAAATCCAAACTGGTACTCAAGCTCACAGTGTTTTCTACTAATAGCACTATCATCTGAGCTCAAGCAAATGTCATTAATTGCATTGCCCCACTCATCGGAAATTCCTCGTCCGATTTTTAAAATCCCATCTTTTTCATCTCTTCGTGAGCCTCTTATTCCCCCCCTCCGTAAGTGAATAAAAAAAATTAGTTCACTCACGGAGGGGTGTTAATTTTTTTGTTTAAAATAATTTTATAAAAAATATGTTTTTTCGAAATTTAAAAAAATCTAATTCGCAAAAATTTGAAATCAAATATTAATTTAATTTATAAAATTTATGTTTTAAAAAGCAATTCATTTAAAATTAAACAGAATTAGCTCTAGATTTCATTATACTAATTATCATTTATATATCAAAATGTTTTTCTATTAAAAAAATTTTTGTTCACTCACGGAGGGTGGGTTTTTTGGGCAAAAAATAGCGATTTTTCTAATGGCTTTATTCACTCACGGAGGGCGGGGGGAGTTAGTCCTTTGCTGGCCACTTCATATCGTTCGACTAAAGCATTTTTGAGGTTATTAGTGATAGTGATTTTCAAGCTCTCAGCCATATTCTTACTACAATTTTTAACTATAGTTACTACAAATTTCTATTAAAACTCTCAAATTTTTATATTGAAATGATTTAAAATAATAAGCCTATTTTGCCTATCAATATAGACTTAATCGTTGATTTATAAAAATAATTGACTATTTTTGTATATTTATAGCTAATCTAAAATATTAGGAATATAATTAGGAGCTTCTGCTGAAAACGCCTTTTCTACATGCTCTAAATATTTTATCAAATTCAGATCTCTTTGAAGTGTTGGCGCATATCTCTCTTTCAGGATTCCCACAAGTGAAAATTCTTTGACGTCGAGAGCTTGGATTAGAAATCTGGTGAAGTTTAGCAGAGGGGTATCTACGTATTTAAATTCTCCAATAATATGCTGGGCTAAGGATAAATTCTTGAAGGAGAGAAGGATCAGAACTGTTCTGCAGACAAAAAGATCAATTTCGCCTGGATAGCCTCTGTCTATTAAAATTTGTAAAATTCTGATGATTTCTCTGTAACTCCCAGCTCCAATTCAGTATAATAGAGATTTTCCAAGGTCGCCAGAATCGTCTAATGCTCTTGCTATAAGTGCATAAATTTTGGGATCTGGGCAATTCTTACAGAGCTTTTTAAGAAATGCGATGTCGTTAGGTGCTGATAAATGAGAATAGATTTCTTCAATTAAATCTGAATTTGGAGGAGAGTTTTGTGAGGTCTGAACAATAATATCAAGCAGCTCATTTGGTATGGTCTGTCTTTTCAGAAGCTCGAGAGCTGCTCTCAAAGCAATGTCTATGCTTTCTGCATGCTGACCTCTTGATATCAGTCTTCTCGCTCTGTTAAGAATATTCTGGGCAAATTCATAGGTTTTCCCTTCATTTAATAGGTTAAGCTGCTTGTCATAATAGCTAGGCTCCATATTTATAAAACAACTTTTTAATATTAAATTTATTGCAAAAAAATTAGATTGCCACTCCATATTACTATAATAATTATTTAGTTATAATTATGACTTCATTAAAAGTTCCTTTTCAACAGGAGGAGGTGAGGTATAAGCCGATCTCACAGGGAAAAGATAAGAAAGAACTATAGGCTGCAAAACAGTCCCATAGAACAGCCCTAAAAGCATAGCAAAAAGATAGATCCTAAAGAAATAGAGGCTGTAAAAATCACTTGAGAAGCAAGCAAGCGGGATAATCCCTATTAACTGGGTAAGAATTTGGCCTACCAGAATTGGACTAAGCTGAGAAATCACAATTTTTGAATTTTGGTCTCTGCTTGCTTGCGATTTTTGAGACTTTGCTTGTTCGAATTTATTCAAAAATTCAGCTGTAACATAAATTATTGACTCTATTGCAATGCAGCATGATATCAAGAAATTTAGTCCACTGACTGCATTCATATCTGTGGTATGTCCTCCTATCATTTCATTGAAAATAAAGCACAACCCAACAACTGCCCACGACGATAAAGCAATAAGAAAAGTAATAATAAACCCTACATAAGCTCCAAAGAAAAGTTCAAATACGAACAAAAACACTGCAATGCAAATAAAGTATTTTTCCAACGTATCTCCTCTAATAGAGTTATATTGCTGATAGTACTCAAAGAAATCCCCAAAGCTGAAAACCAGCTTTTCGTCGCTTTTATAAGTGTTTTTTGATGAAATCCAATCAATTTCTGCAGGATTGCTTTGCATCAATGAATTTGCATTATTTGGCATAAATACGAAGTCTTTTGCCCACTTGTCTGCAGCGTGTTTAAGCTCACGATAAGCACGAATATATTCATGCTGAGATCTTAATGGTTGAAAATAAAAACGGAGCCTTGTTGTTTTTATTTGTTTTACGCTGAAGCTGCTTCCTGAGAAGACTATGTCGTTTCTATACAGTTCTCCACATACGCCGAACATTTTGCAGCATGAAGAGCTATAAGGAACTTGTAGAAATCTTTGGAGCTGGGTGTTAAAATCGTATTCAGAGATATCAGTATTGTTGCATTCTGAGTTTTTCACGTTTAGATAGGTGGTGAATGGGTTTATCCAAGCGTAAACTGGGCCTTGCACAGATTTAGTCATTTGGGAGACTGAGTCGCTGAGCTTCATTATTAAATTTCGATTGCTTATGCTGGTGTAGTTTAGGTCTTTGAGGACGAGATATCCTAATTCCCCAGTCTCCATATACTTTTCGTAGTCTTCATAATAGTTCTGAAGATTTGATCCAGAAGGAGCTAACACCTGAGGGTTTAATCCTCTATGGACATTATCCATCCCTCCAAAAGCTAAAAGCATTAGTGAAAGTGCTATAAGTCCGCATGAAATTTTGGTGACTATATTGAAAAGAGAAGGAATTCACCATACTTTCTCTATATAAATAAGCTCTATTCTCATTATTCCTTTAAGGCTTATCTTTTATTTAAAATTAATTTTGACACATCAGATTATATAAATAAATAATGCATTAAGCCATATTTATTGACAGTTTTTTTTATGTAGTTTCTTCTTATAAGTTTGTCATCTCCTATAAGGTCAAAGCAGCACAAAACATCAATTCTTTTTTTATGAATCCTCCTTGTATCTAGCTCAAGCATTGCTGGAAATCCAGTCACCTGGAATATATATAAGAAAATTAGCCCCACTACACATGATTCACAGAATTCCCTAATTCCTGGATAATTATATGTGCAGCCTATAATAAAAACAGTCAACTCAGACAAAAAGGCAACTGTCAATATCGGTCCAGAATTTTTCATGGTTTCTGCAAGGATATTTTCATTGGTTTTTCCATCAGAATTTATTTTCGCTTTATCATTTGCCCAAATTATTACAAAATAATGTCCGGCTCCTAATATGATAAGCAGAAGCGGTAAAACTTGGATAGTAATAACATAAAGGTCTTTGTCAAATATTGGCGAGCTTCCTATCGCTATCACAACACTTGCTATAATAATTGAAATTGCTCCAGCGCTCAGTAAGAACCTTGAGTGAACTTTAGAAGGCAGCGAAGAAAACATGATGCCTAATACGATAAATAAAAATAGCAATGGGATCCCAATAATCAAAGGGTTGACTTCTTCATATTTTTGAAGTTTATCATGCAAAGCCCTTTGAGATCCATAGCTTACTTTTAGTTTATTTTTTTCATTGTTGTTAAAATCCCTTAACTTGTGCTCAAATACCCGGCGCTCCCATACTCTGGCTCCTAAATCTATGGTATGCTGGTCATCGTTTAAATAAAAAGTCAATATAAGAGCTTTTGCATTTAACGAACAATTCCCATTTCCATCGATATCACAAGACGTTCCTCCAAAAACGGAGTTTCTTCTGATTGGCAAGCCATTTCTGTCATAACAAGAAATACCGTTATTACCTGCGTTATTAAGGCACATGGCTACTTGTTTGACATATAAATCAGTCATAAGAACGTCTACATTCATTTTCCAAAAATTCATAGGTGACGTTGTATAGCAGTTTGAGCTGTACCCTGGCTTATGGCAAAAATAGTCTAACGTAAGAAGTTGATTATCATATAAAATTTCCATAGTCTCCATAGCTGATTGGATTTTCCAGACTTCTTCTAACGATGACCCCCCCCCTCAATCTTCATGTCTATTGCAACAAAAATTTTTCGAAAAAATTTTCATGCCTACTGCAACACAACATTTTTATAAAAAAGAATTAATGCATTTTTCTCTAGGTGAGTTTCTCAAAAACCCCATAAAACAGCGCTTCTGTAGGCGTGCCAATGACCTTCTCATCGAGATTTGGACGGCTATTGTCATTGCTCGCCATTTTATTAAACTTATCTAGCTAAAATTTAAGATGCGCATCTAAAATTTGCTGCAAGAGGATTAGGATTATACAGACAGGCGCTAGCCATATTGGTGGCACAGTCACCAAAGACCTTCCGTGCAGAAGGTTCTACTGCTTTTCGATTCCAGCCCAGAGGGTCTATTCCTCTTACGAGTGCCCTTCCGGTACCTTCTGTCTCCTCCTTGCCTTGCGGCTTCAGTCTTGAGTGGGCGACTTATGGATTTCTACGTCCCTGCTACGGGCAATTGGAGTAGCTTGATTCCAAGGATCAGCTCCTTAGAGTCTATCGGGTGTCAAAGTACCTTCCTTCGACAGCTACACGAAAAAGACTGTTCCCCTGTGGCCTGGGCAAAACCCCCAGTTTCTCGGTAGAGGAATACCCATGGGTCCTCGGATCAAAAGGACGTTGTTGAGCGCATCTATTTCCAACCACAGGAAAGCAGCCAAAACCTGCCCGGGTATACACTTCTTGAGCCTGCGTCTGATTCTCGGCTCGGGGTCCGTCCCAGTTCGCATTAGCCATAAGGTCTGGAATGCTGCGCCAAGAGGGCAGGCTGACACGTGTCGCCGTTTTAATATATATAATTTGTTGCAAGAGACATGAAAATTATTATTTTTTTTATATATATAATTTGTTGCAAGAGACATGAAAATTATTATTTTCTTTATATAAAATTTTATATTAAAAAATTGCATTTTTGTTGCAATAGACATGAAGATTGAGGGGGGGGGTCATCGTTAAATATTCTCTTTGAAACACATCAGTAACGCTACTGTCTTTGGCTGTGAAAATAGCACGGTTTATCCTTCAGGTAGGTCCGAAATTATCATCGACATAGTTTTTGTCGTGATGTGAAGAGCTGTCGGTATCAACCCAAAGGCTATGAGGCGAAGATTTTACGTCAATCCAAAAGAAGCCAATACAGCTTGAAATGGATATTAGAAGCTGAATGGTTAAAATTAGTTTAGGATGCTTCGATGTTTGCTGCCCAACTTTGAAGAAAAGCTTAGATGTTGGTTCCATTTCTTCCACACAGAAAATTACTAACAGGGACCAAAACAGTTTTTTTGAAATTCACATGAATATTGAAGAAAGTTAAGAAAATTGTGTAAAAAATAAGTTTTATTTAGGAAAGGAAAATAGAATAATAAAGGAAAGTAAAATATTTTTGGTAGAAAGAAAAAGTAGCAGTGTGTAGAAAAAGGAATCTTATAAGAAAATAATTGGAGAGTGAAGGGATTCTAAGGTGGATGTAATATTTAAGCAAGAATGAGGCCAAATTTTGTAGTAGAAGATTAGATAAATTGTTTCTCCTCCAAGTGGGCGATATTTTTATCCCTATTTGTTTAAAATAGATAAATTTTTGTGAATAAGCCGCAGCCTTTGTTTAACGACAGAAGGAGGATAATATCTCTGCAAGGGAACTAAGCCAATATTATCAATATTATATCGATTCTATAAGTATCATATATTGAGACGTGACTTTACCAATTTTATTAAAAATGACATAAAACGAATATTCCTCATTCTTCATTCTTCAAAAAGGCATATTTATTCTAACTTCCCATTAAATTCAATCGATAAAACATCCATTTGTTTGGAAAATTAAGACTCATTTAAATTGAAATAAATTTAATTTTATAATTTATATTAAATAGCTTTAAAACCAATTTAATGTCGCGAAATCTGGAGATTTCCTCTAACTTATTTTATCTTGATAATAGTGTGCAAGCAGATTTAAACAAAATTAGAAAATTGAGTTGATAAATTTAATATTTCTATTATAGTTCATGCACCTTAATAGATTTCTATACCCCAGCAGAATACCGACCAGAAAAAAATATGTACAGGGCGCCTGCCTTATACAGTATAAGTCTGATTAGGTACCTTAAAACTATAAACGGAGATTTGTCAATTTCGTTTTTACTTTTCAAAAAAGCTGACAAGTATAAATTAATTTAGGAAATTAAAATGGATGGCCAATAATGATCTAAAATGTTTCAGGGGCTATAAATTAAACATCATTTGAATTGAAAAAGGTATTTTTTATCAATGAAGATAGCTTATATTTGCAAAAGCTTTTATCAATATTCATGGAGTAATTAATTTTTAAGAATTTACTTCTTCATAAAAGTCTATAGAAAAGCTTTTAATTGGTATTACTTCGCCAGCACCAAAATAATTTTATACATTTTATTAATAGATTATATAACGTTACTTATTAAACTAACAAAATTTCAAAACTAAAGCCTCTCCAACTCGATAATATTAAACTTCCAGAGCTATTCTGGACTATTTTCTTCCAAAAATTCATCAGGTAACTGGCAATCTTGCAGTTTACACAAAGTCTTAATGACTTCTTTAACCTTCTCTATCTTTTCTTCCAATTTTATCAATTTCTTTTCAATTTTTTCTTCACTATAGCTGCTATCCCCAAATTTCTGCTGAATTATCGAGTCAAAAATTGACTTATTTTTGAATAATTAAATATGGCGTCTCAGCATTTCGCCTTTGAGTCTGACTTCCTTTTGCACATCTTTATTTATATCCAGAAAGGTTTTTTCAAACCAGAAATGTACAGCAGCAATGCTAGGTAAGCAACTCTGGTAATTTGCAGAACCTTGCCCGAGCCAACTTTCAGGATTGGATTTTATCTCGAGGGGAAGGGTTCAAAGTTGGAAAGGGTAAACCCAAAAAAATCTAGAGGTAATGCTTAGACCATTAGGTAAATACTTAGCGTGGAACTGGGAGTTACGCCTAGCTTTAAATTTTCCTTTTGCAGACTGTCTGCCAGAAATTCCATTTATCGGGATTTTTGTAGGTCAGCCTTCATTCAGCCCAAGCAGGATGCCGCAGAAGTCCATAGCTTCCCTACTCAACACTGGAGCCAACAAAGGCAAGGAGGAGACGAAGACACAGAAACCTACTTCGCAGGTGCCATGGCGTCAGATGATGAAGAAGAGGAAAGGTGGTGTTCGCCAGTGAGTCATATGACTTAAATAGTTCTCCTTGGCATTGCTGCGAAGAGGTTGAATCTTCTTGGGGATGCTTGGTGACTGCGTTAACAATGGGCAGCAGCCAAACCTATAATAAGTTTAAGTTTAATTAAGACTTATTTTTGAATAATGAGCTCTGGGAGCTACTTTGGCTTTTAAACGATTCAAGATTAAATCTTGATTTTTGTGATCATTGGCTTTTAACTGACCCTTGCTTCAGAGAATCCTGGCTAAAAGATTCCCCCTTTGGTGAGCCTTGACTTCTCAATGACTCCAAAGCATCTGTTTCTTTATTTTCCGTTGGAATTAGCAGCTCGTTTTCTACTTTTAAATCTGCTTTTTCAAAATCTTCATTTATAGTAATTTTATCATCTTCCTCCTTTTGGATTTTTTTCACAATTTTGAGTAATTCTTTTTTTGATACTGGAGTCAGGACAGGAAAGCTTTGAAATCGTTTAATTCTGCTCTTAGATTTGTATTCTTCTATTGCTTGCTCAGCTCTTTCTTTTAGTCTGCTTTGTCTATCTTTTGCAGCCATAAGGATACTTAATCCTTCTTCTTCAAAGTTTTGTAAAACATTTTCAAAGTCATCGTTCGGTAGAACTAGTAATTCAGTCCTTTTTAAGGCTTTTACACTGAATGAGCGCTCGTGGTTTTCATTCATCAAAAGATCTGTTTCTCCGAAGTAATAGCCTTCACTTAGAAAATTGAATGGGATCTTTGTATCCTCATCAGGCTCTACTATCATTGCAACCTCACCTTTAATGATGAAATAAATTTCTGTAGCAAGGTCACCTGTTTTATAGATATGATCGCCTTCTTCAGCTTTATATGGCTTAAGAAGAGGCGCTATATAAGCGACAAAATGGGCTTGCTTGTCTTCGAAAAATGCATTATTTTCTAAAAATTGTTTGTAAATCACAATTAGAAGTTGCGTTCTGAGATTAATAGGTAGATCTTCTATCAAAGCATCTAAATCTGTTCTGTCATGCTTTTGATTATACTCAATAGCATCCATAAGTTTACGATAAAATTCTGGACTTATGTTATATTGTTTTATATTGATTTATTTGCCAAAAAAATTAATTGCTTTTATATAATGGATGCATCTTAAGAATAATTATCAATATAAGCATATATTGCAAACCTATATATGCTGCTTTGCTAAACTGTTTATAATGTCTCGCTTTCTCTCAAGCTTGCAATTAATATCATCCTTACTAATTACAATATTTGTGAGCGAGCTTACGAAAAAAGAATAAATAAAAATGCCACAAATCATAACACCAATGGAAATGATTCTTTCATATTTATTCCATGCATGGATATCTCCATATCCTGCAGTCGTTAAAGTTGTTACAGACCAATAAACCGCACAAATATATAAATCAAAATTGCTTAAATCTTGATAATCTCCTTGCATAATTCAATTTTTATCAGTTTCATACAGCATAAATCTCCCTATAAATGCTCAGCAGCAGGCTAAAAGATGAATATTTATAATAAATGTGATTATTAATCATAAAAACCTTTCTAGGCCTGCATCAATTTTTAATAAATTGCTCATGTACATTGCGATTCTATTTTTTGCTTTTCCAACAGTGCTAAGACGCATCATTTTTGTTAGCTTTATGAGTTTATAAAGCCTGGGGAGTCTGCTTAATCTAACTAATCCTGAATAATTTTTATATGCTTGTATAATCATGTCAAACGGGACGCAAGGGCATAAATCAATAAAAAATCAGCCAGTCAAATAATTGAGGAAAATTTTTTTGTGAGAAATTATAACATTCATATCGTTATCATAATAAGCTAAAATACAATTAATAACTCCCCTATGCTCGAAACAAAAATTTTTTAAATATAAAAACATTTTATGAAAAAAATTTTGATATATATAAGTGGCAATTTTTTTGATGAATTCTAGAACCAATTCTGTTTGATATTAAACAGCTTGCATTTTAAAATATAAATTCTATAAGTTAAATTAATGTTTGCTTTAAAATTATTTAGTTTTGGAATTTCGAAATATAAATTTTAAAAAAAAAAACACACTCTAATAGTAAGAACATCAATAAAATACAGTCCATCCACAAAGAGATCTGCAATTTGCCAGTCAAGGGTATCTACATCAACAAAACTCACTCGATAAGGAGTTATAGTAATTGTGTATAATAACAAAAGTAATACAATAAATCTCCAATAATTCATAAAGGAGTCATCAGGGAATAAAATAAATCTAATATCTTTAAACTCAGGGCTATTTCTTAATCTAGGCTCTTCTTTTTGAAGTTCTTTTGCACGTACTTTTCATAGGCTTATTTCATGATGTAAAGAGTTGAACATTTCTTTGTTTGTTTCTGGGATGACTTTTGCCATGTCGAAATATTATAATAGCTAAGAAAAATCAAATTAATTTTAAAAAAATTAAATATAATCCCTTGCATAAATTTCATTTTGCTTATTTATAGTAAATTGATTTTAAAATGCTAAAAAAATTTAAACATACCATAGACCCAGTTTTATATATAATGGCATGTCAAATTTACTTTGGCATTTTAAATACTAATTTATATAGTCAATGAAAGTCTATTTTATGAGAATTGTAACGTATTTCTTTTATTTCCCAAAATCAATCCAATTATTTTTATTTGATTCTGGTAAAAGTTTCTGTTTTAGGTTACTAAAACCTTAGACATTCAATAATTATGTTTAGGCAACATCTTAATAGCAAATAAAAAAATAATATGATCTTTATATAAAAATAAAGCTCTTCTTTTCACAAAAGCATGCAAACCTTCACAATTATACTAAAAAATCATCTATAAATAGATTCTGTGAAAAAAACCCGCTTATATCGCACACCTAACTAGTATTTCACATATATATATTTGTTATTGCCCTTCTTTAGTTGCTAACTTATTAATTTAGATATTTTTAAGGAATTTTTCATGTAAATGCTATACTAAAAACTAAATCGTATAAATCTTTATTTCTAACTCCCCCCTTCTGAGCGAACAAAAAAAATCTTGTTCGCTCACGGAGGGGGTTAATTTTATTTTAAAAACTTTATATATAAATTTAAAGAAATTTTTTTTTTAGGAATTTAAAAAAATCCAATTTCTCGAAAATTGGAAAGCAAATATTAATTAATTTTGTTTTAAACGCAATTTGTTTAAAAAATTAAACAGAATTAACTCGAAATTTCATGAAACTAGTTATCACTTATATATCAAAAATTTTTGTTCGCTCACCAGGGGTGAAAAAATAGGGATTTTTCTAATGGTTTTGTTCACTCACGGAGGAGGGAGAATAAGAATATTCAAATTGTTTTAGATACTCAATCCGATTAGAAAAATAAAAATGATGCATTAGGCTAATAGATAAGTTAGTTGGAAGTCATTCAAAATTGGTCAAGCATAATTCACAATCCAACGCCTCTCTCTACCTCCTAACACCCCACCCTCTCCCTTTATGCTTTTATATAAGATTCAAATTCTAATAATGAATTGATATACCATGGTGGGCTAGCTGCATAAACTTTTGCTCTTCAGAATCAGAAAGAAATATAAGCTAGAGCAAACTTAAAAAATAAAATTTAAACAATTTGAAGCTCTTTATTTCACAGAGGTAAATTTTTTAAATTTTGGTTATTGAGTTTTATTTCTCTTTATTTTGCTCGCTCTTATATTAATAAGAGTAAGACATCCTGAGAAAATAAGCATGAATATTAATCAGCTTTCCAAATAACCTCAAAATATAGAATTCAGCATTTTTAAGAGACCTAATTTTATTATGGATTCTAAAATTTTGATTAATTAATCCATTAATTTGTGTGTGCTATAACAAAACGACTTATTCTTGGTTCATAGTCACCTCAGGAGTCTCATCCATAGGGTTATTATTGTCATTACATATATCATTTGACTCTTCAAACGAAATTTCTCCTATAATAGAACAATGATGAGCTCCATCAGGGAACTCAGTTCCCATATTATTTAGCGCTGTTTCTATAAATTGATTAAAATGGTCTGGCACTAGTTTTCCATCAGGTGTAATCTCTTCAGCCTTGTATGTGGTGTCGCTTCTTATCCTCTTTATTCTTTTCTTTAAAATAAATTCATACGTAGTGATCCCTTTGATTTTTATTCATATATGAAAAATAATTAGATAAGCAAGTCATATCAAAACCATTACACTGAAAATTGTATAAATTGCGATAAGAATTGTAATAAAATCGCTTATTTCTATATTCCAAAAATCATTATTTTTTCTTTCAAATTGAGTGAAATCATTTAATATCAAAATTATTAAAAAAATCCCGAAAAGAGCTAAATTTATCATGTGAATTTCGAGAAACCAGATAAGCATTACAAAATAAATGTAATTTTTAGATCCGATATCGTTATTTAGCCATTTGCAATGATGATCAAAATTTTCAACACATCTGTTACATTGGTGGCAGTGCCTGCTTTGTGTCTTTACGTGTAAATTGCATGAATTGCATAGGGTGAATGATTGAAATGAAGCGGTTGAATTAAAATCAGGACTCACTTTAGAAATTTTTGCATATGTATCAGTTGGGTTGATAAGTGCAGCTTTAAGTCCTGCAAATAATACGCACGATAGTGTGATATAATGAATGAGTAAAAATTCAATCTAAATATAAATTACTTTTGAAGAATCGTTGAGACTAGGAAAATACATAATCGCAGGCAAAAAAGCATCAATAAAAAATAGGCCAATTGAAGTGCCTTGATAAAAATACTGAGGGCATGTGAAACCGTTCTTACGCATTATGCTGACAATTAATTTTTTATTGTTAAAAAAGGTGGATGTTTACAACCTTTAATCGATAAGCATCTTATTAAATAAAAATTTTACAATCTAAATTATTTTATTTATAGCTAAATCTAGACTATCTGCAAACTTAAGCCATGGCCTTGTATTCTTATACCACTCAGAGCCTCTTGCTAAAGCGAAATTTGGCATTAAAGTATCTATATGAAACCATTGCCTAGATAAAGGGTCTATACATCCATTTTTGTCTATGTGCTTCAACAGCAGATCTTTCTCATACGAAAATCCAGCAATCGTTACATATGGGGCATTATACACTTCCATAGTCAAAGTGCAAGAAAAGCTTGGAATTTCCTCGATTTTTTTTGCAACTAAATGCTTATTCAACAATTCAATGCTTTTGTTGTCTTTCAAAATTCCAGAATAATACTCTTTCAGACCTTCAGCTTCTTTTTGTATTAAATTCATTTGTGTAATCTCATACATTATCTGAATATTTGAAACCAAATCCTGGCAGTATTTTTTATTCTCTGGGCTGCTTTCCGATTCGCTTAATTTATAAGCAAGCTTAGCAAGCTCCAATCCTTTTTCTAAATCAGGTAATGACCCTTTTTTACCAATATTTGCTTTAGATCTGCTGCAGATAAGAATTGCCTTTAAGCTGCTGGGGTCTAATTTTACGGCGGCTCTACCATCATTATAAGCTAGCTCATAAGCATTTGTCTGCATATAACTCAGCCCTCTATTTGTATACAAAATCGGGATATCTGGAGATATCTTGATCGCTTTTGTATACATTATAATTGCTTCTTGGTAATTTCCTGCCTTAAAATATTCGTTTCCTTTATCTTTATATTCAGCTGCAGTTAATTTCTCTTCAAGTGGCTCGAAGTCCGACTTAATTTGGACTTCTTTTTTTGGTTTATTGATACATTGCACAATGCAGCCCATATTTTCTATATAACTTTCTCAGAATTACCAAATCTTTAATGTTTTATGTCTTAAAGAAATCTTAAAAATATGCGTTTTGAATATAAAATAAAGTGACTGAGAGTTTATTATAAAAATAATGAAAAGCAATGACTTATTAGATGTCTTCCAGCCAATAAATGATATGCTTTATAAGCTCTTCAGTATATCTAATTAGTGCTTCAGTAGCAAAATTTCCGTCTTCGTTTTTGCCAATCTGCTTGCTCTTATCTAAAAGCTTTTTATATTCATTTCTCCCATAATTCATATCTCCTTTCATCCCATCTAATTTCCATATATAATAAAAAAGTCTTCCATACCAAAACTCTTTTACTTGCTCAAAATTTTCCTTTCTGCTATAGACAAGCTCGATTATTCTGTCGATATCGCTGAACTCTTCTGTATATTCTGGTAAACAATTACAAAATCTTTGGACAACCCCTTTAATAGCATCATCTTTTATTTCTGGAATTCCATTTAAGGCTAAATTTGCGATATTTAGCCCCATCACTGAGTCATCAATCAGTAAAACATGCTTACATATCAAGATTCTTGGATATTTATCTCCAAAAGGAATCATAGATAATGTAAAAAATACATGAGCAGGGAAGGTCGTCAAAAATCTTATTCTACCATTATTTGGCGAAAAGCAAATAGATTCGTCAGCGCCTGGGTGATAATGCAGAAATAAATTAGAGTTTAAGATATTTGGGTCTATACAGAGCCAATCATGGTCTGCATTTTTTATTCCTTTATTAGCAATTTCGCTATCTGGTAGATAAAGTCCGCATTTTATTTCTGTTTTGCAGTCTGCACCTGGGTGTATATTATAAAAAACATAAGGATGCATTACTAAATTCATAATAACTTCACTAGGGTATGAATATTTCAGCTCTTTCCCATCATGAACTATCGTGTAATACTCCACTTCATCAGCATTTTTTATCTGATCACTAATCCTTACTAAATTTTCTGCTAGAATTCTAGGCAAATCGCCATGAATTTCATCGATCACTGTGTCATTATTCAAAATGAAGTATCGATCGCTATTATAAATCCCTAGGTACGGTACAGTCCTCATATTAGTTCCCTTCATTTTACACTCTACCATTGATGTTAATATTTATAGATTTTAAAATATTTTATAAGGTTTGAATAGCAGAATGATAATACCCGCAGGAAATTTTACCTGCCCATCTACCTGAGGTTGAACTTAGATTTATGCAGATGGGGACCATACTATCTTCTTGAGACATCGTGCCTAGCTGGAAATAAAAGCCATAACCCCATGCATAGGTTTCCCCATTTATGTCGATTCCCATCATATGTCTTCCTCCACATGATATGTCAATGAATTGGAGGGTTTTAGAGACAAGCTCTGGGGTGAGGACGTCCATGTCGTGTCCTAAGCCTAGTCTTCCATACGTTCCTTTTCCAAAAGTATATAAATGCTTTTGTGAGTCCAAAATTGCTGAATATCCATCTCCACACTTAATTTTTGCTGCTTTTATCATATAGCCAAACAGTGGAATTTTAAATAGTGCTGAATACACTTCATAATTTGCCCCCATCCCAAGCTGCCCGTGATCAGTGCTTCCACATGTATACACATCTCCATTAGAAGTTAGTGCTAAAGAATGTGAAACCCCTAAAGCAATTTCTACAACATTACTAATTTCAACAATTTTTATAGGGCTTCTTTCTTTTCTAAATACTTTATGCTTGATCTGCATAGGCTGCTTAAATAGTCTCCCATCAGGATTCGCACCCCACATATAAAGTTCTCCGTTTTTTATACAAGCTGAGTGCAAGTACCCAGCTGCTACATAATTTACTGAGTCCATATCATTAACCATAACAGGTCAAGATCTGTCATAAAAATCGCCTAAGCCAAGCTGTCCATCTCCATTGAAGCCCCATGTAAAAACCTGTCCTGTTTTGGTTACACAAATTGTATGTAGCCATCCACAAGCTACCATGCTTATAGGGACTTCTCTTAAAGGGTGGCTTACAAGCTGAGGGGTAAATGTTGAATTTAAATTTACGTTTCCTAACTGACCTAAGTTTCCATTTCCAAACATCCTCAGTACTCCTTGCTTATCGATGACTGCGTTATGATAATACCCAGAGATTATTTCTGAATATTCATGCTCAAGGTAATTATAGCTCGAGTTCGGGTATTTGTTTTTGCCTGCACAGCTGCCATCTCGGTTCATGCCAAATAAAATCACATTCCCGCCTTGCTTTAGGTCTGAGGGTACAGAATTTATTGATTCGGTAGGTGGAGATAAATTAGGAGGAGGGTTGTATTTTTGTTCTTCTTCAGAGTTCAAAGCTACTTCGTCAGATGAAGATTCGGATTCTAGAGTTATAGCTTTTCTTGGTAATGAGGAAGGGTCATCTGTAGATTTGCGAACATTAGTAGGCTTTGGGGTGTCTGCAAGGTCTTCACATACAAGCTTAAACGGACTGGGGTAGGCATTTCGGTTCTCAGAGGAGTTAGAAGGAATCGGAGTCATGACTTTTTGACTTGATCTTGGAGTGTCTTTTTTGGCTGGGTTAAGAGAAGTTGGGGACTGGTTTTTATAAGTATTTCCAACCTTATAGCGGATTCTGACGTTTTCTTGAGAAATCGGTCTTGATCTTTTAGGCTGCACATTGGTGGTGGGCCTAGATTTTGCTTCTGTTTTGATAGGAGGTTTTCTGTCTTGAGAAGTTTTATTTCCTCTAAGTCTTGCGAAAAGCTCACTTAAATGATCCCAATAATTTTCATCAAGTGCCGCTAATTCGATCAAATAATTATTCCTTAGCTTTAAGCATTCTGATTCTCAGCTTGATAGTTCAGCGACTTCTTTGGTATTTTCTTTATCAAATTTTCGTTTTTGAATGTCAAATCCTATTATTCCTAACTCTTTTATATCGCCTAATTCCTTCATAAGTGAATGCTTTATCGAAATCTGTATATTGAAATTCTTTTGCAACTCTTTATACTTCTCATAAAACTCTTGCTCACTTACATTCACAAATTTAATAACCTGCTCTTTATCTTGCTTTTCAGGGGTATTCATAGATAATTCTCTTAATTTCGCATTTTCTTCTTTAAGCTTGCTTATCTCTTTATCTTTGCTTGTAATAATTGAAGAAATTTGAGCTTCAAGTCTAGCTATTTTGTTTTTATAGCCTGTGATTAGCTTAGAATCGTCTATGACTTCATTGATAATTGGCTGATTTTTGATAGATTTAGCCCTTGTAGCAAATCTTAAGGTCGATATGCTTAATTGGACGTTGTTTATTTCTGGTGCTATTGTACAAATAATTGCAGTTAAAGCATTCCCTCCTAAGGTAAGTAAAAGTTAAATATTATAAGGCTGCAAGGGATAGACCCACCAGTTTGCCTATCTGGTATAAGTCCACTTAACCTTAATATTGGCTCACTAGGTTAGAGTCCCCCTTGCGGATTCCCAATTAGTTCGATAAGCAAAGACTGAGAGGCAAAGCCTGCCCCTTCCGTCGATGTTGCCATTTTATTTTTTATTCCCTCCTAAGGAATTGCTTAATATTCTCGTCAACTTGCTATCTCTAAATGGTATGTGGGCATTAGGGTTATCAGCGAGCTTGTTTATTACATTTGCTAATACAAATAAACTTTTATTTATATGAGAAGTTTCTGAAGTATCAGTGTTCCCAACATCTCCAATTCTTTCTGACCCAGCAAGATCTACTAGATTTAGAACAGAAAATCTCATATTCCCTTTAATCCTGATTTCATTCCCATCATCAATCAGCCCATCTATATCTTTGCTTTCTATTAAAATTCTAAATACTGTATGTGACCTTGATGAATGTTCATGTATATTTGTGGCTCTATATCTCCTTTGTTTTTCTCCAAATTCCAATATTTCGACTGCTTCTTTTGGGTTTCTCACCACCAGCTGCTTTAATCCTGATACAAAATATCCTTCAGTCGGGTCTTCTCTGATTCTCAAATTAATTGACCCAGGATCTAACAAATCATTGATAATTTCGTTATAAACCTCTAAATAAGAGACTAAAATAGTGAATTCTCTCCTTTTGCTTTGAATGATATTAAAAATATCAATAAAAGTCAAGGACAAAATTCCTGGACTTTCAGGATTTCCGATAATTGTATGGGTTTTGCCTGAGGTTGTTTGGCCATATGCTAAAATAGTGCCATTGTAGCCTTCTATTGCACCTTCAATAATTTCTTTGCAGACGGTGTCATAAACCTCACTCCCCCCCCTTTAAATTGGAACTAAAAATTTTGTTCCAATTTAAAGGGGGGTTAAGAAAATTTTTTTAAAAAAAAAAATCATTATAAAATTTAAAAAAAAAAAAATTTATATAAAATTTAAAAAAAAAAAAAAAAATTTCAAAAATTTATCGAATTAGATTAATAAATTTGTTTAATAAAATGCTATTTACTCTTTATCCTTTAAAATAAAGTAAGATATAACTAAAATTTTATTATTAATTAATACGCCACTATTAATTGGCATCAAAACTATTTACACAAAAATTATTATTTTATTGATAAAAAAAAAATTTAAAAAAAAAAATTTTAGAAAATTTATTAATCAAAGTGCTAATTTTGGTTAATTTTTGTTTAAATAAGATGTTATTTATACTCTATTCTTTGAAATAAAGCAAGAGATAAGTAAATTTTGAATTTTTGTAAAGAATTCGTATTGAATTTATATCAAAGCTATTTAAATAAAAAATATCATTTTTATCAAAAAAAATAAAATTTTTTTTTCGAAAATATTTTAAAACAAAAATTAAATTGTTTTAAAAATTTACAATTAAGGATAATAAATTTATTTAAATAAAATGCTCATTATACTCTATTCTATAAACAAGAGCAGGATAAAACTAAATTTTTAATTTTAGTTAAGAAGAAACATTTAAATTATATCAAAACTTTTTACATAAAAATTATGATTTATATATATAAAATTTTTTATTATAAAATTAAATTTTGTTCCAATTTAAAGGGGGGTTAATTTACCAAAAAAGTGGAAATTTTACCTATATTTTGTTCCAATTTAAAGGGGGGGGGGAGTCAGAAGTGGCTGTTTGGGAATCAAATACGTTGTCAAATGTATAGGATGAAGGAACATTAGAGATTGATTGTTTTAACTGGATTGAAGAAGAGCTGTAAATAAAAGCATCTTTTGAATCTTGAGAAAATAAAGGACGGCTTCTGATGCAAACTCTGATTCTGTCTTTTGATTTCATTTTAAAATTGTTATGAATAGCTTATATTGATTTTAATAATTAAGAAATGCAATAGATAAGGTTGCCATTATTATAATCAAATGAAGAATTTTGAAAGATAAAATTTTTCTGTATGAAATAATAAAGAAATCTGAGTTATTGAAACAAATTTTAATAAATAATTAAAAATAATACAAATATGAATTTGCATTTGAAGTACTTAAGCAATTCAAATTTCTATCAGACTGTCTTTTATTTTTTTGCAGCTGTCAACAAAACCGACATAAGAAAGAAATAAAATGAAGATGCAATAAATGAATAATAAACTGTCATCAACATAGGTGTCTATGATATTCATAAAAATATTTACCATAGAGCTTAATGAGCTTGCAAGCAATTTAAAGCACTTTTCCAATTTTATATGATTTTTCAGCCATAATTGCTATAGTTTTCCACTCTTATTATCTCATTTAAATAATCTCAATTCACTTCTTAAAATTTTATTTTTAATTAATTCAAAATCTCGGATTTAAAAATATTATTCATTTAAATTTGTGGGATGAAATTAAGTGCAAAAAGGATAGATTTTTTTATTGTAAATTTTAATTTTTTATATTTGTTTAATTAGAAGATTTACTTGAGAATCATTATTAAGAATTAATCATTATAATCAAAACAATAATTATCGAGTTAATAATTAATTAAAATCAAATAAAAAATTAATTAGCATTCGAAGTATTTTAGCACTTCAATTTTTCCTATTAGATCGTCTTTTATTTTATTTACAGCTGTTAATGTAATCAACATTGCGATAATGCACACAAGCAAAAAATAAATTAAAGATGTAATGACTAAATAATCCAGAGTGTCTGCAACATAGGCGTCTGCGGCATATTTGAGCACACTTTAGCGCGTCCTTACACTTGCAGCCGCTGTACGAATTGGAGGCTTGACTTCTTACCTTCAGATAGCGTATCAACTTTAAAAATGAGAACAAATTCTTATCCATGGATTTTTTTGAATTTTAAGTTGACTCATTTATTTTAAGTGAAAAATCAATCCTCAAAGTTGCTGACTCCTTCCTCCATAATCGAACAGAACCATTGAAAAAATCCTTATTTTTTGAGCAAAAAGTCTTATTCAGTGATCGAAAAAATATTTTATTAATACCATAATTTTTTATCAAAAATATTTTGATACATAAGTAATAATAATATAACGAAATCTCACGCTAATTCTATTTACATTTAAAAACATAAATTTTATAAATTGAATTAATTTTTAACTTTCACATTTTTTTCATTTAGGATTTTTTAATTTAGGAAATAAAAATTTACTATAAAATTTATATATAAAATTTTTTATAAAAATATTAACACACTCTATGAGCAAAAAAATTTTTTGTTCCCTCGCGAGGGATAGAGTGAGAAGGTGCAAGCGTAAGAGCGCACTAAAAGATACCCAGGCTATATTCATAAAAATATTTACCATTGAACTTACTGAGCTTGTTATCAATTTAGAGTACTGCTCTAGCTTTATAATATCTTTTCAGTCATTTAAGCTATATTTTTCCACTCTTTTTATCTCATTTATATAAATTTATCAAAATAACGACACGTATCAACTTTCCCTCTTGCCATGAGAGCCCAACCTTGGACTTAAAGTCGAAAATCAAGTGCAGCCCTAGTAAATTCGTATCCATGTAGGTTTTGGCTGCTTTCAGTTGTTGGAAATGGAGGTGCCCAGCAATCTTTCTCAGACCGTTGGGCATCTCTACGATAAACGGAGGTTTTGGCCAGGCCATAGGAACATTCTTTTTCCTGCATCAACCAAAGGAAAGCGCTTTAGCACTTGATAGACTCCAAGAAAATAATTTCTGAAAACAGTTGGAGAAATGCATAAGCCTCTCGCTTTAGGCGAAATCTCAACGCAAGAAGAGATGACTGTGCCGTCTACGGGATTAGCCTCTCGTACAAAAAGGTCTTTGGAGACCACTAATATGGCAAGCTCATTCTTCAATTAACTAACTAATAACATTTATATAAAGCTCAATTGATGGCACTATTCCCATACTAATATAGCTGCTTTGGCATTTTGCTATTGTGCTGTTTAATTGGGCGCAAGGATTTCCAATCATGAGGCTGATGATGTCATCATTATAATATTTTTTTAAAGCTCCATTATTGATGAGATTTTGACAATAATTGTAATCTTTAATCAAATCTTTTAGTTTGCATGAGATTGAAGGAAATGCGCTTCTTTCGTTAAGAATATTAGTAATAAAAGATGCATTTCTCTTATCTAAAAATTGTTCTCTAGCTCAAAAATAAGTAGTTTTAGTAAGTGATCTTCTGAGCCCCGAGCTAAATCTATAATCTTATCTTATCTTATTTAATTTATAACGTTTAACATCCACTACGGGGTAGCTGTTTTCAGAGCTGCCACCATATTTGTCAATATGTCGGGCCCATGGATCTCTGGATCGATCCACTTCGTTGCACCAGGGCAAGGGAGAAATGCATCGCTCCGACTTCGACGGGCTGCGTACTCCTGAGCATGCTCCACCTAAAGGGTCACCTTCCTCAAGTGTGCTGGGAGGTAAAACTTCAAGCCTCCTGGTGTACTTGGAGCAGTGCCTCGGGTCTATGCGCCAGTGATAAATTGCTATTGCTGTACAGAAGTTCCCAGAAAATTAGCAGAGCTAATTTCGCTTAAACCGAATGCTATTTTATTTATACTAAATCGATAATCCGTTTGAGAAATTAAAGCATCGCTTATTTGATTTTGAAATACATTAATAGAAATAAAATAATATAAGATGCTGGCAAGTTCCAATAGGAGAATTTTAAAGATAAATGATTTTCAAACAAATAAATAAATTTTCTTTTTTTTATTATTTTTTTGAATTGTTTCTTCAACTTCGATACCATGATATTGATTTAGTCTATCTATAAGCTTTTCTCTTATAATTATTTTGCGTTCGATGCTTAGTGAGGAAAGGCTTCTCCAATTCTTTTTATTGTATTTTTCAAGATCTATTATATTTTTAATTGAAAGAGCAATTATCAACACTGCAGGAATAAAAACAAGCAATTTAAAGTTCATTAAAAATGCCAAGACAGATATTGTATTGTTTTGCATTTCTTCAATAGTAAAACGCAAGCTTTTATTTAGAACTTTATACTCATACACTAATATAGATCTTTTTAATTTCATATAGGTTTAATTCCACTCTGAATAAAATGCAATCTACGCAACAGTCTATGAAAAGTATGTATGAGTTATGGCTACTAGAAGAAATACCCTTATTAATTAAATTAGTTTTTATAAATAAAAGATAAAATCCTTGTATTCTTAGATAATATTAGGGAAAGCATTTTAAATTTGAAAATCAATAAAAATCCAAAAATATCTTATTAAAATATAAAAAAATTCAACTCTTTTATAAGCTAGCCAGCTATATCTTATATTCTATTAATCATATCTTTAGCTATTCAGAGGAAAATAAGAGGGAAAAGAAAAGCAGATTAAAAACTTATTAGAAAACTTGAAAACTCTAATACATTAACTAGCCTTCAAAGTATTTTAAAACCTCAATTTTATCAATCAAGTCACTTTTCATTTTATTTACAGCTGTGAACACAATTAGCATTGCAATAATTATCATCAGCAGGAAATATAACAAGGTTGTGATAACTAAATTGTCTAAAGTATCAGCAACCTGAGCATTAGTAGTATTCATAAAGATATTTACCATCGAACTTACTGAACTTGATATCAATTTAGAATATTGCTCCAGCTTAATGATATCTTTTCAATCAGTTTTCTTATAATTTGTTACTCTTCTAACCTCATCAATATAAACTTCTACTGAAGGCACTATTCCCATACTTATATAGCTGCTTTGGCATTTTGCTATTGTATTATTTAATTGAGTGCAAGGATTTCCGATCATAAGGCTTACCATTTCATCATTATAATACTTCTTTAATGGCCCATAATTGATGAATTTTTGACAATGCTTATAATCGTCAATCAAAAATTGCAGTTTGTGTGGAATTGAAGGAAATGGATTGCTGTCATGTAACATGTTAGTAATAAATGAAGCATTGCTCTTATCTAAAAATTGTTCTCTAGCTCAAAAATAAGTAGTTGCAGTAAGTGATCTTCTTAAGCCAGAGCTAAATCTATAATCAGTTTGAGAAATTAAAGCATCACTTATTTGATTTTGCAGCACATAAATAGAAATAAAATAATAGAAAATACTTAAAAGCTCTAACTCCCCCCCCCCCCTCCGTGAGCGAACAAAAAAATTTTGTTCGCTCACGGAGGGGGGTTAATTTTTTTTTTTAAAAAAAATTTATATATAAATTTTATAAAAAATATTTTTTTCGAAATTTAAAAAAATCCTAATTTGCAAAAATTGGGAAGCAAATATTAATTTAATTTGCAAAATTTATGTTTTAAAACGCAATTTGTTTAAAATTAAACAGAATTAGCTCTAGATTTCATTATACTAATTATCACTTATATATCAAAATTTTTTTCCATTAAAATTTTTTCTATTAAAAAAATTTTTGTTCACTCACGGAGGGGTGGGTTTTTTGGTCAAAAAATGGCGATTTTTCTAATGGTTTTGTTCGCTCACGGAGGGGGGGGGGGGAGTAAACAAAGGATTTTAAAGATAAATGACTTTCAAATAAATGAATAAATTTTTTTATTCGTGCGTTTGAGCTGGACTTCGTCTACTTTCAAGCTGTGAAAGTTATAAAGTCTATCTATAAGCTTCTCTTTTAGAACTACTTTTCTTTTAATATTTAGTGACGAAAGACTGTTCCAATTCTTTTTATTGTATTTTTCAAGATTAATTATATCTCTAACTGAAAGAGCAATTATTAGCAAAGTAGGGATAAAAGTAAGGATCTTCAAATACTTTAAAAGCTCTAATACAGATAATGTATTTTCCTGCATTTCTTTAGCAGTCGAGTAAATGCTTGCATTTAAACATCTAAAAGTTTCTCCAGGAAAATTTCAATAAATATAAAAAAGGTTTGTCTGAATATCTGAAAAATTCGAAAATTTAGTGTTGACAATTGCTGAACCTTCTTGTATAATTTTCTGAAGAGCTTGAAATAAATTAATTTTATAGGTGCGATATAAATTACTACTCAGCTTTTCAACTGCTATTATTTCATTTTCCGCTAAATAGTTTGTTAACTCTACCCCTTCCTTGATCGAACGAATCACTGTAAAAATTCTTCAAAATTCGGGAAATCAACGCCCTTGATCGAACGATTTTCATATCATGCAAATTTTTATATAAAATATATTAGTTATCGAATGTTGGGAAATGATCTAATGAAGTTGTGGCCAGAGGCTTTTGAGATGACAGAAAGCTAAAAAATCAACCAAAGTGCTTTAGTAATCAGCCTGGGCTTAAAAACTCAATAATCTAAAAAATAGAGATTCTTTAGCATTTAAATTTTTAATTCAATAAAGAACAAATTAAAAATTAATACAGTTTAAAGGTAACCAAAAAATCAAAATATTAAAATTATTATTTTTGCAATTTCTTGCTGTAAAAATAATTATTAAATACTCTTAATCCTCTCATTTAAAAAATATAAAAAAAACCATATATTTTATTTTATTTACAATTTTTTCCCCAAAAAAGTTTTTTAACCTATTCTTGATCGAACAATGTCGAGCCGTTCATTCAAGGATGGGGAGTAAGTAACTATAATTTAGTATATTTGAATTCGTGGAAGTCAAAACAATTTTTAAGTTTAGCAGATTTGTCTGTAATGAGGTCCTATAAGCTGTTTCGGTGGATGATAAGTTATAGCCTTGACTTAATAAATCAAGAGATCTCGAGTCTGATAAAATACTTAATCCTAAAAATCTCATTGTCGCGAAATTGCTAGATCTCCCACTCTATAAGCTAGCAAGACCATTGGAAAAATCTATTTTTGGGTAAAACCCCCCTACCCTGCATGAGTGATCAAAAATTAAATTGTTTATGGAAAAATATTTTGATCTGAGATTATTATAACGAAATCTCCAGCTCATTCTGGTTAATTTTAAATAGCTCCTATTTTAAAACATAAATTTTACAATAGAGTGAACAAAATTTTTTGTTGGTCGTTTCACGGAGAATGAGCGAGTAATAAAAATTGATAAATTTAGGTCTTTAATTAAATATTTTTCTAAAAGTAAAGTTGCAATAATAATTCCAAGCAGGCATATTACAGAAAATCTGACTTTCATGTTCATAGAGTTACAAAATTTCATTACTTTTTCACTATTGCTTTCGATGTTTTTGATCATTTTGGTGTTTTCTGCGTTTTTTGCGTTTTTATTGTTTTCTATCCCTGAATGCATAGTTGTAAAATAAGAGTGCGAAATTGCTGGTTCAAGTTTTGCATTGGATTTAGTTTGGAGTATTGTGGTATGGCTATTATAGTTAGATTTATAGTCTCATTCATCGCTTTCAATTGCAGATTCTTTTCCGAGATTTTTAATTTGAGCAAAAAAATCATCGTTCATAATATACAAAACCTCTAGCGTTGAATCATCAATTTGAAGTTTAGCCCTTTGCATTGAAATGGTGAAATCTTCGTGATACTCAAAGATCGTCCCAAGCTCATACTTTTCGAAATAATATGAAATATTATTAAGAACTTCAAATATAGAGCCTTGCCTGCTGCCAATTATCTGATGGATATTCTTTGAAGTAGCGTATATTTCCTCTTCTGAAGAATATAGAATTATATTGCTATTATAATCTTTTTCGTTGAAATCTGCGATAAAATAAGGAGTTTGTTTGAAAAAAGATACACGGAAATGCATTGTTACTTCTACACAATACCTTTTTGTAGTGATCAAAAAGAGTTTAGGACGAAATACTTCTTTCCTATCACTAAAAATTAATCCTCTCCTTAAAATATCGTTATGTATTACATCAAAAGGAGGCGGAATAAATTGTGTGAAGCTTGTCCCAAGATAATCGTCAACATTATCAATTACAAGCAATTTTTGAATTTCTTCGTTTAAATATAAAATATCTCCTATCGTATTAGGCATGCCACTTACCACCATAATGGCCATACCTTGAAACTTTGCACCTGAGCTTTTATCAATTCCTAAAATTTGTGTCCCCTTTAGATTTTTGCTATTATCGAGGAGCGTTTTCCCTTCAATATCGCCTAATAAATCTTCTTTGTATGATCCATAAATTTCAAGGACCAATGGATCTAAATGATGCCTTTTCATCATTTTTTCAGCTTTTTTTTCATATTTTTTTTTGGAATTTGCAAGTATTGAACAAAATTTACTAATAATCCTTGGGGAATGTTCAGATATATTTGATAGTTTTGTATATAACTCTCAAAGATCACATGCAACTTCTAAATCTTTTGTATTCAGCTGGTTAATGTCTCTTATGTACCTTATCAGCATTAAATTTTTTTCGGATTCTTCATTTATAAGCTTTTTATAATAATAGTAATATAAAAATTCTGCTTCTATGTCAGGATAGCTAAAGAATTTTTTTTTCCCTTTATTATCTTGCTTCCAAAATCTTGAAATGTTTTGAGATGAAAAATTGATTTTTGAAAGTTTCAATAGAGCTAACGATTTATCCTTTTCATATCGCAAATAAAATAAACTTTCCCATACAAAAAGTAGCTTAAATGATAAAAATTCTTTTGTTGCCTCTGTAAAAATGGCTTTTATCTGAGATCGTAAATTATTGTGCAAGTTCTTAGATTTAGTTTTAAGCAAAAGCTGCCTAATTTTAAACTCAATGCAATAAGATTAAGATTAACTTGTCTGGCCATACGTGGGCGAACCAGCGAACCACCACACCTCAGCTCGAAAGGTTATTTCAGGTCAGGTTTCTGATGCGACCATACTCCCAGGCCGTCGCCATCTTGATTTCTGGTCTGAACCACCTGTCCAGAGGATCAGCTCCTCTGGACATAACCACTTCCTGGAGAGTGCCCCGATGGTCTCGATGTGGGGAGACCATGTGGTAGGTAAAAATCTGTCTAGCCCATCTGGCAGGGACAGGAAAAACCTTCAGGGGAGAAATAAAACTCCCTTTTCGGCATAGCTTCCCCACCTCTGTAGGCCTACCTGGACAGGGAGCAAGGCTCTGTGTCTCAACTTCATCAGAAATGGTCCTACCAGCTCCATACGAGGTGCGTCTCGGAGACCGATTTCCGTCAACGTCACCATTTTATTTCTTTCCAATGCAATAAGGATTTTGATTTTTTGTATTGAATGCGCAATCAAAATTCCTATTCATAAAATAATCCATAATGATTCAAGAGCATGGATAGATAAAAAAAATGATTAATGCGCGTACAGATTTAGCATTAGTACGAACAGAAAGCTGATGAGAGATTACTCCAAACAACATAAGTATTCAAGTGTTTGCCTCAAACAAGTTATCAAATACTGCTACAAATGGCAAGTACAAAAAATACTGAAAAGCCATATAAATAGAGAATATAGCACAAAAGATATTAAAAAATAAATCTGAACTGTAAAACGATAAAAAAACTAGGATTATTTGAAAAAAGAAATCTTTCAAAGTAATAAGTGAGTACATCCTATTTCTTTTAAATTTTTTTGTGTAATATGGCTTGCAATTATAAATAGTTCTGAAAAATATAGCTATCACTATAATAGGAAATCCTAAAATTAAGGGTATTGCTCAATATGTATTATAGTCAGATAAATTTTTATTATCATATTCTGTTATTTCAGTAGAATTATCGAAAAAAGTATATTTAGAATATACCCCAACACTGTATAAATAAGGCACAAATAAAATATTTTCGTATGTTCATCATAAGATCTTAGCTACTAGAACAAGTGGTATTGAAATAGCATTTCTTTTATAATATATTTGGAAATAAATTAAACAAAAGCTAATAAAAAATCCCCAAAGAGTTGATATCAAAATGAATAAAAATATAAACTGGAGATTAAATTCACCACAAAGAATATCAAATCTTGTTAATTTCAATAACCAATTTAAAAAAGATTCTAAAGTAATATTTTTGGAATTTTCAAAGGTTAAAAGAATAATCGATAAAAGTTGAATTTTTCTGATGAAAAGCACAATGCAATTTATAATAAGATATTCTTTAGAAGCTTTTGTTTTAAAATCACTATTTCCTAGCCTCAAAAGAGTTTCGAATAAAGCAGTTTTATAGTGGCTGGCCCTGTCTACTTCTAGTCTTTTATACAAATCACTGCGTTTACAAATAATTGTCCCAAATTTATATGAGGAAGCTGCCCTGCTTTTTATTGATTCTTCATACATTTTAAATAGATTATAGGCACATTATAAGTAGAAGTAAGAAGAAAATATGTGTTTTTTTATAAATGAGTATTGCTCAAAACAACAGAAATTATTAAAATATATATTAAATGCTGAATCAGTTATTAAATTTTGAAGCAATTCTTTGCTTAAAACTTCTGAACAATTTTATTAGTTTTTTTGATGATTTTTTTGATAAAATTAATCAGATTTGACCAGTACAAGCTTATGATTATCTTAGGGCTTGTAAATATTCTATGCTGCTATGCGATACTTAAACGGACTAATTGAAATTGATACATATAAATTAAATGTGCCTGAGAATTAAATTTAACGGGCATCATTCAATTTCTGAATAGAGCAACTATTATAAAATTTTAGATTTTAATTTTAAATTTATTTATAACAGGATTTGAAATTTTAATATGCAGCTGAAACAAGAAATAAGAAATAAAAATCAGAAAATTAATATATCTAAGGAAAAATAGATAAAAATCTTTAATTTTAATAACTTAAGCTAATTTAAATACTATCTAGATCTTTAAATTCATATAGGTTTAATCTTGCTCTGAATAAAACGCAATCTATGCAGCAGCCTCTAAAAACTGTGTATGAGTTTATAGTTAATAGAAGAAATAGCATTATTAATTCAATAAATTGTTTTAAACGCAAGCTAAAATCCTTGTATTCTTTCAATTAAAAAATACCTGATTAAAATATAAAAAAAAAATTAACTCTTTTATAAGCTAGTCAGCTATATCTTATATCTATTACTCAATTCTTTAGCTATTTAGAAGAAAATAAGAGGGGAAAAGAAGAAAAAATTAAAAACCTATTAGCACAACTTAGTCCGCACACCCTCTGTGAGCGAATAAAAAGCATTAGAAAATCCCTATTTTCTGCCCATTAAACCCCCCTCTAAGCGAATACAAAATTGATATATAATTGATAATTATTATAACGAAATCTATGCTAATTCCATTTTAAAAATAAAAATTTATAAATTAAATCAATATTTGCTTTCCAATTTTTTAGAATTGATTTTTTTAAATTTCGAAAAAAAAAATAATATAAAATTTATAATAATCCCGCTTCTTATCGAACAAAGCGTTTTTGTTCGCTCACGAAAGGGGGAGTTATTAAAGTTGAGTAGAAAGCTCTTAATGTATTAACTAGCCTTCAAAATATTTTAAAATCTCAATTTTATCAATCAAGTCACTTTTCATTTTATTTACAGCTGTGAACACAATTAGCATTGCAATAATTATCATCAGCAGAAAATATAACAAGGTTGTGACAACTAAATCGTCTAAAGTATCAGCAACTTGAGCATCAGTAGTATTCATAAAGATATTTACCATCGAACCTACTGAGCTTGATATCAATTTAGAATATTGCTCCAGCTTAATGATGTCTTTTCAATCAGTTTTCTTATAAGTTGCTACTCTTCTAACCTCATTAAGATAAAGTTCTATTGATGGCACTATTCCCATACTTATATAGCTGCTTTGGCATTTTGCTATTGTATTATTTAATTGAGTGCAAGGATTTCCGATCATAAGGCTTACCATTTCATCATTATAATACTTCTTTACAGGTCCATAATTGATGAATTTTTGACAATGCCTATAATCGTCAATCAAAAATTGCAACTTGTGTGGAATTGAAGGAAATGGATGCAGAATGTTAGTAATAAATGAAGCATTGCTCTTGTCTAAAAATTGTTCTCTAGCTCAAAAATAAGTAGTTCTAGTAAGTGATCTCCTTAAACCAGAGCTAAATCTATAATCAGTTTGAGAAATTAAAGCATCACTTATTTGATTTTGCAGCACATAAATAGAAATAAAATAATAGAAAATGCTTGAAAGCTCTAAGAGAAGAATTTTAAAGATAAATGACTTTCAAATAAATGAATAAATTTTCTTTTTCGTACGTTTGAGCTGGACTTCGTCTACTTGCAAACCATGAAAGTTATAAAGTCTATCAATAAGCTTCTCTTTTAGAACTACTTTTCTTTCAATACTTAGTGACGAAAGACTTTTTCAATTCTTTTTATTATATTTTTCAAGATTAATTATATCTCTAACTGACAGAGAAATTATTAGCAAAGCAGGGATAAAAGCAAGGATTTTCAAATACTTTAAAAGTTCTAATACAGATAATGTGTTTTCCTGCATTTCTTTAATAGTCGAATAAAGACTTGCGTTTAAACATCTAAAAGTTTCTCCAGGAAAATTTCAATAAATATAAAAAAGGTTTGTCTGAATATCTGAAAAATTCGAAAATTTAGCGTTAGCAATTGCTGAGCCTTCTTGTATAACTTTCTGAAGAGCTTGAAATAAATTAATTTTATTGGTACGATATAAGTTACTACTCAGCTTTTCAACTGTTATTATTTCATTTTCCTCTAAATAGTTTGTTAAATAACTATAATTTGATATATAGAGGTTTCCTCTATATAGCGCTAAAAGCGCAGACATTTTCCCAGGAGCTTTCCAAGTTCGTCGGACCAAATCGCTTTTTGGTCCGACCAAGGCATTGATTTTGGTGCAACCTACCGATAAATTCCGATCAGAATTTATCGGCCTTACAGCGCCAAACATAGGAAACTTTCTATATCTGAATTCGTGGAAGTCAAAGCAATTTTTAAGTTTAGCAAATTAGTCTGTAGTGAAGTCCTATAAGCTGTTTCTGTGGATGATAAGTTATAGCCCTGACTTAATAAATCAAGAGATCTCGAGTCTGATAGAATATTTAATCCTAAAAACCTCATTGTCGCGAAATTGCTAACTCCCCACTCCATGAGTGAACAAAACCATTGGAAAAAATACTATTTTTGGGTAAAAACCCACCCTACCTTATGGGAATTTTTTTTGATATATGAAAATTAAAGCGAAATCTCCAGCTAACTGGTTAAATTTTAAACAGCTTTCGTTTTAAAACATAAATTCTACAAATTAAATTTATATTTGCTTTAAAATTATTTCAAATTGGGATTTTTTATATTTTGAAAAAAAATTTATATAAATTTGTAAAAATAGAGCAAGCAAAATTTTTATTCGCTCACAGAGGCAGAAGGAATAAAAATCGATAAATTTAGGTCTTTAATTAAATGTTTTTCTAAAAGTAGAGTTGAAATAATAATCCCAAGTAGGCAAATTACAGACAATCTGACTTTCATATTCATAGAATTGCAAAATTTCATTACTTTTTCACTACTGCTTTCTTTATTTTCTTCGTTTTTAAAATTTTCATTGTTTTCTATTCCTGAATGATATACATTAAAATGGCGATACGTGTCATCCTGCCCTATTGGTGCAGCAGTCCTGACCTTATGGCTGCGACGAACTGGGACGGACTCCGAGCTGAGAATCAAGTGCAGACTCAAGAGGTGTTTATCCGGGTAGGTATTGGCTGCTTTCCTGTGGTTAGAAATGGAAATGCTCAGCAACGTCCTTTGGATCCGAGAACCCATATGGGCATTCCTCTACCGAGAACTAGGGGTTTCGGCCAAGGCCACAGGGGAACAGTCTTTTTCCTGTAGCTGTTGAAGAAAGGCTCTTCGACGCCCGATAGACTCCAAGGAGCTGATCCCTGGAATAAAGCTACTCCAATCGCCCATAGCAGGGCCGCAGAAATCCATAAGGCGCCCGCTCAAGACTGAAGCCTCAAGGCAGGAGGAGGCAGAAGGCACCGATAGGGCATTCGTAAGAGAGATATAGCCCGTTCACGGCTATAGACCTTCTGAGCTGGAGTCAAAAAGCGGTAGAACCTCCCATACTGGAGGTCTTTGGTGACTACGTCACCAATATGGCTAGCGCTTGACTTTATAATCCTAAACCATTCTATTCCTGAATGCATAGTTGAGAAATAAGAGTGCGAAATTGCTGGTTCAAGTTTTGCATTGGATTCAGTTTGGACTATTGTGATGTGGCTATTATAGTTAGATTTATAGTCTCATTCATCGCTTTCAATTGCAGGTGCTTTTCCGAGGTTTTTAATTTGAGCAAAATAATCATCATTTATAATATACAAAACCTCAAGCATTGAATCATCAATTTGAAGATTAGCCCTTTGCATTGAGCAGGTGACATCTTCATCATACTCAAAGATCGTCCCAAGCTCATACTTTTCGAAATAATATGAAATATTATTAAGAACTTCAAATATAGAGCCTTGCCTGCTGCCAATTATCTGATGGATATTCTTTGAAGTAGCGTATATTTCCCCTTCTGAAGAATATAGAATTATATTGCTATTATAATCTTTTTCGTTGAAATCTGCGATAAAATAAGGAGTTTGTTTGAAAAAAGATACACGGAAATGCATTGTTACTTCTACACAATACCGTTTTGTAGTGATCAAAAAGAGTTTAGGAAGAAATACTTCTTTCCTATCACTAAAAATTAATCCTCTCCTTAAAATATCGTTATGTATTACATCAAAAGGAGGCGGAATAAATTGTGTGAAGCTTGTCCCAAGATAATCGTCAACATTATCAATTACAAGCAATTTTTGAATTTTAAATATAAAATATCTCCTATCGTATTAGGCATGCCACTTACTACCATAATGGCCATACCTTGAAATTTTGCATCCGAGCTTTTATCAATTCCTAAAACGTGCGTCCCCTTTAGATTTTTGCTATTATCGAGGAGCGTTTTCCCTTCAATATCTCCTAATAAATCTTCTTTGTATGATCCATAAATTTTAAGGACCAATGGATCTAAATGATGCCTTTTCACCATTTTTTCAGCTTTTTTTTCGTATTTTTTTTTGGAATTTGCAAGTATTGAACAAAATTTACTAATAATCCGTGGGGAATGTTCAGATATATTTGATAGTTTTGTATATAACTCTCAAAGATCACATGCAACTTCTAAATCTTTTGTATTCAGCTGGTTAATGTCTCTTATGTACCTTATCAGCATTAAATTTTTTTCGGATTCTTCATTTATAAGCTCATTATAATAATAGTAATATAAAAATTCTGCTTCTATGTCAGGATAGCTAAAGAAATTTTTTTTATTTTTATTATCCTGCTTTCAAAATCTTAAAATGTTTTGAGATGAAAAATTGATTTTTGAAAGTTTCAATAGAGCTAACGATTTATCCTTTTCATATAGCGTCTGCCTTGCTATAGCTTGCCTTGGCAATTTTTTTCCACAGCAATTTGGAGCTCTGATGAGCCACCTAAAGGTGAAGGTCAACTTCAAGTTGACAAATCCTTACAAAATGGCACGCTTTTGTCAAATTGGAGTTGACTTGTCACCTTTAGGTGGCTCGTTAGAGCTCCAAGTTGCTGCGGAGAACTCCCGCCAAGGCAAGCTATAGCGAAACAGACGCTATATCGCAAATAAAATAAACTTTCTCATACAAAAAGAAGCTTAAATGATAAAAATTCTTTTGTTGCCTCTGTAAAAATAGCTTTTATCTGAGATCGTAAATTATTGTGCAAGTTCTTAGATTTAGTTTTAAGCAAAAGCCGCCTAATTTTAAACTCAATGCAATAAGGATTTTGATTTTTCGTATTGAAAGCACTTACTTACTTACTTACTTACTAACTTACTTACTTACTTACTTACTTACTTACTTACTTACTTACTTACTTACTTACTTACTTACTTACTTACTTACTTACTTACTTAGGCATTTAAGGTGTTTTGATTTCTTCAGCAGGATGATTTAGGCATGCTTGAGCCCATCCTTTTAACTCCCAACTGGTGACGTCACCAAGCACTCCTGGATCGGTTAGCCCGATCTGGCCGTCTATAAAGTTCTACCCCAGCAGGGCCAGAAATCCCGCACCGGCAGTGTTGCCTTGCCCGAACTTGACTCCTGCGCGTGTTCCACCTAAGGGTCACCCTCCTCGGGTGTGTGTCAAGCAGCAAAACCAGGTGGAGCTTATTATCTTGGACCAAAGAAATACCCTATGCGGTATTCCATATTGGTATTGCTGATAAAAGGCCACGTGGAAAACTGAACCCCATAATAATAAAAGCGAGGGAAGGAATAGTTCTCGGAGAGAACTAATTCCGCACTGAGCCATTTTATTATTATTCGTATTGAAAGCACAATCGAAATTCCTATTCATAAAATAATCCATAATAATTCAAGAACATGGATAGATAAAAAAAATGATTAACGCGCGGACAGACTTAGCATTGGTGTGAACAGAAAGCTGATGAGAAATCACTCCAAACAACATAAGTATCCAGGTGTTTGCTTCAAATAAGTTATCAAATATTGCTACAAATGGCAAGTACAAAAAATACTGAAAAACCATATAAATAGAGAATATAGCACAAAAGATATTAAAAAATAAATCTGAACTGTAAAACGATAAAAAAACTAGGATTATTTGAAAAAAGAAATCTTTCAAAGTAATAAGTGAGTACATCCTATTTCTTTTAAATTTTTTTGTGTAATATGGCTTGCAATTATAAATAGTTCTGAAAAATATAGCTATCACTATAATAGGAAATCCTAAAATTAAGGGTATTGCTCAATATGTATTATAGTCTGATGAATTTTTATTGTCATATTCTGTTATTTCAGTAGAATTATCAAAAAAAGTATATTTAGAATATACCCCAACACTGTATAAATAAGGCACAAATAAAATATTTTCGTATGTTCATCCTAAGATTTTAGCTACTAGAACAAGTGGCAATGAAACGACATTTCTTCTATAATATATTTGGAAATAAATTAAGCAAAAGCTAATAAAAAGTCCCCAAAGAGTTGATATCAAAATGAATAAAAATATAAACTGGAGATTAAATTCACCACAAAGAATATCAAATCTTGTTAATTTCAATAACCAATTTAAAAAAGATTCTAAAGTAATATTTTTGGAATTTTCAAAGGTTAAAAGAATAATCGATAAAAGTTGAATTTTTCTGATGAAAAGCACAATGCAATTTATAATAAGAAATTCTTTAGAAGCTTTTGTCTTAAAATCACTATTTCCTAGCCTCAAAAGAGTTTCGAATAAAGCAGTTTTATAGTGGCTGGCCCTGTCTACTTCTAGTCTTTTATACAAATCACTGCGTTTACAAATAATTGTCCCAAATTTATATGAGGAAGCTGCTCTGCTTTTCACTGACTCTTCATACATTTTAAATAGATTATAGGCACATTATAAGTTTAGAAATAAGAAGCAAATATGTGTTTTTTATGAATGAATATTGCTCATAACAATAGAAATTTTATCAAAATTATTAAAATATATATTAAATGCTATTAGTTATTAAATTTTGAAACAATTTTTTGCATAAAATTTTTGAACAATTTCATCTGTTTTTTTTTTGATAATGTTTTTAATGCAATTATAGCCCATGGCCTGCTTTGGATCTCAGTAGGCTAAACATTGTCGGCTCAGCCTGTGGGGTTGGCAAGTGTCACAATCTCTTTCACTTGTCAACCCCACAGGCTGAGGCAGCAGCATGTTATCCAGGCAGATCCAAAGGAGTTCCTGGGCTATATTCTAAGTCAATTTTTGAGAGAAAAATATAATTTATTTTAAAGTATATAAGTTTATGATTATCTCGGGGCTTATAAATATTCTATGCTGCTATGTGATACTTAAACAGGCTAATTGAAATTGATGCATTTAAACTGTATGCACCTAAAAGTTAAATTAAGGGGCATCATTCAATTTCTCAATAGAATAACTATAATAAAATTGTAAATTTAGTTATAATAGGATATGAAATTTTAATATGCATGACTCTAATTCGCTATTTAAAGCACAGGCTTTTTTAAGTTTATTTATTAAATGCCTTCATATAGTTGGAAATTTATTATTAAAATTTTCTTGAAATTATTTTATTTCAATATTTAACTGAAATTGCAATGTCTAAATTTCAGCTCCTAAAAGATAGTTAAATAGATTTTTTTCTTATAATCTAAAAGTAGAAAGTTAAAAGTAAAAATTTTAAAATAAATCAATTATAAACATTTAATAACTAAAGTAAAGGCATTTGCTAGTAATTGGGATAAAAAGGAAGAAGAATGCATGCAGATAAATTATATATTTTAAACTATTTATAAAGTTCAAATTAGTCAAAATTAATGATGATTCTCCTATAAGGTTATTTTACTCAAAATACTTTAGAATTTCAATTTTGTCAATCAAGTCATTTTTCATTCTATTTACAGCTGTAAAAACTATAAGAGCTGCAATAATTAACATAAGTAAAAAATAAAATAAAGTTGTAATAATCAGATTGTTCAAATTATCATCGATGTGGCTATCTGTTGTATTCATAAAAATATTTACCATTGAGCCTACCGAACTACATATCAATTTTGAATACTGCTCTAATTTGATAATTTCTTTTCAGTCATTTCTATTGTAGCTTTGTACTCTTTTTATCTCGTTTATATAAAGTTTTATAGATGGAACTATTCCCATGCTTATATAACTGGTTTTACATTTTGATATTGTATTATTTAATTGAGTGCAAGGATTTCCAACCATATGCATTAAAAGGAGAATCAACCCACCCTCTTAACACCTTAGCTGAGTGAGACCTAGGGACCTTGTGGAAGGGAGGTTGGCGTTCGGGAATAAATATATATCCAGTCAGGCTTTACTTGGTTAGTTGGACCGCATGCTCAGATCCAGGTCAAGTTATTCCTAGAAGTAAGGTGGAGTTCTGAGTTGGAAAGAGCTGTCCCAGCAGCACTAGTGAATTTCCTCCTTGTCAATCGGGAACGTTCCAAACGCGATACAAGCCCTTGAGCCCTGGACTATGAATATCCATCTTGAAACACAGGCGACCAGAAAAGTTGTTTTCGAATTTTCTGGAAATCAGTTCCTGTTGATGTACGGCACGGTGGCCCAGCACCTCTAATTCACGGATAGCAGATGCAACCCCTCGTCCGTGAGGAGCAATACAGTGAAAGACCTGCATTCGGATTGGCAAGCAATCGGTGGAGCATTACAGAAGTGAATGTGGATTAACCTTGAGCTTACCGGGAAATTTTCGATAATCTTAATTAAAATTAGCATTAGCAAGGATTTCCAACCATGAGGCTTACCATTTCATCATTATAATACTTCTTCAAGGACCCGTAATTTATGAGTTCTTGGCAATAATCATAATCATCAATTAAATTTTGCAACTTGTGTGGAATTGAGGGAAAGAAGCTGCCGTCATGCAAGATATTTGTAATAAAAGAAGCATTATTTTTATCCAAAAATTGTTCTCTCGCCCAAAAATAAGTAGTTTTAGTAAGAGATCTTCGCAATCCTGAGTGAAATCTATAGTCTGTTTGAGAAATCAATGCATCACTAATCTGACTTTGCAACACATAAATAGAAATAAAATAATATAGAATGCTTGCGAGTTCCAATAGGAGGATTTTAAAGATAAATGATTTTCAAATAAATGAATAAAATTTTTTTGAAGTGTATTTTGGCTCAATTTCTTCTACTATTATTCCATGAAATTCGCACAGTCTCTCAATAAGCTTATCTCTCAAAGCTATTTGTCTTTCTATATTCAATGATGAAAGCCTACTTCAATTTTTTTTGTTGTATTTTTCAAGATTAGCTATATCGGGAATAGAAAGGGCAATTATCAGTAAAGCTGGAATAAAAACAAGCAATTTGAAATTCTTTAAAAAATCTAATACTGATAATGTATTGCCTTGCATTTCGTTTATAGTTGAATATAGACTTTCATTCAGACATCTAAATGTTTCCGCGGGAAAATTTCAGTATATATAATAAAAACTATCATAAACGTCAGAAAATTTTGATAGCTCGGTATTATAAATTTTAGAACCTTCTTGCACTATTTTTTGCAAAGCTTGAAATAAATTTACTTTATTTACACGAAATATGCCATTGCTAATTTGCTCACTTCTCCCCTCCGTAAGCGAATTTAATAGAAAAATTTAAAGGATAAAAATTGATATATAAGTAATAATTATTATAATGAAATATCAAGCAAATTCTTATTAATTTTAAACAGCTTGCATTTTAAAACATAAATTTTACCAATTAAATTATTATTTGCTTTCGATTTTAAACAAATTAGAATTTTTTTAGATTTTGAAAAAAAAATTAGCCTCCCTCCCGAGCGAACAAGATTTTTTTGTTCGCTCATCGAGGAGAGGGAGTCAGTAACAACTATTTCATTTTCTATAAAAACATTAGTCAAATATGAATAAGAAGATATATCTGAACTAACTGAGTTTAAAGCATTTTCTAAGTTTATTATATTTGACTGCAATGAATTTCGATAGGCTGTTTCTGTGTACGATAAGTTGTAGTCCTTACTCAACAAATCAAGTGACCTTGAGTCAAATAAAATGCCAACCCCCAAAAATCTCATTGTCGCAAAATTATTGATAAAAATCGATAAGCTTAGCTCTTTAATTAAATATTTTTCAGCAAGTAAAGTAGAAATAATAATCCCGAGTAAAAATATTATGGAAACCCTAATTTTCATGCTCATAGATTTACAAAATTTTATAATTTTCTTGCTGTCACTTTCAACCTCTTCGATTTTTTTATTTTTGTGCATTTTTGAAAACATTGTTGACGTATATGAGCTCACTACCCCGCTTTTTAAATTTAACTCAACTGGAACTGCTGTGATTTCTGTTTTATCAATATCTTTGCTGAATAGTTCGTCGTTTTCTTTTGCTGGCGAAGATTCATGTGCATTAATGCTAGTAAAATAATCAGCATCATTTGCAAGATATAATGCTTCTAATGGTGAGCCATCAATTTCAAGCTTAGTTCTTACTTCCCCCTCTGTAAGCGGACAAACCACTGAAAAAATCCTTATTTTTTGGTTACCAAGAGTAAGTGAAAGAAAAAAAAAAAATTGATATAATTAATAATTATTTTAATGAAATCTCTAGGTTTCATTTTAAAACATAAACTTCGCAAATTAAATTAATTTTTACTTCTCGATTCTTTGTGAATTCTCTGAGAGTAAACAACATTTTTTTGTTCGCTCACGGAAGGAGGAGTTAGCATAAAGCAGCTAAAATCTTCATGATACTCAAAAGAGGTCCCTGGCTCATATTTTTCAAAATAATAAGCAATATTATTAAGAACCTCAAATATAGTACCTTTTCTATCTCCTATTAACTGATTGATATTCTGTGATGCAGCATATATATAACCTTCTGGAGAATGCAGAATTAAATTACTGTTATGCCCTTTTTCATTGAAATCTGCTATAAAATAAGGGACTTGCTTAAAAAAAGAAAGACGAAAATGCATTGTAACTTCTACACAATGTCCTCTAGTAGTGATTAAAAACAGATTAGGTCGATGCACCTCCACTCTTTCGCCAAAAATTAGACCTCTCCTTAAAATATCATTATGCATTACATCAAAAGGGGCAGGAATAAACTGTGTGAAGCTTGTGCCAAGGTATTCATCAATACTATCAATACTTAGCAGTCTTAAAATCTCATCATTTAAATATAAAATATCACCAATAGATCCAAACATTCCACTTACAACCATAACAGCATTTCCTTGATGCTTTAAACCAGGACTTCTATCGACTCCTGTATTTTTTGTGCTCTTTAAACTTCTGCTTCTCTGCAAAAGCATTTTTCCATGAATATTTTCTAAAAAATCTGCCTTATAAGATCCATATATTTCAAGAACTATTGGATCTGAGTGATGCCTTCTCATCATTTTTTCTGCCTTTTCTTCATATTTCCTTTTAGTTTCGGCAAGTATTGAGCAAGATTTGCTAATAGAACTTGGAGAATAGTCAGAAACGTTAGATAATTTTGTATACAGCTCTCAAAGATCACATGCGACTTCTAGATCTTTTGCATTAAGCTGATTAATATCCCGAATATATCTTATCAGTATCAAATCTTCTTCATATTCTTCATTAATCAGCTTATTGTAATAATAGTAATATAAATATTCAGCTTCTATATTAGGGTAGCTATAAAATTTTGTTATATTTCTATGAATTTTATGCCATAGCCTTACTCTCCCCCTTTAAATAGAACAAAAAATTATGTTCCCATCTAGTGGGCTGTTTTTTTAAAAAAATTTATATTTTAATTTTTTCTCTGTAAAAAATTTTTATAATCTAAAAAAATAAATTTGAGCACAATACTTTGGATTTTTAATTTATTTTTATGAACAAATAATTAAATTATTAATCAATTCCACGTAAAAAACTGTTTAAATAGATTACTTGCATTTGTCTATTAAATTAGGTAAAATCTAATTTAATAAAAATTAGTGTTTTCGTCTTCAATTTTGTTTAAAAAAAATTTAAAAAAATATAAATTGAGCATAATACTTTGGATTTTAATTTATTTTTATGCAAAATTAATCGATTCAGTGTGAATACTGTTTAAATGGCATTCTGCTATTAAATTAGGCAAAACTAATTTTATAAAAATAAATATTTTCATTATAAAAAATTTCCAATTAAAGGCAGTTAAAGTACCCAAAAAATGAAAATTTTATCCAATGATTTGTTCCATTTAAAGAATGGCGGTGTTAAGTGTTTTTGACAAGAAAAATTGATTTTTGATAGTTTTAGTAAACCTAATGATTTATTCCTCTCATATCTTAAATAAAACAAACCTTCCCAAACAAAAAGCATTTTAAAGGATAAAAACTTTTTTGTTGCTTCTTTAAATATGGCCTTTATTTGAATATCTGAATTGCCATAAAACTTGAAATCTGATTTAAAGAGAATGTTTCTTATTTTTAGCTCTATACCATAAGGATCTTTGTTTGACGCATTTATTGCATGATCAAAGCATCAGCTCATAAAATAATATATAATAATCCATGAGCATGGATAGATAAAAATCATTATTAACGCTCGAACTGATTTAGCACTAGTATGAATTGAAAGTTGATGTGAAATTACTCCAAAAAGAATCATAGTCCAGGTGCTTATATCAAATACATTATCAAATATAGCTACAAATGGCATATATATAAAATACTGAAAAATCATGAAAAGTGAAATCATGACACATAAAATATTGAAAAATAAATCTGTATCATAAAATGACAAAAAAACCAGGATTACTTGAAAATAAATATCTTTTAATGCTACTGATGAATGCATCCTATTTCTTTTAATCTTTACTGTGTAGAAAGGATTGCAATAATAAATCGTCCTAAAAAAACTTGCTAGAAGTATAATTGGTATTCCCAAAATTAAGGGGATTGCCCAATATGTGCTATAGCTAGATGAACTTGTGTTATCATACTCTTTTACTTCCATAGATTTACTAAAAAAAGTATATTTTGTATAAATTCCCACACTATATAAATAAGGAATAAAAAATATATTGTCAATTGCCCATCCTAATAATTTAGCAACAAAAATGAAAGGTTTTAGCATAATGCTCTTTTTATTATAAATTTGGAAGTAAATCAAGGAAAAGCTAATAAATAATCCTCATATACTGGCTAATAAGATAAATAGAAATTCAGACTCGGCATTAAAGTCAATACAAAGAATATCAATTCGCACCAATTTTAATAGTCCATTCAAAGAAGATTCTAAAGTAATATTTGCTGAAGTTTCAAAACTCATGAGAACGATGGATAATAGCTGAAATTTTCGAATAAAAAGTGCAGTATAATTAAGAATCAGATATTCCTTTGAAGCTTTGGTCTTATTATCACTATTTTCAAGCTTTATAAAAGTCTCAAATAAAACAGTTTTATAATGACTTTCCCTTTCAGCTTCCAGTCGTTTATACAAGTCATTACGCTGGCATATGACAGTATCTAATTTAGATGAACTGCTCTCTTTATTCTTTACTGACTCTTCATCCATGTTGAAGGTTTTATAGACAATATTTAAGATTACTAAAGAACAGTATATCGAATGCTTTTGAATTAATGGATTTTCTTAACACCAACCTCAATTTGATTGAAATTTGTTTGTGATTATTTTACTTACTCCTCCCCCTCTGTGAGCGGACAAAAAAAATTTGCTCACTCACGGAGGGGTTAATTTTTTTTTTAAAAAAATTTATATAAATTTTGTTTCTTTAAAAAAAATCCAATTTGTAAAAATTGAGTAGCAAAAATTAATTTAATTTACGAATTTATATTTTAAAACGCAAGCTGTTTAAGATTCATCAGAATTAGCTAAAGATTTCGTTATAATAATTATCATTTATATATCAAAATTTTTTTTTCATAAAACATTTTTATTTTAAATAAATTTTTGTTCGCTCACGGAAGGGTGAGTTATTATTTTTTAAGGCGAGTTATTTAATATACAAGATTTTTGGAGAAGAAAATCCTGTAATTTCATGCTTTATTTCGACGTAATATTTGCTAAAATAATAAAAATAGTTTCTTTGAAACATCGCAATATTTATTTTAAATTTGATTTAATTAAATTTTAATTGAAGAATATAATAAATGTTTCTAACCTTATAAATAAATATTAAAATCTTTAATTTTACAAGAATTATTTAATTATTGCAGCATGCCATGATAATATATAAATTATTTGTAAATATTTTTATTAATATATATTTTAATTTATACTTATCATCTAGTAAAATTGAGGTTATTTATTGCAATAAGTTGATTTGAAAAATGTATTAATTATAATATTTCTCTAATTGGAAAATTAAAATTTTAGTTTTAGTAATCCAATAAAATTATGTTGCCTACTTGCATTCAATAAAATGAAATATTTAAAATTATTTTTCAAATAATTCTAAAAGGCTAAAAAATTATTAAATCATTAGTTTAGTTTCTGCTAATTTATGATAAAATAAAAACAAGATAATTTACTAGATTTAATCAATCTAACCGATGTCTAAAAATATTTTAAAATATCTATTTTTCCAATCAATTCATTTTTGATTTTATTTACTGCATGGAATACAAGTATAATTGACACAATAATCAGAGAAAAAAAATAAAGAAGTGTTGCGACCATTAATCCGGTGATTTTTTCATCAATTTTATCATCAGTTGAATTAAGATAATTATAGGTCATAAAAACAGTAGATCTTGCTAATACATCAGAATATTTTTCTAATCTAACAATATCTTCTCAGCTTGAATGGCTTGATACAGAGTAATCTTTTAGCTCATTAACATAGCTTTTCATTGCTGGATTAATCCCTACACCAACATAGCTACTTTCACAGCTTGCTAAATTTTCTTCAATTGCGTCACATGGATTTCCCACCTCTAAATTAACCATATTGCTGCTATAAAATTCAGAATAATCTTTGTCGCTTAAGAGTTTTTCAAGATATTCAAGCTCATTTATTACAAAATCAAGTTTCACTGAAAAAGATGGAAATGGCGATTTGTCTATTCAATTCATAAAAGAATTATTAAATTCGCCTACGAATTTTTCTCTAGCCCAAAAATAAGAATTCTCTGATAGCATTCTTCTGACTCCCCCCCCTTTAAATTGAAACAAAATATAGGTAAAATTCCTACTTTTTTGGGAAATTACCCCCCCTTTAAATTGAAACAAAATTTTATTATAATAGAAAATTTTATAGGTAAAAATCATTATTTTATATGTAAATACGTTAATACCCTATTTAATATGCTTCAAACATATAAGATTTAGAAATTAAACTCTATTTTGTCCAATTGTTATGGGGAGAGTTAGAAGAATATACCATTTCAGCAAGTTTACACTTTGAGATTGAGAAATTTATGAATTAATTTTTCATGAAATTAAAATTAAATATATAAATTTTTTTATAAAAAAATTTTCTTAACCCCCCTTTAAATTGAAACAAAATTTTTTTGTTTCAATTTAAAGGGCGGGGGGAGTGAGGCCATGATTAAAAATGAATTTCGATTGATAAATTAATATTTCGTTCAGCTCAATTTGAAAACCATATAAAGCAGCAATATAGTACGCAATACTTAAGATCTGCAATAGCAATATTTTTATAATCAGGATCTTTCAAATAGAAGAGTAATTTTCATTTGTGCTTGCTTTCGGTTCTATAAAATCAACACTTATTCCATGCAGATCGCGAAGTCTATCTATAAGTTTGTCTCTTAAATATGTCTGCCGATCCATGTCTAGATGTGATAAGTTATGTCAGTTTTCTTTATTTATTTTTTCTAGTATAATGAGGGTTGGAATAGATAAAATTATCATTATTATAGGGGGAACAAAAAATGCAGCTTTGAAGAATTTTAAAAATAAAAAAGTGCTATCAACATGGTCCTCAAAATCCTTTGAAATTGTGTAAACGCTTTCATTTAGCATTCTTATCATTTCTGTAGGAAGGTTATAATAAATAAAATAGAAGTCATTATAAATAGTTTTAAAATCGCTAATATCAGTATTTATAATTGCTTTCGCATGTGTAACATAAGCTTGTGCACAATGGAATAAATTTTCATAAGTAACTCTAACAGAATTCCCTTCAATTAATTCTGATATTGATGCTTTGTTATCCGAAAAAATATTGTGCAAAAAGCCATAAGAATGTATTTTATCGTTGTTAAGTATTATACGATCTTCTAAACTTTCAGAGGTTTTTTGAAGCAAATCTCTATAGTAAGATTCAGTAAAGGCAGTTTTATACCCTTGGCTTATTAAATCAAGCGACCTTATATTTAAGAGTATAGAGTTTTCCAAATATCTCATATAATCCAAATCATTAAGAATATCTGACATTTTGAGATTATTAACCAAAACCGTCTCTAAAATTATTGAAATAAATGTCACTACAAATAAAACTCCTATAGCAATCCTGATATTCATATTTAAAGCTCTGCATAGCGTAAATATTTTTAAATTAGCGACTTCTGTTTTTCTCTTTATGCTGATTTTAGATAAAATTGAAGATGCATAGGTGTGGTTGCTTGCGACATCAGTGGTTTTTTTCCACGCTTCGTCAGGCTCCATGGAAATATCAGTCCTATATGCAAATTCATTAAAAGATCCTGCCCTCTTTTTAATGAATAATGGTGGAGTATCTGATGTAGGGCTTATGGCTTCAAGCGAATCAGCCATATATAAAACTTCTAATACAAACCCATCAATTGCTAATTTAAACCTCATCATTTTACAGTAAAAATCTTCATTATATTCAAAACATTGTCCAGTATCATATTGTTCATAATAATAAGCTAAATTTAAAATCACTTCAAAAACTGTGCCTTCTCTACTCCCAATAAAATTCTTGATATCTTTTGATACAGCATAAATAAGTCCATCAGGAGAATGCAAAATTAAATTTTTTCGATGGCCTCTTGAATTGAAATCTGCTATGAAATAAGGAATTTGCTTATAGAATACAAGTCTAAAATGCATAGAAACTTCAACACAATGGTTTTCAGCTGTAATTAAAAACATGTGAGGACGATATAAATCAACTTTGTCACCAAAAATTAAGTATCTTCTTAAAATATCAAATTGCCGTTAGGCAATGTGGCGACACGTTGCTGTACTGCGACAAGAAAAAAAAGAATCCAGAATTTGGGGTCACAAATTAAAAAAAGTGGCCCCGAAGGGCCACGGGGTCGCTGACGGTGATTGTCCGGGGTGGGTGTTGGCTTGGGGGCTGACTGGGCCTCTCCTCGGCCCACAGGCGAGAAGACCGACGGCGCAGTACCAATCGGATACTTCTGGAGGAGCAATATGATGCCTGCAAATGGCAAGGGTAGTTCCAGAAGAAGGTACGGGACGGTCCCTCATACCCTGAGCATTACCAGGGGTTAAGAGAGTCCTTTGCTGCAATTTTTTGGTCCAGCAGGTTTCGGGTGAGTCTCCCCGAAAGATGGCGACGTCATTAAAAATGGTGACGTCGACAAAAAAGGCGCGTTAGGTGGCTTTAGTGACTAGCGCCACATGAAGCGCGAAGCTGAAGCTCGACTGGCTAGGGGCTGAAATAAACCCCAGTTAACCTCTCTAATCTAAATCTCTCTCTCTTTTAAAATATCGTAATGCATCACATCAAATGGAGCTGGCATAAATTGGCAGAAGCTTGTTCCTATTACATTATCAATGCATTCTATTTTAAGTAAGTCAAGTATATCATTATTCAGATACAAAATATCTCCAATTGATCCAAACATCCCACTAACAACCATAATAGAAGTCCCTTTTTGATATTTAAACCCAGTCAGCTTTTCTATTCCTCCATCATTTGATTCTTTTAGCACTCTACTTCTTGCTAAAAACAAATTCCCTTCACTTTGTTCTAAAAAATCAGTCATATATGACCCATAAATAGACAGGAGCTCTGAGTCCGCTTGATATTTTTTTATCATTCTTTCCGCAAAAATTTCAAAACTATGCTTTACCTCTATTAGTTTTGTGCAAGCCCTATTAATAGCCCGAGCAGGGTGCCTAGAAATGTTTGAAATTTTTCGGTAAACGTTTCAGAGTTCTGAAGAAACTTCTAAATCTTTATTTTTAAATTCATTCATATCTTTTAGATATCGAAGCAGGATAAGATCTTCAGACCTTTCTTCATTGACAAGCTTTTTGTATAAAAAGTAAAATAAAAATTCAGCTTCTAAATCAGGAAAAGAATAAAAACTGGACACTTGCTTATCCGACTGATACCAAATCTTTAAATGCTCAGTGCAAGAAAAGTTTATTTTTGATAGCTTGAGCAATGCAAGTGATTTATTATTCCTATAATTTAAAGTAAAAATACTTTCCCAAATAAACATAAGTTTAAATGATAAAAATTTTTTAGTGGCTTCTGTATACGTTTTTTTGATGATTTCAAGGAGTTCGTCTGTAAAATCTTGCAGCTTTATCCCAAGCAGAATCTTTCGAATTTTAAGCTCAACTGTAAAAGGATCATCTTTTGACCAATTCTTAATCCTGTCAAAGCGCCACCTCATAAGGGAATAAAACAAAACCATTGCGGCAGGAAACACAAAAACCATTAAAAGTACCTTTGCATGCAATGCTCCTACATGATAAGCAATAATATGAGAAATTTCCCCGAAAATGAGCATAATTCATGTGCTAGCTTCAAAACCGTTATCAAAAAGAGTCACAAAAGGCAGATATGCAATATATTGCCAAGCCATATATAAAGATGAGATTATGCAGGTTGCCTCAAAATAATACACGGAATTCGTAAAAGCACAAAATGTAACGACTTCTTGTAGGAAAAAATCTTTCAAAGATATCAAAGAATACATTCTATGTCGCTTGTTCTTCAAAGAATAGGCAGGATTACAGTTATAGATCGTTCGGAAGTACAAAATAAACTGAAGAATTATAGCACCAAATATCAGGATCAAAGCTGTAAGAGGGCTGAGGTTATCCGAAACTTTGCTGCCATACTCTTCTACTTTATGATTTTGATCTCAGGAATATTTAATATAAATTAATGCCGTATATATATAAGGTATAAAAATAATGTATTCACATAGCCATCCCAAGATTTGTGCACTCAAAATTATTGGTTTAAGGAAGATTCTTTTTTTAAAATAAATCTGTATGTATAATAGCACAAAGCATACTCCTCATATATAAACACTAGCGATTAGGGCCATAAGATACTCAATTTCAAAATCTATGCTCAATTATGGTGAAATATAACTTAACTATCAAAGGAAATTCCTATAAATTAGAAGAATTATAGCAAAATAATTTTTTAATATAGATTTAATGGAGCAAAACTATATCTAATATATAATTAATGATTACAATAATAAATTTTAAGCATAATATATTAATTTTATTTACATATTTGGATATTTTAAGAAGAAAAAAAATAAACCTTTTTTTTATGCTTGCTAGCCAGGGGAGTAAAATTTGTGTAACTAATAACATTAAATTAATATAATTTAATTGATAAAACGTCGAGTCTGGTTCCAACCATCAGTGTGTTAAATAAAGACATTAAAGTAAACGATACTTCTAAATTATAATCCAAAAGAACTAATGATAGAAGCTGAAGTTTCCTTATAATCAAAGCCAAGTAATTAATAAGAATTTGAAATTTATTCCTTTTCCTTTTTCCATCAACAGACTCTAGTCTTACAAAAACATCGAAAAGAGTTGTCTGTCAACGGTGAACTCTATCATTAGCAAGGCTGTGGTAAAGTCGTTCTCTACGGGTTATTGTGGTGAGGTTTTCTAAGTCTTTTCTTTCTGAGCTTTTTTCAAAAGTATTTTCCATAATTTCTTTACTCCCCCCCCCCCGTGAGCGAACAAAAAAATTTTGTTCGCTCACGGAGGGGGGTTAATTTTTTTTTTTTAAAAAAAATTTATATATAAATTTTATAAAAAATATTTTTTTCGAAATTTAAAAAAATCCTAATTTGCAAAAATTGGGAAGCAAATATTAATTTAATTTGCAAAATTTATGTTTTAAAACGCAATTTGTTTAAAATTAAACAGAATTAGCTCTAGATTTCATTATACTAATTATCACTTATATATCAAAATTTTTTTCCATTAAAATTTTTTCTATTAAAAAAATTTTTGTTCACTCACGGAGGGTGGGTTTTTGGTCAAAAAATGGCGATTTTTCTAATGGTTTTGTTCGCTCACGGAGGGGGGGGGGAGTTAGGGTTTATTTTTGTGGGTTTCGAGTATTACAAAGATTTGTTTGAGAAAGATGAATAAAAATAATTTTTTGATGAAAGCTGATTATGGAGAGCTGAGAAGAGTTTATTGAAGATCTGATATAAAGTAATTATGAATAGAGAGCATTATGATAGATTTTTATTATTGGAAATAGTAAAATTTTAGATGCTATTCCTTAAAAATATGGTTTTATAAATCTTTTACTGATGCTAAGGTAAATGGAGAAGATAAATTATCCCTTAAAAGCGACTTTTTGAGCTTTTAATATGATAACAATCTTATGCTAGTTTTATAATAAATAAGAATTTTTGATTGAATCTGATTTTAGAATTGTCCATTATTATTTTTTATAAGAAATTAAGTAATTTGTTTATTGAGTAAATTAGACATTTTGACAGTAAATAGTTATAAAATATATCAGAAAGTCTTATTCGATAATTAAATTATATAGTTGAGCACCCATTTGACCTCAGCGGTATATACTGCTCTGATAATATAGAAGCTGTTTTGAAATTTTTTAACAACGAGCCAATTGGCCCATGGCTATCATACAAAGCAGGAACCAGATTAATGCTCGAAATATATATAGATCACTCTGCATAGGCAGCAGAGCGTCGGAGCAGCCAGAGTGGTAACCAATGAACTTAGGCTGACGAGTCGACTCTAAAAATGAAAAATGTGCATTATCTGTTTGTTGATTTGAGAATTGGCTCATCAATCTGAGCACATAAGCTAATTCTCACACTCTGCATTCTATGAAGAGCTATAGCAGGGAGCGGGCTATATAATTATTATTTTTTGGCGATATTAAAAGTTTTGCATTATAACTCTTCTATGCTAGTATAAGCCACTTCTATTTTGAATGAAGTATAGATTCCTTCTAGCATTAAATATTAGAACTTAATTTAGTTCACGTAAAACTACTAATGATAGCAGCTTGCATTATCTAAATTATATACTAAATCTATATAGCTCTTTACAGAAAACATAACTATAGATTTATTATAATTTATTATTGTTTTAAACCAGATTCAAAGAATATTTGTATTTTTAAAAATTTTGATTCAAATTTTTGACAGCAACCTTATTTAGTGTAGATAGAAATTAAATTCAGCCAAAATAAGACAAATATCATGCATAAAAAATCCTAAAACTTTTTTTTTAACTTTTACTATTATAAAAAAGCTTATAAAATTCACAAAATTATGGAATAATAATAATTAAATTCGGAGCACCGCACAGCACACATGGAAAGCAACAATAAAGATAATAGCCATCAATCCTTGCTTAGTCCCTACAAAATTGATGATGAAATCTGAATGGTTCCTTGCAAGCTTGATGGCCTGAAGCATAAATATTCACCTCTCATTTACCCAAGGGTGTTATCTGGCAATCTAAAGCATCCATGGACCAAAAAAGAGGATGATATTGTCATCAGCCTACTTAATACGCAGTCTTACAAAAAGTGGACTATTATCGCGAAGGCAATCAACAAGCAGATTCATAACGAAGTCCCTGTACGTAATGGCAAACAATGCCGTGAAAGATGGCATAACCATTTGAATCCTAAACTAAAGAAAGGAGACTGAACCTATGAAGAAGACCAAATCATTATCGAAAAACAGCAAGAAATTGGCAATAAATGGAGCATTATTGCAAATTTTTTGCCTGGAAGAACTGAAAATAATGTTAAAAATAGATGGAAAAGCATCCTCAGGAGATCAAAGCGTGAAAGCTTAAAACCATTGATTTCTGCCACGGGCGCAAGCAATGTGTTTTCGAGCAAATTTTCACAAAGAGAAATTGGGAAATGTCAAGAAGCTTTTATTGGAGAATCAGAAGAGCTACAAGCCAGCTTTTATGGCTTAGATGAACTTGATCCAATTGATGATGTTGCTTTGACTTATTTAGAGTAAATTATAGATAATAAATCAGTTTAAAATTCATTAGTTTTCAAGCACATCAGATCACTTTAAGTGGTTTGATGCATAGTGAATTCTGATTTCCCATATCAATATGTTTTAATAATTTATAATTACCATTAATTATCAATAACGTTTGACGTCCGCTATGGGGTCACCTTGTCCAAGGCTTCCACCATATTTATCCACGTGTCGCACCCATAGACTTCTGGATCGATCCACTTTGTTTCACCAGGGCTATAATTTATAATCAAATACCATATAAATATATAATCACTGAAAATTATATAATTAATAATATTTCTCTTCTTCTGAATCAATAATTTCTCATTAAAATAATCGCTTATTAAATTTAACGAATATTGAAGAAAATTCCATATGAAAATTCAACTAATTTATTTACACCTAAATGTCAGATACCCATCGTTCTCAAGTATTAAGTTTTAGAAGAAAAGAAAAGCTCAAGAAAATTTTGCTTTCAGAATTCGGCGTAAAAGTAAGATAAAATCAGAAATTAGAATACATTGATCAAGAATTGAAAAATGTTGATGACCTATTTGATGAAGGGTTAGATTTTGCAGGAGTTTTAGAAGAAATAAGAAGAAGGATTGAGAGAAATTGCACACCGATGTTTAAGCAGTTTCCGGTGAGACCTAAAGAAGGAGAAGATGAATGGGCCGGGATCATTAAACATCAAGCTGATGTACAAGAAATGGCAGAAATCCAAGCACAGCTTGAAGAAGCTGAAAAAAAGAAAAAATACAAAGAAGAGCTTGACAATTATTTAAAATCCCAGCAGCAATTTAAATCGCAACAAGAATTAAGAGAAAGAAATGAAGAAAAACAATTAAAAGATTTTAGTGATGAGCTAAGCAGCAATATCAGCTCAAGAGACCAATTTTTATCAAGAAACCGCTTCCAAGTCCAAAAGCAGCTACAAGACGAAAGCTTAAACGAGTATTATAAAACTTTAGAAGAAAAACACGTACAAAGGGCAAAAGATAGAGAAGAATTTTTAAATGGAATCAAAACTGAAGAAGAAAAAGCCAGAAGAAGAGCTGAAATTGAGAAGAGGGAAGCTTTTTATAAGCAGCAAGAAATCAACCTTTATAATGCATACTTACTGAAGCTGAAAGAAATGGAAAAAGAAAAAGAAAAAATCGTGGACAAACAGTATATAAATAATGCGTTTTCTCATTGAGATGATTATGAAGAGAGGAGGCAAAGGTTTCTTTCTGAATATGATGAATTTTCTCACAAGTTTTATGAAATGCAGAGAAAAATGCAGCCAGTTTCTCCTATGGAAATTAAATCAAAAGAAGACGAAATTAGAGCTTTGGAGTTCCAAAAAGCTCAAGCAGACTATCAAAGGAGAAAAGAGTATGAAGAAAAAATAAATCAAATGAACAGCTACAAAGAAAACCAAGAAGCAATTAAAAGACAAATCAAAGAAAAGCAAGAAATTAATAAAAAGATAATAAATGAGGACCAAAACTACGCATTTTCTCTAGCAGAAAGGCAGCGCAGATTAGATTTATTTGTAAATCAAGAAAAACAAAGAAACCGGCTTAAACAGCAGCAGTACTCTGAGCTAATTTCTTACCAAATACAAGAAAAACAGTCAGATAAAAAACGACTCCACAAGATGAACGAAGATGAACGGAAAATAAACAGAAGAGACTTAGAAGCCTACCAATTAGGCTCTCATCAAATCTACGCGAAAGTCCCAGGATACAGCTTAACACCTACCAATATAAGCCAATCCCATACACCAGTAAGAAGAAAAAGCGATTTATCTAGTAAACTTTATAACCCCAACATGAACAACTCGTTTTCTTCTGGACGAAGCACACCTAATAGGTCAGGATATTTAGCATATTATGGAAATAATATACTGCAAAACCACCAATAATGTAAATTTATAGTAATTAATATTATTTTACATATGATAAGGCTTGAAGCAGCTTTTCCCGCTCAAATTTGAAGCCTTCAAGAAGCCGCTTTATAAGTCTTTGAAGCATTTTTACCACCTTGTCAACCATTTCTCGCTGTAAAACTTCACTGTCTATATTTGATAATGTGCTGAGAATTTCATCACCTGTATTAGAAATTTGGTTGGTATTTTTTTCTGTTTCTTCTATATGAGAAATGGTGTCACAGATGATTTCTTTGCATGAACCTCTAGCATCTTTGATATGTTTTGCATTGGATTTTAGAGTGTCTACAAGTAACCTTATAAGGATTTCTATTCCCTCCTCTCTTCTAAGAGCAGAATTAACAGATTCCCAAGAAATTGCAGGGTGAAGCTCTTTAAGAACATCAACCAATTCACTATATCCTTTTTCGACGTTATAAAAATTTCCTAGATTTCTTATTTCTTCCAAGTGATGAAACAATGGAGTTATTCATTTTTTTACATTTGGATTTAAAGACTCAATTCTTGGCAATTGGATTCTCTTGCCTAGCATGTCTAGCATTTTTTTGGAAAGAAGCTCAATGATATAGAATTTTCCATAGATGGCGCTGTTTGCCCTTGATTTGCCCACTAGGAAAATTTTTGGTTTGACCAAACCATATGGTACTGGTCGAACCAAAAAAAATTTCCTCATGGGCAAATCAAGGGCAAACAGCGCCATCTATGGAAAAATTCTATAGTTTCAAGGTCTAATACTTGGGATTTTAAATTATTTTGGCTTTCTGATCTTCTAAGCTCTCTTTCAAGATCCAAAATTTGATCATTTTTTTCTTTTATCGATCTTAATAAACCATTTATAAAACTGTTTTCGTCTCTTGTATTTTCTTCAAATTTTATAGTTTTTGAGACATTATTGTGAGGGGAAAGGATTTTTTGGTCGATTTGCTGTTGAGTTTTTTGCAATAATTCAATATATTTTTCTCTTTCTTTGATTTTTAGCTTTAGTTCTTCTATTTGAGACTTTAAATCATCTATTTCTGATTTATCATTAAGCGTCTTGGTCTGAGCAATTTTAGCTTCTTCAAGTTCTTTTCATAGTTTTTTTATTTCTGCTTCCTTTTTCATTGTTATCTCTTCCATTTCTTTACTATGTATTTCACTGTATATTTCCAGTTCTTTTTTTATTCTTTGATTTTCCTCTTTCAAATCCTTTTCTATTTCTTCTTTTCTGTTTATCAAGGCTTCGATTTCATTAAATCTGCACAAAAAATCATTTTCTGCATTTTTTGAAGCTATTTTGATTTCCAAAATACTTTTTTCTTTATTTCTTACCAATTCATTTAAATTTTCTATTTCTGATTGAAGTTTTGAAACTCTTCCTATAAATTCTTTCTTTTCAGCCTCATTATGTGCCAACTGATTTAATGCATCTTTGCAGTTTTCTTGAATATTCATAAAAATCTCAATAGCTTTTTCAACTGAATCGGCACCAAAGCTGCTTATTAATTTAGCTTCTTGTTTATTAAACTTCTCTAACTCTTCTTCTAGCTGCTTATTATATTTTTGTAAATTTGCTATTTCATTATTTGTGGTATCCAGCTCTTCTTCTAGCTTTTTGCTGATTTTTTGAAAGCTTTCCAATTCATCATTAATGCTGACTCCCCCCCCTCCGTGAGTGAACAAAACCATTAGAAAAATCGCTATTTTTTGCCCAAAAAACCCTCCGTGAGTGAACAAAAATTTTTTTAATAGAAAAAAATTTTTATGGAAAAAAATTTTGATATATAAATGCTAATTAGTATAATGAAATCTAGAGCTAATTCTCTGTTTAATTTTAAACAAATTGCTTTTTAAAACATAAATTTTATAAATTAAATTTATATTTCTTTCCAATTTTTTCGAATTAGGATTTTTTTGAATTTCGAAAAAAAAAATATTTTTTAGAAAATTTATATATAAATTTTTTTAAAAAAAAAAAATTAACCCCCCCTCCGTGAACAAAATTTTTTTGTGTTCACTCACGGAGGGGGGGGGAGTGAGCAATTCTTGGTTTTTCTTGACAACGACCTTGTTTCATGCAGAATTGTCATTAAATAATTTTTCATTTTGAACCATAGCGTCCTCTATTTTTGTTTTAAACATATCTATTTGAGACTTTCAATCAGCTATTGCACTAATTAAGATTTATAAATTTAACGTCCTTTACGGGATTGCCCAAACCCAGAGCTTCCCGCTGCTGTTTCGTCATACCCGGCCCACAGACCGCTGGACCGATCTGCTTTGTTGTACCAGGGTGTGCCTCCGCGTAATGTTGCCGACTAAGACGGCTCAATCATCTATTGCACTTTCAAGGTTTTCACTTGTTTGTGATAAATTATTTGATTCAATTTTAGTATTTAGCCTGAGAGCTTCGAAATTTTCTATCGTCATATGCAAAATCCCTAATAAGTCTGCGAAAGATTGCTCAATTTGTCCCAAATGCTGGTTTTTAACAATGATAGTTTTTTTGAGTTTAGAAATGATATCAAATAATTTCACTTCGGTTTCTAAGTGTGAGTTGAGGATTATTTCTAATTCTTCGTTCCTCATAATTCACTTTTCAGTTTCTGCTCTGCTTAATGATAGCTTTTTTTCTAAATTTTCAAATTCATTGGCAAAATGTTTCCCTTCAGATTTAACTAGTTTTGAAAGAAATTTTAATAGCTTCATTTCTCGTTCCAATGAACGCCCATTCATTTCTTCTGAATTCATCTTGTAGATATCAGTATGAGCCTGACTATTTTGATTCTGAACTTGTGGGTCTTTTTTGCCTGAATTTTTAGAAAAAACGATTTTTTGATTGATTTTTTCACCAAGTTCAGGAATTTTTACATCAGCTCCAACCATGCTTCTTAACTGCCGAATCATGTTTTCAGCAGCCCTTCTCATATGATTAACTTCTATTTCTGTTTGTTCTTTTTGTGTTTTCCAGTCTTCTGCTTGCTGCTTGATTTCAAAATTTTTTCTTTCAATCTCTTCTTCCAGCTCTTTTATCCTATTTTGAGTATCTTGATACAAATTTTCCCTTTGGCCGTTAGCCTTATCAATTTCTCCTAATTTTATTTCAAGTTCCCCTATAAGCTCTTCTAATGTTCCTTTTTCAGTAATTAAATGCTTTATCATATTTTCCAAATCCGCGATGTCTTTTGCACTTTCTTCTTTCATCACATCAATCTGCTCTTTTAATTTGAAATTTTCTGCTTTGATTCTCTGCTCAGTTTTCTTTAAAACTTCAATTTCTTGGAATCCTTTAACATTTTCCAAATAAAGTGCTTCAAATTGTTTGGACTTTGTTTTTGCTTCAGCTACCTGAGAGTTTAGTTCACTAATAGTTCTTGCATATTCTTCGGATTCATGATTGAGTTTTTTGATTATTTGTTTAGCAGTGCTTAAAGTGTTGTCTCTCTCTATTAGATCAGCTATAAGGTTATCTACTTTGGTTTGAAGAAGAATTGTTTGTTCTTCATCATGGGTTTCTAGAGAAGCTTTGGATAAAGAAAGCTTATTTTCTAATGACACTTTTTCACTTATGAGCTTTGCAATGGTAGACTGGGCTTTTTGAAGGTCGTATGACTGCGTGCTGAGTTTATCATGGAAATCGTCAAGACTGCTTTGTAGCTCCATACATGATGGGCATGTTTGTCGAAAAGACATATCAGAGGAATAGTCCATGTTATTATTTAAAAGTTTCAACGTACATTTTTATTTTAATACCGCTAAAATAAATTTTAATTAATTTAGACATATATTGAAAATATTATTTGGATATAAGGAGATTGGAGTTATTTAATCTAATATAAACTCTTCCACAGCTGTCGGCCTTGTTTCAGATCTCACCAGTGTCATATTATCAGTTATCCTCCTATGATAAAATTCAGTATCCCTATCCATGTGAATTGTCTGTCCGCTGGGATCATTCACTTGTTCAAGTTTTTTAGCATTTTTTCCAGTCGTTTTTTGTATCCCATCTTTGATGATTTCATAGCAAGTTTGCCCAAATATCACAAGACTTCCACACATCTGAACAGCCATAATCGCAATAGCCACCACTACCATTGTCAGCTCGAATTTCGCTTGAACACTGCTTGCTAGTCCAAAAATATTCCCTGCCATTATTGTCACAAATAGGAAAATTCCAATTTCAGTCGCTAAATTTGTAGCCTGCTGTACTTTTTCTAAGTATGGTCTATATTTGATCAAATAAAATACAGTTGTAAATGACAGAACGCTATTTATAGTAACTTGAGTAGCTGAATAATCAATTAAAAGGGTAAGATTGAGTATATAAATGAGTCTTCTTACAAAGAAAATTGAATAGTATTGGGTACTCATAAGTCCTTGGTCATTCTTAAACTCATAGAAAAACGAGCTCCAAAGTCTTTCAAACCCTCTTTCTTTATGTTGAATTTTGTTTAAATTCTTATATGAAAACATGAAGAATAAAATAGGGGTTAAGATTTCAAAAGTAAATAATCCAATGCAGAGAGCAATATTGGTATACTGGCTAGGGTTGTTCATTGAAAACTACATAAAAATTACGTTTATCAAGCCTAAAACTGTAGCTGCACAGAAGTCTAAGTACGCTTGAATCCAAAACCTTACAAATAACGAATATTTGTAGTTCTTTAATACCATTGCGAGTTTTTTAGCCACAAATGGATGTGAGCATGAGGATAAAAGATAAACAGCAGGCAAAAGTATGAAAAATAGACTAACAGTGCATATAGGGCTTCCTACATTGAACAGAACTAAATCAGTGTCATATCCATACCTCACAGCTTGGCATACTCCATAAGCTAGATGGGTTTGGGTTTATAAAGGATAATGCTAAAGCTACTCCAGTTATAGACTGGACTACAGCAGTGGTTTGGCTTGCAATAGCGTGAATTGTAGGATCTTCTGAGTAAGTTAAAGTTAAGTCAAAAAATTTATAAGGCAAAAAGCGATAGACCCCTAGCCTGCCTATCTGGTGTAAACCCACCTAACCTAGGGAGCTCACTAGGATAGAGCTGTCTCTTGCGGATACCACTTTAGTCCGATAAGAAAAGACTAAGTGGGGGGCAAAAGATGTGCAGGATAGGGAAAAACTTGGGGGTGTAAAAAAGCTTACCTGTTCTGCAGGCATCCCCATACCCGAAGGCATTCTTCAAAAGATGACAGAGGCAATATTTTCAGCTTCATCGGGGCAGGTCTTACATTCTCCTTAGGCAGTGTGCCTCGGAGTCCATTTCCATCGACGTCACAATTTTATTTCTCCTTCCGAGTAAGGATTATAATAATACAAATAACTAATTAAGGTGTGGTTTTTTAGCAGCTCATTTGACACAGAAACAACTAAGTTTTTATTCAAAAATTTTAACGTCACCTGAGTGCCTGTGGAAACTTTGGTTAAGATATCGAGAGAAATTAAATAAAACGAGCTATTTCTTTCTTCCATTGTCCATGTCAAATTAGTATCAGATACGTTTGCTATTGATATAAGTACGTCCATCGAATCAAGTGATACAGCTAAATCATTAGAAAATGTGAGATTTAAAGAATTGTCTTCGTTTACTGTTAAATTCGCATAAAACCAAATTTCAGTGCAGTTTGTGGTTCCATTGAAACCTACATTGCATTTGCAAAGGCCGCTGCTTAAATAAGAGTTTTCTATGCAGGTAAGGCAGTTAGTGCTATTTGTGCAAGTTTCACAGAGGTTTGGGCAGGTTTTGCAGTATCCGTCTTCAGTATATGCATTTGTATTGCAAGGAGCGCAGTAAGTTAAGTTTTTACTAATACCATATGAATTCTCACATGTACAATTTGCGATGTTTTCTGCATTTGAAACACAGCTAGTGCAAGAATAGCTATCATAATCAGTGCAATTACTGCAAAGTGTGCTGTAGCACAGGTTGCAGACTATAGAGGAATCTTTGCAGCCATATTTACAGTTGCTTTTGCAATCGGAGCAGACATTGTATGCAGGTCCAAACCAATATTTATCAATACTGCAGTTCGGGATGCATTTTTTTGATGGAAGACAAGAAGGACAAGGTTCAGTGCAATACGATTTAGCCAAAGCTAAATTTTCTATTGTTTTAATAGTGTGGTATATAACGATTTTATATATAAAGCCTTTATAATAATGAACATAATTTGTCCCTTGAATTTCTCCACCAATAGTCCCACTTGGATTCGTTTTCGAAGTCAAATAATAGGAAAGACCAAGATCTACAGAAGAGTCGTTAGGAATAGTATTGACAGTGCATTGAATATAAGAATGACCTAAAGCATCTATATTCAATGTAAATACAACATGGTTTCATTCAGGCTGCGTAATTGGGGTTTTGCACTGATGTGCTATAAAGCCAGCAATTTTAAGGCTTAGTTCTATTGAGGGATAACCTGCATTTAACTTAATAGCGAATTCTTCAGAATTCGAAGAATCTTGGGTGTACATTACAGTAGATGTGTCTGACCAAGGATTAATTCATATTGAGTACGTAAACACAGGCCCAATAATCAATAAAGGAGATGAGTAATTAGAATATTTACTCCGCCTAGAAAAATCTATTATTTTTAGGTTTTGCCCTTCTTCAATAAGCGAGCAAGCAATTTTAATAAAATTATTTTTAAATATAATGACTATTATTATAAAAAGCATATACTTATAATATAGATTATACTTATAATATAGATTATATTTAGAAATTGATATTTTTTTTATTCTTGAAAGAAAAAACTCCACAAATGGCGACCAAAAAAATTTTCCCCAATTGCAGAGAGGAGTTAGGCATATGAAGAATTGAGGAGTCTCCGTTAAACCACATTCCTCGTAGAGGAGCTGGAATTGGGTCATCACTATCATAGTTCATATAGAAATTCGAAGTAGACCCAGTCAATATTGGCACTTGGCTTGCTTTATCATAAATCACTCCATTAAGCGTTTCCAGTTCCAAGTCAAACATCATTGCATTCGTTTCAGCACATACATTTGTCGATGCTTTATAGCCGCTTGGGCAATATGACAAGCATAATCCATTTACCAAATAATTCCCAGAAATGCATGTTGTGCATTCATAAAAATTAACCCCTGTGCATGACTTGCATGAGCTATAGCAAAGTATGCAAGACTCAGTAACAGTATCCCAAGAATACCCAGTGTCACAGACACATTTTCCAGAGTCTAAATGAGCATGAGGTCTGCATGACACACAGTTTCCTGTATAATCGTGGCATTCATAGCAGATTACGTCATCACATAAGTTACAGTTTATGTCAACTCTTACGCAGCCAGTAGATGTGCATCCTGTGCTGCAATCTGCACAGGCTGCCCCATCCCAATATTTCGAGATTGGACAGTTAGCTAAGCATGATCCAGAGTTGTCAGTAGGACATTGAGAACAGCCAGAGCAAGAAGTCAAATATAGAGCAGATGGCGCTTTTACTAGGTTATAAACTTTTAAGTCCCATAAAAAGCCTGTAAAATAATTCCCAAAAGTAGAAGCCGCAGTGTAATGAGCTCCTATTAGAGTTGTAGACGAAGCTTGTAGGTCTTCAAACCAAGATGAAGCTAGGTCTATTGAAGTATCAGTTACTGAGTTCACATTGAAGCTTATGATCTGCGCAGGTGTAGACGAAATGTCTGAGGAGACTATTATAAGATTTCATTGAGAAGCTACAATTGCAGAAGAGCTTTTATAAGAGACCACACTTCCGTCAAGCAGCTTTAAGGTAAGAATTGGCTTATTGTCACTAAATATTCCAAGCTCTAAATAAATCACCACAGACGAGTCTTGCTTCGACAAAATTATACTGGTTCCTAAAATTGGGTTGATTCATGTTGAAATCGTAAATTTCGGTGCAAAAAGCAATGAACTAGAGACAAATTTCATATAAGAAGTTCCTAAAAAGTAATATCCTCTATATTCTGCTGCATATGGGTCTGTCGTATCATAATTTGGATAAAAGTTTGAGCTTTGGCCTGTTTGGATTGATAAGCTTGATTGGAGATCCGTTACTGTGTCCATTATCTGATGCGGCATCAAGTTAAATACAAAACCATTCAATGATGAGCTCAAGTTGCATTGGCCTGAAGATGAAGTATAGCCAATTGGACAGTATTGAATACACATATTTTCATACAAATAATGAGAAGAAATGCAAGATGTGCAGCCAGAAAATGTATAAGCTGAGCAGGATCCACACAAATTATAGCATAAATCACAGGTTTCTGTAACGCTATTTCATAAAGCATTGGTATTACATTGACAATTCGTACCAACAAAACCAGCATTTGTGATACAATCGATACAGGCTCCGGTAAAGGTATCACAATGGTTGCATTCTTTATTTTTGCAAAGACTGCAGGCTAAATTGCTGACGCACCCTTTATTGCATGATGTTTTGCAGCCTGTGCAAGCTGTAGGATAGGTGGAGAAAAGGCAATCGCTTAAACAATTTTTGTCAGATGGGCAGATAGTACAACCAGATGAGCATCCTGAGGTTGAATAATCGTCTCCTTGATTGGAGCTTGTAATAAAAATTTTTAAGTTCCATATATAGCCTGTAAAACCTAGCGTATAATCCTCTTTGGTCCCAATAATAAGATTTCCTAGTGCATTATCTCTAACTCCCTTTAATTGGAACCAATATCTGTTATTTAAGGGTTAATTTTTTTTTTTTAAATTATTATAATTTTATAATATAAAAATATTTTTATTTTTATAAAGAGTTAATTTAAAATATTAACCGATTAAGCGTTCCAATTTTTTAAATAGGAATCTAATTTGACTCCATCCATTATATTAAGTCAAAACTATTTATATGAAAATTAGTGTTTTTACCTATAAATTTTTCTTATAGAATAAAAATTTTTGTTGTAACTAAGAGGGGTTAATTTATTCAAAAAATGAAATTTGCTCATTTTAAAGGGGAGTAAGATAACTTGAAGTGGCTGATAAAGAGCTAAGGATAAAGGAATTTCCTAAGTAGCACTGAACTTTGCTTTGCCCGCTATTTAAAAGCTCCCCAGTAAATGATATAGAGGTTTCCTCTATATAGCGCTGAAAGCGCAGACATTTTCCCAGGAGCTTTCCAAGTTCGTCGGACCGAATCGCTTTTTGGTCCGACCAAGGCATTGATTTGGTGCAACCAACCGATAAATTCCGATCAGAATTTATCGGCCTTACAGCGCCAAACATAGGAAACTTCTATAAGAAGCTTCATGAATTAAAGATACTAGTTGTTCCACATGTGACTGATAGACTATTATAATCAAAATATGGCATTTGTCGAAACTAATTTGCTCCGCTTATTGTTTCTTATTCAGCAATATTTTGATTATGAGGCTCAGTTTTCACAGGAATCCTATCCCGTCTATACCACGATGAATAGACTTCTGTCCTAGGGAACTGGAAAGCATAGTGCTTTTTCTCAACCAACCCAAGGACGGTTAACCTTTAGCTGGAATACATTTTTTTGCCATCATGGCAGACACCAGCAAGCTACAGGAAAAGCACAATGCACTGGTGAATTTCGGCTTTAACGAAGAAGGAGCAAGAAGAGCACTGAGATTGTGTGG